TTCGACAAATGTAGATGCAGTCTCGTTCGACAAATGTAGATGCAGTCTCGTTCGACAAATGTAGATGCAGTAACAATCATACAAACCCTTCTATTTGAGCCTCTCAAACCTTTTCCTCGTTGCAAGCGGCCTCGAAACGCGATTAGTCTTGTCTTCTCGTAATCCCTCGCACTTGAGAAAGTCCCAGAGGTTTACGCTGCTTGAAGATGCCGTCGCAATTCGCAGCCCTTCTGGACCTCGGCATCGAATCCCCACTCCCCAGATGAAGCAAGTCCAGACGCACAACCCACCCCTCTTCACAACTCCATGGACAAAGAACATGCGATATTCTTGCGGACGAGCCACAAGAGATGTTATCTCAGCAGCAAGAGAGACCAGGCCAAGTACCAGTACCGAGACAGACAAGCCCGTTCATGGACCTAGGCAGCATCTCTCGCCGACGGCCTCGCACTCGCGCCCGGGTCGTCTGCGTGGCATGCCACTCTCGCAAGGTAAGCGGCAGGTCCGTTCGAGGGAGGGAAAATTCCATTGACATTTTCGCCATCAAGGTGAAATGTGACCTACAACAGCAGCCTGGAGGGACCTGTGGTAACTGCCAGCGTCTGGGTCAACGATGCCGGTAAGCACCCAAGTGGTGGGAGAGCTGTCTGCCATATTTGACGATCGGCCTGACCGTTGTGATTGAATCGTCAATAGAACTCGCGAGCTCAGCCGTCCCATTCCAAGGGCTTCAGCGCCTTTCTCGGCGGCAAATCTCAAAGGGTCATTCTCGCCTCGTCGTCGATGGCCTGAGATTCGAGAATCGCCAAACGACGCCCTTCACCGAAACCGCCGTGTCAGCAGAGGAGGCGAAGAGCAAGAACCAGGTGATGATGATTATGATGATGACGGTGGCGGCGGAGGCGAAGGCGCCTTGACACCCACCAACCTGGCCGACATGAGAGAATCCATCGTTCCTTATGCTTCGCGTTCATCGCTGACCGACCCATACCGGACCACAGTCTCACGTACGTTGCAGGCCGATTACCTAAATCTATGCGGAGCGCTGGATTTACCGTCGCCACTCATGGAAGAAGCACTCCAAGATAATTACTTTGAACATGTCTATCGACGTTGTGCGGTGGTTGACCGGATCCATCTATCACAGAAGCCTTCGGTTCTCCTGCTTCAAGCTGTCTGCTTGACCGGGTCCTCAATGCGGCAAATGGGTCCCGAATACTTTTCAACCTGCGAACTCCTCTACATCAAGGTGAAGACTCTGCTCATAACCAACCACGAGAAGGATCTGCGCACCATCCTGCAGTCTCTATGTCTGGTCTCCTGTTGGAACACGACGCCCATGCAGGTCGTCAGCATGGAGAGCGCCTATCACTGGCTCAGCATCGCCATCAGATTGTTATTTCAAGCCGGTCTCCATCGCGAAGAAACTTATGTGACTGCTAAAGAACCAAGGGTGTTGCGCCGGATAGCATGGTATATCTATGTAAGTACTTAGACCAGATGAAGCTCGTAACGGGCGCTCCATCTGCTTCATTTCTTTTTTCTCGTTTTCTGTTTGGAGTATCATGTCAAAGCCCAGGCTGACCATCCCATCACATGCAGACCATGGAAAAGTCGTACTCATGCGGCCTCGGATTGCCCTGCATGATCAGACCCTGCGATTTTCATGTTCGGCCGCTGGCGCCCGAGGACTTCGATAATTTCGACGAGAAATCCCAGCTCTTTGTTGAGTTGAACAAGGTCAACTCCCTTAGGGCGAGAATGCTCGAGGTACACTGGCGAAAAGGTGAAAATGACTGTGCCGAGGTGGGTTGGTGCGAATCAGAGACTCCGTTTCCTACCTCATTGTACATGGACGTATGTTGATGTATACGAGTGCAGGCCGCGTATGATATTCTGCGCTCACTGCGAGAATGGATTGATCAGCTCCCGGACCAATTCCGTCTGTACCGCGGCAACGATCCCAAACGACACTATCGACGAGCAGTCTACGAGCTCCACATCCACTACTTTGTGGTCATCGCCACGTTTTTCCACCTCTGCGGCTACGCTGTGCGAGCTTCCATCGCCAACCCTGCTGCACTGGTCGCTTCCTCCTGCATGGCCAGGCTCTACGAAGAAGTCCTTTACCGTGAGGAGCTCGGACTCTTCCTACCCATCCACAATTGGTACTTATCGATAGCATGTCTGCCACAGATCCATGCACTGTCCGGAAGTCGCCACGCAGACGCCACATCTGAAGAAGAATTGGGCATCCTGCGCAGAGGACTGCAAACCATGGCAATCAAGTGGCCGCAAGCAAACAATTTGCGAACCAGTATAGATCGTCTCTACGAGAGGAGGGTGTCGAATTTCCAACCCAACAGCTATCAAAATCAAACCCGAGTGTCTGACGATAGGGATCCGGACGGTCGCTCGGAATGCACTCACGACGGCGTCGTCGTCGACAACAGCAGCAGTGTCCTGAACAGATTGGTCTGTGATTTGTTCCCTTTCCCCACGTCCATTTCTCCCAGGATGGACATCTTTGAAGCGATAGAGCCAATCATATCGGGCCCCGAGGGAGCTACGGAGACCACGGTTCCTGCCGCCTGGGACGAAGACTATCAATTCGACTGGACCTTGAATCTCTTATTCGATCCGGACAGTCTTACAGACGGATACGTGCCCTCATCAAGCATGCAAAATTTTGGCAAAGGTCTGGCCTTCTGATATTGACGAGCGCGATGGGATAAACCTTGAGATTTATGACGAATCTGGACAAACCGAGTGTGTTTCCCCATCGGCACAGAGCAAGAGAATGGAGGGCGAAATTGCACACTATTTTTCAATTTCTTTTTCGACAGAGGAAGCACCGATGCACATTATACCTTATCAGCAAGAGGAACGGAGTGGGTGGATGGCTAGTGGAAAGAGACGCAGTTCCCAGAGTGCCCAAGTAGAGCCTTAAGAGATAAGGGAATTGATGCCACTCGTTGACACGCCCCTCCGTGCTTGGGATCTCGTCACCTCGAGCCTCAAATGAGGGAGCTGTTTTGTCGCGACACTTACCACCTTCAATTTACTCCCGATGAATCTTGCACCATGGAATTAAACCTTCCGCAAGGCATGGCAAGATCGCGAAAGATACCAAGAAGGGCAATAGTCTGCAGAGCTAGAGAATAGATTCATTTGGGGTTTTGCAGCTCGGTAAGCCCTTCGGTAGGCCACTCGGTGCCTGTGCCGGTTTCCGAAGGTATTCTAACTACGTGTGTGCGGAGATCATCCTCAATGCTTTCCACTCCATTGCCATCTTGAGCAAACGCCAATTGTCCCACACTATTCGAAGGTAGGAAAGGCAAAGAATTACTGCCTGGGAAGTACGGCACATTGTCGCCACGACAGTAACAAGCATACCGAAGACGCGGGCCGGATTCCAACGGCAAAAAGGTGCTTCCCGCGCTGGGTAATCTTTTCGAGGAATCCAACTAATCTGCGTACTTACTGAGGTTTGGTCGGCACAGATTTTGCGGTCTGTTGCTTCTCTGAGCTGTGTCAATGGAAAAGCTGTACGTAACATCATCATGGGAGTATGCGAAGACCAGGAGTGCGGTGGTTCTTCTCCTCTAGATTAAACCTCAGATTAAGAATGGGGGTCCAGGTTGAGTAAATCGCAGAAATCTTTACCCAACGCAGGTTCCCTATTCGTACTTTTTATTAATTACCGATAGCCATCATTTCCCAACTTGTCCAGAGAACTGACAAACTATCATGTTCTGACAACTCAATAGCTCCGACAATTCCTCCCACTCCGAGTATAGCCGGCCTCAGTGTCGCTCTCAGAAGCTTAAATTTCGCAATGATGAGCACAACGACTTTTACAAGTCCTTCTGCCGAGTGTCAGAGCACTTCCACTGTGTTGACCGTGGAGTGGTCCGAATGCACCTTAGGTCCAATGGCTCCAGTGGCCTCTGTAACCGAAGCTTTGGTCCGTGCCTTGTTGCTCTCTCAACTCGAGCCGTGGTTCTGCTGCGCCGAAGACATTGGCATCCTGTGGACCCTCGGCCTCGCGAATATATCCTAGCTCGCAAGATGTGAAGGCAACCTTCGGCTGGTTCTTGTAGAAGGCGTCGAAGTCAGGGTGCAACGCATCCTTCAAGGTCGCGACATCTCCGCGGGAGTGCAGCGCGTCCCAGGGCTTGAGGCAGCTCTCGGTCTTGCACGATTTGAGCACCATCATCAAGGCGTCCAGGCGATGAACGATCTGGTCGAACGGACGACCTCTAAGACTGTAGGCCGAAGATACGGCTTGATCGTCGAACAGGTTCACCAGTTGACCGGGGTCATGCTATAAATCTGGTGTCAGTATCTGTAATAATGTGGTTGTTGGGGGTCAGTGAACCAGAGAGGGAGAGCGAGGAGAAAACTGGGAGCCTTACGATCGAGTCATAGAACTCGCGTTCCCCAGTACAATGGACGGAATAGTAAAGACTATACCCGTCACCTATCAAGCGGAGGCCTTTGTATGTGTTGTTCCTAACCGCCCCTTCAAAGCCCCACTCGGGATTGTAGTCGTCGGTGTACTTGCCCATAGTCCCCTCTGGGACAGCCCGACCCCAGAATTCGATGTTGACATGTTCCCAATTCGAGGTGTCCTGTACAGTCTCCTCTGCAGAAAGGGGGATCGGACGTCCGTCGAAGTCTTCACGCGACTGTCCTGCTAGTTGGAGAATGGTTGGAGACAAGTCTGTGTGCGATGTCACGGCCTTGGTCACCCGGCCAGCTGCGACGCCTGGTCCTCTGACAGCCAGCGGGATATGGATGTCGGTGTCGTAGCCACATTCTTTCCCGGGGTGCAGACCTGTTTTTTTTGGCTTCAATTAGCCATTGCTTTGTTATCGAATTCAGGCTAAAGACGCAACCTACGATGTTGCGAGATGTGATATCCGTTGTCGGTTGTATAAAAGATGTAGGTATTGTCCAGAACTCCTTTCTCCTCCAGCATCTTGACCAAGTTCTCAATCATCTCGTCCACGGGCTGCAGAGACCGCAGGCGTGCACGCTGATACTCATCGTTGTAAGCGATCACGGTATCGTTCAAGAGCGGCAAGTTCTTGACCCAAGAGACCCCTCCTTGCTGGTGCCCAGGCCGTTAGCATGACAGGTATTCACTGTGCCTCATCATCCACTTACCTTCTCAGGATTGAAATTCTTGTCGCGTGGTATTTTGTAATCCTTGAAGAGGTGTGCGTGCCGTTTAGCATATCTGGGAGCGCTGATCTCCCACCCACCCTCTAAGCGGACGTTGCCATGCGACGCAACGGGAGCAACGGTCAACATCCAGGGCTCTTTGTGCTGCATGGCTTCGTTCAGGAACCCGTATGCTTTCTGTGCTATAACGTCCGGGCTATACTGTCCTTCGTAGTTGACAGGGGGCTCGTTGTTCCGTGTCATTCGGGAGTGGTAGTATTCGTACGTATACGGGTCAAGCAGGAAATCGCTGCCATTGAAGCCTCTGGCGCGAGGCTTGTCGTAGTTGTCGATATGATGGTGGTTCCAGAGTTTTCCGGTATAGTAAGTATTATAGCCTGCATTCTGCATCCACAGCGGCAGGTAGTCATCGTTGATGCCCTCTCTCAAGATCTTTGGCCATCCGCCTAAGTTTGTAACGGTGTAAGCTTTTGGGGATCGCGTCAAAACAAAAAAATGAATCTTGTCCTTGACGTACCGTATGGAGGAAACACATCTGTCACATTTGTGTTATGGGCTGCTCTGCCCGTCCACAGAGTGACGCGGGATGGACAACAGAGTGCCACAGTGCAGAAGTGATTGCTGTAGAGAGTTCCTTCATTGAGTATATACTTTTGTAGAAGAGGCATGTGTTGCTATCTCCCTCATTAGTCCGCGATACTCTTCTTCATGATGATGATTCCCATATGCTGTGGTCCTACAATTGATTCCATGTGCCAGTCTTGATCATCAGTCAAGATGAAGAGTATATTGGGCTTACTAGCTGATGCTGCAGCAGAAGCAGTCGCCCATGTCGCCACCCCACCCAGTATCACTGACTTGAAGAAATGCATTTCTCTGCCAAATTTGAGTTAGGTCGCCTTAATATGGAAGAGCTCCTTGGAAGCACCAGGGAGGTGCGTCGCCCTTTCATATGTACGGATTTGAGCCACTGGTAGGACTAGAGGCCCTGAGCCACCGACTTACCCCGTTGTCCAGCGTGCTGTATCTCTCCAGGTTTCCCCACATTGACGTTGAATATGGAGCTTGGATCTAACCAGTTTGCGACTCTCTAGCTCCCTCTGCATGCAATGCCACTTCCCGAAGGCCTTACCGAGCACTACCGACGGCGAGCACTGCCGACGGCGAGCTTTGATGTTCGACTCTGTTAGTACTTGAAAAGGACCGGGAATAAGTAGGTGGGTTCAGATCGAGCGGCTCGAGTTAGCCGTAGCCGGGCCCGAATACTTCGACACCGAGTGAATGATTCTTAAAAGAGCGCGTTGAAGAAAATGCCTCGAACGCGGATGGCGCGTTTCTCCTTGTGACAGCTCGAAGCAGAGAGCACCAGGAGAGGTGACATTGAGCTGCGGATAAGTGGATAAGCGGATAAGCACACATCTCCTCGACGACGGGTGTTGTAGCTGTGGTTGATGCAGAACTCTTGTAGCATTCTTCTACTTACTTAGGTACCTAGGTAGGTACCCTGAAACCCTTTACTACTTTGTCACCCTTCGCACCCAGTTGTAGGGCTGAGGGACCCCGACATGCCCAGCAACTGCGATTGGTGGGAAGGCGGCACAGCTTTCCGCGAGCTTGGCAACCTTGGGAGTGAACTTGGACGATGACGATGGAGCTGCAGGCTGCAACTCCGCAGTTTGGAACTTGAACCTCACATCACCATTGCATCGTGCATTGTACAAGCTTTTCCAAGGGAAATGGCTGCCTCCCAGGTTTTCTCCCACCTTCACGCAGCTCCCTCTCCGCGACGTTGAGTGATCAAGCCTTCAGCCACAACTGCGTCCTCCTCAAACCGCAGCAGCTATCATGGCCTTCCTTGCCCGATGCTGTGGCTTCGGCCGCAAACGAGGGGAAGATACTGACCCCCTGCTGCCTCGCTATGAAGACGACACGGCTCGCCAGCGAGCTCTTCACCAGAAGCTGCACACCTATCAGATGCTGAGAGCCCTCTCCAAAGGTTACATGCCCTCCACCGAGCAGACCATCGTCAACCTGCGCACCCTCCTTGCTGCAGACATCCTCAACCCAAACAACAAGGAATTGAGCGAGTCAGGCCGAGCACTCATCCGGAATTGTCGAACTTGGATCAAGCTGTTCATTGAAATTCTGAAGAACAAGAATGATCAGGACCAGATTCAGGACTTCATCTGGTACACAACAAAATCTCGAATCTCGTTGGACGTTGATGACATTTCTCATTCAGCCTCCAAAGTCAAAGCCAGGGCAGATGCTCGTGCTGCTTACGAAAGCTTCCGCACGGTTGGCAGTTTGCTTCTGACGAATGCCGATTTCAGACTGTTTGTCAATGATGTTGCCACAATTGGAAGGGAGGTCCTGGCAGATACTGCGTTTTCCCTGTCTTCCGCAGCCGAGAAGGCCGGCAAACAACTCGAGCTCTCAGAAGAGGAACAACAGACCGTAGCGAAACCTGGAGCCGATGAAGACGCCTTGCCGTCCAAGCAGGAATTGGAAGAGAATGCAGAAGAGACATCAAAGGTGATCGGCTCGGAGCTAGCAAAAGTTGGAAAGGACGCGGTCGAAAGTGCCAAGGAGAATTTTGCCGGTTCTCAAAAAGACACCCTGCTTTACCGTCTAAAGCAGGCAATTCTTCGACTGAGAAGCCGGACCGACTACCATGACTCGGTGTCGACCATCTCAAAATTGATTCAGCGCTATGCTGTGGCGTACTCTCGGATAGCAGATACCGCCGTCGCTGCGGCACAAGAGGACATCCACACCAATCCAGCGTTGGACCGTGCCGTGCACAATTTCTGGAGCTTTGTTAGCAGCTTCGGCGACCCCAACGCATGGAAGCAGTTGGAGCAGGACTTCAACAAGGTCATGAGCCACGCAAAGGCAGACCCTCAATTCGAGAACTTCATGGTCGAAGTGGGCAACGCGGTGCAACGAATGCTCACTGATCCGGAATTCTTCGACAATGTGGACCAGAAGCTCGACGAGCTCAAAGAGAAGTCTGCTAAGTTGGGCAACGAAGGCGAATTCAGGACGGATTTCGACAAAATGCTGAGACAAGCACAGGTCACCATAACCTCTGTGATGGAAGACAAGGATGTCAACGGGCTGTTGCTGGCGACAAAGCGAATTTATACCATTCTGACGCCTCCGAACATGGTCACTAATCCTGACCTCATCACCGACGCTATTCATATTTTCCTGCCTCTGCTCATCCGGAGCATTCAATATATCCCAATCCCTCGAGTGGAGGTCAGCGTTCCGGAAATGGATCTTCTTCTCGAAAATCTTGTTCTTGAGCCCGGCCGAAACGTCAACTCGACCTCTTTTCTTCCCTACCGTCTCCTCGTTTCAACCAAGAATGACCTCGAAATCCGCAAGACGCACTCCAAAAAGACGATTTCCAGCACCAAGTCCGTCGTCACCATCTCCATCAATGGGCTCAGCGTCGCAGCTCAAGACCTCGGCTTTTGGATCCGGGGCCATGCCGGTCTCGTTCATTTTGCCGATGAAGGCATTGCTAGCTTCTTCCTTGATGAACGCGGCATCGACGTCTCTCTTGACATGGAGATCGGTCGCGAGAAGCTTGAACAAATTCTCACTCTGCGGGGCGTGAGAGTTCACATTCACAAGCTTGATTATAACCTCCGCCAGTCCAAATTATCCTGGCTAGGCTGGCTGTTCAAACCCTTGCTAAAACACCTGGTCAGACGCTCGCTGGAAAAGGCACTTGCCGAGAACATAGTCAAGGCCTTGCGAGCCGCAAACCGTGAGCTTGTTTTTGCCCGAGAGCGACTTCGTGCCACTCGCATTGCAGATCCACAAGACGTCGTTACGTTCTTGAAGGCCGTGATGGCGAGGTTGACGCCAGAAGAGGACCCAGATCTGTATACGAGAATCGGCGTGGACGCTCCGAAGCAGGGTGTTTTCAGAGGAGTGTATACACCGGGAAGTATTGTCAAATTGTGGCACGAGGAGGCCTTAAGGGCAGAAGAGGCTGTACAGGATGGGGAAGAGAGAGGTGGTGGCTGGAGGAACGACATCTTCGATACACCTGTTATGTGATGTGTGGCTTGTTGTTTTGGTACGAAGGACGCCGCCGATGGGTCTACTGTCTCGCATCATCTTCTCGTAAATGAAGGGTTCCCCGTTGTTGAGAGGAATGTGTTGTGGTTGCTAGGACTGGGATCTCGTTTGGGGAGGCCAGTTATGTGCTAAGCAAAAGGTGTCTTGGTCCATCCGCGTGGTGGTGGCTTCCATAGTGTCGTACGCTTCGATGCAATAATTACTGCTAATCAATTCCACACTGGTACCTACCTACCTAGGTATTTGCATCGAAGGCATGAACGTACGAAGTTAGACCTGAGCAAGTCTCTTGGTAAGTTACGCTGCTTTTATGCTCGGCACCCACTCGGGTTCTGCCGAGGTTTCGTTGCCGTGCCCTGAGCAGCACCTCCTCTCATATCATCTACAGCTTTCGTCTGGCTGTCTAGCCCTGCCGAGGTTGTTTGTGTGCAAGGAGCCTGATGCGGGTAGTGGGCATAAACCCCTGCTCAACGTCAAAGAGCCTGCACGAGTGGGAGGAGAAGTTCCCAATCCAGAGCCTCCCCGTGAAGAGAGCCCACCGGGGTTCCTGATGGCGAGCGATGGATACCAACCAGTACCCCGCTGGTGCCACCTCACGGCTACAGTTGATTCGCGATCTCGCTACCTAGGGACTACCAAGGTATGTTAGCGTGAGGAGTTGAACATGACGATGCTAGTGTATGCCGCCTGCCGTGCGAGAAAGACCGAACAGCTTGGAACTGCGGAGAAGACGTCTGGTGGTCTGTTTGGTATTTGTGGGTGGTATAAAGACTACAGGAATGCTCGAGAGTGCAACTCATTATGCTTCTACAGGTGCATCCGTGAAGAGTTACGGAGAGGTACAAAAATGTTCGCAAACACTCTTACGGTCTTCTCGATCTGCCTACTCCTGTGTGCCCTGCTGGGACGAGCACAGTCCTCTGGATCATCGTGCCCCTCAGAAGGTGCCACAGAATGGAGCTTAGAGGTACGATCCTGCTCTCCTGTCGATCCCGCGCGATGTTGAATACATTGACATCCTCAATAATAGTACGGCATCCCCCTTCTCGCCTATGAAAAAGGGTTCGGAGGACTGTTGAAAGCAGGCCTGGGAGCAAACCAACTCGCTCCAAGCTCTACATTGGCGACTCCCCAGTCTACAGCAGTTGTCAAACCGAACCGAGATACCCTCTATGCCAGCGTCTTTTACGACCTATCGAGCCAGGACCTTGTGGTGGATGTTCCGGAAGTCAACGACCGCTATTATGCTGTCTCTTTTTACACACCGTATGCCAGCATTCATCTGCATTGCTATTCCTGCTAATCATGTTCTCTCAGGTACGGGGACAATTATATCAACCTGGGTCCAGTTGGCGGTAATCCGGCTGGCAAGTATCTCCTAACCCTGGCGCCTTCCAGCAGTGCCATGGGGACTTTCTCGAATTCCAGTGGCAATGATGGCTATATGGGTACCGTGAACTCTCCCACCACTTTTGGTATCGTTCTGTATCGAATTCTCGTCAGGAATGCAACCAGCGACGTATCTGTCGTGAGCGAAATCCTAAAAAGCTACACCATTACGCCGATATCTCGCAATGCATCGATGGTCGGCCCAGCGCTCGACAGTGCCATATTCGCAAACCTACCAAATTCGACGGCGCAGAGCGTGATGGAGCTAGACGCACGTTTCGAGCCCGTCTCTCCTTACAATGCTACCGGCGGCAAGTCCCCTCTCACCACATCCAACTTCACTCAGGCCGGTATCTCAGGCGGCACGTACACGGCACCACAATGCGTCAATATGACCTCGGCATGGATGGCAGCCCAAGCCGCGGTACAGTCGTTCCCTCGCGTGAATGGGAGCGTGCTGAATATGGGTAATGGGTGGGCTATCAACAACCCGGAATTCTCTGGGATATACGGCGCCAACATTGTGGCTCGCGCCTATATTGCTCAATTCGGGTATCTGATGCTTCAGCCTTCGCAAGCGATCTACCCTTCCTTCGCAGGAAACCTCAGCCTAATGGCCAACGAATCCTATGTTCTAAGATTCTCCGGCAAGCCACCTCTGACGAAGCTCGGGTTTTGGAGTGTTACCATGTACAATGCCGCTGGCTATCTCGTGGACAATTCCATCAACAGATACTCTCTAGGCGACCGCGACAACCTGACTTATTCGGATGGCACTCCTGTGTATGGGCCAGGCAGTGACACCGCGGTGGACAAGCCATTCGATATCCTCGTCCAGGCGGAGCAGCCACCAAGCAATTGGACGTCCAACTGGCTGCCCTCTCCTTCAGAACCAGGTCCTTTCGTCCTCTTGCTGCGGTGGTATGTGCCTGCACCGGGGCTTTCGAATGGAAGCTATGTCTATCCCGTTGTAACTAAAGGGGGCGCCATTACCGGGAACTTGGAGTTGCAGCCTTCGCCATCTCCAGCTGTCTCACCGTCTGCGGCGTCTGCAGCGCCTTCATCGGCATCTGGAACAGCTTCTGCGAGCGCGAGCGCCTCCGCAGCCTCTACCTCGGCGTCATCTTCCAGTTCCCCCTCGTCGGCTGCAGCGCCTCGACTAAATCCCCTGACAAGATATTCTGAAACGGGTGGGAAGACAGAGCAAGTCTTGATGCTGCTTGGCGGAATCGGATATCTTGGTCTGCTGCTCTGATCAGGGAAGGTTGAAATTGGGTTGGTGTGATCATTTATCGCGGCCTAGGCTTACTACGAGTCTTGGAATTATAAAAGTCATTTCGGGCCGTCTCCAGAATCCTCTTCCACGGTGACTACCGTACACTTTGCGCTCTTGCTATGCATGAAAGAGGCCAAAAGATCAGTCGTTAGATGTCCCTGAGAAGGTTTGCTCACATACTGCTACCGAAAATGGCGAGCTTATGCATTACCCTATCGTGTATGCTGTCCTCAATAGTGTCATTCCTCCCTACCTCCGGTGCCACCCGCCGAAATCTGATGACAGATCAAAGAGGGCGTGAGCTGTGAGAGAAGAGGTCGTACGATCCTGCTGGGATGGTGGCGATTGTCCCCACGATCGAGCTCTGCGCGGCGACAGCCCGAGGGCGTTTCTGAGCTCGTAGGATCCGGGAATTCTCTTGGACGCCTCAGGCCTTCGACTCCGTCATCCGCTTCTGTTCAATGCGACACTGACTCGAAATGGCAGCCGGGTGTGTCTCCAAGCCGTTTTAAAGCAGATGAAAGGAGCAGATGTACCAGTACAGTAGGAAGGTGGTCCATGGATGTTGACGTGAGTACCTAGCTCGCTGGGTACCTAGGTATGCAATACTAATAGGGAGTGCAGACAACAACAAGGCCAACCCTGGGCATGACAACGGCCAAAAGCCTTGGCTGCTATTTTGCTGCACGTTGCGCACAACCACGACATTTCTATTCCTGTCACCCAATTGACTCAACGCATGAGGTTATACAAGGATTCTATCTTTTCACCTTTCGCGTACTACAAGCTCGGGATATCTGGGATGCTAACTTAAGCTTAACCCTTAGCCCTTACCACAGACACGAGGCAAACGAGATCCAAGACGTCGACGAAAGCCACAAGTGGGTGAAAAGCCTATCTACAACCAATCACCAATCATCACCCTATCTTCCTGTCGGTCTCTGCACAGTTCTGACTGTTTATATTTGATATCCGCTTCATGAAAGATACGTGTCATGACATTCGTAAGATCCAGGTCTATCTCCAGCTTCCTGAATCGGACTCGCGGACGCGAGCTTTGGTTCCAGCCTGGTGGCTGGTGGCTCCCCCAGGCCCTTATCGACCACCTCCTCGTTTCGCGTGATGATGCATTGTGTTTCTCACATATTATGGCTTCAATCCCCTGTATTATTACTTGTCTCTCTTCGCCTTTTACATACTTCTTCCCTGTATATCCTCCTATTCTTTCTGACGCGGTGCAACCGGGACTGAATTTTGTGTGATACATGTCTTTCGGGGCCACGACATTGTACTCGACGTCTACAGGAAAATGGACGAAGTGAAAGATGAGAAGCCGACAGAAAACCCCGAGGGGCCTCTTGCTTCCGGCGAGCAACGAATTGTGATATCCATGGACGGAGAGATTGTCAACGCCTCTGGCCACGTCGACCAGCTGCATCGCCAGTATGGTTTCTTGAGTATTCTGGGTCTCGCATTGACGGTCGACAATGCTTGGGTCGCTCTGGGGACATCGCTCGCCGTCTCCATCTACAACGGAGGCGCTCCCGGGGTGATTTGGGAACTGTGGATTGCAGCCTTCTACTACAGCTTCATCAACGCGTCCATCGCCGAGTTCGCGTCCTCGGTGCCGTCCTCGGGGGGCGTCTATCACTGGGCGACCATCACGGCGGGACCCAAATGGGGACGTCCCGTAGGGTTCTTCGCCGGTTCCCTGAACTATTTCGGCTGGCTCTTTGACCTGGCGTCCATCGCGTACATCATGTCGGAGCTGTGCGTGCAAATGTACTTTTTGTACCACCCGGACTATGTCATTCAGCCGTGGAATCTCTTCGTGGGCCTGCTGTGCATCATCGTCCTGTGTCTGACGGTCACCATCTTTTTCAACAACACCCTGGCATACCTTCAGCATTTCGGCTTGTTCATCGTCACGGTGGGCGGCATCATCACCATCATTGTCCTCGCGGGGATGCCGTCGACCCATGCCTCCAACCGATTCGTCTGGACGGACTTCCAGAACAACACGGGTTGGAGCGGCGGAGTGGCTTTCTTGACCGGCGTCCTCAACGGGGCGTTCACCATCGGAACGGCCGACGGCGTGACGCACATGGCTGAAGAGCTCCCCAACCCCAAACGCGACTTGCCCAAGGCCATCTTCGCGCAGATCGGCCTCGGGTTTCTCTACGCCTGGTGCTTCGCCATCGCCCTGTTCTACGGCGTCAACGACCTCGCCGCGGTGCAGAACAGCAACGGGTCCTTCCCGCTCGCGCAGGCCTACTCGCAAGCGACCGGCAGCCGCGCGGCGACCTTCGGCCTGCTCTTCATCATCTTCCTGTCCCTCGTGCCCTGTCTGATCGGGACCTTTTTGACCGTCGGACGCACCTGGTGGGCTCTGGCCCGCGACAACGCGACCCCGTTTTCGGGCTTCTTCTCGCACGTCAACGAACGGCTGAGCTGTCCCATCGAAGCCACCCTCTTGACGGGGTTGTTGACCGTCGGCCTCTGCGCCATCACGCTCGGCAGCAAGACGGCCTTCAACGACCTGGCGGGCTCCTTCGTCGTGCTCAGCAGCGTCTCGTACGTCGTCACCATCCTCCCCAACATGATCACCCGGCGGCAGTACATGCCCGTGGGGCCCTTCCACCTGGGCAAATTCGGGTATCTGATAAACGGGTTGGCCGTGCTGTTCATCATCTTATTTGACACCTTTTACTGCTTTCCGGTAAGTCTTGTTTGTTTGTCTGTCCCACCAACATTATCCCCAATCCCTTTTTTTCCAGTCTCTTTTTCTCTCCCCCTTCTTTCCAAAACATGTTTTTCTTCTCTCCTTCCTTCCCTCCCCTCCCCCCCCCCAATATCATTACTTTTTTTTTACCCTGAAGATTTTTTAACTCTTTTTCTCCCGTCAAAATAGTACGCTCTCCCCACCACCGTGGCCACCATGAACTACAACTCGGTCATTTTGGCGGGCGTGGTCGCCCTCACGACCTTTTGGTGGTTCGTCCACGCCATCCGCAAGTACGAGGGCCCCAACGTGGGCAAGATGGTCCAGGCCAACATAATGGAGGCGCGCAGGGCGTCAAAGGTATAGAAAACTACCTCTGTGTGTATGTAGAGATTAGACAGGCTGGTATGGGTGTATTTGATAGGATACGATATGATTCCAGACTTTTGAAATCTTTTTTCGAGAATTGGAGAAAACGTGGAAAAGAAAGACAAGTTCGATTGATAATTCTTTTTTGTTTTTACGCCATTGCGCTTCTAGAAGCCGTTTGGCAACTGGTTCTCCGGTCCGGTATGGAGACGTATAGCGTGAACTTCCGCCGTTTCTTGGATGCTACGTCATTCTGCACTGGTTGACGGACTCGTCTGGGGGTGGATATGTATAGATATTGCAGCGCAGGGTAGCCAAGCGGGCGGAGGGGCAAGCAAGAAAGCAACATGGGGAGTAATGAATATTGGGCAAGTGTTACAAGACCGAGCAAACTACTGCAAAGATAACCTATGCTGTAATTACTACGCCGGAGATACGTGGACGTGTTACGGTGGAGCTGTTCGACGTGTACTTGATCGGATTTCAATAGCATCGCTTTTCCGAAATGCTATTCTACCATGTCTAGCCCAATGGCAGTATTGAGAATAGTCCGCCACTTCAAGAGGGATTCCTTTGGCGCAGCTGTATGTACATAACATCGAAAGTAGTGACGTGATCTAGATTCCAGTCCAGTGCCACCAGGAGAGGAGAGCTAGAAACAGCACGACCCATGCATGATCAGATCTACCAGGGCCTGCTGACCACGACATATGTTTTGGTGGCCGTTGATACCAGTTAAGAACATCTTCGTAGTAAGATAGACCCCGTCTTAACCGGTCCAGCAACTGTCCTATGACTTGGTGTTCTTTTGCATGCCCGTTTTCTGGCCCGGGTGAGGGTCAATGTCGCTTCCTTTGGTCGGGTGGACGCTCTCGGGGAGGGCCTTTTCCAGGGCCTCTGGGGCGGCTTTCTGGACGAATTCGGGAACGATACTGGGACCCGTGGCGTGGCTCTTCCAACTGGTCTCTTTGTTGTGGGGGTCGATGTCGCTGCCTTTGGTGGGATGCACGCCCTCAGGAAGGGCCTTTTCTAGTGTCTCCGGAGCCGCTTTCTGTACGGGTTCGGGCACCACGCTCTCGTCCGTGGCGTGGCTCTTGCCATCCACTGCATCCGTCCTGTCAGCCCTGGGTTTTGCGTCAACAACCACATAGAAGGTCGGTCGGTACCTGGATTGTTGGCTTGACGTTGACCGCTAGCCATGAATGTCCGGCTCAGTGTCCTGGTTCCACCGACACGAGGAATGACGCGTTGGAGAACGTGGATTCGCTGCATTTTTGCTGTTCGTGTGCGATATAGAGTACAAACTTGGAAAAGAGACTCGTTGGCCACCCCTACTCATCCGAATCCAGGAGCTTGATATAATCTGGGGTCTGTGCCTGAAAGCAAAGTCATGACATCAACCTGTTAAGTGGTGATTCATCAAACCTAATTCACATTTCGGCCATCTGCCCCGAGCGCATCGAATCTCGATGAATAGATCGACTGCGAAATCCTTCTGACGAGTGACGGACGAATTCAAATTGGTCCTCAAGGTATTGGTACATAGGGAGATGACTATTGGTGACTTTTCCATGTTGTGGGGGACATTCGAGGAACTGAAGCTTGTCACCACTCGAGAGGGTCGCACGATGAGGGTTTCACTCCTCAATCGTGTTCGGAACCACAGGATGCCGCCGCTACTGCACTGAGAGAAAGCACTTACCTTGGTTGCACAACCCGGGAACGATGAAGTCGTGCGGAAGGAACATCCAGCGTGTGTACAGGACTCACACTGTAAGACTCGGAATGTAAAGCCTTGGATGATGGATGTTCGGGTAAACGTCGGTGGGTCAACTCTCCAATTTCCCCGAAGCAACAATTTTTCAACGGCTCTCTTGTACAACTGTGTAAGTCTTGCCCTTGGACTCACCCGTCCACGTCGATGCTTTATGGTCCTGGCCACTCGAGAGTCCTGTACAAACTATGTCGACGAACTGTCTGCAGCTTCGCGCCACGGCGCAGCCTCCTTACCCTTGCGATTGAGTCCTCCTGCGACGACACCTGCGTTGCCATCCTTTCAAAATGTACAACGACGAATGAGCCGCATCAAGTGAAGGCACGGCTGCTTTTTAATGAGAAGATCACCGCCAAAAACACCGGCAAAGGCGGCATCCTCCCTACAGAGGCGCTAGAGAGTCACCAAGCGAACCTCTCGAAAGTGCTGGAGAATGCGCTCCCATCTTTACCGGCCGCCAGCGACTCGCTCCCCAACGCAAAGAAAATATGGCTCCGGGATGGCGCGCCGAAGCGAAAGCCTGACTTCATATCGGTGACGAGGGGACCCGGAATGTCAGCTAATCTTGGTGTTGGGTTGGCCACGGCCAAGGGCCTTGCGACTGCGTGGCAGATACCAATGGTCGGGGTCCACCATATGCAAGCCCACGCTCTCACCCCAAGGCTTGTCAATGCGATGGCAGAAAAGCATCGCCCCGTACACGCAGCTCTCAAACCATCGTTTCCATTCTTGACACTGTTGGTTAGTGGCGGACACACAATGCTACTCTACTCAAAAGGTCTGGTAGACCACAAGATCTTGGCTACAACTACCGACACAGCCATTGGCGATGAGTTGGACAAGTGCGGACGCCTCATCCTCCCTCAAGAACTGCAGCAGAGCACCCCGGATACCGCGTTCGGAAAGTACCTCTCAACATACGCCTTCAAGGCCCCGGAAGAGTTCAAGTCCTGGCATGTGCCTCGAACGCGCGTTGAAGAGGTCAATCAGCCAACGAACGAGTTCGGATGGAGGTTGACTACTCCCATGTCTCAAAACAGAGACCTGGCCTTTAGTTTCTCGGGCATTGCGAGCCAGATCAAGAGGCTTATACTTGCACGTGGAGCCGAAACTGGTCCTATGGAGGAACAGGAGCGCATCTTATTAGCCCAGTCAGCCCTCGGCACAGCGTTCGAACATCTGGGCTCGCGAACCATCATTGCATTGGAATCCCTCCGAGCAGAGGGTGTCGAAATCTCCACGCTCGTGGTGAGTGGAGGCGTTGCGGCCAACGATTTCCTGCGCCACTATCTGCGGAGACTTTTGGATTTGCGTTCTTTTGAGCGGATGAGCCTGATCTTTCCACCCGTCGAGCTTTGCACGGACAATGCTGCTATGATTGGTTGGGCGGGTATGGAGATGTTCGAGGCTGGGTATACAACGGACCTTAGCTGTGCCCCGGTGAAGAAATGGACCATGGACAGCCAAGGGCGAGATGGAGGAATCCTGGGTATTGGAGGCTGGATAAAGGCCCCGTAGTCCTTTGTAGCGAATGAACATCCGAAGAGATTGCCATATCGACAAAACGAGCCTGACGTTCTGTCTCCCCGCGAGAACAACACTATCCGTGCACCAATGTTCTCCTTACTCTCGTCCAAAATCCAAAACTTCCCGAGGGTCATGGTCATCTGCATTGATCAGGTGATTGCGTGGCAGTGACACACGCCGAGACGCGTAGATAGAGGCTCCAACTTCGGAGAGCGGGGTGCATGATTGGCCCAGAATACGAGGCCTTGCAGCAAGGATGGTGACAATCGATCACCCCATGAGTCACTTTGCTGAAGAAGGAAATGCTGCATTCGGTCCTTTGGACGGGCACTCTCCTTGTGGAGTCGGGGATTGTTGCAACAATAGTGCAGAAGACGCCACTCTTTTTCGACTCGATGTTTCTCATAGGGCCTCCCGAGATAACCAGGACTTATGCAGGGTCACAAAAGATGCCAGAGTCTTGTTTTGCAGAGGCATGCGTCATGAACACATGGGACGCCTGAAGTTCCTTGCATCCGGTGCATATCAGCCAATCGCCCGAGTCGAGGACGCGGTTTTGCTGCATTCACCGGTTTGCTTCGCTTCGTGTCTAGTCGAGTCCTGTGGACTTGTGATCCAGGCACGAATGGATATCCATCACCCAAAAGTGGACAGAGTGGCGACTTTTACCAAAAGTCCATAAGGAATTCATGCATCAGTCCATGAGGGGAATACAGGCCAGAGACCCATTGAAAGCTCGCGTCGAAGCTTGTCTGTATGCACTGCCACGGCCACTACGAGGTACATACCTGGCTTGCGGACTGTCTCATCCTACACTACTCGTATGCCGGATCTCTCGGCAGGACGAGTTTCTTTGGACGAGGACTGTACAATTAGGAGAGCAAGGACTGTCCGCGGACCCGATGAATTCACGGGTTGGCATGTGGGAGCATCATTGAGATCCCGACTTGACCATCAGTGGAAGAAGGGGAACCGATGGCATGATAAGATCACAAATCATCCAGGGCGAAGAGGTGCAACGGGCTGATTTCGTGCCGGCTCCGTCTCTTGGCAGGGCTGACTCGGACTTGTCCTCAAATTGATTAGATAAGCCATAGCGTGAGCTGCCAATATGTCATCCGTCATCGATGAGACTTCCAGACTGGGTAGGGGTCAGAGACATGGTGGATTGTCTCCTCCTGAGGCTCTTGAGCATGAGAGAAACAAGAGTCCCGGCTCATCATGCATGAGATAGAAACAGACTCGTGAGGACCAGAAATATGGATTGGACGCACCCGCGGATGATGGGCAAGAGTTACGGCCGACGAACAGGGATGTTAAAGACCGAGTCGTGGATGATCAGGGCACCAGGGCACCAGGGCACCACCGGGGCATCTCCAGGGCCCGTCAACCCAGTAGTTTACCAGCGGGGTGCCAGACTGCCAGTGTAAAAGCCGCCCAAGTGGCCTCCCAAGTGGCCGCCCAAGCACACCACTGGGGCACTGGGGCACAGCGCTTGCCCGCGCCACACTGGAAGGGCAGGGAAGCGAATAGAGCCCCCTTCCTCTCACCCAATAACATCTCAGCGGTGGATGCCCCCCTGGTCGTGCCAAGCAGGCAACAGCGAACTTGGATTCAAACATCATCAGCGCAACGGGCTTCACATTCGACTCACACTTCTTCCTCTCGATCGCGACCTCTTTTGCCTGAATCCCTCCATTCTCCCTCCCTCCCAACCCAATCCTGCCGACTCGGCTACACCACCGAGAGAGACCTCCTGAACTCGCCACTTTGGCCTCAGGTTGTCTTCTCCATCTACCGAGACCCTCTATCTCACTGCCACCCGAACCTCACTTCACCTCCATTTGGCACAAATTGTACGGCTGCGTTTTTGTAAAGGAACACTTGTGCACGCCTAGGAACCTCCTCCTTATTAGGCTGTGAGCCCAACAAGTTCCCCACGTACTGGTGTCGCTGTATATCACCCGTCCGCTGCTTCCGAGGCCTTCCAACGACCGGTATATACCCAGCCCGCCGTGTACCACGCTCGACCTGCGCCCGATTCGAGAGGCCACATTGTATTCAGACCAACTCTACAAAATAGACGGGACCGGCGTCCTCCCGACTGGATCTCATTGGTACCAACTGGAAAAGAAGGATCAACGACGCGGCAACTGTGAGTAAAAGACGACTTTGGTTTCCATACATCTTCAGTCTTCGGTTTATATCTTTTTGAGGGGTTATTGGCACGGGTGAGTCATATGCGACGGGGAATGATCCAAATCGACCAATCGACCGCGTGCTAAACTTCGGGCTAGCGCTTTGGGCGTGTCATCTGCGTCTTCTCGCAGCCTTGGTTCATCCAACCTTTTACATATACCAACCATGGCGTCCTCTACCACCATGCCTCCTCCTCCCACTCCTTTTGCTCATCGCCGTACTCCTCGACTCATCACCAAGGGTCTCTCTGCGTCTTCTCCCACTTCGTCAGAGTCATCAGCATGCATCTTGCATAAGATGTCCCTGTCCAAGGGCGCCACTTTCCACTACTCGTCCTCGCCGGCCACTGAGGATGACCCAGTGCTCAGCATTCCACACCTGACTCGTCGCTCTCCAACATGCTCTCAGTCGACTCTCACTAGCTGGCTCTCCGAAAAGGAAGACGTTGCCCAGTCTATCGCAGACTTCGAACAAACCTTCTCTGGCGCCCGGGGCCGAAAGACATCCAGCCGTCGTCGCTCCACCCAACCGCTTGATCAACAGGTCTGGGTCCGCCGCGTCACGCTACCTTCAGACGAAGGGTTGGGCTCATCCATCAGCCCCGCAAGTGACAAAGGCCTAGCCAAGACATTCGAAAGAGCTTTGGATTTGTTGTCGAATAAGGACAGTGGGCTGGGTACTTCCATCAGTGACTCAGCCGAGAAAGTCGTGGGAACCGCCGCCGAAGACGACGGTCTTGCACAAGCAATTCAAGGTTGGATTGCCCGCTGCATGTTGATGTGTGAAGACAGTGTTAACCAACCTCCTGCAGTAGCTGACTCTCCAGACGCGACAACTCGACGCACTAGGCAGCGAGGCAGTCTCCCCTCATCTAGGACTTCCAGCACAGTTACCCGATCCGCTGTCACGCAGAGCATCGCTCCGCCTACCTTTCGACCTGCCTTGCGTCACCCCGCATTGAGTCCTTCCGCACGGAAGAAGATCAAGGACTATATAATCACCCCTATCCTTCGAGAAGACCGATTCGAGGACTTCCATCCTCTGGTCACTGCTCTTGGATCCAAAAACAACAAGGCTGTCAGATGCTTGCGTGACCTTGAACAAAGCCTCATCTTCCAACCACTGGTAAGCACCCTCACTGTCGAGTGCCTGACACAGTCTGACATCGACCACAAGACACTTGCCATCTCCAGGCAATTGTATCGCATCTTTGGCGAGTTCACGATCCAACTTGTTGTCGATACCTATCAGCATCTTGCTGAGTCTGAACAACGTCGTGCTGCCGACCGCCCGTACGACAACGGTTACTTCCTTGACCTGGTCCAACAAGTCAACCGACTAGCTGCGCATATCGGCTCTTCCAGTCGCGCTCAGCAGGCGGGCACTGCTGAGGAAGACGACGACATGGCTCCCTCCATCGATGACGAGGTCACCCTTGAGGGTGGCCTTGGTGAGACTGGCAATGAGGCTGAGCTCGTTCGCTGGAAGAACGGCAAGGGGTACTCTCTCCGGACTGGTTTGCCCTATGTGCCCACTCCTGGAGTCAAGAGAGCAAGCAGTGAGGCTCTCGATGAAGATGTGGCACGCTCCATGGCTCGCAGAAAGAAGGGCTACATCCCGGAGATTGTCGAGATGAAATGCTCCGACCCTACCTGTGACAAGATCTTCAACAGGAAGTGTGATCTGGCTAAGCACGAGAAGACTCATTCTCGTCCTTTCAAATGTCCTGAGACGAGCTGCAAGTACCACGAGCTTGGCCTTCCAACTGAGAAGGAACGTGAACGGCATATCAACGACCGTCATTCCAAGAATCCTGTCTTCTATAAGTGCGATTTCTGTGAGTTCCGAACCAAGCGTGAGAGCAACTGCAAGCAGCATCAGGAGAAGAAGCATGGTTGGCACTATGAGCGTGCCAAGGGCAAAGACAAGGCTGTCACCAAAATGACGCCGGCGCAGACCCCACGGACTCCCAGCATGGATTACTCCCCAAGCCCAGCGGTCTCCATCAGAACTTGGGACGACGCAAGCTCGGTTGCAGGCAGCATTGCTGGAAGCATGCCAGGCAGCTCTTCCATGACTCCATTCGAGCAGCCCGTCAACGCTTTCGACAATTTCAATTCCACGCCGGTCACCTACTCCAACCCGATCTTCCCACGAAATCCCCCAGCAGCACCATACAACCCAGCGGGTGATGATTTCGACTTCAATGCCCCCTTCCAGAGCACTTACCAGCCTGCTCAGTATCCCAACATGATGACTACGCCTATCACACCGACATACAGCAACATCACCGAACCGTCTCCATACAACACGGCAATGGACATCACATTGGATTGCAACAACCAGACTTCTTGGAATCAGGGGTTACCGACGCCGAGCTCTTATTTCCAGCCCAACTCGCGCAACCCATCCATCTCCGAGCATTCTCCTATGATTGCTGGTCCTTCAGGACAGTCATTCAATGACGCCCCATTGATTGGCTCGGACCCGGAGTTCCTTCAGAATGACTTCTCCCTCTTCGGAGGTGAAGGGAGCAATGCCTTTTCCAACCCGGCTGCCGCCACGGCGACTTTGTTCCCTGGTGGACCGGAGGCCTTTGCTACACTCGACAATGATCCCATGTTCGACCAGCCGTGGAACGATAGCGATTTCATCGACTACGACATGATCAACTAGACGTCACCGGGAAGAATCCTTGGAGGATTCACAGGGGAGAAGGCGGCAAAGAGGCACTGCATGCCGCCATGTACACTTTAGCAATGGTTTCGTGAAGCGAAGTTCTGTTCTATTCTGGAAGACCTCTTACTTCCACTACCTACTCCACCCATCAACAAACAACAAAAAAAGATGCAGGTGTTGAGACAAGAGTGAGGCGGGTGAAGATTGATGACTTGAATAATTGATGATGACATGATGATATTGGTCGAGTTCATTTCCTAACTCAATTCTATTACTGTAGAACGAGGAGGAACTAGACTTTGAAGTCGAGGCGAAACAACCAGATTCGCCCCTGGAGAAGCCAACATTGGCAATTGCGAGCAGGAGGTCAGAAGGGAAAGACTGCTTCAATCAATCAATCAATCCACATTTTGTGCTGGTTTCAGATTATGATTCAATAGCTCTTTGGCTATGGAGAATGGAGAATCGGTCAGCAATGACATTGATAGAGACAGAAATACAAAATCATCTCCTTCAACCCATCTTCCCTGCTTCTTCTAACTTGTGTTCTCTCTTCCACACTTTAGTTCTGGGGACATGTACATCTCGCTTCTGGAGCCCAAGCCTCGTTGGTGATTAGCAGGCGGCATGTTGTCCTCAGCTGCGCGCCGATACTTTGTTCGATCCGATGATGGGATGGATGACTCACACTGTATCTTGTCTTGGATCTGTCGTCTATGATGACTTCATGGCAGTTCTTGTTTTTTCCACATCGACTTCTGTTCGACGTAGTGTCCGCCCTGCTTTACCGTCGACGCTCCCACCGCCGGACTCGACTCGACTCGCCCCTCGATTCCACTCCCCTTCTTTCCTTCTTCTTCGTCCGTCTATATATGGGCCGGATGACTTTTGTAACTCTTAATACACTCCCATACTTCCCCTATCTTGGACCCCGTCGTATAGGAGTAAGATAACGAATAATAAGTTAACCTACGGAAAGAAAAATTTAAGTACCTTTCCCCCCTCCGTCCTCCGTCTTCCGTAACCTGTATTATATCTGTACACGGAATACCGAGTACCTAAGTTATTACAGCCTTGTGGGAGACCAGAGGCTGGTGGCCGTGGACTCGGCCTTCCAGCCCCCTTCCCCTTCTCTCCCCTCCCCACCCGCCGCCCCAGGGGACCGGGGTGTATGGGTATCGGTATCGGTATGGGTATGGTGGCGTGGTCTTGGTCTCAGAAAAAGCAACTCTGCCCTTATGCACGATGCACATAGGTAGGTAATACCTAATTACCTAGCTAGCTGGATTACCTGGGTTACCTAGGTCGCGCTCACCTTAGAACTAAGGTACCGAGTTCCTCGAGGCTGCTGCTTTGATTACTTTCCCGGGAGACGCCCCCACCACCACCACCACTACTACTATTACTCCAGGACGAGGAGGAGAGTCCGGGTTCTGGGGCTGGGGCTGGGGCTGGAACTGGTCCGGTCCGGTCCCTCTCCGCAGAAGAAACCAGAGTAGGTAAGTATGGGGGGTCGAGCGGGCTTATTCTCTTTCTTACGAGTGAGCATGCGATGCACGAGGTCCATAGTGCGTGGAACATGGTACGCCGCCACCAGAAAGGAGCCTGGTATTGTACGTCAGTAGGATTGTAGTGGAAGTGGAACTGGTTACTTTTTCTTCTAGGCTACTCCGTGCGTACTGGTCGGGGCAAGAACGCATTCAGCCCTGGCTCTGCCTTGTTTTGCTGAGTTCCATATTCCATGTCAGGCGGCCAAACAACCAAGGTACTCGCTCAATCCCAGTCATGACTCGCTCGCGCGCGTCGTAACACCTTTTCACCATGCAACAGATCAACTGCGAAGCCTGTTGGACGGGCAAGAACAATCATCGTGAGTTCCCTCTGTCCGTAACTTTTGATCCAAATCAACAGCCATCCTCCAGTTCCGCTTCGACACGCCTCCTCAAATCCTCGTAGAACTCCACGCCTTTGAAGCCGTGCCTTTCCTTGCATACTTTCCAACCTTGGCGTTTCAATTCGTCGATCTTCTTCTTGAATCTATGCCGGGAGCTCTCTCCGCTAGGAGTGTCATGATCATGGTCCTCTCCCACAAGGTCAGTACTTCGACCTACTCTTGTGGACCCCGGAGCCACTTTCGACGCTGAACCAGTAGAAGCGACGTCGAAAGACCAGAAACTTGCAAACCGCTGCTTCGAACCTAAAGCTTTAGTGGCGCTCCTCTCGCCTTGGATTTTCTGCACGCGAACAATTTCCCCATCTACATAAGCAATGTGCTTTCTCAGCTGAGCACGAAAGTCCGCGAGATGAGCATTGTAGCGCCCTAGCGCGGCAGAGGTGCAGTTGGTGAGATACGCTTCGAGGTGTTCGTTGTGTGGATCCGGACTGAACGCATCGCGAATCATTCTGAATCTCATGGATGTGACGCCAGGGGAAGCGGCAGGGGTCTCGAGTTCGTGGACCTGCTCCCGCAAGGGGGATCGTGCCGCCGTGAAGAGAGCCGACGGAAGCAAAGGTAGAGTTCCTTCGAAGCGGGCAATGAGGGTCTGGACTGCGGTTTTGCGCATCAGTGGGTCTTGGATGATTCGAGTGCCTTGAATTTTGAAATCGGCCTTGTGGTTAAATGGCAAAGGAGGAAGTGGTCGGGTATCGACATCGCTTTCGAGCAGCCCCATTCCAGGGCGCTTGGGATTCCGGCTGAAGAGAGGCGACGGTACCAGATCGTCTTGCAGTATTCGGGTGGAGCTAGGCCAGCGCTCGAGTCGAGACTCCTCCGTGTTTGAAGTGACTGGAGTGGCCGGGTGTTTCATTGGGTTACATTTCGAACTTCCTTCTTTTGAATTGTCGTGTGCCGACTTCCCTTGATATGCATGCTTTAGCGACGATGACCCATTGCAATCCGCGACAGACTTTCCTTCTGAGCTGGGGGTTCCAATCGAATACAAGCTGGTGGGCGAACCCGACGGAGATATCTCTGTAACACAGGCTGACACCGACACTTCTTTTCGACCTGCTTGCTGGGCTCTCATGATGGACGGGGATCCGAAATTGGTTATGACAGGAGACTCCTCCGGCTGCTCGTAAGACCCTCCTTCAGTTGACACGTATGGCAAAGGAACACATTTCAGAGCCAGATTGAAGCTCTCCCTTGCGGATTCCAGAAACTGGAGTTTGTTTCCCGAAAAGTTGTGCGCAATCAGTCCCGTCGACTCGTAGCAGGTTGCATGATAAAACCAGAGGAAGGCTTGGTGTAAGGCGTGAATCTTCAAAATCGTCAGAGAACCGGGATCCTTTGCAGTCACATGCTAGAGAAAGCGACGTACCTCCGAGGTTTGCAGTTGTTCACATAGCGCAATGCACTCCTTGTAGCGCCGTGCGTAAAAGAGGCTCTGCACCTTTACAAGCTCGGCTTTGTGGTGAGATATTCTCGTATTCGCGCCGTCAGGCCACTGGACACGCGGCATGCACATCTCCATCTCTGAAGGACTGGCTGACTATAGCACTTAAAACTTACTGCGAAAAGAAGCCACGGAGGTGGTAGGAAGGTGCGGAAAATCTGCCTGCGTGAATAGTACCGGACCCCGTTTCGCATGTACACGGGGAGCACACCCGACCCAGGTGGCGAAGAAACGCCATTCTCATTAACGGGAGTCAAAATGCAGTTGTCGCAGGGGACTTGAAGAACTCAGCTCCCAGCCTTGTATGAGTTGTGGCGGTTCATGCTAGTAGGGAAAGAAGGGAATGGAGACAGTCGCCAATGTCCGTATCAAAGCGTGAACATTGCAGACAGAAAAGGACTTTGAAAGGTCAGGATCATCTTCGTCTCCGATATTGGCACAACGTATCTTATCAACCTTTTGAATCTTTCACCGAGTCGGGAATTCTTGTCGCTGCAGATGGTGTCCGAATCCGCTCGTTACGATTTTTCAACCAAAGAGCGAGGAGCACATCGGACATCTCAAAGAGAATGAGCCAATGGCGTGATGAGCCCATCATCGACCATGTCATCGAGTTGGACTCTAACCCATTCCTGGCCTCTCCCTTGGTCATGCTGGACAGCAACGGAGGCCACATCATTTCGCGTTTGAATAGCCTGAGCAACCACGGCTCTCAGCTGCGATGCGGCTTTCTGTTCGGTGTCCTGATAGAGTTTGCTAGCATTGCGATAAAAGGTCTCCGCATTCTTCAGGAGCTGAGGCCCGTTCGCAATGGCAGCGTTAAAGGATATCGGCGACTGACCTAGTTGATGTTGCAGAAGAGAGCAATTTCCACGGATGAAATGCGTTTCAGCAATGTCCTCAGGCAGCGGACCAGAAATCTTTGAAGCTGTAGCCATGTTGGCCATTGCTGCAGCTAAAGCACTCCACCGCATAGATGCATAGGAGACGGCGTTAGAGGGCTCGCCGTCCGCAAGAGCAGAGTTGAAAGCAATTAGACTGTTCGCGTTAGCTAGCAAGGCAGGAAAGTTCCTTTCCAGGTCTAATTCAGGCACTTGAAATGCTTCATCCCGCTCCCGCTTGTATGTGGCTGGGTCGATTGAGCCCAAGAGGTAGCCTGCCTTGAGCAATTCGGATACCAGATTCGCCCGAGCAAGTGCAACTTCTTGCAGTCTCTCTGGCTCGGCATCTTGCAGAAGCGGTGGCAGTTTTATCTTGACCAATTTGGAAGAATATTCTTCGATGTAACCTAAGCTGGAGGTCGGGACGGAGTCTGAAGAGCTCAGAATGCTGCTGAGTGTAGTGAGGGTCCCCAGCTGGGTAAGGATAGTGTCGATAAGAGTATCTTTTGTCACTGGCTCCACGACGGAGAACCACTGGTTTTCAGTGCCAGCTGCAGCGGGACCGGTGTCGCCGTCATCGTTCGAGCTGGTGATGGGTTCCATGGAGTTCTCTGAAGCAATTTGGGCGGCCGCCTCATCCTGTTGTTGCATGTATTCATCGAGTTTGAGCTCTTGTATGCTTAAGCAACGATTTTGGAGTTCCAAAGCTTCCTCGAGCAGTTGCAGCACATCCCGATCAGCGTGATTGGCATCTTTGGCATAGACTTCGGCGATAGCCGTCAGAACTTGGGCCGTGTTGAACAAAGTGTCTGGGTTGTCCTGGTCCAGAGTAAGAGCGTAACGATGCGCCTCCAATGCCTGCTGCAAAACCTCCAGAAGCGGCCGGTGCAGATGTGGCACGAGCAGAGGATGCGTTGCAATTTCCAACAAGACTCTGGCTCTAGTTGAAGGTCAGCCTTGTGGCAGAAGCAAGGGTGCGATTGGCCGACAGACTTATTGTAGGCGAGATCAATGCTCGTTGGGTAGATTTGTAACCCCTGGTCATATACCTCGACGGCTCTGGAAAAGAAACGCATGGACTTGACGGCATCTCCGGCTCTCCATTTTCCTGCAGCTTCTTCAAAGTCCACTCCAGCTAACAAAGGATCAGCCATTGCGGCTTGGCCGGGGGTGGCTGCTCATGCGATCACTAACCTGCCTGAAAGTCATCCGCGGTTTCTAGAACCTATGTGATGTATTAATATCAGCCAGTCAGAGTGTGCTCCATCTCACTTGTTCTGCTTTCTTCTTTGACTTTGATTGTTTGAGGAACGCCTTGGGCTTAGACATCGTGACATTTGGGGTCAGGCACGGCGTGCCGCAGGCAACTAAGGCTATACCTGTAGCTACTTTGGGAAAGGTCTGGTACCGGGCAGGGTTCTGTCCGAGTACTCGTAATTGTCGTCGGCTGGCAATTGATCGACTAAGGCGAAAGGTGGACAAAGTTATGAAGTTTGCAAACTCCTTCGACCGAAGTGTCGTATGAATCTACCGACGTGGTGTCGCAAGTCCAATCAACCTGCTTGAGTGGTAGACGAGGGCAAGGCCAATCAAATAGAGGGCGTCAAGCTAGCCTTGGGGTGTGAATGGCGTATTCGAGATCCAGATGGGCCTGAAAACTTTGATTTGGTGGAGTGAAGTGGGCTGAATCCAGTGTGGAAGCCGAAACACAATGAAGAAAGAAAATACAAAATACGAAATTTCAGGCGCTAGGTAGAGACCCAGCTATCTCTTCCGTCGTGGACGGCGACATGACTGCCATACTGAGAAGGAGAGACATGAAGGATGGATGCAGTATGATCAGCTCATGGTGAAGCCTTGGATGACTGTGAAGGGAAAGAGAGATGAACGTCGGGCTGGCGGCGAGACGGGAAGCGCAGCGCGAGAGGATTCCAGTGGTCAGATGTTCGTGTTCGCAGTCTGTTTGGGTGCTGCCCACTATTGCCCATCGGGTGCGCCCCGCCCCTTCTATTCGTAACCCCCCTTTGAGTGACAAGCTGGGTTACAGGGGGGCCACTACTCACTACTGGCCACTGGCCAGGTGCCGGTTGCCGCCTGCGGTTGCAACCACTTCCTCGGTGCCCAGGCCTACCTAGGTATATGACCGGTGCCTGTAGCAAGACCTTACTAGCCCGGGAAGATGACTTTCCACCTGCCCCCTTCCAACTTCGTGCCGGGCCTCATCCTCTAGTTCATGTCAGGCGCTGCTGATAAGACCTTGTTCCTGGCTGGGAGCCTCTTGAGCTGCGGGAGCTTCGCACAATAGATGTCTAGGTACCTGGATGAACATAAATCAATTGGAGATGACTGATGCCTGGAGAGCACGATACATTCGGTAGATTGAGCTGCCGTCGGGATCATGTAAAGGCTGATGCAGAAATATTGAATCAGTTCCCTTCTGGTACCCACGATACCCAAAAGAAATGGTGCCTCTGTAACTAAAATTTATCCCACTCTCGCCTCGAAGCCAAGGTCCGACCAATGATGCTTCTCGATTTCATGCCAACCTCCAGCTTCGACTGTTGGAAGCACTCAGCGCGATACCTATATCTCACCCCTTGCTTCTGGCACCTGGCACCTCGCACCTCGCACCTGGTTAGTGCTGTCTTCTCAATCACGCTGTTGCTCAGAGTTGCTCATATGACATGGAATCAGAACAGGTACAGGGCATGACACACTCATGACTCTGCACATCTGCACATGATTGCTGTCTGATCCCTCTCGCCATGACATCTTACCCTCCATCTCGAGTTTGCTCGCACTGACCTCAGTGGCCCGTCAGTGGCCCATCAGTGGCCCCCCCGAACTTCGACCCTCGACCCTCCGTCCACCTCATCTGCGATCATCCCGAGCCCTAAAAAACTGCCCAGGACCTCCCAGCCGACTCCTTCTCGTACTACACCCACTCTGCTGCGCCCGACCAGCGACTCAGCGCTATCCTCGGGGCAAGACCCGGGTCGATACCCACGCCATTGTCCGCCTACTGCACGCTCAACTGCAAGTCAAAGGAAGAACCTACCCACGCCATCCCTCCCCCCAAACCGCACAACCCCGCTGGGTGGAGCCCGTCCCATCCCAAAGCCTTCCTTGACCTTTCACCTGCGACTGGCAGTGAGTGGTACCCGTAGTGGGCATTTGACTGCCACCATCGCCGACCTCGAATTTTGCCTTTTCAGCGCATTTCGTCCAACGTCCCACGGCCTCGCCTCTTTTTCCATTCGTCCCTTCACGAACGAGGCTGCGCCGTGTCTGTTTCGCCGAATCTCAGTCATTGTCGCCAGCTGGAATCTATTCGGCACTGCGATCGCTGTTGCGGCCAAGTTCAAGTGGGCTGCTCTCGTCCTGCCGACCTCAGAAATGAACCTACTTTGACCCCGTCGTGTCTTCCATCAACCACCTCCCGCAGCCCACCTGCGGGCTTTACCCTCACTATCCTCAACCTCGAGGATGACTCAACAAGATCGCGAGCAGAATGTCGTATGGACTCAAGATATGCAAGATGACGGCATGGTGTCCGGGGTTGGCGACGAGGACTTCACCAAGTTCCTCGACCTCGACAGCGACTTCCAACACTATGCCGCGATGAACAATGGCCACTCGGGCCTCGACACCCCCATGGGTCGTCTGGGATTTGGGAACAACGCTGCCGATCTAGGTTTCTCGGGGCCCGAACAGATGAACGTCCATGTGACGTCGACCAGCGACGCAGTCGATTATCGCAACCAGCTATCGACGACCCAGCCATACGCCCAATACCCGCAATATCAGCAGATGCAGATGCCGACGCAGTACCATGTGCCTCCTACGCCTGTGAGCGCCGAGATGCACCCGGGGAAATATGCGCAACAGATGGGAAACAATGGACAGATTCTGTTCGACCACCAACAGGTAACGTGGCAGCGGCACACAGAGTCGAAGCCCTCATCTTGCTGATGGTTTTTCCAGGTGTCGTTCACCCCGCTGGTCTCTCCCGCACAAACGCCAATGGACGGCGGGTTTGCCATGTCTGATTATGGGCTGGCAGACGAATTTTTCAGTCCCCTGACGTCTCCTGCGATTGAAGCGCAGGCTGCCTTTAGCTCGACCGGGACAACAGCCTCGCCTGTCGACCTCAACGATTTGAATGCTTCGGGAAAACCGATCGCGGCTGGTACGAAGCGCCCTCGACGCAAAGGTAGCAATACTGCTCGTACACCTGCTCGAAGCGTAAAGCAATCTCCTGCGATGAAACCTCAACCGCGCCGGCGACATCCCTCGCTGACATCCTTGCCTATGGACAAAATTCGAGCCATGCTTCCTCAGGGAGTGCCAGGCTCAACACTACATCCATCGGCGCCCAATAGCGCCGTGCTTCAGGGGAGCGATGACTCGGTTTCTCCAGAACCTTTGTCCGAAGCTGCGATGAGGCCTCCTCCTGTGCCTCATCCGGGCAAATCGCCGCAGTCGACAAGCAGCAGTCAGAATGCGCAGTCGGCCAATCCGGTCACTCCTGCCACCTTGATGAGGATGCCCAGTAACCAATCAGTGCCCATGAGGCAGATGGAGCACCCCGGCCCTGTCCAGAGCGCGGATGAGCCTATGGAGGATATTATGTTACCTGCGGCAGCGGCTTCAGCAACCGGGTCCCAGGGCTTGCAAAATGTTGACGCTGGCAAGACCTCTGTTTCCGGCGAGAACACTCCGACTCTTTCAGCCAAATCCGCCAAGATTAGCGCCGCCAGCACGCCTCGAAGTGCGCTGACAAGGGCGACGTCGCAAGAGACATTTGCCAAACCTGGAAAAATTGAAAGCCGGGGAGGAGGTCGTGCCAGCAAGAAACGCCAGAGCACCTCCTCTGCCACAATTTCTCCAGCGTTGCGACCCAAAATTTCCCCGAGTATCAGCCCACTGGCTCCTGCGACTGGTAAGTCTCAACTCAGACGCAGACAGATGCTTGGTAAGCTGACCGTTCTAGGTGCGGGCATGTCACATCTTTCGGCGGAGACGAGTGCTTTGTATCTCGCGTCCAAGTCGAACTATCAGAATATCCTAGAAGGCACACATCTTCCAGGAGTTTCGTACCCTGAGACTCTGGCTGAGAATCTGACGTCGAAGCGAACATCACACAAAATCGCGGAGCAGGGCCGACGAAATAGAATCAACCTCGCACTGAAAGAGATCGAAGCTCTCCTCCCGGCGTCTATCCTCGTGGCCAACAGCAAGAAAGACAGACCGCCCAAAGACGAGAACGAGGATGGAGACACATCGGCGACTGCAACGACAGGCAAACCCCCCGCGCCCGGACAGGGTGCGAGCAAGGCAAGCACGGTTGAAATGGCCATTGTCTACATTAAGAGCTTGCAAAGCGAATTGAAAGAGACCAAAGAAAGACTGGAAGCGGCTGAGAAGAAAGCTGCCGAAGTGGGCAACAGGGAGAGCAGCACAGAGTGCCAAGGCACCTCGGATGCGTAGGGCGTTTAGACAACGACCCAAGAGTTTTGGTTTATGGCTTAATGGCGTGATGGGTTTATGAGTTTCAGACCGCAACGAAGAATAAAATCCACCCACAGGGCCGCAGGAGTTGAATGTTTATCAGGAAGACGAGAAACGGAAGTATAGGAATTGCTAATCTTGTGACATATTCAGACTCGATAGATAGCTGTGATTCTACCAAACCATCTTGCACATCACCATGAGGGTTGGGAGGGAGGTTGTTTGGCTGCATTGTTCGATACATGCATTGATAACAGCGTTGTGAGATGCTGATTAAAAAGGAAATGTGAACATTCATCATAACTCTATGGGCATTATCCCTACATATCCTGGTTTTGTTGCGTCTTCAGAGTTACTTGAGATAGAGGACTGGAAGTCTCCGCTTGATGCAGAGCTGTTTGAGCGCCGAACGCTGTGGAAGGTACCAGGGTGGACGGGTGGCTCCTCAAGGCTGCAAGTTTCGAGAAGCCTCGTCAAGCAGCCTCACCAGCCTACCTAAGGTATGGTGGCCAGGCAACGCCTGGCTGTGAGCCTATTGATTGGGGTTTCGTCTGACAGAAATAGCTTGCAGTCGTCCGCTTTGAGTCGCCGCAGGAGATATCAGTTAGTGACGAAACAAACAGGTAGATATGGAACCCTGGGATCAGTGCTTTTGAGCACTCTAGGAGAAGACGATACTGAAAACCTCATGCCACTCCTCGAGCAGAACAAACAGGCCCTCCCAAGCTCCCAGCATCCAGCTCGCCAGTGTTAGAAGCCTTTCTGTCAGACAGCATCTTTTTGGTCTGGCGGTGCTTATTCACAGGTGGGTCCGGGTCTTGGCAAAGGCAGCTGTGGGGGCAGCACTGCAGAGGAAAAAAGAACCATATGGAAGCTCCCCAGCGTTGACTGCGGCTAAGTTTATAAGGCATAAACACTCTCCAGCCTTCCCATCTCTTCACCCAGACCATCACGCAGAAATTTTCTTCTACTCTGACTCCCATCTCAAAAGGACAGTCTGTACATCTGTCTCTTTACCACGACCACACTACTTCTGTAAGTCCAACCCCCAATTGAACCTGCCCGCATTGACCCAGTGTTGCCTGCCTCACTTTTCTCTGGCTTCTCCAATTGCGCCGTCGCCAGCTGCAAAGGAGACTGTGTTTGCAAGCATCGACTTGGTCAGCTCAGCATCATCTTCGTTTCATTTGTACTGACTTCTCCTCCCTTCCAGACCACCTCCTTCACACACACAAGACCGCAGCCATGGCCTCTGAAAGCTTCGAGTTTCAGGCTGAGATCTCCCAGCTCCTCTCCCTCATCATCAACACCGTCTACTCCAACAAAGAGATCTTCCTTCGAGAACTGATCTCCAATGCCTCGGATGCCCTTGACAAGATTCGATATGAGGCCCTCTCAGATCCCAGCAAATTGGACTCTGGTAAGGACCTCCGGATCGACATCATCCCAGACAAGGAGTCCAAGACCCTCACCATCCGCGATACCGGTATTGGCATGACCAAAGCTGTAAGTTTGCTCACCTGTGATCGTGGACTGGACCGTGATGACTGACTTCTCCAACAGGATCTCGTCAACAACCTCGGTACCATTGCCCGGTCCGGTACTAAGCAGTTCATGGAAGCCCTGACTGCCGGTGCCGATATCTCCATGATCGGTCAATTCGGTGTCGGTTTCTACTCGGCCTACTTGGTCGCCGACAAGGTCACCGTCGTTTCAAAGAACAACGACGACGAACAATACATCTGGGAGTCCAGCGCAGGTGGTACCTTCACCATCACCCAGGATGAGAATGGCGAGCCTCTTGGCCGTGGTACCAAAATCATTCTCCACCTCAAGGACGAGCAGACCGACTACCTGAACGAGTCCAAGATCAAGGAAGTCGTTAAGAAGCACTCTGAATTCATCTCTTACCCCATCTACCTCCACGTCCTGAAGGAGACTGAGAAGGAGGTCCCCGACGAGGAGGCCGAAGAAGTTGAGGAGGATGAGGAGAAGAAGCCCAAGATTGAAGAGGTCGACGATGACGAGGAGAAAGAGAAGAAACCCAAGACCAAGAAGGTCAAGGAGTCCAAGATCGAAGAGGAAGAGCTCAACAAGACCAAGCCAATCTGGACTCGCAACCCCTCCGACATCACCCAAGAAGAGTATGCTTCCTTCTACAAGTCTCTGTCCAACGACTGGGAAGACCACTTGGCGGTGAAGCACTTCTCCGTCGAGGGTCAGCTCGAATTCCGAGCCATTCTCTTCGTTCCCAAGCGTGCTCCATTCGATCTCTTCGAAACCAAGAAGACCAAGAACAACATCAAGCTCTATGTCCGACGTGTTTTCATCACCGACGACGCCACCGACTTGATTCCAGAATGGCTCGGCTTCATCAAGGGTGTTGTCGATTCTGAGGATCTGCCTCTCAACTTGTCACGTGAAACCCTTCAACAGAACAAGATCATGAAGGTCATCAAGAAGAACATTGTCAAGAAGTGCCTCGAACTCTTCAATGAGATTGCCGAGGACCGTGAGCAATTCGACAAGTTCTACTCCGCCTTCAGCAAGAACATTAAGCTTGGCATTCACGAAGACTCGCAGAACCGCCAGTCCCTTGCCAAGCTCCTCCGATTCCAGTCCACCAAGTCTGGCGAAGAGGCCACCTCGCTCACCGACTATGTCACCCGCATGCAAGAGCACCAGAAGCAGATCTACTACATCACCGGTGAATCCATCAAGGCCGTGCAGAAGTCCCCCTTCCTCGACTCTCTCAAGGAGAAGAACTTCGAGGTCTTGTTCTTGGTTGACCCAATTGACGAGTATGCCATGACCCAACTCAAAGAGTTTGATGGCAAGAAGCTTGTCGATATCACCAAGGACTTCGAGATGGAAGAGACCGACGAGGAGAAGAAGGAGCGCGAAAAGGAAGAGAAGGAGTTCGAAGGTCTCGCTAAGAGCCTGAAGAACATCCTCGGTGACAAGGTTGAGAAGGTCGTCGTCTCTCACAAGCTCGTCGGCTCTCCTTGCGCCATCCGAACTGGCCAATTCGGTTGGTCTGCCAACATGGAGCGTATCATGAAGGCCCAGGCACTCCGCGATACCTCCATGTCTTCGTACATGTCCTCGAAGAAGACATTCGAGATCTCACCAAAGTCGCCCATCATCCGCGAGCTCAAGAAGAAGGTTGAGACCGATGGCGAGAACGACCGCACTGTCAAGAGCATCACCCAGCTCCTCTTCGAGACCTCTCTGCTCGTCTCTGGCTTCACCATCGAAGAGCCAGCCAGCTTCGCGGAGCGCATTCACAAGCTCGTGTCCCTCGGTCTGAATGTCGATGAGGAGGCAGAGACTGCTGAGGAGAAGGCGGCCGAAGAGGCCCCTGCTGCTGAGGGTGCTGGCGAGAGCGCCATGGAAGAGGTTGACTAGACAATTTCGACCACGGCATAGATGCCCATCGACGAGGGCTCAATTCTTGAGCGACAGTCTTTGTGTCATCCCTATTGGCGTTCCGGTGTCAGTCAGACGTGGTTCCCGTTGCCATGTGTTTTCTTCAGCGATATCCCGGCAATGAGTGAAATGGTTTGGGAAAGACTAGGTAGTGGTGGGAAGGCTTGCAACGACCACCAAAAAGCGGACGGGGCGATAATGGAAGAAGAGCCGGCCCGGCATTGAACATGTCTTCATGGTTGTGGTCCAGCTTCTCGTATTCCATAGTTCCAATCGATTGCATGATTAGTTGAGAACGTTTCACCAAAACGAGCTTCTTTCGCCGTGTAGTTTTGCACAAGTAGCCATTGATTCCTTAAAGCATTGATCTTAGAAGTGTGCGAGTGTATGGAAGCAAAATGTCAGACTCGGAGCGTAGGAGCCTGCGTCAAGGGGAAAACTACTCGTAGCTTACCTCGTACTCTGCCTTGGGACTAGGGTGACGCCGCCCTATTCTACCCTCGGCTCGCGCGAGCTGGGAGTGATCTCTCCCCTGACTTACCTTCAGTCGAGGCCGTAGGCCAACGCGGCGATGGCGTGGATGGTGCGATACTGAACAGTCGGAGTAGAGCGCACCTACCGGGATAGGGACTGAAGGTTGGCTTAAAGAACCCGGAAGGCGATCGTCGGCTCGACTGCGCAGGACTCTGGAGAGGTCTCGAGCTGCCTCCTTTTCCTCTGCTCGACAGTGCGAGTAGTTATAGTGTATAGGACTATCTAGATAGCCCGGATATACCTAGTTAGCAGGCTCCTAGTACGCTGCTCGATCCCACCCGATACTTTGAGTCTCTGACATTTAGGGTTTCTTACGTATCTAATATATTCCTATACTCTTGCCCTTGGGTAGATACGTAATAGCGATACGCTACTTTAGCGTACCTAGGTACTCCAGTAATTTATAGTACTTTAAAACTTACGGTACGTAACACCCCGTTGGAACGAATCTGAGACGATAAGTTATGTTTTGTGCTTAACGGTGGAGAGAGCAGTGGCTCACTTCTTCATCTGGCCAAATATTCCCAGTAGCTCTATAAGCCTTCTAAGCCCCCGACTTCTCTTTTCACAAGTCTCACGGGCAAAGAGATGGGGTTCATATTCAGAGGTTCTCTCCACTGCATTTCCCAGTCTGGTGAAGGCAATTCAAAGTCGTACCGCCGAACAAGAGTTGCAATGATGAGAGGAATCTGGAGGTACGCTAGATTTCGTCCTGTACAGGCACGTGGGCCCAGAGAAAATGGCAGCAGGTATTCTCTCTTGGAGGTGTCTGCATTTTCGTCCAGCCATCGCTCGGGACGAAAGGTCCATGGATCAGGGAAGATCGAGGGGTTGTGGTGCAGCGAGAAAAGTGGAACTGATACGGTGGTACCACCTATTTGCTCTGTGAGAAAGACGGTCTAACATCTTATGGCACAAACAAACCTTTGACAAAATGTCCTGATATGATGGCTCCGCCCTCGGGGACGATCCTGGGAAGACCTTGAGGGATTGGCGGTCGATCCCTTAGCGCTTCCTCAAATACTGCCTTCAGGTAGGGTAGTTGAGCGATTTGCTCGTATGTGGGGACGAGTGCATCCCCCAAGGAGGTATCCAGTTCCACGCGTAATTTGTGCAAGCAAGCTGGGTTCTTGATCAGGTGGTACATTGCGTTTGTGGTTACGGAAGCCAGAAGGTCGATCGCGGAAGCGAAGATGACGACCGTCTCAGCCAACAGCTCGCCGTACTCGAGATTCCTATCCTTCTGCTGGCTATCCTGCAGGAGATAGGACACAAAGTCACGAAAGTCTTGCGTCTGCCCGCGGCGGAGACGCTGTTGCAGGTAGAGATGCACGGCTTCGCCATACTTTTGGCCCTTTTTGGCATTCCAATGCCAGCTTGTGAGCTTTTTGAGGGTGGTGTGGAGTGACGGCCATGGCCCAAAGAAAGCACTGTATGCGCCAGATGACTGAAAGGCGTCCACGCCTTCTACTTGGTAGACGGGCGAGCCATCGAAAGGAAGGGCATCGAGAACAGCACTCCCTTTGTCGCACAGACCAAGAGCTTCGCCGAAGGTTAGCTCTGAAGAGGTGTCGTACAAAAGGTAGTTGATCCATTTGTATAGATCAACCTGCCTGTCACGAGATTGGTCTCCCTCGGCGATAGTCCGTTTCTCGACCAATCTGTCAAGATGCTTGACGAGATGGCTCAGCCGCCGACGAATGACAGGTTCGAGAGTGACAATATTCTTTTGAGAAAAGGCATTGGAAATATATTTCCTTTTCCGGGCATGCTCTTCTTTGTTCTCTGTCGACACGACATTCTTGTAGACACGGCCATGATCGTCAGGCCCCCAGAAGGTCTCGTAAAACCTGCCTTTCGGCATCTTCGACTGAAATCCGTAAATGGTCTTTGCTGCCTCTCCATCATTGAAAGAAAGATGGTCCGGTTGGATGCGAACAACGGGGCCGTAGGTTTCGTGAGCACGTTCAACAAAACTTGATCTGGCTTGTCTGGCTATCACAGCAGCAAGCCAAATGTTCGACCAACCTGCCAAAGCAGGAATGCCCCATAGCGAGGGGGATGGAAACCGTCGCAAGTCTTTGGAGTCCCAGAAGAAAACAACAAGCGGCCGGAAGAGGGTATAGACGATGAGGCATACAAGTGCTCCGAGGCCGATGGAAGAGGCTAAAAGATGACGCATCAGTCGACAATTCTGGAGAGAACGCTATCCCTTACCCTTGAAATCCATCCCGTCTCTTGAAGTGCTCCCAGCGTTGATCTTGATATCTCAAGGATGAATGGGGATGAGTAGAGAGTGGCCAAGAGAACCTGCTATCTCACTCCTGGAGGGTAGACAAATTTACTACCCAGAGTCTACCAGGAAATCAATCAATCGAACGCCCCTTTTGAAGAGCCGCTTAGCGACTGTTGGATTGGTTGTCCCACTTTCTGTAGATATGGAAGTCTGGGACTGATCGGCTGTTGCCCGAGATGCCTATCTTTCACGAAACACCGCACGGGTCTAGGCAGACAGAACAAACCCGAGAAACAGACATTAAGTATGCACGACCCCTAATAGAAACTACGATAAGCCTGACCTGAATTGTATGTTGTCGCCCACTCGGTGGTTCGGCGTGCGGCCCGAGAATGTGTCTCCGAACTGTGTCTCGGTTGGGTACACTTCAAATAGTCCTCTCGACGAGAACTTAACCGTACTGCATTGAATTCGTAAGTCGAACTCAATTGCCAAAGCTTATCCTCTCTGAGTTTAAAAGACAATGCACATGTAGTAGATATCGGCCTCTGATACGCGCCACATCCCCCCTCGCGCTCTATGTGGTAGCTCCGCCATCATTTTCGACGTTAGAAGGTCGAGCAGGTGACGAAGACATGACTAACCCTCTCCATGACAAGCCTCTTCGCATTGGAGTCGATGTTGGTGGAACCAACACTGATGCTGTCGTTCTGGATGTCAATGCGGCAAAGTCTCCCAACAGGGGGGTCCTCGCATTTTGCAAAACTCCAACCACCGGCCCAAATGTTAGTGAGGGCATTCAATCGGCTCTCCGGAACGTTCTCGAGCAGTCCAACGTGGACAAGTCACAAGTCGCTTGTGTTACGATTGGCACGACACACTTCATTAACGCTGTCGTCGAACAAGATGCTAGTCGACTCGCCATGGTCGCGGTTATCCGCCTTTCCAAAAGCTTCACCAAGGAAGTTTCACCGTTTTCCGACTTCCCTCCCGCGCTAGCGAGGATCATGAATGGTTATTATGGTTTCATTGATGGGGGGCTTCACATTGACGGCTCTCAAGAAGCGCATATCGTGGAAGCCCAAGTCCACCGAGAATGTGAAAAGATCAGACAGCTGGGGATTAGATCAATTGTACTTTCGGGCGTTTTCTCTCCACTTGACCAACATTTTAGGCAGGAGCACACTGTCCGAGACATTATTCTTGAATATCTCCCTGGTGTTGACGTTGTCTGCTCATCAGACATATCGACCTTGGGGTTTCTGGAGCGCGAAAACGCAGCCATCCTCAACGCGTCCATCCTCCGATTTGCTAGGCGCACGATTCAAGCATTCCGAGCATCGATTCGGCAATTAGGCTTGAATTGCGCTCTGTTCCTTACCCAGAACGACGGCACTGTCATCAGCGCTTCCTCTGCAGCACAAGTTCCCATCCGCACTTTCTCTTCAGGTGCAACCAATTCGATCAGAGGGGCCGCATATCTCGGCTCACACCAACTCAAGGGGGAGGGGAATGAGACATCGATGATAGTTTTGGACGTTGGAGGAACGACGAGTGATGTCGGAGTGCTCCTACCTTCGGGATTCCCGCGTCAATCATCGGCGTATGTGACGGTCGCAGGGATCAAAGTCAATTTCAGTATGCCACACGTCGAATCTATCGGTCTAGGCGGTGGATCGATCATCAAGTACACCGACGGTGGCAAAGCTACGATAGGCCCAGAGTCCGTTGGCCATCTCCTCACCTCAAAGGCTCGAGCATTTGGAGGTGATACAGTGACAGCGACCGACATCGCGGTAGCGCATGGAGCCAATATTGGTGATCCTCTTTTGGTTACAGACATCACTCAGTCAACGATCGCAGAGTGCCGTACCAGAATCAAGGCTCAGTTGGAAAGAGTCATCGACTTGATGAAAACATCTCCAGACCCTTTGCCGGTTTTGGTGGTGGGAGGCGGGTCCATCATTGTCCCCGACAGTCTAGAAGGTGTATCCGAACTCATCTCGCTCCCCTATTCCTCAGTGGCGAACGCAGTGGGCGCCGCAGTCTCCAAAGTCAGCGGTTACGTGGACATCATTCAGGATATATCGACTCAAAGCGTCAATGAATTGATGGAAAGCGCGCGGCTTGAGGCTGTCAAGCGTGCGGTGGAAGCCGGAGCAGATATACATACTGTCACTATTGCTGAAATGGAAGCAATCCCCGTACAGTACGCGGCAAACCAAGCTCGAATAATTGTGAGAGTCGTTGGCGATCTGCGGAGACCGGATTTGTCGAACCACCAATCTTTAGAGCACGAAGAAAGATTTCTTGAACAAGAGGATATGGACGTTGGACGTTCTTGGCGGCAAGAAAGCGCCCATGGTGAAGACCCCGTATCTGTGGATATCGATTCGTATTCACCAAAAATTGCGAAAAACGAACGAAACGGTCAGCTCGAATGGGAGCTGACAGAAGTCGATGTTTGTTTTCTTGCTGATGGATGCTATGTCTTGGGCTGTGCCGGAGGAGGCTCTCCTTCAAGCCACTGCTTGCAAGTCCGGAACCTGTTGAGACTCGGCCACACTGTCCGGATCATCGATCCAAGAGCGTTGGCACCCGACGCTCTTATCAGCTGTAAGTCCCAACGCGCAGATTGAAATTGCTACTGATATTCTCTTTAGGGGGAGGCTACTTAGGTTCGCCAGCAGTGTCGATTGAACGGCTGGCTGGAACAGAAACCGTGCAGGCTGTCGCAGAACTAATGCAGTATCTTCGGTTGGACTCCTTCGACGCAGTCATGTCTCTAGAAATTGGAGGCGCAAATGGTTTGCAACAATTGTTGGTTGGATCTTCTAAGTACTACGATCGACCCGTCGTGGATGCTGACTGGATGGGTATTGAGCTTCCCTGTTCCCTTGTCCACTTCCAATGTCGAGTTGCTGACCCTAGAGCACCCGTAGGTCGAGCATATCCCACCATTTGGCAAACATCTATCTCTGTTTATGAACCGGGCGAATTAGTGCCCTGCTGCTTGGTATCGGGATCTGGGAACAATATCGTCATGACCAAATCAATTGACGATGAAATCGTCGACCGGGCGTTGAGAGCTTCTTGCTCCGAAATGGGCTCGTGGGCTGGACTGGCCGTGAAACCCACGACAGCGGACCGAATCGTGAAATACGGCATTCCAAACACACTGTCCTTTGCCTGGCGAATTGGACGATGTATAGCGCGTGCTCAAGCAAACAATACTGTCGCTAGTGTTGCCGAAGACATCATCGAAGAGGCCGGAGGATCCGGCGCCGCGAAGGTGCTTTTTCGGGGGAAAATAGTTTCTGTTGAGCGGCGGTTGCACAAGGGTCATACTTATGGCGAGCTCGTCATGCAGCAGATCCCCGACGAAGAACAAGAACTTTCCCCCACCACCAACCCCGTTGCTACCGGTGGGTCTCTCAAAATTGCTTTCAAGAACGAAAACATCTACGCCCAACATACCGCCTGTGACGGGAGCAGACGGTACATCGCCTCGGTGCCTGACCTTATAGCGGTACTTGACGCGCAGTCTGGACGAGCACTCGGGGTTCCCGAGTACAGATATGGAATTCTCGTCACGGTCTTGGGAATTGCATGTTCCCCGAAATGGACTGATACTGAACAGTCCTTGAGATGTGGCGGCCCTTCGGCATTTGGGTACGATTTTGCGTACACACCGTTGGGGGACTACGTGGAGCCCGAGAGCGTGGTCCTCGAGTATGCGAGGAAGGCTGGACACGTGTGAGCTCAGAATCAATGCTAGCCGAGAGCTTTGCGGGAAGAAAAGATCAACAATTCTGATACCTAAAGTCTTTCCGAAACACTTGGTCCGTTTGGCGGCTGGGTGGTTATCTATTGGTCGCTGAACAGGTACTCAAACCCATTCCATGTCCCGTAGTGGTCCAATTGACTCTCGCAGAGGCCACTTGTAACATCAAAAGACACATTCTCCAGAGGGTGTACATCCGACGCAGTGTTGACATCCTTAGTATGCATGAGCGCCGAGGACAAGGACGAGTCGCCGAGATCACTATCACATTCTAGAGTAGCTGCCGCTGTGACGGAGCTCTCGGGCCCATGGAAATTGTCGGAGAGCTGAATTATCAGAGGTCGTTGGCGATCCTCAAACGGAGGCGGACTCTGCGAGGAGCTGGCTCCAGAGGCGTCAAGTTGACTAGTATTGTGCTTTTCCGGGGCTGACCTCATGTGGGCAATGTTCTGCGTCGCTTGCAACACCTGCAAAAACCCATCCACTTTGACCCGCAGGCTGCGCAACAGCTGCATACACTCGGTTGCTGGGACGTTGCCCAGCTCTTCCTGAAACTCGAGAAGCTTGGTCGCTTGGTCCAACGCCCCTCGTTTGGCTTGCTTGTTGAAGAACAGCGGAATCGACCGGGACCTCGTGGCATTTACAATACTCTCCATCAGCTCGGCCATCAAGATGGTGACCGCAGATGAGAATGTGTGGTTACAGTCCCAGTAGTTGTAGGGTGCTTTGCGGAACTCGACGTGTCAGTGTTTGAAAGGCCCCGTGAACAAGTCGTGGAGAAGCATACCGATCAAATTCTCGTTGAACAGCCAGGTCAATACTTTGATCATGTTGCACGCGTCGGCGACCGTCTGTTCGCAAACCTTTTGTACTTGCTGGGACAATGGCAAACACAGATCAGCCGCTCCCATCCCAAGGCTCTGCCCAGTCTGTTCGCTGAGTCGAGCCAGAAGGTGATTGAACACGAGGTCAAGAATGGGCCGGAGGACGACGGTGGCGACCTAAATGGCAGCACACGTATTAACAAAAAGTCTCGTCCCGTACAGTGAGAAAGGAGATCCAGCCGCACCTGATAGTAGCATAGATAGAGCGTAGCGATTGACCTTGTCAGTCCTGAGACAGTGCCGTCGCGATGAATGCATATTTTCAGATCTTCCGGGAGATTATGTTCCCAGTACACGAGCTTGGAATGATATTCCAGAACCTGACAAACCAGAGGCCCACCTTTTGGGTCGACCAGCTCGTCGTAAGTAATGTTCTGTGTTTTCATGTACTCGTACAACGATGTTGTCATCTGGTGTCGAAGCTTCAGCAGTTCCAAATTAATCACAAAAGTGCGTGCTGGGTAGAACTCGAGTTCTTCTTCCTCGCTAAGGGAGATACTCCCCGGAGGCTCTGCTGTTATGTCGGAATCCGAGATTCCCAGAGGAAGGCCCACTTTGGAGCTCAAGAGTCTGCCATGTCAAATAGGTCAGTCTCAATCGTGCTGACAAAAAGCTCAAGTTGCAATGCCATACTGATTCAAAAAATACACCGTCCACCAAAGGCGATTGACTCCCTCACGTCCGATGCCGGTGGTTGGAGCTTTGGCGGTTGGATGCAGAAATGTAGCTGCTTCTCCGGACGGACTTTTATGAATTCCCATGATTAGAGATGTGCGAAGTGCCAGGCCGATATACCTGTACGCTTCGTTCTGGCGGTTCAAAGAGTGTGAGTAATACGCCAAAAGGCAGAGAGCTTCGATAAACTCCAGAGAAGGCTCTTCGTCCAGCTTTGGAAGCAGTTCGACGGCATCTCGGAAGTATTCAACGCCTGGAGGATCCACGCTGTTGGGTTGAGCACTTGTATCGGAGGTGGTCCAAACTTCAGGGCGCTTTGAAGAGCCAACGCCATGATGTCCTGCCTCTGATCCGTAAAGTTCTCCAATTGCGAGCAGAGACAGAACTTTACAGAGCCAATTCCGGTTCTTATGTTCTGGTTTGTGAGGATGCTCGTACATATCCATGATTCTTTGCCGCAAGGACTGCCGGACAAAGGAATATGCCAGAAAGTCAAGGCATGCTTCCAGCAGGGCGAGGAGTCGCAGGGCGTAGTCCTTCGGTGGTAGCCTCAAAGTCATTTGGTTTGAACGTTGTGTTGGTGCTATCGGCACGTAGGTGTACTTCCTCGTGGTATCAAAGACGTGCGGAGAGACCTGCCTGGCCAGCTTTACAACTGAGACAGCTGGGTATTCACCATGTTGGAAATCAGAAGTCGCCGTGATGCCCTTGCGCATCCGAATCGAAGACTTCCGGATTTCAATGTGAGCGATGATCGTCTCAGCGAATGATTGGTACGACGGGTCTCCCAGATATTCTCCTCGTCGTCGGGCGATGTGGCCACTAACTGCGTTGAGACGGCGTTTTGCCATTGGTGAATCCAACTCGTCTTCCAAGTGTCTTTTTCTGGATTGATTTGCGGACGTGGCGATGACCGCATCTTCCACCGACAAGAGTCTGTCGGGGCACGAAAGAAGTGCCTTGGATGGGAAAACGCAAACTGACGAACTCAAGGCGCAGTTCCGACACGGGCGATCTAGAAAGGTCAATTGGGACATCATGAACTGATGAATTGCGACCGGTTAGACTCACTACCCTCACACTTTATCTTTTTGGCGTGACATCGACGACAGCTATGCAGTGAGCAGGTCAGCAGTTTGTCCGGGCGACTTCCCTGCTGGAAGCACACCAGTTCTGACTTACGCATTCTTCCTCCTGCTCAAGGACACACTGCTAAAAGCCGCAAACGAACCTAGCGGCGGTTGATCCATATCCACTGAAAATACAGCAGGTGACCCCATTGATTCAGACATTTTCCGCCAACGATTTGCTTCTAGGTGATTGAACCCGTGGAGGACGGCGTCGGTGAACACAGCCAGACAGTCAACGGACGAACCTCTCAGGAGTGAGGAGAACGAAGAGATTCAGAATCTATTGACAAGCGGATTTGAATGTCGGTGGCCATAGCCAATCGAATCAGGACTTGGTCGGACGACAGATAGGCCTGCTCGGTCCGCTACCCGATCAGCTCGCCGAAGCCGTGGGAACTTGAGTGGAGTACATAAGAAGCCTGATAGGAGAGCCTGATAGGAGCCAACCAATCATGTGCTGTGTTCGCTTTGAGCCATGCCTTTGCAAGCGGTCCAGAATACCCAGGTATGCAAAACCTAAAACCGAAGCACCAGACTTCAGATATATATATTGGTCCGCGTGTAGAATAGCATCATGACGGGGGAGCTTGTGAAGACCGACAGCGCGAGTCTCTAAAACGTACCAGCCCAGACCGTTAACGACCTGTGTCTCAAGAGGCCTACTTGTTGGGGCTGGCGTCAAAGAAGCATGGGGAGACTCTCAGCACTGGTCGACAAATTGTCGTTGAGAGATGAACATGGCCAGATAGTCTCTGCCTTTTACAATGAGGATGTTGGTAGCTTGATCAAAACATGGTGGTCGGCGCACTGACAACGGACAGATTCGACCTCTACCACCAAGTCGTCGCACATGGACCGGCCTCACATACTTCTCCTACCAGTGCAGTGTGGGCGTCATCATTGCTCTCTGGTCACTTGGTTCAAGCCTTCTCGCCTTTGGACTGGTGAGTTTGGACCTAACTTTAATAAATGAGCGACACTGTTCACACATGGGCAAAGAATGCATGGCAATGTATCATCCTGGTCATCTGCGGATATGCGGTCGTTGGCGTTCTTACTGCAGTCGGGTCTGAAGTGTATGTACTACCCTTGATCAGTCCGACGACGCGGTGATACTAAAACGCATACAGTGGAGGCCGATGGCACATCAACTTCCCTGTCGCGAGCAGGGCAAGCTGGGGCATACGAGGTTCAGTGTTCCCAGTCCTCAACCGCACGGTCCTCAATATCACTTGGTTCTCCATCGAATCGTGGTTTGGTAGCATGTGTAGGTTCAAAAGACGGGGCTCGAACAAGAGGCTCTCAACCCGGCTGACTCCGCGGTAGGTGTCAAGGTAACCATCGGTGCACTGTGGCCATCCTTTTACAACATGAAAAACACCTTCTCGACGTCCCTGCCAATGGAGACCAACGACTTTGTTGCATGGTTCATATTCACCTTCTTTTGTATGTTTGGCGTCCTGGTTCGACCTGAGGTGTTCCACTGGCCTGCAGTTGTAACATCTTGCTCCATGTTCATCACTTCGCTCGCCATGATGGCGTGGTTTGTGAACAAAGTCGGAGGCCCCGGGCCCCTCTTCAAGTCCACGACGGCTCTGACTGGTGTTGAACCGAGCACCGGACCGCACTTGGCTTGGATGGCTGTCCGGGGTTTCAGCACTGTTATCGCCAGTCAAGCCACCGGAGTGATCGGCTACGCAGACTGGGGTCGCTTTGCAAAGACAACCAACGCTCAGCGATTTCCTCAGGCTCTTGGTATGGCGCTGGCGGACTCATACGTGGTTAGTATGCTCTACACCTCGACAACGCTCCGGAGCTGACCAGTCTTCTAGGCTATTATCGGAATCATCTGTGCATCTTGTGGCGCCGCCCTCTACCCGGAAGCAGGCCTCCTCTGGAATCCCGCAGTCTTGCTGACTCAAATTCAACAACACGGGCCTCCTTCCACCCGGGCTGCTGTCTTCTTTGCCTCGATTCCTCTCTTGGCATCTCAGTTTCTAATCACGGTGACTGGCGCGGCGGTGGCAGGTGGAAGTACATCCCCCCAGCCACGAGGAGCGAGATTACACCTCTAACGGGACTTTAGTTGACCTGGCTGGCATTGTGCCAAAATTCCTCGACCTTCGACGCGGAGCATGGGTTGTCTGCATTGTTGGAATCTGTGAGTCGAGCACCTCTGAATTTATTCATGTACTAATGAAGAATTAGTGGCGCAGCCATGGCAGCTGTAGGTAGTTTGCCTGATGTATTTCTGGACGTGAACTCACAAAGTAATGCAGCGCTAATACCAGTACCAAATATGTTGCGGTAATGGGGTCATACTCCATTTTCCTGGCTCCGCTTAGTGAGTTTGTTCAAGACCAAGTCTTCTGGGCTGGGCTGACATCCGTTTAGCTGGTATTCTCCATTGCGACTATTACCTCGTACGAAAGCAGCGGTTGTCCTTGAGAGACTTGTACACTCCGAGCGCAACTTCCTCCTACTGGTTCTTCCACGGGGTAAACTGGTAGGTTGGAGTTGAAAGCTAGTTACCAGCCAGTCTATATGCTAATCATACGCAGGCGAGCAGCAGTCAGCTTCTGCATTGGCTTCTTCTCGTTCGTCCCAGGCTTTGTGCATACCGTCACCCCGTCTATCAAGGTCTCGGCAGGCTGGTCCCATATCTTCTATCTGGTAAGATCCCCTGTAATGAGAGGCTATTCCTGACTAATGAAAATCCTCCCAGAGCTATCCGGTAGGATATTTAGGAACGGCGGCCGTGTACTACACCCTGAACCATTTCTTTCCACCTGATGAATTGGGCAAAGTGGATGAGTATGACTATTACCAGACATTTACCCCAAGCGAAAAGCCACCGTTCGGCATTATCATGGGTCTGCCTCCGGCTTCAAATGCGACGTCCGAGCAGAATTTGCAGTCCAAAAAAACCGAAGAAGTCGTTGAAGCAAGACTAGTCTAGGAGACATTTGATCTGTGTTTGGTATTCCGCGGGATTTCCCCCCCCCCTTTCTCTGATGGTATGCAAAACGCCGCAAACAATGCCACATCCATCTACATCGGTGCTGCGAAAACTTAGGTAGTCTATATAGCAATAGGGTAAGCTACTTACCCAAACTATACTCGTTCATGATATACTGAATGTCTCGATCGACGCCTACTTTGTTGTTCTTGGTCCCTTCGAACCCGCTGAGCAAAATCCAATACGCACCAGCAAACCGAAAGATTTCATAATGTATTTCGAACTGGCCTAAACAGAGGCCACTGCCAGTTGTTCAAGACCAAGTTGTATTCATCACTCCTCCGTACCTGGATTCGTCGTGGAGTCTTGACTTTGCGGGCCCAGCTCTGAGGTTTGACCCGGTGAGTGGATCTGATTATCGATATTACGGAGAATATTCAGGCCGTCATGGAAGCTGTAAACTGTACTGTCTCCTATGGATATATATATCATAGGTCCCTGGTAATAATGGATTACTCCTGTTCGTTAATGGCTCCCGGCACTTATTCCCTGGCCTCTGAGACGCTTGGATATAGTTCGAGGCCTTCGTACCCGCGCACGGAGGCCTTTAAAGCTCCGAGGGGTCATGACATGTCTTGGTGGACTAGGATCGGCTCTGGGAGAAACCATCAGGTGAGCCATCCGAAGTTTCTTTATTCCCAGCTTTCTTGAACAGATGGCGGATTACCGCACATTCATTCGATCCCAGCCATAACGTCAACGTACAGGTCATCTAGTCCTCGCAGGTTGGTCTTGTCAATTGCTGGGTCGTTCAGCATCTTCAAGAACGGGTCTGTCTGGCCGACGGTGTCCGGGTCTGTCTCTGATAGCCGCCGCACGTTGGCCTGTGACCTGGGGTCGACTACCTCGAGGAACACCTTCCTTCGCAGGTCCGAATAACGGTCCAAGAGTGCTTCGGATTTGCGTTCCTTTATCACCGCCACCAGGACGTCACCCAGCGCTCCCGCATCGAGAATACCACCCGTGAGTCCCATGCCGCCAAAAGGATTGCACAGATGGGCAGCGTCTCCCGCCAGCAGGACCGCGCCTTTGCGGAATGTGGTTGCACATCGCTGGTTGATTTTGTATGGGGACGCCATCTTCAGTTCATAGTTTAGCGGCTTGGGGCCCGGGAACATGCATTCAAATTTCCAGGGCAGTCTCTCGAGCAGTTGGTCGTGCGTCAACCCTGGTAGCTCGCCGTAGGAACATCGCCAGAGGCCCGGCTCGGCCAGCTTGGCAATCAGGGCCCAGTGCTCGCGGTCGACGATGAAGTTGCCTCCACGGAAGCCGTACTTCTCGAAGGGATAGATGACGTTGCACGCCACGAGGTTAAAATCCCATGTGAAACCTTCAAAGGGGATGTCGCAGAGCCGCCGGACACTGCTGCGGCCTCCATCCGCCCCGATCACGTATCGTGAGTGAAAGCGTTTGATACCCTCGGGGGTCTCCACCGTGAGGTCTGCGCCGTTCGCGTCCCCAGATTGCTGGACTCCGGTGACTTTGTGGTTGAACAAGACCTTGCTGCCTGAGCAGCGCTTGTAGTGCGTGAAGATGACTTCGGCAAGCTCGTGCTGTCCAAGTACCAGTACCGAATACTCCCCGGGCAACGGTCTGCGGTCGACTTCTGCAATGGTCTCTCCATTCACTTTCATCCAACGCACATCTGACCCTGTGCTCCCTCTTTTAAGGCAGTCTTCGAGGACCCCTGCACGGTCGAGCTCCCGGACAGCGACGGTGTGGTAGACGGCGGCTCGTGGGGACTGCTCGACGTAGGGTAGCATTTCGAGGACGGTGGTAGGAATGCCCGCTGTGGCCAACCGCAGGGCGACGAGGAGCCCGACTGGACCGGCGCCGACCTGAATGTCAGTTCAGCGAGGAAACCAGAAAGATTTGAGATCATTCCACATACTACAATGACACCGTCCGTATTAATAACGCCCTCGTCGTTGGCTATGCCATTCACCCCATTTGTGTGAGGCTCTCCGTGTACAGCACTATCTTCGGCCATAGTCACGACAAAGTCTCGGCCAGATCCAAATGTGAGGTAAAGCAGGGGGCTCGCAGGCCGGGCAAGAGTTGCCTCATGTCTTACTCGCTTGAACCCACCGAGGGTTCTTAAAGGCACTTCGACGACACTCGCGAGCCGCGATCGCACATCAACAAGTCCTCCATCATGTGGAGCTGCGGGGCTGAAGGCCTGTGTTTAGGTAGGTCAGGAGATCGGGGAAACGCATCTCGCGCATCTCGGGCTCTCCAACTCCTGCATGGGTGGGGGAGGGGACATGGTACAGGATGTGGAGGGAGTGCCACGAGATCAGAACGACGGCGAGGAGCGGCTGGGGAGGAAATGCAAGGGCTTCAACAGTTACAGGAGCGTGAGTTACGGAGAAAAGTTGTGACGGTGATTGATCCGAGTCAGGTCGTGAAAGAAGGTGTCTGAAGCTCGAGTCGAGTACTCGAAATCACCAGGAGACATACCTAGGTACTGTATCTTCGCCACACGGAGTTCAAGGCACTTATTCGAGCTAGGGTTTCCATCGCAGGGAGAATATTCGCCAGCAGCGTGATGGGAGATCTTTCAAGTCCTCTTTGTAAAGACTTGAAAATATAGTCCCCTTTGTTCCTAGGTATTGTCAATTATGAAACTTATCTTGACACACGGCATACCAAAGAGACTGCGGCAGAAATTACCAGGTAGATTATCGCTGCGAGGACGTGTAAGAGCATGAGAGCGTGAGTACCTCGTAGGAGGGTGAGAAGAAGGAGTCGCGAGCTGATCGTCTTAAAAGCGGCGCCGTCTCCGTGAGCCAGCCGAGAGCTTGGAGCAGTTCGACCATTACTCAGTACTGGGTATTGCTTGTGCTGCCAAGCGACCGTTTTCTGGACCCCTGTCACCCTCCTTCTCCAAAGAGGAAATCCGCAAGCCGCAATGGAACATGCTGTCCACTCTGATGCTGCCTCGACCTCGCTCTCACCAATTTTAAGAGATCGGCAACTCACGAGAATAATGTCGCTGTCTGCTAGCTAATATGGCAAACTTTACACAAAAGTAATCGTCTATCCGTCTTGTCTTCCAGAGCACCCCTTCTCGGTTTCCCTTCTCCGCAGGCGCTGTGCGCACCGCTCCCTTTCAGCCTCCTCTATACTTCGACCCAATTCCACGCTTTCTGGCAGAAGGAGCTTGCCTGCCTTCCTACTCAGCCTCTTCTGGAGAGACCCAAAAGCGATAGACATGGCCCTCAAATCGCGGTTTCACCGACTGGACGCATTCACAAAGACGGTCGAAGATGCGCGGGTGCGGACGACCTCCGGCGGCATCGTGACGATCGCCTCCATCCTTATTATTTTATACCTGGTGTGGGGGGAATGGAGCGATTACAGGAAGATTTTGGTGATGCCGGAGTTGATTGTGGACAAGGGGCGAGGTAAGAGGAATCTGATCTGGGCGCTGCTTGCAAGAGGAAGATTTAGACAAACGTGGAGATACTTGATACTGATTGTGGTGGATAGGCGAGAAGATGGAAATCCACCTCAACATCTCGTTCCCCCGCATCCCTTGCGAATTGCTCACTCTCGATGTCATGGACGTCTCGGGCGAGCAGCAGACGGGCGTCGTCCACGGGGTCAACAAAGTGCGCCTTTCCTCCGTCGCCGAGGGTTCTAGCATCATCGACACGACCGCCCTGATCCTGCACAGTCAACAGGACAATGCCGCGCACCTGGACCCGGAGTACTGCGGCTCCTGCTACTCCGCCCCTTCGCCACCCAATGCCACGAAACCGGGCTGCTGCAATACCTGTGACGAAGTGCGCGAGGCATATGCCAGCAACAGCTGGGCGTTCGGACGAGGCGAGGGTGTGGAACAGTGCGAGCGGGAAGGGTATGGTGAGAGACTCGACGCCCAACGCAAGGAAGGGTGTCGCATCGAGGGCGTCATTCGCGTGAACAAAGTCGTGGGTAATTTCCACATCGCGCCCGGTCGCAGCTTCTCGAACGGGAACATGCACGTGCACGACTTGAACAATTACTTTGATACACCTGTCGAGGGCGGACACACGTTTACACACGAGATACATTCCCTGAGGTTTGGCCCGCAGTTGAGTGACGACGACGTCGGGGTGACGGCGAAATGGAGTGATCATCACCATTCGAATCCCTTGGACGGCGTGAAGCAGGAGACGGAAGAACCCGGGTTCAATTTCATGTATTTCATCAAGGTGGTGAGCACGAGTTATCTACCTCTGGGTTGGGATGAGGATCGGAGCGTGAAACAGCACTCGTCCCTCGCGGATTTGATCCCGCTGGGCATGCAGGGCAAGGGTGCGGGAAGTCAGGGGTCGATCGAGACACATCAGTACTCTGTCACATCGCACAAGAGGTCTTTGAGTGGTGGCAATGATGCCGCCGAGGGACACAAGGAGAGACTCCACGCGCACGGAGGCATTCCCGGCGTGTTTTTCAGCTACGACATCTCGCCGATGAAGGTGATCAACCGGGAGGCGAGGCCCAAGACCTTTGCCAATTTCTTGACGGGGGTTTGTGCGGTGGTCGGGGGGACGTTGACGGTGGCGGCGGCGATCGATAGGGGGTTGTACGAGGGCAGTACGAGGTTGAAGAAGGTTCATCAGGGGTGAAAGGGGAAGGAAACTTTGGAGAGTGATGGAAATATGATGAGGATTCATTTTGCATCTAGCATGGGCGTTGTACGGTAAAATCACTTGGGAGGCGGACGTGATAGAACGTCTTTCTATAGGTATCCAAGGAGAATGACATTGGCTTTTTGTTTGCTGCCGACCTTCAGACGAAAAGGTGGTCGAGCAGTCAGTCTCGGTGTCCACAAGCTCTGGTGCTGTCTCCGTCCACAATCAATCAGCATAGGTAACCTGGAATTATGCGAACAATTGTCAGCGACCATATCTTCCAACAATCTTGGAGTGAAAAGCAAAGCACGTAGGTAGAAAAACAAAACAAAAGAAGATCTTTTCCGATCCTCTTTTTTTTTTGTTTTCGTTTTTCCCCTTTATTTCAGAAGAACCAATTTCTAAGCACCGACGCCCGGCAAGGACCACAAACATTTGACGATGTTGCGGCATGGGGGTTTTTTTTAAAAAAAAAAAATAACTTGCGGGCATCCTTTTCCGGCTCTTCCTAATGCCCTGAGGGTTCTTTTTGTTCATCATATGGAGGAAGTAATGTGGGGAGGGGGAGGATAAATGAGAGGAAAGAACAGAAGAGAGACAGACGTAGGTACGTACCTTACCTTATAACTGCGCGTGTCGTCGTGTCTGGAGTTGTGGGTGTTGTACCTCCTCGTACATGGGGCATCGGCCAACCGGTTGGTGAGATGCGGGAGAGAGTAAGTACAGTTCACTCAGGTAGTGAGTCGTGGGCCAGCTAGACATCTGGCGTCAAAAGACTCGGCGCCACCAAGGAGCAGTGTAGTGTAGGTTTGTCAAAGCCGTGCCGTAAGAGTTGAATTTATTTTTTTTTGGTGGTGAAAATATAACTTGCCTGTTTAGGAAAGGCTGGTTCTGGGGATGGGCTTAGCCTGTTTCGGGCTTCTGTCAACACATGGTCCGGTGCGTGTTAACCCCCCAAGTTCTTATTTTGAGGGATACCTCGCTGCTCTCTGATTATTATTTGCTCTGATACCTAGGTATGGACCAAGCATGCTAGTATTACAACCTGGGTCAAACCGCGCTGCACCCACCATGTCATCAGGAGGCCCCTGAAGAAAGAATTCTCATCGTGTGTCCCCATAGGTGCCGAGTCTCAAAACCAAGACTGTGGTGCCGAGCAGAGTGAACTCTCTGAGCTCCGGCAAAAGGGAGCTCCGTCTTTCACTTGATTGCGTCAGCAAAGCTTGCAGTATATGAATCATTCTAGGATTCAAGCACTGATTCTCCAGGCGTTTATCCGACTGGGCTTGCCAAAGAAGGAGGGCTGTCTCACAAGGATGGCGAAATGAAGAGAAGCTGACTTGGCAATATGTCGGGCATGATGACCCTCGCCCTCCGTCCACTTGACGGGGTTGGTGGAATTAACAGTGAGAAAGCCCCAAAGTTTGGACCAGCATGGTAATAAGTTATCCCCGTTCCCCATGTGCAATTGCGGGACAAGCCCCGCAAGAGCTTAGCCGAGTCTTATTACTCTGCGCAGTCGCATTCCAAAGATGGAGGTGATTAAGACCAGGGGGGGCAGGACGCAACATGCGCGAGAGATGCCAGCATACGTCGTCATCCCAACTCTTGTCGCTAATGAAGCGGCTATGGTTGCACCAATCCTGTGCATGTCCATACTATTGCACTTTCGACAAGCAACCCCGCCCCAAGGTCAGGCCAATGCCTGGGGATGGCTTGTGAGTTGCCTAGGTCCAACCGAGCTACCAGCCGGCAACGGAGAGAAGATCCCCCATGGACTCAAGAAGCGAGGTACATCTTAGTCTACAGGTGCTAGACCATTTGCATAAGTACCGCCCAAGGATTCGCGTGTCAAAAGAAGAATACCTTGCGAATCCAAGGGGGCCTGAGCTGACAGCAAAGTGACCCGGTCAGGCAGAATATAAAGTCGCTTCATTGATCCTGGGTGTGCTGAGTCGACCAGAATTGCTGTCCACACCGAGAACAACTTCGCCTTGAAGCAGGACACTGTCAAGATGAACGGCCATTTAGATGCGTCCGGCTTGAAGGACAGGTCGATCATTGTCACAGGTACGTCCACGCCGATGTATTTTGATGTTTCAAACCCTGACAGCACCCACTAGGAGGTGCTTCAGGCATAGGTCTTGCAGCCGTCAGACGGTTTGCAGAAGGGGGTGCCTATGTCACCATCGCAGACGTTCAAGATGCTGCCGGGAACAAGGCGGCTGCTGATCTCAATGCCAAGGGCTACCACGTCTCCTTAGTCCACTGTGACACAACCGACTGGGAGTCGAGTGTAGCTGCGTTCAAACATGCCGCTTCCTTCGGCCCAAGCAAATCCCTGGATGTCGCAGTTCTGAACGCCGGCATAGAAGGCGACAGGGGCAGCCTGACAGACCAGGTCCTGGCAGCTCCCGAGCCTTCCTTGGATCCCGAAGTGATCCCAACACGTCCAAGGCGCAAAGCAGCGGCTGTGAACTTCTTGGGGGTATACGACAATTGCTGGTTGGCATTGCACTATATGCGTTTGCCGTCGAAAGTTGAATCATCGAACACACAGCACAAATCAATCATCCTCACTGCTTCTCTGGCAGCTTATGCTGACATGCCCGCCTCTTCAGATTATAATTCTTCAAAGTGTTAGTATACGTCTCTTTTGCATCAGTGCAGCACAAATGTTTGAGATTGAAATATTGCTGAATGAAATGGGGGTCATCGCTGGTTTGCTGGTCCGTGAGAAGACAAGATTCTTCTGATCAGCAAACCCGAATGACGCGCTATACAAACCTGAACCCGTGCCCTATGATCTCATGAGAACTTTGTGACTGACTCCAAGACTTAGTTGCCGTCCGAGGCCTCTTCCGAGGGCTCCGACACACAACTGCTGCGCTTAATGTCCACGTGAACCTGCTCGCACCTTACTGGATCAACACACCCCTCGTTCAATCTGTTTTGCCAGCGTTGGAGGCGAAGGGGGTGAAGCCAGGTCATGGATTGACATGGGCCAGCATCGATCATGTGGTGGACGCCATGGTTAGATCCGCCACTGACCCAAGTGTCGGCGGTAAGGCTTGGGGGATTTGGCCAGAGGGCTACTTTGATATGGGAGAGGACGAGGCGGGGGGCTGGGCAGGAGATCATCTGAGGGAGCAATGGAAGATCCAGAGGTCAAAGGGCGACATGCTGTGAGAGCCAGAGACAGCTCGAATGAACACATGGAATTAGGGGCAGCAGCGTAGCGTATTCCCCAAGAGCTGAAGAAGGCCTCTTAGTGCTCTCCGTCCACATACTGGTTCTCTTTCGCGTCAAAAATGGCCTCCTCTAACCAATGTCCATGATGTCGGACTCTCATCAGCTGGAGTAGCGAGGTGTTTGCGAGAGCTCGATCAGCAGATAAATGATGACTGCATCATGTCGTGATACAGGAGACTTGAGTACGTAGGGGGAAGAACTGTGTTCAAATATCGTGGTCCACTTCGAAGGATCGGTTCTTGTCCGCAGGACGGCGATGACGGCGGGCAAAATCCGGGTAAATCAAGCAACGCGTCTTCTAATGTGGCATTTCCACATGCGACATCTGGTGTCGACACATTTTCTGTACCTCGCAATTTGAGCGCCTTGTATTTTGGGTATAGCCCTTGTTCCGTCTGAATTCTTGAGTTTTGAAATCAGGCGCAAGGTCGACGGCCAGTCGAACAACTTTCGACGGACCGGCTCCGCATTCTCACAGCCCATATGCCTGTCAATGGCGTCCAGCACGAGGAGGATTTGCTAGATTCCGGTAACCCAATTTCGGCGGCTAAGATGGTCTTGTACTGACTGCGAAAAGACGATTATGACCCTATAGAACACCTCGATCAAATCTTTTCACACCCGTCGACCCTCTCGTCTGTCAGCCGGACCTTCGAAATCCTCCAGGCATATCAAGATGACCTCGACGACGAGATTGAGGCTCTCGAAGATGAGCAGATCCAGTCGAATGCAGAATGCCTGCGGCGCATGGAAGCCTCAAAGGCCGAGCTGGCGGAGCTCTTCCAGCGCATCGAGAGTGTCCGGGAGCGCGCACTGCGGACGGAACAAAACATCACCGAGATGACAGCGGACATCAAGCAGCTGGACAACACCAAGAAGAATCTCACGCTCTCCATGACTGCGCTGAAGAGGCTGCAGATGTTGACTACCGCCTACGAACAGCTGCGAGCAATGAGCAAGACGAGACAATACAGAGAATGTGCGCAGCTCCTGCAGGCGGTGATCCAGCTCATGGCCCATTTCAAATCCTACCGTTCGATAGATCAGATTGCGACGTTGAGCAGGAACGTGGCAGATATACAGAGAGAGTTGCTGGAACAGGTGTGCGAGGACTTTGAGATTACCTTCAGCAAGGAAGAGGTGGCTCAGAAACGAGGCTTGCTCCATGAGGCGTGTCTGGTAGTCGACGCCCTCGGCGATGCCGCCCGGTCCAGGTTGACCACCTGGTATTGCAATACGCAGCTTCGGCAGTATCGGCACATCTTTAAGGGGGATCAGGAGGCAGGATCGCTCGACAACATCGATCGCAGGTACGCATGGTTCAAAAAGACGTTGAAGATATACGACGAGGAACACGCCGCCATCTTCCCCTCACACTGGCGAGTCAATGAAATCCTCGCCAACGTCTTTGCCGAAGGGACGCGGGAAGACTACAAGGGCATCCTAGCAAGAACCACCCGCAATGGGCAGACCATTGATGTCCAGCTGTTATTGTCATGTTTGCAGCAAACTCTGGATTTTGAGCACAGCCTGGAAAGGAGATTCAACCAATCCTCGAGAGCGTCGATTGATACAATGGCGTCGGCCAGTGACACTCCAGTTTTTGGCCAGCCGATCTCGGACGCTTTCGAGCCGTATCTGAGTCTATGGGTGGAAGCACAGGATAAGGAACTCGCGGGCCTGATACCGCAATACAGGCAGCGACCGACCAAACCTGCGGACGAGGAGTTCTCCTCGCAACACGTCATTGCTTCGTCGACTGAGTTATTCAACTTCTACCGACACTCCCTCGCGCAATGTGCGAAGCTTTCCACTGGACAGCCTTTGCTGGACCTGTCTAGGGTGTTTGGCCGCTATCTTGATCAATATGCGCAGCAAGTACTCCTGTTCTATATTTCCGAGAAGCCGACAGGGGGCACACCTTCTCGAATACCCACAGTCGAAGACGTGATCTTGGTTCTCAACACGGCGGATTACTGTTTCCAAACCTCGACTTCTCTTGAAGAGAAGATCAAAAGCCGGATAGACGAGGGGCTGAAGGACAAAGTCGACTTGCAGAGCCAAGCAGATGCCTTCATGGGGATAGCGAGCGCGGCAGTCCGAGGCTTGGTCCGTCGTGTGGAAGTTGACTTGGAACCCAGTTGGCGTGAGATGCGAAACACGTCCTGGTCAAAGATTGACATCGGTGAACATCAAAGTCCCTACATCACAGGTCTGGAGAACCGAATCAGAGACCGTTCCAGTGAGATCCTGGGCATGCTTCACAAGCAGCAGTATGCGCGTGCATTCGCCGACAATCTTGTTGAGCTGTTCGCGTCAACTTACATTGCTAATATCGTTCAATGCAAGCCCATTTCGGAAGGCGGAGCTGAGCAGATGTTGCTCGACACTCACGAGATCAAGAACACCCTGAACCAGATACTTCCCGGAACTCCGCCGCCACTTTTCCTCAAACGCGTTGCTGCTGCCTTTGGCAAGATTGAGCCGTTGTTGAAGACTCTGCAAGTGCGACCGTCCCCCCCAGAGGCCCTCGTCCAAGCTTACCTGATCCACATCGCGGACCTGTCGGAAGTCAACTTTCGCAAAATCCTCGAATTGAAAGGGATCCGCGCAAAGTCAGAACAAAACCACTTGGTTGAATTATTTCAAATGCACAAGTTCAGCCCACGGTACAAGGACACATTGGTAGAGAAGTCGCCCTTGCTCACTCCATTGAATATTTCAGCATCCGGCTCGTCCACTGGGACTGCGGCAACCTCAGCTGGTGCCCTCCACAATCTTTCTGCATTGGGAAATTCTGCGGCAGCGTCCCTGAGCACGGCAAACCTTCCCGCAAACATGAAGTTTGATGCTTCTGGACTGGGAAACGCGATAATTGACCGATTCAGTAGCCCTGGTCTTGGAACACCTCGGGACGGAGCCACAAGTCCACCACCCGGTGGTCCTACCACAGGCACGCATGCTGCAGGTGATGGGGGATTTCCCGGCGCAGATGCTGGGGCGAAGCTGAATGAGAATTTGAAAAACATAGGAAAATTCTTCAAGAGGGACCTGGGCGGGTTTGGGGGTATAGGTCGATTTGGAAGTAATAAAACCACGAGCCCCGCCCCTCCTGAAGACCGATCAAACGGCCGATAGATTACCGGGGATACCAGGAAACGAAGCACCGAAATGAATTGAAAAGCTAGTTGACGGGTTTCAATGGGTTCATTAAATACAATCCCTTTGTGAGATCAATACGAATGGGTCAATGTGACAAAGGATAAGGCTGTCGACCCATTGTTTTCACCTCGAGGGCTTTGTGGAAAGGGGGAATAATGGCCAATGGCGACGGCAGCCAACAAAAGGGTCTTGCCAAGCTTGCCAAGCATTTACCACTGACCTTTCCTAATATAGGCTAGCTGTATTGCACGTGAGGCCGCTTGGCTGCCTGACCGATCGAGTGGGTCTCGCCTTTTGCTCGAGTCTGCCTGCAAAAAGTTCCCTTGTTCCTTCACCAGCAACAGCGCCAGCACTTTTATCTACTCGATTGTTCTCTAGATATCTTCTTTGTTATACAATCTTCTTCACTCACTCGCTCTCGCTGTCACTGCTTGATTTCTTGCAACATCAACCATTTGGCTGTGTCACTTGGACATACAAAACATACCCTTGTCAAATAAGCCGCCACATACAAATCTTCAAGCCACATCCCACCAAATACCGCCCCGAACAATATCACAATCACTCGATCAGCCACATGAGCAGACACTGCTTTCAAGTCCGCCGTTGAGGGATCCTGCTTGCCGAGGAGGTTTCGAGTCGTTGCTGAAAGCATCGCTTCACGTGCACAATCAGCTCATTCGTTTGACTCACGGCGCATTTCAACGACCAAAATTCGAAATTTGTCTTCACGACACGGACCATTTACATACGCCATCTGAATCACCTACAGCACCAACCACTTGACAGCCGTTCGCCGGGGCATCTCGGGTCACGGCGTTCACGATGGCATTCGGTCGATCCGGAGATCCGTCACAAGGCAATTCATCTGCAGCCACACGCGACTTGGCGATCAAGGGATGGACAAATTCGAAACTCGCATCCACACCAGACCAGGGAGTTGCCTCACTACTGGTATTTCTCCGCAAGAAATCCGGGGATCGCCAAATATTGTCAAACAAGGTCGTCGGCCGCGCCAACAATGTCCTCATTATTACCGTCTATGAAAACGACAAAGATCGATTTTATCATTTAAACAATTTCCAGTGGGCTGGCAGTACTCTTATCGTCGAAGATTCGAAACCTCCTCCCAACAGTATCAATAGATTCCAGCAAAATCAGGCCCATGATCGGTCTCAAAATCACCTACCCTCAGCTCAACAATCTCAACCACCTAGGTCTACTTTTGGCCAAAATGGCACGACACCCCACGGCCGTCACCAACCACCCAGCGGACCTCGAGGGGGTGGGAATGCTCACTACAACCAACCTCGAAACAATCCCCGCTTTGGTGCGCAAGACAACAACAGAAACGACCCTCTTACAAACGAAGTTGAAAATACCATGATCTCAGTCCTACGCAAACGCTACGATCCTTCCCTGAAACTCCTAAGTCTCAATGCTCTCGGCGCCGACGAAGAACTCCTACAAATTCCTGGCATACTCGGATCAGACCCTGCCAAAGTCTTTGAAGCCATCTTTACTATCTGCAAAACCAAAATTTTCGAAACCCCCAGCAAACGTGACGAGTCCGTCCAGAGCATCACACTGAGCAACAACGGCTTTGAATCCGTCGAACAGATCATGTCTCTGTCAAGAACCTTTCCACGCCTCCGAAATCTCGACCTTGGCCACAATAAATTTGCCAGTATGGATTCGCTGAAGTTTTGGAAGAACCAGTTCCGTGATCTGGAGCATTTGATCTTACAAGGCAACCCTGTCAACGATCTCCCGGAGACATTGTCGACTTTACGTCAGTGGTATCCAAATCTCAAATTGTTCAACAACCTTCCCGTCGCCGACAATCAATCCACGGCGCCAAATGCACAACCGCCTGTACCGGCGCAAGCGGTACCGGTAGCAGCCGGCCGCCTGCCGCATCCCGAAATACCGGCAGACTCTCTATTCGGCGTTCCCCAAGCAGACAAGCCTGCAGAAATCCTTGAACGCGAGAAGATGGGCCTGCAGTTCAGTTTCGAGACGAAACTGCGGCTGGCAGCCGTCGAGGAGTGCCTGGCGGCCAACAACTGGGATTACGCCTTGGCCATGAAAAACTTCATGGACCTCAAAGCGCAAGGCGCAATCCCGGCGGAGAAGTTTATACCGGGTGTTTAGGAAACCCGGTGGGACAATGAAGGCGACATGGTCATGTTGGACCTGGAGGGGTTTTAAAAACAATGTTATTATTATACAGAATGGCACTTTGAGCATGGCGCTCGATTGGATAGCATTTTTAGCATTCCTGTGTTCCTAGGAGCACGCCCCTAGAAGGGCGAATCAAATTGATATTGGATATCTGCATCATTACCTTTTTGTTTGTGAGCATGTGAAAAGACCGTCCGTCGTGCTGACAGGGGTATCAACGCCCTTGCCAATGGAGCCCTATCCCAGATTGGCCGGCGTCCCATCCCGAACTCCAATCGTCTGGAAGAACGTGGTCTGGACTTGCTGCAAAGGAACATATAGCCTTGATATGAAGCGTTGGGCACGATGAATCAAGAGTTTCACATGTGAAAAACGGTCATGGTGGGCAATTCAGTGTCGCTGGCCAGCTCACCATCCAGAGCCACGTCCACCACATCATTTTCCGTCATTGGCAAACGCCCGCCTTAATCCAGGAACCCGAACGCGTACCTGCATCCCTTCCCAACCCGTTCCATCCTGCCTGATTCCCAGCTCCTCAGCTCCTTGATCGCGTTTTTCCCTTCTGACTGTGTTTGACTTGTGCCCTCGACCCTTCATGGAGCACGACGTAAGGCCGTCACCCGTCGTTTCCTGTACACCGCCTTCTCGGCCTGTCCCTCCGGCTGCCCTGCGAGATGCTTTGGAGTTCAAATAAAGAGAATGGATCTGCTTCCGACGATGAAAAAACTGTTGGGGATTCAGATGACGATGCCCCAAAGGCAATTACTCTTGCGCAGCCGCAGCAAGGAAGGACGCTTCTGCCTAGGCCAGCCGCCGCTGTCGTGAGCGGCGTCACTGGCCTGACTTCCTTCTATGTTCGTGGAGCAACAAAAGTCGGGGGTTGGGGACTTTATGCTGGTAGGGAAGCTACACTCAAGACATTGGCAGTCAGTCGCAGTGCACTGGAGTCTATCCTGGTCGCCGCAGGACGGGATGTGTCTACGCGAAGTAACGGCGAGCTGGGACGGGTGGAAGCCGAGAATCTGCTGGAGAGGAGTGTGCGTCTGAGGCATCGGGGTTGAAGGGCATTGGACTAATGGTCTCACAGATCTCCGCGCTGCACTCGACCATCTCAACGACCTCCTTTTTCGCCTCGACGGGCTTTCACCTCACCGAAGCGCTCATGAACTCCATATCTGGTCTATCCATCCAAGGACTGGCTACGCTCAATGCTATCCTCGGCTCCACCGAATCCTCCCGTGCCGTCGCCGCAATTATCACGCTGATTAGAGATGAATTGAACAAGCCCGAGGTTGGTGGAACTGGCGAGGTGGTGACATACTTGGACCTCATCATCGCCACCATCGGATTCGTGATGCTACAGAGGTGGGGGAGGCGCAAGACGGAACTGGACTTTCGCGATGCTGGCGGTGAAGAAACAATTTGGGACGCTGTCATTGATGACAAGGGTTTCCGGGCTGACGTCGTTGGGACAAGGAAAAAAGGCTTGATCAGCATACACGCCAATGCTGGTGGGCCGTCAATGACATTTACTTCTCCAGATGGCGATGATGACTTTGAGGCCTTGGAAGGGGGCACCACGTTTGATGCTCAAGCAGTTGCACAGGCAGCCGAGGATCAGACCAAGCTGACTGAAGAAGAAATTCGTGAGCGGATCATGAGCCAAATACCGTCTGGAGCTCGAGCCGTCATTACCTCGGAGACGATCACTGCCAAAACAATCCGAGTCGACATCTACGATACCGAAACGACTCATATTGACCCTCCGCCAGGAACCGTTATGGTTGCAGAAAGGTTGAACCATGAAAGCTCGACAAACGGCAGCCAAGTCGGACCTCATCAAACTGTCATATTCCGAACGGCCTTGAAGAGATCGAGCAGTAGAGAGAAACCGTCTTCAGCTGAGCAACTGCGATTAACAGGCCATGACGGGCTGACTCAAGATCACCCTGACACAGACGACTTGCTCATGATGAAGACTGCCCCAAAACGAATCTCTATCGTGGATGAACCCATTCAGATAGATAACGGCACCTTCTCCAGTTCGGATCGCGATGAGTCGGCAATCGAATCATCTTCACCACCAACTTCTTTCCCCCCAAAGCTGTTAGGCCCTATTGCAAATCAGAAAAAGAGCCGCCGGCCAGTTCTTAGCTCAACCAAGTCCTCCCCCAATACAAGCGGTGCTAGTCGAATACCCCTTGTCAAAGGTAAAAAGGACAAATCACCTCCAGTCGCCAAGAGTGACAAGGGAAGCGTGATAAAGAAAGCACTGAAAACGCTCAGCCCGAGTCAGTCGTCAGGAGCGGTAAAGGACCTCCCCAAAGCACCACCGCAGCAACGAAAACCATCAACCGCGCTTGCAGTACAGCCGCCCAGGTCTAGGGCGCCTTCGACGAATCGTGAGGAGGCGACGCCGAGGAGAACTTATGCTTCGTTGAGCCATGGGCATACGCCCCTGACAAGTCCGAGTCTGCATCGGGCCGCCGAATCTTCTACAAGCTATTTTGCGTTGCACGACCGGAGAAGAGACTCGATCGTCTCGCAGACGACGGAAACATATTCTATACATTCGCATGAGAGTCGCCCCGGATCTCCCACGTTTACTAGGACTCGTACTCGAGTTGTGAATGGGTTGACTCAGACGAGATCGGAGCTCGGACTGGCACTGGACGAGACCGAAACCAGAGTCGACCCAGCCACAGGCACAGCCCATCATAGACGGTCTAGGTCTTTTGTTCCGAGTCTGTATTCGATGGGAACCAAGGATTCAACGGAAGCCATTCTTTTAGCGCCCAAGACCCCTGTGCCTCGAAAGTCAATATATGAGGACCACAGTATATTGGCTGCTCTCATCACGAATGGAAAGGTGCCAGGTATCTTCCCTGATCGTCATCTTGTCAAGACGGTTCGACGATTCGCAAGATTCGCCTCAGCTTCATATGGCGCGAATTTCCTGCGGATTATGGGCCTCACAACAGCGGAAGATGAGCTTAGCAAGTCGACAGAGCTCATGACCCTCGACGTTCACCACGAGCACAGCTCGTTTTCAACCCACACAGGTCTACCTCCGGACACTATTTTGTTGTCATCCTTCTTTGACCCACAAGGAGTTACTGGCAATACCGACTGGTCCCCTTCGGCCATCTCTCCATTGATTCATTTCATTTCGATCGACGATGATTCCAAAGCCGTGGTTCTGACCTGTCGCGGGACGCTTGGCTTCGAAGACGTTCTGACGGACATGACTTGCGATTACGACGATTTGCTGTGGCAAGGCCAGCGATACAAAGTGCATAAAGGCATTCATGCCTCGGCAAGACGACTGTTAGGTGGTAGTGGAAGCCGCATTATGGCCACCATCAGAGCAACACTGGAACAATATCCCGATTACGGCCTCGTTCTTTGTGGACATTCCCTGGGAGGTGCAGTTGCGGCCATTCTCGCCATCTTGATCGCAGAGCCATCGTTCGACGAATCCAAGACGTCCTTCGTTACAGGCAGCAAGCCTAAACTCCTTACCCATCAACCCACCAGCCAACCGTTTACTGCCTACGTCCCTCCCATCAGTCTTCCCCCCGGGCGTCCAATCCATGTATACGCCTACGGTACACCCGCCTGCATGTCCGAGCTTCTCCGCGTCGCCACCCGTGGCCTCATTACCACCGTTGTCAACCACGCCGATATTGTGCCCTGTCTCTCCCTGGGCATCCTGCACGACTTCCGCACCGTAGCACTGCACCTCAAACACGACACGACGGACGCTCTCGGTGCTCTCAAGACCCGGGTGTGGAGCCGTCTCAAAACCGCCGTAAAGTCGGCATTCTACAACAACCCGAAAGGACCGCCTCCGCCAGAAAACATGGCAGGCGACGGCCTTGGTGAAGACACGTGGGCATGGGCGGCACTGAAAACCCTACGCGCAGCAATGGTGAATGACAAACTGGTCCCGCCTGGTGAGGTGTTCGTGGTGGAAACGACCCGCGTCTTTGACCGACTGGACCCGGACGTGGCCCGCGAGGCTGTCTTTGGACCCGATGACTCCAAGGACGACCGTACGGAAAAGCTTTATCGAGCGCTCGGGAGACCGGCCACGAGGGTGCAGTTCAAATTGGTGCGGGATGTGGAGAGGCGATTTGGGGAATTGAGATTTGGTAGAGATATGTTTGGCGATCACAGTCCCGGCAGCTACGAGGCCAGTCTGGCGGCGTTGGATCGGGGAATTTGTGAAGAGTGAGTTGTATGGCGATTTAATGACTGCTACGATTTCTATTATCAGACTGTTCCAGATTCAGAGATTCCCTTGGAAAAAGCGAGATGGTTCAGATATATATACACCGTGTAATCCTATATATGCTCATATGTTCTGGTTGGACCATTGGTACGCGTTGCTAGACCCTGTCTTTTCCCTCTGTGTGTTTGCCGCCTTGAGTTCCGAACACACATCCCCCGATCCAACGTCGGAGGAAGGAGAGGGGAAGAAAGACATTTTGATTGATTGATTTGTTTGGTTGTTTGTGCTTTTCTTCTCTTGGACTGCACCAGATAGCGCCTTGCATGCATGTATGTATGTATATACGTCCAAGCCCCCTTATCGACCGACCAAAGGACTATTATATAAAGACCAGAGGTTTGCAGGTCTATCTAGCGCTCACAACAAGCAGCCTTGGTTTCTTCTTTTCTCTCCTTTTTTTTCCCAACCTTCCTCATTTCCCAAGAGTGCTCCATGTCCCACGTGTACGTGTGAGATCTTTCAATGGATCACTCACTCACTCACTCTTTCTTTGCCCGGCTGGTAAATCTGTGACAAAATCCCTCTTTTCACTCACACACTTTCCCTTTCACACGAAGACATGAGCACATATACCACGTGCACCCCGTGGGTCCATTGCGGTAAAACATGGATATGGATATCCTCAAGGTATTGGTCCATTTCCGTGCGGCAAGATGCGGTTGGCACGTCCCCAGCAACATGACCTTCATGACCTTGCAAACAGTCCCGGGCAGCTGGCTCTGGGGACATGTGAGCTGCTCAGGCGGTGCTGGTGCCAGTTTCCTGGTGCCGGGATGGTCATGCCGACTCCTTGGGGGGAGGAGGGGGCAGTGAATGCCGACTTGTATAAATAGACCATGAGGGCGTCGAGGAGAGTTCTCTGTTCCTCTGCGTACGGAGACAACGACAATAACAACAACGAGCTTGACTTGCCTCGAAATTCCATTCGATTGAAACAGGGGAGGAAAGAAAGGGGACGACTTACAGCAGTATATTATAGCTATACAGTTATAATCACCTGTGTGTCGCTCGCTGGGGGAGCAGCAACAACAACGACAACACCACCAACAGGAGAGCTTGTGCGATATCAACAAAGCCCAAGCTACATAGAGGTACAACCAGACTTTGTAAGTGGACAGTGGAGATGGAAGGTCGAAATGCCATTCTGACCAGACCAAGGACATAAGCAGATCGACGACTGGAAGTTTCGGATTCTGTCAGTCAGCATGCAGTCGTTCGGTATTCTGAGCTTTGCGATGTCTCTCATTCTCCTCGCTGGTCTGGGTCTGTTTGAGCTTGTGGCTGCTCGTGCCGACGTCGTGCACAACTGTCCATATCAAGTCTGGTGCGCCATCGTCGAGGGATACCAGCCCGACGACCCTACGCCCCAGTCCGACCGTCCAGCAGTCGCTTGGGTGAACCAAGCAGCGGGACAACTCCTGACCAGCTATTTCGGCGACTATCCACAGGACACGGGCATCGCGATGATGTGTACGCGAGATCCCACTGCGACGACGCCGCTGGTCACCCAGCTCGAGTACGCCTGGGAGCAGTCCGAGAACCAGACCTATTTCGACGTCAGCAACGTTGCGGGTGCGCCCTTCGTCGATGAGGGTTTCAGAATGGATGTCGACGATCCTGAGGATCCTAATCTGACGCTCCCGAGTTGTCACGGCGCCTATTGTGGCCCCGGAGACACCAACTGCAACGATATGTACGAGAAGTCCAATGACGACTTCCAGGGCATGAGAACCTGCTCGGACTCGGTCAATATCAAGTTGACCTTGTGCTCTGGGTGAGCGGATGCCCATGACAGGCGAGAATGGATGGGACCACAACTTGCTGTAATTCCAAAGGGCAAGAATGTGCTAGGTTTCCTTTCGGAAATTTTTCGTCCTTGACATCGTTGCTGGGATGATTCAATTGCAGAGCTCGCATAACCTCAAAGGTCTCAGACATAGCAAGTGAGCGGTGGTTGAAATTGACTTGACATGGGATTAGAGCGAGGAAGTTTGGGTTATACCTATCGACTGACCTGAAACTGGGCTCTTGATGTACCGAGTACATATACGCACCCTCGAGGAGAGAGGCTGAATGCGACGGGACGGAGTATCTGAGGTCTCACAGCACGATTGGAGTGAGAAGACCATGGCGCACGAAGCAAGCCAAGTGATATGATAGAGACCGGACCCCCCCCTGGAATGCCATCTGGGAGTACCTCGTACCTCGAATGTCTTGAATAGCGAATTGAATTGCAGTCCTGAAAACCCACCGTTGACGCCAGGCGCAAAGCATCTCGTTACATCCCAGAGTGTCTCTAGCTCGAGGCTCGGGGGATAGCACCTAGTCTGGACCTTGCCATGGTGACTCTGAATCCAATCCTGGTGGTGGCGCAGGAGACGTAAACGGCAACTGGAAGTTGTTGTGCTTGATGCCGAGTTTCCTGATGAGTGATGACTCCTTCGTCCGTGGCGTTTGAGTTGGGCGAAGGTCGTTGTTGATTTGATTGGAAGAAAAACCAGCGTCGCACACGGGGGCCCATGCACGATTACACAATTAGTGAGTGATTCATTCACCACCTTGACAACCTCGTCCTTCTGCGGGCAGTGGGCACTTTTGTAACCTTGACCCTTTTGCCTCAATCAGTCTCTACCCTTTCTCTTGAATGACCATTGTCGTCGAGAACGTCCGAAGAGAGAATATAAAGGGCCACCCAGGTGCTGTTCAAACAACCATCCTCCCCACAATCCACTTTCGCCTCGAAACAACTGCGCTCGACCCCTCCTTTCACATCTCCATTCCGCCTTTTTTTCTTCTCTCCCTTCTAGACGAACCTACAAATCCATCGCGGGCTATTGAGTGAAAATGGCTGTACGAGCACAGGTAAATTGATCTTGTCTCTGTTTTTCTTCGTCACTGCAACAAGCCAGTCTCTAATTCTTCTCCTGGTGCAGTTCGAAAACTCCAACGAAGTTGGCGTCTTCGCCAATCTTACAAACAGTTACTGCCTCGTCGCCGTCGGGGCCTCTGAGAACTTCTACTCCATCTTCGAATCCGAACTTGCCGACCTCGTCCCCATCGCTCACTGCACCATCGCCGGCACCCGCATCGTTGGCCGCCTGACCTCAGGAAACAAGAACGGTCTGCTGGTCCCCACGTCCACCACCGACCAGGAGTTACAACACATACGGAATACTCTGCCGGATAGCGTCAAGGTCGAAAGGATAGAAGAGAGATTATCAGCGCTGGGGAATGTCGTGTGTTGCAGTGAGTGGCGTTGTTTTTGCCTTGCGAAGTGGCGCATGCTCGATCCAATTTTCTAACAAGAGCGTTTCTCTGCAGATGACCACGTCGCTCTCGTCCACCCGGACCTCGAACGAGAAACCGAAGAAATCATCGCAGATACCCTCGGCGTCGAAGTCTTTCGTCAAACGATCGCCGGCAACGTACTGACCGGCTCCTACATGTCCCTCTCGAATCAAGGCGGCATCGTCCACCCGAAAACGAGCATTCAAGACCAAGATGAACTGAGTTCGTTACTACAAGTGCCTCTTGTGGCGGGCAGTGTCAACCGAGGAAGCCCCGTCGTTGGTGCTGGCATGGTCGTCAACGACTGGCTGGCAGTGACGGGGATGGACACCACAGCGACAGAGCTGAGCGTCATCGAGAGTGTCTTCAGATTGGGCGAGGGTGGTCCCGGCGGACTGGACGCCAGAATGAAAGCAAACAAGGAGAGCATCGTCGAGAGCTTCTATTGAGCATCGTTTTGTGACCCGTGGAACATATCCTTATTTGACCCTGGACATTGGCACACCATCAACAAACTTGGCTCACGGATAACAATACGTCCCTGATTGACAGAATGGTTTGCAAGAATCAATCGCAGAAGACGAGGGGACGTGGACGCACCTTTGGCGGCTAAGGAAAAAACATCCTCGACGGGTTCTTCTATCTCGCATTTCCCCACCCTCTGATGAGACCCGCATCGCAGCGGATGCAAGGTATTGGATGAGAAGACAGCAGAAAGACCAGAAAAGAAATGGTGCAGACCATCTGAGAGAGACGCCACACGCGCGGCAGAGAGAAGTACAGAAATTTGCTGGATTACTGCGTCGGAGCTTGAGTTTGAACTCGAACACGAGCATGAGCAAGAGGCAGGAATGCAGAGTCAAAAGTCAGCCAAGCCGCGGTCCCAAACACCAACGGCCTGCGTCCCGGATCTGTGAACTGCCTCACGACAGCGCGTGTGGTGATGAGTCCTAGCTTTAGCGCTTCCCAGGGACGGTGAGTGGATGCTTCGTCGGTGGCGTGCCAAAGTCCGCGACGATGGAGGAACAGAAAGAGAGGAAAAGAACGAAGGAAAAGGATAGGACCGGAAGACTTTCACCGTCTTGGTTTTTTTTCATGAACTACGAGGCACTCCTCTTTGTTAGCTATTATGTCAGGGCCGTTGGGTCTGCTGGCTACCAGCTACTTAGTGACACAACAACATGGGCCGGCATTTCACACGCCCTTGGTCAAAGGCAATAATATATAAAAAAAATCAACGAAGAGACAAAAGATCTTGCGCCAATCGGCCCTTTCTAGGCGGCTAAGATGGTTTGTTCTCAGCAAAGTATGCCACTTGACTGTGTTGACTCCCAAAAAATCCACGGGATGAAAGATGGCCGTGCCGTGTCCCCCAAGTCTCAAGTCAATCCTAATGTACCTAGTGAGTGCACTCTGCGTGCGCTTTGGTAAGACCTCGCCCAACCGATTCGATACCCTCGACAACCGAGTTACCAGGTCCAGGTTGATGTACACAAAATTGACTCCCAAGTTTGCTCCAAGGAGGATTCCCTCCAGCCTGGTAATTGTCAAGCTTCGTGAAGCAAAATGCATGTACGCCGAAGCCCCGACTCCGTGGTAACAGCTGTTATCGGCCTGCCTCTGTTGGGCCAACAGGCTGATTGTCCACCATGGGATTTCTGGTCTCCCCTTCTGTTTCCGCTGCTGTTCCATTCCTCATGACTACGTCTTCCGTGTCATCCCCTTCGTCTGCATCTTCCGCCTGCGCCTGGGCCAGCACGTCTGCCATGCTCCTTCCCTTAAAACTGGTGTCGGCGTAGATGTCTGTTTCTCCGCCCATCTCCACGTCTGCGCCTTCATGTTCCCCTTCACGGGGTGTACTGTCAGGCGGTGTCTCTACCGGCGGCGCAGGTGGTGGTGGTGGAGGCGGCGGCGGTGTGTCAACCTCCATGTTGAGTCTCTTTACTGGCGATCCTATTGGTTCTCGCTCGTCATCTCCTTCCGCAGCGGTGGATTCGTCTGTCTCGATGCGCTTCCGCTTTAACGTGCCGGCCCCATTGGTTTCTGATGGTGTGTTGAGATTGGGCGTGGCTTCCGCGTCCTCATCTTCATTATCCGACATTTTGATGTCTTCCTGATCCAGGGTGGTGTCTGCCTCGGGAGGCGATTTGGCGGGAGACTGAGCAGGTGACGCAGCAGATCCTTCACCACCTCGTGGGTCTTTCTTCCCTTTCTCCCTTGCCGCCTTTTCGGCTTCGTGCTTCTTGTGCTTTTGGTAAGCCTTTTCGAAGAATTGCTTGCAGAACTCTTTGACTTTCTTCTGTTGCCGCTCGTCAATCTTCGTGGGATCCTTTACGCGACCCGCCTTGTAGTCTGATGCCACCAGCTTTTTGGCGATCTCTTTGGCGAATCGTTTCAGGTCGTCCCGGGGGATTTTGTGCTTGTATTTGTTCATTACGTGAGAGATATGAGGGAAGAGCTGGACCACTTGTCAGATGAATCCCATGATGCGCATTATGCGGAAGCCAAGGCAATACTTACAGTGTTCTCGTAAAGCTTCTTCTGTTTCTCTAAGTCGTACGCCTTCCACTTCTCTTCCTTCTTCACTTTGGATGGTTCCGGCGTGTCCGGCGTGCTGTTTTTTGTATCTTTGTCGTGAGACGTGACGATGTTCTCAATGATACTTTTCAGCACATCTCGTTCCGATGGTTGTTTCGGTGGCGGTGGGGGAGGGGCCTCTTCTGCGGGCTTCGTGGGTCGAGCCCACGTCGTCTGCCCGTTAACCGAATAATAGTATGTCCTACCTTTGTCTTGGGCTGTGAACCAGCCGCGCGGTAGTGGAGGCGGCCCACGATGAAAAGGTATAGGAGGACGTGGGTAGAGAGATCCCGGTCGCTGGAGTGATCGGGGACCCGATGGCGCATTTAGCCCAGCAGGCCCTCTCGGCGGAGATCGCGATCTCGACTTGGATCTTTTTCGTCCCTGGGCAGACTCTCGTCGCTCAAACGGCGTTGTCTCCGTCTTGACGGGTGTGGAAGCGTCTTCCCTCTTCTTCCGGGGGATTCTGTAGGCTAATTCGAGCTTCGACCAAGCATCCTGGAGCGCTGAGGCTTGGGTTGCCACCCTCTCGTCAGAATGGCTAGTTAAGGATTCCATCGTCTTGTCAATCTTTGCATCGACGATTTTATTCCTCGTCAGCCGTGGTAATCGGTCCAGGACGTCGAGAATCTGAAGGATAATATTCTCATCGTCTCGCCATGCCGAGAGCTGTGAATTGAGGATCTGGTAACCGTGAAACCTGACGACTCGGTGCCAGGCTTGATCATCGGTACATCGTTGGATGCGTTGCAGGAGCTTGACGGCAATCCATTTCTCTTTACACTGCATTAGTGCGGCCATGACCTTGGTCACGCCGTCGACGTCCAAAGACTTCGCTTCGACACTATCAACGTAGTCCTCGTCGTCTTCCGCCGTCTTCTTCTTGCGCGGCCGTTTCGCAACCACGGTGTCCCAGGAATCGGCATCCTCGATACCCAAGGCCTCGATGGTCGCAGCTGACAGCTTAGTGGCGCGTTCGGTCTGAGTCTTACCTCCGATAAAACCTGTGCAGTTGGCCTCACCACAATAGCAGGGCTGCGGATTAGCGCCATATCGATCGACATTGTAATTGAAGACCAGTTCTTCCCCAGCTTTGATATAGCGCTCAGCGAAGATACCCATCCGCAATTTGTCACCGACCACCCATTTGTCGACATAGCAGTTGGGGTTGCAAGAGTGGTTGCAGAAACGACCGAGGTTCCCCTTCTTCGTCGCATCGATAAATTCACCCTTGCTCAGGGACATGAAATAAAAGTGTTTGATTCCTTCTTCATCATACTGTCGCATGCGCTTCCGGAAAGTCCCTTCGGGAATTGTCTCGCCGATGTATTCAAAGATGAAGTCGTGCGGTCGCAAATCAACATCGGCGCGAAGACCATAGCCCTTCTTTTCTGTTTTGATGATTGACACTTTTGCGTAGAGGCGCCTGAGAAATCTCTGGTTTTGGCATGAGACACCGCAACCACAGTCATTGGCACATTCCATTTTACACGCGCGGTTGATACAGTCGGAATCCTCCCCACAGGCAAGGTTCTGCCGGGTGGCCGGATCTGGACATACATGGTCAGTCTTTGCGAGAATTATCAATGATCAAAATGGACGGCAGACTCACTCCATTCTTCGCTGCAATCACAGTCGAGAGCATGTTCGCTGAAACCCAGATATTTATTTTGATAGGTGCAGGCATCAATGACGGTGAATGTCGAGGTGGCTTCTTTGGTTGCATCTGGGAGGTGGTCGAATAGAGGAGCGACGCGAGGGGGAAGCTTAGATGCGGCTCGGGAGGTCTTTGCGGGCTTTGAGGGTTCCTTGGGTTCAGGCTTGATGGGCGAGGTGGAGGTCGAGTGGTGGTGACCATTTGCCTCGCTCGGCTCTTTCTTGGCAGTTGACGTGTCAGGATCAGCGGCGGGAGGCCGATTTGAAGAAGAAGTCGATACAGAGGATGAGCGGGATGACTTTAATCGCCCTGGTTTCAGAGAAGGTGATGCCGAGGGGCTCGCCGAGCTTTGATGCTTGATGGCGGCTACGCGACTGGTGCTGAGCTCGTGGGCAAGCTCGCCCTCACCGTCCACCGACTCTTCACGCTTGACCTCAACCGTCTCTTGCTCATCTACAGACGCACGTCTGGATGAATCTCTGCTTAATCGACCCATCTTGACGATGATTGTGATGAATCTGCAGACCCGAAGGATGGTTTGGCGCCAAACCAACGCAGGAGTGAGGTGGTGCAGAAATTTCACGGGACCTCATGTGCATCTGGGCGTTTCGGGCCAGACAACCATGGAGCTCCAACAGAGGCAATAATTCAGCGCTGGACAATCCAGAATCCGAGTCGCGATGAACAGGGTGCCCTTATATCAACTGCGCTTGCCAATTGCGTAGATTGTCTGAGCCCCAGGGTGGGAATGAGACAGTAGAGAGGTGGCCGACTGGTCTATCAAAGAACGAGGGGTAGAGTGACTACCGTCCCAGAAATTCGCAGTCGCACGATGGACTTCTTTTTTTCTCCTTTCAAGAAGTGAAGGACATGAGTTGTCTCTGCAGCGACCGTGGACAAAGTGACGAAGCAAGAGCAATAGAGCGGCGGTGAGTGAGTGACATTCAAGAGGGCAGGATAGCGTGGCGGCTCCCTCCCATCATCTCCGCGCCACAGGCACAGGCACAAGGCACAAGGCAGCGAAATATGGAACCAATGAATCAAGAATCCCCGGCAGTAGTTCCTCACGAAAAGTGATCCGACACAATAGGGATAACGATGATGGGTGAGTTTGCGTCCAAGAAAGGGCAAGGGGCGGCTGAGAGAAGGGAGGATGATCAAAGGCTGAAGATGATTTTCCTTGTCAAGGTGTCGCTCTTGTCTCGCTTTCTCTTTCTCTCTCTTTGCCCCGGATAAGCCCATGCCAAGACCAGCCTCCGACATTCCGCCTTTCAGCCCTGCATCCTCTGCATCCTCTGCATCAACAGTCACCCTTTGTCTACCCTCTTGTCCTCTTATATTCACTATGCCCTCCCCAAGGTCCAAAGGCACTGCCATCACCACCCTCATCCCACTTTGCCTCCAATCTGCAATATCTCACTGACCAAGGCTGGCTCCTCTTCAAAACACAATCCCCTGCATCGTTGAAAATTTCACCGTTCTTTCCTGTCTATCCCATACTATCTGTGAATCCTCCCTATGTCTATTAATCCACCAGTGCCGTTTATTCCCGAAACAAAAGTCGCCGGTGGTGGTATTCGTGCATAACCAGACACCGAACCACACAATTTCGGCCTGTTTGTCCCGTGATCGTCGAGGTGGCTGGAATATTGAGCAATCAATATGCGACAAACGACGCATCGCAGCATGCAATGTCTTCTCGTCCCAGGCCTGGGCTCCTGGCCAGTATAGCATCGAGTCAACCCCAAGCGCAAATTCCCCTAGGCGGTACCAGTACAGCAGACATGGCCTGTCAAGGCTCCCACCAGCGCCTGAATCAGCTGGCCTCGTCTTTAGTTCGTGTTCGGCTCTTGCTCTTAACCAAGTCCATGAATCCCATCAGAGAGGTTCTTGCTTGTCGTCCAGCATCTACTGCCTTACCTTTCCATACCGAAGATTGCTTCCCAGGCGATTGAGGGCTGGTTGGCGAGTTCTCTGCTCCCTCGGCTCCAGCCCCCGCTGGCGGCGGGGTGCTTGCTTTGGAGGCCTCTGCTTCTTTGGCTCGGGCTCGTTCTGCTTTGTCGGCCGCGATCCATTCCCGGTGTTCTTGCCTCCTTTTCTCATACTCTTCTCTTGCGGCTTGCCGCAGTGCGCGGCTGACTTCGGTCACCCGGGCCTTTCGAGCAGAGAACTGCGTATAGTCCTTGATTTGATTCTTGGCTTCTTCGCCCTTCGCCGCCCATTTGCCTGCGAGTCCGCTGATGGCCATCAATCTCGCATCCACGCGTCTTGTGAGGTAAACGTTGGGCTCCTTCTTCTCCTCCCGGGCTCGAGCCATTATTCGCTCAATCTCGTCGCGGTACGCGGTTTCATAAATGTCCACGTCCGCCGCCCCAGGGCTTTCACTGACGATGGGCACATCGTCGTCTGCTGGAACAAAGGTCCCGTCCTCGTCGGTGCTGGAACTGACCCCCGAAAAAGTGGACGGACCAATGTAAAGGTATAGTTGGTCTTCCAAGGGGTCGTGCGCGTGACCTCGGTGGCCTAAATCGTCAGTAGTGTTTGCGTGTGGTCTCAGCGATCGGAAAGGAGGCAGCGTCATTGGGTCGAGCTTCTCGATGTCTACCATGCTTTGGATTCTCGACAGCGAGTCATCCGTGTTAGAAGGACTGGCAACGTCTCTGCCTCTTTCGACTCCTTTTCGCTCTTCGCTCTTCGTCGTATCGTCTATACTGAGCGTAGGCACCGGTCGGACATCCAGCTTCTTCACGTCTTGAGCAAGCTCTTCAATCCGTGGTTCCGCATCTGTGTGGTCTTGGCCGAAAGCATTGAAACTATGTGATTTTGGGGGGAAAGATTCGGATTCTTTGAGCATAGCTGCCGGGGGCTGAGAGAAATGTGAGCCTTCTTGATCACCCAGGATTGAAGTCATGCCCTTAGGTTTATCTTTTGCTACGAGGGACTTGAACTTGTTGACAGCTTTGACCTGCAAAGACTGTGTCAGCAGAGCCCATGCCAAGTTCAGTCTCAGAAGCTTACGACTGTCATGAGGTTTCTCATATTCTTGGTAATCGCCGCGTTCATCTCGGCCTCTGTTGGGGGCTCAACAAGATCAGAGGTGTTCTCTTCCTCTGGAAGCAGCTTGTCAGTGCCCTTGTTCGTGACCCACGGATGTTCCTGGACCAGGTCAGCATGCGTGACACGACTCAACGGGAGTATTTACTCTCAGCTCCGGCATTTTGATACGTTTCTGCGGATCCTTCTCCAGTATGCGGTTCATTAGATCGCGAAAATCTTCGTCTTTTTCATCGCCTAGGTCTGGCTCTTCGGCCTTGATGGCTTCGTAGAGTTCAAAAATGCCCGTCTTCTCAAATGGGATTCTGCCGTACTTCAAGCAGTACAAAGTCACCCCCATTGACCAGATGTCCGCCGCGCGCCCTGACACATCTCCATGTCGAGCAATACACAGCTCCGGGGGAAGGAACGCAGGGCTGCCAGCGGACTTTGCAGTGAGCATTTCGGAGTCCTTTTCAAACATCTCCGAGACACCAAAGTCGACCACCTTGAGCACATCGTCTTCCGTGACCAAGCAGTTGTCGGGTTTGATATCACGATGCACTACGCCTTGAGCATGCAAATATTCGATTCCTAGAATCAAATCTCGAAACCAGTATCGACAGACATGGTCGGGGTATGGATCTGCTCTTTCTTCCAGCCCTACCTTCATAACCACGCCTTTCTTGCACATCTCCAACACCATGTATAGCGAATCTTCTGACGGATCATCCAAGACCTCGATCAACGAGACCAGGTTTGGGTGGTTCAATTTCTTCATGATGGCAATCTCCTCTTTTATCAGGTCTATTGAATTGACCTGCGCTTCGCCCTCTCCGACGACGTTTCGGTGCAAAGGGGAATTGAAGCCTTGCAATGCACCCCGGCGCCTTTGGGACAGAGGTTTCCGGAGGATGTGAGACTGCGCTCGCTTGCGCAGTCGCGCTTTGGAGAATTCTTTGACGGCCTATATATACAGATCAGCATTTACTCGACCTCCTGGTCCGTCAAGAGCCCGCACGTATTCTTTCCCATACTGATCGATGGCTAGATGAACTGCTCCAAAGGAACCGCGGCCAATCTCTTGCTTGATGATATATTGATTGATGCGGTGTTCTGCGACGCCGTCGTCTTTACTGGTGACATATTCGGATCGTGCGTTGAGAGATTCCTGCAGAGGCTAGATCAGAAGGCTCATAAAGTCGTTCTGGAGGTGGTCTACCTTGACCGGCCTGTGTGCTGAAGGGGTCCGACGGTGATGGCGGGAGGGTGTGTTGTACTCAGGACTGGACCTGCAGAGATGGTCAGACACATTGGATCAGCCGCGGATTCGTAGCTGCCCACTACTCACAAGTGTTTGACCACAGGAGGCTTATTGAGGGTGGACGAGTCGTTGGTGTTGGCCCCTTCGTGGAGGGCATTCACATGTGATTGTGGTCGATCGCGGGGCTGGTCTGATGTATCGCTTACGGGAAAGCGACGAGCTTCCTCCGCCGACGTGGACGTAGGCGACGCAACGATATCCATGAGGCCCTCGACATTTGAGTTGAAAGCCTCCCACGATGGTCGTTAGATATCTGGATCGGGAGCCCTGGGACGAGCTCAGCTCTCGCTCGGTACTGTCGCCAACAAAGAATGACGCTGGACGCCGGAGGTCAAGAACCGTGGCAGGTGGAGAAATTCTCCGCCGCACTTGCCCGTTCTTGGTCCGCCAGAGGCTCACATTGCTGAGGTGTCGAGATGCCTACCCGCAAGTAACCATCCAGTCATACGCACTGAGCGACATGCTATGACAAACGGACGTTTTGTCGAAGTTCAAAGAGACGATTGATCTCCTAGGAGCTGTTGAATCACCACTGTTTTCGTCTCATCAGCCGGCTGAGTGTTTCGCCCTACACGTGCGCCTGTCGCCGCCAATTCTTGACCGTTCCCAACCAGCACACTCACTGTCACAATGGTGGTCTATTCCTTTTATATATTTGATAGACATGGTAAGAGACGAATTAAAGCTTGGGTCGAACCGAAGATTTTGATATTTGTTGATTGCCGTAGCTGAATGTATATACAAGAAGCGATGGCTACCTCCATCGATCTCGACCACCGGCAAAACTTCAAGGCCATCTTCCCAGACATACGTCAATGGCGGGCCGCAAGCACGCTCTACCTTAAGCGCAGAGGACGACGCCAAGCTCATATTCGGGACCGTGTTCTCCTTGCGAAACATGGTACGAAAGCTGGGAGGGGAAGATGACAGGTCGGTCGGCCATGAATTTCGGTAGACCGATCTGCTGATGAAGAACACAGCTTCCTCTCCTACCGGACCTCCCAGTACAAACTGCACTATTACGAGACACCAACCAATACTAAGTTTGTCATGCTCACAGACACCAAGTCCGGCTCGATGAGGATAGCGCTGCAGCAAATCTACGTCAACTGTTATGTCGAGTATGTAGTGAAAAACCCATTGTCACCGGTCGAGCATCCTGGCGGTATTGGTGTCAACAATGAATTGTTTGAAGCAAGTTTGGAACAATTTGTGGTAAGGTCGATTCTGCATGCTGAACAAAGCCTTGTGCTGACCAAGTAATCCAGGATCGAGTCCTGAACGCCCCTTGATGAAGTCAATGTGCCGACAGAGGGACTGGTTTCACGTTTCCGTGGTCTTGCAGACCATATTACCTGACATTCCCTTTCGACTTCCTTAGCGTCTTGGAATCCAACAACGGTGCGGCAGGCCGGTTAACTTGATATGTCGGCTCGGAACGACTCCATCAGCTATCGAGATATCCCATTCTCTGCTGAAGGTCTGCGGGCTGCTTGGCTGCCAGTCACGACAATCACAATCAAACAATGTATCACTTTTCGCCCCAGGCAGCGGTCGCAAGGGCGAGACGAACGTCGATATCCACCAGACCAAGATTCTTGTACGAGTACGAGTACTCGGTACTGTGAGAAGCGAGCGCCAGGATCTCCAACGTGCGTGCAGCAACGGTTTTGGTGAATTCTAGAATCATGACAATCCTAGCGCTGTGGCACGTCGGCTACGAGTAGTTTCTTAAAAGCAAACCGCGAGGGCGGCTCCGGCTGGACGGATGACCCAAGGGTCAGCGCGTAAACGATCTGGGGCTCACATGTCTGAGAAATAAATTGGTCGAGGCAAAGCAGACGACCAATGTGAAGACGAAATTGAAGATCTCGCCGTTGATTGGACACGTGCGAAAAATCCTTGGTGCCGAGCTAGAAATGGCCTTGCAGAAAAGTCCGACGAATCATAAAATTCACACGGAAAAAGTCGTCCGGAGATCCCAAGTATCTGCATATACGAAAGAGCAAGTGCTCTTCCCCAATCTCGAGGCAAAATCCTCTGTCCTTTGCATGGAGATCTCTCTGATCGGCATGTCATGTGTTGGCCCGGCCATCCACGTGCCAAAGATGGCGCAGCCTCACCAGGAAATAGTCCGTACGAGTAAGTGGACGGGGCTGGACTGGCTTGACATGGGCGGGAGACTCTTCTCCTTTGCGTGGATCAGGGAAAGACATCATGAGTCGAATGAGCGGTCAGTAAGGTTGTCAATGTCAAAATCAGGATTTGGAATCGATACAGGAATACTTTCTGGGCCGGACAGAGCCAGAGAGATGCACCCAATCTGCATAGATTTGTCTTAGTATGCATCCTTGCAGAGCACTTTGGAAGTTGACGTGGAGGAAATGTCCAATGACAGGTAGATGCTGGTGTAAAGGCAGGACAGTGCGGCTCTCACCGTGCATACTGAAGGTGATACACCGAGTGAAACCTTTGTTTGCCCTTGGAGTGGCGAATGAGGAGCTGAGGTGCTGTGTTTGGGGGGACTATCCTACTCAACCCCCCCTATCACCTTCAGCGAAATTTCGTGTTTGAGAATATTTCTCATTGAGAATAGAGCGAAAGAATAGCAGAGAGGAAAACTAACGCCAAAGCTGGCAAATAGAGCGATGCTGGTTGCAGGAAAGATCGGTGAGGCAGCGCGGTGATGGCGGTGGCTGGCCGCATAGACCAGGCTGTCACTTTGTCAACTCAAGGCTGTCAGAATGGCCGCAGAAGTGGCCAGCTGACAGTGTGTACTAGGTACGGAGCACGGAGTAGCTGCAACACCATCCTGCTTTTCTGATAGATCGTCTGGGGATCTGTGGGTATGTTCGCCAAAGACACATGAGGCTGAGGTCGACGAGTTAAGAGTCACCTTCGGATAGCCCGAGCAAAGCGAAGCAACACGCTTGGTCCACTGTGAATAGGAGGGAGCAATTCCTGGTTTGTGCCAGGCGTCTGATCAATGTGCTTTTGTAAACACTGATGGCTAGGGGAGATTGCATCAATATGAAGCCAGGCAATAGCTTGAATTGACACTGCTCGAATCTGAAGAAGCAGAATATCCCGTGTTCTGTGCCTTTTAACGATTCGGCAGCGGCCGCCTTGGTATTTTGGGGGCGAGGACTGCCTCCAAGACACCTCTGTCTATAGCCTAGACGCTTGGGACTTCAGGGCCTAGAGCCCAGCTTAGGTGCCTATTATTATCCCGAGCTCCGTAATTTGGGCCCAGAGCCCAGCCCAGGCACCAGAAGTCAATGCCCACGCCCGCTTGTGTCTTGCATTGTGCGCCTTGGCCTTTTCGTCACTCGCCCATCTACAGGTAACCATGTGTCCATCAAGATTCCACCTCCACTTTATGACCTCGTACTGATTCTTCATCAACTCTAGCAATGGACCACACGAGGAATCCACACGCTATGCACCTCCTAACACACCAGCTGAAAATTCATTGAGACAATCCGAGGTTGTGTGAGACTTGTCGCTGATCCTAGAATCGTCTTCGGGCCTGGCTCCCTTCTCCATTTCCCTTCACAGCCATCACCATTTCCTCCTCGTGTTCAAATTAAAAAGTCAGACGAAAGCCAGCCATGACGAAAAAGGAGTGGGCAACCCTCGAGCAACCCCTGGCGCGAGTAGCTGGTGTACCTACTGCTCCTCCGAGTACGACCACAGCAGGGGGGCGGCAGATGAAGCCTAGGACTCCCACTGACTCCTCCATCCTGGTTCATCACGAAAGAGAAGGAGACCAACGCGCACACACACCCTGGACCGTTTGCGGTTCCCTGGAGTCCCCTAGCCTCGCTGGCTAGCTCCTATTTCTTTTCCACTTGAGCGGCCCTGGTCGATGACCCTGGTCCCAAACTCTCCCACTCTCAAACCTTCTCAGACCGCGTCAAACCCAGAGAGTCGTATTCTCGGGCCCAACGCCCAATCCCTCCATGCACCATCCATCGGCTTTTTCTTTGTGTGCTCAAATTGCTCCATACTACGCATTGTTTCCCCATTCGCTCCCTGAGACCAGGGCTACTCCAGGCACCGTTGTCTGCAATTCTATCCACAGCTTCCATTGGCGAAAGGCGGTGGAAAATGCATCGCACCACTGGCACATTCGGCGAGTTGAGGCGTCCCCCCATTGTACGGAGTACCTTTTGATGTTTTGCTCTTGCCTCCTTCCTATCCCAGCCTCTGGATCTCTGCCCAACGATTGGGCTGACGGCGGCTTTCATGGGTTTACCGTGTGCCAGTCATCCAGAGGTGCCTGACAGCTATCTCCACCAACTCTGCCAAGTATAGGATCCACTCCCCACTACCATCCGCCACGATCAAATACATCCTCCCCCCATGTGGAACGGAGCTGCTACGACGTCTGTACCTTGCTCAACCCAAGACGCCAACAGGCCGAACAAATTCACAGTCAGCTGCAGGTCCAGGTCCTCCAGGAACCCGTGCTACCACTCAACCGCTTCCTACTTGACCAGGGCCTCTTTGCTCTCTCCACTTTTCCGAATTCCAACAAGCCACCCACCCCGCCGAATCCTCGCTCGCCTTCTGGACATGGGGCAGCCCTGACTGACGACTTTGCTTCTCAAGACAAAAAGACGACCCAGTTGCGCGTCTGAGAATCCGTCTGGACGACTTTTCTCCTCCACCCCTCATCTTTCCATAGAGCACCAGGAGAAATCTGACAGACCAGCGTCCGTTTCTTCATATCCTCCCCAGTGCCACCCTACCCTCCATTCCAACTCTCCCACACCTACCTGTTCCGCTACCACTCACGCGACTTGGACTCACAAATACCTCTCGGATCGCCACCAGTCTCGACGGCCTATACCGCGGTCATGAGAATATAGAATTGACCAATCCGGCTTGACTGCCTCGCATACCGCTCGAAATGTCTTCAACGTCTAGTCTGGCGGGCGCTTGCCCATCCCCGTTCCTGCAAGAGACCCTCTTCCCAGATGCAGGGGGATGTACGTACTCATTCAACGACCTCGACTATTCAAGGCTGTCGCTAATAGTCCTCAGTCATCGAGGGACGGTTTTGCATGCCCTTGTCCAACATTCAGCCTAACCTGACCTGCTGTTTACCCTGTCCGATGACCGACTGGACATATTCGGATGGTAAGCGGAGATCAGAAAACACTGTCAGGTATCGACGTGCTGAACTTCGCCAGGATTTGAATCCCGTACCGAAATCGCCAACTGGGTGAACGTGGCAGCTTTTGTGCTGTCTGTATATCTTCTGCTGTCATTTGCTGTTCTTCCCGTCAAGTATACTCATAGACACTATTTGAGTGTCTGTCTGACCGTGGGAGTGGTTTTTGTGGAGGTATGTTCAAATGTGATGTTCGTACTGGGCCTGATGGCTGATATTTTTCGTATCAAGCTTGCTTTCATTATCCCGCTGGCCACGAAACCAGCGCAGTGCTTCAATGAAATTACCCCGAATGACATGAAATCCAGCGGCTCTTGCGCAGTCAGTGGCGCCTTCTTGTTATTTGGGGGTTGGGCCATTGTTATTTGGGTTTTCTGCAGAGCTCTCGCCCTCCACCTCCAGATTTGCTGGGAGGTGGTGCTTGGGGTCAGATCATTCTACACAGCACTGGTTCTAGGATGGCTGATCCCCATTATTGGCATTGCATTGACCCTAAGCCTGACAGGAGTGTCATTCCGATTTGGCAACGTCTGCCACATCAACCACAAAGATGCTCTTCAAGATTACTGGGGACCCCTTTTGGCTTTCGCCGCACTGGCGTTGGTGCTGCAATTCGTCACCATAGGTTATTGCGTTCAAGTCTACGTCAAGAGCCTTCTCGATGACAAGCAAACCACAAATTCCAGCTCTCAGCCTCCGACATACCAAGGGAGTCTGAAAACGGTGACCGCACGACAGACTTATCGCCGAGTCAAGAGGGTTGTCGAGCTTCAATGGCGCGGGGCCAGCATTGTGCTTGTCATCATTGCAGAAGTCGTGTTCTTTTCGGTGGTCTTTGTCTCTATGGACAACAGTACCAAAGTTGACGCGGCGCTTTTGCAGAAGTCCGAGCCTTGGATCACCTGTCTCGTTGCGCACAAAGGCGACAAAAACCAATGCCTGTCGCTCGCGGGCAGCTTGGTCAAACCAGAGGGGGTCGTTTTGGCAGTGCTTATTGTCCTTGGGGTAAGTTCCTCGATCCCATCCGTTCCCAACATGTTCTAATGACTGTTACAGTTGAGCGGGTTCTGGTGCTTGATGTTCATGGGCCGCTGGTCTATGACACATGGCTGGGCCGAATTTTTCAAAACAAAATTGCTTCGAAAGAGTGAATTTGTCTCGGCTGATGCCAGACGATTCTCGAACGACCCTCGTACGTACGAAATGCTGAGCGGAGCGACGCCTCAACTGAACATCCAAACCCCAGATCGAGCGTTGACAAGCCCCCGAATGCGGACGGAATTCTCGCCCACGGACACGAAGGAAAACCTCTATGGCTCGGCTCGAGCGTATGTCACCCCGGTGTCGAGTTATTCCCATCCCACTCCCCCGAGTCAACACAAAGACTGGGATCCGAAGTCGACGCACGCCAAACCAATGGATCCATCCGGGAAGGGCTTCGAATTGAACATATATTCGGGATGAAACGTGTCGACATATCACCCAACCTCAACCTCTTTATCCAACAATATACTTCCTGCACATTTCAGCGAGCGGCGCCAAGGATTGATTGTGATCTGAACAGAATTTTGCTACAGTTTCATATGGCCCGAAAGTGGCTGTTTTGACCATATCTTCCATGGTCCAAAGTCCCGCAGTGTTTTCAATGCATTATGAGTTTACGCGGCTTCTATGTTGGAACAAAGGGAAGAAGAGAAAGCACAATGTGTGGGTGCAGCATTGTGATGTACAAATGGGAAAACGAAAGCATAGGGAGGCGACCGAATGTGTACAGGATCGCCGGTGACAGGACGTTTTCCTTGAGCCACCATGACTGTGGTTCAACATTCAGGGGATACCCTTTCGAGTCGACATATTTTCTTTGCTTTCTTCGACATTGTCAATACAGAGAGCCGGTCGCTTCACAGCGAGAAAAGCCACGTTGACGGCGAGTGCGCCGAAGAGGTGAAGAATTGGATTGGAACACCAGTGGGAGCAGCTGGATTCCACAATACTGTACAAAGAGGAAAAGAAATTCCCCCTTGTCGTTTTGTAATATACGGCAAGAGGGGGCTGGATCCTACTAGAATTGCCTGTTATTTTCCTTTCGAAAGAGAAAGAGGAGGGAGGAGGGAGAGGAGATCAGTACTGAGACCGTGTGAGAAGTCGGGGCATCGTGTGCAGTGGCAGCCTGACGTCTGGGGTTGTGAGCAGGTCGATGTGAGAGAAGATTTGTGTATATATCTATGTATGTATAGAGTTGATCAGAAAGTCTTGAAGCTTTCATTTCAACGGCCAACGTGCACTGTCCAAGTGTCTACTTCCTGTCTTCCCTGTTCACTACCATGCTCCGTGGTGCTTCCAGATCATTTGTGTCCCTCGTCATAGGCTTCCTCCCAGCAACCTGTTCGCCGCGGCTCCCCTGACTACTGCGTGAGTACCGGTAATACAGTACCTAGGGACACAGGTGCAGGCTTTTGGGCGAATCCCGCCCCCGGATTTCGCAATCTGCGAGTACCTACCTACGACTAAGTTCCCTGGGTACCTTAGTGTTGGACGCGTTTCGTGCCGCCTCACTCACCCACTTATCACTCTTTGGCAGACGAAGTCATCCGGAGGTCCGAGCGAGCCCACACACACATTCTACCGAGTAACACTTGTGAGTGCTCACTCACTCACTCACGCAGGTTAATCACATTTCTAGATCGATCGATCCGATTCAAGAAATTAACAAGAAATATCTCGTACCAGTTGGGTCTTTCCAGGGCAGGGTATGTAACCTACCTAGGTAGGTACCGTAGGTATCTCTGTGTTTCTGGCACCGCCGTCACTAGTAACTTTCTGGCTTGTCCTTGGGTTTCTATCTCCCCTTCACCCCTGGTTTGCCCCTCTTCATATCTGCTCGCTAACCACGAGCTAACTAGGTACTGGCGTTGGGGGCCCCACCACATACCTAGGTATTGCCCTGGCTAGCTGCCAAAACGAAATCTTCATTAGGACTAGATTTGTGCCCAAGTGTCCCAACTAGCCGGTGCAGCTAGATCTGAACGTGAAGATATCTCCGTGCGCTACCACACACACCACTCTCTCTCCTGGCCGCCCATGGTGCTCGCTGCGACGAAGCTTATCTCAAGGAGGGGGGAAGGAAACCGTTCTCCTACCATTTGATACCTAAGGACCTTCTCTTCCGGGATTCGTGTGGATTTTTATTCCCCGACGCCTAACCGGTAGTTCTTGAAACCTTTCCAAATAATACCCAAAGGGAAGCCGTGAGCCTTGAGTAATTAGCTTCAACGGTCCTAACAATCAATGACCAGGAGTTTTGAACAGGGTCTGTGCCCCTTCCAAGGAGCTACCCTATGCGTACCTAGGTCAGTTACAGTACGCAGTAGGTTTGTAAGTACCAGAGCTAATCTACATTTCTCGGGCGTCTCGGGGATCTCGATTTGCAAGAAATTGTGGCACTCGTTAGGGGCGGTGGCATACCTAGGTAGCTCTACCTACCGTATCTTTCCAAAGGTTTTTTGGTCTGTGCACGGACTCCGAGGTGGCTTTTGTTCCAGAATCTGAATCCCTAGCTTTGCTTTGCGTTCGTGTGTAGCCTGTTTCTTTCCATGCTACCGTAGCTTCGAGCCTACGACATGTACCTACCTATGTGCCCGGTGCTAGGTACTACTTATGACGATCTCTTGCTTGAGGTTGGATCATATTTGTCCTTGCTCGCGGAACATTGAGTGATTCAAACCCCCGTCCCCGTCTTCTCCCTCGGATTGAAGGTATAATCTTACTCTCCCACAACCTACTGCGGCATGAGGAAGAGAGCCCCCGAAGCTCCGTAATCCCGTGCTTCCGGCGAAGGACAGACACAGGTCCCGAGCGAGCGCCTTGACTTACTCGCAGGTTTTGTGGGCGAGCGAACTTCGGCTCGCGTAATCTATCGTCTGTACGTTCTCGGTAAATATTTGTACGGAGTAGTTAGTTAGTTGGCTTGCTAGGTACCACTTCGAAGTTAATGTGGACGCTTCGTTATGTTTGTACATGAGCAGGTCCAAGCAATCCTTCGATGCCTTGTTTGCGACTAGTGCTCGTGCTCGTACGTGGGTGGGCAGGCGATTGTTCCTTCGCGCGCGTGCCTTGCAAGCCCTCTTGTGGTGAGATTTTGAGATAACCGAGCCCCCATGAAGGCAGGCACACAGCCATTCTGACAAGAACACTGGTACGTTCGTACGAATAATACTCGGTATGCATGGGGTAAAATTCGTCATAATCGCCCAAGAGATGGAACACGAGATTGGTTATCAGGGGCACACTTACCGGGGGAGGGACTGCTTGACTACTATCATGAGTAATTGACTGCCTTGTCGGGCCTCGCGTTTTTGGCTTGTCTCCTTTGCACTGTCGCGCTGTCACACCATCGCAGTCGTCGATACGCGTGTTTGATCCTCGCGGATGTTTTGACATAAATGCTGATTTCGGATTGTTGTGGCCGTGGCTTGAAGGCGCGCGCGACGGATCTGGCTTTTTTTTTTAACCTAAATAACAGCCTCCGAGAAGGCCAAGAAAACTCTGAAGGAAATGGGGTTCCGTTGTTCAAAAATAGTGTTCGACGATGACAGCGATTACGATGGCCAAGTCGGAAAATAATGGCGTTCTGAGACAAGCGAGATCAGATGGCGCGCAAAGGCTGCGAGGCTATATGCTAGGATGCATGTATGCGTCACGTCAGTTCAACTCGACCACGCCCAGCAGCTACAGTCTTCGCGCGTTGGACAGCTACAAACCCTGACCACACCTTTCCTGAGGGAAGTTGCGGACGGACAGATTGGGAGTGTGCAACAACCTTTGCATGGCGTTGCTCCGGGGTTGTAAATTGGAGGCTGACGAGGCTGAGGCCGGCCAATTTAAGCTTGCATAACGCCATCCACGTGCCGATTGGGCAGGTTGACAGCCACGAGGATGCCCAGATCAAGGAGCCTGGACTTTGCGAACAATCGAGGGACTCCTCGCATCCGAATTCTTTATCTTCTTCAAGCGCAGTGGCGAAGTCTGTTGATTAGAATATCAGCACGAGGACTTGGCAGGATCTGTGTGCTGGGAGCAAGCAAATTTACCTGCCAAAGGCCTGCTTCTAAGTTGTTTCCCAAGACTCGAAGGCTCAATTTCAAATTCAATCGGGGTGCGTCTTTCAAGAAGCGCCCGGTCGCCGAGCTGAAACCAACAATGAAAAGAGAGTTTTCCAGATCCAGGGATCCCATGATCCCACACCACGCGGCATGCCACGTGCGAAATTATGGGGGACAGCAGCAAGGTCTGCGTCACAGGGATAGCTTGCCTGAGCGTTGGGCAAGATCATGCCTTCGTACCGTGGAGCAACGTGTATTCCTGCTCGTCGCCAGAGCCACCACACTGAGCGCTCGTCAGTCGAATTGTTGGTTTCCGCAGCTTTGCTTCAGAATTTGACACAATGAACCCGATGGTCGCCTCCAGCCGCGCTCGATTGCTTCGCAGCATGTTCCCTTTCAAGCAACTCCCAGAAGACTGAATCATTTGGCGCTCTCACTATTGTGTGGCGCAGGAGCCACAAGGGGTAGGCTGCATGATGGTGTTTGAGAACCTCATTGCCAGGTTGCATTCAATAGCTGGAGGGCGGCATTCAATCGCCCCGAACTCACACTGAAATGTCCAGAGCCCGGTACACCCTCCATTTGAGGCCCATACAGACGAGTTATTGTCCTACAGCAAGCCAAATCCCAGAAAAAGAGCCTGTGCGCGCCTCACACCGTGTGCCACTTGATCAACTGGCATGCCGGTTTGAGGTCAATGCAGAGGGTCTACATTCCTGAAGTGGTAAGGATTGCTCATGAGGTAAGGTCGTTGGAGGCTCGCCATGGTCTCTTCAGACGATGTTTCGAACTTGACGATGGTAAGTATCGATGTATGAAACACTCACGAAAAAAAAATAGGCTGGAAACACTGGCGAGGACGCTCCGGTGACAAAATTTCTATCTGCTGTGGACACAGATCATCAATGCCGCGCTCACCACTTTGTGCGATGCAAGCAATCCATATCAGGAGCCTTGTGGAATCCGAAACGCTGTTCGGTATCAAGACCGCAACGGTAGAATAGCAGCGTTGCATTGAAGGTCAATCTGCTGTCCCTGATATCTGTACAGCGAGATTCCGTGTGTGCTGACGTCTTTTGCAGGAGATGGTGCTATCCTGAAGATCGTCGCCTCAGCACCAGTCTTTACCTCCAAGATTCGGCTTCACAAAGCCGTCAAAGCTTTGTTTCGTGGGTGGGGATCTCTGGGACTGTGGAGGTCACAGTGCAGGTGCTGTTTCTCCTATGTCTGTGAGTCATGTTCCCGAAAATATCCGGCTCGTGCTCCTGTTGCAGGTCTGCAGATCCAGCCGTCTGAGACTGGCGGACTCCGTCTGGGAAACTGACTGTCCTGTGGATCGGCGAGTATCATTCATGCATACCTGTCGACCTCACCAAAGCTCGTTTGTATGTCTCTTTTGGATCTCCCTTGCAAGGATCCTACAGGTATGCAGAACCTTTGTGGTGGAAACTTGTGGAAGCTCTCCGTAACTTTTCCACAGCGACTCCTTGTCGAGGGTTTCGGTGTTTGTAGACCTCTCCCTGACTGTTTCTTGACAGCCGAAGTCCACGACCCCACAAAGTTGTTGCAAAGGAATGTTGGAGCAGGCAAGTTCGTCAGGACTCAGGAGGTTCTCACTCTGCATGAGCTCTGGGCCAATGCTGGTGCTGTGGGTAGTGGATGGGATCCAGCTGCCAGATGCAGAAAATTCCACATGGACTTGGACCTAGGAAACGGTCCCGGCCGGCACGGAGCAGATGTGGAGCAAGTCGCACCTATGGAGTCGGTCGACTCAAGACGATTGTGTGGAAAGGAAGATGCTGCTCAAGTCTCAAGCAACTGCGGTAGAAGATTCCATTGCTGCTCGAAAAGCACCGAGAAACTCTCATGGGCCTTTGGGCGAATTCCAGACCCACTGCAACGAGAGACTTTTCCATAAACGTAAACTCCTCTCAGTCAGTCATGCCGTCTCCCGGATAGACCTGCACCTTGGGCCTCCAAATTCCCTTTTGAAGAACAGCTACGAGGTACTCACAAAGCTCATCCAGAACTGCACTGTGTGGCGGATGCACCAGGCGTGAAACACATTAACGTTGCTCGTAGATTCCGCGTCCGGGTATGGCGTAGGTATTTCTCGAGGATACATGGAACCCCATGCATCTGTCTTGCTTTCTTCAGAGTGAGGCAACCCTCCCGAAAAATTGCAGAGGAGAAGCGTTGAAGAAACACCGGATGATGCTGTGAGAACCCACCTGTGGTGTGGTCCCACGGCTCCACTACCATTATACCGCAATAGGAAGGATCCCCTAGCGCAGTAGCGCTTACTCGCACCTCGTCCTCCTGTACCGCAATTCTTCAAGGCGGATGCAGGAACCAAGCTCTCTCCCTCGGACCTTGGGCCTTGCATGAAGCCCCAGTGCAATGGCTCTTCGAGAAGCGTTCCTCTGGTGGATTTCTGCGATGATGCCTGGCCTCAGTGTGGTGGTTGACCCAGACGGTCGTTTCAGATTTCTGCCAGGCCAGAGCCAACCCCCTCCCTCCTGCCCTGGGGTCTTTGGCCATGACCCTCCCAACGTCATGACGAACCGCTGCCTGGATCGGGAAGAGTTCTCTCTGCGTAGTACGAATATGACATCGTAGTCGTGCATGGAGGGGTCGTCAGTCTGCGTGCCCCAGCAGAATATGCTTTAATGGCCATGACGAGGGCTGAACAGAAATCCCCCAACATAAGAGGCTTGCTTCTGATTGCTTAAAGAACTCGAGAATGGGCCGGGGTACGGAGTACCCCGCGTCAGACTGAACGAAAATTCTGGGAGAATAGGAGGGCTTCAGCGAACGGGAAAAGTGTGGTCTCGCGGTCCTGACCCAAATGCTTTCTTGACCTCTCAGTGAACAAGACTGGCGAGTACTAGTTAGCAGCAAGCCGATTCCATGAGTGTAGCACCTCTGCTCATCTCTCTTTCCACCTCCGTTGATGTCACATCTCCAGAAAGACCAGAAGCTCTTGCCTCGAACGCCTGCATCTCGAAACCTGACGGGAACGATCTTACACAGATGGGGATGCTTTTCCCCCCTTTGGCCGAGTCCTTGGTCACGCATGAAAAGTCGTCCTGTTCACTGTTGCGACCAATGAGAAGGCTGATCACGTCCTGTCAGTGGGCAGTCTCAACTGCAGGATTGGGCGGAGGGATTCAAACGAGTAATAGTCAACATGTGCATTCCTCTCCAGGCTAAGCTGGGGTTGTGACAGGGCATGGCATGGATGCGACTACCAAGGTAGGTAGACACATACTGGGTAGTCTTGTTGTGATGACCACCAACCAACCAGCAGCAATGATGTTATGGTTCCTGAATCCTTACCGATTTGAAGCAGACGAGGATCCTCGTGAATCACTCGTTCATGCGGCACGGGCGGCCTGCAGGCCTTAATCTTTGAGGTCGAGTTGGGCGAGCTTTCCAACGAAAAGGGGCTTGTTGCTCCAATATTCATTACCTAGGTAGGCATGGACCTTGGCTGGACACGAGAATAGTCCTGTTCCGAGCACCTTTCGTAACAATCGAGTGGTCACAAATAACTCTGCCAAAAGACTTGCTCCTGAGCCTCGACAAAGGCACAGAACAAGGTATAGGAAATTGTCACCTCCCGTCCATGCACAGTCCTCCACCGACATAGAGGACCGTGTTTGGTAATTGGAAGGTCAGACTCTCCATATAGGCACGATAGATTGTTCTCCTTCAGACATCGCGCATTGAAGAAAATAGACACGACGCTGTACACACAAATGCCAATGACCAGAGGTTCTGTGAATCATCATAAAGTCGTCTTCAAACCGGGAGGGAAAAGGAGTTGAGACAGCCTTGCAACGAGGTATTCTTGAGGTTCAGTCTTTTCTTCGCATTGTCCATCTTCCATTCAAGTCAAGAGACCCGACCGTCCGAGAGCAAGCCTATTCAAGGTTTTGAAACTGCCGCGGTCATCGAAACTGGAGGACTGCCACCACCTTGGACCATTCCATCGCAAACAGAGACATTCTTTCATAGACGCCGTGGAAAGTGTCATTTCGCTTTTCCTTGCTCATCGCATACCGCAACTCAAGGCCCTCTTCAGAAATTTTACGTCCCATTCCCTAATTTATGCAGTGTCCCTCTTCCCTTCCCGCACCTCCTTGAGCGCCTTCATCGTTCCGTGCAGGGCGTGTTTGTGGTTTCTTCGAAACTTAGGGTCCGTGCCTTTGAGGGATGGGTATCTGAAGGTCTTGGGCTTCTTGATCCTGTTATTTTGAGCAGCCGTGTCAGTCCATCCCGACAGTCCTGTGAGCAAACGTTCGCAAGGAGCAGGGCGGCTGCGCTTGCTGAGGCCGAAATTCATACCCGTTCTTGTGAGCCTTCTTGGCTTGGTTGTGTTGAGACGAGTTCTTGGATTCTATACAGAAGTTAGACCGGCGCCTCACTCTCCTCAACAAGGCGCGCGCGTAGACTTACTGGCCATCTTGAGGCTCTCAACGACACACTAATCGTAAGGTTTTGCAGGCTGAATTGACGGATCGATCAAACTCGGTCGTCCAAAAGTTCGGCCAAAATGTCGAATGTGGGAATGCCATTTGGAAAGTCAGCCGAGGTCTTGGCGCAGAGGTGTGCTGTACGAGGTACAAGGCTGCGGTTGGAACCTCGTACCAGCCTCGCCATCCCGACCTTCTAGCGGACCTTTACATCCTCGAAGCTCTTTAACAGATTGGAAGTCTACAATCCTTCTTCGTCTAAATTGAAGGCGAGGTAATGATTGCTGTATAGTAATGCGAGATTAATCCAGGTGATGGGTGACTTGTCGAAGGCATCGCTAGGTGCCGTGCGACAGACTATCCCAAACGGAGCCCAGCGCAGTGCAGCGTATTGAAACACGACATATTTGACTGGTCTATTGTAGCTCAGTTTTTTCATTATCTAAGTCCAGAGACCATCGTTCATGCAGGTACATATGCATCTTGAATAACGAGTCTTTTGGTATCATATGCAGGGTCGTTCACAGCCACAGCGTAATCATGCTTTTCACTCTTCACATCTGGCCCCCTTGTGCGATAAACTTCGCAAAAAAGACCTTGAACGCCTTCGGTTCCATGGTCGCCAATTTCTGCAAATATTCATTGATCAGGGTATCGTTCATGCCCATTGTTCTCAACTCCTTTTCTTGCAACCAAGTCAGGTATTGCTGACCTGTTTTTGAATAGATGGTCTTCTGGAGGCCAGCGGCCTCGGAAAGAGCTTGCCGCGCCTGTGCATCCTTGCTATTAAACGAAGGATTAGTTGGCAGAGCCCAGCATAGTGGTGAGAATCGAGTCATCATGAATTGATCAAAGCCAGGAAGGACAGGTTGCGGGCCGGGGACATTGACATTCTCCTGGCCTGTTGCGGAAACCACATCAGGTCCTCCCCATACTGTGCACATCCTTGAAAGCAGTAAAAATGCCATCTTCGCAGTGGGGAAGTCTTCCACGTCTCTCGCAAGGTGCTCGATGGAGCCGATCACAGACTCAAAGATCGGCTGGTTTCTGGCGCTGACCAAAATAGCGCCCAGATCGTTGCCCAGGATCACCATGAGGAAATTGAGATACTCTCTCTTCAGCTCTGCTAACTCGATTTCGTCGTCAGTCCCTGCAGTGGCTGCAGATATGCCAACAAAGACTCTTTGAAGAAGTCCTGAGAAGAGCCGGTCGAGAAAATCCTGTATGTCGTTCTTGAATCCGAAAATGACTTGGTCCAGTAGTCGGAGGAATAGCGCCATCTCATCCCTCGTCGAAGAGTCAGTCAGTAGACCGTCAACCCATTGGGGCAGTTGCTGCATCATCTGGGTTCCGACCATGCCGATCAAGCGTGAGAAGGCGAACCTTGCGGCGGTCCTTATTTGGAAGGACGAGTTGAGCGCCGTCAAAGAGACAAGCGTCACCTCAGCGACCTGTGCAAATGTCTGCTTTGCCTGGGGCGATGGCTCAACTCCGCTTCCTTGCGTAGCAACTCCAGGATTGAAATCGGAGAAACCTCGAGCAATTGTACCGAGCGCCATGATACCATGATGCACTTGGAGACCGGCAAGCTCATTTCCCGATCTAGCGGCCTCCAAGTTACGCTCGATATCGGCGAAGAGCGGCTGCATGACAGCAGATAGATATTGTACCTGTTTCTCTGCAGGGACAGTACTTGCACCACAGATGCAACCAACAGCTTCGAACAGATATAGCTGACTGGTAAACGTAGAATCGGAGGCTGAATCACCATCGGAGGACATATCATCTCCGTCTTCTTCACTGGGCAACTCCGCTCGTATGGCTAGCAGATCCTGGAGGCTCTGTACAACCGCCTCCGCCGCATTGCCCACAAAAGCACGAAGTTGACGGACGAGACGCTGAGTAAGATACCATGCGCGTGCCTTGACTTTCAAGCTCGGATGGTGGGCGAGCTCGAGGAAGTTTTGCAGAACTGGCTGAATGTATTCTGAGTGCTTTTCGAAGAAGGAGCTGTATCTGACGCTGATCTCCATATATTGAAGCTGTATGGCAGGGTGCGCGAAGGAGCCTGTGTCTGCTAACAAGTTAGCAGAATTTTGTAGATATTGAGACACTCTCACTTACTCGACTGCACCATTTCCAGCATCATCCGCACTAGCTTTTCTGCGGCAGGCGAGTTTGGCTTGTTCTTCTGGTAAAGCCCACCTCCCTTCACAGCCAAATCCCCTATCAGATAGACTTCGTGCAACGCAAGATCCAAGTCGCGCCAATTGAGCTGCGATCCTTCCGATCGTAGTCGTTCAAAGGTGTCGTGAACGAGTGCTGAGATCGCATCAATGTAGAGCTGCTCATCCGCGGCGGCAATTGCTGACTGCAAGCCTGCCAACCGTTTTCTCAACTCTTGAAACTCTGCTTCGTCTGTCTGCTCATCCTCTTGACCCCAGTCGGCAGTGTCATCATACCTCATCTTCAAGAATATTGCCTTGAGGATGGGCAAAAGCATTGCTGCCCTTTGGGCAGAGGCGGCCTCTCCCTGGCTAGCGCGTCTCAAGAAAGTGAGAACATCGTTCATAGCATTGAGAACCGTCGAACAGACTTCGTCGAATATGTCGGAGAAAAATCTAAGTAAGTGTGGCAGAAACGCGGCCAGGAGCTGTTCAGCCTTTGCCCAAGTCGGTGAGCCTTGGGTCTCAGTCTCCAGCACTTTGACAATATCCATGGTTGTAGTGTTGACGAGTTTTGCAACCGTTTCAGCAAGATCGACATCGTAGTTTGACGCTCTGCTGTCGCTCAGAGGCGGACAAGTCACGAGTCGCGAGACGACTGTTTCGAGATTAAGGAAGGTGATCATGTTGACCTTGTCCGCAGATGGCATCTTCTTTGCGACCGTCTCTGTGAAGACATCGATGGCTGCGTCTCTTGCTTGCTCCTCACTCTTGCGAGGATCGACTTTCTGGGCCCGTTCCAGCTGCTGAAATAGGAGTTCGAGCATCGACTGGTTTACCACAAAGGATATATCGATCCAGCTAACCCACTTCCCAACAGCTTTCAGGCACAGCTCGGCCACCACATCATTGGAAGTCCCCCAATGGGACAGGATCTCCTCCCAGGACCGCGCGATTTTCTGAACATCTCGGGCTCGAATCAGATCTTTCAAGGTATTTGCTCTGTCCTGTTCAGCCCGAGATCTGGAAAGCAATTGATCCCCAATCTCGTCGTGGATGGCATTGAGGACCGTAAGATAGAAGATTAGTCCCGGATAATTGTCTTTGGGCCCGGTTCCTGTCGAGGTCAGGGCCAACAAATCATCGAAGCAAGTCTCCCACCCGGATCCGTAGAAGGTTGAGAACAGGAAAGTCACAGTCTGAGCAAACTTGTTGACGATCGTTCCAGGGTCTGGCGTGTCTGTCTGGCCTGGTTCCCCGTAGAATTTCCGCAGATATGTCATGAGCTGATCTTCAATGGTTTTTAAGCCTTGTTGATCCACCAGACCACCCTGGACTGCATTATTGACGATCTCGAGGCAGTAGACTCGAATGACCATGGGCTGACGAGGGACTTGGAGGGAGATGGCCAGACATGGTTGCCATGCTGAAGGCTCTTGCCTCAACTGGTTGACATAGTCAAAGGCCTGTCGTTTGAGGGCTGGGTCGGCGGAGGGGTCGTAAGCGATTTGAATCGCCGAGATTATCTGGGAGGACATGTTAGCAGGAACGGTGGACCTGTTCTGATAGATGACGAACCTGTTCGTCCATCAGGTAATGCCAGTGTTCCTCACCCACCGCGCTATGACTTCAGGAACACTGGGCAAGAAAGATAGTCACCGCATTTGGGCGTGACAAAAGTGGAAGCACGTGCTTCCGGAGTTAGTCCATGAGAAACGCCCAGGTTGAAGGTAAATTGGCAGTGAAGAATGGGTGCAGGCATCAATCGTATCAACTGCGGTTACAGTAGATGTCTCTGAATCTTGGTTACTGCAAGGCAGAAAATGTTGCAGCGTCGGGCATCATTTCAAAGGCCTCATTCTACATCCTCGAGGGCGGAGAAACCTCCCCCGAAAAGTTTCCGGTCTTGGCATCAAAGCACCCTCGCTCACCACCCGATGACGCACATATTCATCCTTTGTTTCTTCCCCCTTGACTAAGATGGTGGCCATGGAATTCCCATTCTGAGGCAATATTCCTGCTGCCAGCCTACTAATGCTCCTCATAGGCCAATGTTGGAACCAGCGTCATCTCAGAGCAGACTAGAGATTGGGTTGTTCCCACCAAGATCTCTAGTGAGAGCTCATCATCAATGACCTCGAGGGCTCTGTTTGACGGGACCTTCCCCACATGCCTCATATTACATTTCAAGGCTATATTGACGCGGACGATATTATTCTCCATCCCGGAGCTCATCACCAAGTACCGCACGCTGGTAGGACTAGATCCGAAGAAGTGCCAGTACGTTTGGGGGCCTACCAGTACCGCAGAGGAAAGGAAATGAATTTTGTAGAGAGGAGAATGAAGTCGAGCCTGCTGTCCTCGACGGGCGTTATGCAGAAAAGTATGGTGGCAGCAGAGTTGATCATGGAGGAAGAAAAGCAGCAATGGAAAGAGGAGTTCATGGCGGAGGAAGCGCAGAAACTGGAAAGGTGGGTGGCAGCTGCAATGCCAGACTATGAGTTCTTCAATGCAAGGAGACTAACACTGGGTACACCAAAAAATGTCAGGTAGAGGAGGAGATGCTTCTGCCTTGGAAAGAACCCCTCCCACTGCAAGCAGTTTCTATGTGCAAAGGCAGAAGCTCGCCAACTTTGGAGGATGCAGACACAAGTACTTGCTGTTAGTCCGACGACATCGCCACTTCAGCGCAGAGTGCATTCTTCTTCAAAAACAAGTCGACCTCGTGGTTGAATCGAGTCGCATCTTCTAAGAACGGGAAATGGCCATAACCCTCCCAAAGCTTCGTTTCAAGTTGGGGGAGATGATGTACCCACTCTTCATCGACATCGGCATACCTCGGCGTGACCAAAAGCACGGCTGGGATGTGGTAGACCTGCTCGACGGACATGGGCTCTGGCTGAGCATCTGTTGTCCTGACATTGATCCGGACGTGTTTTGCTGTGTTCTTCATGACCCCCAAGATCTCGCCCCTCTGCTCGTCCGTCGCTCTGTTTCCAGTGATGGTTCTGACCAACGCTTCAAATCTGGCTTCGTCCGACAGTGCTTCGGCCAACTCTTTGCGTTGCAGCCGTGTAAAATAGTACTCCGGGGGGTTGAAGAACGAATCCACATAGATGATGGCGAGCACTGAATCTGGAAACAGCCGCAGGACCATAGTTGACACGGGTCCGCCGAGGCTGTGGCCGATCAAGACTGCCGACTCGATGTCTTCTTGATTCAAGACTTGTTTGACAGCATGAGCGAAGAGGTCTAGTGTATAATCCCAGTTTGGCGCATCGCTCTTTCCATGGCCAGGAAGATCAATCAAGATTGAGCAATGTCTTTGGAAAAGCGGTGCTTGAAGCCGCCAGAGGGAGCTGTTACAGGTCCAACCGTGGATGAATACCAGAGCCTTTCTTCCCTCTCCGTAGATCTGGCAGCATAAATTTGCTCCGCGGAAGTCGACACTTTTGCATGAGCCTGTATTCATGATGTTGCTGGTTAGTTGTGATTTTGCCGAGATTGGCGTAGCATAGATTTGACCTCGCCATCAACTTGTCGAAAGGTGAGAGCTTCAGTTGCTTTGAATTTGGCCACTATAGCTCTCGGGATTGCATCCCGGGTTTCGGATGACGATCGGTCTTTCGGAGCTTGGGACCTATGTTGAAATCGCACTGCCATTGTTTCCCCGCGACATTCTGCAAGCAATGTCAACGAACACATTTTTCCTTGGTCCGAAAGTAGTGCACTCCCATTGAAGAAAAGATGGGACGATACGTTTCAAGACAGGAAGTCACCGGGAATAACATTGAGCCAGGAGAGATCCGACGGATCGAACGGTTCAAATGCATCAAACCAACCGAATACTTGAGCCACTTCTTGCGTGTCCAAATCTGCAGAGTCGGTGAGAGTGTCTCCCATGACACCATGGGTCCGCACCTGAGCAGGTTGAATCGAGTCTGTGGCCAGGGGATGAGGTGGTATCGAAGTGGATTCGACGCCGCTGGCGAAAATTGTGCCATCGGGTAACGACAGCCTCTCATAGAGACTGCCAAGTGCAGTCACACATCTTTTCGCAGAAGTACTGTCATTCTGGAAACAGCGAAGTATGTGCATCGCCTTTTTCCAGGAATTGTGAAGTTCAGCGTCTGATATAGCACCGAGAGTGACGACTGGCTTGGATCGTGCCGCCAGCAAGACGGTGGCAGAGAGGTAGACGTCTGTATGTGAATCAACAATTAGCTCTAGCCTTCCAAAGAGCCAAAAAGAAGGCCGATGCACGCCAGAATGAAATACATACGCAAGACTCCGTAGAGCCATGCGGGCTTTCTGCCCCAGCTTCTTGACGTTGCTAAGTTGTCATGTATGATCTCAATAAGCTCTCTCGCGGTTTTGACACAGAGAATGCAGCATTGCAGTGCAACGCGGTGATTCAAGTCATCGCCACAGGGTCTTTTCGCCGTTTCGGCGGATACGTCAGGTGCTGGTTGCGAGACGCAAAATCTGACGAACACAGGACGGAAGAGATAAATTCTGACTTGCAGAAACCTAATTAAATGGTAGTCAACATTCTTCTCTCGATATTATCGGTGACGCACCTGAGCCGCAGAACAACCGCCTGTCTGCGAAAAGTCATCTGCCAGTCGTTCTCAGTCTCTCCTAAGACCGGACCATTTTGGAAGTCCAGATGTGGAACAACCTCGTCGTACCATCCTTGGAGAGCTCTGTCAAACCGAAAGATGGATGCCTCCCCTTCAAAGTACTTCTCATAGCCTTGCGTTGATCTTTCATTTTCTTCCGAGTAGAAAGAAGACAGGATCTGCTGAGCAATTGTATACAATTTCGTAGATATTATGAAAAAGGTCAAAACCGACTGCTTTGGAGTAGAACTGGACATCTCGACCGCAGAGGCATCTTCATGGTGGATTTCGGAAGGCAGGGGAATCGGATCTTCTTTCGATGTCGATATCATCACGGGTCGACCGAGATTCATACAGACCATTCTAGAGCTATCAGCACTAAGGCATATTCCACAGTGGATACTAAAATATACCTCTCCAACATTACACAGCCATGATAGACCCTCCTCACGAAATCCTTGTCTTGGTAACTCAAGGAACTATGGTCGTAAAAGGCACTGCGATGCAGACCCAGATGATGACATCCCCGGATCGCGGTCCCGATGACGCCCCAGGCCTTGTGCGTATTCCCTGTTCCGGTCAAGTACTGTGACATGACCAACATTACTTGAACATATTGTAATGACAGCAGGCTTGTGTCTGTCGGATCAAATCGGACCAGAGAATGTGCTCGATTGAAGAATACTTCAGCTGCATCGTGGGCTTCTCCCGCCTCGCTTTGAGCACGATACTGACAGCCGAGTGCTAGAACAAGATTGAAGATCGCAACAGACGTCGTTTCTTCAAGACGCATGAGATGAGAGCCACTGCTTGGCAGAGGAGTACCGTCCCAGAGAGACCTGTACACTTGAGTAAAGCTTTCTCGGTCGATGAAAGGATAGAGGGGATAGACAAAACGCCAATAGCTCTCCTGAAGCTCTTCGGATGTTGTACGAGGTGGGAGGACATATTCAAGTCGTCGTTTAATAGGTGGAATAGTCGTTGAAGATGGATACACAATGCTACCAGCAAATTCGGTCGAGACTTGACCCTCAATAGCTTGTCGGACGGAATCCATGAAAGATGCGGCTGAGGACATTCCATGGAATCCTTCGTTTTGAAGCTCACCTGTGGCGGCACCAGTGATAGCATTCACTCCAGCGCCGGTGCTGGGATTTTCTGGGCTGTGCATGACTGGGAGAGAAGGGGCATCAAGGTCCATATTCCTCCGACTTTGCTGTGCTGGAGATGTCGAGCTCCGCGGACCAGATGAAGCCAAATGGTTCTGGCTCTGTTCAAGCGCTTGAATGCGATTCTGTAATTCGCGCAGAACGCTTGCAACACACCATTACATCAGCGCCAGCTCGAGGGCGATGCTGAAAATGCCAAAGTATTCGTGGATGGCAGCAAGAACTAAGCCCAGAGACTGGCTTGTTGTTTTGTGGCTTACCTTTCTGACACGCTCTCGCCCTCCCTCTCAATATGCCTGTATAGACATCTGTCGGTGCCCCAGCCCCTCCTGGAACATGCACCACATACTGACAGAGAGGTCAGTGCATGCGACAGTTTTCTCACTCGCACAGGGATCACCTACCTGGGTGGACACCATCACATTTGATCTTTTTGACGCGGCAGTGCTGACACGCCAAAGGAGTCTTGCGCCGACGTGCCCGCGTAGGATTATCGCCCATGCTTGAGCTGGGTGCCATGCCCTCAATGACGGGTGGGGCGTAGGATTTGTAGATTGGAGTCAGTTGATTCTTGCTAGTGATGTAGACCAGGAGGTGCAAACGATATGCGCCATGCGTCACTCCTGGAGCCGAATTGCTGCAGCAGGTTTCGACACGTAACCACGCAAAATCGATGTATACCTAGCAAAATAAAGGGTGAGTGGTGGGATAATAGTACCGACCGTTAAACTAAAGGTAGAGGAACCGGAACTTCTGGTTGAATATATGCTGTAACGTAGTCTCCGCGGAGAATCCCTTGGCGAAAATACGGCGAACCTTTTGAGCTCTGAGGCAGTTGTCTATATTGGCCGATTGTCACTACGACTTCGTGTTTACGAAGACTCTAGATATATCTGGGTGTCCTAAACAAGATAACCAAGTTTGGGTAAAAATGCAGTGTCCAGCAAGGCACCATTAGATCTCAGACAATTCTGAACCTCTCTACTGTCCCAGTTGCCTTCAACGCCCCTCAAGGCTGCAAAGCTAGCAGCAACTCCAGCCGCCTGACCTGTAGCTAGAGCAGTTCCCATTACACGGACTGCACTTCCTGCGCCACGGTCGCAATCCACGCACCGGCCCGCAACAAACAGATTCGGCGTGTCCTCAGACCGGAGTGACCGTAGTGGAATTTCGAAAGTCGCTTTGGGAGGTAATTTGAAAGAGCTCTCCCAATCACGCTGGTCAGGATCATGGAACTCCATTCCCCAGGCGCCTAATGCAATGCAATCAGGAAAATGTCGATTCGACATGATATCCTCTTCGGTCAATCGGTACATCGAATTGATGTGGCGGGATTCTCTTGTCCCAAAATTCGGGCCAGTTGAAACGAGGTACATGTTCTCATGACCAGGCAGTTTCCGCAGTATTTCCAGATATGCCTGAGCTTGCCGTCGTCCAGAAACCTCGGCTGTGGTGATACTGGAAGAGTCCCTTGCATCATAAGAAGCAGACGCCAGGAAGGCTACGATATCCCCCGACAGTGGAAGACGTATGAGAACCGACTGATTTTTCCTGACTAGCTTCTGAAGCTCGGGGTTCTTTGATTTAGCTGTCAAAATCGCATCTCGCCACATGGAAGCAGAGCATGTGGTGCTGGACGGAATGCCTCCGAAACGAGTAGCCAAAGACCCAAGGTTGACGGTCCCATGATTTCCATAGCGTGTCGAGGCACCGCAGTGGAAGGCAAGATCCGCATCTCCTGAGCAGTCGACGAAGGCTTTGGCAAAGATGTCTCGTCTTCCTCTTCTTTCTTGAATCTGTATTTTCCCGACTTTGCCGCTCGGCAACCGCGTCGCCCCCACGATGGTTGTGTGCAACAGAACTTGGATATTGTACTTGGCCATCATATCATCGAGGACTAATTTCAGACATTCAGGCTCAATCACCTTGTGAGGACTCCATCAGCCAAAATCCATTCGACAAATAGGACTGACATACCTGGAAGATTCCGCGATGCCGAACAGGCCTTTCTGAGGTGCCTGCCATGGGCAATAGCTTGTCTCTGATCTCTTCCCATATCGCTCCAACCGCTTGTCTGGGGTTATCTTCGATCGTAGACAACCCACAGTATGAAACAACTCCACGATGAGTCGCTGCACCACCAAGACAGCCTTCAGACTCAACGAGTAGTATGCGCGCTTCTGGGACAGCCTGTCTCGCCCCAACTGCTGCTCCGATGCCGGCCGCCCCACCACCAGCAATGACTACTTCATATTCTTCTATCTGCGGTACTTCGCTGGTTGCCATCGGCATGGTTATCGACGACAGCGAAACTGTGGATGCTACCCCGAATTGGAAATTTAGGAGAAAATGTTGAATGAACAACGGTTTTCCCGAAGAAATTGGGCTATCGATCCTAATTACCAAGGGTAACTCCTTATTATGTCTTCCCGGCAGTGCAACGACTAAGATGACCTTCCCTTCATCAACGTGGTCTCCCAAGAAAGCAGTTTTGTTGATACCCCGATCGTACATAGACGACCAGCCGGAAGACGGAATCTTGCTCCCGGGATCAATCCCGAGTTCACTCGGACTCGGGACCCAAGTCCGGTTTCTCCTCCTTGGCGGTCATACAACCTTCAGAGTATGTTGTATTTGCTTGTCTTCCGTGAACTAGATGTCGAACGGGATAGACCTGCGCATGGAGTCCCCGCCGTCTCACAGATTCAGAAGACTTGAGCTGAAGAACATAACTTGAGACTCTCCAGCCTCTCAAAAGGCAGATTGTCTTCACCTTCAGATCTATGCTTCTCCATCAACGCGTCTGATTGTGCACATGCATTGCTAGATGGCACCTAGGAATACTTCTAATACATGATTCTGGCTTCGCTGGTGCAAGAAGAAGGCCTGTACCCTGAATGGAGCAAGACAGAGAGCTAGAAATACTCGATCGACGTCTGATTCATTGGGAAAGACAGACTCCAAAAGTCTGTGTTTGCAATGAATGGTACCTAGGTATACAAAAGTTGGTCTCACCCGAACCAACGCTCGGCTGACTGAGATTGGCATTTTTGCCACAAGGGGTAATCGGCGAGTCGGGAACGCCTCCGGGCAGCGTTTTCGACAAGAATTCGCTATCCCATGTCGTCCAAAAGAGCGATGCTGGACTGGAATCCTCTACCTTGGCCTCCTCCCAAGTCCACCGTTCAAGTCTATGGCCTGTCTCCCGCCGTCTTCTGCGCAATCCTCGCAAAAACCTGCGACGGGTCCAAGAAAGTCTCTGCCCGATAGCACTTGAGCTCCCCATCCTCTCCTTCGCGGACAAAGAAAGTGGCAAACCCCGGGATCTCAATGTCCTGGCTCCCGTCGGCCGGATCTCCCACGACGCGGTATCGAATCCGTGCAGCCTGGTAGATTCTCGGCGGCACAAAGTCAAAGTAGACCACCTTGTGCTTCATCAGGGAAAGCTGCCTGAAGACCGAGGCGAACATAGCTCTCACTTCGGCGCCCTTGAGGACCGGGTTGTTGGCGTATTGGAGTTCGATGTCGTCGGTCATGAACGTGCTGCACCACTTTTCTGCGTCCAGCTCGGCGCTTCCACGATGGAACTGGATTGCACGAGAGAACAAGGAAATTGTCAGCATCCCTCAGTTCTTGGTGGCTTGTTATAAAGACTCAGCTGGGCCTCTTACACCTTCAAGCCAGGTCTGGATCTGGTCTCGACTCTTGCTTTGATGTGTCGACGACATTCTGGGATACTTATTGCGAGCTGTCTCTGTGATGTGAGTAAAGTTCTTGACTTGGAAGTGACCTGCATTATGAGTCCAGGTCTCATCAGGTTGTTATACACAATCGCCTTGCAAAAAGATTTGCAAGGCGCAGGTGGACGCATTTCTAATCTGCTTGTCTATGACCAAGAGTGCTCGGGATCGCATCCCGAAGTCTACTCGTATTTGGCATCAGTGCGCAACCGTAGTCCACTTCAGGTTGAGAAACTGGTTCTATACGCGTCCCCCACGCCAGGCTTCCTTCTCTTTGTGATCCAGCTTTCAATCATCGCCAGCTCCCCCATACCACCATGGCTCCGTTAGCGGACGCAGAAGCTGATTAATTGCAAAAAGTGGGTTCATCGGACGCTCTTTGCCCCCATCTTCGCTGGCCTGTGTGCAAGTCCAACACCTCGAGCAAACGTGAGAAACTACCAACCGCCCCTGGTTGTATCTTCGGCGTCTAGCCATCCCCCGGCATCAGCCAAAACCCGCCAGCAACGAGTCCACCACCGACCCTTTCAAGCAATTCCCTTAAGGGTTCTGCCTCGCTCGTTCCCTTGGGAAACACTTTTCCACTCACGGCACAAGCACTAAACTGTCCCATGGTACATTCAGAGGTCGGAACTATGCGCAAAGTCTGACATTTCGATCTCCGGAGGTAGTTCGGGGATGTCTTGGAGCCAGCACGAAAGATTGTCAGCCTCCAACGAATCTAGATCGGACAATGCACTGCTGATGTCCATTGACTCAGGCAGACCCCATTGACCTGCACCGTCGTTGTTACTGTTGATGCCGAGAGAGATGTCCTCGGCACGCGACCAGAATTTAAACGCTGGACAACGACTTGGATGCGTGTCGCTCTTGGGTAGTCTTTTGGTTGCTGTTTCTGCCGACGCTATCTTTGGTGCTGTTGCTGGAGTCACGGGAATAAGACTAGGATCCCTGCCCTCCAGGCCGAAGACATTTGCATGAGCGGGCTGTTCGTGAAGATCACTGGACAAATGAGGCAGCCGTTTTAATCGCTCGTAAGTCGCTTTGACGTTGGCGAAGATAGGCCCCATCAGAGAGAAGAGATCCCGACCCATAGGCGCCTCGGTTGTTGGTGACCTGGTGACGCTCTGCAGACGGTAGCAGAGCAGGTCAATGTATATCTCGAGTTTGGCAACACTACGGGCTGCGGATACATTCCAAGCCCGTAGCTGAGGAGTCCCTAGGGACAAGCGATACAAGAATGCGGTATTGCAAATGAGCCCCCACCATTGAAGCACGGAGAGCTTCTCATACTCTGTCGGAGGGAGGGAGAGGAATGTCTCGAGGAATGAGACTGCGGCGTGGAGGCAGACGCTTAGGATGTCGTTCTGGCTGGACGCCGTGGATGACCTTTGCCCGTGGGATCCTCCAGATCCTGTCTCGGGACATTTGTTAGACAGACAGGGGTTGAGAAGATCCATTTCGTGGGCGTGCGAAGATGAGAAGTGAGATGCGAGCGTTGTTATCAGATTATACTCCTCTGTCGACAATTGCAGAATTTCGTCCATCTTCGTCCGGAATGTACTCAGCGTTGCTTCCAGTCTGACGGAACTCAAGGGCCCGGAGTATGCAAAGTTTCCTGACAGAAGTATATTATGGTACTCGTCTCCCAGAACTTGCATGCGGAGAAGTGGGAGAATCAGGACATCGGTGTCATATTCTGGGTTGTCCGCAAGCGATTGAGCACATTCCAACATATAACTGCTGAAGGGGACATTGTTCGGTTTGCGCCATATCCAAGCCGATGTTGCCGAAAGATAATAGCAACCGATATAGGCTCTCCTGGCTGCTTTGCTGAAAAATCGATCATTCCGCGCTCCACCCACTGAGTAGTGGTGATCCAGCTGGAGCCCGATCTTCCGGGCGGCAGCCTCGCTGGGGCCGTGGTCCAGGCCCATGTCCACGCACATGCTGATGGCGATCTGCAGCATCTGATTGAACTGCTGCTTCATCGGTATGTAGAAGAAGTGGTACCATGCCAGGTAGACGACAAAGGCTTGCAGGAGGTCGATACTCTTTTCGCCCTCGATGGTGGTCGTTCGGAGTAGTCGCTCGTGAAAGTCCTGCTCGAGCAGTTTCTGGAGAGGTCTATCCGAGCCAGAGGAGACGCAGAGTATGGCATGCAAGAAGAACGGGTGATCTTGAGACAAGGATTGGATTGTCGAGTCTGGAGAGATTATCGCGAAGGGAGAGTAAGGGCACATTTGGCCGTATTTGGAAAGATATCCACTAGCAGCATCGATGGTCAGAAGGCCGGATCGTAGCAATCGATTGAGAACGGGTTCGTCAGGCCCATTGAACGCCAGTCTAGCGTCACTTGGTTTAGCTGATCTCGATGATGGCACATGGGAAGCCGACTCTAGCATCGGGATGGTGGCTGAATCAGAGCCATTTAGGTCATGACCTAGATCGCTAGAACGTCCCTGTTGACTCCTCTCGAGCTTTGAGGTCAATTCAGAGACCTGGGCGGCCAAGGCTGTCACAATCGCATCGTGGTGGCTGTCGCTGCCAGCCGTGGTTTCGCGCTTCTTCCGCGGCCGGGGCTCTTCAAAGATACATTTGGCACCCGATCTCTGACACTTCTGGCAAATGTCATCTCTCTCGGCGCAGGGTCTACACCGCACCTTGAGATCGCGGCAAGGCTTGCATGCACGCTCCGCCCTGCAACTCCGGTTGTTGCTGTTGTTATTCATTGTTCGCGGGAGGTATTTTATTGTCCCCGATGGCTGCCTCTCCGGCAAGGACGACGGGATCCCGGGGAAGTACACGTTTCCCTCGACTGGCGAGATTGCATGCTGAGAAGGAGGTAACCCTACCCTCGCGTGTCGAGCGGGAGTGTGTGAGGACAAAAGGTTCATGAGCAAGGAAAACACGGATACTGAAATGTTCCGGTAATCGCATGAAATGTCAGCTAAGCTTCCTTCGATTCAATACCGTAGTGCCAGGTAGGCTGCTCCTTTTGGGCGCCCACTTAAATATACAATGTAATGTCAGCACGCGGGCAATTACTTCCCGAGAGCAGATAGTTCCTCCTTCCGTCCAACGTCGAGGGGCATTGCGTTTCCTCCAGCGCCTGACTCTTTCTGGACTCTCTCGTTTCTTCAGCATGTTGAACCTTCTTTCCGGCTGAGCGGAAGTCCTAAGTGGTATGTTTTCAAATAAGAGGAGCCAGCAAATATCAAGCACGAGTAATGGGCCCTGAGAGGGATGCCATGGAAGCCAGGAAAACACGGGCGCCCGCGACTTCGTCGAGCAGCCGTGGTTCCGTGAGCATTCTTGGTATTTAAAATGCGAAGAGCCTCCTCCACGTCTAAGCTGACACTGAGGGGACTCTACTTTCAAGTTCTCTGAGAAGAAAAAGACGGTCACAATCTTTTTCCTGCGACCGCGACCAGCACGGGAATATACCCAGCATGGTGGTCTATCCCAAGAAATATGGCGTGGTGCTGTATCACGGATTCCAGCTTACCGATGTCTGTGGACCTGTTGACGTCCTCAACGTCCTCACGACGCATGTCAACGGTATTAGTCTCTCGTTCATTGCCGAGGACAAATCTCCAGTATCGACCTTCCCTAGGGAGTGGCCTGCGAAGATGGGCATGCCGCCTTTCTGTACATCGCAAACACTGCAGCCAACGCACGACTTTGGAGACGCCCCTCAGATGGATGTTCTCATTATTCCAGGAGGCATGGGCGTATTCGATCCCAATCCAGACAATGTTGGGCAGCCCGATGCAAAGGTGGTGGACCCCATCGCCAAATTCATCCTGTCTCAATATCCCAAGCTGAAATATCTGATCACAGTCTGCACTGGGTCGGGAATCGCGGCTCAGACCGGTCTCCTTGACGGGAAGAAGGCCACCACGTTCAAGGGAGCGTGGAAAGTGATACCTCTGTGGCGGCCAACAGTCCAATGGGTTTCGAAGGCAAGATGGGTGGTTGATGGGAATATCTGGACATCTTCTGGGGTCTGTTCGGGCACTGACCTGATGTTTGGGTTTGTGAAAGACATCTATGGAGAAAAGATTGCGAGCAACATTTCAACATGGATGGAGTACACCAGGCATGAAGACCCAAGCTTGGACCCATTTGGGATTGACGAAAAGACCATGAACTAGATCGACTCATTGGTCCATGGTTCTTATCAACGATTGTATTTCGGCTATTGACGGCGAGCCGGGACCATCGGCGCTCGCCCCATATTCCATTCTAAGGCCATATCTACGCCCTTCTGCCTACACTACAAGGACCCTTCTAGGCTTACAGGATCAAATAGAATCCTTGCGATCCATGAATCTATCTGGGTACGCCTGTGGGTGCCTGATGCTACCCCTCAAGGATTGGCCTTACATAAACTTCTGCTGATTTATCGCTGCCACTTTTTGCCGCAGCCGCCGCCGCGGGTTTTTATACGAAAGAAAAAATTGCCTCTTCGCTTGGTCAAGGGCGCACTTGTCTTCTCCATTTGCCTGCATGCACGTATTACATATACGGTGCCTGCACAAGTCTTTTCTTTAAATTAAGATACAACACGCCCCATTTTGCTCTACCCCCAACTTTAACAACAGGAACGACATTCTCAAGTGCCTGAGAAATGGCCATGGACGAAACCCAACCTTTGCTAAGAAGTACCATCCAGGCCCAGCAAGGCCCGGACAAGGCCGCTCACCCAACAGACATTGTCGATTTCGACCCCAACGGCGACCCGGAAAATCCCAGAGATTGGCCGACTGCCTACAAATGGGGGATTGTGGCTTTACTGGCTTTCATGGCCTTCACAGTGTAAGATTTTTACGTTCAAATTCTTTTTGACCCTTTTCGAATACCTTTGGCTGGGCAGTTGAGCTAACCTCAGCTACAGGACTTTCACATGCATATCTGTCGTGCCGGTTGCAAACCGGATCGTGTACGACCTCGACGGCACAAACAGCAAGTCGGCCAGCGTCCTCCTGGTGACGATATGGGAGTTTGGCGAGGCATTCGGGCCCCTCGTGCTCGCGCCGCTGTCTGAGTCGCTTGGGAGATACCCAGTCTTCAACGTCGCCAACGTCCTCTTCATCTCCGCCACGGTGCTGGCGGCGTTGTGCCAAAGCACGCCGCTCTTCATCGCCGCGCGGGCACTGACCGGTGTCGCGGTCGCTTCGAACGTGCTCAACCCGGCCATCGTGGGCGACATGTTCGTGTCGGAACAGCGCGGCTCGGCCATGAGTTTCATCATGCTGGCGCCCCTGTTGGGAGGCGCCATCGGCCCTGCCATTGCCGGCGCCATTGCCGAGACGTTGGGCTGGCGCCAGGTCCTCTGGGTGGGCGTTGCCTTGGCCAGCGCGTGCGAAGTCGCATTCCTCACGTGTTTCCGCGAGACGTACAAAGTCGCCATCCTCAACCGGAGAGTCGCCCGGCTGAGGAAAGAGACGGGCAATCTCGCGTTGCGCACGGCGGTCGACGTGGACGACGCCGAAGCGGACGTGAAGCGAACCACCAAGCTGTGGGACTCGGTCTTGCGGCCCTTTGTCGTCTTCTTCGACTCGGGCGTGCTGCAGGCCATGTCCTTATTTGGATCTTTGGTCTTCACCTATTTCTACGTCATGTCGACGACGCTGCCGGATATCTTGGAGGGGATTTACGGTCTTTCACCCGCATTGACTGGATTCACGTTCATCAGTTTCAGTATGTTTCTCCTTTCCCCGCCTTTTTCCTCAAGCAAAACTGTCTCTTCTGAATTTGTGTGCAACTCTATATTCCATCCAAAAAAGAAAAATGCTAACAACGTCCTTCCCTCCAGGTGTCGGATCCGTCATCAGCGTCATCATCTGCAACCTCTTCCTCGACCGAATCTACATCCGACTGCGCGACGCCGCCGCCGCCAAGAAGGGCTTCTCGTCGTCATCATCCGAAGGACAACCAGAGTACCGGCTCCCGCTCGCCATCATCGGCGGCTTCACGCTCCCCTTCATGGTCGCCCTGTACGGCTGGGCGGCCGAACTCCGCCTCCCGCTGCCCGTCCTGATCCTCGTCCTCGTGCTGCTCGGAAACGCGTTGATGCTGGGCTTCATCCCGCTCATGGCCTACGTGGTCGACGCGTTCAAGCTGTATTCCGCCAGCGCCATGACCGCGCTGATTGTCACGAGGTGCCTGATGGGCACGTTTTTGCCGCTTGGCGTCGAGCCGCTCGTCAAGGCCATGGGATACGGTTGGGGTTTCAGCATCTTGTGTGCGCTGAGTCTTCTGACCGCGCCGATCCCCGTCTTCATCTACCGTTATGGTGCAAAGTGGAGGAGAATGTGTCCCTATACGGAACCGGAGAACTAAAAAAGAAAAAAAAAGACGGATGAATGAATGGTCATGTGAAGGCCATTCGGCTGCTACTTCACTGGACCAGGCAAAAGCCAATGAATAGACTGCATGGTGTTTTGGAGTATACTGTTCGAGGTATGTGTAGCGCATCTTCAGCTTGAGCCGGTTTGGACATGGGAAAAGTCTCGCTACTCCCTCAACGAGACGGGCTGTTTACTCCATCCATGGGGTCTTTTCACGGATAGATAAACTCATGTAGACAGGCAGAGAACTTTCAACACACCGCCAGCCTGTGTTACACATTCTTCCCCCAAAAAACAAACCCCTGCCCGGCTTTGCAGGACGGCCCTTCGTTCCGGGAGGTTCGAAAAGACGAAGCCCAGAATTCGTTTTGATCGCTGAGTGAAGGAAGGGGGTTCATGGACACAATCCAGATCGTCCCATGTGAAGGTCCCAGTGAGTCAATCTTGGACTTCGACTTCGGATGGGGGGGTCCAAATAGATAATGTGCTAATGGTTTGTGAAGCAAGTGAGAGCGCCCCCTTCCCCGCTCCATCTATCTCGATTGCCACTATGTGCGATGGCGACATGCTTCCTGAAAACCCGCTATTGTCTGTCTTCCAAAAGTATTGGGGTGGATGGGCTTGCGTTACTGGCGCTGGATTTCATCCGGGATATACCAGACCATAAGCGCAATAGAGGAGGAGCGAGGAGGACGCCGATCATTCCTCCCAGGGTCGAGGGATCCTGTCCACGAAAACATATTCCGTGGAATATAAACAGCACGAACGAACGAATTCTTCCCTATTGAGTCTGTGGCTGCTTGGGTATTATGCCTCCAATTCTTGTGGCATCCAGTCAAAGCACCTTCACATGTGTCTCAAATTCCCATCCGCTTATCACTGACCCTCTGGGTAGAGGCTGCGTACATACGCTCCCGGTCAACCGAGCTCAGTGCCTGCTCCATATGCGCCTCACCCGCGATCTGACTCAGCATTTTCGCTGTGGCATTGGCAACGAGCCACTGGTCGTACGTATTCAGGACACCGACGATCCAGACGAACTGGACGTGTTCCGGGCCGAGACGGTGCACACGGCTGATGATCTGGCCAAGGGTGGAATGTTGTCTGGCATGTCAAAGATAACGATTTTGTGACACGCACCCTGAATGTTCAGTCCCAGCGCCGAGGGGCGGCTGTTGAGGAGTAAGAAACGGGCATCGTCGTCCGGGTCGTTCCAGCGCGCCAGGATACAGCTGCGTTCGGCAGCCGTGGTGCCGGGCCAGATCGCAAGATATTTGATGCCAAAATTGTGCAGGAAGCAGTCCGGTCCCCACTGCGTGTGAGCCCAGTTCATCATGAAGACGGTCTTACCATTAAACCGTCTGCCTTCGTCTCCATACATGGATATATAGATACCTAGGTATGCTTCGCCATGTAAACGGGTGTCACCGTTTGGTGCCATGCGGGAAGCCACGAGACGAAGATGGAGAAACGTCGTTGAATGGATAAGTCTGGTTTCATATCCGGCTTGTTGGAGCTCTGCCGCTTTTTCGAGAATGTCTTGATGAAGACTTCGGGAGAATTTAAGACCTTCGTGCTGGTCAAGACCCTTGAGCTCGCCAGACTGAGCATGGCACACGATGTCCTCGCGACGACGACGAGGATAAGCGCAAGTCCCTTGAATGATCGTTTGCCTGTGGGAGTCACCACCTTCTTTCTTCCCCTTACCAGCCTCATACTGCTCCATGTTTCTCGCCATCCACTTTGATCCACTGAAACTATCGTCCTGAGCCGCTCACCGCCGTGGACTGATCGTCGACAATCCTGTTGCCAGACTCGTCAAGAATCGTCGAGCCGAAGAGTTGGCTGTCGGATATGATGTCCACGCTTAGTTTCCCACATCTTTCTCCGAAGGCATTTATTGGGGTGCTGAGATGATCTTGTGGTTTAGAAACCCGGACTTGTTGGCTGAGCTGACCCCAGATCATATAATGACAGGCAGAAAGGTCGCAAAGGTGAGCAATCCATAGTCTCGTGGTTCTCTGTCGTGGTAGACGTTTGACATATCGGTCTGTCCAAGACACGGTATAGGCAAGTGACAATGTGGCGTTCAATATTCACGAAGTTGGCTTGGCGAGCAGATTCACCATCTTTTCCCTATGCTTCCTGCCTCTTTTGAAGCGCGTTTTGCACTGCGTTTAGCGCTTGCTGTCGCGCCTGTCGTTGAGGCGTTGACTGGGACTACCATCAGTCAGTCCCGACTCAGCCTCGTCACATGATCAGAATGCAGAGAACTTGCTTGAGCAACATTGATGGGGCGACCATCATGGTCCAGCGACCGAGACAGTTTGACATTGGGCAATGATTCAAATGCGATCTTTTGTTCGAAAAATTGTTGGTGATTGTTGTCGAAAGCGGCCCACACGCCATCAGTTGCGCCTAGATAGGCCAAGTCCAAGGGCATCTTGGCCGTGAGAGCGAGCAGATCCAGAACAATCGCAGGAAAGCTGAGTGAAGCTTTGAGGGGCAACACAAGCGAGCGAGATGGGCGCCAAGTGAGAGAATGCAAGAAGCTTGTGATCCAAGACAGGTCTTTCGTATCAGATAATCAGGTGGTAGGGGAAGCCAGGGCAATTATCTGAGCAATTTGAAGATGAGCGAAAGATAGATGCAAGGGGAGATGAGGACGTGAGAAGGATAAATAGGAAGAGCAGTGAGGGAAGCAAACGGCGCGGCGAGGCGCGACTGGGAAAGCAATGAATACAGGACTAAACTTCACAATGAACAGTGAATGAATCGGTACAATCAAAGCTTCTGGTTCTTTTTCATTCCGCTTCTATCCCTGTCAGCCTCTATTGTGTCTGTGTATCGATCAACGTACTATGCAAACAAGTACTTCGCGGCGTGGTCAATGTGATCATCCGCAAAGGTTGCCATTGTGTAGTAGCTGTGGTCATAGTCTGGCTGGAATCTGACGTGGACTCCTTTCTCCTGCCCAATTTCCTTCGCGGCTGCAATGAAGTTTTCAGGGAGAAGCTGTCCTTGTTTGTAGAAATTGTCACCGGTTCCCTGCGGAGGTCAGCAGTGTACGAGCACAGTCAAGGACGGCAACATACCACATCAATCAAAATGTCCAGGGGCCCGCCTTTCCACTGCTTGATCAGTTCTGTCGAATCATGCTGGGCTCCCAGCTTTTGCCAGTCGTCACCGAAATAGCCTTTGAACGCCTTCTCACCCCAGGGACACTTGAGGGGATTGGCAATGGGAGCAAAGGCGCTGACACTCTTGTATTTTCCCGGATTCTTCAGGTACAGGGAGAGGGCGCCATGACCTCCCATACTGTGTCCACTGATACTAACCCTGCTAGAATCAATCTGATCTTTAAAGGCTTCGAAGACGGTTTTGGGGAGTTCATCGGTGATATATGAGTACATCTTGTAGTTCTTGGACCATGGGTCGGCACTCGCATCGACGTAGAAACCTGCACCGGTACCGAAGTCGTAGGCATCGTCTTCACCTTTGATACCAATACCCCCTGCATGCCGTCAGTCCACGCATCGATCGTGAAAATCCGGAGGGGACCTACTTGGGCTTGTGTCAGGGTACAATACAGCGATGCCCTTCTTACTGGCACCGTGTTGAAAGAAGCCCTTTTCAGAACAATTGTCACCGGTACATGTGAGACCAGAGAGCCATATAAACAGAGGGACTTTGTTGCTTGCAGCTTGAGGAGGAAGGTACAGGTTGAACTTCATCTCGCAGCCAGTGGTGGAGGCATTGTGAGCGAGCTTCAGAAGCTTGCCGCCGAAGCTGGCGATGGTGGCTTGAGTGGTGACGGACATGTTGTACCTTTTGGCTTCGGGGATTTCGTTTTGGAGAGAATGAGAAAACAACAATGGACTGTGAGGAAATGTTTTGGTAGAGCATGTTTTTGCATATGAGAAAATGACGTGGGGACAGCGCAGGCCCAGGGAGGGGGAGGCCGCATTGGAGAAGAGGATCAACTGCCCCGCAGGTGGCCGTGGCAGTGGCAGATGCGGAACAGCAGTCAGTGAGGACCATCTCTTAGAATGGGGACAACTCGGGAGTGTGCAATCTCACCGGAAGAGGCACCAGTAAATGGAAGAGAAGAAACAGATGGATCAGGGAAGAGGGGCCGATGTGAAGCTCTCCAATCAGTCTATCGGCAGTGGTATGAGGATGAATTGGGATACGTTTTCCGCCGACAAGACAATTTCCCTTCCGAGTTCTGAGTCCCGACTGTGAGCTAGAGGGTTCCTGGTAGATAGAAAGTGTTGGCTGCCTGCGCCCTGTAGAGGTGTTCAAGTGCCGGAGTCTGGGTCCTGAGCTGATAATCGTACAGAAGTCAGATTAACACCGTCAAGCACAAAAGGCAAGGTCACTGTCAAGGCTGGGAGCACAATGATACACACTCAACCGTCTAAAACACCAGCGAATGATGGAATCTAGGTGCAAGGTTGCGCGGCAAGGAAGATCGGCAATACTTCGGAACTGCCTGCGAGGCTGCCAGAAGATGCCACCACCACCGTCACTGTCAAGACAGTGTACTTGCATTATTCAGACGCTGCTCTCTCCGTGACCACCTGCAGCTAATTTACTCGTGCTTTTATATCAACGGCCAAGGAGATCCGTTCTCCCCCACTTCACTCCCTCTTCATCTAGTGAACCCTCCCAGTCAGCCATGGCGTCGGTCGCCTCATCCACACCCTCTGTGCAAGAAGCGACCCTTCCCAAGCATCCCGCCTCGTCTCAACCGACCTACAACTTCAGCTTCACGCCCTTCCTCCGCAGCAATGGCCTTGCTGCGCTTGCTTCCACCATCCCAGTCTGTCCCGATTTCGCCAGTACAGGCCACTGTCCGCGCGGGCGTCGCTGTCCCGACCGCCATCCCACACCCACCCAACCGCAGGCACCGCACTCCCAGCAACATCACTACGGTCGCCACGCCAATGACAACTATGTCTGCAAACACTGGCTCAAGGGCCTCTGCAAGAAGGGGGACGCCTGCGATTACCTGCACGAATATAACCTCCGGAAGATGAGCGAGTGCCAGTTCTACAACCAAAACGGATACTGCCAAAACGGCGACGAGTGTCTCTACGTCCACGTCAAAGAGGGCTCGAAGCTGCCCATGTGTGAAGACTATAACAAAGGCTTCTGCGAGAAGGGACCTAGATGTCCCAATCGACACGTGAGGAGGAAGTTGTGCGAATTCTATCTGGCGGGATTCTGTCCGGACGGGAAAGAGTGTAAACATGGGGTCCATCTCAAAAGCGGCCCGGCAGCGGCGGCGGCGGCTGCCGCAGAGAAAGACGCGGATGCGCAGAGAAGAGACAGAGTCGCAGACTTGGAAAAGAGGGAGGAAGAATCGCGCAAAGACTACGGTTGGAAGGGTGGCAGAGGTGGGAAAGCAGGGAGATGGAGAAGCAAACGGGACAGGAGATGAACAGGAAGAGAATCTGCCATACTCGACAGGAGAATTGGCAATTCCTGCCACGGTTCTACGTCGATCCTTTCTCACTGTTACCGGAGAGTGGCGCCAACGCTGTCGGCATTACCTGGTCCAGCATGCGAGTCACGAAATTCTCCATAGCTGGAAGAGCTGCGCCAAGTCATTAACACACCCAGCGTACAGCTAACGAGACCAGTCAGCAGAGTGAGCCCTCTATCCGACTCTTCGACGCCTGAAGAAGGGTATTGCAGATATTCAAGCAGCTCCCGGATATTGTTCAAGGCGATGACATACCCGCATGCCATATTCTGCACAGCGAAGCCGAAGACATTTCATCGGAGTCTCTACCATTCCTCTTCGCCAATAAGACAGCGAACGAGCATGCAAATGAAGGACTCGAATGGATGCCAAATGCCCATAAACATCATCGGCCGGCTATGCCTGCTGAAGGACCCGAAGAAGATTCGGCGCCGAGCACTGATTCTCGGCAGCCAGGATGGGAGGGCCGAAAGGAGGACAGAGGTAGGAGCAAGGCACCTCGTACACGGTCCCTAGGTGGTTCTACATATCGTGGGGTAGTTGTTGTCATCTTCATTGACAAGCCAGCTACTCGGACTGTCCTCTAGTACTCGATTTCCGGGTATATACAAGAAAGACAACATCAAAACGGATGAATAGATAAGAGAATGAAAGTTACATCGATACCCAGAAATGTACCCTATATTTATTCCGGTCTATATTATGCATCATCCTCTTCTCCATATTAGGCCTTTCACTCGTCCTTTCTCAGTGTCACCTACTGTAGTATATGTGATTTCCATCCCAGTAAACCTACCTAGGTACCTACCTACCTACCAGGTAGATAATGTCTCGCTCTTTCCGTCTGTTCTTGAGATCTTAATTAAAAGGAAAGCCATGGAGAAGGAACAAAAGCTGGTTAACTTATTGTGGCCTTGCTCCCGTAGATAATTCCCGTTACGCTACCTAGGTAGGTAAGGAGTCACTGTCAATCGACAAACCACATGCAGGTAGTATGCTACGGACCCTGGTATGAAAGGAGTAGAGGTAGGTAATTGTGTGATATGCCACCCACCCAACCATCCATGCAAAAAGACAACGCCGCCCGCTATGTGCGTCTACAGTTTTTCCAAGAGCAAGCCCGACGACAAAAAACAAAAAAAAACAAAAAAAGAAGTATAGCCCAAGGTTTCCGCTGCGCTGTTCCTATGCCAATCTTTTTCCAAACCAATTTCGTGCCCGCGGCTTTATACGATGGCGTATTTCTCATCTGTGCTGCCCTTCGCCTGTAGGCGCAGCAGTTGCTGGAGGAGAAGTCGCAGCTTTTTCGACATCCTTTTCCAAAGTGGCCCGCCTACTCCTCTGCTTCTCCTCCCTCTCGCGCAAAATCTCTTGTCGGACCCGCTCTTGCTCCTCAATGCCCGTCCTCGCCTTCTCATGCGTGTTGCTCAGCTCCTTCTTCCTGATGAACAAGCTCACGAAGATCCCAAACGCCGCAAAACACGTGTAGAAGATCCACATTGTCCTCAGCGAGTCGGTGTATGCCTTGTCGACGGCGGCGCGGGCGGGGCCGTGGAGAGTGCGGACGATGGACGTGGTGGCGCCGAAGGAGGAGGAGGTCAGAAGTCTCGCGCGCTGTGATCCGAGGACGGGGACAAGGCTAGCGTACTTCTTGGAAAGTTCATTAGTGAAGACGACGCCGCCCAGCACGACCGAGATGGAAGTGGAGAGGTTGCGAGTGAAGCCGAATGTCGCTGTTGCGACAGCCATATCGTGACCCTTGATGTGCGCTTGCAATGCAATCAATGGAGACTGGAAATTGGGCCCAACACCGATACCTGCAATGATCTGGTATATGATAATCTTGGTCCAATCCTTGTCGGCTGGCAAGTCGATGAACAATCCGTAACCGAGAGTCATGACGCAGAGGCCAAACCAGATGGGGTCCCGGAATCGACCTGTCTTCTTCACGTATAGGCCCGTGGCTGTCGAGACAAAGGACAACGTGAGGACCATTGTGAGAAGATACACTCCAGAGAGAATAGGACTAGCGCCAAGCACGGTCTGAAAGTAGAACGGGAGATAGTAGCTCCCAGCAATGAAGACAAAGCCGTGGATGAAGCAGACTCCCAACGCTGCGAGGTTGGAGCGGTTCTTGAATAGCCGAAGGGGGATGACTGGATATTTCGCCAGCTTCCACTCGTTTAGGAAGAACAAGACGATGGTGAAGACCCCAAAAATGATCAGGCATAAGGTGTAGGCACTGTCCCAGGGTTTCGTCGTGCCTCCTGAGGTCATGCCAAACAGGAACATGACCACTCCACCGACAATCGTGACGACACCAAGCCAATCGATAGCCTTGACCCCATCCCAAAAGGGTGTCTTGGGAGTGTCCAGCTTAAGGAAGAACGTGAGCAGGATCAAGGAAAGACCATCCAGCGGCAAATTGATGTAAAAGCACCATCTCCAGGAGACGCCCTCGGTGAAAGCGCCACCCACAACGGGACCGACTCCAGAGGCAATGGCCCAGACCATGCCCAAGATACCAAAGTACTTGGGTCTTTCTCTCATGCTGAATAGGTCGCTTATGCAGATGTAGACCAGTGTTATGAGACCACCTCCGCCAATGCCCTGAATCACCCGTCCCCCAATAAGGAGACCGATCGAGTTACTCAGGGCCGCGACCAGACTTCCGGCCATGAAAATTCCATTGGCGAACGTGATGATAGGCTTGCGGCCCCAGATGTCTGAGAGTTTGCCCCATAGAGGGACACTTGCAGCGTTTGCAAGTAGGTATGCAGAACCGACCCAGGTGTAATCTGAAGCCGAGGCGTGAAAATGCTGGGCGATGGTAGGTAAAGCTGTGGTGATGATGGTGACGTCCAAGGCGGCCAGGAACAAGGCCACACACAAGGAGAACATGATAATGATAGTGCGGCTCTTTGAAAATTGGGAGGCTCTGGATTGTGTTCTGTCCAGCGCGGGCTTTTCGAGAGCCGGCTCTTGGGGCGGTGATGCATTATCTCGTGGCGTTTCCACGACGACATCATTTGCATCGTCAGGAAACTTCTCTGATGCTGGGTTGCTGGACGATGCAGGTGAAGTGGTATCATCCTGTGCGGTGCCTGTCTCTGGAGGGTGGATGGCTCCCGGCGGAGCAGCACCTCCAGGCTTGAGGTATTCGGCCGCCGCCTCGACTCTCTTTTCGGGGTCCGACGTCATATTGAATCAAGGGTAACGATATTGGATATGAGGTCTGCAGTTTTCACGAAAAGCAATGAATGCAGATTTGTCGACCCGTGAAGATATATTGACGAAGGCGCAAAGACAGTGGTGAGTAACAGGTTAGGACCTATTTTGTATGCGATATTCTTGTACGAAGTATGAGGCGAGAGTTTGAAAGTGACGGCCACCGCCTTAAGTCCGATCCAATCGAGAAAAAAGAGAGGAGCCTTTTCAGGCCGACAAACAATACCAGGGGTTTCCGAGTGGCTAGAAATTGCGCATGGTGAACAGGCAGCCGGAAGGATAATAGAATGTTGGGTTTGCAATCAAAGAATGCGGGCGACGGTGGTGAAAATTCGCCATGGAGGACAACAGCCAAAAAGGTCGACCCTTTGGCCTCGAACAAAGAAACAGACGGACCCGAATGTCGATGCCGAGCCGATTACGAGATCTGGGGGGGATGATGTTCGAAGGGGTCACCAGGGCAAGAGCGAATCAATGACGAGGAGAGAAAAAGTCGTGACGATAGCTTGAGCTGCAATGAGGATGCTGCGTACTCGCTGCACGTACCTATGGGAGGGTCGTGGGGAGCGCCGTGTACGGAATTCTGTTCGTCAAAAGTCTATTAGTAAAGAGAAATGCGGAGGGGGCAGCAGGGGGAATGTACCGAGTGCCCGCTCCTTTTCGAATCATCGATAGAGTCGAATCAAAGCTGCCGGATCATGTGGAGAAGAGCAGGGAAGACAAGGGAATTTCTTCGTTGACTGGTCTTCGCACAATCGCCTAGCACAGAAACGAACCAGAAAAAGAACTTGAGGGTCAACGAAATCTATTCGGCTCCTCGTGGTGCCGGTGCCGCGTCACGTGGCTTGCATGTGACCACCGTTTGACCATCACCGACACAATGGGTGCCAGCAGCTACTCATTCGGGCAATTAAGTACTGACCACCATCATTGCAACCACTATTACGGCCTTATTTCTGGGACTGCAGGGAATACCAGGTATGTTGGATGTCTTGCTTGCCAAGATCCCAAGGTCGCTGGCCGATACAAAGAAATCACCGCTTTGATACATAACTGCGCTGCTGCTGTTCCCTGTGCGACAAAGTCATCCTTCCCCCTCCTTTTAAAACGACAACAAGAAGATCTTCCGGTCCAAGCTCAAACTTTGTGGCAACTTCAAGCAACCCTCCCTCCACTGTTGTCACCCCCTGATACTCTAATTCCGCTCAAATTGCGTGCCGTGAAATTCAAGATGCCACCCATCGATGTATCCTGCGAGGTATATTGAGCAAGTGCTAGTACCCCTCCAACGACGTCAAAGAAATGCGTGCTCATATCCAGCCATTTTCATCCCAATCTTCAATTCAACGGTTTGTGGCATCGCAGACAATCCATCTGCATCTTCCATACCACGGGTTCAAATGGACCTTTGGTCTTGTGCTTCCCCTGAGGCACCAGCTGCCAGAGGGTTGCAGAATGAATGTACTCATCTTCTCCGAGCTTCTTCACTGGGGAGATCTTGCCCTCCAGTTTGCCTACCCATGGCTTCTCGGCCTTCGATTTCCGCTTGATTGCCTGGCGGATCATCTTCGATCGATTTTTCCTCGAGGCTTCGTTTTCTCCAGACACTGGAGTCTCGTGTGTCAGCGTCCCCTTTTTGAACTGCTCCCACGCCCTCTGTTCCATGACGGTGATCAAGCAATCTTCGTGGTTCCACATGAGGCAGTCCGCCTCCCGGCACTGGTACATGTCCCGCTCGGGATTGTCGTAGCCTCCGCAAACGCAAAACTTGCGAAGCTTGCTGAGCGCACGAGGGTTCGTCCTCCCCTTATTGATGTCGTAAGTTTGGCGCCAGTATCTCTCTCCAAGTTCCGTTTTGTTGGAGTCGTCACTCTCGTCCCAATAGCTGACTTCGGCACCCCACGTAAGTGCCTGCGCCTCGATAATGTCGACTTGATTGCTCATCACTAGTTCTTTTCTGCCATGGTATGGTTGTCGCCCCATGGGCAATTCCTCAGGCCAGTACAGCCAGAACAGCCGGACGTAGACCGTCTCTCGGTCCAGAGCTTTAAATTCTGATACAACCCCAACCCAGAGATTTTCCTTGTCATATTTTAGTTTCTCGGCCGATGAAGCATTCTCCGGAGGTGCAGGTGGCGGCGGCATATGCCGATTGACATAGACAAACTGGCCAGCCGTGTACGTGACTTCATGAGTCTCCTTGACTGTGTGCGTACGCGTCGCGTCAGAACAGGACATGGCTTCAGGAGTGGGTGATACTCACACCTTGCATTCTTGAATCTTGTCAATTGGTCCCATTTCGACCCCGGGATCAGCGCAAAGTCAATGGAGAGTTGAGACAGGCGCAGAGGAAAGTCCTGGAAGAGTGAGACGTCGGCGTCTTCCCCTAGAGTCCTCCAGCGCTTGGGCGTAACAGGGCAGATGACAGTAAACTCGCAAGGCTCGCTTTCGACAGTATACTGGACGTCGGGAGTGCGACTTGCTCCCTGATATCCAGAGGGGGCTGCACCTGGTCTGGGTCCATCTTCCATTTCGCTGGCGCTTCGCTTGCGCCCGATCACCTGGTCCGACTTCACGATCTCCTGCTTCTTGGTCTGCTCCTGCTCGCTATTCCTTGTCTCCTCCGTTTCGGGGGTGCTTTTACTACTTTCATCCTCCTCCTCTGACTCGCTTTCATTATGGGTTGCGGGAGAAAGATATTCTTCCCACTCAGTCGAAGAGGCCATCAGGAACAGCAATGAAGGCGCGTGTAGCGGAAGTAGAAGCGATGGGTTGGGGACTCGTCAAGTCCGATGTCGTGACAGCTAGGAATCTTTCAGAAGGAGCGAGGATTGCGAGGATCAAAGAGGTTTGGATCGATCCAAAAGCGATGAGAAGTTCACGTTCGACGCGTCGCAAAGGAAGGCGCAGTTGAGGTTGAATTTGCTTCGGATTCGACTCGGTTACAGCAGATATGAATACAGCAACGACGGCGTCTGCAAAGTTACCACAATGAGTCGTCACCCTGACACCGCATTTAGCGACGCGAAACAAAAAAAAAAACTTTGGAGCGCGGTTGGCAGGTCTGTGTGAGATGGATGGTGGATGAGAGAAGTGCGAGGTCAAGATTGTTGGGCGCATGGGGGTAGTGACCAGCGTGTGAAGGTTCACCACGAGCTGTGCTGGCGACGGCTCTGGCGTTCTCCCGGTCGCCTAATGCCGCCTAAGCTGTCCAGCGCGTTCCAGCCCACTTGTCGCCGGCTTCCCCTAAAGTCACGGCCAACCAATACGACTTGTTGGTGGCAGAAGCAACCCCTCACTTGGGTGAACAGTCGTAGTGTCACCAGTGCTGCGTCTGCCGCATGATGCTTGCATGCCACACCAGTTGGAGCCCGAGGACGTCTTGTTGTCGACGTGTCGAAATTGCCCGAGACAGCGATGCTCCTCCCAATCGCTACCCTGAGTTTTGCGGCACGCGCTCTGAGCCAACCACTTGCTGATCATCCAAGCGGTTAGGGAGCATCTGGCAGGGTGATTCATCATTGTGGTATTATCCAGCAGGATAAGATAACATGTGACTGATCCATGCAGTATGTGTGCAGTAACTTCTCTAATACACTCTGGTTGAGTTTCTGTCTACTCATATGTCACCCCCAGAGCTTTGCTTTCTAGATCGCCAACACCCGGAGCAACCACCATATTAGGGTATCATCATTGGTCGAAGCACCGTTCATTTCTGCCAACTCCTGTCCGTGAGACCTGTGTCATTTTACTTCTTGACAGACGGAGACCCGAAGAATCCCTTGACCTTGTCCATCCAACCGCTTTGCTTCTTCTCGTGGATATGTTGTTCATTTCCCGCGCCCCCTCGTCCAACGTGGTGAGACTCTACCTTGGCAACACGCGTGGCAGTCTCGGGAACAACTTCTGCATCGTGCGGCACGTCTGATGTTGGCTTCACCTCATGCTCAATGTTCCCTGCACCACCGCGACCTGCCGAGTATGGTCCGTCACCTTGGTTCCCGACAGGTCCCTCGCGCACTATCCCTCCATCGACGTAGGTGTGGTCGTCGGGGCCTATGTTCGCGGCACCTGAAGGGTGTTAGTAAGTCGGACTGGGTAACGAGGGGTGCTGAGCCTACCTCCGCGACCGTGAGAGACGTTGGCCATACTTGTACAGTGGAATCTGGGGATCTATCCGGATCAGCCAAACTGTGCAAATTCTGATTGCACAGAGCGCAGTTTTGGTGAGTGGCGTGGTTATTTAATATGTCAAGGTGCCAGAGGAACAGGGAGACGGCCCCACAAGCCTAGGGCAAGGCTGCGTGGGAAAAGTCGGAGAAGTCACTTACCGCGGTGTTACGCAGTGATGTCGATGTTTTCGAGGTGTAAATTGGTTAGATTTTCAAGTTGTGGAAGTTGAGGAGGGCCGAGGCCGCTTGTTTGGAGATTCTGGAAGAAGCAGAAGGTGAACGAGAGTGAGTCGGCGGGTGTTGATATGGGCAGAGGTACTCGGGGCTATCCGAGCAGACCAAGAAACTTGAATGCCATGACAATTGCAACTGACAAACTGCAATTGAGGTCGGAGCAAATAATAATGGCGTGACTTCCGTCCAGCGCCCAGCGCCCAGCGCTCAGCGCCCAGCGACCGCCATTGTCAGTTTGCTCAAAATGACGTCCAGCGACTGACAGCTAGATGGAGACTACTGCGTAAATAGCAGACAACGGGCTTGCCAGGCTTGCTTTTTGACGTGAGCCAAGATTCGCTAAGCTCTCATGCCCAGCCTTGCGCTATCAATGGCCAATCCCAGTCGCCCATCCACCCATTCATCCTCCTGCTAGGTACCAAGCCAGTACCGAGTCCGAATTACGAGAGCACCGAGCGCTTTCTTTAGGTAAGACTTGTCAACGTACCTACTTGGTCATCGCATGGTGGTCCTACGCAGCGTAAATTCATAGTGGAGCTATCAAATATCCCATTCTTTCAAGCCAGTGCCCGGTGTCATGTACAGTAATTCATTTAACCGCCCGTCCAGCGCTGGCTAGTTATCCTCCATCTTTTTCGCGTTCTCTTGACTTGGTGAGCACGGTCTACATCTTCGCAGTCTCCTTCTTCTCCTGGGGGCCTCCAGTTGTGGGCAGGCCCATGAAGATCTTGAAAGAGTCGTAGATCATCCATTGCAAGCCGGTCAAGGTTCCAATCATGACCTAGAGAGTTTTGAGCATTAGCAGGCGCATTCACTTCCGCTGTCAGGAGCTGCAAACTCACAATTCTGACGGGAAGACCGTTCCAGAGACCCGCGAATCCAATCTTGGAATAGATGCGGCTCATGGCACCACCGAAGCTCTCACCAGGAGCACGATCCGCGTTGAGTTTGCTGACCATGACATCCGCAGGATGTGACACAATCGCGCAGAGAATACCAGCAAGATAACCACCAACAAAGGCCACACCAGTTTGAGCGCCCTTGCCGTAATCAGACTTGCTGCCCGGGAGGTAGGCGTAGATGGCGGCAACAATGTTTTCAAAGGAGGCAAACTTCATCATGGTATAGGGGATCTGCCGGCCCCATAGAGGATAGAGACCCTTGTACAAGCTTCAAGCTGTCAGTATTACTTGACATCTGGATCCTGCAGATTGGACTTACCCGCCAATCCCTTCTTTGGCCGAGATTGTAGACAGTCCATTCAAGGTACCGGAAAACGCGGGCGGCATGGTGGTCTGCATGCGGACCTTGACGGCTTCGAACGGGCAGAGTCCAACGTCGGCAATGAATTCGGCCGAAGCAGAGGCAGTCAAGTAGAGAGTGGTCTTGTATTTCTGAGCGTTCTCCTCACCAGCCAACTCGGAGTACAAGTGTTTGAAGTATTCATAGAAGCCATATTTGCCAGCTCCTTGCACCGAGTAGCCAACGAAGGTCGGCCCAAAACCGGTAAAGATACCCCGGAAACCTTCAGTCCTGGCGATGGTGCTCCAGGCCTGAAAGTTACCCTTGTAGAGGTTGGGGTCGACCTGACGACGGCATTTGACGAGATCGAGAGGTGTGACGGCTGCGTGGGTGGTACCCTGTGTTGTTGGTTAACTCCGGAAACATAGCGGAGGAGCAAAACCATCGACATACGCATGCTAAGATACCTCCAACGGTACATGCGGCATAGTACTTGGCAGAATAGAGCTCGATTGCTCCAGCTTTGGCTTGGGCCTTTGCGCTGGCCTTCTCATATTCTTTTTGGGCAGCTTCGCTCAGTTCAAGCGCCTTGTCTTTGGCAGCATCGGCCGCACTCCATGAGGAGAAGAATCGACGCTTTTCAAGGTTTTCGGTAGGTTTGGGAGCAGGCTTGTAGTATGGGGAGGTGGGTGTGAATGCCTGGCACAAAGCCGCCGAGTTGGGGAAGAGCCCGACCATTGTGCTGTATCCTGATCAGCTTATCTCCGGGAGTCCAATTGAGTAGGTTGAACAAGCTATTGACAGGAGAAGGCGGAGGGATGGTGCGTGAGCTGGAGAAATACCTCAAGTCTTGATGGATGAACAGACTGCGGCAGATGGATGCTAGGTATTGTGGAAATGAGCGACGAGTGACGATAAAAAGTTGAGAGGTGAAGAGGGAGCAAGTCAGTTCAAGGAAGCGAGCAACAGCATGCGCGGGACCGAGGGGGACCAAGCTGTGGGCGTCAGTGGGCGTCAGTGGGTGCCAGTAGTGCTATCGTCACAGCTCGCCGACCCCAACGTCCACTACCTACTGGTTGGCCGCTGCGGGCCTGGGGAAGGTGGCTCGGTGGGTTTTGACCTCCCTCCCGTTGCTCCAGCAGGTGCTGGTCCGTGCTTTTCCAGCTGGTGCTAGTACCAGCAGTACGTCACAGCTACGGCCGCGCATAAAAGCAATCAGCCGCAATTATCACGAGGTCCGAGTCGATCGTAAAATTGAGGCATAGCTTTTGTGGTTGGCCCATTCCAGCCAGCAACAACATCTCGACTCTACAATATACCAGTGATAGCATGTTCAGACAATAGCGGTCTATGAACTTCAAACCTCTATCGCTCTGACGCGACACGAACGCAACCCATGGATCATTCTCAGTCCCTTCTCGAGCAGGGCGTGCCCTTGGGCCCGACGCTCGTCCCGCAGCCCAACGGACTCCCTCCTGGCGAAGACGAACGAGCTGCCAGATTGTCGACATGGGCAGACAAGTATCGCGGTGCCACTGTGGCGGACCTAGATCTACCACCTGCACTCTCAACTTCGCCAAGCACGTCACTTGCTTCTGCCATGCTCTCGGCTTCATCTCATGACTATTCGCACTTGACGGTCCTCTCTGACACTACTCGCTCCCTCCTCGGCTACCTGCCCATTTCGCAATTGAAGCAACTTTTCGAGTCTGGACGCCTGCAGCCCTCTGACCCAGTATCAAAAGCCATGGTGAAATTTCAGCGGCGCGGAGGAAAGAAATACCAAGTAATCACAATGGAGACCGAGCTATGGGAACTTGAAGGGTTTTTCGAGGACATTGGACCGCTGGCGACAGGTGAAAAACAAGATTTTGCCGTCGTCACCGACGGTGGTAGAAAGTTCGTCCTAGGAGTCGTCACGAGGGGTGATCTGGAGGAGTTTGTGAAGAGAAGGCCGGCCTGACCTCCAGAGGCCATGACATGTTGAGAGCCTTGACCCAGACGCCCTAGGAGCAAGCGAATATCTCAATTCGAACCTCCGTGCATACCTCTAGATACCCCTGCAAACGCAACCGGTGCTGTTTGCAATGCTCCACTTTTCTGCCGCAACTCGAAATCCATGATGTCCTTCCTGGGTTGCGTGGAAGGTACTTGTGAGTTCTCTTGCCAGCAACCTTGAGGCTGGTTAATGGGTCGACCATCGGCAGGACCAAATGCCAATGTGTATGTGGACGCCCGCCTTTCGAGCACATTATCTACAATGCAACAGAACCTTGTTCGGCCGCCCCCGCCACCTAGAACAGCCAACTCTGCTAGGCCCAGGTGTGAAACTGGAGAATTCTGAGATGTTTTGGGCTCGCCCCAAAGTCAAACATTCAGACGTTGCTCCGCCTTTAGCAACAAGGTCAACAATGGATTCAGGCATATTTACAAGGAGGACCTGTGGGCTCTCCTGGATGCATTTTTCCGGAAGATTATGCGACATGCAGGAGAAACATTTGTACAGTCAGTCTGATACGTCGGTGTCTTAGTCGAAGATTTTAGCTGCCACAGCAAGCGATCAAAACCAAGATACCTGCCTTGTCCTGGCTGGGAAGGATCAATTTACCACACACGGCTACGCTTCATGCCAGCCGCACAAATGCCATGATTCGTACTTGCCAGTGGATGGCTTTTGCCAGCAAATCCACTTGCCACTCCAGGACTGCTATGAGAGAAACCTTTATCTCGGCGGCAACTGCAACGCAGAATTTCCGTTTTCCTGCCAGTCATTGTGTACCAGACACTCTTCCTTTGTCGACCTCATTCACCACATAACCCTCTGTATTAGCCACGAGTCTTGTCTCAATATGGACAACCGTTCTATTCTCATGTCAACATGCCTGAGTCGATCAAGGACCTCCCCTCCGACGTCTTCCAGGAAATGCTCAACAGAATGTCTTATTCTCCTATAGCTAGTGACAGGGCCGTCATCAACTGCCTTTTGACCTGTTCGCTGTGGCGCCTTATTGGAGAATCGATCTTATACTCCAATGTCTCGTTGATCGACGCCCAGCTTGTCAAATTCTGTAAATGGCCAAACCATGCTACAAAATGGACGAAGACCGTGACAATCGGAATCGAACCAGCCTATTACTAGCATGGGTCTGTCCTCAGTGTCAGTGAAACACGGCGCTCAGGAGCGCTATGCCGCGGTTGTCCCTGATTGTTGGCTCGATGTTAAAATTGCAAAAATTCTCGTTCCGTGTGACCTATGAGGGACGTCGCCCTTTGACCATGGGATTTGCCTTATGCCGCAATGAGCTCAAAAACATCCCTGCACTCTCTACCGGTATCAGTCCGAAATTTGGAAGTCGATACACTGGTGCTATGGCTGCGGGCCGGACTCGGCGCACCTCTGCACCACGCTGAGATGCTTGATGCCTCAACTGGACAACCTATTGTCTGAGATTGGCAGGGTTATGTGATCATTTGCTTCCAAAAGACGTGACGGTAAATATGCTCTTGCCCAGTGCCGGAGTTCGAATGAGAGGCGATTCCCTCCATCCAAATCGTTGGCGAACGAGGTCAACATTCGTCAAAGGCGGAGAGGGTGAAATACCCCAACCATAACAGGACATGAATTGCATATGCCTGGTTAGATCCTTCGCATCTGGCACTCCATAGTCATGAGACCTGCAACACACTATGATATGTGAGACTGTCAATCTCAAATTTCTGAGCTGAAGATGTGAAGCGGGCTAGAGGGGGAGAGCTGATCTCGAATGCTGGCAATCCACGTGACAAGGCTGGAGCTCCCCTTTTTGTGCCCCTTCCTGTGTCTCTCGTGGTGCGCGAGACTTCTCCTTTTGCGATTTGAATTTGACATCGGATGTTACGCAAATTTCCATTTTATGGGTAAAGGTTAAATCTACACACAACCGGCGGAAGCCAGGTTGGTCAGTCCTGGCTACTGCGCAAGCTCATGACGGCTTGACTCGGATGGTCTGCTTGGGTGGGAAGTTCATGGCAGCGTGGCTTAGAAGTGTATGAACTGCCGGGGACGGAATCACGGCCATGACGATGTACAACGAGACAGGAAGTTTGAGCAGGAACCTCTGATTTCTTCATGATCGTCTAGAAAGCCTCCCAAGAATCTACGTTTCCATCATCGTTGTTATCGTCATCAGCTCAACTTGTGACCAACCTGAGCGTCTCCTGCACCGTGTGATACACCGGTTTCAGAGCAATCAAGAAATGGTCCCTGAGTTATCGGCGCAGTCGAAGACTTTGGAAATCAATCCATCGTCAAAGGCCTGCTTGATCGACACGGCAACCCCGTACCTGTGGATCCGTGTTAATTGATGTTCTCTGGAGAAAAAGGGACGAAGAAGAGAATGAAGAAGAAAAGACAGAGGGGAAAAGATAGATAGGAAGTCATGCTCTTTTGAGAATCAACGGGAAACTTTGGGGGGGTTCAACTTACGTTCCGCCAACGACCATGAAGAGCCCGACCAGCACAATGAGGATATGGAATCCGTAAAAGGCCTTCTGGGAGGCGCTGCCTCGAGCGTAGGTCTTGTAGTCGTACATCCACAGCATGGCCGGGAAGATCAAGCTGAAGGGGGCGAAGCACAGAGACCCCGCCAATCCCAAAAGATAGTTGAGGATGGGAACGGCCTCGGCGATGATGAACCCCAGGACTCCCAGAACCAGGTTGCTGCCCAGCCAGGTGGCCCAGTGGGCGACCGTGTTGGCCTGCAGGTGGCGGGAGTCGCGGAGGAGACGCACGAAGATCAATTTCGCCGCGACGTGCTGGTAGATGCCCACGCCGATGACCAGGCCCGGGAGAGCGATGCCGTACGAGATCTTCTTGAACAGCGTGCCTGCGCTGCCGAACGCCGGGGTCGCCAGCCACTGCCCGCACCACCGGTAGATGACCAGCGAGAAGGTCAGGTACATGGCGCCGACGAGGATGCCGGCCACGATGGCCGCCTTGCGGTAGTCGCGGGGCCGGCGCATCTCCGAGATGACCGGTAGATACATCTGCGAGCCGCTGCCGGAGATGAAGATGTTGGCGCTGGCCGTGATGCCCGCCACGAACCCCGGATGCGCGATCGCCACCCACCCGAGGTCGAAGTCCCCTGTTTGCGGCGCTGCGGCGGGTCGGTTCTGCTGCGTCACGGCGACGACGAAGATGAAGACCGCGATGAAGAAGGTCGTGAACCCAACCCACGTCAACCAACCCAGACGTGAGAAGGTCCGCACCGACGAAAAGCTCGTGATCAACACGGCCGAGACGAAGCTAAATACCACCGTGCACGCGCCGTGCTCCGACAGGGCGTTGAAAGCCGTCGAGCACGACACGATCCCCGCCGCAGTGATCAAAACCTGAGCAACTAGGATTTGCAACCCGACCAGCTCCTTGCCCACGCGGCCCCAGATGAGGCCACACATGTCGGCCAGTGTGTGGCATTCAGGATGGCGGTTACGAAAGTCGCCCAAGATGACGGCCGTGTCTATTGCCGGATTAGTTTTCCTGATAGCCATACTCAGTGACCCCTGGGGCGAAGATAAAAACTCACACGTATTCAGCACCTCCCAGCCGACGATGGACAGAGCTCCCCCAACGGCTCCCAACGTGGCCAATGCCCCCGGCACGGCCAGGATGCTCATGGCGAACTGGATCTTGAGGAAGATGATGGTGGCCCGCTGCCAGCTGACGGTGCGGAACTTGACGCCCTCGTGGTCATCCTTGAAGATCTCGCGCGCCTCCAGCGTCGCTTCTTTGTCACCGCCCTGTAAAGAGACATCGGACTGGGGAGAGCCGGTGATGGCGTCGCTGTGGATCTCAGCCGCCGTCTTCTTCTCGTAGATAGCCATATTGCTGGCGTGTCTTTTGTCTTCTTTTTTTTTCGTTTCTTTTCTTCGGCCGCTCTCGCGCCCTCGACGTTTTGTCTAACGACACCTCTGAGGACAACAAGGCCACAGATTTTCAAGAACAACCCCGAAGGAGGAGGCGCGGTGGAGGGAACAGGAGAATAGAGAGGGAAGAAGAAAATCCCACATCTCCAGAGTGGCGGTTCGATCCCACATGGCATTTCATTAATATTTGCTCCACTTATCAATTCAACGGGGCGATCACATCAGGGCAACAGACCCTCAAAAGATTCTAGACCGAAAGAGATGAGTATTCGGACATGGCCCCCTCACTTTGATAAGGACCACACCCAAGGAATATTAACCCAAGCCGCCGCGATCGCAGCTTATCAGTACCACAGCCGCCTATCCACCTCCCTAAACCAGTATGGTTTGCGTGGGGTTCGGTCCGTACACCGATAATGTGTACCAGGTATTATCTGTTTATGGGTTGAGCTTGTGGCAGATATCAAAAAGGCAAAACGTTATCCAGATAATCGGGTACTGGCCGCTTAGGTTGTGAGGGGCATTGATAAAGGAACCCCTTGGGGTTAGGGGTTCCCTTTAGTTTCCCGTATATGGGTTGTGGAGGAGGATGAAGGGGGTTATCTTGGTAGCAGAGCGAACGCGCTGTTACCTCGTGCATTAGCATCTCTCAGTCAATGCACTCTACCGCGAAACTCGGATTGGGGCGATAAAAAGGGCAACGAGTTGAAGAGCAATAGGGAAAATGGGTTAAGACCTGACGGCCGCAACGGGATGTCTATCTAATAACAATAGGATCTAGGGGTATTTTGGCCTAAGGCCTGCTCCTTGCCCTCCCTTAGAAACCTCTCAAGTCCCTTCACGCCACCTCACACCATATGATCAAGTCCGTAACCCTTTCCATCGTCTCTCTAACTCTATATTACTCACCAACGCACACCCGTCTGTGCGCCCATCTCAAACCAAATCCCCCAGAAGCCCAAGGACAGGCACGAGGCTGTTCGACAGGCCGTTGAAAACCGCCATGTTAGGCCCAGAGCCCCCCGCAGCCGAGGTATAAACTTCCTCCTACCAAAATACAAGGCTGGCTAGGCTTAGCTCTGACGAGCAGACGCCGATAATTAACCAGGTGAACAATGTTCCCTTAACAGCTAGTTAGGTCAATGAATGGAGTTCTGGACTGTCGCGTGACACTCTTATATCTAAGACCCGACGATGGCCCCTAGTAACAAAGCTTTGGGAAGCCTCGTCAAGGGCAAAGTGAGGCTCTTCTAGCGCGGGTCAGGAGGGACTCTATACATGGGGGAACACTTCGCTCGTATGCACGTGGATCATCTCAAACAGAGTTCATCATGGGTTGAAGGCGGTCTGTGATTGTCTCTTCTCTTTTTGTCTGCACTGACGCGCTGGATGTCTAAGGCAACTATCGTACACGGACGACAAAACCTCTGGCGAGGTCTGGTGAAATTCTAAAAAGTAAGGGGAAAGACGAGGCCGGATAGACTCGATCGCAGTCTATGGTTGACGACCATTTCCAAAACCGAATCAAGCCCATTTTCCAAGCAACGCCATCAGACCGGCACCCAACAGCACACAGAGGATCATGAACGTCAATCTTTTGTTGTCCTTTGTCCGCAAGGGGTTGAACAAAAAGTCCCGCGCCAACAACTCGACAAGCCCGGTATAGATCAGGATACCAGCCGACATGGCGTCCAAAACGCCGCTGACCACGTTGGCGGTAAAGGAGTTGGGGTTGTACGTTGTGCGCACGCCGAGACCGATGGCAATGGCAATGGGCGTCGTCAACCCGTAGGCCGCACAGAGGACCCAGGGCAGCCAGCTCCCAGGCTTGAATGGGATGGCCGACATTCTGGCACCGATACCAAGCCCTTCGAAGGATTGGTGGAAGACCAAGACCGGGTACAATGTGCTGAATTCGTCGCCCACGACACCCAAATTGAGACCGATGACGACCGAATGGAAGATGACGCCAAACTCCAGTATCAGGAATGCGGCGATTTGCTGTCGGAACGAGTTCTTGCGCAATTCATTGTCATCTTCGTCGCCGTCCACAGCGAAATCCTCCATGAATCTCTTCTCGTACGCGGATGACTTCCGTCGCTCGTCATGTTCGCGCCGCATGGACGCAATACTCGCCGCTCGATCCTGTTGTGCCTCGGTTGCTGGTCGGTCGGTGTATCCAGTCACCGCTTCTTGCAGGTCTGCTTCACTGTCGATACCGTATTTCACTTCAACATATCGTTCGGCGCCAAAGTCGAAGAGGAAGATGACAACCACCGACGTGAGGACAATGGCCGGGCACCATCTACAGCATCGATGGTCAGTTTCGTGTATCGACATGATCATACAATCCAAGACTTACGAATAAACGGCCCAGCCTCCTGTCATACCCACACAAGTTTGGGGACCGATCTCGCCATATGCCGGATCAAGGAGATGGATGAAGGCCGTGGCGACAATGACTCCTGCACCGAAATACCGCGCAAACAGGTATACATAAAGCGGAATGTGAAGACGCGGAATCCTCTTTGCGAAGACGGGGAAGAATGTCGCAGCGGATGAGACGATGAGGATGACGAACAGTGCCGAGATTCTGGCACCAAGTTGTCCATTGTAATCATTCCCCGACGCCGCAAGGGCACAAATGACATCTCGAGGGTCAGCAGAGGTCAGGTTGACGTTCTCTGGGTTGAAGGTGCTTCCACCAAAGTCTGTGGAAGAATTGGACGACATGGTGTTGGAATTTCAGGATTATTGAAACATGAACTGGCCAACAGATTCACGCAGGAAGCGCGTACCGGCCTTTTAACCTGTTCGACACGGATGAGGATAGCCGACTGCAAGGCCTCGCGGTGAGGTCAGGGTGCCTTGCCAGTGTCAAGGATTGCCCGAGCAAAAAGTGAGGACCTTAAGAGTACCGGCAGCTCACTAAACCCGATGCAGTAGGTACATCTCGATTTTCCGCATTAACAAAAGCGAGATACAGCCTTGCCTCCACAATAACCGAAGCGACTGGGTCAGAGTGAACGTTTGGCTGATGAACTGGAGCCATTGTATTATGCCGGATGGGGAACGCTTTTGACGCAGGAACCCCCACGGGAGGTTGCACTCGGGGATCGTTGATCCTCGCGCTTTCGCCAGTGAAATCGAGGACCTTACCTCAATCCAGCGACCTTTCGTTCTTTTTCACGATTCTACTATCTCTTTCGCCATCGCTCGGCTGTGTTCCGTTTGTTCTTGTTCCACTATTGCCATGTGGTTGGCGGGCAGGGTTGCAAAAATCCACCTTGACTTCATAGTACCATGGGACATGTCAGCTCAAATCTTACGAATTTGCAACCAAACTGTGGCCATCATGCAGGTAAGGGTGGTCGAGTTGTTTGATTCGAAGACCATCTTGTTGGTACTGGCTGATCGAAGTCATACGATGACTTCCTGTGGCAAGAGAATCCTGGGTCGGCGACGAGGCGACCACCGACACCCTGAGGGCTAGCCACCCTGAAGGCGAGGCTCGAGTAATAGTACTTAGATTAGTGAAAAAAGCTCAAACGGTCCCAAATAAATCGGTCTTTAGTCGGCCTCATTGTGTAAGAGAGCCCCAAGAATGGCGGCAAATCTTCTCGCAATTTCCCAATGCCCTATCCGCCTTAAGAGATCTGTCAGTCCACTAAGGGCCGCATTGGTCTCGGTTGTGGTAGGCTTTCCGTGCTTATAGCCACTTGCTTGGAAAAGCAATTTTGCAGGGTTGACGCCAATGGTTTTGAATTCTGGAAACTCCAGGGCCTCGGCGGCTCCGGCTGTTCGCTGACCACCGGCTTGGGATCCAAACCGAGTATAGCAAAACCAGGCGATACCCGCTCGGAACATCGCCCTGGGTACATGGATTGCCGGCTCAAAGCCAAGTGGGAGACTTTCCAATTTCTTTTGCACGATCAGTCCGTGAATCACACATCTTTTGGCTTGGTCTGAGTTCGCCCAAGCTGTAACTGCAAGTTGATCCTCAGGTGACAAGTCTGGCCCATTTCGCCCAATTGCTCTCTCTAGAAGATCAAAATCAGCGAACATGATCATAAAGGCCAAATGCCAGAGAATGCTCATGTCCATGTGATCTGCTTCCCAAACAGCCGATTCTTGCAAGAAGTTCCGATAAAACGACGTCAAGATGTCCAATATCTCTTCTGTCCTTGATGGAGTTGAGCGAGCATTGATTCGATTTTCGACAATGTTTGCACATATGCCCTCCAGTACTGTATATGCTGTGAAATAGCTGTTGCCGGGGATTGCAGCAAGGTCAAAATCCAGGTGAGCATCGATAGAAGCTGGAGTAGAATTGAGGGTTTCGAAATTGCTGGGGTCATTAAGATACGATTGGCGCCAGTCTTCAGGCCGAGTAGCCATGAACGTCTGATTTGATGCGGCAACTGGTAGTTGCCGGGAATTGTGGCGGAGGAATGGTTCGTGATGGAACATGGCAGCAAGTTCAGCGTCGTGTATATGCACACTGAGCGCAATTCGGATAAGTTCTTCGTTCTTCGCCCATTCCCTCCACTTCTTGTCCAATTCGGCGGAACTGACGTTGAGGTCTAGTCCCACCATCTTCTTGGTTTTGAAGGTCGACCAGCGTCGTGCCCAAGAGATTAGCGTCCCGTTGAATGCGTCGACAATTGCAAGATGTTTCGGCTCTCCAGACAGTAAACCAAAGGTTTGTCCAATTATAGCCGTCTGTATGAGAGAGATTCGTTGGTCCACACCTTGGGCAACAAGCCGATCCCAATTTGCAAGGACGGCCTTGTGTAATCTCTCGAATATATGTACCCCCTGACGAATGGCATGGACGCTGCCCGTGAAGAGGCTGCCAACTGAGCATATTGACAGCAAGACCATGGAGTTGGCCTTGGAAGGACGAAACGTGGGTGCATGCACCACTGGGAATACTGGATGGAATCGTGAAAAATACGACCTGACACAAAGATTCAGAAAGTCCGCCGATGGAAGGGTCTGTTCCTGAATCGGGCGGATTTGGAGACTTTGCGTCAACGTCTGACGATATGTGTCGTCGACTTCGTCCCGGGATCCAGGAGGTGTTGCAGGGCGCGATCGCGTCACTTCATCCTGCGCGTCATCGTTGGCCATAAACCAGAGCCTCTTCGTATTGGAGACGGGTTTGTAATTGCTCCAACCAAACGTAGTGTACGGGCTTTCCGGCCAAGCAGGGCGCAACTCTGCCATGGTAGCGACCAGAGGAGTGTCCAAAATCCCACCGTGCAGGTCGCTGTCTACCAGCCAAGAAGGAAACTGGGCCTCGAAATCAAAGTTGAAGACGTCGATCGAAGTGTCAAACCCGCTCCCTGGCTGGTCGGAGTGGACGGCATTTGAGTAGACGTCAGTGGCGGCGTTCCTGGCCATTTGACCCTCTTGATAGTCCTTCTTATTCTTGAGATAGTCCGCGGCCGGCACGTCCAGAGACGAGTTAATGTTGGAAATGAGTATCGGGTCATGCTGTTCTGGCAAGATTGCAGAGCCATCAAGCGGTATTGGGTTGCCGGCAAACGCACTCTGGTCATCCTCTGGTCCAAATAGATTACTAGTCCGTCGTTTGTCTTCTGCGATGATTAGAGCGATATCTTCTGCTGAGTGGTCCTTCTGATGCCGCAGCAGTGTATCGCTAAAAATGATCTAAGCACAAGCAAATGCGCTTGATTTGCAGTCACCACTTACTGCCGACCATATTTCCTACCACACTTTGCGCAGACGAAAGGTTTCTCCTTGGTGTGAGATCGGACATGCCTCTCTAGGTGGTCGGTTTTGGCAAATGTCCGCCCGCAGGTCGAACATTGTCTGATTTTGGCGCCCCGGCGGCCCCGCGGACCATGTTTAGGAGCTGGTACCGTAACGGGATCAGGCATTGCCGGGATGGAGCAGATTGGGGAACGAGAGCGCCTCCATATCAATGTGGCCGGGAGATTGAACCACAGACTGTCTGCTCATAACGTGATAGAGGGAGGAAGAAATTCCCTTGACTTGTGGGGGACACGGGGAAGAAGAAGCGGCCTGGTCGAGCAAATCTGGGGGGAATTGGGGGCTTGGCACAGTCCCGCCCGAGGAGGGGAAGCCGCGGCCCTGGATACGCAAGCCTGATGGATCCTGGCAGCCTTGTCGTTGCGATTGAACACGGTGCATTATCTAGCTCTTGATCATGATTTTCGACTGCATTCTTATCCTATCCATTTCACATGGCCATTGAGGACACGCATTTGATGTCCACCTCAAGTAGATGTCGGCGCTCTGGTGCTTGGCCGAATCCCAATGCACCGGGAACCATTCCAGTCAGCCGGGACTCTTCAAGGGCTCACCGATTATGTCTGTCATGCCAGCAGCTCCAGTTTCCTAGGTTCGCAAAGTTCAATAATTCTGGGCAAACGAGCTCACAAACACTCTCATAACACCGTCAAAGACTCAACGGTGCATTTCCCCCACCTCGTCTTCTGTTGGTGGATTGTGGGGAAGGTCAGCTACAAAAATGTGGGACGTTTCACTCATAGGTGTGTAGGGGTTCGTCATTTCAGAAACAGCATGGGAACGAACATCACACCCATACGGCCATTGCCCTCGGTGTTTCCTTGCATAGCCGCCTGAAGCTCAGTCAGACTGATGGGTTGGTCGAGGGAAAGTACCAACATTCCACAGGCCTCGTGAATGACCCCACAAATAACGTCCCACGTCAGTCCCTTCCCGTGCCTGGAGCGACCATCAGATTTTCAGTCTTTCAAAGCTGCCGACAAGAAGGAGCTGGTGTCTGTATGTTCCCAATATAATGGAGCAAGCGACTTGGTCCAAGAAAAAAGGTGTGGTTCGTGCCTCAGCAACCTATCCTGTCATCGATCTATAGATCAGAACGAGAGGCACTACTTGAATAGAGGGACCCGTGATCTCTCATCGACCTACATTTGGCATCATGTCTCAAAGGACACCTGATGTTGAGGATACTGGTGTCATTATATGCGGCGGTGGCCCGACGGGAACGGTGCTGTCGGCGCTGCTCGGGGCAATGAAAGTGCCAAACATCGTCCTGGAAAGGGAAAAGGACATCACCACCGATCCTAGAGGCATCGCCTTGGACGAAGATGGAATTCGAATACTACAGTCGATTGGAATCTACGATAAGATATACACAGAGATTGGGACGTGTGAGTAATCCCCCGCTCTGGAGCCTTGTTGTCAGAATATGTGCTTGGGCTGATATCACTGGGGGAAAAAGGTATGGAGATATTCAACTTCGTCACTGGCAGTGAGTCGAATCTATACAAGAAACCACTGCTCACTATGGATTATACGACTACGGAAGGAGGCACCGGTCATGTTGGGTTTATATGTCACAAGCAGCCAGCAATGGAAAAGGCGATTCGAGACCAGATCCACAAAATCCCCTTCTCGGAAATCCGGACCGAGTCTACCGTGACTGGGGTATCTGAGGATTTCCAACGGGTGACCGTCGAATACAAGGACGCACACGGAGAGGTTCGAAAACTAGCAGCTCCATTCTTGGTGGGAGCAGACGGGAAGACGGGCTACGTCAGGAAATGCTACCTTGAGCCGAAAGGCGTCATCATGCAACGATGCAAAGAGTGAGGTCTTAGCCTTCATTACCGGGAGGTTCGTGCTGACCGGGGGATTTAGGTCGGACTACGAGGAAACCTGGGTTGCATTGAACTGGCAAATTTCTTTGCCCACCGAGAAGACTCACCCAGATTTCCCCCTGTGGCGGCTCGGGTACACGCCCGAACAAGTCTATGATCGCTTCTTTCCGAAACAATTCCGGTTCCTCTGCAATCCTAAGCGAGCTTCGGTGTGCGGGAGATTCGGTCTGCAGGCGGATCGGCTGTGGAGGTTCGAATTCGTTGTTCTGGAAGGCGAAGACGGCGACAAAATGGCCACGCCCGAGGAGACCAGCAAAATCATCTATCCTTATCTCACCCATCCCGGCAGCTGGTATGGTCTTCAGCATCCAGTCAGATTCCCCGAGGACTGCATCAAGACCTTGAGATCTCGGCCATTTTCTTTTGTGGCGCGGAGTTGTAACAAGTGGTCCCTGGGAAGGGTCATCTTAGCCGGCGATGCGGCTCATGTCTTCCCTCCTTTTGGTAAGAAAGAACCATCGCTTTCGCGGATGCTTGCGTCAGTTTGACCCCTCTAACTGGCAGATAGGCGGGCAAGGTATTGCTTCTGGATTTCGCGATGCTTCCGCCCTGGCGTGGAGACTGGCGTTGCTACACCGGCATCCGACAACAAACCATGAAGCAGTGTTGACAGCATGGTATACCGAACGCAAGCAACAACTCGAACGCTCCCTAGCGGCCACCATCCAGAACGGGGCGTATGTAACAGAATCGGACCCCATCAAGGTCTTCATTCGCGAATGGTACATGTGGGCCATCCAACTTGTACCCAGCTGGAGGAAAGAGCTCCAAAAGGGCGCCCGAGCGCTAGGGATGACGAGATATCGATATAGCCCCGGACTTGCATTTGTGGGGGAGATGGGAGGCGGCCTGCTCCTCCCACAAATCTATGCTTTCAACTTCAGGAAGAACGTGGTCGAATTCACCGACGACTTGATCTTCTCTTCCGAGAAAACGGGGTTGTTCCAGCTGCTCGTCTTACCGGACAAAGCCAATGAGATCCAGTCACTTACAAGAAACATGGAGAACATCGGCCACTTCTCGGGCAACTTCATCCGGGGTGAGGAAGCCACGATCCTCATTCAGTCCACAGAGGCATCCATCTCGGCCGAAGATATGCCCACCCAACACGTGGCCCGTATTGCATCCGCCGAGGAGTTCGCGACAGACCCGCGTCTATGCAAGAACCGACCTCCCCCAATCGGTTACGAGGAGCTGCGGCTTCGTAGGGAAGTCCGGGGAAGGAAGTACGTGATTCTTAGGCCCGATCGCTTTGTCTTTGCGGCTTGTGATACAGCGGCGGAGTTGAGGGAGGCTGTAAGCAAGCTTCCAAGCGCGTTGCATTTGGGTTAAGCCTTCATAAGTAAGCGTCGCCAAATGGCACGAGTGACCGACGGCTGCCTCGTTGAAAGACAAAGGATGTAATTATAAGCAACGAATGTGGAAAGGCGCGGTCCCCAGCGCTGAACGGGGATCCAGTGGATGATATGCCCCTTCGAGGAATGGGGGGCGGTTGTGTTTGCTGCTTGCATCATAGCATCCGCACAAAGTACTGGTATCAGTCGGGGGTGTAAAAAGCTTTGATGGTTCCGGGGACACATTGAGAAAAGCTCTTTGTCTGTTGGTTCCACGTGGGTTACACTATTACACACCGATTGCTCTGGCGAGACGATGGGGGGGCCAGGGCCCGCAAGCACAGTGGTTACATTGATCCATGCAGAGCAACGGATGGAGACTGTGCGATGGAAGTGACCTCTTGCCTTTTTCTTGCCAGCTCAGCCCTTTATTAATTAGAGTGTTCCGCTAACGGCATTCACTTCGGAATGCATCACCGGGCATCCTCGCTGAATGATTCCTCCCCCTGGACGGAATCAGCCGGATTCGGCAACCGTTTCAGCTGTGGGCCCCGGCCCAATCGCAATCGCGAAATCCCGGGTCAGGGCCGTCACCGTGCAGCTGTCCATTTGCGAAAGTTCAGCCTCTTATCGGAATCCGACAGCCCACGGCCTGCGCCAGAGCTGGGGCTTTGCCCTGGAAGTGACCAACAAGGGTTGCTTCTATCACTTGTGTCCAGAGCGGTCAAGATATCCGAGGGTTTCTCTGCTCACGCTAGAACAAGTTGGCGTACTTGATGATATGACCATTGACCAGATGGGCTGGACAGGGGACAGGGACCCTTGACCCCCCTTACGGCCATAGGCATTATTATTGGAATTTGGTGTGGTGTTGTTCCAGCCCAACTTCAGCCCGGACTACGGTTCCTCGTACTTGGAGCCTTGTCTACCCTATCGTTGCCCCACGACTATCGTATCCGTAGCCATTGCGTCGCGTGGACACTACTACTACTACTACTGTACTGGGTGTTCAGCTCCCCTTTACTCTATATCTCAGAACTCTGTCCGCACCTCACCGCTGTTCCCGAAGTCCTGCTCTGACTTTGCCAGCCTCCTAGTTCTTCTCTCTAAAATCACTGCTGATACATTGTCAATCTCTTCGCCTTCACCAGCTTCGGAGAAGCCCAACTTTTGCTGCTTAGATTTCGGTAGGCATACGCTCAAGCTCCTTCTCATAATGGCCGAGGTGTCACTTGTCACCCTGCCACCCGAGATCCGGCTGCAGATATGGTCCTACCTTGTCCGACCGACGACGATCTACCCTTGCGAGTGCGCCACGAGAGACGAGCAATGTCAAGCCCATCGCCTGGGCACCTGCTGCCACAACACCTCCACGTACCAGCACTGTGACAACCGCATCCTCCGGGTCAGTCGTCAGATCTTCGAAGAAGTCCAGCCCGTCGCCAAGCGGGCGGAGCAAGCGCGACTCTTCGTGCTGTGCAACAATCTCTGCCTCGACAATTTCTTCAAGTCCCTGGACCCGAGGGACTGGAAGTGGGTCAAACATCTGAGGGTCGATCTGTTCGTCGGCTGGGGCAACGACAACCAGGACGACTGGTTTCTGTGCCAGATGCACCGCTGGGCGAGGAGGTATGTGGCCGGCACCTTGAACAAGTATGATCAGGGGCGCGAAGTCTCGATCCAGCCGGCCCAGGAGGCCAGAGAAGACAAGAATGGGAGGAGGACGCTCACTGTCGACATCTACCTTTCGTGACAACCCACAGAAACAGATCCTGACCTGCGCACTATCTAGCTGGTGGCTGTATGTGGCAGTCCTGTGGCCGATGGTGAAGCGCTGCTGGTTGCATACCTAGGTCTGGCTGGGAAACCCCGACGGGTGCCGTGGGCTTCCGCACTCTTCCATCATCATTACACCATCATATCAGACGGTCAACAAATTTTTTGCCGCTCTATTCTAGGGATGATTCATGGACCCGTTCTGATGGAGAAAGACAACGACATCGGCGCCCGATAAGCACAAACCTTGGGTGTGTCAGCGAAATCGTCCGGCAAAGATAAAAGGCGCGGCAGCCTCGCGTCGCCTTGCCGCGCCTCTTGGCGTTGACATCACGTGACTCTACGTGGGTTCTTGGCATCACATGCGCGACGCGCAAACAACAACCCAAGTGCCACCTCGTCCCCTCACGTCGATGCAACCGCAATCAAGCCGCTTATCCCTCCGACGCCCTTCGCGCTCCGAATAATGATGATTCCATCGACAGGGCCGAACATTTCCTCATATGGTTCGGCTCCGTCGAATTTCCTTGTACAGCAGTTGTCAGGCCTCCCAAATCGGCCTAGTCGGGGAGCGCTCTTGATGCGCTAATCGACCATATATCATTCGATAATTCCAATACAGGGTATCAGGTTGGCGGGAACCGAATGTAACCAGAGATCCTTTTTGCTGCATAGTGCTCACGGTGGGTTTCTTTTTACCGAATATTGTTTTCCCACCACAGCTGCGCCGCGATTGATATACGATGTTGCTGTTGCGCAACGTGGTCAGTCATGGACAATCCTTTCCTACCCAACGACACAGAAAGGGAGAGTGGTAGAGTCTGCGGTGCCTGAATTGACGAGTCTCTTCTTTTTTTTCCACATCCTCCCCACCCAAAAACATGTCTTCACGAGAGCCAGGGCCAGAGCCAGCCTTCCCGACAATCTCCACGGAAAGACTCTCGCTGCGGCTCTTCGACCCAGCTCGCCCTTCCGACTACGACGCCCTCTTGGCCCTCTACGACAGCGACATCGTCAAGCGCACGCTGGGCAACCCGGGCGTGTACACGCGGGAGGACATCGATTTGCGCGCCAAGAGATTCCACCCTCGTCCCAAGGACTGGGATTCTGAGAAGAGGGGCCCCTTCCCCTCGCACGCCTGGCACTTCATCTACCTCCGCGACGGGACGGATATCGACACGGATGCTCCTCAGGGACAGGGACAGGGACAGGCCGTCGGCTGCATCTCCCTGGCCCACCGCCACCCACTGCCCTACCCGGATCTAGGGTATACCGTTATGGAGCCGTACGTGAACAGAGGCTACGCGACCGAGGCAGCCAAGGCCGCGTTGCGTTGGTGGTCGGACGAGATGGGTGTAGAAAATATCTGGGCGGCAGCATTTGATACGAATGTGGTCAGTCAGAGGGTCGCAAGGAAGATCGGGTTCGTGGACGGAGGGGAGGTTACGGTGTTGCTGGATGATGCCGTGGTCAAGCAAGGCAAGGCTTTCGTGCAGCCCGGGATGGGGCGGTGTTTGGATGGGTTGACTGTTGATGTTCGGCAGAAGTGACCTCAGCATGGTCCCTGCGTGTGTGCTTGGGCAATAGTTCGGTCACGTATTCAGCGCTTTTTCTTCCCTACGGCTTCCTCCTGTCCCTGTATCATTCTTCTTCTCTGTGGCGAACGTTTTTTCGGTTGGTTACAATGCAATGCAATCAGTCAGTCAGTCAGTGTTCTGCATTAGATTCTATTTCATTCACAACATAAGACTGTACAAACCGGTTTATTAGATCCTTTTGCCCCTCGCAATCTCCTAAAATAAGCTCTCAATGTTTCGGTCAACTCATCTATCTATCGGCACAGTTTGCCCAGTTTCCAACCAAACATATCCAGCTCGACTCAAACTTCCCTCTTCCTCCTCCGCGCCACGTAGATCTCGTAAAATGCCCGAGTCAGAACGCGGATACGAGGGCGCGCACCGATCCCTCGCCCATAGATGACGATATGTATGTCACTGGTCGGTGAAAATGCTCACCCTTCAACTTCGAAACACGGGTGGAGAAAATTGGATTGCTTCCACCACATCAGTCATCCTTCAGCCTTGAATTCATCCAGCAAAGAACGGCGACGAGCGAGCGGGTCGTGTCGTGGCTGTTTTGGCTGGTTCATCCAATTTCATTGACGTCTAAACGGAACCGGTCTTGGTCCTTTCTCTCCGTTTCTGATTTTCCGCCACCAATGCTCGTCTTTTTCCCATGATCTCGTAACGACCCTCCAACGTTTTTTTCGATTTGTCTGACAATCTAATACGTTAAATTCTCCTAAAGCCCAAGGGGGCCTCCACTCCCACACATCCCTCCCACAAACGCCTGTCTGTCTGGCACGGATGCAAGCAGCGCAGTGTAGATGAGACCATGGCAATTTTAGACGTGGAATTGCGCCTTGTACCTGGTCTCCAAGGCGGCCTTGAGAGCATCGCAGGTCTGCTTGGCGTCGCCGAACAGCATTCTCGTGCCGGGCATGTAGAACATGGGGTTCGGGACGTCGGCTGGGTGAGATCATTAGCGAAATGGGTTGCTCGTAGGAGGTGGGAAAGATCGCGAGATATGAGATCAAAAGGGGACAAACGAGGGGAAAGAGTGGTTATATACTCACCATAACCGCTGCTCATGCCTCGCTTCATAACCACCACCCCTTTACTCTTCCACGCGTGCAACACGGGCATGCCCGCAATGGGACTCCCGGGCTCTAACGCGATTGGATTGACTGTGTCGTTCGCGCCAATCACCAAGGTGAGGTCCGTCTCCGGGAAATCGTCATTGATCTCGTCCATCTCCAGCACAATATCATACGGCACGCTGGCCTCGGCCAGCAACACGTTGCACTGTCCCGGCATGCGTCCCGCGACAGGGTGGATTGCGAAGCGGACGTTGACGCCCTTGGAGCGCAACAAGGAGACGATTTCCGCGATGGCATATTGGGCTTTCGCCACGGCCATGCCGTACCCTACCACGATGATGACGGACTCGGCGTTGGCGAGAGCCTCGACTGTTTCTTCCACGCTGGTTTTGGTGATTTGCCCTTTGATTTCCTGCGAGGTTTGGGCGATCGGGGCGATGCCGCCGAAGAGGACGTTGGTGAGGGAACGGTTCATCGCGACGCACTGGTTTAAAACGAGAATGACGGGTTAGCATATGCTCTCTCATAAGCTTAAAAAGACGGATCTGCCGGGCAGGGTGGGTTTTACCATGATGTACGATAGGATGGAACCGCTGACACCGATCAAAGAGCCTACGGTTAGTAGTAAGGGGTTGTCAAGCATGAAGCCCTCCGCGACGAGAGCAAAGCCTGAATAAGCATTCAAGACAGTAATGACCACAGCTAACACGAGCAGTCAGTCGGAGGCCAACCAGATTGAAGGATGAGCAGGAACGTACGCATATCCGCTCCTCCTATGGCTGCGGTCGTCGTAAATCCCTTGGCAAAACTGAGCGCCGTGTTTGCAGACAGGCACACTGCAGCCACAGCAGGCGCACCAGGCGCCATGGTCAAGAACGCACCCATCGTGCCTGCGTTGGCGGCCAACAGACTGGAATTAATGAGATGACGGCCAGGAAGAATGGTGGGCCGAGACGACATTCGTCCGGCAAGTTTCAGGAAAGCAACAAGAGACCCAGTGAACGTTACGCCACCTGAAGGTCATTAGCGGGGATCTCGAGCCAAAATAGTAACCCGGGGAAGTCGATCATCGCAGTTGACAACATACCAATGAGAACGCCCAAGTATGCCGTCACCATGTGTAAGGTCGAGATTTCCGAGACGTCAGCCAGTACACTGCCTATACTGGTGAGCACGGCGGCGAGACCGACAACGGAATGCAATGCAGCAACTGTCTGAGGTAGCTCGGTAGGAGTAATACGTCGGCCGATGAGGGCACCTATTCGTCGCCATGAGCACTTCTTTCGTGTGCAGCGGCGGCCAGATTAACAGAGGAACGTACCAACAATACCGCCAATGGCTGCAATCCCACCGAACTGTGTCAACACTTCTGGAGAGAATCCTACTGCGCCGAGTGACGCGATGATACCAGCTAAGACACCCAAGATTCCGAGCAGGTTCCCTGTTCGGGCTGTTGCTTGCGATGCAAGTCCTTGGATAGATCCTAGAATATCAAGCATCAGATACCAGGCACGCATTGCTGACAGAAGAGCCTAAGCACTTACCGATACACAGCAGACTGCTCACGAGGTATCCAGCCTGCACGAGCCCAGCCATACCTGTGCTTGCCGCTGCGATGAACCCACCAGCGAAGAGCACGCCAGGTATCGCGTACAGCCATGGATATTCCGGAGGATCCGTTGGGCGTTTGAACATATCCAACATTCGCTTCGTAATGACAAATCCGCCCGATACATTGACAAACGCAAGCAGAACCGACAGCGCACCGAGTACTTGTGGGAGCGTTTCCGGCAAATATCCGCCGCCCATGATAAAGAAGCCACCAACACCCACGATGCCAGAAATGGCATTGGTAACGCTCATCAAAGGAGAGTGAAGCGCAGGAATCACACCCCAGACCGAGCGATAGCCGATCAGGCCCGCCAGACCAGCAGTAAATGCGCTACCCATGAACAATGGGGATGTCAATTTCCCCAAGGCGAGAGCAGCACTCATTCCTCCGGTCACGGCTGCTACATTGCGGGCTTGACTTTGCCAAGGTGTTAATTCAACCGGCTTGGATTCAGGTTCCTGGTGCTGCTGTGCAGGAGCCGGGGGTGGAGCTGGTCGTGGAGCTGGGGGAATGATTCTGCCATTGTGCGTGACGATGGCGCCTCGCACGACTTCATCTTCCAAGTCAATGCCGAAGTGGTTGTCCTTGGGAGAAATCGCCAGAAGAAACTTTGTGATGTTGTTGGAATACAAACTCGTAGACTGTGTAGGTAGTCGAGACGGGAAATCCGTGTATCCAATGATGGTAACATGGTTATACACAATCAATTTACCAGGCTGTGTGACCTCGCAGTTCCCGCCACCCTCTGATGCAAGGTCGACGATGACGGAGCCGGGCTTCATAGCACTGACCATTTTCTCTGTAATCAATTTAGGAGAAGGCTTTCCTGGGATTGCGGCAGTGGTAATGACGATATCGACCTCTTTGCACTGTTCCATGAACAGTTTCATTTCTGCCTCGATGAACTCCTTTGACATTTCCTTACTGTAACCGCCCGCTGCCGAGCCCTCTTCTTTGACGCTGACTTCCAGAAAGTCGGCTCCCAGTGACTGGACTTGTTCTCGAGCGGCAGAACGAGTGTCAAATCCGCGGACGATTGCACCCAGTCGGCGGGCGGTGGTGATGGCACTCAACCCAGCGACACCAGCTCCAATGACCAAGACTTTGGAGGGAGGAATCTTCCCTGCAGCAGTGACCTGACCAGTCAGGAAGCGACCGTAGTGATTAGATGCCTCAAGCACAGCTTTGTAACCCGCTATGTTGGCCATGGAACTTAAGGCATCAAATGCCTGAGCACGCGAAATCCTCGGAATCATGTCCATGGCGAAGGCAGTCACCCGCTGGGAAGCAAGTGCCTCAACAAGGGGCCTGTTTTGCATGGGCTGCAAAAACGAGATCAAGGCGGTCCCCTCTCGAATACTGGGAACTTCCGACTCCAAGTTTGGTGGACGAACCTTGAGCAGGATATTGCTCTCCGCATACACAGTCTCGCGGTCGACCACAGTAGCACCAACATGCTCATAGACCTCGTCGGCATATTCGGCTTCGATGCCAGCACCCCGCTCAACAAGGACCCTCGCGAAACCCTTCTTCAGCAGCAAAGGGATGTTCTGTGGCGCGACAGCGACGCGACGTTCACCCGCGAGGGTCTCTTTCGGAACGCCAATGGTTAGTTGCGAATAAAGAACTGGTTCAGCCGGCAGGTCTGACTTGAGTCTCGACCATACCGTGACGGCTCTCGGTGGTAATTTTATCAGACTTTTATGTTGATGTTGATTGTTTGAGGTGAGCGGAACCAGCCCGCAACCGAGGGAGTGCACATATCGCCTCGCGTGACGGCTCTGCCGCACACAACCATAGATGGCGCCTATCCCTGATACTGAAGCACATTGTCAGCCTGGATCTCATGGTCCCGGAGCGGCCTTCAATGCAAAGGAATTCCAGCGGTACCTGAGTCTCTAAAGCTGAAGCAGCTCTTGGTTGATAGTTTTACCGATAGGGGCGCAAACAGGGCGGGAACAGAAGCGTGAGCCATCGTGCTGTCTCACCGCCACAAACAAGCTCGATAAGAACCTTGTAAACTCGGATCTGGAGCTGCAGATAACCGCGATGACCTGCATGTCAAGCCCGGAGGCACCCGTCAAGAAAAAGTCACAATTCTATGACATGATTTTCAACCGAAGGAGTCTTGCGAGCTTGCAGTGTAGACAAACATGCGAATGAACAGGAGAATTGGAGAGCAGGATGAGGAGATAAACGTGGCAGGCTGGTGATGAAGACGACTCACCAGCCAGCAGTCAAGTTAGCGGCCAGCGGCCAGCGGCACCTGTAAGGAACCGATGCAGAATGCCGAGGAAGAAACGGGCACATGACGGCTAGGCGTATCCAGGAATTCCAAAAGCTTGGAGCTTGTGTCTGAAGGTGTCTCGGTGCGTGCCTGGGTTGCATTGACTGCCCTCGTGGTAGGGGTTGGGTCGTCGCTCGAAGCAAGCGGTTGGAGGGGCATTGTACGAGAGCCGCCCGTGGGGGTGGAGCAGGCGGGGTGGGAGTCGAATGTGGAGGAGGGGGATGACACGGTGGACGAGTTATGCAGAAGCACATAATGGCCCTCACCAAATGACAACCATGACCTCTACAAACCCTACCTAGGTACCTAGCGAGCTAGGTAGGTGATATACCACCTCCTGGCGAGATGCCCGAGTATATCCTTTTGCCTTTCTCGCTCCTGCTAACCTGCAAGAGAGGGTAATCCATCAAGCCGAGCAAGATTGTCTCACTGTCACAGGTATCTTTACGAATCATGCAATCAATCTATCGCTTGTCTGCTCAAGAGGCTGTGAAGATTCACCGGCGCTCACTCCTTGACCCGGCAGCTCGTGGTCCATCCCAGCAATCGGTTCCAAGAAGCCACGAAATGTCGTCCTGGTGATGATCCAATCCTTGTGGAAATCATCCTCATCTTCCCCTTGGTTGGGGGTGTCTAGACTGGCTGTCGTCGTCTGAATGTCTATTGGTATACCGACATCAGCCTGTTTGTCTTCTTTCTTCTCCTCGATATCCAGCGTCCATCTCATCCCATATCCCCATGCGTTCCTGATCTCGTACACTGCTACCCCGTGGTGCAAAAGCATCACATTCCGCCAAACCGCGTGCACAAGCATGTTCTCCAATATCCCTCTTGCAATTTCCGTCTTGTTCTCATTGCTCCCTGCGGGCAGCGTCCAAAAAGAATGTGGTCGGCCATGCTCCGACGATGCACCACCGCGTTCAAAATGTTTGCAAAGCGCGACTGCCCCCGAGGACATACGGGTTTTGGGACGTGGTGGTGCTTTAAATGAATCGCGCAGAGTGGATGTTGGCGGAGGCAGGAGGAAGAGTGTCCCTTTTGTTTTCACCAGACCGGCAGCGCGGTATGTCTTTTCGCGATCCGAGGGGCTCGTGGACCATGGAAGGAGGAGGGAAGAGTACATTTGGACATGAACCTGGGCGTGGTTCGAACAGCTTCTCAGGGAATGAGACGGCATGAACACATGAAACCTGTACGCTCTGGTGAGAAGCCTTCGTTCTTGGGTAATTTGAGTGACATGGTGGCGAGGCAACGCGATCCTGGTCAAACGTCAATTCATTGCATTGCAAACAAGTTGATGATGTACTCTGTAGGCTGCGTCGACGTGAATGAGCGATGCCACAATTACTTCTCCGTCTGTGGGTGGATAAACAATGCCCCGGGGTGGATGCCGGAGCTTCATCAGAAATCAGATCATCGGATTATCAGATTCCGATAGCGTCATTCACTTTGGTTATTGCGCGGAGAGGCGTGCACGGCGTCCAATCCAGAGGTCAAATTGGTCAGCGCGACCGCCTCTAACGGTGCACCCACGGTGTTTACATACGAAACCCAAGTGCCTAGCTGCACCATGGTGGCTGATGGTGCTCCGCAAGATGGAGTGATGATCCATGATATTTGAGACGACCTCTACTCATCTCCCCTCCTCCATCAGACAGAACCGAACCAAATCCCTCCCCAAGCTTTGCTCAACCCAACCCTTCGAGTGCTCGATCCAAACCTATTCTTTTGTACTCGGTATTTCAGCCAACGTCAATCATGGCTTCTGCAACGGGTATTCCAGAGCGGAACCCCGCCGTTGAAGAGGAGGAGCCCCTTTTGGGACGACCAGGAGATGTTACACAACGGCCAGGCCAGGGGATGCAGTTCAATTTTGTGACGGGAACAGGTAAGGGAGGCTGCGTTTCTACTCCTACCTACAAGTCAACGTGGTTTCCCGCTTTGTTGCTGACGAGGGACAGCCATCCTCGCCCAAGTGGGCGTCGTGATCCTGACAGCCCTGGTCTGGGCTGCGGTCTTCAAGAACGACTTTATCTTCTTTTCCTATCACCCTTTGCTCAATTCCTTGGCTATCCTCCTGCTCGTTCAAGGTGTGCTGGTGCTTCAGCCCACCGCTACTCAAAAGGACAAAGTTACGGGCACATATGTACACTCTGCAATCAACACATCGGCAGTGGCTCTGCTCATTGCCGGCTTGGTCATCATCGAGATGAACAAAGCCTCACACCCAAAAACACGGTTCCAGAGTGTGCACGGGAAGATGGCATTGGTGGCTTATATCCTCATCTTCCTACAGTGGATCATTGGAGCTGCTGCATTCTACCTGCCCGAGACAATCTTCGGCACCGTCGATCGGGCCAAGTCGTTGTATAAATACCACAGGTACGTGATCCGGGATTGCTCTCGCCCATGTGGCTTAACGATGAGGCAGAATATCGGGCTATATCCTCGCTGTCTATTTGCTAGCTGTCGTTGCAGCAGCCACTCAGACACCATACAACACGGGAATTCTGCACATCAAGCTGTGGGCTGTCATAGTGGCAAGCGTTCTGGTGCTCGTGGGTATCATACCGCGAATCAAAAAGCACAAGCTTGGATTGTGAAAGCTCGTGGATGTCGGTTGAGGGCGAAGGACGGGTCGCATTGCAGGATTTAATGGTCCTTTTCCCTCCGACAAGAAGGCACCCTGATAGTCCGGCTCATCCGCCGAACAGCGAACATGCCCACGATTCACAACGGTCCAATACGAGGTTCCACGCGAAACCCACTGAAAAGACTAGAACTATGATAAATGCCGGACGGCAAACACAAAATCTGGGGAAAGACATCCGCTCACCGCATTGTACGGTTTGTTGTTCAAAAAGTGGCAGAGTTCTCATCTGATAGTACGCATATATCTGAATAGCCACATTGTTATTTGGCGATTTCTATCTCAGTAACTTGTGATGCAAGAAATTTCGTGAAATCGATTTGGCGTGCGGAGTGAATCGGATTGTGAGGGAAGGCGATGACCGATGACGCCGAGGTGGTGAGACGCTGGAGACTCGAGAGGCTTCAGTTCCGCCCCCATTTAAACGGCCATGTGCGTTTCGATAATTCACTGCCATTTGCACATCCAGCTGCGCCCACCAAACGCCTTGCCTGCGCCTCTCTTCAATGAGCTGAATTCTGCCCTTGAACATCCCACGACCCAGCGTCTGTGACCATAGTCGGAGATGGCTCTCAATCTGGAGAAACAGCTGCGCTTCGTGAGCACCTTGCGACCCCTCCGCCATCGATCCCGCTGACCATTTTCTCGCAGTATGGCGCATACCACCATGACGCAGTACGGTTCAAAATGTCGGATTGGAAGAGAAGTCGCTGACGCAGATTTTCAGGTCAATATTGGCATACACATGGTCGGAGTTCCCATTATCCTATGGACCACGTTCCTCCTGGTATGAAGACAGAACTATGCGCCGGACGAGCATGACAACTTACCTTCTGAGTAGTTCACGAATTCCGGTACACTGATCAAGTTGCCCCAATCCATGACGATCCCCAACCTCGAACTGAACGCCGGCACCCTCTTCTGCCTGTCTTATTGCGGATTATACATATTACTCGAGCCAGTAGCCGGGACGGCGTTCGCCGCGTTGCTCCTCGCCGGGACCGCCTACGCACACCACCTCGTCACTGTCCACGGGATGACTGCCAACTTTTGGGCGGCGGCGGCATTCGTCGCGTCGTGGATCGCACAATTCCTGGGCCATGGAGTGTTTGAAGGGCGTGCTCCTGCTTTGCTGGACAACATCTTCCAGGCGTTTTTCTTGGCCCCGCTCTTTGTCTGGCTGGAGATCCTGTTCGCGCTGGGGTATCGGCCAGAATTGAAGAGCCGGGTGGACAAGATGGTGGAGCAAGACATTGCCAAATACCGCGAGTCGAAGGGCCAGAAGGCGAATGGGCAGGCGAACGGGACTGCTGCCAACGGCCACACCAAACAATCATAACCAGCACACCAGCTGGCACGGGAGACGACAATGAGAAGGCTGGCGAGCGGTGGCACCTCGAGGTTGACGACCTCTATAATGATATTCAATTTACTGAGCGCATTCAAGATATACGACAAACGCTATCGGTTGATTCCCCTCCGGCACTTTTCCGTGATGAGCGGCGATGCTATTCTGGCGGAGTTATTTTGGCTGTGTATATGCGGCTGGGCAACATTTATCCCCTTCGAACAATTCAACTGATGACCCTTCACAAAAATTGCTGATCCATTTGGTGCGGTCGCTGGTTGCCCCTTGCCCGTACATGCAGAATCAGGGTGCCACCGAAAAACGTAGAGTTCAATCCTAGATAATTTTCAAAAAGTACACTTGTCATTTCGCACTCGTTCTATATCACGTACGGGTTATATTATTGTTTCTCCCTCCTCGCCGCCTTTCGGCCGGCAGTAGACAGCAATTGCCAAGCTTTCGCCATGTACCTTCATCCCTGCAGAATGACCTAGCAAAATCTTGCTTCCTCGGTATGATGATGTCCCCGGAAGCATGGGTCGACACTCCGCTCGAAGCGCCTCTGAAGCCGGATACTCCCTTTCACATACACGACATTGAAGAAGTCACACGAGCCGGCAACCATCTGCTGTTGCAGGGATATGTTCACAACAAGCCCAGTACTGCGAATCCTTTGTCAGAGGACGGAAGTGCAACGTTCGTTGACCCTTTCCTCTCTTCGAGCCACAATTGACACCTAGACAGATGGAACTTGCTAGAAGGACCAGAATGGAGGGATCCAGCCTGCGGAGGAAGCAGGTCGATGACAATTCCCTCGACCAATGAAGAGCTTCAGTCGGCAATCAAAGCGCTGAAAACTTCTACCAAGGCCATTGAGCGCCGGACGCGGGTTCTCCACGCACAAGATGTTCAGCTAGCGCAGCTTGAAGAAGCTGAAGACGCTATCAAAGCTGGGAAGGCCAGACAAGAACAGTACCTCCATCAGAAACAGGCCGCTGAGGTGCAGCATGTCAAGTTTGTCGTAAATCATCCCTATTTTCTGACTGCGATCGACAAATTCGTCAATTGCTGACTGGTGAACAAGAATGAACAACTTTTCGAGACGCTGGGTTTGACGCTTCGAGCCGAATTTGATCGCACTACCAAAGACGTCAGCTTGACTCCCGCGATTGTTAGGGAGCTCCTTAATTCAGACGACCGCGTGCTTTCCGAGCTCAATGACCTCTCGTCCTCCGGCGCCCCGGATCGATGTCAAATCGACCTCGATGCGTTGGCTGATCGAGTGAACAAACTTACACATGCCTTGCGGTATTTTCGCGCAAAGACACTCAAGGATCGTCTTGACTGTGCATATCTGGAAACACTCAGCGCCACCGACAATAGCACTAATGCTCAGGACGTGTCTGACGGTACGATTGACGCTGTTCAAGAAGACCTAAACTCCCTCTACACGGAGATCGATGATGTTGTGGGAATGGTTGTGGCTCAGCAACATGGAAATGCACTTCATGAAGCTCTCCGGAGTGTTCATCGGGCGCGGAAGCAGGACGACAGAAGACTCAATGAAAAGGTAAGACCTATATCTTTGATTCGTCTGACCAAGAGATTATTCACACGATAGCTTTATTTAGGTCCACGGACAACTTTCCACTCTCACTGAAGTCGTTGTCAATCTCTCTAAGGGGCTAGAAAGCCTCCGATCTCGACGACTGGGCTTACACGAACTGGACGCACACCTTCAGCATCTCGAAACTACTGCTCGCTCTCATACAAAACCGGTCATTGGGCAGGCAGATGCCGAGCTAAAAGACACCGTCAACCCGGCAGCAAAAGCTCTATGCCATCATTTCGGCCTCACCTCGGAAAGCGTTGATCGAAAGAGATCTGATATCGCAGCTGCTATGGCCCAACTCCACGACCTCACTTTGAGATTGGACTGTCAGTCAGCAGGGAACGTGCTGCGGTTCCTTCAGCTGTCAGACCAAGCGGCTGCCATGCGAAGCGCTGCAGTGCAGCGTTCTTCAGATGCACTGGCGTCACACGATTCATATGAGCTTGATGTTCGTGAGCTGGAGGAGATGATTGCAGCCGCGAAGACGGAAATGGCCCAAGGAATTACCTGAAACTGGGAGCTAGCACGACCGTAACTGACAACCAGGGCATCTCGTCGTCAATACGAATGCAAAAGCCTGTGCTCGTGGGCAAGGCAGACTACGCACGATCTACGTATCCCCGGATATTTCGGTCTCGTCCTCCCCCGTAACCACGCACATATACGGGAACGGTACTTATAAACCTCAAGACACCAAGACTTACCGCTGAGATATGTTCCGTGTATCCGATGGACCTGCCATGTGCCAAGATCTGCGGAGTACCTGGTGGCCAGTTCGCCGGATACCATTGGGACTGGCGGCCAACTTTCTATTCCGGGCTCGGCGAAAACCGAACAAGGGGGCGATGATCTTGGCGCCAAGCACTCGAGACTCTTGAACTCCGCTCGCCTCCAGGCTTGTAAGACCTGCAATTGCGTCGACCTACAATATCTTCGAGCATGTTGAGGGTTTTCCTGTCTCTTGGGATTTCTTGAGATTTCTTGGGATATTCCGTTCCGTGCAACCTTGTCAATCGCCTCCACCTACGCCCAGGCTTGGCCGCTTCCGCACATCTGGGAGAGCTGGCCATGTGTCTCGCCACCATTCCACCTTTCCGCCGCGAAGCCTGCGGATACCCTTCACGCCAAGAACAAGACGAGCGCATGTTGAGACCAGCTATCGCTGTGATGGCTCTTGGCTTCAAGGATGGGCACGCGGAGGAAGTCATGGATACCATCGAGCGGATACATGCCTTCGGGGCAATACCTCCGGCAAGATGACGCTGCTTCAGCTCTATATAACGAGGGACTCATCCCCTGATCTGAGGAATCCACACTCTCTTTCCAAGCTTCAGCAAGACTTGCACTTTGCTTGACTCTCTCTCTCTCTATTTCTCCGCTAGAATCCTATTAGACATCTTCGATCAAGCTGACTGCAGAAGCTTCAGAATTGTTTTCGCTTACCTGAAAGCTGATCTAGACGCACCCCTTGCTCAACCCCGGATCACCGCCTGATATGGGCAAAAGGGGCGCAAGGGCCGAACAAAACTATCCTAAGCAACCTTTCCTGCTCTCTCCGCATGAAATCGTTGGCCAGCTCGAGACAAGGCTCGACTCGGGCCTGAGCGAAGCTCAAGTCCAGCAGTACCAACAGAAATATGGACCCAACAGACTCGAAGGAGATGGAGGCGTCTCTTGGTATGCAATTTTGGGCAAGCAAATCTCCAATGCCATGATACTGGTATGTTTTCCCTTGACAACCTCAATCAGGCGGGTTTCTTTCCCCCCAAGGCAAAGCTGACCGTTACTGGCAGGTATTGGTGCTCGCCATGGCGCTCTCCTACGGTGTGGAAGATTTTGTGGAAGGCGCTGTCATCACAGCCGTCATTGTCCTCAACGTCCTTATTGGCTTCTACCAGGAGTTTCAGGCTGAAAAGAAAATGGATGCTCTACGGTCGCTATCCTCCCCTTCAGCTGCCGTGCTTAGGGACGGGAATGAGTTGACCATTCCATCCGCGGAAGTGGTTCCCGGCGACATCGTATCTATCAAGACTGGGGATACTGTTCCGGCTGATTTGCGGCTGTTCGAGGTCATGAACCTCGAATGTGACGAGGCCATCCTGACCGGCGAGGCGCTACCAGTTGCCAAAGAAGTCGAATTTGAGGCGGCAAAGCACGGCATTGCGAAAGAAGATCTGGGACTGGGCGATCGACTCAACATAGCGTACTCATCGTCTACGGTCACCAAGGGACGAGGTCGCGGGGTGGTGGTCTACACTGGTATGTCGACCGCTATCGGGGGAATAGCTGCCTCGCTGCAGGGCAAGCGTCGCAAGCCCAATCGATCCATGTCAAGGAAGAAGTACGGACCCATGCAGCCCGTCAAGGGCGGTGCCCTTCGCACATACGACGGTGTGCGCAAGTTCCTAGGCCTCACCGGGGGCACGCCTCTCCAGATCAAGCTCAGCAAGCTGGCGTACGTCCTCTTTGGTTGTGCCATCCTCCTTGCCATCATCGTGTTTGGCGTCAATCGATTCAACGTCACAAATGAGGTCGCCATTTACGCCATCTCGACCGGAATTGCCATTATTCCAGAGTCTCTGATTGCAGTCCTCACCATCACCATGGTCGTGGGCATGACGCAGATGCGGAAACGCAAGGTCGTCGTTCGACAGCTCAGCGCACTCGAAGCCCTCGGCGGTGTCACCAACATCTGCTCAGATAAAACCGGCACTCTCACACAGGGCAAAATGGTGACGCGGAAAGCATGGATCCCCGGTGTCGGCATCTACAGTGTGGAAAATTCAAACAATGCTTCCGACCCCACAGAAGGGACCATCACGCTAGGGAAGGCACCCAGATCTCGGCAGGAAGTCGAAGCAGAGAAACTAGCTAGAGAAGATGCTTTTGACCGCAAACGAAGCACCGCCGGTATCTCGTTCGATCTTCCGAGCGAGAAAGTACAGAATGACACTGAAAAGGCTATGGCGAAAGCATACAACGACGTCAAGTCGAACCCAGAGGTTACGATAGAACTCCAAGCGTTCCTGGAAGCTGCGGCCCTTTGCAATTTGGCCTCTGTTCGCAAAATCGCCGAGGACGGCCAGGAACAGAAGTGGAAAACAACCGGCGACCCAACAGAGATTGCGCTGCAAGTCTTCTCGCACCGCTTCAACTACGGCAAGAGGACCCTCGAGGGAAACGGTTGGACTCAGAGGATGGAGTATCCCTTCGACAGCTCTATCAAGCGCATGTCGGTCGTGTACACCAAACCTGGACTTGACCACTCCATCATCTTCACCAAAGGCGCAGTGGAACGCATCATCGACCTGTGCACGGCCGTGGGCGTAGGCGAATATGAACAAGCCATGACTGCTTCACTCAAGGAAGGCATCTTGGAGCAAATGATGTTTCTTGCCGAACAAGGTCTGCGCGTGTTAGCGGTCGCGAGGAAATTCACGACCATGGAAATCGAGGAGCACTCAGATGTGGATCGCAGCCTTGTCGAGAAAGATCTCTGTCTGCTTGGTCTCGCCGGCCTGTATGACCCACCGCGCCTGGAAACCAAAGCCGCGGTGCAGGCCTGCACGACCGCCGGCATCACCGTGTCCATGCTGACAGGCGATCACCCGTCAACGGCGACCGCCATCGCGAAGGAAGTCGGCATCATTCCAAAGAACATGGGCACTCTCCCGGCAGTTGTGGCGGCCGCCATCGTGAAGACAGCGACTGAGTTCGACAGGATGAGTGACACCGAGATTGACGCCCTTCCAACCCTGCCTCTCGTGGTTGCGCGCTGCGCGCCCGAGACCAAAGTCCGCATGATCGAAGCGCTGCACCGACGGAACAAATTCGCTGCCATGACCGGCGACGGCGTGAACGATTCGCCATCCCTCAAGCTCGCCGACGTCGGCATCGCCATGGGCCTCAACGGAAGCGACGTGGCGAAATCGGCAGCGGACATTGTCCTAACCGACGACAACTTCGCGTCCATCGTCAGCGCGGTCGAGGAAGGTCGGCGGATGTTCGACAACATCCAGCGCTTTGTGCTGCACCTCCTCGTGGCCAACGTGGGCGAGGTGATCCTGCTGATCTGCGGCCTGGGATTTCAGGACGACGCAGGATTTTCGGTGTTTCCGCTCTCGCCCTTGCAAATCCTGTGGATCAACATGCTCACTTCGTCATTCCCAGCGTTCGGGCTTGGGCGCGAAAAGGCGTCGCCGGACGTGATGGCGCGGCCGCCGCGCAACCACAAAAAAGGCATCTTCACCTGGGAACTCATCACGGACATGCTCGTGTACGGCACCATCCAGGGCACGTGCTGTCTGATGACGTTCGTCTTCATCGTCTACGGGCCCGGCCCGGACGGGCTGGGCCAAGACTGCAACCGCGAGTTCAACGACACTTGCGACGTTGTGTTCCGTGCCCGAGCGGCCGTGTTCGCCGAGCTGACCTGGCTGATCCTGATCTCGGCGTGGGAATTCAAGGCCTTGCGGCGGAGCATGTTCCGGATCAACCCGCACGACTCGCGCTCCTTTCCCTTCTTTCAAGACGTCTGGGAGAACCAGTTCCTGTTCTGGTCCGTCGTCATCGGCGCCCTCTCGGTATTTCCCGCCGTGTACATCCCCGGCTTGAACACGTCCGTATTCAAGCACAAGGGCATCAGCTGGGAGTGGGCCCCGGCCGTAGTCTGCGTCTTTGTCTTTGTGAGCGGCATCGAGGCTTGGAAGTACGTCAAGCGGGCCGCCGGTTGGTTCGAGGACGAAGAGACCGAGGGCACCAAGGGCAGACACCATGCTAGCTCCGCGTTGTCGCTAAGACAGGGCTTCTTCACCATGACCAGGAGTTTCACCAAGAGCAAATCCGGAGAGAAGCAGAGGGCACCAACAGTGGAGGAGCTGGGTGATCGGGTTACAAGAAGAGGGCGGACACCTGTGTTGCCCAGGGTCAGAGAGGATGTTTGAGGTCCGATTTGTGCCCAATCGTAATCTGGAATACCATGCTTATGATGACCCATATACTTGGATAGATCACGAATAGACCACGTCAACGAGCCACTTTCTTTCATTTCTTCTGGGTCTGTAAGCGGCAAAGCGATCTGATAACGGTACCTAGGTAACTTGGATGGATCTCGGGTTGGGGGGCCTTTAAATGCCTGCTCTGGCCATTGCTCACCTGCACCTCTACACTCGATGAATGGGTCTGTTTCATGGTACCCACCGTCTACAACCCCTTGGGTATCGCGTGAAAAGGCTCCTGTGCGGTCAAAACAGAGGCACTGCCATACGATCTGTAGAATGTGGGATATATACAATTATTAACCGTTGCCTTGGTCAAGGGCCAGCGCCCACTTTCCCCCAACATTTCCCCGCCCCTCCACGGCCTTCATTGCCGAGATGCTTCGGATCCGGAAGCCATTGAGTGCTTTGCATATTAATGGCTACTGAAGCGACTTTTCCTTCGACTCGTCGATGTTGAAAAGTCCCATTAGATCTGTCCAAACTCAGTCATCACAGACGACATGTTGACAGGAAGGGCAACCGCTCTCGTCGGTGCAGGGACGCAGGGGCGACGACTGGCATACATGGTGACTATCTGTTTGACCCTCGGCCGAGTTTAGATCGAGACTGACCAACTCCTGCACAAAGTGGTCAAGTCAGGGCCGAGCTGTTCATCTCATTGACGCCCAGGCGAAGCAACTTTCTGATAGTCTCAAGTATATCGACCAACTTCGGTCTTCGTCTGAACGGCCGAACGCACGATGGGGCGAGATCAAGACGTTCACCTCGGACGCGTTACCCGAGGGACTGAGAGATACGTGGTTGATCGTTGAGGTACGCGAACCCTGTCGAAACGATGGGTCGAGACGTTGAAATCGAGCTGATCGTTGTGTCGAGGACAGTGTGTTCCAGAGAGGCTGGAGCTCAAGCGGCAAATGATCACACAGGTCGACGAGCTGGCGGACCCCAACACTATCATCGCATCCAACTCCAGCAGTTACAGCATATCCGAGATCATCGACGGCTTGAAACTGTCCCATGAGCGGCGGATTCTCAGCGCTCATTGTTGTAGGTACACACCTTATGGTTTCCACAAAAAGTGCCAAATACTGACAAGGTCCATGATCAAGACTGGCCCCCAGAGACTTCTGGTAAGTCAAGCACGCAGTCACCCTAATACCCCATTGACATCTGGTCAAGCGATCGAACTCATGGGTCACGCGAATACCGATCCTGCAATTATCCCACTTCTCATGGAACAATGTCGGGAGCATGGATTCAGTCCTTTTCACGTTAAAAAGGATTCCATGGGCTACATATACAACAGGTTCGCTCGACTCTCCCCGCCTTCAAATGACCCCACCCAGAAGCACTGACGGAGTTTTCTTGGAAACAGGATTTGGGCTGCCATCAAAAGGGAAGCATTGCTCACAGCAGCAGAGGGCGTGGCTACTCCGTCTGAGATTGATGCGATTTTCAAGGATGTTTTGAAGACGCCGAAGGGCCCCTTTGAACAGATGGACGTTGTTGGGCTCGACGTTGTGCTCAACATCGAGGAGCACTATGCAGAAAAGCGGAAAGATGTCCCCCAGGAGCCTCGCGAGTACCTTCAGCGATTCATTCAAGACGGCCTTCTCGGTGTCAAGAGTGGCAAGGGATTTTATGAGTATCAAAAGCCATGAGCAGAGAATGTCGAATGAAGCCTCCCCCTTCGACCGTACTTTAGGCACCTATGCCGCCTAAGCTGAGGGGCTCCTGGGCGCTTACTGTCCCCGCAAGGCTGCCCCGATATCTCCCCCGGGTTTTTCCTATCTACTATTCTCTAGGCGGGGTTAGAGAGCTGCCTATCGACCTAGGCGGTTAGTCCGAGGCATGCGCCAACAACCAACATAGTTTAGCGTCCCGAAATGCCTCGAGAGTTTGGCAGCAAAGCCGTCTCTTCAACTCGTTTGCCTCAATTTCAACTCTCAGATTCTCTTTCTCAACATTTTCATGCGTCGACGTTATCATCGTGGGCACACGCTGCCATACGCGCCATCATGTCGCAAGCAGACATGGTCCCGCGCCGGGTCCAATTTTCTAGCTGCGATGATTGTCGTCGAGCGAGAGTCGCTTGTGATGCCGGTAGAGCCCGCCGGAACCGAGAGGATCAACAGGAGCTTCTATCCTGCACGAGGTGCCTAAATCGGCAGCTGCAGTGTACATTTGAGGTTCGCGTGATCCTTTGACGGTACTGGCTGACAAGACTTGCTGACCGAAGCCTTGATTTCCCTATAGTGGATGAAGCTGGGCACAGGCACCTCTGCAACTAGTCGCAAGAGCCAGGACGGAAAACCTAAGAGGAGACGGTCTAAAATACCTACGCCAGAAACGGTGATTTACGAAGAGAACCAGAGTGGCATAGTTGGCGAATCGCTGCCCAGCCTCGTCCACCAGCGCTCCGAGAGTGCCACAAGCGAACCCTCCACAAGGTATGCTCGAACATCTATTGAAATGCTTTCCTAAATGATGACAGGACAAACTATGAGTGGGGCTGGTCGTCGGATCAGCTATCACAACCTCTAATCATACAACATCATTTGACCCCAGAGTCCATCAGTGATATTGAAGCCCAGTGGCTCCATGCCATATACGACGGGGCCTTTGAAACCATATTTGGATCTTGGATGGGCCGCCACAGCAACCCTTTCGCGTAAGGGCACCACCGTCTTCGAGCTCGCGGCATTGCTGACGACACTAGTTTTGGAGAACAGAGCCTATCGGATGTGGTCAGTATACGCCGAGTTTGTAGCGAACTCGACAGACACATCGACGAAGAGGAGGCTGTGGCAGGCAGACTATCCGACTCTGGACCTTCGCCAGACCTTGTCAGACATGAGAAAGATGCACAGCTCAACCAGTTTCTTGAGCATGCCATCCAATCCTTCGCCGCCCGATGGCTACCTCTAACTCAGCAACCAATTTTGCCGGCGCTCTCCCAGGCAGACATCATCTGTCGCCTATGGCGGCGTGCACATACCGACATGCTCAAGGTCATCAACAGGCCGTCCTACCGATCTATGCTGACGTTGCTTTTGTTTGCTCTGACACCCATCCCAGTGGGCATATCCGACGAAGAAGAGCTTGAGGGAGTATCGGGACAGGTTTGCGTCCACGCTGCGCTGCAGCAGATCCAGACTCTTCGTGCACGGCAAAAGAGCCTCCAATTCAACGGGACACGAGTCAACCTCACCAACTCGAACCACCCTATCGGAGCTAGTCCCGCCTCACTTGCCACAGCCAATTTTATTATTGCCGAAAGCACTGCGTACTGGGCTGCCCTGACGTTCGACACGTCCGCCTCTTTAACGCTAAATTGCCGCCCTTTACTTTCCTCTGGGCTCTTCGGGTTCGAGTCTGAGCCATCGTGGCGCATGGTCCGGACCTGTATCGGCATCTTCCGCGAAACGACAAGAGACTGGAGCAATCTTGACGTCGACCTAACAGACGAGAAAGCAAATCAGGTTATAGCGGCCGGAGCGGCATGGAAATTGTTGGTCTGGAAACTAACCGCGAATCTGAAAGAATCTCTGAGGGACGGCCATGATGAGGCAGAGGTTCTTAGGGCGTTCAATTCCGTGTCCAACACGATCGACCAGTTCAACATAACCTACAGGGAGTTGCTCATCGCCTGTCAGAGGCGGATACAGTTCTTCAACCAAGAAACGAGACTTCGCTGGTGTAAGCCTTTCCCGTCCCTCAAGTCTCTACAAAGTCATGTTACTTAAGCTGCCTACAGATGCACTCATGCTGCACTATAACCTGGGGATTTTGATGGTCACAGACATTGCCACTGCGACTCTACGCGAGGATCTCCTCTCCCTCTTCTCGGCGAAGAGAGTTGATGCAGAAACCTGGGTCATGAACTGCCTCGTCTTCGGCTTAAACAACAAATACACCTTAAAGCTACAACCTGAGCCCGCCTTGTCCGAGCAAGATATCGCATCTAATCAGTCGGCAAGCTTGACGGTTCCATTAATTGCGATTGATCCGTATCCACACCACGTTGTCGCGGCAGTAAAGCTGATGCAACAAGCCATAGACCGGGACTTTGGAGCTGACAAGATTAGCACGGATGCTTACAGTAACCTGCGCTCAACTCTGAAGCAGACCTTGGAACAACTGCCGCAGGTCTCTAAATCCGTCCAGACAACCAGGGCCGAGTTTGAGATGGCTGAATTTCCACCCCAGCCAATATATACATAAAACCGGAAGCGGTTGCATGAGCGATTCTTTGAATGTCTACTGACTCGCCCCATCCGTTTTCCCGGCAATGGAGCAACAACCGAGTCAAGATTGCTGGAGCCTCGAAGTAACAACCGACAGGATCACACCACTTTCAAGTCTATCGCCGTCGACCACATCTTGCTGAGACTGGCACACGCTGACATAGGCTTGGACGCTTCGGCTCGCGTTGTTCAATTCAGACATGGCAAGTGGATCAACTGGGCCCGGATGTGACAACGCATTAACATGGGCAATCCCATGTCTGGAGCATTTCCCGCTGGACCAAAACGGCAATCTTTCGTTACACAGCCATATGTCCGACTGCAAAATCGTGTTCTCCAGCCTTTCGCTCGACGGCTTGGTCGTCGGTGGTAACACACAAAAGCAGTCTATCTATGGATTGCGATGGGGAGAATGGCTACTTTTTGGATTGATGTTGCATCCGGATCCGAAACAACATTTCCAAGAGCCTCCGCAGGGCAATAGGACACGTTGGGGCGTCAGAAACGAGCTGCCCGGCCAATGAGATCTGCTTCAGTAGCAAAGGTCTCCGGATCCGGCGTCTTGGGCTCCATTCTCCGCCAGTGAGTGTCTTCCGCCAAGAGATTCACTCCGCGCTAGGGCTATCTTCAACCGGGGAATATGTTACCAGCACGCGGAGAAACGTGGAGTTGGCAGGACTTTCGCCTCTGGGGACTGGGCACATGTCAGAGGCTAATGCTCAACGCTCTGATTTCGAATACTGTTGACGTATCTATATTGCTGCTGCATTTTCCTCGACATCAGCACTTCCTCCACCAGTCTCTCCAGTCATACACTCATCCCAGCATATTCTTGGGGCTGCTCTAAATCTCACACCCCTAGCACTGCCATCAACCATGTCTGGGACTCCCGAGATGGGCTGAAGAGCGTGTGGAGAAGCCCACCGTCTACGAGAAGGATGTGGTGTATGAACACGCTGTATGTGATTGTCGACCTTGAGCTTGAACACTTTAAGCTTTGGTCTCAGTGCCTGTTGTCGCTAACAGCCCCTTGCCGCTGCAGAAATCGAAGCACCATGACCCGAACTGGACGGGCGAAGGGGTGGACACCTCGAATGTGGACCCCAAGAAGGTCCTGCGCAAAATGGATCTGCGCCTAATACCCATGCTGGCGATCCTGTACCTGCTCTCTTTCCTCGACCGAGGCAACATCGGCAACGCGAAGATCCAAGGCATGGAAACAGACCTGGATCTTTCCGGCACGGAATACAGTCTTTGCGCGACTGTCTTTGTGAGTTTCCGCCCCATAACGTTAAGTGCGGTGTCTCCGACCATCTTCTCCACCATCTTTTGCAAAGCACTGGGATTTGGTGCGCTCGGCCTGAATCCTCTTCGGCTTCTCAATTACAGGAGTTTCTTTTTCAGTTCAGCCGCGTGCTAATGTCAATCGTCTTCAGTTCTTCACATACTGCGCTTTTGAGATCCCATCAAATTTGCTTTTGAAGCGCCTCAGGCCTTCCGTATGGCTACCATCTATCATGGTAGCATGGGGTTAGTGTTTGAAGCATTGGCGAACACGGACTGGCAGCTGAAAATTGTAAGGAACGGTCATGACCTTGATGGGTCTCGTCCAGAGCTACCACGGCCTTCTCATCGCCCGTATCTTCCTTGGTGTCGCCGAAGCAGGCCTTTACCCGGGCGTTGCATACTATTTGACAATGTGTGAGTGACCACTTCGGCTGCTCGCATGTGACTGTGGTCGTTCGTGACTTCGAACGCTGACAGGACCTTCGTCTAGGGTACTGCACCGAAGAACTTGCATTCCGCCAAGCTCTCTTCTTCAGCGCAGCTAGCGTGGCCGGTGCTTTTTCAGGCTTACTCGCTTATGCTATCACCAAAATGGACGGAGTCGCCGGTGAAGCCGGCTGGCGATGGATCTTCATCCTAGAGGGCATTGTGACCGTGGTCGTTGCTTGTGCGGCCTTCTTTCTCTTGCACGACTTCCCAGACACTGCAAGCTTCTTGAGCCCCGAGGAGAAGGCTTGGGTGGTGCACCGATTGAAATACCAAGGGAGCAAGAAGAGTGGAAGGCTGGTCGCTGAAAGTGATCACTTTGAATGGGAATACGTTGTCAGAGGCAAGTCATCCCCAAGCCATCCCCCTTTTCTTTCTTCAGCCTCGTGCGCTCGACTACCCTTTCTGGAGAAATACGGCTAACCTCCCTTAAAGCACTCACTGATTGGCAACTTCACCTCTCACTCTTCATGTACTGGGGAATAGGTAATGTTGAAACCCGGGTGCCTATCTGCCCTACTCCAAACTAACTCCTAGGGTAGTTTGTCCGCTGTACGCGATATCGTTCTTCCTCCCAACCATCATCAAGGCGCTCGGGTACAAGTCAACAACCGCACAGCTCCTGACCGTTCCGATCTACATCACAGCCGCCATCCTGGCCATTATCGTCGGCTGGGCGTCCGACAGAGCCACGAAGCGAGGCCGCTCACGCTGGCCCTACATTTTCTTCCCCATGTGCGCCATCCTGGTCGGCTTCATCATGGCCATCGCGGGGTCCGCCGCGGGCGACATCCCCGGCGTCGTGTATGCCGGCGTCTTCATCGCCACGTGCGGAATCTACCCTGCGTTTCCGGGCAACGTCACCTGGATCGCCAACAACCTTGCGGGCAGCTACAAACGCAGCGCCGGGATGGCCCTGCAGATCGGTCTCGGCAACCTGGGCGGAGCCATGGCGAGCAATTTCTACCGCAGCGTCGACGCGCCCAAGTACTTGCTGGGTCACGGCCTGGAGATCATGTTTGTCGTGCTTGGTCTGGCCGCGGTCATTATCTTGAGGATCTCGTACGGCGTCACCAACAGGAAGAGAGAGCGCGGTGGAGCCGCGGAGGAGTTGACGGACGAACAGCTCGCGGATCTGGGCGACAAGAGCCCCTCGTTCAGGTATACGCTGTAGCCTGTAGGCTGTGCTAGAGGGGTGCGAGAAGCCCTGTGGAGCAGCAGATCCATTACATGCGGAGACGTGATGGGTCAGAGTTCGCCGTTCATCGAGGCTGCTATGTAGACCCTCATTGCCCTACTGGAGATCACGCATGCGCTGGGCAGTGAGGACAATCTCTCGTCCTTGTTCTCTGTTTCACGACTTGGAAAGTCTGGTAGGTGTTTCCCCACGCCATTGAAATTTCAGCCGATATCGCCATCGCCATCTACATCTCATGTGAACCCTCCTTAGCTCTAGACGGACGCGGGGCCACTCTTCCTATCAGCATCCAGCGCGGCGTACACATCCGCCATGCCCTCCTCCTTCCTACTCGTAAACGCATGTGGCCCGGGACCGGGGTCATTCAACAGGCTGACCTCCCTCCAGCGATCCGGGTGCGTGACCTCCAGCACCGTCCCAGGCCGGAACCGTCCGCGATCAAACGCCACAGCCATCATGCCGCGCGCGATCTCGTCCGGCATCGCCAGCTTATCCCTGTCCGGGTCCACGAACCGCATCGCCTCCGGGTGGTCGTACATGAGCGGCGACATGGTCGGCCCAGGAGCGACCGCGACGACGCGAATATTCTCCATATCCTGCAACCGCGCCATGCCGCGCGTGAAGTTGCTAATGCCCTGTTTTGCCGCGCCGTAGAGGGGTGTCAGCATGCTGGGTTTCTGCGCGCCCGTGCTGGACACGTGCACGATGATGCCCGGCGCGCCGTGCTGGACCCATTTCCGGATCGCGATGCGCGACATCTTCAGCGGATGCTCCAGGTTGATCCGCAGGAGCGAGTACGAACTGTCGTCACGGTCGTTCCAGAAGTTGTTCCACGACGGCTCGTACACGCCTGCACCGGGGCACAGGATGTCCGGCACTGGGGCCCCGAACTCGCGGGTGTAGCATTCGAAGGCGGCCTCTAGCTGTTTCCAGTCCGAGACGTCCGTCTTGAGGAAGGATATCCGTGGTGGTCCTGGCGGTTTGTCGACAGTAGTACTACTACTAGCAGTAGTAGGGCCATTAGTATCAGTGCTGCTTTTTGGTTGGATCGTATCAAGCCACGCCACCGCCTCGCGATGCAGGGCGAGATCACAGATCAGGACATTACAGCCCGCGCGGTACAAGTGCTGGACAAAGGATAGACAGATGCCTGTTCTCGTTTTGGAACAAGGGTCAGCTGGATGATACTCGGATACCATGGGTACGGTAGGGTAGTGTATTTATTCTCACCGGAGCCGCCTCCTGTGACTATGGCTCCTTTGCCCTTGAGATCCACAGCCATGCTTTTGGGGGAGGATCTTTCTCACGATTCGTAGGACGAAAAGATTTCGTCTCACTTTGCTTTTAGAGGAAGGCTCGAATTTGTGAGAGTTCGAGTATTTTGGCTAAGGGAAAGGATATTCTCCCTCGCGATGAGGTATAATATCGGTTATAGCTAATGCCCCTTGGGTTTCCCTCCCCGCAACTCGGTAATTCAAAGGTGGAGATGCGGGCCACTTTCTTGATACCGCAGCCGACCGCTTGAACCGGGCACAGATGGACGTTTCGCAAGAAGTCGCACGTTTGAACCTCCAGAGTTGACGCCCTGTTTGATTTATCAAGAAAAGGGTAGTTCGAGCCTGCAAGCCTAAAAAGGACTCCGAGGGTCTACGTTATGAGAAAGCAGACGCTGGAAATTAGTTGTTCAATACGCCCTCAAATCCTCGTGCAGGTCCACTTCCCAGCCCATACTGCTTTGTCCCAATTATCAAGGTACCCAGTGACCTTTGACGAGAAGATTAGATGACCATTGGGAGAATCAAATGTCATTCACAGCAAGTCCGAGATCCAGCTCGTCGTACGGATGACCAAACATGGTTTGGAGTTGCAGGCTGAGGTCGTTGGTCCATTCGGCCTCGACGAAGATCGAGGGTGGGTGATGGGTAAAGAGAACCGAGAATAGCTGGGTCGTCTCGGGTGTGGCGCTGGGGAAGAAGTCGTGGTAATCGATGCCATCCGCGATATCCAACTCGTTCAAGTCGAGCGCCTGAGGTGGATTGCCGCCGCCCGCCACCTGGGGCGAGGCAGATGACGTGTCAGGGTTGAGGCCGCTGAGCAGCTTCTCAAAGCCCAACAAGAACATCCGTGACGAGTGCCAGAGATGGGACATCTCCCTCAGCGCAAGGAAGAGAATGTCGATTTGCGCGTTGGCGGCGGCCTTCAAGGATTCGATCCGGCGCGCATGCAGGAGGGCAAGGATGGCGATGCTGATGTACCAGCCCGCCACGCCGGGAAGGAATGCAACCGATCCCCGAGCCAAGAGGTCTTCGAAGATGCGCGCGACGCACGAAGCTGAAAGGACGGCCGCGCCGTATGCCTTGGGCAGCGGCTGCGTCGAGGCACTCATGTAGAGGAGGGTGATGGCGGACAGATACGGCAGGTGGAGCTGGTGGACATGGCGGTCGAAGTGGGAGGTCGTCGCGGTGCTGAATGGCAACCACAAGCGCTGTGGCAGTGCATTGGCCCATTTGATAAGCCTCTGTGCGAGCTCAAAAGTAGATCCGGTTGCATCGCTTCGATTGCGCAGGTGCTTGGACAAGTCCCCGATGATCTCGCAGACCTGGACCCAGGAGATGAAGATCTCGGCCTGGTCCCGTCGGTCACGGGGAAACTCATCCAGGCTCGGAAGTTTGACGTTGGTGTCCTCGGGGTGGATGATGCACGGGCGTCCTTGACACACCGACGTCAAGCGTTCTCTCGCCCACAAGGGAATCAGCATTGCCAGGACAGGGGAAAATCAAGAACTCACAAATAATGTCCACCAAATGCAACGTCTCAAGGTTGTTGTCTCGCCGAGTCTCATCGTCTGTCCGGGAGTTGCCTCACGATGGAGACCAATCTCCTGGGCGAGCCGGATCGCAATGGATGTCCACCAGTATTGGCTATCCATACTGACCACACTAGGGGGGCCAGCGCTCCACCAATAGATGAGGATGATTGAGACGATTCTCACCAACGGGTTTCGCTCCATGCTGCCATGAAACAGAACTTTGAACCTCTCGTAGTGTACACGACGGGCTTGGTGGGAAAGTCTTGGGGGATTGATTGTCGTGCCTAAGAGTCCTATGGCTTGTTGCAGCAGCTGGGACCGTGCAAAGGGGGAGCGGTCGTCAAGAAGGTCCTCCCGGTGTATGACGGGACACCACGGGTAGCAGAATTCCACAAACGTCTCGGCATAACTCTGTCGCAGAATTAGAGGCAATTCAGGCATTGGATGGCTCGGTGTCATCAACGGGCTGATGCCCTGATCAGGTTCTTCTCGGGATGGATGGTCGAACATGGCCATGAACCCAGACTGTCCCAGATAGGCCCGTTCCCGGTGCCCTTGGTGTCCTTCGGGCAATGTAGTCGGCCTAGAGCCAATATGCCCTGTACCGTACCGCTCACCAACATCATCACCTGTCGTGCTCGTGAAAGGCTGTCCTGCTCTGATCTGTCCTGTGTCATTGTCTCTGGTCACAGTGTCGGGTGGGTTGGTCGGGGTATAGCTGTCTCGATTCAACGGGGTGCCCGAAACAGTGCTTTCGAGATTCGAAGGTGGAAGGCCGGTGGAGCTGGTGCTCATACGATGGGGAGCACCACGGCGTCTGGATTGTCGAGCACTGCATCGTTCTGAGCCATGTGCTCTGGAGAGCGACCAAACATGCCTTCCCACTTACGTGCAACTGGAATTGGTTGCCCGGCAATTGCTGCATTGGCGGTCGGTCGTGAGCGAGCTGAGGTCGCACTTGATCTGATGCCCGGTCACCCGTGGTCAGACATGGATCGTGCTGACATTGAATAGCTCGGCGGCGAATTTACCTTCTTCTGGTGGCATCGCACACAGACCAGGTTAGCTCTTCGCCTGATCTGGCGGGTCGTCTGCGCGGTTATCTCAGCCATAATACGGCAGCCGAGATACCTTGTTCAGGAAGAGAGGAGAGGTTGCCGGCCCACTCCGGCAGTCACCTTTTATATGGGCGCGCCGTGCAGTTGGAGATTCGGCATCAGCCAAAATGCCGAACCCGTCCGGTTAATTGCGGTCTACCGACCTCCTGTATGAGGGGTTGGCCAAAGTGAGGCGGCTCTAGCACATATTATGTTGGTACAAGGCTCGGACCATCCAATTTGACCATGATATAGTGTTTCATCAATCAAAACCGTGAACTGACAATGAAAGTGACGGGCGACATTTTCTTTACTTCAATAGGTCATTTATCTCAGGTGTACGCTCGATAGAAGCCCGGTGTGAACTGACGATATAGGAACGCCCAATTAACGCCAGGGTAGGTCACCGAGTAAGACGGCTTCCTACATCTTCAGCATGACCTTAGAGATGGCTTTCTCGCCGATGAGATGGGTAGAGGCAAGGCCTCGAGTTTCGCGACGCCTCTGACGATTCAAGCTCGTCCTCGAGCCCAGATGACTTATGTAAGAGCGACGTCGGATACAGAAGAAATTCAAGATCTTGAATCTCGAGGTATGTGTCAAATCCTCCTGCAACGTCGTATATATATATATATACTATTAGGAACTTCCCTGCCTCTAGTAAGGGATTCAGTCCACGTGAGTCTTTGTGGCAGCGTTCGTGGAATATCAGAGATTGACCTGATCTTTACCTACTTTCTTAATACCTCATCACCGAGTCAAGGAGAGGATCCATGCAGAATACGGCATTCCGAACACCTACTTCTCCGTGCTGTCACTTGGTAGCAGAGATCTCTTCGACAGTCAGAGCCTGTATGAGCAGAAGATCCAAGTATCGTAGGGGCGCCCTCTGTCGTCAACCGACCGACTGAGGAATGTTCAGGGTGGTGGATGGAAAGCCAGCTGAGATGCTCCAGTAGAGGCGACCTGCACCTGGCGTGCGACAGCTTTCAGATGGCAGGATGTTCTTACTCTGTCAAAAAGAGCTCTTCCGAGTTGGCTTCCCAGTCTGGGTCGAAGTGGTGAGAGAAAGAGCTCGTTGCTCACAGGCCATATATATATTACTGTAGGTACCTGGGCCCTATTGCTCTGATTGGCGCCCGTCACCCACCCGGCTCCACAAGTGTTTTCCCGCATCGAACATCGAGAAACTTGACCGAGGCCATTGAAATGGGTTTTCGAGTCCGACCACCACTGCAGACACCGTCTGCACCACTCTAGTCTATACAATGCCTACACTCATAGACGATGTCGAGCTTCGGTAGCGTCGACACCCGCTTTGCAACACCCTCAGTGTCGTGACTGCGGATCTCCGTCACCATAAAACACCTTCTTTGCGGGAAGAAAATGGCTGCGCCCGCTGTGCGACCCCTCCGCCATGCGACGAATATCGCTGAGCAATACTCTATCAATGTGCTGCGGAGGTCACCTCGGACAGCAAGACTATGTCTACGGGAGTGTAGGACACGGCAAAGAGCAAGGACGTGGCATAATACAATCTCACAACGTTGCCGCCGGTATCACTCATCCACCACCGCAGCAGACACGAGAACAGGATCACCCTCCTCCGTCTCCGCCTCCGAAGTCACACATTTCTCCCGCCTCGCTTCCTCGTGGTGGGATCCTCACGGCCCCTCTCGCCTGCTCCATCTGATGAACCCTCTCCGCCACGACTTCATCCGCTCGTGCTTGGAAAGGCCTTCTCCCGACACCTTCGACACCTACACCTCCGAATCCGACGTCGAGAACGACAACGAGAAAGAGAAGAGACATTATTCATACCTAGACGTCGGCTGCGGCGGAGGCATCTTCGCCTCTTCCGCGGCCCGGCTCCCCACAACATCTCACGTTACAGCCATCGATCCCACCGAGAGCGTCATCCAGGTCGCCCGAGAGCACCAACGCTGTGACCCTCTCCTCTCCTCCCCGGGCAAGCTCTCGTATCTCAACTGCGCGATCGAAGACCTCCCCCTCTCTCCCACTCACGGCTCCAAATACGACATACTAACCGTCTTCGAAGTCCTCGAACATATCGACACGCCCTCATCCTTCCTCTCCACCGCAACCACGCACCTAAGACCCGGCGGCTGGCTCGTGGGATCGACCATCAGCCGCTCCCCTATCGCCTACCTGACTACAAAACTCATCGCCGAAGCACCCCTGATCGGCGTGGTCCCCAGGGGCACGCACGACTTCTCCAAATACATCAACCCGGGCGAGCTTCGGGACTATTTCGAGTCCGGCAATGCGGGAGGACGGTGGGGAGAGTTCGTCACCAGGGGAGTTGTGTATGTCCCCGGTTTGGGGTGGCGGTTCGTAAGGGGAAGTGAGGAGTTCGGGAACTACTTCTTCGGGGTGCAGAAGCTGGAATGATCGGAAGGCCCGCCTTGGTCGACAACCGGGACATATCCCATAAGTATCCATCGACTGAAAAATGTCGGTCTTAACCTGCTAACCCCCTCGTCTCACGTTCATGTATGTCCAAATCTACCCAAAAGCAAATTGCAGTTCATACCCTGTACAATTATTATTATTATTAATATCACCACTACTTGATAATGGGATCAAAGTCCCTCGAGGTTGAAGCGCGCGGAGAGGGGAAAGATCACAGGAGACGGGCTCGAATGTCTTTTCTACGGCTTCATTCCGTGTACATATATTTGTCCATGAAGAAGATGAAGAGGAAGACTGGCGGCGGTGGCAGGAGAGGGTATCAAATCATTGATTCGAGTCCAAATCCTCCCTTTCTTGAGATCAGCGCAAGGAATCTCTTCCCTAAGCAAGTGATTAACCAAGATGATGTTGACGCTCAGCGGCCGCAAAGGTACCTAGGTAGGTACCTAGGGTATCCAGTTCGGAGACACCACCAGAATATTCTGTATCCTGGATAAAAAAAATGCATACCGTCGGTGCACGACAGTCCAGCCTGGGCAGGGTAGCCTCTAGAGATCTTTGCTCTCACTTTTTCGCTTTCTTCTTCCCCTTCCTCTTCCTCGCGGCGGTTGCTTTTGCCTTCGCTTCGCCACCACCCTCTTCTTCGCCGTCAAGCTCGATATCACTACTGCCTTCGGTCTCGACGTGCGGCGCCGACGGGACGAGTAGACCTTCCCCAAGCAGCTTGGCCCTACACTCGTCGAGGATCTTCTTCGCTTTCTCCTCGTCCCAGTCCTGGCTCCGTGAGCTCTCGCCGAAGATGTCCTCGTAGATAGATTGGGCTTCTTCGGGTATGCTTTTGGAAGCAGACGGTGTTGGGCCGCCCGAAATTACTCGCTGCTGCTGCTGCTGCGAAGGATTTTTCATTGCTTCAGGATTGCGGCTCTGATTGTTGAGGCCTCTCCTGCCTCTCCCTCCGCGCAATGTCCTCTTCGGGGCCGGAGCAGGCCCAGCTTCAATGACGGCGCCCTCTAGATCCTCTTGCTCCAGCTCGCCCTTCTCCACCATCTCCTGTAACTTTCTCTGGGCGGAGATCTGCATCATAGCATCACGATGTTCGTCCCTCAGGCCCTCCATTAATAGGTCCTTGGTGGCGTTTTCTTCCTCGAGTCTCTGTATCGTCTGCTTCAGCTTGTCCACTTGTGTCTCCTGGGAAGATTCGTAATGCTCAATCCTCTGCATCAGAGACTTTGTCAGTGCCTTCTCTTCTTGGTACTTTTGGTTAATGGTCCTGGCCATCTCTTCAAACTTTGCGCTTCGTTTTTCAAGTCGTGCTTTTTCCTTTTCCAGCTCTGGAACGAGACCTTTGGCGACCAAATCATGTTCGCTTTCTAGAGTCGAGAGTCTCTCTGTGGCGAGGCGACTCTCCTCCATCGCCCGTTCTGCTTTCTTGGTTGCCTCCGAGGCTTTGTCCACGGCTCTCTGGACAACTTCCTCAAAATACACCCGCTGACTTTCTAGCTGGCTTGTGAGCAGGTGCGTATACTCCAAGGCGATATTGTCCATTTTGGCAACGTCGAGGTCCTCCTCTCCCTGGAGAGCGGTCGGCTCACGTCGTCTGCCCGGTAGTTCGACCAATTTCTCGCCCGGTTTCGCAGCGTCTTGGATGATTCGATGCACATAACCGTCGCCTGCGTAGTCCCAGACTCGCTTACTCTCCAGGTCCATGCTGAATGTATGTCCACTCTCTTCAAAATGGGCGTATGCATGTTTGCCTTCATACCTGCCGCAACCAATCTTCCCACATATGAGACATTGCCATAAGCTTGTATCCACGTGGCAGACCTCACACTCTAGCGGGCCATCGTATGGTTCATATTCTCCTGTGGATGTTTTGCTCTTGAATTTGGATGAAGCCAGTCGTGAGGAGAAGTCGTCATGAGTATACCGACAGACGGGACATCCGCCGCCAGACCATTTCTCTAAGCACGTACAATGGAAAACGTGTTGGCAAGGTATGGTCAAAAGGCCTGTGGTCTCGTCCATGCGCTCAAGGCAGACCGGACAAGTAGGCAGTTCGACCAGGGATGGGGTTCGCGGTGCGAGTGGTTTTGTCGTCGCAGAGGCTGGAACAAAAGGATCATTCGACATGCGAGGGTAGCTTGTTGTGGGCGAGCTCGGCCCTGTGCTTTGATCCACGGACGATGGAGTCTGGACCAGTTCCACTGACTTGAGAAACACAACGTGGCAGGTCTCCGGCTGCAGGATTGTCAGTATGTCTCGAAAGTAGCCGATTGGGGGCACTCACCTCCATGCTATTGAAAACCTTGCCGTTCCATTCGTGCTGCCACTCTCTTGCCTTTTTGCCATGTCTAAACTTCATGAGGACCATGTAGCGGTTTGCCCTTGAGGTGCGCACCATTCTGAAATGGCTGACTTCGCCCCGTGTATCCTCGCCCACCCAGGAGAGAAAGTCCGAAGGCGTCATATACGATGGAACCGCCAGGATGCACAGGGTTGTACAGTCTTCATCCTTGGGCGGAGGGTGTGGCTTTCCTGACGGCGGATTGCGCAATCCATCGCTCCAGAAATCACTTGAACGGTAGACTGAGTCTTTGTATAGCCCAGCCGTCTCTTCCGCATCTCTGTAAAGGTGAACAATCCCCCAACCTTCAGCGCTGTCGTGGCTCTCCAAGGGTTCGTACCGTCCTTTCATGTGGTGGCCCGATATCGCGCTACCAATCCCTTTTCCGATGATGTTTTCCTTTGCCACCAGGCCCTCCTCATTCCCGCCCGAATGGGCCGACATATCTGTACTTTCTAGGACGATGGTATCTAAACGATGATCCTCGGGGTCAGAGTGGCAGAGGTCACGAGGGATCTGTTCCGACTGCGCTGATTGATATGGACGAGCAGGGCTCGTAGAGAGATGGTCTTTCTTGCGGTCAAAAAGGTGATCTCGCGACTCTCGTCTTCCTCCAGAACTGGTAAACGGCTTCAAGGCTCTGAAAAAGGTTGAGAGGCTCAGAGGCTGCTGCCGGTCAGTTTGCTTCGCTTTGAGGGTTGGATCTGGAAACAATTCAACCGCGACATGAAAGAAGTAATCAGGCATGTCGCACACGCGTCGGCACAAAGATCACTGCGTAAAGCGTAAAGCGAGAGTGAAAGAGACATGAAGAGAATCAAAATTGCGGCCGGTCATCAGAAGGCGAGGTCATTTCATTTCTGGACCGTGTTCATACAAGATTCCAGAAGTGGCGAACCGCACGCCGTCATTCTCGGACATTGACGACAGTCACGAGTCGTCCTTGAAAACCAGGGCAGAATGCACGAGAAGTACCATGACTGCGAATCTTCATGGAAAATATTGGAACAGAGGGAGAAGCAGGATGGCATTGTGCCACTACGCGAAGAGTTCTAGGTGGGACAATTGCGCCGAGCTCACGTGCGACTCACCCAGGCCGTGCCGCCTCTCAAACCCCCTCGGGCACTCACCCTCTGAAGTCGACGATATCCGGTCTATACACGGTTGGAAAATAGGCTAATAGACAACATGGAGATATATACCTCGTACCTGTGGCTTTCTCCAACATAGCACATCTCCCTTCGAGGAACAGCCATTCAAAAAGCCTGGTACATGACCGCTACATTGCGCCTACCCTGCTGCCATGTCGGAAGCGAATCCTGTCTCGCTGGCCCAGCGCATTGTTCACACAGATCCTTCGAAATACGAAAGTCGCGCTGCGGCCCATGATGGTGCGGGGACGCTGAATTACTTTGGGTTGCTGGGTGCGGACGCGTTGGACTCAAACCTGATCTTTCTCCATCGTGGGGTCATCCAGCCCAAGAGCGGGATTGGAGCTCACTTCCACAACCGTTGCGAAGAAATGTTCGTCATCCTGGATGGCGAGGCGCAGTTCACCATTGATGGCAGGACGGCGCTTTTGAAAGGACCCGTTGGCGTACCCTGCCGGCTTGGACACTCGCACGGCATCTTCAACGCCACGGAAAAGCCGGTCCAGTGGATGAACATTAACGTCGGTCTGACCAAGACCTACGACGCCTTTGATCTCGGCGATCCGCGGGTGGATGTACCGCTCGATCCCCGTCCGACTTTCATGTCGATGCATCTGAATCGGGCTTTACTGAAACCAGTGCAGAATTCCAATGGCGGATCGGGGACAGCTCAGTACCGGCGCGTGCTCAATCACAGCGTCTTCAACACAGCGTGGTCCTACATCGATCACCTGGTCTTGCCGCCGGGGACAGTGGTGGGCGCAAACCAGCAGCAGGTAGACATGAGCGAGGTGTACTATGTGCTGGCGGGTTCTGGGACGGTGGCGCCCAGAGGTGCAGAGGGAACGATTCACGATGCGACAGCGGCGGTGATCGGTATCGGGGGTGTCGTTCCTCTCCGGCTAGGCGAGAGTGCCTTGATCAAGAACACTGGTGACGAATTGCTGGAATTCATGATCATCGGGGTTGCTGGTAGTTTGGCCGCCAAAGAGGCCTATATTGCTAAGTTAGAAGCCTAATTGACCAAAGGGAAATCTTTCAATTCCGGGGCGACTGATGTTAACATCTCAGCGGCCGTTTCAGTCTCGCTTTTCACGGTAGAGCGAGAGTGCGCGTGGCAACAACAGCGATGGCTGGTGCCCCACGGCCTTCTCATCTGCTTGATAGCAGTGTCAACTTGTTCGTAGTTTGTGACCGCCCACATAAGTCGAGGGTATATAACAAGGGACGAAGGCGGATTAGAAGGGTCGTGAAGGTACCTTTAGCACCAGAGGATGGTTAGCGTCTACGCCCCGAAAGCTTGCTGCCGCTTCATCATCATGATGGCCTGGTCTGTTCGAACTCTCACTAGCCTCGTCGTGGAAAGTATTCCCTAAGAAGCTCTTCATAGGGCTCAATATGCCAGCCTGCGTTGGTGGTTACCACGAAGCTGCTACTATTATCACATGCTCTACCACGATTCCTCTGTGAACCTGGACCATGCGTCGCTAGACATCCACACTCTTTACACGACATCACCCTTAGCCCGCGCACCGATCCTGCGGCAAGTGACAGCCTTATCTTAAGCCACCCTCACGTTTTCCACGTCAGCGCGCACATGCTCTCTTCGGCAACTTTTGTCGGGTCTGGAGTGCCAAGGGAGCTCACCTACAAATAAGGGGTCCTTCGCAGTCAGACAAGAGACAAGGAGCTGTCATGGAATTCTGGACAGATTAGGGATTGACAAGGATGAAAAGCGATGTTGTCCCCGGACAACTCGAGTGGCTGGCTGAGGGGCTTGAATTGGGACAAGCTTGATCTGCAAGTTCCCAAAGCGAAGACCAAGCCCCGTGTTTCCTCCTATGAGGTTCTAATACTCAGCTCGCCTCCACAAAGTCCGGATTGGAAGAAGGCTGGAAGACCTCCGGAAGTCCTAAGTAGGGAGTACCCAAAGCGCACATCGACTACTCTCGCACTCCCTCCAAGGGTCCATTATCCCTCCTGCGTTGTTCCAGACTCTCTGTTCAGCTCGCCACCACAATGCTTTGTCACTACTGATCGTCATTTTTCAACCTATATCGATCAGGAAACATGGGGCCGCACCTGTCGAGACCAGAATGTTTCAGGAAGATTTGTGTCATTGGAGGTACTAGGGTGATTGTTACGAGCAGCATCCGGCTCTCACACATCCACAAGGCCTCGTGCGCACACTCTCAGGCTGTAGCAGGGTTGAGAAGAGCTGGAATCCACGACCATTTTCTGCGCAATTGAATGCAGCATGGGCTGGTTTGTCGATACAATTCGTTCGGTTAGAAGGTTTGTAACCCGTCGCGAAAAATATCAACATAAGATGCCTCATTTCGCCGGCCATTTCTTTTTGGGAAACTTGAGGGGGAATTGCAGCCAGATGTGTATTACCACGTGTACATTCAGCTGATGTCTTTAGGGAAAAGGTAGATAAACGTGCATCGACAAGTGCTTGGAACACAATGACCAGACCCTTGATCGCCACACTTCATGTAAGGTATTCGAGTTGCATGGGGATCAGCGAATCCCATTGCTTGGGGCTTCGTCCATTGATTCTCAAGTGGTAAGTCACAGCTTGGATGCTGGACACTCCAGAGCTGATTGGAAAGCGCTCATGCCGTGGTGTGTGATACTTGACTGCAGCTGCAGTCTGATCGCCTCCGCTGGGCCGAGTGGCATTGAGTTGCTCTTTGACCTCAACTTGGTCCCCGCGGACAGCATCAGGCTGTAGGCCGATGCATATAGGTATTGAATGGCGCTCTCAGCCCGGGGCCTCGAGTAAAACGGACCACATGCGCAAAGCAGTTTTCAGCCATGGTAAGTGAGATGAAGTAACTGGTATCTAGAGCCTTCCTGACATTGTTACAGAAGTGTAGCGCCTTTTCCTCCTTGTTGGTGCTCCTTCCACTTGCCTATGCGTGGGAGGAGCAATCGGTCTTGGCTTCTACGACCACACCGTCTCTTAAACTATACATACAGACTCCATCCTCGCTGGTCAGTCACACAGCTCTCGCGACTGCGGTGTCTCAAGTCCTCAACTCCGGACAAGTTCGCGACGTGTTGGCTGCGGAGGCTGACGAGGTTCTGAACGGAAAACCGAGCCATCGGCTCCTCCATGTTGACAATCTGCGTGAGCCCAACGAGAAGTATGAGCGCAACAGCTTTCGAGCCGTTGTGGCAGATTACGAGAACGGCAGAACAGTTTACGTGAACGTCGATGATGCACTTGGACCTCTATCAGAGGCGTCGGTCGAGATAACGAACCATCAGCCTCTTCCGAACGAGGAAGAACTTCTCGATGCAGCCTCCATTGCGGGGTTTGGGCCAAATGCGACCGTCTTCAGTAGAATGCCTGTCATCGTACATGAAACGAATCCCGACGGGTCGACGCCTCGAATCCTTCGCATCGAGGCTGGCAATAGCAGCAAGGAGGTACTCCGCTTGTTCGACGTCAATATGTATACAAGAACGGCAACTCCAGTCCAGCGCCCACAAGCGCTGCAAAGCTGTCAAGCAGTATGGGAGAACAAAAGCGTCCAGGGAGTGAAGGGTAAGGTACTTGAGGCAGCAGGGAGGACGGCACACGTGAAAATTACAGATTCTGCCAACAATGCACTTTGGGAGCTCGATGTGACTAGGCCTAGATCGTCATCAGGCAACATGGGTTCCGGAGTGGACTTGACCGAGGTACGATATAAGAACAGGCTGGTGCTGAAGCAAGCACATTTGCCGATGCTCAACGTGAACTATCTGGAAGTAGTTAAAGACTGTGGGCCTACTTTCCGAGACTGGCAGAACGAAGAGTATCCATTTGACTGTCCTGGTAAAGACACCTTGCCAGGCTTTCGCGAGTGTACGGGAGGCAGATCGAAAACGTTCGTCGACGGCAGACCTGATGCAGAGGGTTTTCGAGGCGTTTCTTTTGATGTCTACGATGACAATGTGGTCATCAGGTCGCAACTGAAGGCGGACTGGTACCGATATGTTTCTCAATGGACTTTGAGCGCCAATGGCACGATTGCGCCGCGGTGGGGGTTTGGCGGCGTGAACCAGGCCGATCTTCATTGCGTGTGTGTCAAGCATCATCACCACGCGTTTTGGCGACTGGACTTCGACATTGAAACCTCCAAGAACAACGAGGTGCGCCAATGCGACGGCAACAAATGTACCGCGCAGAAGTTCACGGGGCGGATGGAGAAGGCAGACAACAGATATTGGGACATTGTCAACACCGCCTCAAACCGGGGGTACAGGTTGACGCCTGGCAAGACAGATCGGAAGGCCAGTGACCCTGAAGATACTTCTAAGTATTTCGTGGGCGATTTGTGGCTTGTCAAGGCGGATGCTCTGAGAGACGACGGCTGCACTACAATTCGAGGACAATGGCCGCCCGAATCGACTGACTGTACCCAAGCAAACTTCAACGCCATCAAGATGAGCCAGGAGGAGTCATCTGTTCAACATCAGGATCAAGTCCTCTGGTACTCTGCATCCTACATGCATTGGCAAGGCCACGAAGATGCCACAGGAGGAAATCACTGGGTTGGGCCATTGTTGGAACCCATTGGCACCTGGTAAGTTTGGGGCTTGAACGTTGGAAGACATGAGGTGGTGGACCAATGCTGAGCGGGCACGCTGGCTGGTCGAGCCTGTCACCTGTGTCTCATCAAGACTGGTGAAGAAGGCTCGCCACTGTCACTCATTTATCACTAGCATCAGAGTGTGGCTGGAACCAGTCCTGTCTCTTTTTGATATATACAATAATGCTCATGTTTCCAGCCACGAATGGATCACAGATTGTTCCTGACATGAATAACATTGAAAGTTGCCCTTGCACCTTCAGCACCTCAGTCACTTACCACAGAATTCGCACGATTGTGCTTGTACCGAGTAAGGGGTTGGAGAACAGGGTCAGGACTATTGTCAGGGAGTGGCAGAAAAAGAATCAGACTAGCAAATTAAGCAATGAGCAATATGTTTGTAATGACAAAAGGAAACTAATCATCGGCATTAACGGATCATCAAGCCTGAGAATTCTACTACGTATTGTCTGAACTTTGAGCTCACGCCAGCACAGCGCTCATCATTCCAACGCAGTGTGGAGGCGGCGCAACCATTCTTCACTCATTGCAAAATCCGAAGCAAGCTTGAATGCAGTCCGAGGTCGTCTTTCCTCGCTGCAACTTGATGATTCTCCTAGCAATACTGGATCTGTATGTAGTCCGCTGTCATGTCATAGAACCCGCACCCGCAGGCAATCAATCCCGCCACACACAAAGTCACAACGCCGCATCCTGAGTTGGTCATCTCGTTGCCATCGAATCGCCACTGACCATCTACTGGCCACCGCGCAATCTCAGCACCAAGTGCAGCGTACTCTCCTTCTGAATGTTGTAATCCGACAGAGTGCGCCCGTCTTCCAACTGCTTGCCCGCGAAAATCAGTCTCTGCTGGTCCGGCGGAATCCCCTCCTTGTCCTGGATCTTCGACTTGACGTTGTCAATCGTATCCGAGCTCTCAACTTCCAGCGTAATCGTCTTTCCCGTCAAGGTTTTGACAAAAATTTGCATACCGCCGCGAAGCCGGAGGACGAGATGGAGGGTTGATTCCTTCTGGATGTTGTAGTCCGACAGCGTCCGGCCGTCCTCCAGCTGCTTTCCGGCGAAAATCAGACGTTGCTGGTCAGGCGGGATGCCTTCCTTGTCCTGGATCTTGCTCTTGACGTTGTCGATCGTGTCGCTCGACTCAACCTCGAGAGTAATCGTCTTTCCCGTCAAGGTTTTGACAAATATTTGCATACCCCCGCGGAGTCTGAGGACCAGGTGAAGGGTGCTCTCCTTCTGGATGTTGTAGTCGGAGAGGGTGCGGCCATCTTCGAGTTGTTTGCCGGCGAAGATCAGGCGCTGTTGGTCAGGCGGAATGCCCTCCTTGTCCTGGATCTTGGATTTGACATTGTCGATGGTGTCGCTGGACTCGACCTCAAGCGTGATGGTCTTGCCAGTAAGGGTTTTGACAAAAATTTGCATGGCGGCGGTGACCTGGGATGAAGCAGATGATGTTGTAAGGTGATGAGATGATGAAGAGATCAAAAGGGTGTTGGTGGTTGAAGTGTAGAGAGTTGGGATGGAGTGGTAAGAAGGAAGAGAAGATGGGGAGAAGTGAGAGAAGAGCGGCTTAAGTAGCAAGCGGCAGGCGGCAGGCGCAGGCAGAGAGCAAGTGGCAATAGGCACTGCAATTGAAGTGGCAGGTGGGGGAAGGCGGTGGGCCGCAGGGGCCGGGCCAATCACAGAGGGGCAAGGCGCGTGGGTGGCAGCCCCCAGAAGGCAACGGAAGTGTCTCACTGGGACTAGAACCACGGGCATTACTCATTACTATTTACTACTAGGTACCTAGCGAGAGGTAGGTATTCACCGCAGCAGTGACAGTGGGTGACAGTACTAGTAGTGCACAGGTGTCAGTTGTCCTCAATTCACCATCGCCGCCGTATCAAACTCTGTCTCTTTCTCTCTCGCGCTTTGATTGTCCACGTGAGCAGTTGCCACAGCCAGATAGCAAACCTGGAAAGGCGGTTATCTCCTTCCCGTCCTCTCATCCCCCCACCTTGCCCTCTGCTGGCAGCTCTCTCTCTGGTGCAATCTACTGTGTTTCTGCTCAAGGGCCCAGTAAGAGATTTTCAAAGCATCTGCCATCGGAGAAAATTCTCTTCATGCCCTGCGCTGATAAATCACCAGGTGCAGCCCAGCGTCGACCTCGCCTTCTCGCTCAGTTGTTTGCCTCCCCCACAAAGTCAGCCTGAGGGGCGCCCAATGACGTTGGTGGCCGACGCCATCAGACGCCGTGCCGGCCCAATCAATGCATGACTCAGCGCAAGCACGCTGCCACCACCAACTGCTGCGTTATGGCGTGATATGCACAGCGACTGTTGCAATCTCACCTTCGTTGATGCCGTCGAATTACCATGGCTTCGTTCTAGAGTCTTGTTGCATACAAAAAGCCAGGGAAGCCCGTTGGTGGCAAGGTCAAGAGGCGGACATTCTTTCACATTGGGCATTCGAATATTTCCTGACCAGAGGTGTGCTCACCAAAGCGCAAGCACGAAGTCTGCTTGTTCCAAACAACGGTAAGGGAATAAGGGCACACGACTTTGAGATACCTGAAATGCTCCGACGGCTGTCCAGGAAAGTCGTCGAGATGCAACTTCCATCCGCAAACCAGGATTACATGTCGCGGGCGAGTAGCTGGAAGCATCTTCGGCCGATCACGGTGTTTTCATGCATTGAAAAGCGCGTTCTCGAGAACGGGTTGTGCCCTGGGGAATTTCATATTGAGGCCTTCGCAATGAGCCGAGAGCCTCGACGAATTTCTCTCCCAGGTAATGATTTGATGCCGCCCACGCTTGGACCCTATATAACGAATTCCATTCTCGCATTCCTCAGTATTCTGGCCCTCTCACTGGGTTTCCGGGGTACTTGCAAAATGTTGTTTACTTTCCTCATGTGGCCTACATTTGGCTCCCGTCCCTGTCATCCCTTGGACAAAACTCGAGCATTCATGATGTCCACCAATATTGACCATGTCCCTAACAAGCTCTCCTGACTGCCTAATCCAAACAGAAGACCGAGCCTTCAAGATGCTGTTCCCCAATGTTCCCGACGAGGGAAATTCCTTTGACGACTTCTTCAACGAGGACATGTACAGGCTGGACGGCAGCGATGAGGAAAATAAAGCCCATCCAGACCAATTCGAAGCTCTTTTCGCCGACGCCTTCAACCAAGACGAATACAGACTTCCGTCTCTTGATTCCTCAACGGTAAAGATCGGGCATTCACCTCCTCAACCATGGCGCAGAGGCGTGTGGTGTTTGAAGCAAAGACAACAGCCTCCAAGGCTTGCGGTAGAAAAAACGCGCAGACCAGAAACAAAGCGGACAGACCCAGTTGAGACAATGGATGCCATCAACCCCAACTTCCATCATGCGCCAGGTCCCGTGTCGCCGCTTGAGATCACTTCGCCCAGCCGAACAAAGAGATTTGTCACCTCACCCGCTGCTGGAGGATTTGATCCCACGACATACATCCGGCCTCCCTTCTCTTGCGAAACCACCTTATCACCGAGCCCGATGTATGCACAACTCCCGATATCGCCGCTCGCCGGCCATGGCGACACGAGCAACTGGCAACAAGACTTTCAAAACTTCCACCTGCGCATGCCGTACGAACGGCCGTTGCAGCCTCATCCCCTCTCAAACAAGCAGAGTCAACAAGGCTGTTTAGCCCGCGACATGAATGCAGCTATAATGACCCAAAATCAGGGCCTATCAAGCCGAGTCAATCCGTATTTTGACGAGTACAAGAGCCCGACCCACCCAGAGACCAGTGCCATTGATCCCGCGCTACTCAGCCCGCAGTATGAGAGGTCTCGAGACGGCCAGCAGGCCTACGGAGGCGATTCCTTTTTTCTGCATGACCTGAATGGTATGCATGAGCCGAATTCGATGCAATCTCCAATTAGCACAAGCCTGCCGTCATCAGGTAGCTCAACCCAGTCGCAGGGTGCCAGAACGCATACCTCGAATACTACCCTCACCATGCACTCAAAAGCTGTCTTCTCGCCCCCAACAGTGACTGCACATCCTCCGCTGCCGACATTGGCACCAGAGGAGTCTTACCCTGCATTGGCTGCTCCCACTCCGAAACGTGTGCCTCATCCGATTCTGCATCAGCCGAATGACAGCTCATTGGCGGGACTCGGAATCCGCTATCCGGAGCTGGAACAGATGAGTCAAGCTGTGCTCTATGAGCCACAGGGTTATCTCCCGGAAGTATCTGCTCCCATTGGTGTTGCGCTGCCTTACCCTGCTGCGACAACGGCACCCAATCCGATGTATGCTTATCCACCTCTCCCACCACCTCCGTCTCACGTCTTTCCGGACCTCTCTCCCTTCAACACGCCTCGGAAACAACGACGGTCACCATCCCGATCACCGACGCCGTCAGTGTCGCCCACCAACGTCAGTCCGCGACGCAACCCTGCGCGATCGCCGACCCGCAGCGTCACCGACTACAGCCAAAGCCGAAGGAAGTCGATCCACAAGTCAGGACCAATCAAGGACAGTGCTGGTCAAGATCCTCTTCCCGCGCCACGGGCGAGATCATCATCTCGACCACCTCGGACGCCCAAAGCACCCAAGACGCCTACTGGCGGAGGGGCTGTGATTGATTTTGTGAACTTCACGCCTAAGGACTCTGCCAAATTGTTGAGTGATGTAGCACCGAGCGGAAGCTCCAAGACAAGGGCGCGGAGAGAGCAAGAAGCGAGAGAAAAGAGGAAGAAACTGAGTGAAGCGGCATTGAAGGCTGTCCGAGTTGCAGGAGGAGATGTGGCGGCATTTGAGAAGGCGATTTTCACGTAATGGTAGCTGTCCTTGAGGGCAGCGGATACGCCGTCTGTCTGTTTAGCGTCATCTTCTTTTGATTTTGTGCTAGCTATAAAGATTCAGGGGAACAAAGATAGTTGATCCATTGTGCTGGGAATGGCAGGGTGTTACTGTCACACTTGAGAGGTTGTTGATGGCTTTTTGCAGTGGTGGTACAAGGGACGCCCATGGACACGGGAATCTACAAATTTGGAAGGTTCAATAGAGTTTGTACCACCACGAAGCTACCAGTTTGAATTATTTTCCCTCCCAATTCTTACAATATGGCGTGTATGTGCTCTGTCTGTGTACGTGTGTGGTTGTATGCGTGAGTGCTGGGGCCCTTGGGCCCCTGGCATCTGCAAGGGTCTTTCACTTCCGTGTTTCAAATTCCAGTCTCGGAGAGAAGTCGCGTTGGCGATTTTCATCACCCAGGGGAGACGATGACGCGTCGAAGGATGAGTGGGTGCTCGAGGCAGTCACTGGGTAGGTACGGCACAGTCAAGACAAACAACAGATAGCGTTTAATGAAGAGAAGGATCATATAAGTTGAAACAAATGGGACAAGACTGGCTCTGCCTTGGACTTGCTGCCAGGAACAGGCCGCAGGTTACCAAGTGTGCAGCTCTGACTAAGCGAGGAGCCCAAACACCGTCTGCGCCAACACCTCCACCATCTCGCGCCCTGCTCGCCCTTCGTTCGGCGCGGTACGAGACAGGGGACACAGGAACCCAGCCAGTCGATACCCACAGAAACCCTTGCAAGCCACCCTTGTCGTCCACTGTAGGGTCAGACATCTGACACCCCCAACGCCTGAGGCTGAACGACCACCTTTCCAGGCCGGATTTTTGCAGAAGAACAACACCTCTGCAGTTCTCATTCTCTGCCATGTTCACCATCGTCGGCTATCGTCATGAGTGTCATGATGGACAGAGCCAGTCGTGCTCTCCAGCAATTCGTCTCTTTTCGACTACATCCCGATGTTAAAGAGCATGCTATGAAAGATACCGGCTGGGCCGATGTAGGTGGTGTTTGAGAAAAATCAGAGCAACAAAGCTTTATTAACACACCAGAACCAGGGTCTCCGAGGCATCGCAGCAGTATTTGTTGTTTCGTCTCATGTCGTTATATGTTATGCAAGAGCTCTGGTGCCGCCATGTTGTGCCTTTTTCAGCACCCAACCCTACCTTTTTCAACGACCTGTTTTTCGTCTTGTGGCCAGCGGTCATTCATGGGTTGCCATCTTTTTCATTCTCATGGGCTTCGTCAATGCGTTGAAGCCTATTCAACTCGCCAGAACCCAACAAGTCGATAAAGCCCTGCAGAAACTGGCCTCTTCGTCGTTCAGTCGCATCTTCCGGCTCGTGCTTCCGGCGACCACTGCCACCATCATCTCTTGGTTCATTTGCAATTTGGATCTGTATTCCATGTCGGCACAGAGCGATGCATACTGGTTGTACACCAACACTCCCGAACCCAGCCCTACCTGGGCCGACGCAGTCCTGGACCTATTCGGCGCTCTTCGGGCGACGTGGACTTACGGCGACGAAAACGAATATGATCAACCGCAATGGGCTCTTGTATACCTGCTCCAAGGCAGCATCATGATCATCAGCGCTTTGTCGCTTGTGGTGACCATGACCCCTACCTGGCGCACGATTACCTTGCTTTTCCTCGCATATTGGTCTCTTAACTGGAGCCACATGACTGCAGATCGTAAGTTGCCCGCTAGCACTGTTCCTGAGGACGCACACGTTAACCATCAGCAGCCTGGGTCGGCCTCTGCTGCTTCCTAGGCATTGCCCTGAGCGAACTCAGTCTCTCGGATATTCCCAAGGTTCTAGCTCCTTACTCGCCTTATATTTCGCCACCTGTCATTTTGATTTCTCTCATCTTCATGTCATATCCTAGTTCCTATGCTGAAGCGGCGTCCTGGTCCCTGTGGCTTCGTGAACTTGCGACACAGTACTTCCCTTCCCATGCGACCTTTGCCCTTGAACGGATGTACGGCGCTCTGGGCGGGGTTCTCCTTGTTATTGGTATTCTCATCTCCCCTCACGCCCGTTGGGCGTTGAGCCGCCCACCTCTTCTGTGGCTTGGGAAAGTCAGCTTTGCAATCTACCTCATTCACGGCATGTTCTTGAGGACAGTCTTCGCGTGGGCGCTACACCTCGGCCATTCGAAACAGACAATGACCGAACACGACCCAAATGGCGAAGAGTATCATGTGGACCGGTACCCATTGCCGGGTAATTTCCAATGTGCTCTTGCGACTGTCATCATGGGAGCCTGTGTGGGTGTGGCAAGCCACTTCTGGAACTTGAAACTGGAGCCAGTCTTTGCGAGAATCACGGCCAAGCTTGAAGGAATCGTCACAGGAAAGGTCGAGACGGAGCCACGGGAGCCCAAATCCAATGGAGGTGCTATCCTTCCGTTGCGTAACGACTGAAGGCGATATTGAAGATGAGGCCACAAAAATGCCACTGAAGGACAGGGTTCCATTGTTGGATCGATAAACTTCGCAACTTGCCGACATTCGACGGTCGTATTGACCTCCTACTCGAATAGCACTACTCGCTCATCAACAAGCGTCAGGAATCGATGCCGAAATCACTTTTTCCGATCATACACTGAGTCAGATACTTATCGAGGCCCACGAGATATGTTTAATGATGCAAGCTAGCACGCCATACGCAAAAATGCATCGGAAGGAGTTTGACCCTTTAGAATCTAGAGTTTACGAGCCAAAAATATTACGCCAGGAAATGCAGGATACAAAAAAGTCAACAGATGGTTACAGTTTACATGGTTTTTGCTTGTTATGATTTGCAAATCAGACGTTCTATCCACCTATGTACGGATACGATCAATCGGGGGTATCATTTAGCGGGTTACTGCAGGTGGTCGGTGGCCACGGGAATGGGAATGGGAAAAGTTCTGGTCTTGGGTCCGTTGTTGCAATGCATGTTGGTGGGTTTGGGCATCGTTAAGGTATCTCGATATGTACTGTATGTATGGATGGATGGATGGATGAGAAAATGGGGACGATGCAGCTGCGCAAGGCTGAAGTACCTAGGTAGATAAGGTATGGATTACACTGCGTAAGGTAACGGACGGGTGACCTTCGGAGTTGGGTCATTCCTTTTTGGGACTCTTTCTTGTAATACGAGGTCAGGTCCTGAGGTGCATTTCGGCGTCCGCGTTCGAGAGATTAGGTACCTAGGCAGGAATCGCATACCCCTCCCGACCCGTTGCTGTGATGGCTACTCCTACGAGGTACTGTACAAGCCATGGGCCGTGGATATGGTCAAAGCCGACTGGTTCTTACTTGGGCATCAAGTATGACGTTGTCATTCTTCATAGCCGCCAGCCTGAGTCTTCGGTCTCATTGAAGGAGCAGAGGTTGGACGGACTGCTAGGCAGGTTAGGTGATCAGGATCCCCTGTTCTAGCACTTTAACGCTTATGTTATTCTTAGCTCGTTGTTTTCCAGAACGTTATACAAGTACGAGGTCCAACACCATTCATTCTTTTACTTTTTGGTCCTCCCCTTTGGAGCAAGTATCTCGAGTCTCGAGTATCGCTAAAATTCGTACTCCAAGTCACCCCATGCGCCATCGTCGAGTATCGTGCCCCAGTCTGCCGGATAACTCACCGGCATAGCCAGGTTCGACGCGTCGGGAAACAAGTATCGGCCTGCGCCGGCGGGTTGGGTCGTGGACATCGCGTACATGGGCGCCGTGAGGCTCGGGTCTTGTCCTCCGTATTGAGACTTGCCGTTGACTAGTGCTGGCTGCTCCATCACCTCGCTCTGTGCCATCGCAGGACTCGTATCCTCGGTGGTGAGTTGGTGGCTCTTCATCTGCACCGGCGGTGAGGCATTAACTGGCTCGTTGGGGAGCAGCTCGTCGCCATTGCGGATTCGGCGCACAATCTTTGCAAACAGGCGAAAGATCCAGCCGCTCACGGGCCAGGTGCTCTGCAGCTCGCGCAGGGCGATCATGGCCAGTCTCACTTTCACAACGCCCAGTTGTTCCAGGATCGACTGGCCCGAGCAGATGTCGACAGCTTGCATGCCCATGGCGGCGAACAGCGCGGGGACTATGTGGATCGGGCAGTGCAAGATGTGCGACTGCGACAGAAGCTCTTCGACAATGCGCACCATGCGGTTCGCCGCGTCCATGGCGAGAAAGTGCGCCGTCTTCATCGACGGTGGAGACAAGTTCTGCGGTGAGATGGACCGGTGGGTGACGATCTCGAACCAACTGCCATGCACAACGTCAGTCGAAAGGATGGAATCATTCGGGAGGGGGCATTTACCTGTGTGCAATATGCAGCATGCTCGTCCAGAGACAGCTGCTGGTGTATTCGATCCGCAGTTCGAGCGGGAGCCCCGACTTCCATTGCTCCAATGCTTGGGAGCAAGACTGGAACATGTCAGCATTGTCCGAGGTCGTAGCATTGAAGGCGGTAAAGGATCTCTCGACGATGCTCTCGGCAATCATAGAAAGCTCGACCAGTGCAATGACATAGAGCCCGTCGACACGTTCAGGGCTGCCGAAGATGTCTGATCTGGAGACGGGAAGCTCGTCGAAATCCGTGATAGCGAGGGGTTCAACATCGCAGTCTCTTCGTCGGGTATGGACCGGTCGGCCCAGCGCGGTCGCGGCATGCTTGTCTTCGGCGAAGAGTGACCACCAAATCTTCTTCCACAGGCACCGATCTCTTGGTTTCATGTCGGAATGTTGCGTCGATCGGTGCATGCCCAGCGTCAGCGCGAGGCTGATTGCGATGCCCAGCCAGTGCCATGTGTCCTTTTGATCCGTCGGTCCATTCCACCAGAAGCTGATCAGGAATACGGCTTGGACGACGGTGACCTTGTTCGGTTCATGGTCATTGTCGTACAGGGCCTTTGCTCGCTGGAAGAACGTCTTCCGAGCGTGGTATCTTGATTCGAACCCCGCGTCGACCAGGACAGATAGCTCGCAGTGTCCCGAGGCCATGAATAAGACACTCTGTAGCAGCAGGTACGAAGCTGGGGTTTTGAGATCAGTGTACTGGGCAGCAAAATCCTCGCGATCAATGATGGGATAGTGAGGATGGACATATTCGAAATAGGTCTGGAACAGCTGGTAGCAAGTATGGACAGACGGGAGGGTGAAGCAGCCTTGATGCTGCAGGAACGACGTGAGCACATGGTCCTCTTCCTCGACAGAACTGGCCGTTCGATTCTTGGGATTGAACCGGACCACGTAGTGCCTCTTGCGTGTAGACCGAGCAGAGTCAGGATTGGTCTGCCGCAAGAGATGCGTCAAATTGAACGTCTCCCCCATGTACATGACATGGACAACTCCTTCTTTGACGTCCGGGGCTATGCCCGTGTTTGTGGCCTTGTCGAGCACTTGAGCATAGAGTGTTTCTTGCGAGTCCTGGGCTGCCAGATCAGGTTTGTCAGGGACACACGTCGTGGAGGTGGACGCCGTTCGAGGACGGCTCTCCCGCAGACTCTTGGGCTGGTTCTTCCTCACACCCTTGAGAGGATCGTAGACATTGCCATGCTGCGCCGGGCTCGTCTCCTCTACCGGGGAAGCCCGTGCGATGCTTGACAGGTCGCGTTGAGCGGCAAAGGAGGGAGAGGTCGACACTTTCCTCTTCTTGCCTCTTTTGCTCTCGATAAGGATGCAGCTGCGCCCGGCGGCCTCGCAATTGGAACATGGCGTCCCTTTGGCCGCAGCATTGCACTTCACGCGCCGGGAATGACACCAGGTACAGGCGACTGCCGAGCGCTGTCGAGGGCGCCCTCGCTGCGTCGAGGAGGTCTGGTGCGGTTGATCCATCACGGGTGGAGTCATCTTCGGCAACACTCTCAAAGGCGGTACGCGAGTGTGGGAGAAGAGTCATAGGCTATGTATGGCCCCCGGAATTTGGCCAGACGCTGTCCCTTTTGAATGATTGTGGGCGATCGAAGGTCGGGGTAAACGCACCGCGGAATCGAGGCCGAGGATTCCCATAATTAAGGCTAGGGAGTAGACCGAGGGGGTGGGTTTGATATTCATCTCCCGTCTTGTTGTTGTTGGTTAGAGCACGTCAAGTCCATGGCGTCGTTGTCAAGGATGGCCCTTGGGGTTCTCTGCATGGAGGCGTGTGTAGCCATCCCCATCCCACAAGTCGAAGCAAAGAGGCATATCTAGAACTTCATGTCGTTTCGCTCTGCCTTCACGAGTAGCTAGAGCTGACGGCCATTCCCCCTCTTTTCTGGCTACTGTCCGCCCTCGGTCGGGGCTTCCCCGCCTCCGCCTGTATGCATGGCTCTTGCAGGGGACACTCACCTTGCCTTCTGGTTCAGGGCAATCGCCAGCGACCCCGACTTCCACCGAGCAGGCGTTTTGACAAGGATGGAGCTAGAATACGCCGTGTTTCCCGCCTACACGGCACCTCAGCACCACTAGGAATACTGCTTGCGACATTCCGTCTGGTATTGGATCGGCAATGACTTTCGAGGTCAAAGTTGGAGAAAAGATGGAGAGAAGATCGACGGCGACAAAACCTTCGCCCGGTCGCCAAGGTCTGTTGGATTGTCTCTCCAATGAACCCTGTAAGGCGCATCTCACACGCAAGACGCAACATTTCACACCTGCACAGCAGTTTCTTATGACCCGCAGCCTGCGTGACAAATCAGCTGTACATTGACCAAGATCATATTGAAAGATGCAGCTTGTAGAGAGGCATCTCTGCACAAAAAGGCCATATTATGGCACGTCCCGCACCGTACGAGATGGTCGTCTTCTGGCGTGGATAACCGAGTAAGCCCGGTATAGGCTAAGACATAGCTGGCGTAATGTGCCTAAGACCTCTGAGCAAAAGGTCCCTCCACGACAATATTGTGGTTACGCGCAGACCCGCAGTAAATGGGAACATGACTTGACATATATATATCAATGCGTGGAGACCCCACAGTCCTCCAGCTGCAGGATCAGCCCATCTCGTCCGGACTCGCTTCTGTCCTCTTGCCGGTGCCTGCAACAACATGGCCAGAACGTACACCCTCTACAACTTGCGGATCATCTTGGTCCTGACCTTGGGTAGTCTCACCTTTGGGTACGGCTTTTCGGTCATCTCCAACACCATAGGGCAGCCCGGATTCATCCAATACTTCAATCTCAAAGCCAACTCGGCCTACACCAACGCCATCACGGGCACCATCAATGGCTTGTACTGTGCAGGAGCACTGTTCGGGGCGCTCCATGTGGGCTGGATGTGCGAGGCCCGTGGCAGAAAAGAGACCATGTACCTGGCGTCGGCCGTCAATGTCGTGGGCGGAGCTCTTGAGACAGGCTCTGTCGACATAGCCATGTTCCTCGTTTCGCGGTTCATTTCAGGTTGGGGAATTGGCATGATGGTGACCTTGATCCCCATTTACCAAGCTGAAATCTGTGCGTCCCCTTTTCTGGCCGCTTTGCAGCAGTTGGAGAGGAGTCTTGTTTTTGCTGACGTTGGAGTCCAGCGCCTCCCAACGCTCGAGGCTTTCTCGTCGGGCAACACGGGACTTGGATTGTCTTGGGATACGCCATTGCTGGCTGGGTGGGCGCAGGGACGTATTACTCGTCGAACCTGTCCTTCCAGTGGCGGTTCCCCATTGCCTTGTCGATCATACCTCCCCTTGCATTGGCCATGTGTGCTCCCTGGATCCCAGAATCTCCCCGTTGGTGTAAGTCACCATTTTTGGGCACCATCCGCCCGCCCCAGTCCCCAGCCCCAAAACACTTACAGTGGCCCAGTGCTCACGCGAGACCGACGCGAGGAGGCCTGGAAGATCGTCAAGCGGCTGCATGGTGGCGCAGCCGAGGACGAGGCAGGCCTCCAATACGCGCGAGAAGAATTCTACCAAATGACCGAGCAGGTCCGAGTAGACGCGGCTGCATGGAAACAAGGGGGTTGGCGCGGAATGTTCACCAACAAGACGTACCGGAAGCGCTTCTGGATGGGCTTCTTCATCCAGTATGCAGCGCAATCGACGGGTGCTCAGGTCATTTACGGTAAGCCCCAAGGGATTGAAAAACACATGGCTACACAGCGTCAGAATATCAGGTGTCACTGACCGTCTGTCGGGTTTGTTTTGTCAGTATACATTGTGTCCTTGTACCAGAACCTTGGACTCACCGGCGGAGTTCCCTTGATTCTGGGAGCAGCCTATGTCACCGTCGCAACCATCTCCAACTTCACCGGGGCGCTGCTCCTGGACAAAGTAGGACGAAAACCACTTCTGCGTAAGTGTCCCAACACGCCCATTTCGCATCGGGAATTTCCCTCTCCATGTGACACGGCGATGGGGAAAAAATGCTAAAAAGGACGGTTGTCGCTTGAATATAGTCGCCGGCCTCACCGGATGCATGCTCTCGGTGTGCCTTGAGACCGCCATGATAGCCGAGTTCGCTGGGACCACCAACAAGGCCGGACTTTCGATGGGGGTCTTCTTCTCCTTCTGCTTTATCAGCTTCTACGGGGGCGGCATCGATGTGGTTGGCTATGTTTATTGCTGTAAGTGGTTTGTGTCTCCGTCGATTTTTTCCCTCGCACCTTCCATGTATGAGCCCCTCCACCGCCCGCTGCCAGCAATAGAAACGTGGTGGAACAAGGAGCCTGAACGGAGAGGGGCCGTGACGCTCCCCTCGGGATCCCAGCGTGCTGGTCCGTAAGGCGGGCTCTCTAAGCATATACGGAGTAAGAACTGTGCCCGGTTGCCGGGCCATGCATTCTTTGTCAGGGTTCTCTGGCCACGCGAGCCATGTCGGAATTTGCGCAGAAGGTCGCACCCCGGATTACGCTGACATGCATGTAGCCGAGATCTTCCCGACCACCATCCGATCTCAGGGTGTGGCCTGGTCGCTCGCCGGGACGTTTCTCTCCACGTTGGTGTACGTTGAGGCTGCGCCGACCGCCTTGGCAAATATCAAGTGGAAGTACTATATCGTCTTCATCTGCCTGACCTTTGTCAACATTTGGATCTTCTACTTTTGGTGTCCCGAGGTAAGAAGGATACTCTTCCTCTCTCAAAAGTCGTGAGTTGTCACTGACCCCATCCCTCCCTCCAAGACTCGAGGCAAGTCGCTTGAAGAGATCAATGCCTTGTTTGGCGACGAGGTTGTGGTGCATTTCACGGATGCGACTGAGAAACAACGGCACGAGTTAGCCGCCAAGGTATTGGCACAAGATGAAAAACACGAGTACGAGTATGCCTCGGGTGGGGGGCAGATGGTGGAGGGGTCGAGTACAATGACGGCGTTGAAAGTCTAAAATGGAACACGGGTGGGTAGGGTTTGTGGTGACACACACGAATATCTTTGAGATGGCGAGGGAGAGGAGCTCCGCTGGTCAATGATGGCATGAGATGTTTCTCAATAATCAATGATTGCGAGGGTATGTAGGCGTTAGCCCGGGCGACTTGTCAGAGGGCAAGCTCTCCTCTGTGGGCACGTTCATACATACCTCGTACAGTAAAGGTAACATGATTACGGAGTACCTGGAGCTCGGTACCTCCAGTAGCACCCCCAGACATAGCGAGTATCACCATCATCATCATCGTCATCATCCGTCGGATGATGCGCAGCGGACAAACACACTTTGGGAATCTGGATCTGCCCGGCTGGGAAGGGAGAGGGTGTGACGATAGTGAGTATCTTATCGGAATGTGGTCACGAGTGACGTACCTAGCAAGAGAGTCCGAAGCACAGTGACAGCAGCATGCATGAACAGGGGCCCAGCCAGCGGAAGCCTGAGGAACGAAGGAACAGGGACCTGGAGGACCTAGAAGACCTGGACCTCTGCTGGATCAAGTGCTTGGATCAGTGCTGGATCAGGGATGCTGGCAAGGCCGTGGCTGGGGGATCAGGGGGGGTCAATCGGGGTCAATTGGCTGGGAGCCAACAGTGCCTTGTAGCTAAGTGTGTGGCGTGCATTAGGGGACGGATATTAATATCTTCGCTAAGAGCCGCTAGCAAGACAGCAGACACTAGCGGCCACAAGCCCCCCCCCCGACCACATCCGCCACTCACAGCCGCCCATGCCATCGAGGCTCCGCCATCCTCCCCTCGCCATTCGCCCAGACTCCGTAGCCACCCCGGGCTCCACCGCGCAGGTACCTTTCAATCCAATTTCCCGGGGGCTAAAAAACCTGGCTATAGCACCCAGATTTGCCCTGCCTCCTCGACGGCCAACGGGTACAAGGGCCCAAGGGGGGGCCACCAGAACTGAGACATTGCGCCATGTCCACTGAGCCAGAGTCTCCCGTCTTCAATTAAACTGGCAAAATTCTATCGAAGGACGAAGGTACCTACCTAAAGGCCTTTAACCAACGCGAGAGGAGAGAGAGGGGACAGAGAAAAGACAGACAGTGTCACCAACCAAACCAACCAACCACCCCAAAAAAGCGAACTAGTACCGACGGCAACCTCCACCGCTAGCAAGCGTCACCATCAGAGAGAGAGAGAGAGAAAAGAAGGTGGTTGTCTCATGTAAAAGAACTTGCCGAGTACCTACCTACCTACCTACGCCAGCGAAGAAAAAACCAACCTCTCCCTTTTTTTCCCCCTTTGACTCGAAACCATCTCCCGCTTCAAACTTGAGTCTCTCGCTCTCCACAACGTCAACTATACTCGGTACTCTCTTCTGGACATACTCTCGCTCTCAAACCCCCCTACGGTACCTTTCTAAGCTTGGAAACAATTCCATCGTTTTTTCTCCCACCCCATCACTTTTTCCCCGGATTTTCATGGTCGAAAAAGCCCGCCCGTCGTTTCTTGACATTGAGAACACACACACACACACAGAAGTTTCGCTTCAAATGCTCTGGACGAGATTGCGGGATCGACTCGACTTCTTAATTTAGTAGCCCTTGTACCCGAGTTCGAGTACAATTTGGCCCCGGGCTTGCCCTTCCTACGCCTTGTGCTGTGTTGGGGCTCAATAATTGAACCGCCGTTCAAAGGCGCCCGCGCCCCAAGACCGCCACCAACCCGATAGCACAGACCCCGGTGGATTCCATTATTTCTCGAACGACATTTGTTATTGTTGTAGTCCAGAGAGACCGGCTGGTCGCCCTGAATACCTGGACCCCTTTCAGCAGCCAGACGTCGTTAAGATATCTTTTTTCCCTTCTTCTCACCTTTTTCTCAGCTTCGGTTCAACTGGTTGAACCCCAAAACGATTCCTTGGATCCAGAAGCAATACAGCAGTAACAGTAACAGCAACAGCAACGACGCACAACCATGGCGTCTTCTCCAGCTCCAGCCATGTCATCCACGCTTTTGAACCTTCCTCCCGAGGTCAGGAATCTCATCTATAAATTCGCTTTCCAACAGCCGAAACCACTGAGGCTGAGGTGTCCATCCCAACGACGGCTCCGACCATCGCGGCCGGCCAAAGACGACCCTCGGGGATTCTTGGATACCTGCCAGTTGATCCGTTCAGAGGCCATCACGTTGTTTTACAGTCTCAATGCCTTGGTCTTCCGGTCGTCGGCAGACGCCCTGGCATTCTTGTCCGACCCAGATATCCATCCTCTGATCAAATCGTCATTGACTCACATAGCGGTCGATTTTGGCGACAGCACCGACGCCGATGCAATTCTCAAGGACCACATCAATCTCGTCGACACCTGTGTAGGCAGTCTGCCCCGTCTGAAGGCCATGGAGACCCGCTTCTACGCCCGAACTCTGGACGCTTGCTCATCTTCACATTTCCGTACCTTGGCGCTCGCCTTTGACGGTCTCGATGCCGATATGAATGCCCCTCCTTCCCCTCGCTCACCACGTTCGCCTCGGTCGCCTCGGTCGCCTCGTGGCTCTCCTCGAGGCTCCATATCCAGTGGCAGCTCCTCACCTATCTCAACGCCGTCGAGCGTGTGCTCTTCTCCCTGCTGGGACTCAGAGCCCGAACCCGAGCTCGACATGTCAGCCATTCAAGCCGAAGTCCTGGAACAGTACTGCTTCACGCCTTCTGCCGCCATTGCATTCGCCAATTCCAAGCTGAAGTTTTCGGTGGCAGCCTCGTCCGAGAACTATCCTGGCGTCAAGCACGACAAGCTCATCTGCTACAATCTGCGGATTGGGGCGGATGGGATTGCCAATGCGTTGGGCCCTGCCAAGGAGGCTGTCCAGCAGCGAATCGGCCGCGTAGGCATGTTACCCCGACAGATTAGCGAAATGTATGACACCGCTGCAGATGGCGGGTTTCACCAACGAGTGCGATCAACCATCGCCAACTGTGCGAGGATTGACGTTGGCGTTTCATGATTGAAAAGAGGCGGGCAAGGCACGGAGTTCCCGTCCACTCTTTCCTTACCATTGGTGGAGACTTTGATCAACTTGATTCTGCATTCCCTTGGCAAGGATGAAAGAGGCTTGGTTGAAGTGAGGGACGGTGGGAAACCTCATTTGCCGAATTGCATGGATGGAGATGCGTGCGGTTCCCCTTCTAATGCTTGTTCTTCCACATGCAGATACCCTTGTTCTATCTCTTACAACCGCATGTAATTATCGCTTTATGAGATGACGAAATGAGATATGATTATGAATCCTGAAACTCGGGTTCCTGTTTTGTCGCAATCAGCAGGGATTTGTAGCTCCTCTTAGGCAAACACGGAAAAGATCTCCTCACCTTCAAACTTGGTCGGACCAGATCTTGGTCGGACCAGATCTGTGTTCCGGCCAATGTTACTGGCTCCCTCACCGCCACCGATCCGTTACCGAGTTTGCTCTTGTGGTCTGCGGCCGAAACGAGAGAAGCAAACACCCGCTGCCCGGAATTTGAAAAGTCGGTTCGTGTCACCCACAGGTACCCATACGAGAGCGAGAAGATTCAAGGTGCTGGAAACTGGGGCGAAACAACCCGCAACGGTCGTGCCTTTGCAGACGTTGCGGCTCTCCAACGACCATTGTGGCGGAAATGCGCGTTCGGCTGTGCGTAGACAAACATCGCAATGGTGGTGTCATGACAGATGCAGAGGGTCTCAACCTGAAAGACATAAATGAGGCAGAATGTCCCGTTATGATTTTCCCTTTCCAGGTCCTCCAGCCTCCATCACATCGATTCCAGCAAATATCGAGCCCAGAAAGCAGTACTACAAGCATCAGCATTCCAGTGTGTCCGCCTCTCAAGCCGTAATAGCAGCCTTAAACCACTTGCCCAAACTCAAAATGTGCGAAACCATCCGAATCCACCATCACTGTCCGAATGCAGGCTGTAAAGGCGCGATGGTCACCAAGGACAATTTATGTAACCACGCGAAGAGGAACAAACCATGCAAGGGTCACAGACACCGCACGGTGGCCGGACAAACCAAAGATTGTGCTTCCCATCGCCGGCAAAAGTACGAAGGGCAAAGCGGACGAGGCAACCCAAGCTGGTGGGATGAAGTATGAGATCAGGAATGTAGCCAGCAGACTTGTAGTCTGCGGTATACGTTGATTCCGGTATGAGGTGGTGCTGAAGGATTATGTTGCAAGGCTCGGCCACCCGAAGGACACAAAATTGCACGTCAACAATCGGAACAAGGCCAATTGATCAGGAAGGTTGCCATGTGCTGGATATTGTGAAGGGCGGATGCCTGTTCCTGAGAAAAGTTTTGGTGAGCTACAATGGAGGTAGCGAAGCTGCCTCCGGTTTGTGGCCAAGTGAAGCCCCAATATAAAGTTGTCACCGCTTGAAGTACAGGACTTTTCTGAGCCGTTCCCAGGCAGCTTCCACGTCTTCAGGAACATCGACGTGAACAATGAAGTCTTTTCCTTTCGGGCCATATCCATCTTTGTCGTCACGTATCCGAGGAATTTCACCCATCAATAGGTCAAAGAAACGATGGCTTCCCCAGAGACCGGAAGACTCGATATCTGATGTTGAGTTATTGTCATCTGCCTTGATGTGCATCATGTTTGTTTCATCAAGAAAGACCACTGGGATGAAAGTTGGACAAGCGAGGAACTCTGGAGAAGGCTCGACATCTTGATAGGTGTGCCGAAAAGCAGCTAGTGTGCGAAGCGACATTGTAGGATCCTGGACAACGATACAAGATCTAGGTGTCGAGACAGAATGTAACTCGAGGACTCGGCGCGTCTCAATGGCATTGGCGCCGCAATTCGTCGAATTGGCTTCAATGATGCATTTCATCTGGCCCGACTGGATTCGTTCAACGAGTTTGGGGTAATACCCGGTGAGAATCAGTTCGTAGACGGCAGCCTCTGGTAGTCCGTCGATCGTGTCGGCCAGACGACAGTATTTAGGGTGGGCTCGAACGGCTTCGTAGAGGAACCGAGTAGAATGACCAATGCCGCCACAGATGACTAGGACTTTTGTGAGATCTGGGCGCGCCTCCAAAGCTGAGAAGACATTATCGGCAATTGAAAGGATTGCATTGCCACACAAGGCAATGACATCGACCGCAGGACATGTGTGGAGAGAAGGGACTTGCAGGCATGAGAGATAGCGCGAGAGGGTATTGATGTCCGTCACGTCTGACTGTGAGAACAACATTCTGTCAATACTCACAGACGAAGCTGAAGACAACGATTGGTTCGGAGGCCAATGAGGGAGAGAGTGTGTTCTCAATCACGTGATTATAGCTGCCAAGGTCTTGGCACTACAATCATCGTCAACTTTGATGCTCGATGATCTCCTTCAAAGCTTCCCTCCCCCACATCTACCGTCTCCCAAGAGACTAGACAACCTACGAACACCCTCTAACACTAGTTCTCCGGGTCGACAATGAATCAACTTCACGCATCACGAAAGCCGATGCGACATCTGATCGCTCACCAAAGATGAGCCATGGAATAGCGTCCTTGTGGAATTCGTGGATCGACGAGCCTTCTGATCGAGTCCTCGGCCCTTTGCTTCCTTCGCCTTTTTGTCTTCCTTACCCTCTTCTCGTCTTCCACGTTCCTCCTCTAATGTCGTCGCATCGAAGCCGGAATGAATAGAAGGTGTGGCGACTTTTTGCTCTTGTACCACCAAACGGTTCTCTTCCGAAGTGGTTTTGCATGTCTCGCTCCAGCCACGACGTTTAGTTCTCTCCGAATGATCGATGGTCCGTTTCTCTTTTTGGAGGCTTGGTGGCCCACAGCAGACTTGGCCTACTGCACGAATGATGAATGCCTCTGCTCAACCACCAGCACCCGCTCACTTTGTCTGGGGGCCTTTTGAATGCCAAGCTGCCAGCTCTGACGACAGATCAGCAACTTCGATGAAGAATCTCTTAACGATCATCTTATCATGATTAGATGAAAATTATCTGATCAGATTATCAAGAAACGACCCGGCCCATGCATTGACACCCCTTTTCTTCCCCTATGGTTACAATGCCGAATCCACAGCAGAGACAGCCAGAAGCTCGAGCATAATAAACTCCTTTCCGACATCGCTGAACCTGTGGATTGTCCCTCTTATTATGTCTCCCTGGCATGGCCAAAGACTGGCCTAATGAGAGGCCGTCTTGGCAGGTTGGCTTGCAGGCCTTCGAATGCTGTCTGTCGACCTAGGTGCGACAGAATTTCGTATGCTGATGCTTCAGTTGGTTCGCATGTGAGCAGACCGGATGGATTTGATCGGAGATTTTTCTTAGGCAGCCCGGCTGTGTCGCTGGGTTGATTTCCTTTTCTTGTTCATTTCTCCTGTCAACAGTCTGCTCTATTGTCGTTGCATACCCTTCCTGCTTTTCTGCTCCTCCAGAATCACCGCTGTCCAAAGTGATACCCTCAAGTCAAAACCAGACGTCGGCCCAAAAATGCATGGCGTCCCACGACAGCACGTCCACTGCAAGCAGTGAAACTGCCATTGTGGACGAAGAGAAGGACGACTCGACGCACGACAACGTCCGATCGGACTCGGAAGATGAAGACGAGAACCAGAAGATTCTCAATGCCGCTTGGGGAAAGCACGGGAGATGTTGGATGTGGACAGGATATGTACGACGCACCTCCTGAAACCGGGGGAATTTTCAAAACGACCTCTGGCTCTTCTTGCTGACAGATGAGGCTATAATACAGCATCGGTCTCATGTGGACGATTTGTAAGTGCGAACCAAAACCACCACGCACGGTCTCGTGAATTTATGCTGATGCCCAAGGACTCGGTTTGCAAGTGAGCTCGACTACACGACAATCTACAACTACCAAAATTACGCGGCCTCGGACTTTGGCGAGATCGCCCTCCCGGGAGCCTTGATGACGGTCGGCACCATCGTCAGCCGCCGTGCTCAAGCCGCCTCTGGCCAAGATCTCCGACGTGATGGGCCGTGCCGAGACGTACGCCGTGGTCGTTGTCTGCCACGTCGTGTCCTACATCATCTGTGCGTCGCGGCGCGCGGGTTCGGGCAGTATACTGGGGGATACATCGTCTACAGCATCGGGCAGACGGGGGTGCAGATCCTCAACCAGGTCATTGTGGCCGACATTACGTCGTCATGCCGATTTCTCATCCCAGAACAAGAACGAGCGATAGTGATAATCAAGACCACTTTCTCCGTAGTATCCGACCAAACCGACCGAATGATTAGGACGGGGGGAGTGTGTGTGTGGACGCTCATATGAAAAAAAAATAGTGAAACTTACCGCGCCGCCTCTGATACTTGCTATCTGTTACTATTACTACCCTAGCCAATCCGGGGGCTGTCGGTCCTCGTGCTCTCGCTCGTACAGTACATGTCGCGGTAGCGGGGTGTTGGGCCATTATCACCAAGATGTTATTGAAGCGAGATACTGGAGCCGGTGGCATGCGTTACGCGCAGTACATGTAGTACGTATGTTACCTACCTAGATAGGTAGCTGAGGGGAACACGGGTAAGGCCTTCACCGCCCATCAGATGCTGTAAGACTTACCTACTCGTAACTAATAGCGAATAGAGTAACTCGGTATATATGTGCTCCGTATATTATGTGCTCCATATTCGTAGAGTTGGTACGTAGACACAGTTGAGACTCCAAAGTCAAAGCCAAACTAGGTGCTTTCTTGCGCAGCACCTAATACATAGTATTTCCACCCGCGCGTGTCACTACCTTGTCTGGCTTCTTCGTGACATGCCGATGCTCGCTAACCTCGGAGCGTGGATCAAGTAGTAGTAGCAGTAGTTCGCTTGCTCTACGTCAGACCCTATGTAGTTATTCTTTCGAGGACGACGACCCGGTGCTGATCGATGATGAGGACGGTGGTAGTGTTGGTGCTCGTGCTGGTAGTAGCGTGAATAATGATAGGCGCGCAAGTTCGACATGCTCCTTGTGGACAGGCGATCCACCCACCCATCCACCCACCCACCCACCTCAGATGCCAATACGAGCGAACCCTACATCAAAAAGAAAAAGTAAACACGTACCTATCTTGCGCGTCGCAACTTGATCCCCTACTTTTGCGCCCTGGCTACCGACTGTTTCCAGTGTTTTTCTCTCTTCCTCAGCCCAACTAACGGTTTGCAGTCCTCCGTTATGCTGGCTCACTGTCCTTTATTTCTGTAGGCACCCTGCTCTCCGTACACACCAGTAGACAGCTCATTGACCAATTCCATTAGGGCTGAGGAGGGGAGCATGGAAACTTGAAAGGGGCCAGATGCCCTGCCGTCTCGCCTAATAATCGCCGTGTATTTACCTAAACTGAGCCCTCGTAGCTGGTTCCGACTAGCGCTGATCTGGGGCCCTATCCGGGTCCGCGGATGGATGTTCGTCGTAACGGTGGTAAAGTGCACATGTGGGTAGGCGCTGCCTCAAAGATAATTAAAATGTCCTAGGCACCTACCAGGGGGTGGGCGTTTGCCCTTTCCCTATTTTCAACCGTGCTCGTCCGTGATCTTTTGTTCAAAACGAAAATATTGAATGTGTTGCGACTGAACCGGCCTGCCTGGCTGTTCGGTGATAAAATCCTTCTCGCGTCCTTTCTTGTTAGCGGAGTGAGCGTGTGGGAGGAATCGTAAACCGTCCAAGCGAGACATTGCTTTGAATATTCAAAAGAAGAAACAAAAGGCAGAATTCCGACCGAGGGACGACATCATGGACACCTTTGTGCTTGCAAAGGTCTGTGGATTGGCTTCGTCAGGCATATTTGCAGGTTTGTCCTTACCACCTTTGCTTTTCCTGTCCTTCCTTCCCTCGCCCCCTTTCTCTCACTCCCTGGACCAAGCCTGCGAATGCACTCGCACATGACTGTCTGGTATGATGAAGCTGACTTCTTCTATCGTCTGATGCAGGATACACATGGGCTCTTTCTCATGCGGCCGTACCGGCGATCCTGTTTGCTCCGGACGCGCTGGCTGCGCGAGAATGGCGCTACCAGTATCTGATGGGGTTTCATGTTAGTGGTTGACTGCTCCTTAGAGAATGTGTTCTCTCGATTCTCACACGCCTGGCGAAACCTGCAGATTTCTAGGCCCATGTGCGTCATCAATGGCTTATCGTTTGGGTATCTGGCATATCACGGTAGGTTTCGAGATTTTGCACCTACACTCGTGTTTCTGGAGTTACTGAGTCGGGGGATCCATTTTTAGCCCCGGGAGGATCCCTTCTTCGCTATCTATACATCCTCGCCGCTTCAGCGACCGCGTCAGGCGTGCCTTACGCGTTGACCTTTCTGCGTCGAACCAATGGTGCCCTGTCTCGAAAGGCCGATCGTTTGGCAGGGCCTGGCGGTGGAGAGATGGCGTTAACGTATGCTTTCAACGAGGAGCGCAGCATCGAGAGAGATAGGAAGATGAGCACCGAGGAGGCCATTAAGCGGTGGCAATGGCACAATTACGTGAGGACTTGGGTCTTGGTGCTGGGTGTGGTCGCTGGGGCCTGGGCTGTGGCTATGGACTGATGGTCTCGTCGAGGCAAGAGTTATTCGTCTGTGATGGTGTTGTTGTTTGGGTGAGCCGTGACACTCTGCTTGTGATGCATTGTGTTTAAGGAGTCGTCCGTCCTTGGAATCGTGTACAAGTATTTGAGAGCCAAGCGATGACGAGCGCTGTCCTGGGTTGTTCTTGCCTGCTTACCTTTCGGGAAGTCGTGTATGGCGTATGTAGCACAGGGACTATACGGTGTGCCACTCGTGGTCACCGTGTGAATCAGGTCTATGTCCGCCTCTATTAGTGCGAGAGTCTCGTTAGTATCAGGAAAGCGGCCTTGGCTACATAGGTATGGATGGCGGCGCTGCTTGGATGAGATTCTCCGGGCAGCAGCTGGTAAAATTCACGGCAGAGGACAAGGCTGAGGAGGATGCTGAAGTCGCCTACGAGTTCAAGCTTACAGAAAGTAACAATGGCTTTAGGCTGCGCCTACCTTGCGGACGCATGACCTTAAGGGCTCCTTATGGGCTCCCAAGGTCCCTAACTGCCGAGCTACAAGTAACTCCTCGGTGCTTGAAGACTCCGCCCGCCGGCCCCTTCATTCAGCCTCGCAATTTAATTTTAGAGCCCGCAACAAAACAAGCAAATAAAAAAACCTGCTCACGAAATCCGCCTCAGCCTCATCATCTCCCTGTCTCTCTGTGTCACCCTCACATTCATCTCTCCCCAGCCACAATGTGAAAACAAAATGAAACAAAAAAACCTGCTCACCTTGTCATAAACGAACGATGTACATTCACTAGGTATCTATCGAAAATGCTCACGCCCATTGGCACCGCCGGCCCAATAGCGGAGCATATAGAGATGAGAGCGAGGCTGGGAGGGGTCAGCGATATCTTGCTCAATACCCTCGTACTCTGTGCTATGTGAGTGAGTGTTGGAATTGGGATGCTAGCCTGCCTGTGCTTGTTCGTTTTGGATTTGATTGATTGGAGATCGTGAGCAGATATTCCTCCTAAACAATAGCATCAGGTATGTCTCCGCCCAACATCCTCGGGGGAAGGGTATATGAAGACATGGGCCCGTCCCATATCTTACGGCTTTTAGACATTCCCGCCTCAAGTTTTGCCCGTCATATTCATACAATAGATCTGAAAACATCACCGCCCAAACCCATTCTGAACCCGCGAAGCAGTAAAAGTCATGTGTGGCGATTCCCATCTTCCTCCGGCTCCCGAGTCCGGTGACCTGATCGCCATCATCCACCCAAATCCGCACTCATCATTTCAAGGACGACTAAAACTGTCAAATCGGGCGCCAGGAGCAACCACAACCACTCTTCAATGTGTAGGTAACCGTTCAGACCTTTGTGGACCGGACGCGCTCTTGCACGTGAGAATACAGTACGTGAAACATTCCCCTCGTCCCTGTGTGTTGCATTCAGGTTCCTGACGAGTGTCCTCAGCAAATACGGGCAACCTTTATCAACATCATCACATTCCACAGTCGATTCAGATTCGGAGGACGATTGTGACCCGTCCAACCCCGTATTGTATTCATTCTTCGTCGATACCGTCAGCGGCTCAAGGACTGGTGACGTAAGGCTCAATCTCGGTGTCGGCGGAGATGGTGTTGTTGGGCGGACTGTATCGATAGTTGATGGTCGGAGGAGAAAGCTTCTGGGCGAGGGAGTTATCGGATGGAGTTGAGTCTTTTGCACAGACTATGGTTGTAAATTTTGTTGCTTTTGCTTCATCCACCTGGCGGGAAGACACATTGGTCTTGAGCCGCAGCCTAGACGATTCGTCATTGCGTGTGAGCGGCTGAGAATCCGGCTCTAGAGCAGATACCCCATCCAGCCGCTGTTGTTCATGTATATATCAAACATGTCCAATTCTTCGGTACTAAAGTTGAACTGGTCCCAGTTGGTGTTTCCGTAACTGGCAGCGTCATATGCAGCGTTCAAGTTCGAGCCAAATTTGTCCACATTCGACCAAGCTCCCCCCGGGAGTAGAGCCGGCGTATACAGCTTTGTCGGTAGCAGGTTCGCGGGTGTCCCAGACGAAGGACATTCCATCCTTTTCGCATCAGCAATGATGGATGCCGGATCTTGCCGCAGGATACTGGACGTTTGTTGCCGTCGTGTCTGCTCATCTTGGCCTTCGTCATCCGAGAGCTGTCCTGATCTATGCATATGCCAGATTTTGAGCTTCATGAAAACGAATCCGAAGGCTTCCGCGCAGGGATTCATGCCGCCAGCGGACACTTCGCCCAGTCGGTGAAGAATTGCATCCAAATAATACCCGGTCTTTAGATCAGGCACAAAGACCGAGCCGAATTTGGACTCTGGCGAGGTGAAGATCCATTGGAGTTTGATCAATACCACAATGGCATATGCATTCCACACAATGTATAGATTGGTCAGATTTCGAGCACAGTTGACCTCGAGTGAGAGGTAGGTGTCAAGAACTCGGTGACTGCTCTCTAGAAGAGTCGATAAAGCCTCGACGTGAGCAGATGTAACAAAATCGGGCGCTCTGCGCTGGTCTAAAGCGGCGATTCCTGGTCGGAAGTCATCTACGTTGTGGTCGTAGTGAACAGCGATCTCGTGGATATATAGATTGAGGCATGCTGCTTGGTGTTGCACAAGTCCTTCATACCAGTCAGTTAGCCTTCGCAACTGAAACACGTTCATGAGACTTACGATGATCCACCGAGACATCGACATTCTTCTCCCACTGTTGCAATTGTCGTTGAAAGCACTTCAACTGATACTGCACCCTGGGCTCCGAAAAGTTCAGTTCGGCACCAGGATCGTCCATGTTGAACGCTGCTGCAACTTCCTCCGCGAGGCGCGCCAGTTCCACGGTGGCACACAGCCATTTGTCACTCGGGGTTGCATGAGGGCTGGTTCTGAGTAGCTCCAGACACTCTTCTATGCGTGGACTAAACCTGATCAGGGTAGGGAGACGAAGGATAGTGGTGACACTGTGATTGGGGAACAAATCAGCACAATCGGAGTAACAAAGCTAGAGGTTAGCAAACCTACTTTATGTTGGCTTGGTAGCAGGCCAGCCATGTGCGGGCCAGTTCAACTTCCTCGGCTGGGGTCCTTTTCAATTTTGATCTCTTGCCGATCCCTAGTTCCAGAGACATGGAAATGGCAGATTGGATGTTTTGATTAAAGGCAAGATCCCTCGCCGTGCGCGGCCGTACGTAGTACTGAGAGTTCACCAGCAGTGCCTGGACCATATCCAATGATTTGTCGCCATGGAAGAGCACCCGTTCTGCGATCTGCCGATTGATCTCAATGGTAAGCGCTGGCTGGGCGGAGGGTTGTACGATAGGGCTTGCAATTGTCAAAATGGCTAGGAACGTTATGGGACGAGTCCTTCGAAGTTCGTTGGGGTCTGTCCCGGGGGCAAAGACGACGTATGGGCAAGAAGAGCACATGTTCTTTGTCCAGTGGTTGAACATTGCCGTCGCACTCTCCATGCTCAAATCACCACGGTCAATGACATCTATGTAGTCGTCTTTAGCCATAGGCTCGACGTTCATCGGAGGACAGCCTCTGGCAAATTCTGGTTCAGTGGTCGGCGGGAATGCCCTTTCTATCAAGTTCTGCTGATAGCTGTCCAAGCTGCTATTGGCAGTGTCATCAGTCTTGGCTGGTTCTGAGCTTCCACTGGTCGGAGCATCTTTGGGAGGGGATTCATCTTCGGGCTTGCCACTATCTGCTGTCTGCTGTTTGGCCAGTAAAGCGTTGGTTAGGGCATTGATTTTCTTCTCCAATTCGGCGACCTTGTGGACGGTTTTCTGTCTCTTCCGCGGAGGACCAGGCATAATACATTCTCGATTGACTTTGGCGCATGCATTGCAGGCATCCTGGCCCTCGACGGGAAGGCAGCGGATTTTCATAGAACGGCAAGCCAGACAAGCGCGTGACCGCTTTTGGCGCTTGGGCTTCTCATTGCCTGACCCTTCTTCTTCCTCCAGACTTTCCGGGGACTGACTATGGCTGTTCGGGTCTTGAAGCTGGCCATCTTGGAGGATGGCACGTGTTTCCGGGGAGTGGTTCTGTTTGAAGGGCAGTAGGCTTTCCAAAGGAAGTGGTTTCTCTGTCGCCATGATGTAAATGTGTGCCTGATCGGAGAACCCGTCATATCAGACCGGCTCAGTTAGGCATCTCCCGCGATGACAAACAGGATTTCTGACTAGGCTGAGATTGTTTGCGGGGGAGCAGGGAGCCCACGATGGATAGCCTCCACCTGGATAGCAAAATAATGGACATGGGAATGAAAAACACAAAGGATAATGACAGCAACTACAGTGGCATAATTAGAAATCAGGAACGAGGTGGCATCTCGTTGATCCGAGAAAGTTTTCGGTCTTGCTGTTAAGGGACTCGGGGAGTTGCCTTCGGAGCCGGCAGGAACTTACCTCCGAGTGGACGATTCAGCAAATCGCAGTGCACGGGTGCAGTGATGAGTCATGAATTATACGCAGCCTTGCGCAGCCTCGCGCCGGTTTTCTCTGCTGGAATCTGAGATTATATCTATACTCAGGTACCTAGGTAGATATCCACTGGTGGTACAACTGGAAAGGGCAATTACTAGCTGCAGAGACATAGCTACCTATCCATGGGTGAGGGAGGAAGGTCTCTTACCAACCAACCTCAAGCAAGTCCTGACGATCCCTTCTCCCTGTGCATACATCGCAGAGTTGTTCGTGCTTGTGGGCAAAAGCATCTTCATATGCCTTGGCCATCATCACGCCCCCAGAGCTTCACAGTTCTGTCATGACCACTGCTGGCAATCCACTTGGCGTCGTTGGTAACATCGACGCTGAGCACGTTGCCTGCGTGTCCGCTGAGCTGCTTCACAAACGACCAATCATCCGCCGAATAGATGTTGACGTTCTTGTCAAAGCCACTCGTCACAAAGAATGTGCCGGCTTTTCGAGGATTGTGCTCCTGTCTGACGCCACTGCTCTCCACCAAGGATGATCTGTCGCCATCGAGGCCTTTGAACCATTTCAGGTCGGACACGTTGCCATTATGCGCACCAATTCCTCCCACATTGCGCACTTGACGGAGATCCCAGCATTTGACCCATCCGTCCCCAGAGCCTGAGAGGATGCGATATCCGTCAATACCCCAATCCAGGCAGAAGATCTCACGGATGTGGCCTTCCAAGATCATGACCGTGCGCCCTGTCCTCAGATCCCAGATTCTTCCTATACTGTCAAATCCTCCGCTTGCCAGCAATGAGCCGTCGGTGTTAAAACTGACAGCGAAGACTTGCCTCGAGTGTCCTTCTTGTAAAAAGAGCTCAGTTGTCGTTTCCACATCCCATAATCGCCACGTTGTGTCAAACGAGGCTGATGCAAGATATTTCCCCGAGGGATGAAACTCGACCCTGCAAACACGATCCGTATGTCCCTGCAAAGTGCCAATTGGAGTCTCCTTGTTTAAAGACCACAGATGAATGTCACTTTCTCCTCCTTGCCCGCCAGCACCACTTGCAATATTCAGGGAATCTGGCGACACGTTGGACTCTTGGAGTGTTGCACCAGGATACCACGCAATCCCACCCACAATGCCTGTATGACCTCTCAGGGTCACCTTTTCGTCCAGGTTCGGGACGTCGAGCAACTTAATGCCACCTCCCCAATTGCCGGCGGCAATTATCTCGCCATTTGGAGCAAATCGGGTGATGCTAACGGGTCGCTCTCCAGCAATTTGTGTTCCGAACAGTTCGAACCCTTGTAGCTTCTCTTTGATTTCCTTGCGGTGCTTGATGTGTGTGCGCAGCGGAATGGTCGAGTCTTCTCGCTGCCTCTGTATCCGCGCCTTTGCCCTTGGTAGGGAGTATCTAGCCATCGCTCTTCTCGCTTCGAGCAGTTGTGGTAGACCCTCGGTGTAGAATTCTTCTTCTTGATCGGGATCTTCCTCCGCTTCACGCATCTGTACGTCGGCAACAGCTCCATCTGCACCAGCAGCATCCTCTTGGTCCAACAACAATTCCCGCAAGCGAGCTCGTCTGTCCGCAGCGTCTTCTCCAAAAAGTGTGACAGGCTCGCCAAGTTCGCGCAACCTTGCCCTTACTTTTCCGTCATCCGTGGGGACGGCCAGCATGGCCAGTCGTCTTTTCCGGTCGAATTGAGAGAGGATAGCAGATGCTTTTTCGGGTGCAACCCCGCCGGCACCGGTAGGAAGGTCATAATTTCGATCGATAGCTGGCAGGAAAGTGAGTCCAGATCTTTGAGGATACTGAGTAGACATACTTACGGATGCTTGCCAAATCCACGCCCATCTCGGTATCCTGCGTCTCAGCCATTTCCGTCAGTCTTGCGTTCCTCCGCCTTTTGATTCATCGCTAGGGCACATAGAGCCTTAAAGGCAAATGTAAATAAAGAGACACAGAATAATATGCTTTGCGGCGGAGTATCTTACCTGGCGCTCCTCCTCCACATACGCCTGACGCGCTGGGTGCATCATCTTGGAGGCTGGACACAGAGAGATGGTGTCCAGATTATGGGCGAATGCGGTGGCTCTCTTGGAACTTGAACCGTCAATTTTCCCAGACGCAATAGGTTTCCGCAAATCCGAGTTGTAACTGTACGGAAACAAAACTTCAGGACCAGTCGAGCAGCACGCCCCGCTTTGGGCAGAGAATGACGCCGCCTTAGGAGTTGCTACGGTACGGGGAAGCATTCAATCCAAGAGATGAATTTTCGAGTTATCTACTCGCTATGTACCAGCCGACTCTGCTTCTTTGAAGCTCCAGGAAGCCTTTCTCCAAAACAACATTGTCGCTCACTCGGCTGAAGGGATCTTCATGCTTGTTGTTCAGATTCTAGCGACAGACTGGAGGCCGCCAACCAGCGGTCGCTTCAGTCAACATTATGGCAGAGTAAGGTCTGTCTCTGCACAGGCCCCGGACGGTCATGGAGAGTCATGGACACTGAGGGCATGAGCTTCCTCGCCGCGCCCGATATTGCTGATCAGTGTTGCTGGATCTGGTCTTCTGCCATGCAGTATGGCTCTATTTCAATGTCCGGCCCTGTGAAGAACATTCGTCCGAACTATGAGATTCGCTTTGAAGAACCCTTCCACCCCACCGCGGTGCAATCGCTATTCTTCTCGAATGCACAATTTACCCATGCTCTTTGCATGGCATGGGTAGTACAAGCATTCAGCCCCTCGCGACCACAGACCTTGTGCCGAGCTGAGGGGACAAGCTTGACGCATCCTATCAGGGAGTCAGCTTTCTTCACGCCATTGTCAGCTCTCGAGAGTCTTGGCGGTGGTCGACGATTTGGAACCCCTTCCTATTACGTCGAGGAAATCAAATGCTTGCACATATAAGGTTTGAGTCGACACTGTCTCTTCAAAGCTGAGGTGCAAGGCACTTGCTCTCAGCCAGCTTCAGATTGGCCATTTGCGGCTGAACTTCTAGAGTGACCTGGTGCGGTCTCGATCATGCAACAGCTTGTGCAGATGGTCAGGTTTCCCTGGGCGGCCATGCGAACAGGTGGTAGATGCACCCGTCACTTCTGCGTCGCTGGCTAATGGTTTCAGTAACAGCACAGCATCCGCGTTCCACATCGCACATGTGACCCAGTGGCAAAGAGACAAGTTCTCTCCACGATGAAAAATATCCACCGGATGGTGCAGCATCGAACCGTGACATGCGACTTGGTAAATAGCGCGAGAAATGTTTTACCAATCCATAAGGAAGAGATTGATTCGTCCCAGGCTGAACGTGGCTGCCTGATGTTGGCTACCAAAACGTCTCTGTGCAGCCAGCGGAGCTGCGCTTCTTCCTTCTTGATCAGCTGAGGACGCGCCTTGTCCACATATTCTAGATACCTACACTCTTTCTAAACGCTGTGTACCGGTTATGGGCAGCTAACTACACTCACATGACCACAGGATTTAATACCGTTGACATGGTCGGGCCTTCGTCATTTTCACATAGGATATGTGGAAAGAAGCTAGTCGACGTTGAGCTGCCAGCACAAGTCTTCATCTACTATCCATTCATGGAGCCAGCCATGTTCAATGAAGCAGGGAACGGGTGTCATTCGACGACGACGGAGAGGTACTCTTCAATGGTGTCCTGCGACTTCCATCACAACTTCTAGCGTGACGAAACTTGCCTCAGCACCTCAGCTCAGCTCAACTCAGCTCGCTACCACAACGAAGGCCTGTTCGTGTTCGTCATCTGAGCACCTAGCATGCGAGCATGCGGAGGTAAAGAGCACATATAAATATCTACTCTAGATCACGGAAGCTTTCCCCTGCATGTCCGTTCATTGAACGCCGCGCACTGAATTTTGTCATACTCCCAATACTGACTGACGTTCCAGCTGTTTGCTTGTGCTACTTTCCGTTACAATGTCTTTGGACCTGACTCCTCCATTCCCTTTCCCCGTGTCGGGACCTTTGGACCCGTACGTCAATTACTTGAAAGGTTACCTTACAAAGCTCGGCCGCTACGACCAAGGTGATCAATCTCTAGCCAAAGCCATCCAAGAAGGTCTCGATGAAGGTGTCGTGGAGTTGAAGTTCTGGAATATCACCAGTGCCGATAACTTCATGTATTACGCCAACTACTTACTCACCAGCTGGATTCCAAGCGAGACACATAACAGTCGTTTCATCTACCAAGTCCTCACCGTCTTCTACTACATATTTGACCGACCAGCCCTCTGCGATCTTCAAACGCAAATCTCTCCTGACTCGATTGAGGGTGACATGCCCAAGATGACACCACTATCTGACTGGGTCGTTGGCTACGCTAAGCGGATGGGGTCATGGTTGAGCACTTCTGCTTCCATCACAAAGGACTCGTACCAGACATTCCTCACCGCCAAGGAATACAGAATGAGTGACCCGGGCGACTATAAGATCCCAGACCCTCATTCAGATACCGGCGGCTTCCAAAGCTTCAACCAATTTTTCTGTCGTTTCCTCAAAGAACCTCATTCCAGTGTCCGACCTATTGATGAAGACATAAATACTGTTGTTTTTCCTGCGGATTCGACGTTCGACAACGCATGGCCGATTGACAACGATCTTTATGTGGACATTCAAGACCCAGATGCACCTGCATCATCCTTGGACCATGACAATGTGGTTGAGGTCAAGCTTGTCAAATGGCCTCTCTCAGCTTTGCTAGCAGGTTCTGCGTTTACAGAGACATTCAAGGGCGGCACATGGGCTCACGTCTTTCTCAACACCTTTGACTACCATCGACAGCACGCTCCAGTGTCCGGGACAGTGCGGGAAGCATTCCTCGTCGAGGGCTGTGCATACCTGCAAGTAGAGGCCCAGGTTGGAGATGACGGCAAGAAAAGGCTACAACCCCGACGAGGCTACACGTCGGCTGTAAAGGCGGGAGATGCAGTCGCCGCCCAGCCGTCTGCCCCCGATGGCGCCGGGTACCAATTTATTCAACAGCGAGGCTGCATCGTGATTGATACGGCGGGCTTTGCCAACATCGGTATGGTTGCGGTCCTCCCCATGGGCATGGCTCAAGTCTCTTCCGTAAACCTGTCGGAGGGATCAAAAGTCGGAAACATTGTCCGGAAGGGCGATGAAATTTCGTGGTTCGAATTTGGCGGCTCGGACCTAGTTCTGGTGTTTGAGGCACAGGCCCAGGTCGGCGATTTCCCCCCTACAAATACAAAGGAACATCCCAGTCCACATCACCTGATGGGAGAAAAACTGTGCACGGTCAAAGCAAAAGCCACATGATGAAACTTCTTGGGGCTGCGAGAAGTTTTGGACCAGAACACAGTAGGACAGGTTTACTGATGGCCGAGGTGGAGAGACAACATTCCCTTTACTTCTCGTTTGGGGGATTGTTCAAGCAGAGATATGTCTTTGATTGCAGATCGATTGCGTCAGAAAATATGAGAGGCAATATGCTGATATGACTTCTTGATCCTGTCTCGTTCGCCGTGTGAATGCTCCGTTCAGAGTAGAAAGCCTGGCTCTCCAACATATCCCCTATTCAAGCCCCACTTCTAGAGCCTCGCTGCCGAATCTTCCACCCAGACCCAAGATGGGCCACCAGCGGATTTCGATAAGCTCCCGATAATGGCAAGACAAAGGACGGCCGAACAGTATTCGGCCCGAACGGCGAGACGGCCGCAGCTAACGGAGGTCGACATTTTGTTCAGAGCAGCCAGAGCCTCACCTCGATGGCAAAATGCGTTCGGCGTTTTCCCCATTCGTTTTACCCCGCGGCACATCCGAGGTTCGACCTGGGCCAACAGCCGATTCGGAGCCTAGGAGACTCGCATCGACGCAGCGAGACAAGATAAAAAAAAGCAGGATTAATCAAGCAATTTAATATTGAACATCGCTCGCTACCAATTCGTATTTGCAAGACTTGGGGTGACCCGTCTTTGGCTGTTCCTGGTACCTGAAATGCCCATGGCTACCCAGCGTCTTTCCGCCGTTCTCTCCCACATACCCGGCACCTCCAGCGCGGTAGACAATATGTATGGCGCCTCGCACTTCTGACCTTCGTTTCGTGTGTCGCTCGAGTGTCTGACATATGAATGTGATGAAAACTAGCGCAAAGCAAAGCCCCGACGATGTCGTGATTACGCTCGCGATCAGGACGCCCATGTGCAAGGCCAAGAAAGGCGGGTTCAAGGACACGACGCTCGACGGCCTGGTCTTCAAGATTCTCGAGCAGGTCCGACTCCGCAGCAAGGTCGACCCGCGTCTTGTCGACGATGTCTGTCTTGGGAATGTAAGAGGACGCCCCCCGCTTGTTGGTGGAACTTTTCCGGTGATTGATCGATTGATCGATTGAGTCTCATCTCATCTCATGGGCAGGTCCGCGACGGCAGAGCTGCGTATTATGTCCGGGCCGCTTCTCTGGCGGCAGGCTTCCCCAACACATCCGCGGCGTCGAGTGTGGCGCGCTTTTGCTCCTCGGGTCTGACGGCGACGCAATTCATCGCCAATGAGATCATCACCGGCACCATTGAGGTTGGCGTCGCGGTCGGCGCCGAGACCCTGAGCGAAGGCTGGGAGCGCCTCAGTCGGCCCTTCATAGACGAGATTCTGAACGGCAGCGATGATGCAAAGGACTGCATGCTCCCGATGGGTAAGTCCATCACGTCCTTTGGACAGAAGCATGGAGATCTGATGTTTGACAACTAGGCGCAACATCCGAGAATGTGGCCAGAGAGTTCAACGTCAGTCGGCAGCGGCAGGACGAGTACGCCGTCGAGTCGTACCGGCGCGCCGAGCTGGCGCAGAAGAACGGCTGGTTCGAGGACGAGATTGTGCCCATCACCGTCAAGAAGGACGGCAAGGACATCACGGTCAGCCGCGACGAGATACGATGGGGCACCACGTACGACGGAATCAAGACCCTCAAGCCGGCCTTCCCAGAGTATGGGGACACCACCCATGCCGGCAATGCTAGTCAAGTTACCGACGGTAAGTTCAGAAGAGGAAATCAGACGTCAGCATGCCCGCAGGACTGATATCACGGCTTTGTCCACAGGAGCCGGCGCTTTGCTTCTGATGAAGCGCTCAAAAGCCCTAGAGCTGAACCAGCCTATCCTTGCAAAGTACGTAGGCACAGCCCTTGCAGGGCTCCCGCCACGCATCATGGGTATTGGGCCCGTCTTCGCCATTCCCAAACTGCTCGCCCGGTATAACCTGTCCCTGGAAAAGGATATCGACGTGGTGGAAATCAACGAAGCGTTCGCTTCCATGGCCGTCTACTGTCGAGATTATCTCAACCTCGATTGGACGAAGATGAATCCCAGAGGTGGCGCTATTGCGTGAGTCTTCTTCCTTTTCTTCCTCCTCGAGATATTTTTTCCATTGTCACCTTCTGTCAATGGTGGTTTCATGCTAACAAATCCCCCTAGACTCGGCCGTAAGTACTCCCATTATGAACCTGTACGAGATCAACAGAGGACCAGAGGTTTCCTTCCAGCTTGCTTTTTATATCTCCCTCCCGACATACTAGTTCTCAAGCACTAACAAACGTGAAAAAAGATCCCTTCGGGTGCACAGGAGTTCGACAGATAGTGACGGGTCTCAGTGAATGCAGGCGGAGAAAGAAAAAGGTGTTACTCACCAGCATGTGCCTGGGGACTGGGATGGGTATGGCGGGGTTGTTTGTGAACGAACAGATTTGAGACCCTCGGATAACAAATGACGCACATTCGAATTGTCATCGTGTCAAACCTCAAAGAGGAACTCCATTTTCTCATGTTCGGAACAAGTTCTCATGGAAGGCTAGATCGTCGTGGGTTTGCATGGCATGAACCAATCACCGAAGCAATCATATTAAAGTTATAGAATGGGAAAGAAACAAAAATCTGCGACAGGCTGAAGCCATCATTCTGCGTGCAGCTCACGGGAAAAGGGCATCCGGTCAGGTTGTCGTTCGAAAAACTATATGATCTGTGATGAGACTCAGCGGCAGAGGGTTGGGGACGCGTACAGTCTCCGGAGCTTAGATGCCATTTTGATATCGCAGCCTCAATTTTATTCTCACTGGCGAGAGATATTGCAGTCTGCGTCAGCGGGATGCATCTTGCGGATTCATGGCTGCATTTGAAGATGATAACAGTCCCAGACAATTCCTTGTGCAGTCGTAGACGCTTACCGTTTCAGTCCAAGTGTGGAGGGAATTCGACCTTCCCTTTACGTGGTCTAGGCGTGCAATCTAACAACAGCCCCACTCAGATGAGATTGAGATTGGGGAAGATCGTGAAGCGGGTGGATTGCCACCACGGATGGATTTTCACGGCTGCAGCCTAGGATTTGTGTCGCAGTGGGTGTTTTCTGCCGCAGGCTATTTTGGAAGGTTTCAGCGCGTATTCGGTACAGGTTGAGGCGTTTGATCACCAAACAGGCAACAGGCGAGACCTTTCCAGAATGTTCGCCTACCTATGCAAGGAGTGGAAATGACGTTATCCGAGGTGGTGCTGCAACGTACCGGTACCTACTTAGGTGCCTTGTGATAGCCTTTCGTAGTCACCAGTGTAAGGGGCTGTATCTTCTGCCGACCGATTGTATAGGTTGACAAGGAAGTAGAGCAATGTCAGGGAGAGATCCTACACAGAGAAAGAAACACGGAGTAACTCGTACTCGTATTTTGGGAGTCAATAAGGAGATGATCTGGTGGTCATTCATAAGGCTGCCTGATTTTACGGCGATTTGATTGGTTGGTCTCCAGATTCGGTGGGACGGAGGGTCATGATCCCGAGTGGGGCGCCACTACCAAGATGGGTATAGTTGCTTCGCTTTAATTGGCCAAATCGGATTCTAGACCCGAAAACAAATCGTCTGGAGCCCCATTTCGGAGATATGACGCCCCATGCCTTTAACACCATGGAATGTGCATAAAGTTACATCTAGCATGAATCAATATTTTCATCGCATTCTGGAAAATACGTGTTTTCTCCTTTTATATCGTATCATTCGCGCTCACTGTTCAGTCGCCAATAGTCCTTGAAGGCATAACAGTATCCAAAAGATGACGGAGTCGTCGACTGACCCAGGCGTAGAGCAGACCGTGGCCTCGGCGAACGATGCTAGCAGCACGTCTTCGCTCCCAGCGGTGCAGAAGACAGACAATGCAGACGAAAATCCCCTGGAGCAAACCACGAGCCGCATCGAAAACTATCCGACTGGCGTCAAATTGGGCATGATCCTGCTGAGCATCTACTTGTCCGTCTTCCTGGTCGCGCTGGACAGAACAATTATTGCCACCGCGCTTCCCAAAATCACAGACAAATTCCAAAGTTTCGGAGACGTTGGTTGGGTATGTGGAGAGAGCCTCACGGTATGCAGAAAAAGGAGCCAACTAACACTCTAGACAGTACAATGCCGGATTCCTGTTTCCTACGACAGCCCTCCAACTCCTTTTCGGCCGACTCTATACCTTTTACTCGCCTAAGTGGATCTTCCTCACTGAAGTGTTTGTGTTTGAAATCGGCTCTGCGATATGTGGCGCCGCCCCGAACTCGGTCGCTTTCATCTGGGGTCGAGCGGTTGCTGGCTTGGGTGCCGCAGGACTTTTCAACGGTGCCATGATCCTGATGATGTACGCTTCGCCTCTCGACAAGAGGCCTCTCTACATGGGTCTTCTCGGAGCTGTCTTTGGTGTCGCTTCTGTCGCCGGTCCGCTGCTGGGTGGTGTGTTTACGACCAAAGTCTCTTGGAGGTAAGTCTTCGTTCTGATGAGCGCTACGACCATTTGAAGCTAAATCGCGTACAGGTGGTGTTTCTATATCAATCTCCCAATCGGCGCGGTAGTGCTGGCGTTCCTCTTCTTGGTTATCGACAACACTGCGCCAGCACTGGGTGATTTGCCACTGAAAGAAAAGATCTCACGAATTGACATTCCTGGAACGGCGGTTTTCATTCCCTGCATTGTTTGCCTGCTTCTGGCCTTGCAATGGGGTGGTCAAAAGTATGACTGGTCTAACGGCCGCATCATCGCTCTTTTGGTCCTCTTCGGCGTCCTCCTCATCATCTTCATCATCATCCAATTCTGGCGAAAGGAGGCCGGTACGGTACCGCCTCGAATCGCTAAAAACCGCACAATTGCGACTGGTGGATTCTACGCCTTCTGTCTCGGGTCATCCTTCATGATTGCTGTTTATTACCTGTCGATATGGTTCCAAGCGATCAAAGGCGATTCAGCAATCCGGTCCGGATACTCGACATTACCATTTATCCTCGCCCTCGTCGTGGCATCCATTATGTCAGGAGCCTTTGTCTCGAGGTTAGGGTACTACAACCCGTCAATATTGGCAGGTGGCATCCTAACACCTATTGGTGCTGGCCTCTTTACACTGTTCACCACTCACACAGCACATCCTATGTGGATCGGTGCCCAGGTCCTGTACGGTTTCGGCGTTGGGCTGGGGCTGCAACAGACTAATATCGCTGCTCAAGCTGTTCTGGATAAGAAGGATGCCCCAACTGGAGTCTCATTGGTATTTTTCTGCCAAGGTCTCGGTGGTACCATCTCTGTTGCGGTTGCCCAGAACGTTTTGGACAATAAGCTCATATCAGGTCTTAAGGGGATCGGCAACATCAGCCCACATGATATTGTCAACACTGGAGCCACAGAGCTGAGGTCGGCTTTCAGTCCTGCACAACTACCGGAGGTTTTGCGAGTCTACAACCACGCCTTAGTGATTGTGTTCTACATCGCGCTTGCATTTTCTTGTGCGGCAATCCTGGGAGGCATTGGCATGGAGTGGAAGACTTTGAAAAAGGATAAAGCCAAGAAGGACAAAGAAAGCGTACCCGAAATCAAGGAAGAAGCCAAGGCAGAATGATCTTCCATGACTCGCCGCAGTTCAACACAAACTTTGATTTAACGGCGCATTGTACAATAACCGCATTCTGTTATCGAGCGAAATCCCTTCTCAGCATGTTGTTTGGAGGATTTGGAGGATTTGACGGAGATAGAAATCCAACAGAACGGGGACGCCGCTGAATCTCCTCTTCGACACATACCACAAGGGACTTGGCTGCCATGTAGGAATTTTTCAGGTCCCCTCCTTTCCACACGAATTCGACTGGAGGAACGTTGATATGTAACATCAGACCCTCAACATATTCCGGAGGAAAACTACAAAAGATGCATTCATTATCCAAAAAGGCCCAAACTGAATTGCAGTGGTCTTTCTCTGATCACTGTGTTCCAGGGTGCCGTACCGCCAGTGCTTTGATGGAGCACCTGGAGAAACAAAGGATCAATTCTGCTGTCTGAGGGAAGAGCGCGGAAGTCAACAGGATCTTTGGCGAGTCACACCCTCGTATTCGCAGCAAACTAAGACCTCCAAATGCATCCATCCTACACTCAAGATGGGTGAGAGGCGCTTGACCGCACCGTTTGCGAGGTTTGCCGGTCCCGTCAGGAGTTGGCGGGAGCGTGCCGGTTTCGCGGCAAGTCCAGGTCGCGGTGAATGCGTGTTGGTTGCGCACTCCGGGCTGAAAATGGCTGGGAACAAGACCCAGTTGGGTGCCAGTGGTTTCTTTGATCTCTGAGAATACACGCTTACCACTCGAAAATGGCGGCAGTTGCTCCTCATTCGAGGCACTTTCAGATAGTTGCTGGCCAACAAATTCAATATCAAAGACGTTAGACAAGCATGGCCTTCTATTCCGGTCATGTTTCCCAGCCTTATTCCAACCGACTCAAGGACTGATATATGTAATTTTGATTGTAAATCTTGCTTGCTTTGTTCACGTACCGTTCCGCGCGGGCCCTTTGCGTCAAGACTTATCTGACTCTAGGCTCTAGCACATAAGAGGAGGTTCTTGTGGGAACCATGGGCGCGAGGCTCCAGGCCACGTTCCTCAATTGCTGCCAAGGCTGGCGCGCTGGTTATTGAACAGAGATAAAGGACGGAAAACCGCAGACCGCTCACATTGGGCTCACCTCGGCCGCGCCGCTTTTTCAAAAACCCGTCGCCCGCGAGTCACCCTCCCTCACCTTCTTTCTCACCACTTCTCACCTCCGCTCACCGTCGCTGCGCGCCCGTCGACTCATGCTCCGAAAATGGATCCTGTGCTAGCGCCTACCGTGCCTCGATTCTCTCCTCCCCTGGACTTGGAAACGGGGACCCCGTTTGTGGTGCGCTACCTGTCAAGTTTCCCACGCTCGACCTTTCCTCGCGCTGGGTACAAAATAAGGCCCCGATTCCGCTTCTGGCCTCCCGGCTTCAAAAATTCCCTCTTGTTTACCCTTCCCTCTTCTTCCTCTCGCCAATCGCCAGTCGTGCCCTCCCCCTACTTTTCCGTGGCCTTTGAGAACCCCACCCTCGTAGAGCTACAGGCGGGCGAAAGGAGACGGACAACGAACGATAGGCTCGAGCTAAAGCTAACGATTATAAGAAAGGGGCCTACGTCGAGGAAGATTAAGTTCGCGATATAGATAAGTATATCCCTAAGACTAAAGAGCACTACGATCGTACTCTAGAATATTATCTTCGGTAAGAAACGTAGATTTCCCGCTTCCCGTAATTGTCCTTTACGTACTCTTCTCTAATAAGATGGAGAAGATAGTAAATAAGATAACTACGAGACGATCATTAAAGAGAAGGGCTTCCTTCCCCCGACCCAACGGGTAGTAAACATACGAATAGATACGACTATTTCCAGTCGACCGAGCAATTGGTGCTTCGAATGCCGACGCCATACACGAGGAATTCGTTGCCAAAATCAAAGGAAGGATCGGTGAGCAACTTCGCGAAATTGCCCAGGCCTTCTCGCCTTCGGGTCGTTTTGCTGAAGGTGTCCGCGATGGTGGATCGACCACGATCACATTTGATGATCCCGAATACGGACGACACGATCCCGACGCCTCTTTTCAGGACCCGGATGCACAGTATGCTGGGGTGGTCGTTGAAGTCGCCTATTTACAGAAGGCGCAGGCTTTGCCACGGTTGGCGGATGAACATATTCTCGGATCGGACGGTAATATTGAGGTCATGGTTGAATTCAACATCGAGTACTCGCACAAATTAGCTACGTTGTCAATACTAGACGCGTACACCCGTTGCAGCTAAGCAAAGGCGGGCGCTGAACCGTACCAATTTTAGATCGCGGAGGTGCACGCTGTATAAAGGCTTACCTTGGGTATGGGGGATCCCTTGGTGATCGCCTATGCCAGACATGCCCGGGCCTGTGTGGGGATAGGAACCAGTTCCTGGTAGCGAAGAAGTCCTGGGACCGCGGTTGTGCCTAAGCACGCCGCTCCAGGCTCAATTTCAGTCCCAGGTCGGTTGTCCTAGGACGGAGCGATCCCTAGGACAATCGACCTAGAACTGGCAGCAACTCCAGGGCGTTTGCGGGTGACAGGACAATGGTCCCACATACATTGGCCCATGACCAATGTCCTGCGATCGGTGTCCTCCTGTGACTGAAAAGCGTCCTGGGTAACGCTGGCGTCCCAGGACATCGGTGTGCCTAAGGGCCACTGTTGTGGTAGGACGGTCTCCCTGCGATCTGTCTATGATCCACATGCCCTAGGGCGATTGGGACAGTCTATGAATCAATCAATCAATCTTGAACGTCTTGTTCTTGACGAGGAGCGAGTGGCGGGTGTTGATTTCAGTGAGGAATATCGAGACCTCGAAGTCGTCTGCTCATAAGTTAGCTTGAATGTTCAACTGTGTAGATTGTCACTCGCCCTGTTTCACGACATCCTTGATGCTCTTTTTCTTCTTCCCTCTGCCTTTGGCCCGCTCGTTTTCTTCGCGCAGCTTAGGCAAGACGAATGGTCTGACTGCTTCGAAGATCCGGGGAAGCGCAGGCTCTTTTTCATTCAGTAGCCACCTCGATTCGTCCGCGGGGTTCTCGAGGAAGATGCGACATTCGAGGACAGAGTATTTGCTTATGCGCAGATAACGTCGAATCGGCGCCATCGCCGCGCCCTGCTTCCGGTCCTCGATATCATCTAGGCATTGGCAGGGTCGGGATCCCTCACTGTGAAGAGCGTGGGACACTATAGAAGTTGGCGCAGAGAAGGATGCGAGGCGGCGGCGGACGTGAAGCGAGTCATGAAGGCCAAGAGATTAGATTGTCGGAATACCATCTCATCGCGATGTCCTCCCTCTCCTGTCGCTCCCTCCTTTTCTACTCAGCACCCTGAGATATATTTCATTCAATGACGCTTGCAGACACTGTTATGGTTTGAACGTGAATAAAGGGAGCCGTTTCCTTCAAATGATTACAGTCTATCATACGGCTCCAAGCAGCTCAAACGACCCCTGAGGACTCCATTGAGTTGACGCCGCATCCCATGTCTTGTGTCCCAGCTGCCCATCCTTCAGATAGGCAAAGACATGTATGGATTGCCCGTCATTGACAGCTTTCGGTGGGCCAGAAAGGTCCTGTCCAAGTACGTCAAAGCCAATCTCGGGTGTCCATGAACTGTTCCCAGCATGAAAGGTCTTGTGCAACAAAGTCCCATCACTCCCCCAGGCAAAGACATGCAGATTGTTTGCGTCCCATCTGACTGCCTCCGGCTCTGCCTGGACAGTCTGGTTACCACTGATCTGTGTCCAGTTCGACCATTGCTCGGGGGTGGGCTGATCTTGCGAAAACGACATGTGCCAGAGCCCGGCGTCTCCGCCCCGGACGAGTATGTCGAGGGAGCCTGCCTTTCGAGATGCAGCCACAGGTCTCGACGTACAGAAGCCGCCCAAGTTCTCATAGTCGGTCGTCGACGGTTCCCAATTCGAGCCGTCCCAATATCGATGATACAAAGCCTGATCTGGACCCCCGACGAGGAAGATATCGTAGCGGTTCTCCGCCCATGACACGACGGTCGGAGCGTACGAATTGAAGTAAACCGGCCCCGAGACCCCGAAGACCCAGTCAGACCAACCGTCATCCGAGGTCCACACTAACTGAGACAAGGAGTCTCCGGTATTGATCACAAACACATCCATTCTGTCGGCTCCCCAAGAGGCCGCTGTCGGCGGGCTGGTCAGAATTCCTGCAAGGTTTGTCCACAGGATATCCGACGGGCCCCAAACCATGCTAGTATCGTGATGCTTGGTGTCCAAATTCAGGGCTTCGCCTGACACGAAGACGTTCACATTTGTTCCGTTGCGTGCAAGTGCGGCGACGGCCAGCTCGTGAGGTGATGTCTGGCCTCCTATTGACTCGAATGCCCCAGTGCCATCAGTTGCCGGCTGCCAGCCTGTGGTACCGGAGCTTTGACCGGAAGATGTTCTGTACTTCCACTCTGGGAATATGGACGAGTTCAGAGCAAAGACTTCCAGATGAGGATAGCCCCATGACACGGCCGTAGGGAAGGCGTATGATTCTAACGCGGCCGCCGTGCCCGACATGGTGGGAGAGGGTGTGCTCGTCGCGGAGGGTTTCGACTTGCTGTGCTTGGATGTAAGTCCGCCTCCCAAGCCACCAGCAAGAGCGGCGATTGCCACCAGAGCAACGATACCAGCAATCATCCATCTCTTTCGATTGCGTTTCCAACCTCTTATGCTCTCTGTTCTATCCCGCCATGTGGGCAGCTCTGTGCGATACGCTGTCGACTCAGGCTCTTTCGCAGGAAGGGCAATGGGATCGGAGCTTCCATGATTGAAGATGAGCGCTTGCTTCTCGGGAGAGGGATCGAAAATGAGCGCCTGCTTATCCGTAGTGGCTTCTTGGAATCGACCTCCGCGATCAGGCTGTAGGGACTGAGGTGGAGGGTGCGAGATTCTTTCGGACGGCGCCACTTCGAGCTGTGAATAGGATTCGTTCTCCATCGCGGATAACAGTGTGAGTGGCGTTCTTTGCGATCATCAATGTCCAGCATTTGCCACAGACACTGACGATAAGTGCAAAAACAAGATCGACAACTTGGCCAGCCGCTGTGCGCATATCTTTTGGGTCCATGTTCGAGACCCCGGATTCGAAACACCTCCTCCTTGCGCCACAATAGGCTTTCTCGCCTGGGTAAAGAGAACGCCCGGCCCGGCTCTATCATTCCTCATAGGAGGACAAGCAGACAGATCCCTGGTCGTCTTTGCAGTCTGGAGCCAGAAACATGCTGCACCAGCGAAGATGATTTGCTCTTCGGGCGCGTAGCGCCATGCAATCAACGCCTGGCCCCCAACACAGTCGCCTGAATGTACCAGCAAAACCCTGCGGGGTCTAGGTAAGGTTTCCCCGCTGGAATCGAGATGGCTTTCTCAATGGGATATATCACTTGACAATATGGACCAACTTGAAGTCACAGAGCAGTGGGAGCGGTGCACCACAGAATGGCAAGTACTCTTTGGATATATTACGGAGAGTTCGAACGATATGACCTCGCGAACAGATCGCTTCAGCACCTAGCTCATAGAGGGTTGGGCCCAATGAACCAGATTGATCAACATGGTCTTTACTGCGAGGATCGATCTTCACCACATCGGATTTTGCTCAAGGCTTGCGAAAAGCTTTGGGGGATTCTTTTCCAATTCTCGTCTCGCCCGCGGGCATAAAAATACGAGATGTCGAGCTGCATCTTGAAATTGCCTCTCCTCCAGAGATTTGGGTTCCAGCAACTTCTTTCTTAAGCCCGGCCTGATATAGTCCTCGTCCGACCTTCATGATGCGCTGTTGTGGGCCAGCCTGGTTCTTCGCGCTGGCACGACGATTGCATTGTCAGAGCGCCAAAATGAGTTCTGATACCTCTCAAGTCGTGACCTGAGAGTCTGAGAAGAAAATAGTGCGCGCCTGCAGCAATGGCACGTACACGGCCTCAATCGGTCTTTCCTACGACGTGTTCTGCAACTCCAAAATTCTCGGATTCGACATTCAGAGCAGCAATGGACAAAGTCTCCAGGACTGTTTGATTCAATGATCCGATCTCCAAGGCCCAGACGGTCAAGGTCTCTGTCAGGCCGTTTCTTTCGTGAGCGCAATCGACGTGTTGGTGGAAAAATGGCAGTGCCACCACACAGACTCTCATTGCTGCCAGGGGAGTCGATAATGCCATCGCGCCCGCTGTGCAGTTTCAGTCAATTGACACCACGTGCCCCTTCGCTACGGGCTCGCTTCAACCGTCTTCCAGGCCATACGCATTTCCCTTGCAATATTCGACCACATCTCCTCCTTAAATATGTGTAAGTAGGTGAGTCTTTTCATTGAACCATGCGGTGACCCGATGCCGAAAGCTGCTTGTACGGCACATACAACGTACCTTTCGTATAGCAATTTCGGCTGCTTTCGCGGTCTTCATCCCAGTTCACATCTTTTCCGAGATAATTTTGATAGTGCGGTCTGCAGCTGAGGGCGCTGCGACCGGATAAGTGCTTGCTGGGTGTCTTTCCACTTCATGCCATCCTGCTGGAGTCGGATGATCTTGGTGGCTTCCTCTGAAAACCAAGACTTTGATCGTTCGCACGCTCTGGACCGTCTCGCCGAGGGTCCGACTTGATGTCCATCAGAATGGTCTTCGTGGAAATTGAACAACAAGAAAGACGAGGTATATAGAACCTTTGTATCACCAGCTTACTCTGCCCTCTCTGCCTCTCTCTCCTCATGGTCCAGGGCGCTCTGCAAGATGGACTTTCCACCGAAATCCAAGGACTACCTCACGCCAAAGGACACAATCAAAAAAAGCCAAGCGATGAAGCCATCCGGGAACAAGACTTAAAAAAAAAGAAACGTGGGCAAATGGACTTCGCACACAGGGCCTTCATCCGTGCCTGCCGACAGTCGACCGCGAGACCTTCCAATATCCCCAGATCCGGATGATCACACTGCATTCCAACAAATCGAAGACTTGAGCAAAAAGCGCAGAAATTTCCGGAAACCCCATCGACCAGGGGAAAAGGAGCAGTCGACGCGGGCTCGTTGCTGTGATTGCGACGCGTGCGGGTTGATTATGAGTTGGCCACAATGCAGGGTCTGCTCCCATGAATCGTTGCGGCCGTTGCGTATACTCGGAAGAACGACCTGACACCAAGAGGACGAAGAAGTCGGCGACAGATCATCGGTCCCAGTTCAGCAAATTGAACGAGCTCTCTGGCGAAATGGGCCTGTTGCTGGAAGCGCTCGATTTGACACCGGCGCATAAACAGATTGTCTCCCCAGAGTTTGGGAGAGCATATAAAGCTCTTGAATCTAAGCGTTTCAGAATTGGAAGAAGCTGGCGGCGAAGAAGCGGGACCCGAAACCACGGCTGAGTGATCTCGACTTCCATTCCACCGGAGATGGAGCAGGATTTAAGGTGCCTGTATACAATGACGCTATCCTCGTTGGTGCAGTCCATTCCCCATTCAGTGAATGTTCAGATAAAGAGACCAATACAATGCTGTCAGGTTTGCGGGCACATAAGTCGAGGTCGCCCATCACCTATGTGGCGCGATTTCAACTGCCCGCTTTGTTCGTAAGTCGATAGAGTCCATACACTTCGCCTACACCTATACAGCTAGTCTCGGTCGATTACGACTTTCTCTGCAGATTTTGGATCTGTTTGGTGAATTCTTGGACGGCCGGCTTTGGATGGCTGCTGAGTCCGAGAGGTGCCTCTTGGGTTGCGCTCTGTAAGTTGGTAGCCTTGGGTGCGAAAGAGTTGGCGTTAGTTTCTAGACAGGACATTCCGGCCCGACATACTGTTCATCGTGTCCGTGCTCTAATCGTTTTGTTCTCACTAGGATCAAATTCGCTTGCAATGCCGCTCCTTCCAAGGTGGGTTTCACGCGATCACACGGCCGGAAACATGAACACCTTCTGTGACTTTAAATACGGGATCGTGATAGCAACGGCGCCTTAAATCTTGCTCTGCGGAGAATGAGAAACCCGGCGCTCTGATTGGTTGCGTACAAACCGGTGTCAAGGATATGGCGCGGTAACAGGCTTTTACTGGTCTTCAAGGCGTCGCTGCTCTCCACAATCACACGGTCCAGCAGACGGAAAGGAAAGTCGCTTGCCCGCCATGCTGGAGAGGTGAAGGCAGACAGAAGAGGTGGTAACAGTGCTTCGAGGATCGAATTGCATACCGAGCGAGAGAGGCAGTAAGGCTCAGAAGATGAGGACAAAGATCGACCATATGAGAATCACTTGGGTCGGCCTCGGTGAGGTCTGTTTCTCCTCTGCGCTCACAAGGAAGTGTTTTTCGCCCGTCAGGAAGCCGTAATGCTAGCGCAGTTCAACTGCAGATCTTCCTTGCCCACTGAGCCCCAATTCTGGAGCTGTTATATGCGTCGCGCCCAACTTCCTCACCGAGCGATGTTTGCAGTCCGGTATTCTGTCAGCCCGCCACTCCCTTTCCTCCTCGCTTTGAGCCGAGTAAAGGTTGAATCTTCTGTTCCGCGCTGTGGGTTCTCTGATTGCCGGCCCTTCGAGGAACGAGCCGGTTCAGCGTCCAGGCCGGATGTGATTTCAGATTTGGATCATGAGGGATTCAAGGTCGCGTGGTTCGGACAGTCAGTCATATTGTTGTAGACAAGAACCTAAAGTCGCGGTTGGATCACACGGATTTAGGCCCTCGCCCCCTCTACGGCGTTCGCATTCCGTCTCTGTTCAGGGAATCTGTCCGGTGAAAGTGCCGTGCGGACGTGGCTCCTCGTGCTCCCCATTGACTCAGCCTCAGTGCAATCTCTACCGCTTCCAGGTTGGTCTCCCTCACAATGCTGTGGATTCTGTCGAGGCGTTCTTGAAGAGTTTGCCGGTCTTCGGACTCCTACTGTCTTGATTGTTTGTGCGCTAGTCCCCCGAGGCATTTCCGCCATTGGACGGCAACCAGGCTTCTTGCCCTACCGCTCCGCAACCTGTGCAGTCTCAACCATGTGTTCCATGTGCAATAGCGTCGGAGACGGCCAAGGTATGATCCGTGCGAAGACGAAATCATTGCCATCACTGCGCCGGAAATCTCCAAGGCCCCGGGGCTACATCCCGACGAGCAACACAGGCAGAAATGGGCGCGAGCCTTAAGCGCATCTCCGACTCGACTTGTACTGGTTAGATATTGTGTCGGGTCGGGGGCTCAAGTGACGCCCAAGGGCATGTCGGATGAGGACCGCCAGCTCGCTCGAGCTTGGAGACCTTCGCCTCGCCGGGTAGAGGACCGATGGAGGTTGGAGAAGAGGCACGCGTTTTCGTCGCCACGAACGCTCTTGCCAGGTTGCGCAGGCCTCGGATGGAGCGCAGCCTGCCGCCCGAGGGTTGGGCTGTTTAGTGGTCCCGCGGAACCTGCGAAGGGGTGGGCGGCACCGTCGAAGGAAACTTGGAAGTGCGTGCAGCTGGTGAGAGCGGCAAGGACGACGTCTCATAATAAATCTCCCGTAAAGCCTCCGTTAAAAGAGGTCGTGCGGTACTTCGAAGGGGATCAATGGCCTTCCCGACTCAAACCACAAGCGTACGCCAGTGATGCTGCTTTGAACGAGTCATACAACTTGATTGGATCAGGTCACCACCACCACTGAGGACGCAAGAGAGAGCAATGGTTGACCAATCACCGAGGTCCAGTGGCTCTCCACCAGGGTGAGTCGGCACCAGAGTCCGCCCCACCGCACCAAAGACGCCTAGCGTCGTGGCCCCCATGACAGGTGAGCACAGGGCGGCATCACCCTTGGCCCGATCGAGGGTGCGTCGCCTGCAGATTTCCCAAGTTTTGGCGGGCAAGGCTCCGCGCTCCGCAGTTGGAGCCGCAAACTGTCACCTCCATCATCAACCTCCATAACATCATTCTTGGATTCGACCTTCTCCTTTCGCATTCAACTTCGAGTTATTGTCTTTAACAAGTTATTCTATTCTGTTACAGGGACCTTTATCTTCGACTCGATGCCGCCTCACTCGAGAGCATCTTCCCAGCCCTGGCCGATTCCCAACCTCATTTTCTCGTAGACTCGTGAACCTCATCCCTTCGATAGCTGCGCCCGGTTGATCTTCACTCTCTGTACCTTCGACATGGCTGGATCGACTTCTTCGGCTGTGGAGATGATCTCCCAGCTGGAAGCGGCGCGTAAACTCGCCTTGTCAGACCCTCAAGTGTACAACCAGGTCCTCCCAGGGATCCTGCCCATCGTCGGTCCCACTGCGCATGTCGAAGTTCGAAGATGGGGCGCGGATTTCCTGGCAGAGGCGTTCGCGAGCCCTTCCCTCCCAACTGCACAAAAAGAACAGCTCTCTTCAGACGTGTTACCCACCCTACGAGCCATGTTGGAACCGCCGGGAGAAGATCCTGCGGTGGTCAAGAGTGTGATACAAGCAGCTGCTAGTCTATACCCTCTGGTGTTCAGACGAGTGTACGTGGTCGGACAGATAGCATCAAGACTAGAAAGGACCGATTCTAACAAGAGCGTCTAGAATTTCGCATCCCACAGAGACTGCGTTGTGGCAGGAAATGAGTCGGATGAAGTTGAACATTCTGCAGCGTATGGATTCTGCTCCCATCGCAGTCAGAGTTTGTTGCATCAAATTTGTGCAAAAGGTCGTCCAAGTAGAGACCCCTGGTTTGATCTCAGACCCTCGAGTTAGTCTGCCTGCGACGCCCTCTGTCTTGCGATATCCATGCTAACGCGATGCAGCGTCCCGAGCAAAACGAGATCTCCATCGCCTTGGTCCCGCGAACACATCCTCTCCTGCCACTCCCCAATCTTGAAGCTGAGGCATCCGGTCTGCTGGACAGACTATTGAGTGTATTCCAGGAAACCCCGATGGATCCTATTCTTGTTGATGCGACGCTGAACTGCCTGGCCGTTCTGATCCGAACACGGCCCTCGATTTCCACCAAGATTGTCTCTGCAATTCTCAACTTCAATCCACTGAAACAGGCAAATGGCCCAATGACCCCGCGACTGATGGTCATTGCAAGATCAATGGAGAGAACAACGAGAGCCCTGTTACGATGGGCTTTGAGAGCTGTCCCAAACCATCCGCTGGAACAGAAGATCCAGGCATATCTCATGCGCCTTCAGCAGTCACGGTCTGCGTTGTTTGCAGAACCTACAGCCCAGAAACGACCAGCAGAACCTACCGACGGGCTGGATGATGCAAAGAGACAGAGAATCGCCGCAGGAATTCGCAAGTTTCCGCCGATGCCTCCACCACCGAACACTTATACCCACCTATTCACACTCACCGAAGATACCAGCCTTCAGCAATTTGATGTTACTCTGCTCCCCGCTGACATCGTCAGTACTGTAACTGCGGTTTTCTTACAACACGTCGATTCGAACTCTCTGGATGGTGCCATCGACGCAGTCCGATCCAGATACACTCACTTACAGAAAGTCAATCAACCTACTCCTGTCCCGGATGTTCCTATGCTTGGCCCAACAGGGATTGATGATGAGGATGACTACGATCCTGAATTTGTTACTGGTACAGAGCCAATCGTTGAATCAACCACAGAGAGAGCTCTGGAGGAGCTCGCCCAGCCGGCCATTGATTTGGGCCCATTCGAGCTACCTAAGCCCCCACCGCTGACTGGGCCAGAAGTGGCGACATTATCGGATCAGACTGTTGGACATGTCTTTCAACTCGTTGCTTCGCTCGAGGCCGCGGGCCACTCTCACACGAAGCAGCAGCTAGGTTTGAATCGAATAGCAGCCAGCGGTAACGACCGAGATTCCTGGGCAACAATTCTCATGCGCTTGGCCACCAGAGCCCCGACCGGCCTCGATGACGTGGCCAATGCCCTGAACGAAGACGATGCGGATGGACTCGGGCAGCTCATTAAATCAGAAAACGCCGAAGAAAAACCCAATGTCGCAAACCGCATCCGCCAGACCTTATTCATGTACGTCCTGGAAGACTTCCGACCGCGCCTCAATATGGCCATCTCCTGGTTGACGGAAGAGTGGTATGCGGACAAAATGACGGCAAAGACGCATCCGGAGCTCCACAATCTACCCAACTACACTCGATGGGCGAATCGCCTCATGGATCGCCTTCTCCCTTACCTCGACGCCCGAGACAAGAACCTCCTGATCCGCTTCCTTTCTGAAATCCCTACCATCGATCGCGAGATTTTGAGTCGAGTCAAGACCTTGGCGAGAGATCCCGAAAGGATCAATATGTGTATTCTTGCAATGCAATACCTCTTGTTGATGCGGCCGCCGGTCAGAGACATGGTCTTGGATACGATCGAAGTCATCTGGAGAGAAGGAGATGATCAGGCTAGGGCGGCGACGAGTAAGGTGCTCGCGAAATGGAGACCGGGCTTTTTGGAACAGGCTGTCAAGGAAGAGGAAGTTGACTCTAAGATGAATGTTAAACAGGAGACGGAGACGAAGACGAATGGGGTTGCCGCGAGTCCTTCGCCTGATACCGCTCCAGACGCAGCTGCTGTGGATGCCGCCGAGGCCATGAGCATGGATCCTAGAAAGAGAAAAGCCCTTGCAGCCGCAAATGGGTGATAGCTAGCTACCTACCTACCTAGGTATACAGACAGGGAATTCGCGCCGGTAGTTTGAATTGTACCACCATATCACAAGGAGACGGTGTGAATGAGCAACCAACCATGGTTACATACCTAGGTAAAGATGAGGGCAGATGTCAAATAGAAATCGATCGGCTGATCAATGTCTTCCTCCTTGCAATATTGCACACACACACCGAAGATGGTATATCATCTATGGTCATTCATGGCGAATATATATATATACTGGCCTTCTCACATCCGCGCCAACTAAAATCTCTTAAGCTCCTCAGGAAGAGCTCACATTGAATTCCTCAATCACACTTCTCGGCCTCTGATACTCTCCCACACCCATCCCATTGACCCTGCCCCGTTCTCTAACCTCCTCCCACCTACACTTCAGACCAAAGAACTCTGGTCCACCGACTCTCAGGCCCTCTGCGCTACCGGTCCACAATGGCGAGGCCGGCATGCCTATCACGCGGACCTTGAGACCGTAGCGCAGCTCGGGAGAACCGAGGGCTTCGCCATCACTGCCGAGGATGGAGATCAGGTCCGGGACTGTGCATATTATGTCCTCCTCAAGCTCGAGCGGTGAGGACGACGAGGCGGGTGGTGTGGTGGGTGGGAACTGGCGGATGAAACCCGCCGAGAGGTATTCGTTCTGGAATGGGATGACGAGGTAGCGGGTTTCGTGACCGTTCTCCTGGCGAGTGGATGGTGGGTTTGAGCGGTCGTCGACGTCGTCTTGTTCCTCGGCCGACAAAGGGGCGATCACGCAGCGACCGACTGTATACCCGCGGGAGACGTCGCGGGTTACGTCGACGATTTTGCCCACGTAGAGCTCTTTGACTGGGGTGATGCTCGACTAATGAGAAAGGCCTTTTGTCAGTGGGTAGCTTCAGGAAAAAGGGTTCATGAGGGTTGGGCACAGGCTCACGATGGCTTCTATGAAATCGATTTTTGATTCGCGGGCGAGGTGGACGGCGCGGCCCAGGTACCATGATTGGGAGACCGTGTTGGGCACAGCGTAATCTTTGATGGCTTTTCCAGAGAGAGGACGTCCCGCCGCCGCAGTCGAATTGCCCATTTCGATACAGGTCGTGCGTATCAGCGATTCTACTCGCTTGTTGGATTCGGCGGCCACAACCACAGACGCGTTACCTTTACAGTCTGCGGTGGCAAACGGCAGGACTGGCTGTCCATAGATATAAGGGGTTCCATGCTCGAGGGTGGGATAAGCACGACCCATCAAGTCGCAGTCAACCACGGGTCGACCATAGCGTGCACTGGTGGGAAAAGTCACCAGTCCGTTGCCTCCTCCGATCTCATCTGCCACGATGCCATCAAAGTCTTTGATGTGCATGATGCTGTTGACGGCGTCGATGGCGGCGAACACGTCCGTGCCTGCGCTGATGCGTTCGTCGCTCACTGAAGGCGCGCCGTATCCCGCGCCGAACACACACGTGTCGTCGTCTCTGAGAGATTCGAGAGCAACGACGCGGATGGCTCCCGGACCGGCTTTGCGCAGGATGTCCAGTATGTACAAGGCCATCAGATACGGCGAGCCACCGCCTCCGGTCCCGAGTATGCCGGCGCCTGAAGCGATCAGTTCCACGTCGACGGGAGAGATGTACCAGACGCCGTCCTTGACGTTGGGACGATACTTTGCAATGTCGACACCCAATGTCGGCTTCGCAAGACTGCCCGTCTGCACATTCGTCGCCTCGGCCTTGGTCGCCTCTTGTGTCGTGTCAGCATCCAGTTCTTGCTCGTGGTAGATTGTGCCGTTAGAGAAGCCATTCTGGACCGTAGCGTAGTCTCTGGCTCGAAGACTTCCGACTGCCTTCATCACGAATCTTGTGGCTTTGTTAGTGACATACTGTAGCGGGATTTTCTTGATCTCCACGATTTTGACATCCTTTTCGTCTGCTCCGTTCGACACAGCGGCCGCGATTGCAGCTTTCTTGACTGCCTCGATCGCGGCGTTCTCGTCTCGGCCAGCCAATATCTCAATCACATCAACTTCCCCTGCCACTTTCGCAATAGCTGCTCCCACAGCATTCGCAGAGTCGTGATGAGGAGGTCGAAGACACTCTTCCACTCCGTCGAGGTCCTCCGTGATGATGATTGAGCCTCCTCCGACGAGAAGGACAGATACGGGAGCAGAAGAGACCTTCATCTTGTCGATGGCCCGTTCCAGCTGTCGTTTAATGTCGGCTTTTCCTCCGGCAATCACCTGTTCAGAAATGGCCTCGACTCTTTCATAGTCTCCGATATGGGCTGCTCCCGAGGCTACCACGATATCCGTCGCAGTCATGACACTTCCTCCAAACACCATGGCGTCAGTCGTGAGACGATGCGCAACCGAGTCCGGACCGACAGTGACTTTCTCATCATCCGCGGATTGACGCACGCGACTCCCTCCTCCAAGGCCGATGGAGAGCACCTCTGGCATGGAGAAGGCAGTGCGTACCCCGCCCACCTCGACGAAGTTGGGCGCCTGCCGAGGAAATCCTGAAGGCAAGAGCGAGCAGATGTCGGTCGTTGTCCCTCCGATATCGACTACCACGACTTGCTTATCGGCTAGTCTTTGGTCACCGTGATCTAGTCCCTGAAGAAAAGCGGCACCCATCAGACTGTTGGTTGGACCACTGGCGAATGTCTTGATGGGCAGTTCAGCAGCCACCGCAGCATCAGTGAGGGTTCCATCATTCTGGGTCAGGTACAGTGGACACGAGAGGTCAAGCTTGTGCATGGCAAGTCTGAAACCTCGGATGGTCCTGCGGGCGAATCCCAAAATCGCCGCGTTCAAGATGGTGGCATTCTCGCGGGTCAAGAGTCCGGTTCCACCGATCTGGCCGGAGCAGACGACAGATAGCCCTGGTGCAAACTGTTGTAAAAGCTCTCGACATCGCTCTTCATGGAGACCGTTGTGATCGAGCGCAGAGAAGACTCCGACAACGGCAACGTGCTCGATGCCTGCTTCCACGATTGCTGCAGCTGTGGCTTTGATTTGGCCATGGTTCAGCGGAGATATCTCCCGGCCGTCAATCTCAAGTCCTCCATCGAGGTAGAACGCGGGTCCTTCAATGATATTCTTCAATGCATATGGGAAGTCCGCAAAAGGGGGAATCTGGATATGGTGAGCTATCGCTGGTGAAATCGGAAAATAATGCACCGACCTTCCTGGTATAGGGGCCACAAAGCCTTATCACAGCTACTCGACTAAGCCTCCGGGCATCATTTTCGACAACCGCATTTACGAAGTGCGTTGTCCCGATAGCGACATTCAACACTTTACTTCTGTCGACCTTCGAGCGAGCGAGAACTTCTCTGACTGCGTTCTGGATCCCTAGCGTCACTTGTGCTGTCGTGGAAGTCTTGCATGTAGCGAGCACGCCACGCGAATCGGTATCGAGTGCGTTGATATCAACAATGGCGGCGTCGGTGTTCGTTCCACCGACATCGACTCCAATTCGGTACATGGTCGAAGTGATCAGCGAGAGCTCGCTTGGTTGCCTTTCACTGCCTACTGGATCGAAGGCAAGATATTTCTGCCCCAGGCCATTCGTCTCAAAGATTGAGATATGGGTTCCATATCGATCGAGCAGCCAGCGCAGTCGCTCTACTATAAGCCGCAACGAGCAGTGGAACACTGAGAGGACTCGAGACACGGTTGAGTTTGTTTCGTCTCCACCACTTTGGGATGATCTCTGGTTCCAAATGCACCAGAACCCCCAACGCCCGATGCCGAACGGAGATCTGCGGGTTCAAATGGTGTTTCCAAAGGTGTTCTACGGGCCCACCTCGCCTAGAGCGGAGGAAATATCAAGAACAGGCAGGTGACAGGGCCGAACATGGGCTTATCGACAGTGTTATTAATTAATTGGGAAACCTCATAGGCCAACTTTGGAGGTGATCTTCTAGCCCCGGTTGTGTCTTTGGCCCAAATTCGAATACCTATCAATGCCTATCATCTATCTTCTTGGCCGGCGCCCTGGCCAGTAAAACTTCAAGCAAATCCCAGCTCGACGAAGCTCGCCTGTTTGTTTGCATTGAGCTCAATTGGTCCCAAACGCATCCTCATGGGCGAAACGGAGATGATTCAGCAATGATCCTCCGGGGACTAACGAGCACAAACCATGGTGAATTGATCTTCGCCTGTGTCGTTATCAGTCGCGCTACATGATTAATCAATGGTTACGAGGGTGACCGGCGACGGGAAACTTTCGTTTATAAATTGTGGCTTTATCCTGCACATACTCAACAATGGTGGGCGGCTCCTGCTCTCCCTCTATCCCACTGGAACTATCACCGTCGATATGGGGCGCCTTGAGGGCTTCCTGAGGAAGCTTGAGGTACCGTACGAAGGCGGCACGATCCCAAATCGCTGGATCAACAATGACATCAAGCCCATCGAGAAGGGCCGGCGAACATGGACGTTTTGGACCTTTCACAACCTCTGTAAGCGAGTTCTCCATTGAAACGGCCCAGCTAATATCTCTTTAGGGGTGTTGACCAACACAAATATCTCGACTTACATGACCGGAAGCTCGCTGATTGCACTAGGGTTGAACTGGTGGCAGGCCATCATTGCCATAATTTTCGGGGCAGTCCTGTCGACCGTCTTTGTAAGTCGTACACTGTCGCAGTCTTCTGAGTACGACGGTCAGAGATTTGGACAATACTAACCATTCCGGCAATCGTGATGAATACAGATAGTGTTGAACAGCATGCCGGGCGCTTTCTATCACCTCGGATTCCCGATTGCCAATCGCTACGTTTGGGGCATGTATGGCAGCTCCTTCGTCATCTACAACCGAATCCTCTTGTCGCTGGTGTGGTATGCCGTGCAAGCCTGGATCGGCGGGCAATGTGTCTACGTCTGCCTGGAGGCCATATGGCCCAATCTCGAACAACGCATCCCCAACCACCTTCACGCCACGGGACTGACGTCTGCATCGTTTCTGACCTACTGGATCTTCTGCCTCATATCTCTGCCCCTGATCTGGATCCGGCCGCATAAATTGAAGGTGTTTTTCTACGTTGCCGTGGCGTCCATCTTCACCTTTGAGATTGTGCTCTTGATCTGGGCTCTGGCGACCATGGATGGTTTTGGCGACACAATCACCGGCCACCCGCAAACTCAAGACACTTCGATCGGCTGGGCGGTCTTATACGGCATCATCAGTGCCATCGGAGGGATCGCGGCGGGGATCCTGAACCAGAACGATTACGCGCGCTTCGCTCGTCGGCCCAGGGATGCCATTTGGGGCCAGATTGCCAGCGCCGCGACGTACTCGATCATCAGCTCCGTCGTGGGGATTCTTGTCACGGCGGCCACGCAAAGGCGATACGGCGCTGCGCTGTGGAGTCTTCCGGATTTGCTGATTGCCATGATGCACGCGGGGGGTTCCAGGTCTCGAGCCGCGGGCTTCTTCGGCGGCGCTGCGCTCGTCATCTCGCAATGGGGGATCAATGTGCCCGGGAACGCACTGTCCGGTGGGTTCGACTTCGCCGCGACTTTTCCCCGGTACATCAACATTCGCAGAGGAGCATATATTACCGCGGTGCTCTCCATGGCGGTCAACCCGTGGCAATTGCTCGCCACGGCCTCGACGTTTCTGGCCGTTTTGTCGAGCTATGGCGTCTTCCTGGGTCCGATGATCGGGCTCATGATCTCGTCGTACTACATTGTGCATCGTGAAAAGATCAAGGTGGATGATCTTTTCCGAGGGGACAGGACCAGCATCTACTGGTACACCTATGGGATCAATTGGCGAGCGCCAGTAGCGGTACGTACAGCCGGCGTTTTCTCACCTTTGACCCAAGTCTCCGCCCCTGCCATCGCTGAAAAGCTAACAAAGATTCTTACTGCATAGTGGGCATGCGGCGTCTTCCCCTCGATGCCGGGCTTTATTTCAAACGTCAACAATAGCGTGCATGTGTCCTTGGGCTGGACGCACCTGTACTACATTTCCTTCCTGGTGGGCTTTTCCATCGCGGCCGTGGTTTTTGTCCTGTTGCATCATTTCTTCCCCGCGCCCAGCGTCAAGGACTTTGTGGTCAGTCCTGCGTCTAGCAAGGAGGTCATGGCTGAGTACCAGGCCAAATGGGACGCCATTGCGGAAGAGGGGGCTGGCGATGGTGTGGGTGGTGTACGGGAAGAACGGCAGAGGGTGCTGCCCAAGGACGTGCAGGACGTGGAGGGGTTTCCGAAGGACATTTGAGCAGACACGCACAGACAGAGACACACTAGGGATGTGATTGTTATGTGGTTTGGTCTGGTGTGGTGTGGTGTGATGTACCGAGTACCCTACGAGTGAGGACACATGTGCCACGAAATCAACGAAATCAACGAATCAAGACCCGAATGAAAGAAACCATGATGGTCCGCTGGGAAAAGGCTTCCTTAGCCTCGCTTGTTCGCTTGTTTCGTGAATTGACTTCCCCAAGCATCCTCGGGGACTCGGAACTGGATTCCCTTTTCTAACTCCAGACTACCCGGTAGCTGACCCTCGGGGAATGACTACGGTGACCTCCCTCGTATATCAGCGGCGAGCCCGCAAGCCACAAGCGCCCTAAACGCTGGACATGCGCTATGCGTACGTATCTGAGGGCGAGTGTGCGATCGTCTGGCCCCTCAAGCGGTCCCTTAATCCCCACGCCCGCGCGCGCCTCACACGTTTGGAATACGAGATTTGTCGGCAACTCGGGTATACACGCAAAAAGCGTAATGGCTTGTTCAAAGCTTGTCCAAACATTGGCCCTCAGAAGAGGTGCGGCTGAAGAGCTGTCAATGGACACAATGTGTACAGCTGAAAAGGAACGATGGCGTAGCTGAGGAAAGGATGTAGACACCGATGGACTCTTTACATTTACGTGACACTATAGATATATATATTGTGTCATGGGTGTTGCCCTTGTCTGTCTGTCTGTCAGTCAATCAATCGATCAAAGAGATACATCTCCCCTCCCACCTACCGAGTACAAGACAAGGACAGGACCACGTATCTGTCTCCATCAATTTCGTCGCGTACAATCACGTACCTATATTCGATTTCTAACCCCCTAAAAACATCCCTAGAAAGGGCACTCTTTCTTCCAGTCTACCCAATCAGTAGCCATGTCGTCCGTCTCAGCCTACGTCGTCCACATCGACGGCTCCGACAAAGCCCAAAGCTTCCGCAAGCACCTCCCAATCCTCGACTTCCTCTTCGACCACGCCGAGGCATTTGACCAGCGGGACATGAAACGCGGACCCTACACGACATACCAGACGGACGACTTTGTCTTCACCAAAGCCGACGGCACCGTATTCCCGCCCGGCGAGGCGTCGTGGCAAGGCTGGTTGGCCGGCTATGCGCCTTTCACTGAACACCTGCACGAGGCGCGGTACTGTAACGTGTATGAGAGGAACGGAGAGTGGGAGATGATGGGCGTCGCCAACATGTTCGCCAATCTCGCGGCGCCGGGGGAGAAGACTAAGCCGGATTTGTCGGGGAAGTTGTGGGATGTGGTTGTCCCCGGCGCGTTTCTCTTCAAGTGCGTCAAAGACCCCAGTGGCCCAAAGGGGTTCAAGGTCAAGGCTATGACTCTGTATGGTGATGGTACGCCCGTCGTGGCGGAGATGATTAAGCGCGGTATGCTTAAGCCCGAGGACCTGGCCAAGTAGAGAGTGTGTGTCCAGCCAGGACAGGACGGACGGACCAGTGTCGAAAGGGGAATGCCGTGTGAGATTATGGCGTGTGTGTTTTCTTTTGTGGTGGTGTTCCGAGCCAGGTGAAGCAAGGGCGTGTGGATGCGTGTGCTCGAGCATTCTTAGACAATCAAGGCAGTCAATCCGGATAGGGCGGGACTGTCGATTATTTCTTCCGAACTTGCTTATGAGTTGCTGTCCGGAGGCATCCCCCTCGATTCGGCGAATACTGAATGTGAAGTTTCCGACCGGAGCATCCAGTGCTATGAGACTCGTGATAGCTCAAGCTTCGGGCGTATCGTCAGTCTTGGACCTACTGCTAACGAGGGTTGTCGCTTGGGTCGAGCCCGTCAATCGCGCCATTCGGTCAAGAGCTGCCATCTCATTCTCGGTCGTCTCCATCTCATGACTCGGTGTCTCATTCGAAGGCAATTCTCGCAGCTTGTCTCTCGCCACCACCTCTTCATTCGCCGCCATTTCGGCTACTTCTGTAGGTTTCTTCTGCAACAAGTCCTGCGAACCCTCTGTGCCTGGAAGCTCTTTACGGTCCGGCTTGACATCGTCAGCGTGAAGCTGTGCCTTTTCTGTGGCAGTACTCGTCTGGTTGGTTCGTGCCCGCCTTCTGCGCTGTCGTCTCCAGAAGAGAAACACCACGAGAACAAGCGAGGCCAGTCCTAGGACCCCTCCTACCACTCCACCAGCAATGGCACCCGTGTGACTTTCGTGTGTAGAGGCCACTGTATCGGGCGAATGAGGGCTGGGGTTCGTGGGCCCAGAGGGAGGAGTTGTGACAGCCGGAGCTACGCCTTGTCAGCCAGCACTTTAAAATGTCACCTTCCTTACAGCTTGTGCAGTTCATGGCCATTTGGCCACCAGTGTACGTATGGTAGAAGCACCAGGAGGAAGAAGATTCGCTCAGGGAGAATGCCGATTTTTAAGATGCGAGGACCGAAGCTTCGCTCCGGGACAGTGAAGACTGGTATTATGCTTCAGAAAGGATACTTGATGCGGCTGAACTGAAGGAGGATATGTCGACCGACGATGAAGGCACACCAAAGGTCGGGGAACCTGGTGAGATTGAGGGGGCTACTGTCTGAGTGGCAGTCGGAGAGTGTGCTGCACACCAATCTTCATAGGTTTGCAATTCTGGGAAGGAACTGTAGCTCGAGTTGCTGCCCGCATACTCCTGATTGCACGCTAGAACCTGTGCGGTCGCATTTTGGAATGCTGAGCCCGTTGAGCACAAGGTTGTATAAACGAAGCCTATGGCCTGCGCAAGCTCTAAAGCTGCGTCTGCAGAATTTAGCTTGTTTAGTTGTGAGAAGCAATCTGAGAAACCGTACCGCAGACCGCGTAGCATGGAGATGCGCAAGTGCCAACAGACTGTCGTTTTAAAAGCAAGCTGGCAACCGTAGAGGTCGCCATCTGCATGAGCTTCATCTTGACTAGGATCAGAGTGTGTCAACCTTCAACGAGCTGGGAGATTCATGACTTGATGAAATCAGGCTGAGTCGGTTTGGAGCTTGGGGGAGTGTCTTCCCATAAGTACGAGCCAGACCCCGCGCCAGACAAGGGTAGGTACGAGCATCGACTGTGGTCGGCTTTCATTTGGATGGTCAGGCTGAGCCGGCACAGCCGATGCCGTCGATCAGAAGCGGCGAGCGGGTGGAAGCTGCGTTGCCAGGCCAGCCACCAGCCAAAGTTGGTGAAGCGGCGTGAACACCCATTGGTCCTTCAGAGGGTCTATGTCCGTAGGTAGGCGAATGTAACGGCATTGAACATGGTCGGGACAGGGCCAGAGGTATGCGCTTTCATCTGTTCTCTAAGCGAGCCCGCTGCTGCAGCATCCCCTCAGCGCATGCTTAGGGTCTGGCTTTGAAAGCGACACGGGTTACTACCTGTAGGTAGGTAAATAGGTAGCAACGTACGCCGAGTCCGAACTTACCATACAGCACTCCGATGGTGAGTCGACAGTCTGAAGCTCCAGCCTTGGGGAACAAACATCTTTCGATGGGACTAGATTCCAAGTAGTAGTAGCGCCTGATATTGTAGGATGGGTGGGACCAACGTTGTTGATTGAGCTGTCCAGACTCTAGACTCTAGGTAGGTAGATACCTCCACGGGCACTCGCCTAACTTTCCCAACAGGGCTAGGGCAGCTCTTCTCGTTGGTTTGGCGTGATGCGCGTGCCCGTGTCATTCCAAACACGCGTAGCTGAGGCTAGAGGAACACATACTCTAGGTACCTTAGGTTACTAGGTACCTAGGTAGGTACCAATGTGACAGCACCTCGTACACCGCACCTCTCTAGCTACTTGTCCTGAGCAAGACATAACGTGAGAGGCTTCTCACATTTCCCGGCCTTCCTCAGAGTATTACCATCACCACCTATCACGCTCAAAACCATACCATGGCAGACCCTGCAAACCCAACGACTGAACCGCGAGTGTGCGTCGTTTGCAACAAGCCTGAGGCTGAATTGCCTGCTGGCACGAGCCTGAAACGATGTGGCCGCTGCCAGAAGACGACTTACTGCTCCAAAGGTCGGTCAACACTAACTGTAGACCTCTTCTCTTCACCCCCCTGCATCACTTACCAGGAAGCCTGCACAGAATGTCAGACGACTGACTGGCGACAACACAAAACCGCGTGTCGACGACCGGGCGCCACCAACACCCACCGCCCCCGCAGACCTCTTCGCCCGCCTCACCCACACATGGCCCACTTCTTCAGCGAGTTTGACAGCGAATCCAAGACGTACGAGATGCTCATCGACTCCTTCCGCCTGCGCTGCGACGATGACTACGCCCACGGCGGACATCACCACGGCATCTATGGCCAGAACCCCCCACTGCCGGTGTTCCGTGATTTCCTGGCCCGCGCAAAGGAACATGGGATGCTGCCCGCATGGTGGAACGAGGACAAGGAGAGGGAGTGTGTGCGCATGGCCGTCGAGGACGAACACTTCAACATCGAGTTCGCCGTGGAGAAACACGATATCCAGGAGCACTACAAGGACAACATGATGCCGATGACGCTGCGCATGGCGGCCGAGAACGTGTACGGCGGCGGCTATGGCATGGGCCAGAGACCAATGCCCGACGATTACGAGTGTCAGTGTTCAGGGATTTTTGGATATTGATCATTGCTCTGCTGTGGCTGACCAAACTCTGCCGTGGTTGACGGTGCAACCAGACGAGGTTCAACTTTGAGACGTAGGTATAGGCAGCTGGCCACCTATTTCGCTACGAGCTGATGAGGCGTTTCGGCACTTGTGACACTGGGAAAAGTTATTTCAAGGTTACCACGGAAATGTATGAAGAACGAGTACTCTTTGCCTGTTTTTGTTCCCATGTGCAGCTTCCCTATTGCTGTGAGGTTATGAGGTGAGCCCGCGGATTCTCAGGGTGCGTTAGTGTGGGCGAGGTGAATAGCTGCAGTATCCGATCGCCTGCACTGGAGATGGCAAGAAATCCCAGCAGCATCTTGAAGAAAATCCAACCAGGGTACATATATTTCGCACCACGTGAAGCAGCCTCGCGATCTGTTCTCAAGTGGATGAACAGGATCCGCAGTCCCTGTGGGGGATGCAGGTACACAGCAAGTAAGCGACATGGAGCCCCCACCCAGATAGAAAACAAGGGCGCGCCCTTTCGACCCACCCGAGTCCAGCCAGAGCATCTTCTCCTGCCTATGCTTCTCCATGTGACCATGACTAATCTATACAAAACCGTCAAGGTGCTCACGAAAAAGAGGCCGTAGAGGGGGGAAAAGAAGTGAGAAGGGAAAAGAAAATAAGCAGAGAGCGTGGGAAAGGACAAGAGCTGGATTGGAAGGACAGAAAACTCTAGAGTGTCTCTATATACACATACGAGGTATACATAGCTCGTCTCGTCTCTTATTGCATTTTCAATCTCGACCTAGAAAGGAAAAAAGAAACAAAGTTATCAACCACCAGCTATTCAGGCGAGCAGACAACGCATCAAGGAATGTCCGACGTCAACATCGACTCTGGCGGCGGCGAGACGTCCCTCCCGCATCTCCTCTCCAGCCTACGCACCACACTGCATCCAGAAACATATGTCTTCGCGAGTATCACCGGCACGCACCTCCCCGTCCCGCTCGAGGAGATCTGTCTGTTCTTCCGCGAGCCGCGCGAGCGTACAGAGGCCGTGACATCGTTGCCATCATCATCATCATCAGGATCAGGATCAGTATCAACCACCACACTAATCCTCCCCCTCGAGACAGCCCGCAAGCACAACCTCCAAGACCACCAGTATACGTACCCGTGCCGGATGATCACGTGCGCCGTACACTCGTCGCTCGCGGCCGTGGGCTTCATGGCCGTGCTGGCGACGCGGTTGGCCCGTGAAGGCATCAGCGTCAACCCCGTCAGCGGGTTCTATCACGATCACCTCTTCGTGCCGGTCGAGCGGGCGGACGAGGCTGTGGCGGTGTTGGGTTCTGTGAGGGAGGAGGCTATAAGGGATTTAGGGAGGAAAGAGACATGAGAGAATTTTGCATAGGATGGGGTCGAGAAGGGGGACATAGTATGGTGATAGCGATTCATGTTCCGGACAAGTAACTTTTGAACTATGTCGTGGATTGGAATATCTAACCTACATAGCTACTCCGTCCTGCGTGCACTTTTTTCGAGCAATCTTAAAACGCCACAGAATAGAAACAGACCACATACCTCCATTCCACCACCGCCAGGGACCAAATTTTCAGATACAAACCACAGGACATAGCTGTATAGCTGGTCAGCGATATCAGAAACAGAACTTCCCGTCCACTGGTCAAATCTGAGTACATATCCGAGCCAGAAAACCGTCTTACACCGCTCGACAACCGCCAAAAAAAAGCAAAGCAAAGCAAAACAAGCCATGTATTCCGAATTGATCTAGCTTCCAAAGACTTTCGACACCGCGATCCTCAGATCCGCCGGAATGACTTCCCTCCCATCATGTGCTTTGGAGCGAAACCCTGTCTTGACCATTTCTCATAAAATAGATGCCCATGTTGTGTCGATCGATGATGCGTCGTGGCAGTCGTCGAAATCTATGTAATGTGTTTGGCCACGGGTAATGTACGGATCAGTCCTGGCCAGGGTCTGGACTTGGCGTCGATATAATACGCCTTTGGAGTTGTCCTTGAGGTCCAAGGCATTCGTGGTGAGAACAAGATTGACCGTCGTCGAGCCCGGTGGGATTGTCTCGAGGGGTAATTTGGATGATTTTGTGCGGTAGATCTTTCCGTTGGCGGCGGCGCTTCTCTGCCCTTGTCTTTGTCTGATTAAATAAGCTCGTGGGTCGTCGGGAGGGAGCTCGGATTCACCCAGATCGTGGTCTCGTATATGTGTCTCTGATGTGTAGCTCTGCTCCTCGGACTCGAGTTGCAGCTCACCCCCTGGCTGTGGATGAGCATGCAACAAGTCCTGCAGCGCCTTTAGGTAGCGGTTGCGATGTGGGTTCGAGCTTGACGGTATCGTGACTCGAGAGTCCGAGGGTCCAAATTTCGTACCATAATCCTCAATGCTTGCACTCTGTGTTGACTCGCCGGAAACCGATGCTGACGCCGATGCAGAACTTGACACGGGCTGGCTCGATCTACCCAGCCCCCCGAGAGAAGCAGATGTGAGACCCCTCATAGCTCTTCTCTGATGAGCTATTGCGGCTTTCTTTCTGTGCTCGAAATCCATAATCTCTTCCAGTTCGGAGTTCTGCTGTCGAGGCCCGGTTTCTGGAGATGTGGCAAGACTAGCGCTGGCCCTCCTCGGTTGAACCCACTGATCAGAATGGACATCTTCACTGTCAGCTTCGCTCGGCTCAGATACCGCAGGAACATCTCGAAGATCCTGCAGTAATGACAGCTGGTGATGACTGCGGACAGTTGAAGGTGGCGTGAGAGGCTCGATTCCAGAGGGTGCAGTTAGATCTTGACGTTTGAAAGGCACCTTGAAAAGTTTCTGGCCCGGTCCCCATCCCCGACGCGTCTGAGAGGTGGACGAGGACGATGACAAGTCAATATCAGATCTTGACCTCGTGTCCGAGGCACCGATATTTTTATTGCGTGGATCTGAGCCTTTTATATTCCGAGAGATGACGTTCGAGCCAGAGGGTAGATGTGATAGAGGGTCTGGGGTCAGCCATTCCTGCAAGTTCAACCTCTGTGGCATGGTAACACTATTGCCGTCATCTGAGATTTGCGTGTCTGCTTCCTCGTTTTCTACCCGTGTCGTAGTGTTGACTCGTCGTCTCATGGGCGGGCCTGGTCTGGGAGATGGCGAGGGACTGGTTTCAACAGCGCCTGACGGGGATTCTGAAGGGTTTCGCGAGGCTGCCGCGGTTGCGCAAACATCGTCAGCCGTCACGGCCTTTTCTCTATCTGCCAGCGTATTTCGGTCCGCATCAGACATTGCTCTGGCTTGGCTCATGTCCATCCTTCCGGGCTTGACTTGTGCATTCATTGCAGCAATTGTAAAGGGGTTGCGCACGCTTGATCTGCTGGTCAGTGTTTCCTCCATGTCGGCTGCGATAAGGGGGTCTTCATGCTGTAATGAATTGTTCTCCTCTTGAACTTCGGCAAGGCCTAGACGACTGGTATGTTGGGTCGACGTGGACACAATCGCTGGAGATCCTGCTGCCCGGTCATCCTCCGGTACATCAATAGCGCTTCTCTCAAGCCCAGGATATGCCCGGTTAAACAAGCATTCCGCTAGAGACAGCAACTGATCGGGCCGATTGAAAAGGACTTCATCCTTGGTGGGCTCCACATTGACGTCGTAGCTCTGGGCAGGGCATTGGATCTGCAGTAAGAGGAAGGGTCTCGAGCCCGAAGCGCTCTCTGAGGATGAGAGAGTCTTCCGCAGGTGACGCTTGTAAGACTTGGCCACCTCCCGCATTGTGCCTCTATCCGAATTCATAGGTCGGCCGTCGATAGACATGTATTGCCCAGCATTGCGAGCATTGGCAGAAGCTGGTATATTCAGCACACTATTATGGGATTGGAAATGATCACACAAACCTGAAGTAGCCGATAGCAAAAGAGCATTGAATTTCCAGCCACTGTCAAGGTCGACATCACAATCGTCCGAACAGATACTGTGTGCGGTACATTCAGAAACAATATCTTTGCCCACGATCTTCGTTGCCACCTCAGTAACTGAAGCTGTCAAGGTGGGTGCATAAGTCCAATTGAACTTGTCATTCTTTCCTTTCAGCACTTTGAACGAGAGCCGCACTTCCGGTCTGGCGAACGCGAACGAGAAAAAGAGCTTTCTTATAGCTTGCAAGGTCTTCGTACTTTCCTTGAGCGCCGTCTGTTTCCTAACTGGTATTTTGGAGAGGAAATCCTGCACACGAATCGTCGTCCCAACGGGGTGAGAGGCCGAAGAAGAACTGAGACGGTCATGATACAGCAAGTCTGAGAAAGAACTGACCATTGTACCTACCTGAGCATCCCCGAGACAGCATACTTGACAGTTGTCCCTACAACCTCACCATCCACTCGGGTAGTAACAAGTACCGCCTGACTTAGTTCCACGAGGCTGGCTAGTGCTTCACCTCGGAACCCCAGAGATGAGCCGCCAAGTCGCTCGAGATCCTCCAGAGACCGGATCTTGGAAGTACAGCCTCGCTTGCAGAGGAGCTGTCGATCTTCGACACCAATGCCGGTGCCATTGTCTTTGACCTGGATGACATCTAGAGTGTTGTTGGCTATCTCCACGCTGATTGCTGTAGCACGGGCGTCGAGCGCATTGTCAACGAGCTCTTTGACAACAGATCTGGCATCAGTCAAGACGAGTGAAGAGCCGAGAGCCCGAGCGGTGTTTTCTGGCAAAGCTTGGATCGGCATGTCGCCGCCATGGATGAAGTGGCAGTGGTGGTTGAAGACAATCGAACAACGCGTCGTTGACTTGCTGCGGCACCGAGACGCGTCGGTGCCAGTGCGCATTTATCACTAGCGCCTTGGCATGGCAACGAGGCTTCAGCAGTGTGTCAAGGTTGCATCTTGAAGGTCTTCTTCTGGCGCTTACTGTCGCTTCCGTTGTTTTCTGCCTTCGACTTGACGATATCTGCTGCCATGGAGGCCGAGAGCCCACTTCGTTCGTAAGCTCACCGCCAATACGAAGAAGAAAAAGCGATGCAGTTGGATTTGACAGACGGCCTACGATACCAATCACCTACCACGCTCGCCCGTTGGCGTCAGCCATGGACGCTCAGCAGCTGGCAAGATTCGCGGTGCCGGTAGTGGTGATCTTGGTGGCCTTTCTCTCATACTCGTCTCAGTATCTGTTTTACAGTCTTCAGCCCGGTCCGCTCTCTTCCTGGGACAAGATCGTTTTCAACACGTTGGTGGGATGCATCTGGATATGCTACGCTCGTGCCTGCACGACCAATCCCGGCCGGGTGCCGGCTGGCTGGAAACCTGATCAGGACGAAGAGATCGAAACGGTCTCGAGTGGAGACAGAGTCGCTTCAAGGCATAGGTACTGCCGCAAATGCGAAGCCGTCAAACCGCCAAGGTCCCATCATTGCAGAGTATGCAAAAGGTTAGCAATCTCTACTATTCCCGGAAGTCATGCTGACCACATCAGATGCATTCCAAAAATGGACCACCATTGCCCTTGGACTGTCAACTGTGTATCTCACTTCACCTTCCCTCATTTCATGCGGTTTCTCTGGTATGCGGTGGCTGCCATGGGATACCTCGAATACTTCCTGTTCGTACGAGCGGGTGTCGTCTGGGAGGACCGCAATTTGCCTAGTGTACGGCTGCCCACCTTTGGCATAAGCAAAAATTAACCCAACTCCCAGTATCTAGGTCCTTCTGCTTCCCAGCTCGTCCATCTCTTGATTTTAATCATTGTCAATACTCTGACTCTCTTTCTTGTCTCAATCACCTTCTTTCGCTCCATCTGGGGCCTTGGGGCTAATGTCACCACTATCGAGAGCTGGGAGATCGAGCGCCACGAACAGCTACTCCGTCGAGCTCGTGCTCTCGGGGGATACTTGGATGGCCCAGATGGCATTCGAGTCAAGATTGTGAAGCAAGAATTCCCTTACGATATTGGAATTTGGAGCAATATTGTTCAGGGGATGGGAACAGCAAACGTGCTGGCCTGGTTCTGGCCATTCTCCGCGACTCCAACAACGAGCGGATTGGTCTTCGAGACCAATGGCTTCGAGGACCCAGGCACAACTTGGCCGCCACCAGACCCCGATCGGATGCCTCGACTTGATCGGCCGCTCGAGGCCGCACACAATGCATTTGTTCATGACCACAGCAATCTCGCCCCAGATGATGAGATGGAGGCGTTCAAACAGCGACAGCAGGCTGACTTTGAACGACGTCCGGATTACTATGGGGTTCAACGACGGAAACCATTCCACGACCGTTTCGAAGAGGCGAATCTCGTGCCGATCGAGAACGACTATATCAATCCGGACGATGAGGATTCTCTCAGCGGAGAGGAAGGTTGGCAAGATTCTGGGGGGAACCGACTGAAAGACTACGGTGTCGACGAAGACGTCGAGTTCTATGATGAGGACAGTATCCCCATTGCAGAACTGTTGAGCCGGCGGAGAGAAGGGCGGCAAGGCCAGACCTGATATATTCTGGCGGTAGTTACCCCACGCCTACTCCGACGGAGGGCGTTGACCCGCGTTCTTGGAGGAAGCCCACAGCCGTCGTGAACTCCATGTTGCCACAATTATGGATCGGCACAGCAGAGGTTCAAAGCCAAAACCTCTTTCCATCCTGACAAGGGCACCATGACTTGGTCGGCACATTGACCTGAAGGCTTCCCGCCTCGAAGGGAGGGTTTGCCGTCGGACGTGGGGGAACAGTCCCTCACCCCACTGCAGGCACGACGTGCGGTCTGGAATAATAATGATCCGGATGACGAGCTTTGAGCTGTTCCTCTAGGTCGACACCCTCCCCTTCACGCAATTTTGCCACATGGTGATCCCATCATTCATCACCTTGTATTTGGTGCTTGATTGGCACTTCCCGTCTGGAAATGCCGCTCATATTGGGCAGTCGCTCGCACTCGTGTCTCAATGCCATGGGATGCTTTTATGGTCCACGTTCTGCGGCCATCGCCGCTCACCCACGGTCGCAATGGATTCCCCACCCCACGCCTCCAGATTGTGCGGGGCGTGAGCAATGTGTCTTGTGAAAGTGAATTCAGGCTCAGTTGTCGGCATAATGCCGGGCGAGGTCGTCCACCTTATAAACAGCGACGGCTGCTCGTTTTCGCTCTGAGGCTGATTTCGACCCTTGTCTAACTTTGAAGGGCAGTGAGGCGGGCTAGTCACGAGTCAAACAAAAGCATTTTAAATCGCTCGTTCTCCCCATTTAGGTCTCCTCTACTCCCTTGGCCTGCAAAGGACAACCAACGCCACCAGAGGATCTTGCAAGATGAACGGACATCATACGGCTAGACCCCTGAGACCGGGCATCAACGTGCCTATGGTCACCATCTTTGACCCGGAAACTGAAGATGTCGATGTCAATGCGATCGCAAAGCACGCCGTCAGACTTGCTAAGGCTGGTCTGTCATCTATTACCTGCCAAGGATCGAATGGCGAAGCAGTACATCTCACCAAGGAGGAACGGATACTGGTAACGAGTACCACCCGCAAAGCACTGGATGAAGCTGGATTCTCAGACATGCCGGTTGTCGTTGGTTGTGGAGCACAGTCGGTGCGAGAGACGATCGACTTTTGCCGGGATGCGTACCAGGCCGGTGGTGATGCTGCTCTGGTTTTGCCCCCTTCATACTACAAGTCGGCATACAAGCCTGAGTCGTTTGTTGAGTACTTCCAAGCTGTTGCAGATGGCTCGCCGATCCCCATTGTCATCTACAACTACCCCGGAGCGGTTGCTGGGGTGGATCTTGACTCGGACACCATTATCAAATTGGCCAAGCATCCCAACATCCGTGGTTGCAAGCTCACCTGCGGCAACACTGGCAAATTGAACCGGATTGCTCATGCAGTCAATGCCGCCACACCCAGCGACCTTGGATCAGGCTGGATGTGCATGGGTGGCTCGGCGGATTTCACCCTGCAAACCCTGATTGCTGGCGGCTCAGGGATTATTACCGGCTTGGGTAATGTTGTGCCTAAGGCTTGTGTCAAGGTCTTCAACCTCTATGCACAGGGCAAGGTGGAGGAAGCTCAGAAGCTGCAAGCGATTGTGGCGCGGGGCGACTGGGGAGTGATTGCGGGCGGAATCACAGGCACCAAAAGTGCGATGCAGTCGTATTTTGGATATGGTGGTTACGCCCGACGGCCACTGCCTAAGCCGACCAAGGATGAGGTAGCCAAGTGGGAGGAGATGTTGAAAGAGGTTGTGGAGCTCGAGAACTCACTGTAACATGTGGTAAGAGACTTACGATAGACGAATTTCACACAACGGAGGCCACGCTGCTATGCTGCATTTGAGGATGCTTGGCTGTGAGCATAAAACAGCTGGGAGAGCTAGACTATGTATCCAAGGGGGAGTCTTATTACAGATTTGACGAGAGAATACAATCGATGCGCTTTGTTTGCCAACTTGCGAGGAATAACACAGAGTGGTCAGGTCATCACTGCCTAGTATAGAGACGACTCCGAACCTGACAAGAGCTGCATACCTTACCTAGGTACATAGGTACTCTTATGTAGATGGTGCCCCGGTTCGTCCATAATTCTCTGCCGCAGGAATGGTGACTAGGTAGTTACTTAGGTAGTTGGTAGGCGCCAAGTAGTTAGGGAAGGTTCGGCGGCTGCCTAGGGGCTTAGGGGCCTCTAGTTAGTCTGGCTCTAAGCATCACCAAGTCCTCGGTTGCGCCCCCATCTCCCCTAAAGACACTTGATTCTCCCTATTACTAGTCGCACACAATATTAATCGATGCCCTCAATGTGGACGAGCCAAGATTCATCCAACTTCCCTTCAGCTCGCTTTTCGACTTCACTTCACTTTCCACCTTCTACCTTCCGCCTTTTCGTATTTCAAATCCATTGACCAGCGGGCGCCATGGCAAACTTATTCTCAGCTCTGCGGACTCGTCCTGCACCATTACGCATTGGACCCTGTCGGTCCTGTCTTCATCCGCCATGGCGCCGACAATGGCCATTGGGGTTGACGCGGGTCAGACGCATCTCGGGAGTCTGTTGCAGAAGCCAACGCACAACCGACATGAGACGTACATGAAGCCACCTCATTCTGTCGACTAACTAAACTCTGTCTTACTCCCCGTATCATTTAGGCCATCAAGCCATCGGCGATACGCTGTCCTCGTCTAAAGGGAGATACACAAGCGACAGCCGACCACGTTGTCTCCTTGTCAATCTCTGGTTAATTTCCCGGATCCTCACTAAGCGATCGTCAACCTCAGCATCCGTTTCCAAGCCAGAGTGACAACGCAGAACCCGCCGTTCTTACATATGGCCGCCTCTGACTGGCGTCGTCTACCCGCCAACCTCTCAGCCTCTGCCTCCGCTTCCCGCATGAACGGCTCTGCGTCGTCTCCGGACCTCTAGTCGCCGTAGCATTTCCCGGCAAGGCAGACGCAAGCCCCGCCACAAGAAAAAAAAAGGCAAGCTGATCGTGACCGCCTGTTTCATCATGGCCCAGCTCATCTTGTCGAAGAATTTTCCTTTCGTGCTGTCTTACTGCCTTCATTCTTTTTGTTTTGCTGTTCTTTGATAGAGTTCGAGAAAATGCCCCAATGGCTGATAATCTAGAAACCGACCATGGCAGTCACCAACACGATTCTGTCGCGTCTATCACCGACAGTATCTTGGACCTCAGGAAGAAGGTCGACAGCAACGAGCTCCCAGGCTTCGCGGAGCTGATTGACGACTGGTTTGATCCGAACGTCGACGTGGACGAAGAGCAGTTCGTCCGCCGGTTCCTGCATACCTTCAAACAGACCGACAAAGATTTTACATATGAGAAAATCATTGGCGACTACGACGACGATGTGCAGGAGATCTTCAACGACTTTGTCGACGGCAAGATCGACGCCAAAGAAGCTGGTCAGCGATACAGTCAAGCTACCACCGATAAAGGTCCCCGACTCAAACGGGATATACGTAGAGGGGGCTCTGCTGGTGCCATTCCTGGCGAGCCAAACATCTTTTCAGAACCTATCAATCTTCTGAGGGCAGCTCCAACAAGCATCCCTTCACGCATTCGGGGGCTATTTGCAAAGATCTTTCCATCTCTGAAAGACCCTAAACGTGCGCTTTATGTTCCGGTAGGGTCTTAACCCCTGGTCCATCTCTACAATCACCACTCACTGAAGTCTCTGTAGACCTACAAGAACCTCGAGTTTCTCAACCACGGCCGGACGGTGGAAAATACTCCGGCATTGACGTGTGTGCCAAACACTTCTCAAGATGTCTGTGATATCATCAAATTTGCGAAGAAGCAGAACATGGGTGTTCGAGCCTCTGGGTTCCGTAAGACACCCACCACCTCCGAGCGTGGGCTTCGGCAAGTCGTGTGTCTGCTTACTGAGTTGTCCTAGGTCATTCGTGGTCCCCGGTCTTTGGTCGCTCCAACAAGAAGGGTAGTCAAAATAACGGAGATATTCTTATCTCGACCCTGGGGCTTATCGACGCTTCAATACTGCCAAATCTCACGTCCCTACCGACTGATATCTTCCAACCTCGTGCAAAGGATCTGAATTCGATAGTGGTCGTCAACCACACGTACGTCAAAGGGCCTCAGCTCACAGGCGGAAAGAAGTATGTTCGGGTTGGAACTTCGACCACCAACGAGCAGCTACGAAGATGGTGCATCAACACCGGGAAAGTCACGATGCCGATGAACATCGTTGAGGTTGAGATTACGATGGGCGGAAGTAATGCCACAATCTGGTTTGTTACCTTGCCAAAGTTTTCATGAAGGAGCTATGTTGACCATTTGCAGCCACGGTGGTGGAATCCAGAATCCTACAATCTCTGATCTCGTCCGTTGTATGGAGTATGTTGACGCCAATGGCATGCTCCGCAAGATCGACATGTCTACCCCTGACATCCTCAGAGCCGCTGCGGGCTGTTTCGGCCTCATAGGAATCGTCACGCATCTGGTGCTCGAGCTGGACCCGTTGTCGTGTGCGCTCATGGAACCACGCAAGGTTCCCGTTATCGAAGCGATTCCTCCACCACCAGGCATGCCAGATTCGGCGATTCCTGCTCCTTTGCGGCCAAAGCATCCTTTGAGCGCGGAGCGAAAAGCCGAGATCCAGCGAGACTTTGAGACGCGCGCGACGACAACCGATTACGCCGAGTGGTTCTGGTTCCCCTATTCGAGCGAAGTCTGGGTGAATACCTGGCACAAGACACTCGATACGTCGCACGCAGTAAACTATCCGAGTAACGCGAAGACAATCTTGCAGGTGTTTGGCACTTTTATGGTTCAAATTGCACAAGATGCGACTATCCTGCTGAAACTGACCGAGGCACTTCCGGAGACACAGACAAAGCTGCTCACCTGGCTGTCGATGAAGAATTTGGATGACGTCGGTCCGCATGGAAAGATCATCAAGACATGGGTTCCCGATGCATTACACTTTCAGAGGGGCGTCCAGAACCTCCGGGTGAGAGATCTGGAGGTTGAATTCCCGCTCCAACCAAAAGTGGAACCAGAGGTCAATGGAGCGGCGGACGGAAACGTTAATGGGCACGTCAACGGTGCTGCCAATGGTACCGCCAATGGTGCTGTCAATGGTGCCGTCAATGGTGCCGCGGATGGTGCTGTCACTGGTGGAGTATCAACGGCAGCAGCCACCAAAACCAAGGACATTGATTTGACTCTCGTACAACAGGCGTGGTGGGACGCCATTCTCTCCTGCTACGCCGCGATCAAAACGTGTCCTCAACGCATGCCCCTGGAGATGCGCATCATGTCTGGATCGCAGGTGACTCTGGCGCCGCAACGAGGTCATAAGCTGGGGACCTGCGCGATCGAGATCCTCAGTCTCCACAACGTCGCAGACATCTGGCCCGCCTACGCCCAGAAAGTCTTGGACAAATGGACGAGTTACAAAGACCATGAGGGCAAGATGGTGCCTGTGCGTGCCCACTGGGCGAAAGAGTGGTACGGGTACACTGTCCACGGGAGACGGTGGGAGGAGATCTTCAAGGAAGAAGAGAGCCAGAACGGTGGGTTCAAGAAGGAGATCGCCGAGTGGAGGCGCTCCGTGGGGAGGTTGGCGGCCAGGGATGGTTGGAGGACCGAGGATGCGAGGAGGAGATTTGGGAACGAGGTTCTCGACTGGTTGTTTTGGCAGGATGGGTCGGTGAAGACGACCGCTGCCCCGAACGGAGTTGTTGTCAATGATGCAACCGGTGAGAAGAAGCCGGGGATTGCGAAGAGAGTAGTGAAGAGTTGTTTTGGGAAGTGAACTTGAGGGGGAACGGCGAAAACACGGGATGGATGTAATGCTTGCTTACTTGCCTGCTCGATCGCATTTGAGGGAGATGGAGACCAGCATCGATACCACGAGCGCCCGGCCACTGATCGATATTACCAAAACCAATACCTAACACCAAACACCGACAGCCTCGCGGCTACCCTATGCACGACGTTACGCTTCCACGGCTCGTTGACTTTATGCACACATACATACATATCATATCGACGACACCCCACGGTCAAAACGGTCCCTACCACGACCGAGACCGAGACCGAGAACCATATCACGGCCACGAAAATGAATGACCAATGAATGACGGATGTAATCTAGTAATGGAGGAAATGAATCTCACGAAGATATGTTTGTTGTTGTTGTTGTGTTTGTGTTTTTTGGGCTAGTTGTCGAGTATATAGTACTACTTCTGTGTTTGAACATCAGGAACTGAGAATCAACATCTTGAGTCATTTAATAAGAATCGGAACAGTCTTCCCAGTAAGATGGTCGGGTCTAAGGCAGCCTCTATCTGTGCGGTGTAACGTGTTGTTGTACCTCATGGACTCATTTTTATTCGGGGCTGGGGTCTTTGTTCTAATTTCCATCCTTTATCTTTCCTCGCCTTTGCTGTCTCTCTCTCACCCTCTCACCCTCTCTCTCTTGATTCCTCCCCGGCGTTCTTTCCCGCTATACGTCTGGCCGCATTCCCGTTCTTTCTCTATCGCTTGCGCACACGCATGGCACCCAAAGTAGGTGACGGAGTAAGCAAACACACGTCCAAGCCCACCGCCTTCTTAGCAACGCCCTTTCCTGTCTCTGGGTTCAATCAATACCCCTTCCTCCGATCCACCAAGTTGAACATCTTGTCCCCCCTCTCCCTCCTGTCCCAATTGGTCATGAAGACATCATACGCGCGCTGCGCGTACTCGGTCCCCAGCCCGCTGACGTGCGGAGTAATGATGACGTTTTTGGCGTCCCAGAGAGGGTCGTCCTTGGGTAGCGGTTCCGGGTCTGTGACGTCCAACGCGGCGCCCAGGAGGACGTCGTTGTTGAGCGCGGTGACGAGGGCCGGTTGGTCGATTAGGGGACCGCGCGCGATGTTGATGAGGAAGCACGATTTGGACTTCCTCGCCGGTGAGGATGAGGATGAGGTGGCCGTGGTGGTGGTGGTGGGAAGGGAGGCGCCGCCACTGCTGCCCAGGATTTCGAATTCGGGTGTTGAGAACATGTGGCGCGTCGAAGGCGTTAGGGGCAGTGCGATGATCAGCGCGTCAAGTCCCGAGGCGAGGAACGTGTGTAGCGACGCCTTGGATGTCCCTGAGTACCATGCCCGTGGGATCGTGCCGTCTGGGTCGCCTGTCCCGGGGATGATGTAGCCGGTGTCGGTTCTTGAGGCTGTTTTTATGTCAGCTTGGAGTTGGCTCATAAGGAAGGAAAAGAGAAGGGTGGGGGAAAGGACAGGACTCACCAGGCGTTGGGCGCGGGCTGGCAGTGTAGGCGTGAACATGGGCCCCCAAGGCGGAAAAGACGCGGGCGGCTTTCAAGAGTACATAATACATATCAGCGGAGGCCCTACTTCAGGACAGAGAATCATGAACCAGGTAAGAATCCCAAAAGAAAATACAGTTGCGGTACCTTGACGCCCGATACTCCCATACCCAGCAATCCCGACCGTCTTACCCACCCAGTCCGTGCCGTGGGTCAGCATCTTTCTCTCCGTACCCCAGTGGTGCTGCTTCTGCCACTCGTACTCGATCGCATAGTACCGACTCGCAATCAGGGTGGTCATGACGATCCACTCGGTGATGGGTGGCCCATGGATGCCCGAGGACGTGGTGATGGGGATGTCGGTGTCAGTGACGATTGGGTGGGTTAGGTGGGCGTCGACGCCGGCGGAGAAGAGGTGGATGAGTTTCAGACTATAAAGAGGAAACGTAGAGAAGGGGGACATGTTAGGGGCCAAGAAAGCTAGAAGCCAGAAAGAAAGGGGAGAGGGCGGGTTCAGTGATATGGACAGACAGGGGGCATGAGACGTACTTTGGAGCATCTTCCGGTCGGGCAGGGAGGACGGCGATGGTGATGAGGATGGTGACCGATTGCCATAGTTCTGCATTTCGTCGATGAGAGGAGCATCAGTTAGTGGATGAGACGATACGGTGGGTTGGGTCGATGGAAGGAGATCAAGATAGTCGTCAAACAACCGGCATCTCCATCTCTCCATCTCTTCAAATTTCTCTTCTCTTCTCTTGCTCTTACACGTACACACAATCCCCATCTTCATCTTGTCCTTGTCATAAATTCAACCTCGTGAGATTCGCAGGGTTGATTGATCCAACACTCCTCCACCCGCACTCACTCACCTTTTGGCACCAACCCGGACTTATCTTCGCCCTTCTTCCCTCTACCCAGTTGGAAATATGTAATGTCGAAATGGGGGAATCGTCGCTTGATCTCCTCCACCAAAGGTTTGGGCTCCGGTTCCCACAGGACGATGAGGAGATGTTCCTTGTCGGGGCCTCCTCCCATGTTGCTGGTTGCGGCTGCAATGTCGAAGGTGAGAGGGATCAGGAATATATCAATCTAGAATGGCGGCGATGGGAACGAGATGGCTATAGACAGGGAAAGCTCAGAGGAAAGGTCAGCAATGGCATCCATCATCCATGGCGGGGACAATGATAATGATGGCGACATGGGAATTCAACCGTTTATCTCCGAAAACGGCCACATGCACCGATCAATAAGCGAGTCTTCAGCGAGTCTTCAGCGAGTCTTCAGCCGTTTAGCCATGTGGCATGTAATAATCTATTCCATGTCATCGTAAGTCCGACTGCTCAATGCGCAACTGCTGATGCTCAAATACCGACGCTTGCTTGATGAGCCCGTAAACAGCGAAACAGCATGTCCAAACACCAAAAGCCCCAGGTCAATGCTTACTGCCCACCTTGTTCCCCCAATGGCCGTCGCCATCACCACCAAATCTCCCAACTGTCACCCACTGCAGCTTGATCCTTTTATCATCTCGTCGTTCTTGCAACCCGCTCCAGCCCAGCCTCTCTTCCCCCATCTTGCCCAGTCCACCTTCTTTGATCCAGCACCCGATGACGGCGCGAGCCCAGCACAGCTTCTCTTTGATCTCGTTTGTGCGCACAATCTCCATCTCCGACCGACGCAGCGTGTCGTTCATGATATCTTCCAATGGCAAGCTCAATTCATCGCGACGTTCCATGGCCTCCCCGCTTAGACCGCCGTGGCTTGCAAGGCCAATGGCGTCAGTTGGCATGAGATACACGCAATTGACTCGGTACTGCCCATGCTCACCATCCTCCTCCACAGCCGGCCCGTGGATGGTAATCTTGGTATGGTCTGGAAAGTTGAATTGCAATCCGCCATCTGCGAATCTCCAGACCCCAACGTTTCCCACTCGTTGATAGAAGTGCACAAAATGTTGGCTCTTGTCCGCCGCCCTACCACTGGTCGAGTCGTCATGCCTTCCTTGCTTGTTCATATATTTCCCGAACTTGTCCAAAAGCGCCACCTCCTTCATCCGCTCAGCCTCACTGCCCTCCAAGCGGCTTTGGATCGCATTGGCTGCAGCGACTTGGTTTGGGTGTGCTTCAAGGTCGAGGAGGAATCTTCGCGCAGGGACGTCGAGCCGCTTCATCCCGGCTTCATAGTCGCTCTGTTCATAAAATTCGACGTCTGCGGCATCGGGCCCTTGTGGCACAAATTGATACTCAAGCCCCTTGGCTCGTCTGATGGTGTGGCTGCTGGCATGGCGCACGACCACGCAGCTACTGGGCAAAGAGTTGTCTTCCGAGGATTTAAGAATCATGCCAACCGTGCCATCGGAGAGGATATAAGCTATACCATGCCGGGTGGAATAGTCTACCCATTTGTCGACGCGAGGGTATGTGGAACGTGTCCGGACCTTCCTTGTGCCGTATGCTGACCTTGGCCGCCTCCCTGCCTCGTCAAACCTTCGCGGATCAAGGGCTTTGTGTAGACTTTGCAGGGACTGGAGAACATCGCGATTGGAAGTCTGAGGAACCAAGGTGGCACGGTCTGTCCTCGCGATAATTCTAGGTTGATGTTTTGAGAAAGACATTGTGTGAACGGGATCTGCTGTTGATGGCGCCCGTTGTCTCTCTTCGGCGCTGGCTGGTCTCTGCTTTTCTCTCAACCCGGAAATCGTTTGCCTGTCATTTCCACTGGTAGGCTGTAGCACATGACAAGACGCGTCTCCCGTTGACCCTGATGAGCCAGGAGAAGAGGACTTCGGAGTTGCACCTTCTGCTACAACCACCGATTGCGAAGTACTCTTTGCTGGCTGGTTTTCAGGGACTGGGGTGACAGTGGAAATCCCACTTTTGATTCTGCGGCCCTCCGGCCTGTTCTGGCTCAGTTCTTGTTTGACGATCTCATTTAATCCATCAGGTGCAGTCGTCGATCTCGGTAATGTCCTCGATAACTGGGGTACCAGATCACCACGCGAGGCCGCGTTTCTCGTTGTGCGGATAGTAGCAGCTCGTACGGGCCGTTCTCTCAAAAGTGGCTGAAGAAGAGGCTCAACAATTTGCGGTTGCTGTGGCCTGGGGACGTCCTCTTGAGGAGCAATAGGACCCCGTCGGGCTGCTCCTGAAGGGAGTGCTTGCTGCCTTTGCTGGGCTGCAAAGCTTTGAAACGGTCTGGTTGTGGCATTCGCCGGCGGTAAAGGAGCCTTGGACGCCCCAGCTGGTAATCCTTCTGTTTCGGCTTTAGAGGTTCTCGAAGAGAGCGATTCCGGCTGTTCCAAGATAGGCTTTCGACTCCGGACGCGCGATGTTAGGAGTGGATGCTTCTGGCGTGCTGTCCATTCAGCGTAGGCGTCTGAGAATTGTTTATACAGAGTCCCTGGTGGCAAAGGAACCACTGGTGCACACCCTTCTCTATTTTCGGCCTCAATTTCCACCAGAGTTGAGATGTTCAATCCAGTACCGACTCCGGCGCGAGGCCGGCCATCAGAGCCAATGCCAATGCCACATTCGCGGCATATTCTGCCGTGACTGATTCCATAGCCCGCTTGTACTTTGTCTCCGCGTGGGTCAGCATTTTCCAGCCATGTTGGGGTCGCTCTTAAACAAGAAGTGTCCAGCTCGTCGGCAATCGCTCCCATGGTGAAGAACTCGTGCTCAACAAGTTCATCCATCTCTGGTCTCTCGACAGAGTTGAGGTTGAGACACGAAGCCACAAAGTCTTTGGCCTGTTGAGGAATGTAATTCTTGCTGTCAATCCTCCACTCGTACTCCAGCGTCCTCAGTTTCGAGTAAATCTCCTGTTGGGTCTTTGACTGGAAGGGAGGAGTGCCCATGAGCATGGCATAACATATCACCCCCACGGCCCAGGTATCAACCTTGTTGTCGTGTCCACGGGTGCCGGACTTGCTCAAAATCTCTGGAGCGATGTAGTTTGGGGTGCCACACAGTGTTGTCCGACGATCATGCTCGTCTGCCATGACTGCAGCCAAGCCAAAGTCTCCGATCTTGATATTCATTCGGGCGTCCAGGAAAATATTGCCCATCTTCAGATCTCGATGAATGACAGATCGCTTGTGCATGTATTTTACCCCTCCACAAATCTGAATCATGTACCGGCGCACTTCCGGTAGACTGAGGCAGGAGCGGACCTTGACCATTTCGGTAAGACTCCCATTGGGGCACATCTCCAGGACCACGTAGGTGTATTCGTCGATGGTGAACGCACGAAGGAATTCGACAATGTTTGGATGGTGCATTTTGGCATGGATTTGAAGCTCTGTTCGGAACTTTTCCATCATCTTCTTCTGCTCAACCTTGGCTTTGACCACCTTGAGGGCAAATACTTGGGATGTTGTTTTTGACTTTCCCTCGAAACAAACTGCGAATCCTCCTTTTCCTAGTTTCCTGCCCATTATATAGGTTTCTGGCGACGGACCAGGCTCTAATATTGACGGCGGAGGTCTCCATCTGTCGTCGATGCGATCGGGATTGGTAAGTTTGACGTCTGGCTTTGGTTTAGAGTCGACTTTGGGCTTCCTCGAGGCTTTGGGAGGGGCCATGGGGAGATTTGCTGATCGTGGCGAAAGAACCTCCATGTCAGATGCGACGGCTTTGCCAGACAGCGGTGTACTTGTCGCAACTGCCAATGGTTCGAAGAGACAAAGATAGCCGCTGTTGCAGCTTGAACTATGGGAACAAGTCGGAGGTGGTGCACGAATTCATTGGTGACGAAAAGGGATGGAAAATAAACATTGACTAACCATAGGAGGCAAGAATCAGCTGTTGCTTGGCGCCCTTGGCGACGCTTCGGAAATTTTATTTATCCGGCGAGGGGCTTCCAAGCTCCCCACAGCCTCAGGCACCCAACTGGAGCTCGATGATGAACGGCCCCGAGCCCGGCCATAACGAGGCCGAGCGAAAAGTCGCTCAGAACGCGAGGCTCACCACTTTACTCGTTTGAATGGCTCAGTGCTTGTCTGCGTAGCTGGCAATGTGAAAGTGCTGCAAGATGATGAGCCACAGTTAACGACTGGTTGACGCGTGACTGTTGTTTATGGCGCCCGCTGAATGCCCATCACTTCTTCGCTACCGCGGTCAACATGTCGCTGGCCCTCAAATTCACTTCTCTTGCTATTCGTACCCTTTCCAAGCCAATAGCTGTAAGTTACTGCAAAAGCTTTTGTCCCGAAACCTCCTCTGACAACCGAAGAATTTCATCAAGAAACAAGCACGCGAGCATGAAGGCTTCCGCCGGACCTGCATCTCTTTCGCCCAGACTCTCCACCGAATAGATATGCGATGGCGGATAGGTCTACTGCAAGATGCCGCGAGTCTCGAAAGACAGATTGCAAAAGAGCAGGCGGCGGACGCTGCGAAGAAGCATAAACACAACAACATCCCAACAGTCAAGACAGAAGCACAGACCAAAGCTGAAGAGGAGGCCGCCGCAAGGGCCGCCAAAGACGCACAGGAGCCTCCAAAGCCGCGTGCAAAGCCCAAGATCCGACCTCTCTCCGAAGCCAAGGCAATCGAGTCGGGCGCCAACTTTATAAGCGAGGCATTTCTTTTCAGTGTTGCGGCCGGTCTGATTCTGCTGGAGTCGTGGCGGTCCGGCAGGAAAGCGACCCAACGGAGAGATGATATCGCCGAGAGACTGAACGACCTGGAGGAGTCTGAGAAGGCTGCTCGCACCGCATTGGTGGAGCTGGAGAGGGAGGTCCTCCGCCTGCGGGCACAAGAGAACAATGGAAAGCCAACAGCTACAATAAGATTACTGCCCAAGGAGATATACCAAGATAAAGAGGACGAGAAACCGGCGGAACCTACTGGTTACTGGTCACGCCTGACATCTCTCATATCTTTCAATAAGGGTGACAAGAAGGAAGCAAAGGAGGCTCTCGCAGAGAACGAGCCAGGACCTGCAGAACGGATCCTCGTGCAGTCTGATAAGGCGTTAGAGGAGAAGCATAAACAACAAAAGGCCCTTGAAGACGCAGGAAAGGCGGCCACTGCTGAGCAGAAACTAAAACAGTAAGAGAGACGAGGAGATTTTTTCTCAAAAAAAAGGCATGGCCTTTACAACGTTCTCAGCCCCCTTGGCACCAGCACCAGGAGGTTGTTGACCAGCAACTCCCGACTCCCAACCATTTTGTACATTTACCTTGAATATAGAGATACCCCCAATTGGAAAAAGAAGTCCGATATGATCCACGCGATGTTTTCCAAGTCGCTCCGCTCTCGACCTGAATGGCGCACGTTAGGACCTACCCTGGGTGCCTCGACATCCATCGACTTCCAAGGTCATCAAATGAGGTCCACACAAAAAGAGCCAAGAGCAGAGCTGACGATACACCGCAGAAGACCAGGCGATCGTTTGCGATCTTGTCATTCCACTTGGGGGATTCAATCAACGGGCCACCCTCAACGTTCTCTTACTGTGGTCCTCCGATCCCGTGGCCTCTACCGAAGAACGAATGCGTCCATTCCTGTTCAAGGCGGAGCAGGGGAGCGATCACTATGTCACCGTCGTGATTGATAACAAGGGCAACCCCATGCACGCCCTTGGGATCCTCTCATCTCTGCAAAGCCGGTAAGGTGTTCTGGAGAGTCCACTGGAAATCTTGTCCCACTATCTCTGACTGTCCAGCCCAGAATGCTGGATGTTTCACTGGTCCCTATTCTCATTGCGCTGTCGGTGGAAGGTATCCTACCGACAATTGAGCGATACATCCAAGAGCTGCACAAAAATTACGAGATCAAGATACCGCCAGTGCCGATGCCTGAAACTTTGATCGCTCATGCCACCATTTCTGCCCCCGCTCAGCCGCTCTCACAGCACGAGGCCAATGTCTTGACCGATCTTTGTCATTCTATTCGCGATTTGGAGGAAGCTACGAGGACAAGCAGTGGCAGGGAGCAATTAGCCGAGCACCTGGGACCCGCTGTTACAAAGAATCTTGTTGATTTCTGGGAGGATGAATGGATCATTTGACTGTGGACTGAGCGCTGTCGACAGACCGATTCAGCCTGTCCTTGTGTTACATATCCGGCAGCCGGCTCTTGAGGTCCATAAGAGTCTGCCAATGCACAGGAACTCTGGCTGTGAGCTCTTCACTGCATCGATCCGTGCTCCTTGCGGTCATGGCGCCTGATGAGTGGATGAGTCGGACGACTGCTGGTCAGTAAATTTGATTTTCAGGAGGGTAGGTACGTTGATGGTGCAATGATCAATGGATACCTGCTTATGGTTGACTCCGAGGGCATTCCAGAGATGCTGTACCCCTAGATGGCACGTGAGATCAGAGGCGGGAGGTCTCACCTCACCGTAGCCTTCGAGGGAGCGCAAACCAAGTATAAGAGTTCCGATGGCTCCCATGGTCAAAATCCAGGCACGCTTCTCAGACAGAATTTTAGACCGTCTGAAGATCAAACAACATCTGCTACACCATGTTGCTCTCAAAACTCTGCCCCTTACTCTTCTCAGCACTTTCAGTCCTGGCACTGCCAGTTGAAAAAGCCAGCGACTTGACAGCAACCCCCTCAAAGCGTGTCTCCGCCGCAAAATATGCTGAGGTCGCCCACAGAGCAGTTGGGATGGAAGTGTACCCGGCAAATTTCGAGGCCGTCGACTCAGCAGACGTCATCCACGGAGCACAGTATTTGGCTAAGCGCTTTTTCACCACCGAGTATCTTGCAGGGCTTGACGGCGAGGAGATCGTTGAGGCGTACCCGGCCTATGTCAATCACGCTGGCTCGAATGAGGTGATGGGAGGATACCTAGGTAGTAGCTCATGAAAAAAAGGAATAGGGAAGGCGATTGAACAGTAAATTTCACAGGTCAAGAGATGGCAATATGCTCATCTAGGCTGAACACAACGTAACCCAGATTGTGAAACCGATTTCGGATAACCTCAACACGATACACAAGTCATGCCTGGCGCAAGCGCGGATGAAAGTCTGATTTCTGTTCACCTAGCCTTCAATATAGATCAGACAAGGCCCGGGATGCCACTGTTCAGGTCCTAAGATGGATGCAGAGGAGAAATCAGAGGACGCCGCAAGAGGCTCAATCTCTTACCTTGGCGTCTGCCTATGCGAGTTGCACACTTAATTGTCTCGCTGTTGAGGCAAATATCGGCTCGTCGGGTACCTAGGGCTCTTTTAAAGGAGAGGCTAGGTGTACGAGGTACGGTTGGGTCGATCTGGGGCGAGGAGCCTGTGCGTGTGGAGTACGAGTCGTTGAAGCCAAGAAGATGACGGATCATCCATCAACGCGGATTGCGTGTCGTAGCCTCACAGCCACAGCTAATGGTGGCGATGGAGATTGGAGGGTACGAGTGCCTGTCTCGGGAGATATTATTGTCGCAGGCTGCTGGATGGTAGCGATTGTAGAGACCATGGTGACTGACTAACCGCAGCTTCCGCTATAGCGCTGTTCAGCTTGTTAGCCTCAGTGTTGGTGTCAGTGGCCTGTTGGTATGTCATAGTCACTCCGGCGCCTGTTCGGTGCCTGACTGTCGCAAGCATCGACAAAGCACCAAAGCACCGCCGCACTCACACTTACTGCCAATCTCATCGTGACAAGGACAAGGCCACCCCAGCTTTTTTCCAATCGTCCTTCTTCCGTAATTCTTTGCTTTGGCAGTTCTCGTGTCCATACCCATCTTCAGTATATGTCCCTCGTGCAAACTGACTGTCCGTCTCTTTCCAATCCCGTCTTCCCTCCCCGCGCGTATGTCCTAATCAATCCGAGCCTCCACCATGGTCAGTGTCCCCGCCATCAGTCCGCCATACAAATATACTCACTCTCAATCCATAGGGTCAAACAAAGCGCCGCGAGGCCAAGACATCTCGCGCACCTAAATCTTCTCTCTTTGGCGGCGGCAGGTCCGCGCAGGCCGATTCCGGGCAGCCCCAGATCAAAAAGGCGACCTTTGAGATCACAAAAAAGAAGGAAGTGGGCGTCTCAGATCTCACCCTGTTGAGCAAAGTCTCCAATGAATCAATCAACGACAACCTCAAGAAGCGTTTTGAACATGGCGAGATCTACACCTATATCGGCCATGTGCTGGTCTCGGTCAACCCTTTCCGGGACTTGGGAATCTACACAGACCAGATTGTCCAGAGCTACCGTGGCCGAAACCGTCTCGAAGTCCCACCGCACGTTTTTGCCGTCGCAGAGTCTGCCTACTATAACATGAAGGCATACAAAGACAACCAATGTGTCATCATCTCGGGTGAGTCGGGCGCAGGCAAGACGGAAGCTGCCAAGCGCTTGATGCAGTACATTGCGAGCGTCTCTGGCGGGACCGACTCCAGAATCCAGAGGACCAAGGACATGGTCCTAGCTACGAATCCGCTCCTCGAGTCCTTCGGCAACGCCAAAACACTGCGAAACAACAATTCCTCCCGTTTCGGAAAATACCTCGAGCTCGAGTTTAATGAACAAGGTGAGCCTGTGGGGGCCAAAGTCACAAACTACCTGCTGGAGAAGAGCCGGGTGGTGGGACAGATCACAAACGAGAGGAATTTCCACATATTCTATCAGTTCACCAAAGCTGCCCCAAAGGAGTATAGAGATACCTACGGTGTGCAGCAACCTCAGTCGTATGTGTACACGAGCAAGTCGAAATGCTTCGATGTACCGGGAATAGACGATGCGAGCGACTTCCGAGAGACCCTGAACGCCATGCAGATCATTGGCCTCACCAAGGCCGAGCAGGATAATATCTTCCGTCTTCTGGCGGCCATTTTGTGGATTGGCAACATCACATTCAGGGAGAATGATCAAGGAGGTGTCGACATCGCAGATGAATCTGTGGTGGATTTTGTCGCCTACCTTCTAGAAGTTGAGTCGTCTCATGTGCACAAGGCTATGACCATCAGAATAGTCGAAACAGCCCGTGGTGGCGGACGGAGAGGGTCCATCTACGAGTCGCCCTTGAATCCGGTCCAGGCGAGCGCTGTTCGAGACGCTCTAGCCAAAGCCATATACTTCAATCTCTTCGATTGGATTGTGGCGCGCACCAATGTCTCACTGAGATCCCAGGGAGCGGTGAAAAACACGATTGGTATTCTCGACATTTACGGGTTCGAAATCTTTGAGAAGAACTCGTTCGAGCAGCTGTGTATCAACTACGTCAACGAAAAATTGCAGCAAATCTTCATTCAATTGACATTGAAAGCCGAGCAGGAGGAGTACGCCCGTGAACAAATCCAATGGACTCCGATCAAGTATTTCGACAACAAAGTCGTCTGCTCTTTGATCGAGGACAAGAGACCCCCGGGTGTCTTCGCTGCTCTCAACGACGCTTGCGCAACAGCTCATGCAGACTCTGGAGCTGCCGACCAGACCTTTGTCGGCCGACTGAACTTCCTCTCCAATAATCCCAACTTTGAGAACAGACAAGGCCAATTCATCATCAAGCATTATGCTGGTGATGTGAGCTACCAGGTGGCGGGAATGACGGACAAGAACAAGGATCAACTGCTAAAAGATCTTCTCAATCTGGTCAGCGAAAGCTCAAATGCATTTGTCCACGAGCTATTCCCCAACCAAGTTGACCAGGACGACAAGCGACGACCTCCAACCGCCGGGGACAAGATCAAGATATCTGCGAATGAACTGGTTGATACCCTTATGCAAGCTCAGCCGTCTTACATCCGAACCATCAAACCTAATGAGAACAAATCGCCCAAAGAATACAACGAACCTAATGTGCTCCACCAGATCAAATATCTCGGTCTCCAAGAGAACGTTCGCATTCGGCGAGCTGGTTTCGCCTACCGTCAGACCTTTGATAAATTTGTGGAAAGATTCGCCCTGCTGTCACCCAAACTTTCATACGCCGGAGAATACACCTACACAGGAGACGTCAGGACTGCGTCGGAAATTATTTTCAAAGACACAAGCATTCCAAAAGAGGAATATCAGATGGGTGTGACTAAAGCCTTCATTAAGACTCCTGAGACCTTGTTTGGGCTTGAGCATATGAGAGACCGGTATTGGCATAACATGGCCGTCCGCATTCAAAGAGCTTGGAGAAACTACCTGCGATATCGGGCCGAAGCCGCCACGAGGATTCAAAGGTTCTGGCGCAAATCCAAGGTTGGTGTTAAAGAGATTGAATTCCGAGATCAAGGACACAAACTCCTGGCTGGCCGGAAGGAACGTCGCAGATACAGCTTGCTCGGTTCCAGACGATTCTTCGGCGATTACCTTGGTCTCAACATGCCGGGTGGTCAAGGCCGTGTCCTCAGGGATGCGGTCCACCTCAATCCTCAAGAACGTTGTGTGTTTTCCGCGCGTTGCGAGCTGTTGGTCACCAAGTTCGGGCGATCCTCACAGCGGATGCCCAGGATCCTTGTCCTGACTCCCAAATCGGTCTACATCATTGTGCAAGCCGTTGTGAACAACCAACTTCAAATCTCCGCAGAAAGAACAATACCCATTGGCGCGGTGAAATATATCTCGTGCTCGAACCTGCGGGATGACTGGTTTGCCCTTGGTGTTGGGTCTGCTCAGGAGCCGGATCCCCTCCTCAACTGTGTTTTCAAGACTGAATTCTTCCTGCAATTCAGGACAGTCGCGGTCGGTGGCATGAACCTCAAAATCGGGCCCCAGATTGAGTACAACAAGAAGCCGGGAAAACCTGCTGTGGTCAAAGTCCAGAAAGATCCCGGAGTCACTCGAGACGACGTATACAAGTCAGGGACGATCCACGTTCCGCAAGGAGAGTCTCCAAATTCGGTTTCGAAGCCCACTCCACGTGCTAAGGCAGTTGCCAGACCCATCACCACCGGTAAACTGCTCAGACCGGGCGGACCAGGGGGTCAGCCTTCGAAGACGGCCGCCAGACGAGCTGTTCCCGCGCCTAGACCCACCCCGCAAACTCAGCGTCCTGTTCCAACACCTGCTGCTGCTCATGCCCTCCCTCAACAGCCAAACGGCGCTTCTTCGCATGCTCGAAACGATTCAGCATCATCGTATGGTAGAACCGCACCTCCACCGCCCCCACCGCCTCCCCCGGCCGCTGCTCCTGCGGCAGTACCATCCAAGCCTCAAGCTAAAGTGAAGTACGACTTTAATTCACCTAATGCAAACGAGCTGTCTATCAAGGCAGGCGACATTGTGGAGATTGTACAGAAGGAAAACAATGGTAAGCTCGATCGAACTTCTTGACCACATTTGGTGTCGGAACTGACGTGAACCGCTTAGGCTGGTGGCTCTGCAAGAACCCTCACACCGAGGCACAAGGTTGGACACCGTCTGCCTACGTAGAAGAGATTGAGCAGGCACGCGCCGCACCTCCGCCTCCTCCGCCACCCCCAGTTGCACACCGTCCTGTTCCAACACCATCGGTCATGGTCAATGGAGGTCCTAAGCCCGGGACGCCACCGGTTGGTGGCAGAGCTAAACCCACGCCTCCGGCGCCACCGGCCAAACGACCGGTTCCTGGGGCAAGGAAACCGGACGCGTCACCTGCCAGAGATAGTGCAGTGGGCTTGGGCACGAACAGCGGGACAAATTCTGGCCGTGCCACGCCGAGCAGTATTGGAGGTGGCAGTCTAGCTGGTGGATTGGCGGAGGCGCTGAGAGCCAGGCAGAGCGCGATGAGTGGCAGAGACAAGGATCGAGAGGAAGATGACGACTGGTAGATGGTTGCTTGGGGGATGATGAGAAGTGTGCCATGAATGAAAAAACATGACGATTCAAGACTGATTGGGATGTCGGTCATTTTGGAAGAATGAGTGCGCAGAAGATTGGCATTGTTGGGCCTGGCAGGTTGTCGATGCAAGCGTGCAACTCATGCAAGAATGAATATGAGACATGAAATGAACAAGGCCAGACCACAGGACTCGTTTTTGACGGGGGAATTGCTCGAGGCTTGAAGGTCCCTGGTGTCTCCCTGCCCCGTGCTCAAGGTGCCTATGGCATTCAGCGTTGATCTGCGCATGTCGCCCTTGTATATTCCTCCCTCTAGAACGACAAGAGAAGGCCCCTTCATCTGCCTGTAGCTCCCCGACTACCGCCAATCTACAGTGACCTAGTACTTTAGCCCCATTCGCCTGCTCGTAGAGCCCCATGGATTCAATTCAGGATGGGCCGGGGAAAAGGGTGGTGTAATTCAAGCCACGGCCAACAAGCCCTTGGCCTGCTCGCGGACCATGTCCTCTGTCAGTGTGCGATCCGCATAGTCGACACCCTGCTCCCTCAGCCGCCGGTTCTCCTCCTCCATCCACCGGGCCTGCACGCGCAACCTCTCGGGCACGACGGCTCTCCGCTCGCCCGTGACTTTCCAGCCGCGCAGTTTCTCGCGCCCGCCCAGGTCGCGGATCGTCTTGAGCTCGACGAGCGAGTAGTAGTAGTAGTCGTCGTCGTCGTCGTCTCCTTTGCTGGCGTTGGTATTGGCGTTGGCGTTGGCGCTCGACCTTACGCTCTCGCTCTCGCTCTCGCCGCCACGGTCAAATCTGAACGGCTCCCTCAGGCTCACGGGCGGGTTGGTGATGATGCGCGCGAGCCGGCGGCCGTTCTTGGACGCCGAGTGCAGCATCAGGGGATGCAGCAGGATCACGTCGCCCACTTGGCCGGTCATTTCGTGGAAGGACGACGGGGCGCATTCCTGGACGACCGAGTTGAAGAATTTCAGGCCTGGGTCGGCGGTCGGTTCTGGAGAGTCGACGGGCATCCTTTGGATTATTTTTAATTATTAGTTTTTATAACCCTGATAAGAACAAAAGCTGTCCCTTCCTTCTTTTATCGAAAAGGGGGAGCGTTTTTGGAGCGTTTCTCTCTTTGAGATGTTGGGTGTTACAGGGACTCGACAACTGCGGTTGAACTTACATGTGCGGCGTGACGCCTTCGGGGTGGTCATACTGTACGTTTACGATACCGGTGTGAGTTTCTGTGTCCATTTTGGGGGGTCTCCATGTTCCTTCTCCTGGTAGGGACTTACAAGCCACTTGCCGATTCGCGCCGGTCCTTCAGTGCAGATCCATGTGCCGCCGCCGTTGGGGAGGATGTCGGTGAACAAGGGAATCACCAACAGAGCCTGCTCCGGAGAGTCGAGGAAGTGGATGAAGAAGTCGCCTGTGTGCGTCCCGTGGTCAGTCAGATTCAGATTAGGATAGGAGAGATGATGATGCAGAATCCTCCCTTCTCTTCTCCTCTGCGTTTCCCCCTTCGCCACTGCCACATATTTCCCTTTTGAAACATCTCGCCCAACTCGTGGCCACCTCCAGGAATCTGCGTCAGGCTGAATTTCAACCTTGAGGCGAGCAGGACAGCTAGCCAGCAAGCCAGCCAGCCAGCACTTCAGAACACTTCTACCCCACTGGATTCTTATACTGGGAGAATCACATTGTCATCATGACTTACCATCGACATGCCACCCCTCCAGCTCCTTGGGACCGACCTCCTTGCCCTCGCCCTCGGGCGTGCCCAGGTTCACAATAAACGAGTCGCTCCAGGTCTTGCTCTTGTCCGTGACGCGCTCCTCGCCGCCCACGAGGTCGCAGATGGCGTCCCACGCCTTGGGCGCGAACTCGGCCACCGTCAGCCGTCGGTGCTCCGGCATGTTGGTGCGCTCGCGCGTCCACGTCGTCTTATCGTGCGGGTCCATCCCCAGTCGCGTCCACACGTCTCGCGTCCACTCGGCCGACGCCGCCCGGCTGAAACACCCCGGGATCACGACGTAGCCGTGCTCCATGAAGTGCGAGACGTCCTCTGGCGTCAAGACTTTGCAGGGTCTGGACGACATGGCTTGTTACCACCTTTGTTGTTGTTGTTGTCGTCGTCGTCGTTTCTCGTAGACGCTGCCGGATATACGACGAAAGAACTCGTGCAAGCTTCTTCGACGGGTTATTGTGAATCGGCTTCGAGGCAGACAAGATACACACACAGCCTTGCGCTAGAGCTTCTTCAATTGGCTTGCTTGATTAAACGCAGTCGTGATCCGAAAAGACCAGGGAAAGAATAGGGCGGATAAGTAAGATAGAACAGAAAATGTTACACGGATGCTTTCACCCTCTTTTCCCGTCAACCCTTACCAGCCCAGTCACACTTGACCATCGAGGCGAGGTGAGCGAGGGCCGAGCCCTTTCATCGCATGCGTGCATGCATCCAAAAGCATGACCAATTCAGCCGGGAAAGCAAAAATGCCGGATTTGGGGGGGAAAGAGGGGTTTATTTCACCATCGACATTTACCCGATCGACCTATGGGGAGGAAAAGCTGGAGAAGGAGGGGAGGCGGGCTTCAGCGCAAGCAACGAGCGCAGCCAGCCAGCCAGCCAGCCAGCCATTCAGCCACAAGATGGATGGTCAGGGGGATGGATCGATGGATCGATGTATGGCACGACAACCGGCACGGGTAAGGGGGACCTCGAGGCGAGAGGTTCCTCCGTGGCAAAATGGGACGGGGAATGAAGGAGGGGGAGAGGTGGAGGCATGTGATAAGTATGCTCGATGCGGTGGTACCAACCAAGTGATCCGTTCTCAAAAAGAAGAGCAGCTCGTGAAGGAGACGGCCAGTCTGTGGATCAAGACAAAAACTACATATGTGTGGAAGTACCGGTGCAACCTGGTATTTGCAGAGCGCGTTCGTCCTCCGCATTCAATCCGGCTGTGTCGCTGTTAAGCAGTCCGCTTCTTAAGAAGCTCTTCCTTTCAGCACGATATCGCATGTTGAAACATCTAGACATTTGCATTAGGGGATGAAAGGGAATCGCTGCGTCGCGATTGAGGCTGAGAAGGTTGGATATCTACTTTTGAATTCTCATTCATGCTACCTGGATGGTCTCTCAGGCTGGATCTTCTGTTTCACCATGCGGTAGGAAGCATCAAGCTACCATCCTAATGTCATATCTACCAGAGTCTTCCAATCTCTACCATAATTGTCAGCCATCAGTCCTCATACCAATCTTGCATGTATCCGAGGTCTAAATGACCTGCAATATCTCCAGTCCTCAAACCAGACCTCAAGATATTGTTTCCTTGTCCATGGCGGTATTGATGTGGAATCCTCAGAGCTTTCATACGACATCGGCATAGAGAGGTGAATGGTATCGTAGAACTCGCTATTCATGGTTCAAGAGTAATGAGTTCGAATGCGCTTGGTCCGTATTGACACAAACATCTGGATATGTCTTCGAGGAAGTCGAGCACCATATCGGGAATGCAAGACGACTTCACTCATCAGCTCGGCCAGTTCTATTCCACCGCCCGTTTGCAGTGCCATTCATAGGCCAGTCCGTCCAACGTGGCGAATCTCCTGAATCATGACCGGTACCATTGTGGCCGGGCCTATGTCCTTGGCTGGTACCATTGTGGCCGGGCCTATGTCCTTGGCTGGTACCATTGTGGCCAGGCCTATGTCCTTGACTGGTATCGTTGGAGCCATGCCAATGTCCATGATGCGACGCAGAGGCAGCGACAAACGGAAAGCCTCCAGCCTGGCCACGATCCAGCAAGATGGAATTGTTGGGCAGTATGACCGCATCCTCAATATATCCAAGGACAACCGTTGTGTTCGAGGCATCCCGAATAGTTCCATCCGGCAGCTCACGACATAGAGGAATGTTCCATTCGTTGACGCAAGGGACAGGATGCTTGAAGATACAGCTGCAGTAATAGTCGCACCAAGTCACACCTTGATTTTGTACGGTGGAAGTCCGCATAACCGTCATGTTGTAACCACAGAAATATCCCAGATCCGATTGCTGGCAGAAGCTAGGACCGTCCGGGACATTGCCGCAGTTGAGAGCGAAAGGACTGGAGGATTGGCTTGGAACACCACTTGGAGGGGCAACGGCTGTAGAGTCTGGACTCTCATCTTCAGTCGCAGACATTTCCATTTGTCTTGAATGTTGCTCGAAAGGACTTGGGCATCGGCAGCTGTGAGTGCATTCAGGAACGTCGGTACCACTGTGAACAAGAGTTCGTAGAACAGTATCCGTCTGTGCAACGCATGAATAGCCTTCCTCTCGGCAGTGGTCGGTAAGTGATTCATCGGAGCTGCCGGGCGACGAAGAACAGGTCATCCCAAAGGGAGATGGGACAGTCGCGATGCCATTACTTCTGCGCTCTGCACGGGCTCTTGGCTTCTGCCGCAATGGAATAGCAGACACAAGGGGTTTTGATGGCGGACAAGCGCAACCAGCTTGGCAAATAGCAACGACATCCTTGGGACGCTGCAAGACATAAGCCGGCCCAGGCTCAATGGCACAACTATAGCCCTGATTCTTGCAGTACTCGGTCAAAGTCCAATTGAATGACCATTTACCTTTGACAATCCCATCGTTCGAATCGCAGTAAAGTAGAATGTCCTGAATGGTCAAGCTGGGTGTTGGGGAGGGCTTCTTCGGTGGAGTCGGTGCTACATCAAACTCGCTTCCTTGACGCTTCCAAGTTGGCGAGGGGCACTCACAAGCGTTATCGCATGCCTTGATGTCCTCCGAGCCAGGCTGTAAGGTCAAGGTCGAAGATGCGCGTCCTGGATCGCTAGTGCATGAGTAGCCATGGGTCGCGCAGAATGTGGTCAGGTTCTTGTCAAACAGCAGTCCGCCAGCAGGATATACTTGAGTGGGCTGCTGCGGCGACTTGCATATGATATGGTATGGGTCGGCTGATACCGCGGCCAAATCTCTCGTAACCACTTTGCGGAAGTCCAATGTACCATTAGGGTAGGTATATGCATCGCTAACCTCTCCCAGGAAGGTTCCATTCTCAGTGTAGACCATCTTGCCTTTGGTCAGGCATGTAGTGAGAAGGGCTGCATTTGGAAAGCACTGAATTGATGGCGCGATATCCCAACAGAAACAGTTTTCTTCGCACCAGGCATTAATGGCGCCTTTGTTGTTCAAAGCACCCTTCGAAGTGCAGTAATACTGGGCCTTCGAACCGCACCGAGCGGTGTTCTCGCGGTCTTGGCATATCAGCCCGTAGTTGTGACGCTTCGCAAGTGCTTTGGTGGACGTAAAACTCAGACTGCCATTGGCGAGGACTTGGGCGTCCGAGAGGTTGCCGATGACAGTACCATTGACCGTGTCAAAGACCGTATCATGTTTGACTCCGCAAGGTACATACTTGACTTCAAGAAGGATGCACGGTTTCGGGTTGATGTTGACACAAGTGCAGTGGTCCTCGCAAGCTGTTTCAGCCTGGCCTTTGTGCTGCACCTTTCCTAATGCATTGCAGTAATAGCCATGTGCTGAGGCCTGACACAACCCTGTAAGAGTACGGTCGTAACAGACTAGTGCTTGGTCATGGCTGAGTCCCGTATCACGCTTTGCAATTGCTGTGGTAAGGTCCAGGGTGCCATTGGGAAGAATGCTCGCGTCGGAGACATTACCAAGGAGCCCACCGGTTGTGGCATTCAAAACCATGTTATCAACAACTGAACACTGTTTGATAGCTTTGTTGACCAGACAGGACTGTGGCCCAGGTAGGAGATTCTGGCATTTGCAAATGTCGTCGCACAAAATATCCTTCGATTTGTACATAACCTTACCCGAGGAGCTGCAAGAGTAACCGATAGATTGACACATAGTGGTCCATTCTCTGTCATCGCAGACCAGGGCATAGTTGTGGTGGGCCTTGTCTGCATCTGCGTCTCGACGCGCTAGACCGGAGCCATTGCCAGGGAGCCCACCGGTTGTGGCATTCACAACCATGTTGGTTACACCTGAACATTGTTTGATGGCGTTGTGAACTATACAGTTCTTTGGCGCAGGTAGGAGATTCTGGCATCTGCAGATGTCGTCGCAGAAAGAGGCCTTCTGTGTGTACGTAACCCTGCCCGAGGAGCTGCAAGAGTAACCGATAGATCGGCACAAGCTGGTCCAATCTTTGTCATCGCAGACTAGTGCATAGTTGTGATGGACCTTGTCTGGGTCTACGTCTCGACGCTCTAGATCGGAAACATTGCCAGGGAGCCCACCGGTTGTGAGATCGGAGCCATTGCCAGGGAGACCACCGGTTGTGAGATCGGAACCATTGCCAGGGAGCCCACCGGTTGTGGCATTCACAACCATGTTGGTTTTACCTGAACACTGTTTGATCGCTTTGTGAAGTATACAGTTGTTGGGCGCAGGTAGGAGATTCTGGCATCTGCAGATGTCGCAGAATGAGATCTTCTCTGTGTACGTAACCTTGCCCTTGGAGTTGCAAGAGTAACCAAAGGATCGGCACAAGCCGGTGTAATCTTTGTCACCGCAGACTATTGCATAGTTGTGATGGATCTTTTCTGGGTCTGAGTCTCGACGCTCGAGAGTGGACAAAGTGTTGACCGATGAGTGAGAGGGGACTATGTCATGTGAGGGACGAACTGACACCTCCTTGGAAGCAGTCAGGGTGGGAGCGTGATAGCCATGGTGAGAGGTGGGTGTGTGATGCCAGCTGCTGACAACAGAGTGGTGGCCTTTGGTGCGGTGAGTGCCTTGAAGAGGACCAGCATTGAGGAAGCCAGCAAAGAAGCAGAGAATGACCGTGAGATAGAGGAGTGTAGCTTGAGGCCAGCCTGGAAAAGTGTCAAGTTAGTTCACTTCCTCTGTATCATGATCGGGTGTTGACCCCAAACGCACCTTTCATCTTGACCTCCATGACGGTGGCCAAGAAGCTGCTGAGCTCAGTGGCGAGGGATATCAATCAGCACCAGCGGCACCGAGAAAGAGCAGGAAGAGGGGTTGTGCGAAAGAACGACTTGATGTAGAAGAAGCGATTGATGAGGAAGAAAACAGCGAGGGTGATGAGGAAGAGGAAGGGAATGAAGATGAGACAAGAAGCCTTTTGTGCGATGAAATATCAAGCGACAACGACTGTCACTTGGCGAAAGAGTCACCAGGTCGACATTCACTTCGCCCAAATTCACCAGTCTGTCACCTTTGGGTGCGGCAGCGGCATCAAAGTGAAAACAGATCAAAACTTAGGTCAACCACTGCCCTTCACCGCGCTGTCTGTTGTCACTTTCGAACAACTCCCTGCGCCCGCAGGTGTGAAGCCGAAATCATGCCCACCCATGGCCACCGCTGATCTCTGTAACGACTCTCTTATCCAAGTGTCGTTGTCTTCAATGCCTTGTCAGCTGCACCGCCATCTTGCAGATTCGACTCGCGATGTGTTCCAGCATATGAGTGATATAACTTGCTGCCGAGCACAGTCCATCCACCAGACGTGTCTGTATTCTGTTTACCCCAAGGCCAGATGTGAACAGTCCATTGCCCCTACCTACCTAGGTACTCTTGAGCCAAAGCCTGCAAGGCTGCAGCCTTGTCCTCTTGGACAACGACTGATGGCCCACGACAATGACGATGACAGCCTTGTAAGCAATATACAAAACAGGTTAGAAACACACCCAAAGGCGCCACCTGATGGCCGGATTCTTTCCGTTCACAAAGGCCGGCCGGAGCCACCCAGGACTCCAGGAGCAGCGAGAAATGAGACTGGTTACCTAATCCATCAAAGTCTGGTATGGTTTGGTCAGCATGCTCGAGGCTAAGGCTCTATATATATTGCGTCCATATTCTCACCTGAGTCCAGTGTATTCCCCCAAAGCCTTCTTCAATCTTCGGACCAAATCTCGGAATTCTGTACCTGTATCCCAGTTCTATTAACCTTTCTCAGAAAAAATGGGCGACGCTGGTGCTGCTCCCCTTCCATCTCCCTTCAAGACCTGGCACAATGATACTTATCCGGCCATTGACCCTTCACGCCCTGAGCTTTCGCTCAGTGGGAAGACGGCAATCGTGACTGGAGGCGCTGGTGCAATCGGCTCTGCGCTCGTCAATGCCTTCGCAAAGGCAGGTGTCAGTCTCATTGGCATCGTGGGACGTACACAGAAGACCTTGGACGCCACCAAGGCCAAATTCGAGTCTCAGTATCCAAATACAAAGTTCCTCGCCGTGACAGCAGATACGGCTTCTCTCTCAAGCGTCGAAGCTGCATTCAGATCTATACAACAGCAGGCCAACAAGCCGGTCGACATTCTTGTCCACAATGCCGGCCATCTCGCCGAACCCGCGACAATCATGTCCTCGGATCCCAAGGAGTGGTGGACGTCTTTCGAAGTGAACATCCTAGGGGCTTTCCACTCGGTGCGAGCCTTCATCCCTGTGGGATCTCCTACAGCGACCATCGTCAACATCTCGACGGGGGCGGTCCATGCCCCAACAGACTTTGTAGCCAATTTGTCAGCGTACGCGGCCTCCAAAATAGGTGCTCTCAAAGTCTTCGAGTTCGTCCAGGCCGAGAACCCGGACTTGCACGTTGTCAATATTCAGCCGGGCGTCATTTCGAGCGATATCAATCGCAAGCATGGGGCCATGCCACCAATGGATACGCGTAAGTTCCTCTCCCCTCTCAGCTCTTTCGAATTGAGTGAACGGCGCAAGGAGCTGAAGTCATCCCCGCTCCCGCTCTGGCTCCCTACCTCGTCTGAGATCCACATTGGCTAACACTTTCTGCTATCATTCTGCAATATTAGCGGACTTGCCAGCTTCATTCTCAGTCTGGGCATGCAGCCCCGAAGCCAAGTTCCTGAAGAACAAGTTTGTCTGGGCGAACTGGGACACGGACGAAATGAAGGCCAAAGCTGACGAAATCGCAAATTCGCCCGCTTTCACGATCGGTCTGAATGGGTGGCCCGTGTTGGCTTGAAAGCTCGCAACCCCCTCCTGTATGTAGCTAGACATGTAAGGGAACAACGAGTGTGAGCAAGCACTGCGCGTGTTGTGTCTGTGTGTGGGTACGGCTCTTTTGGACAGCGGCACCAGGGCTGAGCCCCAGCCCAAACACGAGAAAAGCGGCCGTAGAGAATGTGTCCATGCTTGACGTTGAGTGTCAGATCTAGCAGTTGGGGAAGTCCAAGCCCGAAGCCGAAAAAGCGGAGTCCGACACCGCGGTCTGAGGTATTAGTTGTTTGCCGAGCAAAGTCGCACGGACATTACTCTACAAGGTACTAGGCTCTACAGAATGCTTACCTAGATTAACTAAGCCGGATCCAAACAACTCGCCGTCTGTCCTAGTCTTTTAGTCAGGCCAGCTGCACAAGGTCGATAGCTGGCAGTGCACGGTTCTCATATTCGTCCGAGGGACCTATACGAGGTACTCGCTGAACCAACCACCTGTTTCTTTTGTCAGCGATCTGACCAAAGACCCAAAAGATCTAGAAAGAGCAAGAGAAGGATCTGTTGTGGCCTTTTGAATTTGTCAGAAGTCAAATATTTCGTCCGTTCATAAGCTCTATCTCTATAATCATGGCCACGTAGTCGAATCAGACCACTTCATATCCTTGTCTATACATATTGCAGATTGTGAAGAAATTACAATCTTCGAATCGAGGCCAGCTCGGGCTCAATGAAAAGGCCGGCCCCGTCGCAACGGCCACCAACAATCGAACTTTTGTTTCCAAAGTTGTCCAACCATTTGACACCCAAGGATCCGCGTATACCGTCGGACCAAAATCCAGAAGAGAGAGTCAAAGTACGCGTGTGATTTTTAATGCTGTCGGCCAGAGGAAGTCTCTCCGCCTAGCCTTTTCAGTTCAAAGTCCTGTGTGTTGCTGCTCACTGGGGCCATGGGCGGGAATGGCTCAGGTTCATTGGAGCGAGATGCAATCGAGTCGGCACGAACTGCCTGTGAGCTGACTTTACCAGATCTCGCATCTAGAGGGCCAACGTGTGGGATGGGAGGAGCCTGGCCCTCTTCCGCCAGTGAGTCGCGCGGAAGATCAATGCTTCGACCAGTGCGATTAAAGCGGCTCAGGAACCGATTGCGATGTGTCTCGGTGCTGCTGATCGAAGCCCGATGATGGCCTCCGACGGACGCTCTGCTATTACCAGCAAAACTTTGAGTGGTTGAGCGCCGCAGAATTCCGCTCATCATGTGCCCTTCGCGAGACGTTGACCTTCCGTGGTCTTCGCGTTCTTGGGACTCTGACATCCTTCGTTCCTCTTCAATCCTGTTGGATTCTCGTATCACCTCTTCGAAGTGAGGGCGATTTCGGTCTTCGTACACATCCGAGAGTTGCTCTCCTGAGCTGACATCTTTCATACCCAACGAAAAGTCCACTCTCCTGGCCATGGCCGACAGAGACTCGCCTCTGGGCCGTCCCAGTTGGCCCGTACTAGGCCGCCGTCGCATGATCGAAGGGTAATGAAGCGGAGGCGCTCCAACTGCCGGCGTATGATGGATCGGATCCCCAGTGATACTTCCGGAAGCATGGCCATGCTGCAGACCGTTGGTGTCCCCGCCGATGAGAGGTGGAGCGCCCGGAGGCAGCTGCATAAAGTAGGGCACATCTGGTCTCCAACCAGCGTTATTACGACGAGGTCCTTCGATACCAATATCTTGCATAGCCACCATCAGAGCACAGATGAATTTGTTCCGTCGCTGAAGGCGAAGCAGTTCGTTTTGCCAGTTCGACTTGTAGAAGAACACGACATTCAAAGTGAGAGAATACGCTTCGGTCACGTCCCTCAGTTCGGTCAAGATATTTCCCTGGTACTCGCGCTTTTCAGATTTGACAAATTCGAGTAGCGAGTTGCGCAAAGCCTCGATTTGCTCCAGAGTGGTGCCGAATCTAATGACGATAGGAACAGCTTCGGCGAGACCTCCAGATCGCCGCATGTTCAGGATGAATAACGTGTTGAGATAGGAGTTTGGCGCTTGAACGATATGGCCTTCCATTTTCTTGAACTCCGTGTACAACAACGAGATTTCCTTAACGAAATAGTCATCCCCTTTCAGGGACGACCCGGTGTTGCCGTAGATTGAAACTCGGTCTCCAACGTCGAAAGGATGCTTGACGAAGACAAAGATGCAAGACTGAAGGAATTCTTGAGCGGTAGCGGAGAACAGCCAGGACAAAGCGAGGACTGCTGAGCCAGCAGAAGTCAGGACTCCGGCTGCCGAAGTGGAAATCAGAGAGATGAGGACCAGGACAGTGATGACGCCCACAACGAAAAACAGAACATCGTCAAGCTTGCTGACGACGGAGTCGAGGTCCTTGAGAGAGGCAGTGATTGATTTCCGTTCCCTTCCAATCTCGACACAGACCGCTTCAAGTTCCTCCATGGAGATATCCCCGTTCATGTCCTTGTCGAACATGCTGAAAGCTGCTTCAGCTTCCTCTTCGTTGTCAAAAGCCGCCTTCAGGTCTTCGGATGACACAGTTTCACAGCCCTCTCGCACGAATGTTCGATACAGGCGTCGAGCCAGAACCTGCGACCCGTTGGTGCTGTTTAGCAGGGTCAAGACAACCTGAGAAGGGTGGCCACTTTTTGCAATCTTCTTCCCAGTAAAATCACCTGCAACTGTACCAGCCACATCACCAACTTTGGCAAATGCCTTGGTGAGAGCTTCCTGAGCCTGAGCGGCATATATGGCGGGTGTTTTAGTCCCCGAGCCCGGTTCCACATGTTTCTCTTCGAATTCTGCGTCTTCCATGGCGATCTTGGCCTTGGAAAAGATGTACAGTTTCGTCAAACTGCCGATCTGGAATTTATTGATTTCGATGCGGTCGGCGTAGGTTCGCAAGTGGAAGGAAATAGCGATCAGTTGAATAATGATCTTCTCGATGAAATTCAAGGTCGCGCCCACGAAGACGGAGATGATGACCTTGTTGAGCACCTTTTCCCAATGCGTGGTTTGTTTGGAGCGGCCAACATGATGGTTAGTCATGGTGGGCAAGAAAGAGACCTCGACACCGAGCCACCAGAAGAAGATTGTTGCTGGGATTTCAAGGGCTTTGCCTAGATCTCGCCACTTTTTGGAATTGTTCGTGAAGAGACTTGAGACAAGACCGAGAGGATAAGGAATCATCCGGGCAGCGATACGGCCAGCCCAGAGCGTCAACCAGACGATTTCAAGCCATACACCAAACCAGATCAACTCAACGCCACCGACACTTGCGTTCTCGGCAGCAGGTAGGAATGCTCCAACCAGAATGGGAATCAGGAGAAGGGCAAAGACTGGGAAGATGTAGGTGAAGTAGCGAATGACGAAACTGGAGTGATGGATGTATTTGAAGAATTTGGCAATCTTTGTGGTGGGGTTTTCAGGCGGCTTGTATATGGCGGTACGTTCGTGGATAGGGTTCGTAGCCGTATCAAACTCATCGAGTGGTTCGGGTGCTCTCGACCTAGATCGATGAAGTGTTGCTGAATTCCGACCAGCCTCTGACTGCCGGGATTCTATTGACGTGAGCCGTTCAGCTCTCTGCACGGCGAGTTCATCCTCAAGACGATGAGCCTCCTCTCGCGTCCTGCTGGGGGACCGTGGGTCATCAAAGCGTGTACTTGTATCTCGACGCTGTGTTTCCACCTTCAATCGGTCGTGTAACAGTGTGCTGTCGACAGAACCTTCGTGTCTGTCATTTTCAACAGCCGTGCTATCGTCGTCGGAGGGCCTTTTGCTGGCAGGGTCGAACTCGAAGTGAGGCAGTTCTTTCTCAGGGGTGGTCATGTTGAGGAGACTCGAGGTCGAGAGGTACGGGTGTAGAGAGAAGCAGGACTCTTTCCTGGCCGAAGATCCTCCTCTTCACCCTCAAATATCATACATTAGAAGCCAACCAGCGGCTCTCTGGAGACAGGTAGCGAACGTGTGGGTGTATATGACGCAAAGAAATGGGGATGACGGCAGGTGGATGGAGTCACACACACACGCGTTGAAGTGTCAGAACTGGGGAAACGATGTCTGAAAAAAATACCAAAGAGGGGCTATGCCAGTCTATAGAATTGAAACGAAGGTGTATAAGAGGAGTGATGGAAAGGATTGCGTCTGTGACGGAGGCCGAAGTGCTGCAAGGGACCCCCTCTTTCTCTTTATGCATGCTGCAGGTCTATTCGGGTACTTGGCGAGCTGGGTACAAAATCAACTCTTCCTCGTGCTGGTAGTTACGTATGGGCGCAGAAATAAGCACAGGCACGAAAAAGATAGGTACCGAGTAGATACTGCGAAAACAGGAGCGATAGACAGGGATAGGCAGCCTTGGCTTTTGGGGACGGGTTTCTGGTGGGCGAGGTGGGCACCCCAAACGCCCCCCAAGCACTCCACAAGCGGATCCCCATCGCGAAAGAGAGGAATAGCCGCCTCGCATGGGCCCTAGGGCACCAGAAGCCATGCCCCAAACTGCCAAAGGTGCCGCCTAATCCCGTTTCCCAAGGCGGTTAACCCCTGGGAAAGCCGCCCAAGAGTCAAGACAAGTTGTTGGTGCTTGGTCTTTGCTGGGATTTTTCTGACAGTGGCACCAGTGGAGCGGTGATTGCCATCCATGGATCCCTTGTTGCATCATTTTTCATCTGTCGCCCCATGTCTCAAAACAAACTCAGATGTCGATCCTGCCAAACCGCGTTGTCATTTCGCCGGTTTCTCACGTTGATCGAGATTGAGACTGAGCCTTTTCGGACAGTTGCTGATGCGAATGACCGAGAGATCTAATTTGTGCATTATGCATAGCCATTTCTTCCTTGTACAGATGGACGTCTTGCTTTTATGCCGACAACTTGGCTGTTCTATTGAATTGGTTGGTTCTCATTGCAAGCGAATCGAGGGCCCCTAGGTAGGGCTCTAGCAGCATGGCTGACTTCGGCTATTGAGATCACCTTGCGGACTACGGAGTACTCGTACAGCTTTTTTCCCAACATATAAAATTTGCTAGGTATATCAGTATCGGGTGTCTCGAGCTCGCTTACAGTGATATCTACGAGTACCTAGGTACCGTAGGTACGCGAAAACACTGCAATCATAGAACGCTTCGTTTGAATGAAGCCACGCACAGAAGAGTACCTGAACCAGCTGCTTTAGCATCTTGTGGCGCTTTGGATGAGCAGACGCCGAACTCTTAACCAAAATTTTATCTGGGCCTCTTATCAACATGTGGCGCCCACCGTTGTGCCGCCATCGATTGTCTTTCAAGCCTTGTTTCATCTTTGACATGTGCTGCTTCTTAAGAGGCTTTAATTTGCTGTGGCCTTATCAATGCCAGGGTCCCCTCATACGACTAAAAGTCGGCGTCCCTGAAACAATGTCCACAGCCAGCCTTGCTGGACCACCCCCTGACAACTCGAGTACAATGTAATTATATTATAGGTGAGGGACCAGGCGGGAGAGCGAAGCAGCTTGATCGCCAACAGCATCTCGTACTCGTAGATCTTCAGGTCTGGGATCAAGAGGGTGTCAAAATTCAAAATGCAGCCGAGGCTCAGTCCTTCGCCAATTCCCACCGTTCCTGGAGATCACTGACAGATCTTCCATTGACCTACGGTATACGATTGGAGATGCGGATGGACAAGTCTGTGATAATATGTTTTCCATGTCCAGATACCTAAGTCACCAAGTTCTTTCTTGCACTGACGAGGTATTCGTTGTCAGCAACATCAACCGTCACGAGGGGTTCATTGCATCAACTCGGAGTGTGACAGAGTGCAGGTATCAAGGCAGGGAAGACAGACGGCAAAGGACGGAGCGGAACAGTTGACAGCTGCAGGTACAATACTGGGGACGAGGTGCATGGCGGCATGAACGGAAAAGTGAATGGATGGGCAGTTGATGGGGCAGTTGATGGGCAGCCTGAGTTTGGTTACTTGGTGGTTCTTGGCTTGTTTATCCTGTTCCCGTCTTTCCCCCAATCGGACGCGCCAATCGTAAACTGATACACACCACTTGACCATCCGCGCACTTTAGGCTTCACTCTCTCCTTCGTCCACTTCCTTGTCCTGTGCACCGACACATCTCGCACAGAGTCTGAGTCTGCGTTGGATAGTCTCGCGTCCCTTTTGTACATCTTTCTGTATCCTGTCCGCAGAAAGTCCACAGAATGCACGGGGAGGTAAGTTTGCCTGTGTTTTGTTTTTGTGTAACTAATACCCCTCTATTGTTCTGCGCCCAAAATCACCCACACCACCATACCTATCTCTACCCCGTTGTTTATCGAATCTCTGATAGTCCTCTACTATGACCCAGCACATACTGATCTTCTCAACAGGTTTGCCACCTGCATATCGGGCAGGCTGGCACTCAGCTTGGTAATGCCGCCTGGGAATTGTGCGAGCACCCTGCGCCCACCGCTACTTTGAATCACCATTGCTAATCACCTCACCCAGGTATCTCCTCGAACACGGCCTGAAGGCTGATGGCCGACCTAATCCCGATGCCAATGTTGGTGATGCTGGAGCCTTTGAGACCTTCTTCACCGAGACCAGCAACAACAAACACGTCCCTCGGTCCATTTTCGTCGATCTCGATCCTTCCCCTATTGATGAAATCCGAACAGGTCAATACAGACAGCTCTTCCACCCAGAGCTCTTGATCAGTGGTAAAGAGGATGCCGCAAATAACTATGCCCGAGGTCACTACACTATCGGCAAAGAACTTGTGGACGATGTTTTGGACAAGATTCGTCGCGTTGCAGGTGAGGAATAACACGGGTCTACTACGAGGTGCAGAGAAATACTGACCTTTTGCAAGACAACTGTTCATCCCTTCAAGGCTTCCTGATCTTTCACTCCTTTGGAGGTGGTACTGGGTCCGGTTTCGGCGCCCTGCTTCTCGAACGCCTCTCGGTCGACTATGGCAAGAAGTGCAAGCTGGAATTTGCTGTCTACCCTGCACCCCAAGTCTCATCGTCTGTCGTTGAACCTTACAACGCCGTTCTCTCCACCCACAGCACCATTGAGCATGCAGACTGCACATTCTTGGTGGATAACGAAGCTGTGTACGATATCTGCCGTCGCAACCTGGATATTCCTCGACCCGACTACGAGCATCTGAACCGCCTCATTGCCCAGGTCGTCTCCTCCGTTACTTCAAGTCTCCGCTTTGACGGTGCTCTGAACGTCGACTTGAACGAGTTCCAGACCAACTTGGTGCCGTATCCTCGTATCCACTACCCACTCATCAGCTACGCTCCCGTCGTTTCCACCAAGCGATCCTCCCACGAGAGCTTCAAGGTCCACGACCTGACACTCCAGTGCTTCGAACCAAACAACCAGATGGTCGTTTGTGATCCTCGCAACGGAAAGTACATGGCTGTTGCATTGCTCTACCGAGGTGATGTTGTTCCTCGCGATGCGAATGCTGCCATTGCCTCCCTCAAGGCCAAATCAAGCTTCCACTTGGTTGATTGGTGCCCTACTGGGTTCAAAGTTGGCATCAACTACCAACCTCGTAGGTTTATCATTATGGCTTGTTGGTTCTATTTTGCTAACACTTATATTTAGCCATGCCTGTCCCCGGCGGAGAGCTTGCCAAAGTCGACCGCTCCGTCAGCATGCTGTCCAACACTACCGCCATTGCCGAAGCCTGGAGCCGGCTCGATCACAAGTTCGACCTCATGTACTCGAAGCGCGCCTTTGTGCACTGGTATGTCGGCGAAGGAATGGAGGAAGGCGAGTTCTCCGAGGCCCGAGAAGACCTTGCGGCATTGGAAAAAGACTATGAGGAAGTTGCTAGCGACAGTCTCGAGGCAGAAGACGAGGCTGGCGCCGAGTATTGAGTGATTCAACCCACACCTAAGTCATATGACGACGACATGAGATCGGTGGAACATCCTCATTGGCAACCACACAGATACAGTCACTTGGCAGGTCACAGAGCTTCAAGTCATTTCACTCACAGGATGATTGATACCCGATGCTCTTTGGACTAGAGAAGCGAATTGTTGATAATTGTGCGCGGAGCGAATGAGACCCACGACATGAAAGCATGAGACGAGTCACGCCAGCGGTGTGTCGATAGCACAGACTGAAATATTGATTGGTACCATGGGAGCTATGGGAATTCTTGAAGAGTGGTGACGCTGTTCAATAAGACTGCAAGCTCATGGTGCCCTTTAAGTAGCGAATGAAGATCATCTGCCATCACTCGATGCCGAGAAGTACCTACCCAGGTAGCTGCCTTATTCACAGCCTCGTCCGAGTAACGCTCCCAGTGTCAGCCTTGCAGGTCCCGCGCACGTGACTAAGATGAAGGCATCTCCATTGCAAGTCTGCAATTCATCCCCTCCCTGCGCCGGTGTTAGTCCTGCATATGCTGAGACCCGACTAGTCGACATTTGCAGAGTCTCGCCTACCTACAATGGCTCCTTTTATTCCGGTCTTCATATAACCATCATGCTCGGGTCCACCATGTCCCTGGTAAACCCTTCTCCCCCGCCGGAACAACGGCCGGCTCTCCATCGTTCTCTGTCACATACAAATCCCTCGAACAAGAACGAGAACGCCTCAAGCCAACCTCAGACCGCAGAGCCGAGTGCTCGACCTGCTCGACCGCCGCATATCAGGTCGAGATCCTATCTCTCACCTGCAGACCCCAAACCCCGGAACGCAATCACGCTGCCCACTGCCACCAGCGCCTTTGAGAAGACGGCATCACGCCTCCACCTGCCAGGAACCTCACATCGACACCACCATAACAAGGACAAAGACCACAATTCTGGTGGCCATCAACCCTCGCAATCGCACTCGCATATATTACACCATAACAATGATTCGACGCACAGTCTTCCCTTCAGACGCCACCGACCAAGCCAGTCCGACGCACATACTCCCCGCCGATTTGCTTCAAAGGAAGCTCTCTCGACCCTCCCACACCTGGTCGCAGGCCTCAACGCCGAACGGGACAGGCGCGCACACACGGGAAATGTACCTAACCCGATAAATCCGACAAATCGCAGTGCTGGCGGCGGGAGTGGTTCCAATGGCACGGCTCAGCATGTCTTTGGTCCTTCTGCTGCCATGACCAGCGATTTCCAGGCAGGCGGCCGCTATGACTACAATACTTCCGGATATCCTGAACTACGCCGGCGCGCGACCTCGGATCCCGCCTCTCGTGACAGAATCCCCCACGCAGCTCCGGCACATCCCCTCCGCCCCAAGACCTCGTTCGAAGAAGCCCTCGATCGTGGCGACGCCGCCCGAGTCGCACGGCGCATCCACGTAAAAGTCGAAGATCTCCAGCGCCGTGACCAGGAGCTCCGAGAAGGCGAAGAAGAACTCCGCTCGCGTGTTGCAGAGATAACCGCCACGGGGGTGGAAATAACTCGTCGACTAGACTATGGGTATTACAACTTGCTCGAGAAAGTCGGAAACCTGGTCAGCATGATTGGTAGTTTCCAGTCACTGGCACGACAGAGTGGGACGTTGATAGGAAACTTTGAGCGCGAGAGTAAGAGAGTCGACGAAGATACACGCCGACGGGTCAAAACTCTACAAAGTGGGTTTGAGACGAGACAGGTGAAAGCGAGACAATTAACCGAGCGCGGGAAGAAGGCCAGTGACAGGGCCAGGGACCTGTCCGCCCGATTGGAAACGGCTCGAGCGAAAGTCGAGGAATGGGAGAACCGCGAAGAGAAATTCCGCAAGGCGTGGGACCGCGTGTGGGGGATCGTGTGGTGGACGAGCATTGCCGTCATTGTCATTGTGGTGGCCGTGGTGCTGGGCAAAGAATGGTATTTCCATGGCGATCCCGTGAAAGCAGGGTTGAGACAGCACGGGGAGGGGAATTGGAACCGGAGTCTCAGACTGGGCGGGAGAGCGGGTGGCGAGGAAAATGAGAGACTCCTTCGATTCAGTGAAGGCGACAGTGGCGGCAGCAGCGGCACCGTCAGTGGCGAGAAGAATGACACAGACACCGAAGGGAAGAAGAGGCTGAACGTGCCGGACGACGTGAGGCAGCTTCTCCTGGGCATTGCCGAGAGGAATCGCATCAGAAAAGACGCCTTCCCGGAGATTCCTAGCATGGTGCATGGTCGCACCTCCTCCTCTCGGTTGTTGGCCACAAGTCCAGAAGAAGACCAGTGTCGTGAGGACCCGAGACTGGCCAGCTTGGACGAGCTCTGATCGGCTTTGTCGTCGAATGGCATCGCGGATTTGGACTCCATGGCGACTGGGACGGGTCTGGGACATTAGGGATGCCCTGCCGCTGGTTTCTTGATGATATTTTTTGTTAATTTATTGGATGTTTTGTATAGGAGATACCCCTTATCTGTTTTGCTCGTCGATGAAAATCAAATTGCTTTGAATCTTTCACATTATCTAGCTAGGTGTCGAATCGACCCTTTTTACTTTTCTTACCTACTACTAGGTATGTAGATGCCACGCTCCTGAGTTATGGCCAGACAAGCTCAAAGAGAGAGAGAGAGAGTAGAGAGAGAGTAATATTTATGTGATGGGGCTCTTGGGATGCTGGGTCTATCTATCCACATTCCAGTACGGAGTGAGAGATGAGCAGAGCGGACCTCCTATGTAAATAAACCTACAGCTATCAGCAAAAAGTCCTTCCACTCACTCCCTTTCGGGACGAAGATTCGCCATTGATCAAAAAAAAAAAAGGAAAAGAAAAGAAAACACCAGGAACGCCCGTGGCTTGAGTGATTGGGATCCAAACACTGTCTAATGATTATTTAACCCTTCGATTTCCAGCTCCGTAGAGTATTCCCTCGCTTATTGGGGAAACGCTCGTTCTCCATCTGCGCCTTTGTACAGTGAAATATCGGATGAGGTGGCCGCCTGAGAAATTTTTGTAAGAGACCCGAGCTCGACTTGTTGAACGCAGATTGAAGGGTATGGATAGTGAGCACTGAGTATTTAGGGAGGGAGTATGACGGTAACGGTGATAGCAGTGGTGATGGATGGATGGAATGTCGTCAAGTTTGTCCTCATGCCGTGACAAGTTGTGAGAGCAAGGCTGGCCCTGGACGTCGTTCCAGCATAATCGGATATGAACCTATAAACAACGGGGAACAGCGAACCGCAGCAGAAGAGCCACGAAGATCATCCCTCATTCACAGAGAAGAGGGGAAGGTGGTTTGGATTGGATGATCATGGTATCACTCCAGAAGATCATCTGCTGGTCCCATTGACACCATTCGAAATCTTCGGTCCCACAACTGCTTTCTCCAGTGCCTGTAGAACATCCTTTTTGAGATCTGCGGCATCTTCGACACCGCAGGAAAGTCTGACAAGATCATCAAAGACGCCAATGGCCTCGCGTTGCTCCTTGGGAATGCCCGCGTGCGTCATGGCACTCGGAACCTCGCATAGAGATTCGACGCCTCCCAAGCTCTCGGCCAGAGTGAAGATGCGTGTTTGTTGACAGAATCTCTCTGCGGCGGCGTGTCCGCCTTTGAGACGGAAACTGAGCATCCCGCCACCCATACCGTCGCGATGCTGCTTGATTGCAATGGCTCTCTGCTTGTGAGAATCCAGACCAGGATAATTTACTGCGATCACATGCGGCGAGGCCTCGAGTGCTCGAGCAACAGCCAATGCGTTCGTACTTGCCTCTCTAGCTCGGAGATGCAGCGTCTTAAGCCCTCGGTGGGCAAGCCAGCAGTCGAATGGTGAAGGCACAGCTCCGATGGCGTTTTGGAGGAATGTCAGTCGTTCTTTCAGTTCTTCCGAGTTGAATGCAGCAACGCCCATCACGACATCTGAGTGTCCGTTGATGTATTTTGTCACGGAATGCACGACAATATCGGCTCCGTGATCCAATGGATTCTGCACGTAAGGTGATAAGAACGTATTGTCCACCACAACCAAAATGCCATGCCTGTGGGCGACTGACGCGACATTCCTGATATCGACGAGACTCAGTGTGGGGTTCGAAGGACTCTCGATCCAGATGAGCTTCGTTTGCTCCCTGATCAACTCTTCAATGTCCAGTTCAATAGATGGAGAAAATGTGACCTCAACTCCATGTGCCAGGGCCACTTTTGTGAAATATCGATGGGTGCCTCCGTAGACGTCCGAGACAGATATGACATGTGAGCCGGCTGCGAGCGACTGAAGAATTGTAGCCGTTGTCGCTGAGCCCGAGGCAAATGCCAGAGCAAATCGAGCGTGTTCAAGTGCGGCCACAGCTTCTTCGAAGTTGTCACGATTTGGGTTCGCGCTGCGACTGTACTCGTACAGCCCAATCGGCTTACCCACAGCTTTTTGTGCAAAGGTCGTAGACAAGGATAGAGGTTCGATGACGGCGCCTGTGGAAGGATCTAGGGGTGCACCAGCATGAACTGCGAGTGTGCCGAAGTTGTAGACGGGGGAAGGGGCTCGAGCAGGTGTGACTATGCCCCCATCTTCGTTGGTCAAGATGCGCTCGTTGGGTCTGAGAGGACGGGGCGAGAGAGGGACTTGGACTGGAACAGTCATGACGACCAGCGAAGTGAGATTCTTTCTGCTTTGTTTCCAGACAACCACAAACAACAAAGTGGCTGCGTGTTTTGGAGGACGCTGGATTCTTATTGCGGGGTTCAACGAGGATAAGCGGGATGTGAAAGACGGAGAAACAATACGGACAGGGACAGATAGGACAGATATTACAAGAGACACGGTGGAGGAGAGAGAGGCTATGTATTTATTCAGCACTATTTCATCCTGTTTGTAAGAAGAGACATTTTTCTCTCAGTGAATCCTATCTGATGGAATCCTCTCGTTTGGACCGCGAGTCATCCTACAAAATAATCAATCAGACAAAAGGGCGAGAGATGACGTGCTCGGCAGGGGACCCAGGCGCCGCCCGGGCACAACATGGGCAGTTTCTGCAGGCCTCAACGCCTAGAACAAAGGGTCCTCCACAGTTAAGGTTAGTGGCCCTTGTGCGCCCCTGGGCCCGCCTACGCCATTCAAAGGGCGTGATGACAAACTCATTCCAGGGGCAAGTGCAGTAGTCGCCGCTTAACCACGGCTAACCCCGCGAGTGCTTGGGCACTGCAACCACAGACACTGACCGCTGCTCTGTTATTACCTAAGTAGCCAATAAAAGCAGAACCCAGGGAGCGCGACGACGTTCAAAGAGACATCAGCTGGCCGGGAAATCGTCGTGGCCGAGCGCGGTTAGCCCAGTGAAGAGGCCACTGGAAGCCATCAAACAGTGTCAACGAGAAGCATAGCTTTCTCGGGCAGGCAAAATGCGCACAACCCCATTCAATCGGCTGCATTTTGTGTCACCACCAGTCGACACCGCCCAGCCCGGGCTCGCCCATTGATGCCTGAACCAGATTAGAAAAGGCTCTCTTTTCCCCAGGATCTGGATATAATACCTCGATAGAGTAGGGCACTCTATGCTCTACCACTGGGTCTGGCTCAGGGTCACCGGGTTTCCTGATCTTTGGGGGTGTTGGTGCTTGGTCATTCCACTTCTCGGCTTCGACCCTCACGTTGACTATCGTGCCTTCATCGAGATAGATTGGGTCGCCTTCAGTCTCCCAGACCCAGGTCTTTTCGGTCTCGTTGCTATTGACGGTTCAATATGGCGTTCGTACATGTTCTCTCCTTGGCTCGACTCACTAGACACAACCCTCGAAAAGCATGGTTGGGGGGACAAAGATATCGTCGAAGAATCGTGTTGTGACTGGACGCCGTAGATTTAGTCACCTCTCTAGGAAGGATGTTCAGTTCAGGACGTACTCCGAATGCCTTCAGGTGTACATTTCTGGATGACACCGGTAATGATCTCGCCCTTGAAGGGTCGAAACACTATCACTCGGAATTGAACTTTTTCTCCCTGTCAGCTCGCTCCAAGTGGGCGATAAGCCGAATCTTCATATACCATTGACATTGGCATTTCCCGTGCCATGACCGATCAAGCCATCAGAAGCTTTCAGCAGATCATACATGCAAATGCACAGCCCGACCTTCTGCACAACCTGACAACCTGGTCAGAAATTGAAGTAGGGATATGTGGGAGAAGCAGACTTTGTTGGAATATTTCTCGTTGATGCAGTCTTCAATGTCTTGTCGGGTGATTTGGTTATTCACAAATCCATGCGGCGGTATCTGGACCAGGTCGTCGAAGGTGGTCTGCTCAATTAGTATTCCAGATATTCCAGCCGGTCGGAGCAGTGGAGTAATCGTACGAGGATGAACATGTTCCTATGGTATACGCAAAAGGTTCCGTGATTGTGATTCAGACAGAAGGTATCGTAGCATATTCCGGAACTCAGACAGTCAGCATATGTATTCAAATTCGGTCACGATGAGAGTGAATTGTATGGAAAATCTTTCTCGATGTCTGAGCGACTTTGATGGAGCATCACTAATTACGGCGCCGCTTTTAGATCCCAGATCGGCTTGGCGGCTGCTTTACCTCCACGAGATCAACTTTGAGCGCGAATCCCGCTCCACTCCTTCAAGTTCTCCTCCACCTTGACTTTGCCAGCGCCGCCATTGCCATTATCGCCACTACTGCCGTCGCCGTCCTACATTTTATATCCAACCGCCCGCAAAAATGCCTTGCGCTTTGCTATGTCCGCTTCACTTTCGATACCTTTCGGACTGAAGCCATCCACAACGCCCAAGATACCCCGTCCCTGCTCTGTTTGTGCCACGATGACCTCCACGGGATTCGCTGTGGCGCAGTAGATGCGGCAAACCTCGGGAACGGCACGGATGGCACCGAGGACATTGAGAGGATACATATCGCGCAGGAAAATGATAAAGCTGTGGCCGGCCCCAATGGCCAAGGCGTTTCGCTGAGCCAAAGCGACAAGCTCTGGATCGGTTCCTGAATATCGGATCAGGCAGACGTCCGACGCTTCGCAGAATGCAAGGCCGAATTTGGCCCCCGGGACAGCGTTGAATATAGCTTCATGGAGGTCTTCGACTGTTTTGATAAAATGGGAGTGGCCCAGGATCAGGTTGAGGCCTTCGGGGTTATCGATGAGGACGGTTTTGAGTTCCATGGCTTGCTGCTAGGCTTGACTCTTGAGATATCGCTCAACACCCTGGACGTAGCAGGTTTTCGCACGTATCTTATACCCAGGGGGGTCTCAAGTCACGATTGAAATCAGGTGATGTTTAACACTCACCTGTTTCCATGCCAGATTCCCACAGCGTTGGCCCAATTCGGCGCTTGATCATGATTTAGAGTGCATCATTGCGTGACAGACTGGCTCCGATGGCCTAGACTTTTGTGTCCCAGGCGGCAGATATTATAAGGGCCGTACCTGCGTGCGCATCCTGTTCGATGCATTTCTCGCTTTCCCGGGCTCTAGAGACGAATACTCATCTACAGAACCGAGTCTGTGGCAATGTCAAAGCCCGTCACATTGGCTATCGATACAGCAATGAACGATATATTGGTCCTCTTGGTGAAGTAGACTTTGAAGTACGAAAGACATTACGGGCAATGGAGCTGTCGAGCTATCTCTAGAGCGAGTCTCGAACAGAAGGTGAACCGAGGATGAGCAGAGCGGCGAGGGATTTGGCCACAGTTCTAGCCTTGCCTTCCTACTCAGCCTTGTGCGGGCGGTAGCGAGACAAAAATTTGGATCGGCGACACTGCTCGACCTGGCGGGCGTCCACCCATTTCCAAGCTTCGCTGTTTGGGTACAAAGGTAAAGGTATTCATATCTGGTATCGCGTACCTGAATGATGCAAGAAGTATCTTAGCTGCGAAGCCTCCACTTGTCGTTGCACGTTCGGATGTCAAGCCAGCCATTTTCCTTCCCTCCTCCGCCTCCACCTCCTCCCAAGCGATCGGAAGGCGCTTACCAGCAGAACCAAACCTTTCAGAACGGCCGAGGCTTATTTCGAGGCGGTCGTTCTTACAGAGGACATGCAAGAGGGGGCCGTGGAGGATATGGAAGCAATCGTCCAGGACCGACTCCATCGTCCACAGCGTACGGTCAGAATCGGCTACAGAAACCGTTGAATAATGGTGCACAAAGGGGGAACTTTCTCAATGGTCCCCAGAAGCGGGATCACAGTACTGCATTTGCCCCAGGGCATCAGCATCGCCCGCGTCCTACAGCTGCGCCCGCGGTACCTAGCTTTAATGCCTCGATCGAACACCTGCTGGCGCGCGGACCATCCGTCGATCAAAATAGCCAGAAACCACCCGAGCCCCACAAAGTAGAGCCCAGGAAACATAATGTTCTCGGATTGACTCCTGCAAAGTTTGACCGAGATTCCGATCCAGAAGACGACGAAGATGAAGAACAGCGCCTGGCGAACAAAGCGTCATCGGGCGTGGGTGGTTACATATTCGAATACAACGGAAATCCTCTCGCTCTACGGACTCGACAAGAGATATTGACTTGGCTTGCGGAAAGGAAACGGCGCTACCCAACACAAGCAAGGGTAGCGGTGGCAAAGAAGGAGGCGGAAGAGAAGAAGCGAAAACGGGAGGAGGAACAGAAGGCGAAACGGGAGGCTAGGGAAGAAGTTCAGGCCAAAAGAGAGCAAGAAAGAGCCGAAAGACTCAAAGCCATCGCAAAAGCGAAACAGCGACAAGAACAAGACCGGATCTTGCAGAGTGGCGAGGAGACCGCAAATACAGATAATGTTGCCGCTCGGGCAAAATTAAAGGCTGACAAGCTACGAAAGAGAGCTCTCAAAGCGCAATTGGAGTTGGAAAGAGCGGAAGAAGCATTGCGGCTTGCCGAGATGAAGGAGGTCACATTGAAATCCTCGAGTAGCGCCACGATACCCAGTCCACATCCTACCACCGAAGCCGTCGACGTCTCGGCCAACTCGGATGCCACAGACTCAGATGCCACTTCATCCTCTGGTTCGTCCACGAGTTCTGGTTCAGATTCCGACACAGATTGCGGTGCTAGGTCTGATTCAGATTCGATTCCTGAAGTAACGAGCGCCAAACAGGCGTCTCGTGCTCAGGCGTCTCTTCCGCCGGCATCACGGTCTGCAAGACCTCAAGCACCCCAACTCTGCAAACACTTTGTTAAGTACAAAACTTGCAAATGGGGGTCAAGCTGTCGCTATTCGCATGACACGACTCGAAAGGGCGGCAGAAGCGACCCTGTGGCACCCACGAGTCAGCATAAACACCCTACAACCACTGCTGCCGGCAACGTGAGGAGGAAAGGATTGTGGCAGGTCATGGTGGATCAGGAGCGAGAAGAGAGTAGGAAGCGCCTGCTAGGTGCCATCGTAGCCCTGGGAGAAAGGGGACTGCTTGGGAGTCCGTCACAGAAGGTAGACGGCACTGGATAGGTGTGCAAACGTTGCTTCCAGACTCTTGTTTTATTACCCTAGCATATTTCTACAATTCAAGTGTTTCATGCACTCACCAGCCTTGTGGCCATCTTTGTACCGACTTTATAGATCATTTGTATTCCTCCCGCACACAATCCCTCCGAAGCACACGCGCCAGAAACTCCCGCGCTTCCGTGCCCTCCCTGATCCCAAGCCCAGGCGCCCCGCCCGCCAGAGGGAAACAATGCATCTGGCCCTCCCAGACCAACCACCTCCCCCTGACGCCGAGTCCCTTGCACTTGCGCAGGAACTCGATCGCGTCCGGCGCCAGCACGTCGTGCGTGCCCACGACCCCGTGCACGTTCACCCCTCGATCCTTCAGCGCGTGAAACGCGACGTCGGGTTGGAGGAGGGGCGAGACGCTGGGATCGGCAAGCGGGAGAGGTTCGTGGTGCGCGGAGGGTTTCTTCTGGGGGTGTTTCTTCCCCGTCGTCCAGACCTCTGCGACCTCTCGCGTGAATCCGGCCGTCAGGACCGGGTCGAGTTTGTCCGCCTTGCGGATGTCTGGGTTGCTGTTTGTTAGGTCTGTGGGAGGGGAGATGCTGATCAGGGATCTGAGTGGGAAAGGACTCGTGCTTTGAGTAGTAGTAGTAGTGGTTCCGTTGGCTCGGTTGGTCTTGGTAGGGTCATCGGCGACCGGCGGGCCTGCTCTCTGTTGTCCCTGTTGCTGTTCTGACGGTGGTGTGAAGACATATTCCTGCGCAGCCCAGAACCCCAGACTCAGCACGACGTTCCCACCACTGCTGTCGCCCATCAAACTCAGCGTTTCGCCACCTTCCACCGCCTCGTCCATGACCTTCTTCAGCCAGTGTCTGAGAATCCGCAGACTCGCGCTCGCCGGGTTGGTGGGTGCGAGCGGGTAACTCACCAGGACCGGCTCGATCTCGGTTTCGGTGTCTGGATGGTGCAGGTCATGACTATCGTCGACGTCTGGTTCATTGGAATGATGATGGCTCGCGAGATCGTGCGTGAGTTGTGCCAGGAAGCGCCAGTGCTCCGGCGCAGGAGGGGATTGGAATCCACCGCCGCAGAAGTAATAGACGCGGTGGTGCTGGTGTCTCGTAGTATTAGTCTGTCCATCACGCCGACCAACACCCCCGTCCACTGCAGCCTTGTCCTTGCCGACGGACCTTGACCCTGGCCCCTTTCCCGGCGCCGCGCGGAACCGATACATCCACACACCCTCCTCACATTGCATCTCCGTAATCTCGACGTCCCGTTTTCGGGGGGGTGACAGACGCGGCGACCCCGTCGGTTGCGCTGCACCCTTTGGCCGCACGAGACGAGGACGCAGCGGCTTTATCACCGCGCGCAGCACGCGGTACAGGACAGAGAGATCCGTGCGTGTGGTCACTTCCATACTGCCGGGGGCCTGCGCCGCCGTGGCCGTCGTGAGATCAGCCGCTGGTATATCAGTCGAGGGTCGGGGAGAGGGTGAATGTATTTCTTCCCGGACACCAGGATTGGGCTGATGGGCTTCTTGTTGTGCTTGAGACATTGATGACAACTTTCACGTGGTCTGATCAGGGTTGTATTGTGTTTATGTATGCTTTGTTCTGTCCTCGTCTCGTCTCGTCTCGACTGGTTCTCTCTCTCCTCGTCCTTTGTCCGTTATATAAGAAAGAACCTGGAACCCTGTATCTCCCATTATACCATCCTAAGATCCTGGGTACCTAGGGGGCATATTTCGAGACCCAGGCCAATGTTAATTTGAGGACGCCAGACGAAGTGCAAGACCAAAAAGGCAACAAGAAATTTAAGGTAGTAGATGTCCAGAGTAACGGAAGTTGATCAACGGTCCATGCAAGATGATAAACCCAGCCCGCAACAGAACCTACATACTATGGATTTCCAGAGCTTTTCATATATGATATACTCCGTCCATCGCTGCTAATAATGTATCCATGACTCCGTGCCCAGTTGGCTTGAAGTTCCTGCCTTCAGAGCGGGTATGTTGAAAACAAACAAAGTCGTCGACGTCATGATTCAAGATTCATTGCACACCCATTCAATCCCTCGAGATCCGGACTCTGTCCCCCGTACCCCGGACCTATATCCAGACAAGCCTTGCATGATCCTAGCTGGAGCCTTGATTACCGAAATGTCATGTCCAGATAACGATCGATGTCCATGTACGCTGCGTAACGCCATGCTGCGTGTCCCAAATCAATCCATTGGGATTCATGAACCAAACATACACACAAATCAATGGAAAAGTAAGTCCCCATTACCCTTGGTCTTCCTTAGCCACACAGCCACTCAGGCGTTGCGATTGTTTTTTGAGTAAAGCGCGCACATAGTCTGTCCATTCTCCCATAGCACTCCTGTGCCCCATGGATCTAAACGTCGCCCTTACCTTCCAGCATGTGCATCTCGATCCAGCTTTCATTGTAGCCACCCCACATTCGCGTCTCTGAAATGGTTCACCATATACCTGTCGACTCTTGGTTGATTCATATGCCCAGACAGCAGAGATGGGTCGCTGTGCTGAAAGGTAGATGCTGACCACGTCTGAGATCCTCCGGGAAAGGCCGTGAAAGGCAAAGGTTGCATCGCACTCACAAGGCGGGGCGTTCCAGTGAGCATGCCTTGGCTTTGGGAAGACTGCCAATGCTGTTGCTCAAACGAAGGCGACATAGCAGGGGCTGCCAACCAATCCGCGTTAGTCGGATGGGAGGGAATCGAGACGTATCCAGAGGTGCCTAGAGCTCCAAAAGTTGACTTGGAGTCACCATACGTTGATTCGGGAGGTGCAGCTTCATCGTTTCCGGCCTCTCGCATGTCCCATTCGTGGTAACCGGGTAGGGCCCAAGCAAGAGAAGAATATAAGGTTGGTTCGGGTTGCGTGGTCTTTTGTAGCCCTGGTGTATTTACATGGGGATCCGTGGCGGAAACTCCAGAATTTGCGTGCAAACCACGTCTAAGACCACACCGAGGAGGATGAGGTAGCTTGGCGGGCCTAGATGCTTCAGCAGGAGGCAGTCTCTCTCCAGACAATGGGACGGATGAGGAAGATGCGTTTGGTTCAGAAAACCCAGAGCCCGAAGCAAATTTCCTCGACGCTCGACGTTGCGATGTTCCCAAGCGCTGGCGTGGGCGTTGCCTCGCCCCCCAAAAGGGATACACGGGCGGGTAGCAGCGACATTGAGTCACGCTGCTTGTATTCGTTCCACATTTATAACAAAACCGCGTACCGCACGAGCACTGAATCTGGTCGCAGCCGTCAATCCTCTCGACCAGATTTTTGCAGCTAGGGCATTGTTTCCATAGCTTGGTTTCGGCAAGTTTGCGATCCCTTTCATCCATCAACTCTTCAAGATTCTTGCAGGTGGTCCCTTCAGCCCCGACATGGTCGTCGTGTCCTTGTTTGCATTCGACACAGGTCTGGACACGGCACTTGGTGCACGAGACAAACTTTTCCTTGTTGTCCTGGATCTGACTCGAGGGAATCCAAAGACTGCAGAATTTGTTAGAGCAATAGACCGGGTCGCGAGTTGAGTATTCTTCAAAAACGTTGAGATAGCGGGAGAAGACTTCTTCGTCAAGATGTGGTTGGATTGAGCCTATATCCACGCGTGGCCACGAGAAGCAGCATCTTGGCGGCCAGGACATTTTGTTGGCGGTGCCAGCTCTGACAAGTTGATTGAGACATGATCGGCAATAGCTATGGCCACAATCAAGAGATATGGGAGCCGCCACTTCATCGAAGCATGCCCGACACTTCACGGGATCGCCGTCTCCAGGACTACACAATTCGCTGAGCATCAATCTGCGTCTCTGTCTGGTCCTATTGGAATGCGAAGGATTTGCGCGTTGTTTGAGCATTTCCTGGTGATTCTCTGGAAGCCTGCCCGGCATCACTTCTGCAAGAGTCGTATCTCCAACAGCGACCTCAGTATCTGGCAATGGCGCACCAATGCGGGCGGGGCTCAGATCAAGATAGGGCCGGCTCGTTGTTCTGGGGCTTGAGTTTGCTGTCTGTTCAGCCATTTCAATGTCGAACAGAGTCAAAGTGTCCGATTCACCCCTCCAGAAACTGAGAAACTGATTCATTTCTTCCTCCCGGAGCCTGACATTTCGCTCACTCGCTGGAGAGGCCGGTCTCGTTCTGCGCAAGGTGACAGTCGATCTGGCCGGGACTTGCTTGTCCAGGGTTGTCCCAGTACCAGGGTCTCGGGAGGTCTGGACAGTGTGACGCTCTGTGCGCTGTCTTCTTGCAAGCAGCGCATTTCCGCAACGCATGGCGTATTGTATCGGAGGAAAAGACGGTGAAGAGACGAGGGTCGAGCAGATACCGGCGTTTGGAAGACTAGAGGGCAGAGTCTGCAGGTGGCAGACACGAAGACGTAGTTCGAAGATGCCCAGAGGATGGCAGGTAGCTCTTCTTTTGGCTTGGTCAACGTGTATTGTGTGAAGTTCAGCCTTGTGAGGCTAGAGTGGACAGCCTCAGCTGGTAACGCTGCATGGGCGGAAGATCTGTCGGTGGTGAGCATGGAAAGGGGAATGGATAGACCAGGGTCACGGTGCCAGAGATATCGAGGCAGTCAAATATGGGCATGGACACAGTTGACGAAAAGAAGGGAATCACGAAGTAGATGGACATGTCACTGCGGTCGTGTAAGTAGGGCAGTGGTTGACGTCGATTGGCGGGGAACTTGAAGGGACTGCAGGTGCCAGCAATGCCGTTGTGCTGCCTGTGCTGCCTGTGCCTGTGGCCTGTGGCCTGTGCTCCCCTTTGCTAGGTACCTACCTAGGTAGGTACCCTTGGCGGATAAAGAAGAGTCATTGCCTGGTAAAACCTGCTCGATCCTCACGTGCGACTCAGCCTCGAGCATGCCGCTTTGATCATCACTCACCCACCCTCTCATCTTCACACTTGCTCGTACCAAAGCCAGTGGCTACTAAAGAAGAGACTATATTAAAGGGGGGAGTGCACAGTACCTCGCTTACGCCCTCACCCCGGGATATATCCGGTATATCCACTCGCTATAGCCGTATTTCCTGGATACCAGGTACATGGCCAACATGCTAGGTGATACACGAATCAACCACCATTATACAGTCAATCAGAGGGGTATATTGCAATTAAAATTATCCCGATAGTGGCGGATGTCGGCGAGTTCCAATATGTTGATGTCCTTGGTCAAATCCCAATCAGGGTATATATAGGGGCCGTGTAGCTGTCCTCGCTTTGCTCTGAGAGATAGAGATACCAGAATCCACACCCTTCAGAATGGAGACCGCAGTAAATGAGAACGACCTGCAGATTCCGGTACGCTACGAAAGTCGGTCCACATGCGTTTGCTCAGTAGCTAATATAATTCCAAAACAGCTCATTGACATTTCATCCTTCGAGTCGGGAGACTCTGCGACAAAACTCGCAGTCGCCAAAGCCCTCACACATGGGTTCCAGACATCTGGCTTTGTGTACCTGAAAAACCACCGTATCCCGCAATCCGAAATCGACAGCCTGTTCTCCACCGCGGCCGCGTTCTTCAACAGACCCCAGCACGAGAAGAATCAGCTGTCATGGGGGATGCAGGGCCGAAGCAGCAGTCCCGGGTACACGGCTTACGGGGGCGAGAAGCTGTCGCAGTCCCTCGACCAGGCGGAAATTGATCGGCTGCGGGCATCGAACCCTGACATGAAGGAGGCATTGGACGTGGGCCTCGAAAGAATAGAGGGCGCCGCGGACAACAAATGGCCCGGGGAGATTGACCGGGGCATTGTGGAGATGAAGCTTGTGATCCAAGGCTTTTTCGAAAGGTGCCGACAGACACAGGTCGTCGTCATGCGGGCCATTGCGCTGGGCCTAGGCCTAGAGGAAAGGTATTTTGACGCCCTGGTCGACGAGGCCGACAATACTTTGCGATGCCTGCACTATCCGCCCGCCAGAGCTGAGGTCTTTGAGAGAAGCAAAGACGCTGTCAGGGCCGGAGCGCATTCAGACTATGGTAAGGAACATGTTCCACTTTTTTGTCCAGTTATTGCACCCTCCGTACGGGCCTGACATGACGATTCCTTCCCAGGCGCTCTCACGCTCCTGTTTCAGGACGACCGTGGCGGGTTGCAAATCTGCTCTCCCAATGGCCGGTTCGTCGACGCCACACCCGTGCCGGGAACCATCGTGGTCAACGCTGGAGACCTCCTGTCTCGCTGGGCCAACGACAAGATCAAATCCACTGTCCACCGCGTGGTCCAGCCGCCAATGTCTCCCGATGCATTGGTTGGGGATCTGTATCCCAGTCGTTACAGCGTGGCATATTTCTGTAACCCGAATTTGGACACGGTGATTCAGGCTCTGCCCGGAACCTGGGAAGAAACAGGATTGCAAAAGTATGAGCCGATCACGGCAAGAGAGTGGCTGATGAGACGGCTGATTCTTTCACACACGAAGCAAGCCACAGCCTTGCCGGTCCATATTCAGGCTTGAAGGGTTGAGCTTTCTGTAGGCAGCTTCCTGAGTTCAGATATGGACTTTTGCACTTCTCCAAGGACCCTTGCTAGTCTAGATAGTCAGTAATAAATCGCCGAGCAAAGAGTCGTCGTTCATGGACTGTAGATTTACGCAATATGTCAAATCCAGGCGCTTTCTCTTTTGTCCGTTTGGAGAGACTCCACGTCCCGTGGCCTGGGTTGGTGATCTGCATCCAGGGAACACGACAGCCTACGGTATCACCGATCTCGAAAAGCGCCGTCTGTAGCCCCGGTAAGCAAATCCGAGTCGTCAAGGGTGAAGAAGTCACTGAGGTCGGGAGCAAAGATGTTGAAATCGATATCCAAAACCCCGTCGTTGTTGGAAGGGTCATCGAACCCAGGCTCGTCGATTGCAGTCCGGAGAAAATTCATGGTGAGCTCCGGCGCGTCACCACTGGCGATTGCTGCGTCCGCCTGAGGGTCCTCCTCTGGCTGGTGGTAGGCGCCGAAATACCCGATTTCGGGCGACGAGGATCCTGCACGACCTTTGCGTTCGTGGAACACGCGGGCTTCCCAGATCTTTTGAAGGATTCGCTGGATAGTATATCGGACGCTGTCGACTTGTTCTTTACTGGTCATGTGCCCAACGCATCCGAGAGCCTCTTCTAGGCTCTTTTTGACTCGAGGAATCAGTTCCGGATTTTTCATCGCGTGGTAGGCGAGGAGCAGGCATGCGCTTTCGATACACGCGGACGTAAAGCTCAAGTCCTGCGGGATGAGTAAGTAGTGGACTTTGAATGACGATTGAAATCGGACAGACCCTGAGCAGCACGTGTCGATTGAGCGATTCAAAAAGGTAGTGGATCAGTCTCCGGGCCGAGTCCAACGCACAATGACAGGCTTCGAGCAGCCAGAATAAGTCGGACTTGGGCGAGGGAGGGGTTTGCCCGGCGTGAAAAGGAAAAGAGTTAGTGGGTGCTTTCCGACCCTTCAGAGAATTGTACACCATTAAGCACGGCCGAAAGCTGGTCATCCACGTGTGGTATAGAACTGTAACACAGGAAATGAGACGACTGGGAGTTTGGTGTGGTACGTATATCCTTACAATTCATCATGAAGAGTTGCTGGACGTTGGCCTTGTCTTCATCAACGCTGCCATCCAAGGCAAATCCAAGTATCGGCTCCATCCTCTGTTTGAAGGATTCCAGATCATTCCGAACACTTTGCAGGGATAACCTTAGTTTCGTCAACGAGAAGTGCCTCTCTTCGTAGATGTACTTGGTTGATTTGGCGATTATATTTGACAGTTCGCCCAGTGCTAGGGTGAACATGCTGGTTCCGGGGAATGGTGTTGATATAGATTCACTTGTAATTGAAGTCGGTCGGCCAAGCCAGAACGAGACCCATCTAGAGCAGTATTAGGGCAGTTGCTCGTAATGACTGAGATGAGACACAGAACCTTTCCCAGAACAACAGAGCCCAAAACGTTGTGCGTCTCTCAGTTGTAGCATCACTTTTTGGCAGTGTCGATGTATACTCCACGTCTCGATGCAGGCCTGCCGCATATGCCTTGCGGCATGCTTGTCCGAGCTCAAGGTAAGCAAGATTTGCTCGGCCGCTGCTCGCTTGGTGGTGAGCGTACAAACATTAGTCCACTTTCCATTCAACAGAGCGCGATAACTTATCAAGAGAAGAGACGCTTGGATAGCCCTGTTGTTGACGGTTTCATCGAGGACATGCATTTCCCTCTTGGCTCTATCATAAAGTGCATCAGCCCATTTGACATGCTCTGTGAGAGTCGCGCCATTTGCCAGGATCGCGAGGAGGACTGCTTTGACGTCGGTGGCCATCTCTTCGTTGTCATCATTGTACAGCTGTCCAAGCCACTCTTCCATTATCTCGAGGTTGAGGAACGGAACCAGATGAAGAACTGTCATGCTGAATCTCTCGAGGAAAAGCCTCGCCAATGCGAGAGGCAGACGCAGTGATAGTTCTGATTCGAGTACATCTTTGGACATACCAAAGTTCTGGCGCACACCGAAAAACATTTGTCGCTGTCGAAAATAATCTATGCCCTGATCAGGAGCGGCTATCGAAGCTGTGTTCGTGCTCAACGAGTCGACTGACGCAAACGTCTTGTACACCTGCTGGAGAAACGCAAAGTTGGAGGAGGGTCCGCAATAGAGATGGATGGTAGATTGAGGCGTTTTCTGCGTTGTGTTGACGCTCAGATACACTTCCTCGGCGGTCTCACCGTCCAGCGAGCTTGCGTAGTCATCGTGAAGCCGGTGGCCAGAGACGTCTCCATCCGGAGCGGCAGTCGTCGTTCCTTCAACTGTTGCAGGCGTTGCTGTCTGAGGCCGGCCTGCTCGCGAGTGTCGGACTCGATTAACGGAACGGTACCTACATTTTTCTCCCCTCTGCATACATTGGAGACATGGTGCCAGTCCATTACACTTGGACCGCCGATAACGACATCCATCACACGCTTTAGATACCCGCCGATGGATTGACCCTGGAACGTCCATCAGTACGATATGCATACGACATGAAGCTCGGGTATCGGGGTTTTGATGATCGAGCACTTACTGTGTCGATCTGCCATGCTGGATATTCTCCCAGCGCTGCATCTGGAGTTTCTGAAGTTGTACCGTATGCTTGAGTACCTACAACCCATGTAACAAATATGGTTGATGTTGATAATTCGGCACCATTCGCTAGCTTCACCAGCCTAGGCTGACGCCTAAGATTGGCCCATCAACCATCCTGAGCCTGTGGAGAGCCCCTACAATGAACCCGGTTTAGCGGTTTAGCGATGGGAGCCCCCTGCCATTCCGGGTGGGCTTGGCACCCTTGGCTTCAACACATGCAGGTGAACGGCGACTGTCTCCTTGCATCTCAATATACGCCCAGGAGCAGAGTCTTCTTCGCGTCAGGCCGGGGAAGGGATATACGAAGAACAACGGTAGGAACTGACAGAAGAATTAAAGTGTAGCAACTTATTCTTTTCTCCCTTCCCTAGCGAGGTGATTCCGGTCCGAACGGTTGTTCTGGATGCCTGGTTCAGACTCAACGGCATTCGCACGTTGCAAACCGTGTGAACCATCATCAGACAATGTAGAGAATCCAAAAGGGTCTAAAGGTATAAGTCTTCCTCCAGCATAGCAGCTTTTGCGGCGCAGGAACAATATCTTTGTGATTTGTGGGTTGCGTACCTAGGTACTGTTTGTGATGATTGCAGCATCGCTTCGTCACTGCTGCCGCCGCTGCCACCGGACCTGCTTCGTTGATTCACCTGGACACCAAGCGTTGCTGCTTTTGCGCTGTTTGTTGTTTGATGTCTGTCTGTTGCCGCCATTGTTGCTGTGTCTCATTCCTGCTCTCTATCTTCCAGAATCTTCACGAACTCCTTCAAGCTTGAGCTGGTTGTACTTTATAAGGGCTTCGGCCGTTGTGTCGACAAATTGCTTCACCACTATCTGCCACCATCTCAGTCACAACTATGTCCGTCCCATCCACCGAATACCATGTCGACTCTTTACCCAGCATGTCTCAGGCTTTTTCTGATAGTGACAGCATTGGGGCTCTCACTCCCACTTCGTCCACCGACGTCCAGCCTTCTACTCCTGCCGAAAGCGAAACCAGCAGCTCTGTGATCAGCGAAGCGACGGCAGCACTGCACCATGAACTTGACAGGAAACTGGAAGCCCTTGTTCTGGCTGAAGAGACAGTACCTCCCCGCGGACAGTCAGCGGCCGATCTCCCCACCGATGTGCCTGCGCCGACTTCTCGAGACCCGTTCGGATTCGTCTGTGCTTTCGGGTTTACGGGGGCATTCGACGAGCCTTCAGCCATCCCCAAGACAAAAGGCGCCTTCCTCGATGCAATCAGAGGTGAGATTGAGGGAATCGGCATGACGCAGAGAGGTCTCCAATCCTACCAGAACGCCATCAACTCTCGAAAATATCATACCTTCAGCACCCAATTTCTCATTGACCAGAACACCGCCACCGTGATTACCCTCGACCAGTTGGATCAAATAACTACCCACCTGAAGAAAGTCGAGAGAGAGGTTCAGGAGATTGAGAAAGAAGATGGAGAGGTCAAGGACGAGCTCATGGAAGCCTTTAGGCATACTCAGCCGTGGGTAATGCGCACACGGGCGATCCTGCGACATTGCCATGTTTTCTACAAGCTCAACTTTGTCCTAGCCACTGGGAAGAAGACTACGCAGCATTGAAGAGGTGGACGCGGTTCAGAGCTAAAGGTTTTCCTCCTTGCGGAGGCGAGGAAGGCGTGACAGGCGTTGAATCATGGTCCTTGAAGACTAACAACATCGCATCGTAACGAGGGAGCTGAGCGAGTGTCTGCAGTCAGGATGGACGTCAAGGGTGTGACATTGTTGTGACCACAAGGTACACTTGCCTTAGGTAGTGAAATGTTTGACCACTTTTCGTGTTTTGCTTCGCCCTTTCCGATGCTCAATATGCCACCCGCAACTACCGGTGAACTTGAGCACCGTCTTTGGATCCCTTATCTTCTCTCTCCTCTGCACTCTAGACTATATCATACCACGGACGTGGCTTCATTGGCTGCCTCGACGGTCCTCTGGTCACTGACACCGTTCTTTAGCAGGTATGCAGAGCCCAACGATAAGCCGACATCCAGCAGCGGTGCTGGAAACGAGCCAAACAGCTCAATCGAGCCAGCAGAGTACCCAATGGGCTGATAAGCGGTCTGGCTCCCTCGGAGCACGCGCCCAATCGTGTGTGTCTCTTATCACGGTCTTGCAGAGGTCCAGACTGCCCGAGGCGCTCTCTGTGCCTCCGTGTTTGCCGGCTGCCTAAATCAAACGGACTCTGTAGCATACCAAGAAACAAGCCCCATAAAAGGATGCTTCTGCTCTCAGGGTTACTCAGGGTTCAACGGGTGGCGCTGGCTAAGCAGAGAGCGATCTTCGATCACCCCTTGCTGCCTCTCATGGCCCTGACATCCAGGCCCCTGGAAAGATGATGCTAACTAGCTTAGACCCCGATTCCAGGCATCGAGGGGTAAGCAGGGGAAACGGTGAGGGGCAGCCAGAAGCCAAAACAAAAAAAAATAATATAATCTATAAACAATGGGTGACAATCATGGAAACGAAGTTGAGGGACTTCTTTTCCCTGAGATGGGCGACTGATGACCTGTTGCTGACCGACGGGCTTCAAGCCCCTTACAACCTCACATGCCATTCGCTCCCGTCCTCAATCTCAGCATCTTCGATTTCTTCACCGCCAGAAGCTCGACCGTGCCCGCGTGGGTCGAGGTCGCGCGCACGCGAACTTGACCCCCTCCATCATTGAGAGCTAACGGCACCACCATGCGGCGACATGCGGCGCCTTGCTCGATCCAGCGGGCCGTCACCGACTGTCACGCGTTTTCATTTGGTGTCAGGATCAATCGGTGAGGACCGTGCTTGCCCTGATTGGGTCTTTAACACACGACGTGGCCGACAATTCTTTCGCTTTCAGACGTGGGGCTTGCTTCAATCAAATTGTGCAATCCACACTGCTCCCAATTGAGAGTTTGGCAGAAAGGGTTCGACTCTGAAGCAAATGAGGGGTGGAGGGGTAACATACAGCGCAGTGACGACGGGTTATATAAACACCATCCATGGTGACACGTTCTTCTCCTTCCTTCTCTTCTTCAAGCTTCTCAAGCCCAAGTCTCCCTGCCAGTCTATCTTCCAGTCAGATTATACTTGAACCTCCCAGCTACTTCTACCTTCAAACACAATCACCATGGCCGACGAAGCTACCAAGGCTCACCTCCGCACCAAGTTCGACAAGCTCACCGCCGACGACTTCAAGGAGGTTGCAGGCAACAAGGACGCCCTCGCTGCCAAGGTCGCCGAGAAATACGGCATCTCCAAGGACGAGGCTGCTAAGCAAGTTGAGGACGGCTTCGCCGGCAAATAAATAGCAAACTGCTTTTGGTCCGACGGTTCAACCTCTCGGAGCTCTTCCTCTCCAGTCACTACATATATGCAAAACCCTTTCTCCGCCAAACGAGACGGCAAGCAGAGCATTACACACTGAATCAAAGGAAGAATATGGGAATAAAGAAGAGTTTGGAAATGTTACATGCCGTCCCCAACATCGACTGGGATTGATTCTCCATAGCGAAAGGAGTCAGAAAAGAACAGCCTACAATTCATCATACATTGACAACCTTCCAAAGAATTGATAGAACAAAGGGAACAAAGCGTATTTCGACGACGACAGCTCCTCTTCTTGATCTTCCAGAATTCTATTCATTCTATGTGCTCTCCCTCGGACGAGATTGTCGGTGTTAGACGACCACATGACCCAAGGACGAAAGCAAGCAAACCTTTTTGCTTACCATTGACCTTTCACTAAACTTGTGCCCCTTTTTTGTTTCAGCCTCACGCGATGTTATAATTGTATCCTGTAACCCTAGCCACGGAGCCGCAACAAGGTGAGGTATTGCTCTCTCTGCCCTTGCACTTGTACTTGAATAGTCTCAAATACGTGTAACCAGCTACCCAGCTAGCTAGCTAGCTATCTCTCGGAACTCGGTTGAAACACTCAAGACCTCAATGTCGCCCGCTCGCTCGCACCAACACTCGACAACTCCGCACAGGTTAGGTCTCCCATCATCCACCTTTCCACCTTACATAGTAGTACCTTCGAGTGACCGCAGGCACCAGCACCTACGCCATGCAACGCTGTTCCCTCGATAGCCCACCTGACCTGTCCTCCATCTCCAACCCAGCTTTATCGAAGAAACACCAGCCAGACGGACTCCCCCTACCTACCTAGCTAGCTAGCCATTGAGATGTGGCGGGGAATGGGCGGGGGCATCTCGTGAGCTCCCAAGCAAACCCGCGTTATCGCAAAAGTGAAGCTGATTTTACGGCGGTGTGGGTGGGTTATTGCAATTGGGAAAACGGGGGACTTGACGACGGGGATTCCATCCGAAAAACCGACCTGGCCCGCGCAGGCCAAGACGCGGGCGGGAGTTGTATGCGGTTGGTAGGTGGGTAGGTATGCATGTACGTGGCACGGCACTGTTGGGTTTGAGAGGGTCAAGGGCCCGAGGATTCGAAAAAGGTTTGGTTTCATTGGGATCAATGTCTTTTCAGGGGGCGTTGGTAGGTAGGTAGGTAGGTAGATGGGTGGGTAGGGTTGTTAGGTACCTACAGTCAGACGGTTGGGCATGGAGGATTGAGGATCGAGGACTGAGGGCAACGACGTTGCACTCCAACCACACGCTCCAGGATCATAGCAGCCAACCCTCCACCTACTACGGCAATTATGGCAAACGCCCGCTCTTGAATCGCGCTTGACCATGCCCGAGCATTGGAAGATTGCAGAAATCGCTTTTCGTTTCCAGTACGTAAAATACTCAAAAGCAAAGCCAGATATACTAGGGACATAATTTCTTGTGTACAGCTCTGAATGCGCCCGTCTGGGTCGTCGACCTTCATTCTCCTCCAGTATGGAAAGGGAGTGCAGGACCTTGTTGCACTTAAGGACAGCCAAGAATATGACTGAGGATACAGATTCTTGCCTGCACCGGGATTGACATATCCGACCTGGCCTTGCTTGGCTTGCTGGCCAAATGTGATGATCCCGTCGGACAACACTGATCCAGCTTTCGATCAGCCCTCAGTCAAGGTCGCGTTCTTTTTTGTCCAATACCTCATCGTCTCATACTGGCCTGAGACAGGTTTCCTGCCCTTTGTCGTTCCCAAGTGTCATTCAAACTTCTTCCTCGTCATCCAACCCATCCCCCAACAACTCATCGTCCTCTACAACTTGAGAGTAGTCCTGTCCTCTTCTTGCAAAGGCATCTCTCGAGCGATAAGGGGCACCATAACCAGCATCCGCCCCTCTTCCCACTCCGAACCTCCCCCCTGAGCCACCGCCTCCGCCCCCAAGAGGCATGTATCCTCTTGCACTTCTCCACAAACTCATCACGAGTAACGGCGTCGCTTTGGCCACTGCGACGATGCCACTCACCACTACCACAGGAACCTTGATCCACAACGGATCACCGCTTGCCCCAGAGGAAGCACCAGTGGCGCCCATGCTTTCTCCCAGCCGAATTTGTCCAAATGAGCCGAACCCGCTCTGCCACTTCGTATATACCCAATAGCCAATGCCCAGGGCGGCGGCAATTGGGACCACAATCGCAAAGAACAGTCCGACGCCCGAAATGCCATGCTTCTTTTTATATTCCTCTTCATGGCCAGGGCAAGGTCTCGATTCCAGCTTGTCCAACTCTCTTCCCCCTTGGCAGGTCGTGAGCGGTATCCTCCTATATCCAGTCGGATACCAGAACTCGACTTCTCCCGGATTGTCTCGACATTTTTGCTCGTGATCGGCCGGCTGCAGCCCTGGAACCAATTGGCATGTTCCGTCTGCTTGTGCCTGGTAGTTGTAATCACACTCAAAGTCCTGACGCGTGCAGGAACAATTCCTTTCAATGTTGTGCAGGTGACTGATGATCTTGCCATTGTAGCATTTGGCGTCGACTCGTTTGCGGTGATATTGAGCTACATGGCCGAACAAGCAGTTAGAATCTTGCATTGGATGCTTCGGTTCCCAGAGCGCGTAGTCGCCCTTTTCGGGGTTCTTCTCGTCGAGTTCGCATTTGACTTGACGTTCGTCGAGGCCGGAAAAGTCTAGGTGGACGGTAAAAATGCCACGTTTGGCGTTGGTTCCCAATTCACGACCCCAAAGGAGGAAGTTGCGAGAGTTGTCTGACGGTACTGTAGTGATGGCATCGATCTGCATTTCCACATCAGGAGAGAACACAAACTCTCGCCACGTCTTGCCCTCGTCGAGGGTGTAAAAGAGAGATTTGGTAGGCTGGGATTCCTTAACAATCACGATAATGCTGCCTTGGTCGCCATACTCCCACATATAGCTACCCTTCTTGACGGACTGCCAAGTGATACCGGCATCTCGAGTGATGAAGGTGTCTGTGGCTTCGTCGTCTTTCCGGACGAGGTATTCGCCAACGTTGCCCACAGCCATCATTAATCCAACTGCACTAGGGCTAGAGAATGTGGCTGACTTGTCGGCGCGTTCGGTATAACTGTGAATGTGCAAGGAGCATTTTCCAGTCGCTTTGTTAGCCTCTTCCACGCAAGGGTAGTTGTTTCCAACCGCATCCTCTTTCGGTGGAGGGAGATAGGCCCATTGGGCACCATCGTTGTGGGTAATCATCGACTTGAGCTTCTTCCTCTCTCCGGCATTCGTCTCATCTACGTTGGACACAACGTTGACCATAGCCACTCCTTCGAGACCTTGCATTTTCTCAAAATCGACATAGCCGTCAGTGTCCCGATTCACACCACCCAGGGTGAAGACGTAGGATGTACCGTTGCTGTTCGACTTGATGATTGTACCGTACTCATGGTCTTGAGCAGCATTGACGGTCACATGAAGGAATACAGCGTGAGTAGAGCTATCCAAAACCGTGTAGGCTTGTTGATGTTGTACTTGAAAGTTCCGAGGAAATTCTGCAGGTGCAAAGGTTCGTCCGTCGACACTTGCATCCACCTTCAAGCTCTGCCTGTCGTCCGTTTTTGCTGCGACGATGATGAACTCCGACATGGTCGCAAAGTCCAAAATATCAGGGAAATGCACCTTCGATTCGGCAAAGAAGTTGTCGCTTGACAAAAGCATGAGATTTTTGTCCGGGTTCTCATCTTGATACTGTTCACAGTAGATCAATTGATCGCCACGACCTTGACCTTCTCGTGTGATGAATTCGCATTTTCTGGCATAGCGAACCAACGTGTCCCAGTGGTCGCCACGATCTCTTGACAACCAGATGTTTGTATGGTCGTCGTTTCCAACGGTGCCCGACCACAGTAGCCAGTCCTTGTATTCGGGATGGAACCGTAAAGTTGGTAGCCGTAGGTTACTTGGTCGTTCTGGAGCAGTGAATTTATCAAACCTAGTTCCTCGGTCGATGGTGTAATGGACAGTCTTTGAGCCTGTCAGGAAGAAAACTGCGTCGTGATGGTGGGGGTTCGGCGCAATGGCGGTGATCGGTTCATTCTTAAGGATTGGTTCCCAAGTTTTGCCGTGATCCCGTGTCAAGAAGATATCTTGCTCGCTCGTGCGCATGACAATGGTCTCATCACTGCCGCTAGAAGTGTCGCTTCTTTCGAGATAATACCATTCGGAAAATCGATCGGCGTTGAAGTTGGTCTTCTCGACGGTGATTTCGCCCGAAGAAGGTGTCTTCACAGAGTCTGAGCATGGCCTTTCGATCTCCTTGTCGAGCTCTTCGCCGCCCTTCCGCTGGCACTCGTTGCCTGGAATCATTCGCCATCCAGAGGGACCTTTAAATGTGTCTTTCTCGCTCTTACATGCGCCCTCAGGAACCGCAAGCGGCTGTGCTGGATTGCACTTGGTGCGGTCGTTAGGATCTCTGATAAAGTTGTAGTCACACTCAAAGTCAGCCATTGTGCAGACGCACGGTTCAAACTCGGGCACCGGATCTTTGAATTCCTCGTCGATGAAGCATTCAGCATCTGCCTTACGTCTCCTGAAGAATTGCTTGTGGCCCATGAGACAACTCGCTTTACCGTCTTTGTCGACGCGCGCGGGCCAACGCTCAAAGTCATCCTTACCACATGCTCGTTCATGCAGACCCTCGAAGTCGATTTTGAACATGACCCACTCGGTCTTGGAACCTGACCCTTTGGCGCCCATCATGAGGAATTTGAGGGTGGTGGAGTCTGGAACGGTAGTGAGAAACCTCGCTCGCACTTTCTCCGGAAGGTCTGCCTTCTTCCAGGTCTTCCCATGGTCGATCGAGTATCTTATGTGGCTGGTGGAATCCTCATCATCGACAGCGACAACAACTGCCCCCTGATTTCCAAACTCGTACAAGTAAGCACCGTCCAAGCCCTCGTACCAAGTGACACCAGCATCATCCGAGACGTAAAGATCGCCGTCTTCGTAGTCCTTCAAGAATTTTCCGGTGTTGCCAATTCCCATGACAATGCCTGGGGCCGGGCTGGAGAAGATCCTCCCTGTTTGCCTTGCATCGGTCACTGAATGAAGATGCAGCCTCTTGTCGCCAACTTTGAGATCCTGGAAGGTTCTTCCGTCGTCAAAACTAATCTGAGATACGATCTCTTTTCTAGGAATGGTTGAGCCCTCAACATCCTTCCAGTTGTCTACAACATTCACCAAGACGATCCCTTGAATCGACTGGACTTTCTCAAAGTCGACATTGCCAAAGATGTTGCGATTGGTGTGATCGATATTTCGAGTAAAATAAGTGCCGTTGGAGTTCGAGGTGAAGAGATAGCCCATGGGATTGGTAGGACGGGATCCGAGCACGTCGACCTGTAAGCTGTAGTTGGTGCTCTCCAGGATAGTATAAGCATCTTCATCTATCCTGTGTTGTCCAAATTCCGCTCGGTGCCACTGTGATGCGTCTTTTGTCACGTATAGAGCCAACTCATCTGTGCCCTCCGATTTTGCAGCTGCAACCAAGAATCCTTTGACCGCGGCCATGCTGATAATCCCAGACACAGCGCGGCCGTCATCGAGCGCAGGCTCGAGCTGATCTTGTTGGAAAAAGTCATCGGACACGAGCAGTCTGTTGTCCTTCGGCCACGGGGAGTAGAGTCCTTCCACGATACAGAATATCCGATCTCTTACTTCAGGAGCAATCTCCTCTGCAAAGTCCGGGGTGCTGACAGCCCATTGACAACCTCGCGTCATATCGCCCAATCTGTTGGTCGTCTGAAAGTCATCATCGGTATAAAACGCGCGCTCGATGCAGGCTAAGCCGACGCAGTGCTCAGCGTTCCATATCACTCGTTTAGGGTCCCGGCCATGGAAGCTCAATGGGGCGTTGCGGAATCTTGCAAGACCATCGCCATCGGAGGAAAATTTCCTCCATGTCTCGCCGGTATCTGTTGTCACCCAGTGATCGGAGTCGAGGCCGATGATATATGCGCGCTGGTTGTCGTAGGGATGCCGGTATACGTCCAAGGCATTTCCTGACTGTCCTTGGTCATCGATCTCCTTCCAGGTCTCGCCTGCGTCAGCACTGCGCCAGACGATACCGGTCTCTCCATCGTAACCAATGACGACATTCGTGTCGTCGAAATAAAAGACGTTCTCTAGAGGGTTATCGAATGTGGTGGCGGAGATGGTTGGGCCATCTTTCTTTGCTTGCGTAGGCTGCGGAGAGGAGGCGAGTAGGAGGAGGAGGGCGACCGACGAGACGACTGCGTGACGACAGTAGGATCTTATTATCATCTTTGATTACCGCATCGAGCGGATGTAAGGGGCTGAATAACAGACAGAGAAAGAACGGCACAAAAGGCTTGAAAACGAAGCAGGAGTCGAAATAATAATGGACACAGTTGTCGGATTGTTGTCGGATTGGAGAAACCAAACGGCGTTGCCTGCAATCAACAATTCTGTGAGGCTCATGGCTCACGGGCACTTCGACCATCTAAGATCAGGGCCCCAGCCCGAATACGGGTAAGCGTCACCACCTTAAAACGCGGCTTGTACGGAGTACCGAGTACGGGAGCTGCGCGCTGGGAGCTCCTATCTCCTTTAACTAGGTCAGTGGCCGGGCGGCAGAAGGTTGTCCCCCAGAAGTGCCCCCTGTGAATCCTTGTTAATGCACTCTGTAAGTGTACTTGTTGATGAAGAGGGTATTATTGTTCATGTTTCGTCAAGCTATTCTTGCCTTTGTCTCCGTCTCCCAGATTGCTACTTTTTGTCCAACCCCATCCAGTTACCAAATAGAATGCCACCCGACCCTTTTGGATATGCAGGTAGCCGTGGCAGTCTGCTCATCCCAGTTGTCCTTTCCCGGGCTCCGAATCCACTCGCTGGCTGAAAAGCGATATTCCCAGCCTGAACGCCTACGCTCAAATAACGCATTGATATAGATGCGGATATCCCATGCTGTTGTTCCATTCATCCATCCATACCATACAAAAAAGACAGTCAATCTCACTCAAACATCGGGTTGTCCAGACTTATTTGAGCCTTAGTTTTCGAAGAAATCGTTTCATTTTCGATTCTTCGGCAGGTAGAGTATCCCATATGGATACTGTATTTCCGTCGACGGTCATGTCGAGTGGCTCCAGTGGCGATTTATGGACCTTCTTTTGATGGTCTGGTTGTGATGGTTGTTCCTCTGGTGAACGAAGGTCTGGTCTCGTCAAGGTCATGTGTAGTGTCATCTCTCGATCTGCGGTGGTGCCGCGGGCATATATCTCGGGCTGTCTGCGAATTGAAAACGGTCTCAGACCTTTGAGCCCGTCGATGCTGCTCTTGTGGGATGGACGATGCATTTGGAATACCGCCTCTTCAGGGGTTCGAGGGTCAAATATTGTATCCGGCTCGTCACCGTCTTCACCATCATCTCCTGAGAGTGATGGCGTGTCGTCATGAAAGAAAGTTCGATTGAACTCAGGTCTTGGTTGCGGGCTTGTCATAGGTCTGATATGGTTCCATTGTTCTCTTTCTTCCACGGATGGAAACCCAAACTCGATTGCCTCATCGAACTTTTGCGGCGAGGCAAGATAGAGCCTGAGCTTCATCCGAGCAGCAGGGTCCTGGTAATGGGTTGCCCGAGGATCGATGGATGATATTGATGCTTGAGAACGGAGGTGTTTTAATGAGAAGGAGGAGGAGCGAGTGTGAGGAGGGATGAAAGGCAAAGCGGGCGTTGGAGGGGGTTCGATCGGAGGACGTGAGGATGATGTCGAGCTCCGGCCACGACGTATAGACAGGCTTGAGAGGGAAGGGTTTCGTCGTGAGCGCCGCCGGATCGGTGCTGATACCGATATTGTCCGCCGGTTTGTTTCAGCAATGGCTTCGTGGTAGTCGTCCAACTTGAGATCGAGATCTCCTTCATCCTCTAGCCATCGAAAACCATCTACTGAGTAGTCACCCATGTCGATAGCAGAGTCAACCCGGGGTTCGTCTTTGAGTCCTTCAAAATCAACGATGGTGGCGTCGTCATCAGCAGAAGCTCGACGCTCAAACACGGCGAAGTTGGTTGGATGCCAACTGCGGCGACGGAGTGTTTCGTCTGCAGAGTCGAGGATGATGGTATTTTTCTCTTGGGAGTAGAATGAGCACTCTTCCCTCGAGAATAACTTCTTCTGGACGGCAGGGGGCAAGGAGGCGAACCACTCAATTGTGGTTGGATTGATGTCTGCTGCCGAACAGCGCCTCCTCCGCAGTCTCTTTCCGTTGAAGAACTGGCCGGTCTGGGTAATGCCGTGTGTCAGGATGGTGAAAGTGTCGGAGGGTTGAGTTGTGAAGCCAGCATTGTTCGGGGGATGAATTGAGAGTTGGGAAGGGGGACGTGAGAGAGTTCTGCCATCTTCGGCCAGTCTGAGACGTTCCAAACTACTAAAATACTGGTGCAACACATATGTTAGCCCGTGGACCTGCAGACTAAGCGATCGAATGAGTCTGTCATTCTGTCTAACGGTCGCAAGAGACAAGGTGCACGATGGTGGACGAAGGCTCTGTTGGTGCTGTGGGATACTGGGTCGTGTTGGTGGTCCCTGCTTCAAGGTCGGAGGACCGTGCCGCGCCCAAGATGCCTGGAGCTCCCCATCTGGGCTAGGGGCTGCATGCCTAAACTCCAAGCGTCCAATGCCCAGACTGTAGGCGGGCGGTAGTGGTAATAGCGTGGATTCGGGCCTCTGTGGTGCGGTAGATGATCTGACCTGAATGACGTGGGATAGGTGGAATGGGGCAGAGGAAGATGGGTCTGGTGCACCGAGATGGCAGTGATGAGCATCCCCTTCCCGTCTTCCTTGAACTTTGGCCTGAAGATCATGGCGAAGATCCCGTTTCATCCACCTAGGCAATCACTAGGCACGCAGCTAGGGCTGCCGGTAAAGATTGTACCAGCGGTGCCAGGCAAACTGTGCATCTCGAGCGAAATGGGGGAAGAGAGATTGGACAGAAACTAAACTCACTTTTCGAATCACGACTGGAGGCAGCGTCTCGAAAGCCACATCATTGGGAAACGAAGGGCGTCGAGAGGTCCACATCTTGGGAGCAGTATTGTTCGGCAACCTTTGGGCTAGCAATAATGAAGGTGTAGTGTTTGCTCCGCTTTGGGATTTCGCTGCATATTCCTGTCGTGTCTTTGAACGCGTCCTCACCCCCTCAGAGTGGACGACGTCTTCGGGTGAGTATGGGGCGTCCGGTCCGAAGATTGGAAACTCGGAGGTTGCAGTTTGGCTTCGGAAAGCTGAGTGTGTGCCTGAAAGTATGCCGGTGATCGACCCTAACTGCTGCCTGTACCTGTACTGTCGTGCACACAGCAGCTAGTCTCTCGCTTGAGGATAAGGGAATGCTTAGGCGGGCAGGCGGACAAATAAAAAGATGCAGACTTGAGATAAAATTAAAAAAACAAATAAAACTGTATTGGAAGGGAATGAATGGCTATTATAATAGTAACAACAGCAGGTGAAGAGGAATTTCAACAAGACGATAGGGGTGGAGGGTGAGGTTCTGCCGTCTCCCCTAGCTATATGTATTTTCTGAAGCCTGGCAATCCAGAAATGAGCATTTCTCGACCCGTGCTGTGCGTGGCCCTGGGCTCACTGGGCTGAGATTAAAGCGCACTCCGTGCATGGGCATGGCAGCCCTGCTCAGGATGCGAGTGCGGCTTAGATACAAAGCCCTGCGACGTCTGGAATGTTTGGTGGCGCTGCTGCTGGCTCGTCTAGACCTGCGCTGGCACCTGCACTGGCACCTGCGCTGGCCCTCCTCTCCGTCTTTGCTCATCCTTCCCTTGCTGATTTTGACGTACTGCCTCGCGCCATCGGCTGCTTTTGAAACGCCCAATCCACTCAAAACTCTCCTACTGGCCCGCTATCTTCCGCGAGGCGGCCTCGTGGTTCTTGCTAAGCGACATCAGGTTCATGCCGCTCCGCGAAACCAGCAGACGTGAGATGCCGACGAACCCACTAAAGCCAGCAAACGAACTGCTCTCAAACGGTCTGGAATCCCCCCTCCACATCAGGAATACGGTATATTGTGCCACCAATTTATCTGACCAGCTCCCACCATGTCCCTTCGTACCAAAAGTACCACGACATGACGCGAGTGGAAGGGGAGGACGCGACACTCCACCGCAGGGAACATCAACATACAACCCAAACCAAACAAACACATCGTGTGGTTCGCAAATCGACATGTCATATTTCGACGAACCTGTGTTGTCAAAGTCACCCCTAGCTGGGGGATCAAATTTACAGAGTTTGATGCCTTCTTGTTCCTCGTGATTCGGGGGATTTTTTCTTCTAGCTACTGCCACTAGGTGGACTAAGAGATTTTGGAGTGGGACGTTTGGCGCCTGAAATCGCGTGGCAGACAGGGATCAGAGAATATCTTCTGCCATTCAATGCACAGCATACAATTCGTGGCTGCAGAGAAGTCTCAGATGTCAGGAGATCGGAATCCATGGATGTGAGCACGCGAAAGAGGCGCCCGTAAAGGCCGCGATTACGGAGTATCTGGACCTGGTTGAACAAGTTGCTGTCAAGCTGGAGCCAGACCAGTTCCAAGTTCAAGCTGCTGCTCCTTCCGAAATGCTGCAGTGGCCGTAACAGAAGGCTGCGCCGATTGTGCGACCATGTGAAGGGATATTAAGTCCCAGACGCCTTGTTCACGAACACGGCCGTCTCCTGGCAGCCAGAAATTACATCTCGGACTGACACCTGGAACCGAGTGAATCCGGCGTTGATGCGCCTGTCTGGTGGTTTCTAAACGTACCACCCCTTATCTTGGCTTACTCGTACTCGGAAGCACCCTCTGCTGCAGCATCTCGAAGGGGTCTGTCATACCACAGGGTGAATCTAAGGAGATTCTCCGTAGAAGCTCGATGCTCTCGGGCTCTCTTGTTGGACAGGCTCTTCCCATCCCCACCCTATCTGAGGTCAGACTGGGAGCGATGAATCATGATAGGGAACACCGGAACCCAATGCCGAGTCTACACTGTAGTCTCGCAACGTGCATTCTCAAATTGCGAAGCAGTTGGTTCCTACCAAGTTCAGGTTGTTACTATTTCTTGGCTTATTTGGTGAACTAAAGTTTGCGTGGTTCGCTAGACGTTAGCGAGGTGCAGTACCGAGCTCGCCCGGGGACGTCTCAGCTCGCAAGAAGCTAACCGGCAAGAGGGAGTCTGAAGCGCGAGTTGCAGACATCTGGTCAGCAATTGTGACCAGCGTAGTCGCAGCTGGCCATTGCGTGAAAAGTCATCCGGGACGCATTATTTCAGGTGTATCTGACAGGGGAGGATGGTAAGCCGGTGGTGTGAGTGATACGGAGGACAGGCAGACGAAATGCTGACGAGACTCCGGAGTTCGGTGTCACCAGTGTCCATCGATCCCTGGCTCTGGGCAACTCCATGCCAGCCTGCATTCTGGGGGGTGGTAGACTAGTCCGGCGTCCTCCCTGGCGAAAGGGGGCTCGACTCGAGCCATTCGTTTGCCAGTCACGAGTAACAGAGGGGTACCGCCGTAGGCTGCAAATTCGAAAATTCTCAAGGGGAGAGTTGAGCCAGCCAACCAGTCCCTGTCAGTCGAACAGGCACGAGGAAGGGGGTGGTTAGGGGGCTCGAGTGTTGGTGGAATTGGGCAAAAGCTCAAGCCTATTGCAGCTCCGTGGTTGTCTTTGGGGGAAGCGAAGGTTGACGAAGCGAAGCGAAATACATCTGAGAAACGGGCTGTAACAGATACCGACATTAGTCTCCTGGATACATGTTGGATTATTATTGCGGTTGACAAGGCCGCAAGCACCCAGGCAAGAGCTTACAGATTCAGCTCGCAAAGAAGCAAAGACTGCGTAAACAGTCCGGAAGGAGTCTGCAGGTCTCTAAAGGGGACGGTCACGGTAGCCAACCACAGGGCGGTGCCTGGAACAAGGTCCCAGAAATGGTGTCGAATGCGGGGAGAAGGTCAGCAGTCGAGTGGTGGTAGTGGTGGTAATGGTGGCCTCTGGGAATGGGTGGCGGCGGTTGATGAGGGCGACGCTCAAATCGAGGCTGAACAACCAGGGGGGACATGAGGGAGACGGGCGCCCCTATTCCGGAACCCGTTAGGCTTCCCTTAACGTGCTCGTGCGCTTGGAGCTTTTCATCGCTGCTAAGCTTCTAGCCTGGGCGCTAAGTGGCCGAAACAGTACTGGCGAAGGTTTTTGGTGTGTCGCAGCATCATTGGCATCGCAACCCTCCAGCCAACGCGACGGCGCGGCTGAAGACACCCCCCGTGTCATTGTCTCAAACGAGCAGTCAATCAACATCTGCGGTTTTTTTCTCTCCTGCGCCCTCCTTGATCTTATTTTGGTCGTCTACTGACACCACACTCACCCTCCACAGAAGAAAACAAAGTCCGTCCTCTTGCTTATATCTTCCCTGTCGCTCTTGTGTGTAATACCTGTGCGACTCATCTCCACCGCGCCTCCGAGTTTCTCTCCTTCGAGCCGTCGCTTACAGGCATCGCGCTTCATCCCTCGGCCTCTTGCCTCAATCTCCCCACGGAAGAAAATGCGTTTCGCACACGCCTTGGCTGCTGCGCTTTGCGCAGTCGTCGCATCCGCACAGCAGAACAATGCCATCAGCATTCCTAGTGGTCAGGGCACTTTGGATGTGACCGCAGGCCAGCCCCTTACCATCCAATGGACCAATCCCTCAAGCAGCACTGTTACGATCAAGCTGCAGCAAGATCCCATCACCCCTGATTCCGGTGCGGTCCTGGCATGTATGTGAAAACCTAGACTGCCGTGTAGCTATCATGAATATCTGCTCACCTGACTGTAGCCGGTATCCCTGCCTCTGCCCTAACGGCAACCGTTCAAATCCCTCCCGCGGAGGACGTCAACTCTCACGTATATACCATCGAGATCATCGATGACTCGAACCCGAACAACATTAACTTCTCTCCCAACTTCGGCATCCAAGGGGCTACTGGAACGGCCACTGGAGTTGTCACTGGTTCTGTTACCTCCACCGCCTCCGTCTCCGCAACTACCTCTGGCAGCAGTACCGATTCCTCATCTCTCACGAGCACTGGCACCGACTCTTCAACAATCACCACAACTGACAGCTCCACCACCTCCGCCACAAGCTCTGCGAGCAGCAGCAGTAGCAGCAGCGAGAGTTCGGCAAGCAGCACCAGCTCTCAGCAGACCACCTCGTCTACGAGCTCTGCTCTCCCAACTGAGACCACATCAGCTCCGGATTCCAACAGCAACGGGGCTGGCAGCGTCAAGGTCCAGGGAAGCCTGTTCGCCATGGCAATCGGGTTGATTGCAGTCTTGTAAAGCGAGTCCCTGGAAACAAAATCTAGAACCGGAGTTCGATCCTCTTGTACAATCTTTCATCCACTTCACCGACATGTGGATATACACTTTCAGCAGTTTGTGTTTATAGCATCTCTGCTCGGGCTCGGGCTCGGATTTTTGCCCTGTACCGCTGTATTGACCTCAACGAAGAGGAAGATCTTTCAGTGAGTTGGAGTGGCATTTGATTGCTCAAAAAGGACGCGAGAGGTGGCAGTACAGGTTTCGTGGAGCATAATGGAGCATGTACATGGACTTCCAGCATGGCGCTTGTTTGATCAAAAGGAGGGATAGGAGCTGAGTCCTGGATAACGGGATGCTGCACTTTGCATAGCGCTAAGAATAATAAACCGTGTTAACCGCACAGGTGCTGTATCTTACTCTCCTTTCTCTTTTGCATATACTAATGTCAGGACGACGGAGTCAACGGAAACAGGGTCAACGCATCTGAAGACAGGGGATACAATTATTGAGAACCGTTGCTCAGCAATAACCAGGATTCCTCAAACACAAACTCACAGGGCATGCCCGACGTCACGGAGCAAACAAACAAATTCCGCAGCTGGTCGACGCTTGGAGCGTTGCAGTCCCGAGAGCAAAGACGCAGACAAAGACTGCGGGCGCCTACAGGATGCGAGGAATGCCTTGCGGCAGCGGACGGGTAACGAGTCAGGCCCTCCTGGGCAAGCTCTTCGACATCTGGCCGCTTCTTGTGTCTTGTCGGATGGTGGTGAGACGGCCGCGTGTTGACACAATCAGCATCACATTGCCAATAAAAGGAGCAGACGATGGAAGAGAGACTTTTGAGAGAGTGCCTTGGGATGCAAAGCTTTCGTCTGTGGTTTAGGTGCCCAGGCCGATAGCACCTTCCCTCATCCGAGCACGGACGGGCAAAGGTGAACACATCGAGCCTCGCCGTCTGTGGTCGTGGCGATATGAAACCCTCTATGGAATGCAACGTCTATCGACTTCTGGCCTTTGCACGTGCGACAAACTCGGGGTGGCTATCCAGATCAGCAAAAGTCTTTTGCAGATTGTGACCTGCATAATCAATCCCCTTGCTCCAAACCAATCAAGCAAGCAAGGAATTCCACGTTTGCTTTTCACCGCCATCTCCATGTTCTGAGACAGGAAAATAATGCAGGCATATCATGTCATTCGCTTGGGCCTTGCTCTGACACACACACACACACACACACACACACACCTAGGTACGTGCTCCATCTTTTTGTCGCCCGATAGATTTTGTTTGCGCAATGCTAAAAGGGGACCAACTTGTCTCGATGGAGTAAGTGTTATCAATCAAAGACTCTAGAACATGGGTATTACCACGATGGCGAAGACCGAGAGAGAAAGAGAGTGAATTCATTCGGGTTGACTCTCGCCCTGCATCCACCTCCTGGACCCCCTTCTTGTTCTTGATGCCCCATCGTTGTTCTGTGCTGTGGTGGTCGTGGTCGTGGTGCAAACCAGGTTTCGCGGTTCGTTTTCCTACTCGCACACCCTGTACATACCTAGGTAGATTAGGAGGGGACCGGGGTTTTCCATGTGCCATGTTCTACAGTCTTGATGAGATGATAGGGCTATATCCCATGTGGAGACTTGGGTTTGCTGTCTATCAGGGTTTCAGCTCTGCAATCACTGCTACGCATGTGCCTCAGCAATCGCAATCGCAATCGCAATCGCAATCGCAATCACATCTACCTGTACGAGAGTTATGGGGACACTCAAGCCTTCAGCCAGCCTCGAGCAAATCCCTTTTTTAAACCATTCTTGTCTAATCTGCCTTTTTGTCTCGACCCGCACACAAGGTCCATCCCGAAAGTCCTGTATCCCCACCCAACCTGGTCCTCATCTTCATCGGAATTCACACCGCACTCTTACCCACTCCATCCATCCCATCTATCCATCTATCCCGTCCGGCTATCAAAATTTTTTCCCTCACAGCAAAAGTTCTATTCCGCCGATATCCAAACTACTTGTTTCCCCCTCTCCACAATGAGCGGCCAGCGAGCATTAGGGTATGTGATCGACTCGATCCAGTGTTTTACCTAATCTATCGACCCTAGGTATTTTCGAGCATGTTCGGAGCACCGATACTACCGACTCCTACTCCGTACATAGCAAGTCAATGCGGGTAGATGTGTGGAACAGAATGCGGCTCCATCCAGCGTCGTCGCCGCTACCAAGTTACCAACTACCCGAAGCGCATAACCTGCCCGAGATCTTTCAGACATTCTTGCAGAGCAGAGGGGGTTTTCCTGCTGCGTGTTGTAAAAAGTCTCTTCCCATTCTCGAACGCTGGTCTCTATCCACACCCTCCCACTTTGTACCTAGGCTTGTTACATATACCTACGTACCTGCTCGTATGAACCCTCCTTACGAGGTCCCACGGCCAGCGAGGCCGGGCCGGGAGTGAACATGTGGCAAAGTGTTCTGGGTATCAAAAAAAGGATGGGTTGTGTTAAACAGCCAATCAAGAAGTACATTGTACCTACCAAGTATGGATTAATATTAATAGTCGTTAGGGAAATGGGCAGATGCATAGGTAGGTACTCGATTCAAGGTCTACTACTCGTACGCGACACGCGACGTGAACTTAGTGTGCGACTTGGGCCTTGGGTAAAATGCCGTTGGTGCCACCGACACTGCCATTCTACAACGGCGGTCGTCGTCGTAGGAGTCGACGTCGTTGTGTTGATTTATCCACCGCGTACCTATGTACGAGGGATCTTCCCAACCTAACAGATCGAGCCATCTGCGGAGTGAAGTCGAGGCCTTTTCTATCCGCTACTGCGCATCCGGTCCCCGTCCCGGAGACGAGGCGAACCGTTTCTTTCCTTTGTTTTCTTGGCCTGACAACCACAACTACCACGATAGCAACCATGTCTCTTTCCTTTGTGTCTTCCCATCGAGACGAAAGGGATGTGGGGTGGCGAAACTTCTCAGATGCCGTGTTGCACGTCTCTTTACCACGGGGGAGCATTGTGTGTGTAACGTGTGACACCAAGCGCCCACCACCAAGGCCGCCGGTCTCTGGGTTCCCTGTGTAGGCCGTCCATCTACAGCCTTTGTACCCACAGCCCTTGCGGTAGAGTACAGACGCAGAGAGAAGAAAAGCATGTGCTATTTTGTTGGTTGAGTTTACATGGAGTACATACATATGTACGTGCCACGGAAACAAGTGCTTGCTAATGCCCCGCTAATTGTATAAGTAGCCGCCCAGACGGCAGAGCATTGAATCCTCGTGGTCGCACGGGGGGCCTCAACGGCGGGACAGCAAGATATGGGGATCTGTGCTTGTAACTCTGTCCTTGTTTGTCCTTGGTTGTACTATTCCTGTGGCCAAGCCGTTGCCAGAGCTGTGAGTTACGTACTCGTAGTTTGCCGCCTTTTGTTGTTGTTGGGCTGAAGCTGCCTGATGTGTAGAGAACAAACCGTCTGGTTCCACTGGCCCGCTCTCTTCCATACTGCCATACTGCAATCTATTACGGCAACGTCAGAAACACCGGTAAAGCTTTCCAGATGGGAGAAGTAGTCGCCTCCTTCTCGCCGATTGTGTGCCCGCCCCAATGGGTGCTGAGCCTGTGGCTGGGATAAACCTCCGGCCTGAAAAAGACAAAGATATGGCCGAAAACGTTCGATTCTAGATTCAAAAAACCCTCTCGATATGCTTTTGGCCCCGAGGAGACGTGGGCGGAGTGTACGGCATAGTCAACCTTGGCTCGCGTCGCAGTGGAGCTGGGAACAACGGCCGCCTCTTTTCCCTCGTGGGCACTGGTCGATCGCGACATCTTCGGGCATCATGATCATCATGAAATTTTTCTTACCCTGTTCTCATCTCGTCTGTGGCTGGGAGATAATGGCTCGACTGTGGTGCTAGCTCTTCCCTATCAGTACGAGTAGGTAAGAAATACTCCGGCGGGGAGGAGAAGGGGGAAGGGTGGTGACACAAGCCTCAACCTTGCAACTGGTGGCAACCAGGCACCCACAGGTGGTGCTGTCAAAAGGTCTCATTAGTGAACTTACAGCCAGGTCATTGCTTCGATCGTTGGTGGTTTGCCCATATTTTCGCCATCGCGATGTCTTGCATGAGTTCTTTTTTGCCTGAGCAGGCAAACTTTTTCAACCTTGCTCCCGTTACCGCAGTCGCCAATCACGACCCAGTGGTGAAAGCCACTGCCGTTAACAGATGGACTGAGCTGGGCTTCGTCGACGTCGATCGAGCATGTGAAGGTCCCTATCGCCAGAGGGATAGCAAGTGTATACGTGGGGCACAAGACGCGCAGGTGGTGACACCACCACCATCAGCCTCAGTATCCCATTATGCACGCCCAGGCTTTCCATGTCGTCGCGGAAGCTTTTGATCCCCGACTTCTCCTCCTCATCTCCTGATGTGTTGCGTGTGCCTGTTGATCTCATTACGTACGAGCTTCTAGATTAGAGACAATACCTTTTGATCCCCTCCTCCGCAAACCCCTTGTCGCCCGTCCTACTCCGTCTACGACGAGCTTAGTTAGAGTTCGACGTGGCTCTTATCTGCTTGTGGTTACACAAACCAGCACCGTCATCTGTAATGTGTGACCAACCTGTTGCGCTCGTCGTGCACCCTTTTCCCCGCAATAACTGGGACGACGGCGTCGGCGCTACTGTGTTCAAAGCGTCCAATGAGCGGGGAGATATGCCGATGCTGGTAAAAGCGTCCCAAGGGGCTAGGCGTATGGAAACAGCCTAAGCAAAATGTCTAGAGATGCCAAATTGGGCAGGAGCAAGAGTCTGGGCCAGCCGCAATCAACAGATCGGGGGCAATCGGGGGATATGGCATTCCATCTGATACATCAACTGTCGGGGCACGTCATGCATTCCTGTGTTTCGTTCTGCGGCCATCAAGTGGAATGTCAATGTGACTATCACTCATTGACCCTGTTGGGTGCCTGTCTGTATGTGGCATGTTGACGTGCTTGATCGTCTGGGGAAACCGAGGCCCGAGCATCCTCCATCCCAAGCAGTTGCCACCCAATGCATTGCTCGGTGAGCACTGCGCAATCGCGCACGCGAGCATCCCTACATGTTCATCCCTTGTGCTGCGGTTTCTCCCGACATCAGTCCTCCTCCGCAAATCTGCTCGTTGTCCACTTACATAGGTTTTCACCGTCTCTTCTATTGGTACCGCTAGCCGTCTATATGTTTCGCCAGAATCTTATCTCATTCACCCAGCCTTGTCCGAGTTCATCCGATTCAAGCTCCCCACCCAACCACCTTCATATATACAAGGCTGCGCATATCTGCCAGATTGCTGCAGTCATCTGACTCTGATTTAGAGCATTCCAAAATTCCATGTTCAATTTCCGGCCAAGTTGTGGTCCTGTAAACCTCCTGACAGAGGTCTTGGTCTGCGCCCGGCTTGGTACCGTCATTAGGCTCGTCATGTTGTAAAATTTTCCAAAAACGCCGCGCTATGCTGCTAGGACAAAACATCGCAGAATTTTTCCCCCCACCCAGATATGGTCGCGTAGCAATTTATCGTCGGTTCCAGCCCACATTCCATACCACATGGGCAATATCTCTGAAAGTGTTGACGGCATACATTGCCTGCCCGAAAAGCGTGTTGTTCATGGCCACCTCGTCCTCGTTTTCATCGTATGGCATAAACATGCCGGATTCGGTTCGTCTCATCATTGGGTGGCCGTCATTGTTGTCATCCTCTTCATCGTAGGGGGAGCGTTCGTCCCCAAACGAAGAATGAGGCTGCCAGGGCTCATCTACCACTTCCGGATCATCATCAATAAGGAAATTCTGATTCGGCCTAGGAGGCCGCAACGTCTCTTGTGAAGGGGAGGGTGATAGCTTTCGTCCATTGGGCCAAAATCCAGCGGGAGGATTGGGCATCTCCTGAGGCTCAGGGGTATCAGTCCTGTATTTCAACGTAGTGGATGGTAGTGGCACAATAGTTTTCGAGTCGTTGCTGAAACTGCCACGGGGCGTTGTTCGACCGCTGCCCCGTCCCGACCTTTGAGCCGGGGCCATCATCAAGCCACAATCATCGTCCTCGTCATCCTCAAGAATAACGTCTTCTTCCTCGGGTTTGTCATCATCTTCGGAATCAATGGCCTGCACTTGCCTGACCTCTTCGTCGAATAAAACGTGCTTACACTCTGACGGGGTCGGTACGTCAAAAGCGAAAGATGATCTCGGCCCATTGAAACCAGGTGTCTCGTGTTCGGCGGGGGTGTTGACCACAGAACTGTCATAGCGCGGTAGAACAAACTCGGAATTGCCTCGTCTTAGAATAGGTCGTCCGCTGGCTGGACTGGACTGTTGTATCCGGATGATATCTCCCGCTCGCTGGAGCAGAGAATGTTGTGACCTGGACCGTTCCAAGATAACTGCCGACGCCGACTTCTTTTTGAGGATGGGCTTTTTGGAGATGAATGAGGATGAGTGAGATAATCTGCTGGGCGGAGGAGATGTGTTGGTCATGGATTGAGAGATACTCCTGTTCGTCTGGAGCGGTCCGTACAGCCAAGTCACGTCACAATCCTTCAGCCAATTGAGAGTCTCGGGCGAAACTGTCTTGAGATGATTTTTGGCCTTCATCCACGACCTCCAGGAAGCATTCTCTAGCCGAGTGCCATTGGTAAGACTGCCCCGCCTGTGAACCACATAGCTCCATGACCTCCAGATCTCTTCCTCTTTCCAATCATGAGAGAGGTAGTCAACGTGTCTCGTAGGTTCCGCTTCTATGGATTGGTCGTCCTGGGTCGTCCTACCAGTGAGGGAGGTATCGTCCGTTGGGGGACTTGGTACCTGGGTTGTTATATCATCATGTGGCTCGACCAAGACGGAAGCGTCCTGACTTGTTTTGCTGCCCAGGTCGGAGGCCCCAAATGCAGGGAATGCCATGTCGTCATCTTCGTCCATCACGTCCCTGTGATCCAGGGATAAGCAACTTGCCGGTGTTGAGGCATTAGAATCCCGTCGCGAGGAATAGGTCAACTGAGGGGAAGAGGGCGCGGTTGAGGGACCGGAGTCAGCATATACTTTGTCGTAATCGTGGCGAGAGTAGGGAGAGGTTTGGGAATGAGGTTTATTGAAAGATATCGAGGCGTCTAGAGAGGATAAATCAGGATATGAGCCAGAGTGTATGGCGCTGGACGAGAAATGGGAGGCTCCAGCAAGAGGAGCCTGTAGAACGGTCGTCATGAGCGGCACCTCATGAGCCTCTTGGTCGGGCTTCCTTGATATTGAGTAGGCCGGTCTGGCTGGGAGATAAGTGGCGTAGATGAGGTCGGTATAGATGCAGAATTGAAGACCGAAGGAGGAGGGCCGTCCTATGGCAGTTGGTCCCGCGTCTTCTTTGTCGGCAGAGTTTGCTGTGCTTGTATCCTGTCGGCAGGTCGTTGAACTGAGAAGACTGTTTCGACAAATATTCCGGTTACGCAGACCAACAGATGAGGGACAGCCTAGTATAGAACCAGGATATGACGGCAGTTGAAAGGGTGAATGGTAGGAGGGTAAGTCGGCCGCGGGGGTGCAGTTAGGGCGGACGACGAGCGGTTTAGAATGATCTGCGCAGACGCAGAGAGGGTTGAGAGGCAAGAGATCGAGGATCAAGCGGCATGGATGTGCAGGTTTGACGTTGGAAGCGAGAGTAGAAAAAAGAGGCGTTGAAAGATGTGTGGTAGAAAGGTGTGGAGTTTCAAAGGTTGTAGCGAGATGTATGTCGCGGCTGTGTGGATGGATGGAAAAAATGAATGAGCGTGGAAACTGTGGGCAGACCTGCAGGCTGGAGTGGGGGAATCGACCTGGAGGAGGGACTGAGTCTCGAAGGATTCGATCAGAGCGAGGCACCCCGAGGGGGTACCGACTACCCTTAGCGGGCGCTATGCCCACCTCATGCCCAGGGGGTGCAGCAGGGAGTGGGTGGTCCTGCTTAGGTGCCACCAAAGGACCTCTTAGTAGTACCTAGGTAGCAAGTCCCTACTCGTAGGTGCTTAGGGGCCGGGTGGGAGGCGACAAAGACGATAATTGTTGCTGCACCCGCCGAGCCCGCGTCGAATGGTGGAGCCCGTCTGCCGAAAGGCCAACCACAGGCCAACTACGGGAGAGAATGAAGGAGAGTTGCTCGGCTTCCCGAACGCCCGTGCAGCTACAAGCAAATCCTCCAGTGCACAGACCTAGACCTGGGTGATTGTCCGGGGGACCCGACTCTGGAGGTCTGCCCACAAAGTTGATTTGAGTTGCAAACCCTCCAACTTGTCACCCACCTGTCTAGCCAAGATGCATGGGCATGCCGCGACTTGAGTGGTCTGGGACTCGTCGGATATGACAGTGATGCTGCAGGGTGCGGGCTCCTGGCAGGAAAGCAGCCTAAACAAAGTTGGACGCGTGGGAGCCAGGAAGAAAGAGGCCCCTAAAATGACCCGGCCGGTGGTTTAGATAATGCCATCATGGATCAGGGCTGGTGGAGGCAAATCATACGTGAGCGAGCAGGCGGGAGATGAACGAAGGGTGACTGACCAGCCACAGACACAGATAGGTACTGTCGTCGCTCAGAGGTATTGGTCGACAAGGATTAGAGGCACCAGGGAAGCTACTGTCGCGACTATCAGCGAGCCTTTGTCCGAGGCGAGAATTGCCCATCGAGAGCTGTGTAGCGTTCTCTACAATTGCGCGGTCAGACAAGCTCAATTAACTCGAGGTGGCCGGAGTGAGATGAGGTGTGAAATGACGATGACAACGACCTGTGGCCAATAGCGATTGGCGGGGAGCCATCTTCCGAAGTAGATGCGGTGCGGTTCGCGGTTGGGCATTGAGCAGTGAGACCCGAGTAAGAAATCGGTACCTCTGGTCCCATATAAGATTCGCTTAGGCGCGAGGTATTTTTAAAGTAGAGTTCTCACCGCAGATCAGATCGAGCATGATTACCTGAGCGGCGATTCCCATCTCCTGCCATGGCTTGTCTGTCATAATCTGCCATTCCTCATTGTCCTTCCTGATGGTAAAGAATCCCCGAGTCTTTGTTGTGTCAATCCAGTCACTTCCACCCGTGGATACAACATTGGCAACTTGAATACGACGGGACTTACCAGATAGATGCATTGACGGCTTCTTCCCCCTCGTCTTTTCATTCTCTGACTCACAGCCCTCGTCTTTCCCCGCTGTCATGTCGGCTTCTTGGTCTCTCGGTATCCGGGTCTCTGTACCCCTCCTTCACCCTCCATTGCAAGCAACAACATCCCACGTCCCTCCCACTGATAACGCGGCACACCTGCAAGCCACAACACCTTTCAGGATCCTTGCTTCCGGATATTTCAACCAAGCCCTATACCCGTCCTTACAAGATGGAACTTGCCTTGACTGCTGCTGCCTTCTCGGTCAAAGGAGCCCACGGTAACAATGACCTTGGCTGGGGCTGATGGAGCCTGGGGTCGCACCACTTTTCATGTTGAAAACGCCATCTAATTGAAACAATGACCTGGCCAGATACATCTTGCCCTCTTCCATCGACCACCACAGACTACCTTGAGCTATGAAATTTTATCAACGGTCCACCAGCCATGCATCCCACTCTGCGTCGCAACCATGAGCCACAGCTACGGATGCGCCACCCGAAATTTCCCTGATACTGCTCACACTAAGACTTGAGGGCGGCACAGTAGCCTCTTCCTATCCATGTCCAGACCCAATCCCCTTGCCCACACACCTCAGACAACGAACTCAATGGAATAACGCAGCCCAGTGCACAAAATTCCTTCACGGCAGTCGTATAACGCCGTCCAGTAAAATCAGATCCAAAACACATTGGACACCGAGGGCATCTCCGCTTGCTAAATCCAAAAAGGTCCATCGCCTGGAACATGCACATTATCCACTTCAGCGGCTTGCAGGGATATTGCATCTCTTGCCAGCCCGAGCGCCCTCTTTGCGTTTCAACTATCTGACCATTCTGGTGCTCATTCTCGCATCGCACCTCAGAAGCAGCAGTTCCAATTGGTTGTCTCCCCGTCACCCTTCTGGCCGGGCTTGTGGTCGGAATATTGCATCCTACCTCGACCCTCAACCTGCTCAAGACAAGGATTCGGCGGTGGTGCAGTATTGTCATCCATGACCCAGAGCCGTTGACCGAGGATTAGGCCAGTACAAAGCCTTACCACGCTCTTAGCCAGGAAGATTTCCTCAACTAGCTTGCTTCCTTCGCCACAGCTGAGGGATATATGCACAGACCTTTGGAGCATCTACCACATTTTTCTTGCTGTCAATGAGGATTTCGGTTGACGTCTCATTCGACGAAAAAGTCACGTCAACTCAATCCATGCTAATGATGGCGAGAAATGCCCGCTGATAAGGCTTTGCTAATAGGGTCTCTAGACTGGAGATCAACAGACAACAGATGCTAAGACGAAAGACCCATCTAGGAAGGCAGACCAAATTGAGGACATCTCCATTCAGAGAAGGTTCGTATCTTTCGACGTCGGCACGGCTAGTCGTCAGGGTGCAGCATTCTCCATCCCTTTGATCCTAGGATTGTTCCCGTTCGTATTGGTCAGCAGCCGGCGCGAGTTTGTTGTTTCTTAGGAGACGCTGTGGTCAATACCAGGGATACTTACGTGTCAAATGTCTTGAACATGCCCAAATGGAAGGCCTAGATGCGCCGAGAGAGATCCTCTGGTAACTAGGCGCTTTCAAGCCTCATTCAAGCAACGTTCGTAGCATTGAAGAAGCGTGCTGACGGGGCTTTGTTCGTCCCATTGACGACTTCGAAACCCCTTGGGGTGGCCCATCACGACCTCGAATTATGGATAGGTCGATCCTGCTGCTGGGCCTGTCAGATCCATATAAGCTGATTGATAGGTGTCTGCAAGCACCTCCGCCGGCCCAGACGAGCGAGACTCTCTTTGACACTTTAGTTGGCCCTCAGTGCGTGTCAGCGATGAACGTGTGGATCTACCGCATGGGCGTGCACAATGGAAGAGGTGTCACTCTACGAGGTACGGTCCCTCCAAGGGCATACATTTCTGGGCACCACTACCTTCTCTGCAATGTGCCACGGGGTTGTCAACCTTGGCAGACCCGTGCCGTGGGCAAGAATGGCGTTCCAACGTTGTGTAACGCTCATACTCTTTGTTGACCACTGCTATGCAAAAAAGCAGCACCAGCTCTGCTCTCAGAGCGTTGATGTGCTGTTGGATCTCCACTGACGGCCGGCACGGGCGCTTCTGGTGCTCCGTTGTTTCCGGTAGCCCACTTTGCCTAGCATATCGATGAAGAGATCAGAGAGTGGAGGCTTAACTTCTCATCTCTCTAGATGTTCTCATGTCCTCTAGTCCGGTCGAGCCCGTCCACTGTTGGCAGGACACCGTCAAAAGCACTTCAATTGACCCACGAGTGAGGGGCTCTGGGGGCAAGGCTGGAGACGTACTCGGACAAGGAGAAAAGGTGGATGACCCAAGGAAGTACCAATTTTGGCATATGCTAAACAAGCATGACGGAACCGGAGTCAGTTAACAAAGCTAGGTTTCGCCCGACTTGTTCCGTCCTCTAGCCTGCGTTTTGTAGTATCGAAAAGCCTGGACCCCTTGGCTTTCCTGAAGCGGGTGCTGTAGCCCAAAGATAGTGCGTTGTGGCAACTGTATCTCAAACCCTGGGAATCGTTCATTCCCAGAGCTACCTCGAGAAAATATTTCTCAGGCAACCAGAGTCGACATTGAGGAGCCCCAAGATGTGATTGTGTGGAGGAGTCCACTGCACCTGGTGGGAATTCTTGTACGTTGGGGGGAATGGAGAGAGAAAATTTGATCCATCTGCAAGTGATTGATGCACGCCCGTTACTTTGCTCATGGCGACCGTTGTGGGCCTCGCATGAGAAAACTGGAGACAGGAGCAAGAACCCAGGTCGATCATTCAAGCATGCCATGCTCATGCCGTTTGATTCTTCTGATGAGCTGTCATATCTGTGTGTCAAACACAAGGGGCCGGTAGCTTAGGACAGGAACAGTGGAGTATCTCGCAGTCGGCAATTCTCATGGCAAAAAGTCTCATTATTACCAGCAGACTCGATACGAGACTGCAGCATCTCGCTGGGGGAGGGACAATATCAGCTCTGGTAGGCCCATTTCGTGTGACACGGACCACGACAAGGTTCCTCGTCGAAGGATAATCCGCAAGTCCTAACCGAAAAGGAATGACTTTGATGAGATGGGAGGAGTGGTCAGATAAAGCTGCGTAACACTGGGGAAATATTGATAACAATATGGAGACATGGCGCAACAGCTTCGCATCAACTCAAGTGGCTGGATCCCTGCCATCTTCATGGGAATGCTGCATCTCAAACATCCCCATGCAAATTGCACGTGAAAATCGGTCAAGATATGCTGCGGTGGTCAGCGAGTCAATGCGCGAAGTAAGATATCGTGGGATGTACCGAGTAAGTTCAGCGGAATGCTGGACGCCCAAACATGTGACATTCCACCAGCCGAGCCAGGGCCTCCACCCGAAGATTTACCGCCCATGGCTTGGCAATCATCCTCCCGCTGCCAGTGCACCACCACCACCACCACTGCCGCCGCAAGGGACCAGCCGATTACGAGTGCGACTGCGTAGCGTCGTATCTGTTTGATGAGTGGCCGAGACAATTTGCGACAAGCCACATGCAACACCACCGTCGGCGGGCTCTATCATTAACCACAGGTGTGACTTGACTACCTCAACAGTGGTCCTTTTCAGCCTAAAATCCTGATGTCGGCGGAGGTCGCAACAGAGCCAGCCCCGGGCGCTGGTGCTGCTGCAGGGCCTTCTGCCAGAAAGGTTGTCTATTGCGGAGGTGGGCACTCATTGTATTCCGGATAGACCCAATGAACCGAGGATTGATGCTGATGCTAAAACCGGGATACCTACAGTTTGCACCCTTCCACCCGAGGTACGGCCAACATCTCCAGAGGCAAAAGCTCAACTGATGCGACTGGCGGACAACTGACTCGACTTTACGATCATCTAGTATTGCGAGTTCGGCGGGACCGTCAAGAAGTGCGAAGAATGGCTCCAGAAGAACCACCCTGACATGCACCAGAAGTTATACTCGGAAGGTTTGCGGTCCAATCACCTCTACCTGTCCGAGGGTCTAACCAGAGCTCTTCCACAGAAGCATTGAACGCGAATCTATCAGCCCTGTCGGTCGACGCCCAGAAAAGGGCAGAGAAAGATGCTGCCAAAAAGACTGCCAAAGCTGCTGCAGCCGAACAGCGCGAGGCGGAACGAAAAGCTGAAGCCATCGTCCTGATAAAGCGTGTGGAACGAAACAAGCGGAAGTACGTTACTGTTGTTTCGGGCTTGGAGGACCATGGCCTGGATTTGAAAAAGGTGGCCAAAGAGCTGGGCAAAAAATTCGCGACGGGAAGTAGTGTCACCAAGACGGCTGCGGGCGGGGAGGAAATCACTGTGCAAGGTGATGTGAGTGATGATCTATATGACTGGCTGCAAGAGAAGTATCCTGAGATCCCAGAGGATAATTTGGATATGAAGGATGATACAAAGAAGAAAGCTTGAAAGGCAAGGGTTGGACAACTATGTCTGGAGAGCAATATGGTCGAAGGACGACGCATACAAGCCGGTAGCATGTGCTGAGATCCAGAGGTCAAATCCCGACCTGCACAAGGACATGATCTAATGACGGGAGTCGAGCTGAAGAGAGCGATGCTCAGTTGAAACTGTGCATGCGGAACCCAGCAATATCCAGCTGCGTGGGTGAGGCTCTCAAAATTTCTTCCACAAACCAAAAGACCTTCGAAGCACCATGGTAGACCATGGGGCGCGCCTAGTACCCAGAAGTGCAGCATGCTTCACCCAGGCTGTCAATAGCAACTCATCTCTGCCGCCGCTGCTTAAAGCTGGACTTCTCAAGCAACGTCTTCTCAATTCCCTTTCCTGTTCATTGTGCAGCGTGTCTCAAATCACAAATTCCGTGGGTGCTTGACGGTCCAACATGTCTGGCCGCGAGTGTCCATCTTCAGACAGCTCCTCTGACTGGGTTTCTTGCGACGGCAGCTCTTCTCAGACTGTGAATGTCGAGGTCGATTCGCATATCGGATTGCTGTCGACACTGAAAAAGAATCCATGGTTGACGTCATGGTCACGCTTCCGCCGTCGAGCGCAGGCGGCACATGATGCTGATTCTGGTCCTGCCCGTTCCATTATTATACCAGCTGAAGCCGAGCCTAACGGGCCACGCGGGCTTGCCCCTAGCGGGGAACCACCAGTGCCTGGGTTCACTAGCCCTCAATCGCCAAACAAAATGTCCCTGAGCAGCCACTCAAGCAGTGCGTCTTGGGCTCGCTCACTATTCGCCCTCCAGTTCAATCGGCACCGTCAACAACGCGAACCCCCCTTGTCATTGGTACCAGACAGACCGCGCAGACTCCAGCATGGCGATGACAGCGAGGTGTCCAAAGTCAACATCTTGCCTACTGACACGCTGACCTCGACTGCTCGACTGCCTTCGAACGCTCATGTCTGGTCTGAGTTGACCAAAATGGATCCCAATAACCCGACTCTGACCCCTAACCTCGCGGATCTGCTCACCGGTCTGTCGAGTCCAGAAGATGCAAGCCGCAAAATGGCAGCTTTCAAGCTGCAGTCGCTCATCAACGACCCTTCCTTTGCGGAGCATTTCGTGCTTGCGGGCGGCCTGCCTCAACTGCGCACGCTCGTCCTCGAAAGTAGTGGAAATACCCTCGCATATAGTCTAGCCAGCTTTGCCAGGCTGTTAGAGGTCGACCAAGGGTGGGAGGCCGTCAATGATGAGGTTGTTCAGAAGGCAAGGTTTCCCTCATCCAGGCTATCGCAAGGAACGTGCACCACTGACTGATGCGCTTTCCACTGCCAGGTGGTGCAACTGGTTGTGTGCCAACCTTTAGTGAACATTCTCCGAGGCGCAATGGCAATACTTGTCTCCATCGTTTCCCGACCGTATCATGCCGATCGATCCTCTCAAATCAATTCCAATAACAATGCCGGCGGGTTTCAAGCCTTGAAACCGGCGCTTGCAGTATACCCGCAGTTCCTCGAGATGCTGGTGACAAGGTTGTCTTCCGCTGACCATGCTCTGTGCGCCAACGCCCTACAATTGATCAATTCGCTTATGCGCGATGCGATCACAAATGACAATGAAACCGAATGGCCTAAATTTATCAAACGAATACAAGATCTTGGGGTCATCAAGGCAGTATACGTGCTGATGCAGAGTTCGGCGCTGCAAGATTTGGCGCATCCCTTGCTTGAATTCCAAGCATTGACCAAGATATTGCTGAGGAGGTGGAGAGACGTGCCCGTGGACTTAGTTAAGCCAGAACACAGACGGACCATCAAAGCCGTCCATCTGTCCAGCAACCCAGAAAAACAACCCGAATACGAGGTTCGAAACGGAGAATCCAAGCCAAAGCACAATCCACTCAAATGGAGGCGGCTTGGGTTCACCAGCGAGAACCCGGAGCCAGATTTCGCAGATATGGGTTTTCTGGGGATGATGGACCTTTCCGACTACGTCCGGAAATACCAAGATGAGTTCCAGAATATTCTTCTGGAACAATCAGTGCTGCCGGAGCAGCAAAGGTGTCCGTTGGCCCGGGCAAGTTTGACGTTGACGGCAATTCTCTTTGAGCATTTCGAAGTAGACAAGATGGACCTGGAGGATTCCAAAAGCTACCTCGCATTGGAGAGCCGGACCAACTTTGACAAAGTCTTCAAACCTTTGTTGCTGCACTGGAGCCGTTTACACGTCGCCGGATTACATGCCTTCTTCAGATTATGGAAGGCCACGGGGGCTGAAGTGGATGATTTCCCCAAGATTGTCGAGCTGGTCCGGATTTTGGTGGAGAGTGTCGTTGGTGGAGCAGATCGCACCAAGGGGATTGAAGATATCGAGAAAGAGATGGCTGCCTTTGAATACGGCAAACTTCGTGAGCTGCAGATGGAGCTCCTGGAGCTGACGTACGAAGACGTCTGGGGCCAGCACCTCCGTGGAGTTAAGGAAGAGTTGCAAGGCGAAGCTTTGCAATTCGTCAAGGAGCAGAGGATCCGGTGCCTGTTGGCTGGAGCTTGGTTTCCCAACGGAACATATACGGATCAAGAAGGCGGGGGCCCTGTAACGGAGGATAGTTTGGTTCAAAATGCAGCGCACGGCTACCGATTCATCAGGCTCTCGGAGAACCGCAAACACTTACATTGGGGTGACTTTGATGAAAAGGAGGAGCAGTCACCGTCCGCTGCGAGTCTCCGGGACAAGATCGATCTCTCGATCGTATCATCTGTGGTTTCCAATGTAACGGCCAATGACAGGTCATCCATCGGCTCGGACTCGACGCTCAAAGAATTGCTGCATGACCGGTTCACCACAAACAAGATCACGATCCATGGCTATCTGCCCAAATCCCGTGGCAACCGAGAAGGGCATTCGAGAACTTCCTCAAAGACGTCCTCAGCCCGGAATGGATCCAAAGAATCGGTCCTTCTTACCTTCCACCCAAACAGTCACAGTCTTGCCTCAGAATGGCTCGATGGACTTTTGATGCTCCTGGACCAACAGCCAATCACAGCCGAAACCAACAGTCTCATACACATGATCAGCGACTATGGGCTGAAAGTCCGGCTCCTGAACGTACGATTCAATGACGAGGAGGGGATTGTAGAGGGGATGGACGGAATGGATGGTCCTGAGATTCCGAGCCGAGAAGGTCTGGATGATGACTACTACTATGAGATATGATGCTGGAGGGTCTCGAGGCGAGCAAGGGCACAGGCGACCAGGGAGAGCCCCTTCTTCAGGACTGTACTTTGGATATACCAGGATCCCAGAGATTGACGTTATCTCGGAGAGAACAGCAAGGCTACGTTTGGGTTAGCGATGGAGTCTGATGGCACCCAAAAAGGAGATGAAACGGAGTTTTTTGCGGATTTCGTCGTTGAGATACCCTGATATCGTGTTTGCGCAAACGCGTGGTCGGTTGGCGTCCAATTCGAATCAATTGAGACATCAAAGGGTTGTATCGCTTGGCCGCTCTCTACTGCAAGGTGTCAGCCGGAGGTGCAGTATCTGTGAAGAAACCTGTTCAGATTGCGCCGTGTTTCGGTGCCACCGAGGAAAGGGTCTCCTGCCACGAAGACATGCAGCCAACGGGATTTACCGCTTGTGTTCTTTTGATGATAAGACATGCGAGCATTTGCCTTCAATACCTCAAGAGGTAAGTTGCCAACAATCTTTTCGAACAAACCTCGGCCTCAGTGGTCCGAGAGGAAATGAAAATGACGACTCTTTTTTCTCCCCCTACGCTCTAGGCACGTTGCTAGTTCTGGGGTCACGATTGGCGCCGTCAGCAATAGTGGGCAGCGGAAAAGGTAATTGAACAGAGAGGAAGATTTCACGGCGCATTTGCCTTTCCCGCCGAGGCTTCCCCCCAAGCGTGGGCTTCTAGGCAAAGGGTCTAGCCTGTTACAGGGCCTTTTAACCCAAGCCCTCACTGTCTTTTGCAGTTCATGAGGCTCACTGCAGGGGCTCTAAGCCACACCAGGCCTAAAGCCAGAGCCCACAAGCCCAGTGGCACCCCGCCATTGCCCCGCGCCTGGCCAGATGACCGAATCACTACCAATCTCCTGCGCTCTTCTTGATGCCTCGGTCGGGCTTGGAGGCGGTTTTTCTTTCCTCTAGTGCCACCAGATCTACATCACGGCCGCCTCCAAACCGCCTGGTGCAGTCTTTCGTCATGGCTTTGCAGTTCGTTACTGTCGTCAGCCTTAGCGACTCGGATTGGTTGCAGCAGGGCAAATCGACCGCAGCGTTACAGCAAAGGTCGCCTGTCGTGTGTCTTGTGCTGCTTGTCGCGTGTCTTTCAATGGTCTTAGTTGGTCTAGCGAGGTATGCCCATCCGATAAGGTCTGGCTGATCGTTACGCTGGCAGTCTCCTCCTCTCCATACAGCATCCACTCACCTCGAGCTAACCCACCTAGCTTTGATGTCAACTCGGCGACGGCTAGGGATCGTTCCCTCGTGCGAATCGTGGGTATGGGCTCCCAATCGACTGTCAAGGATATGGGGCAAGGGCCCACGTCAAGCCCGAGTCTGTGGATTTTTCTTCGCATTGATAAATCTGCTGCTGTCCCTGCATCTCTACCTTGGGTCTTTCTCTCTTTCGTGACTCTGACCCGTCCCCCGTGCGACACAAGAGAATAAAAAGAAACGGTCCGTCAGGAAAAGAGGAGGAAGCCTAGTTTGTTCCTCGAGTTGCGAGCCTTTCAATAGGTTCAATCGCCTGCGACGTTGTTATACACGGCATTGCTACCCTACACGTACCCTTCTTGACGGATTGAGATTTAGTCGTCATGTCTACCGATTATCAGACAAAAGAGGTGGTTGAAAGCCATGCCGACTCGAAAGATGTCCATCATCGCCAGCACTCTCTTAGCGAGAGGGTGCGCCACAGCATCTCTGTGCAAGCAATCGACGAGAACACGGTCGAAGGCCAAATCTTCTCCATGAACGATGTCGATCCTGTCCTTGATAAGAAAATGCGTCTTGTGAACGCTGTCAGTCTTCCCCAAAAGATGCGCAATGCCTCGGAGTCACGAGTGTAGCACACCGAACTTAAATGTGGACGGTTCGCTGACCAAACTTGCATAGGCCATCGACGAAATCGGTTGGACTAACATGCATCTGAAGCTTTTCTTCCTCAATGGCTTTGGCTACGCAGCCGACTCGTTGATTTTGCTGCTGCAATCAGTCACTTCCGGTCAAGCCGCACTCGAATTCAACCCTTCTTTCAAAAACGGTCTTACCGTGGCTGCATACTGTGGCATGTTGATTGGGGCCTTGTTCTGGGGCTTGAGTAGGTTTTTCTGACAGATTTTGAGCTGTCTATCACTACTGACAGATTAAAAGGTGCCGATGTAATTGGTCGTCGATTCGCTTTCAATGTCTCCTTGTTCAGCTGTTCGATCTTTGCCGTCTGTGCTGGTGCCTCTCCTAATTGGTGTGCCCTGGGTGCCTTCACGGCGTTGGCAGCGTTCGGTTCTGGAGGCAACTTGATCCTCGACACCACTGTGTTCCTCGAATACCTTCCTGGCAACAAGCAATGGCTTCTGACTCTAATGGCATGCTGGTGGGGGCTCGCTCCGGTGATCGCGGCGGCCTTCGCATGGCCATTTCTCTCGATTGGCAAGTACAATTGCTCAAGCCACGCGACTTGCACCTATCACAACAATATGGTAACTTTCCCCGTCCTTGTTCAAACAGTCAATACGTGCTAATAGCTTGTCATTAGGGCTGGCGTTATGTCTGGTACTCAAACGGAGCACTGGTGTTCGTTCTTAGTATCCTCCGTGTGACGGTCATCCGGCTCAAGGAGACTCCAAAGTACCTCCTGGCAAAGGGCCTAGACCAAGAAGTTGTCAACACTTTCCATTCGATTGCTGCCAAATACAACAGGCCTTGCTCGCTCACCATTGAGCAGCTCGAGGCGTGCGGCCCAATTAAATCCACATACGGAAAATCGCGATACGGGTTTTCGGAGTTTGTGGCTCATCTGCGTGGCCTCTTCGAAACAAAGAAACTCGGGATCTCTACTGGCTTGATTTGGTTCTCCTGGACCTTGATCGGTAAGTGCAGGAGGATGGCGTCCACAGTGTGCCGAACACTTGAGGCTAACATCAAGCTCATTAGGACTCGCGTATCCGCTGTTCTACGTTTTTCTGCCCCAGTTCCTCGCCAGTCGTGGGGCTCAGACTGGGCAGAGCGGTGCGTACTACACCTGGCGAAACTACATGATCACGAATACGGTTGGCATCTTCGGGCCCGTCCTTGCCGGGTTCATGTGCAACTGGAAGCTCCTGGGACGAAGATATACAATGGTGATTGGTGCTCTGATCTCCATGGCCTTTTTCTTCGCGTACACTGCCGTGCGCACTCCGGCTCAGAATATCGGCTTCACATGTGCCATTTACTTCTTCGTCAACGTTTACTATGGTACACTCTATGCATATACCCCCGAGGTAAGTCCTACAGGGTCCAGGCCGACAGATTCCATGGAGATACTAACGGCTTGTTTAGAGTTTGCCGTCCGCCCACAGAGCTACGGGAAATGGTATCGCAGTCGGTTGCAATCGGGTTATGGGTCTCGTGAGTGCATTTGTGGCGGAGTACTCCAACACCGCCACAAGTGCTCCCATCTACATCTGTGCATCCCTCTACATCGCCATGGTAAGTGGATGTCGTTTTACGAAGCTGCATGTCAAAGCAGGTACTGACAGGCGGGACAGGCACTCGTGGCCATTGCCATGCCTTTCGAGCCGTATGGAAAGAGGTCAATGTAGAGAGCGGGATGTGATATGTGCCTGAAGACGTGGTCTATATACATGATTTATGATACCCTCCCCTTGAAGCCCCAGATCAACCATTTTCCAAAGAAAGGACATGTCCGCATGAATTCGGGTACAAATGCCACAAGATATCGCGTGGGAATTTGCCGCTCTCAGGGCGAGTTTATCTTCTGCCTGGCCATCCCACCGAGTGGTCGATTGATTGACTTGATGCGGGCTGGTCCATACCTTCCCGAACCGGTTTAAAGTATACATGAAGATCCCACTTGGCACTCGCCGCGCCATTGACGTCGCGCCAAACTATCAGTGTCGATCGTCTCCCTCCTTCCTATCTCTATCCAGCCACGCGGAGGCGCATACATGCTTCGCATCATGGCTATTCCCATTTGCCCCCTGCGCTCGACCCTTTTCTGAGCCTCCATTGTGATTGATGCAATCCCACCACGCGACATGGAGCAACGACAGGCGGACTCTGCGAATTGCTTATCCAACCCCGGCTTTGGCTTCATCTCTGATGCAACCTCTCTTGAATCCCCTCCTCTCTGCCTATCAATGATATCGCGACCTCATGGTCGGTGTTGTCTCGGTGAAGATCCCGAGGGAGATAAACTTTCCTACTGTCATTGAAGTCTAAAAGGTCAACTGCACTCTATTTTGTTTGACGCCTGGTCTCTGGACGACTCTGTCGTATGTCTGTACTTCTTGTGTCGACTACTTGACGGTCCGAGTGCCTTGAGTAATATCGACACTCCTCCTTGTTCTTGTGTTGGCGTCACATTACTTCCTCAAACGGGTCCTTTCGTCATCGTCCTACGTTGACAACAACCATGGGCGATATCGAAGACAACGAGAAGTCCGTCGAGGTCCACAACCTTCCTGGCGGCCGCTCCGTCTCGCCGGTGGACATAGGGAAACGGCAGGAGTCGGTATCTTCTGCTGCAGCAGCAAAAAGAATCCTCGAGCACAGCAATGATGCCGACGAGGCGATGAAGGCTTTCGCCGCCGGCGAAGTCATCGAGATTGACGAGGCTACTAACAAGCGTCTCCTGCGCATAATCGACTGGCATCTGATGCCACTGCTCTGTGTCATCTACGGGTTGAATTACCTTGATAAGACTACCTTGTCATATGCCAGTATCATGGGCATCAAGAAGGACATCAACCTTGTCGGCGATGACTACCAGTGGCTCTCCAGCATGTTCTATTTTGGCTATCTGGCTTGGGAGTATCCCACAAACCGACTGCTGCAGAGACTGCCGCTTGCCAAGTACTCTGCCTTTTGCGTCGTGGCCTGGGGCACGGTTCTGGCATTGTTCGCCACAGTCTCCAACTTTGGCGGTGCCGTTGCTGTACGATGTATGTGTTGTCCTTTATCTTACGAACCCCTTGAAACCGTCGATGCATCCATCTGACGACCATATAGTCTTTTTGGGTGTTATGGAGTCTGCCGTCACTCCAGGTTTCGCCCTGTTCACTTCTCAATGGTACACCAAGCGCGAGCAAGGCACACGCACGGGCTTCTGGTTTTCGTTCAACGGCTTCGGTCAGATCTTTGGCGGTCTCGTCTCGTATGGCATCGCCGTCGGCGCTCGCAAGCACGGGACCGCCATCGCGCCCTGGAAAATCGTCTTCCTGGTCAACGGCTGTCTGACGGCCGTACTGGGAATTGTGTTTTTCTTCGTCATGCCGGACAACCAGCTCAATGCGCGGTGGTTGAAGCCTCGCGATCGAGTCTTGGCCGTCGAGAGAGTGAGAATCAACCAGCAGGGCATCGGCAACAAACACTTCAAGTGGTATCAGTTGAAGGAGGCCCTGCTGGACCCACTGACCTGGGCATTCACTTTCTACGCCCTGACCGCGGATATCCCTAACGGAGGCATCAGCAACTTCTTTTCACAACTGGTGTGTATTTCCTGTCGTGCTCCTGCCCCGCTTTCTTCATATGGTCGATACAAACTCTCCTTCGCGCATATTCTAATGCTACGTCTCTAGATTGTTTCCTTCGGCTACACGCCCGAGCAATCTCTCCTGTACGGCACGCCCGGTGGCGCCGTTGAAGTCGTCTCCCTGATGTTCTGTGGCTGGCTTGGCGATCGTCTCGGCCAGCGACTCCTCGTCTCCATGGGTGGGTTGGTAGTTGCACTGCTCGGCATGATTCTCATCGTTGCTCTCCCCTTGAGCAACGACGGTGGCCGCCTTGCAGGATATTATCTCACTCAAGCGTCCCCAACCCCCTTCGTGGCTTTGCTCTCCCTGATCTCCACCAATGTCGCGGGTTACACCAAGAAAACCACAGTGGCAGCATTGTATCTCATCGGGTACTGTGTCGGTAACATCATCGGCCCGCAGGTCTTTAGGCCCGAAGACGCTCCTGAGTATCGCCCGGCAGAGATAACGATCATCGTTTGTTGGGGCGCATGCCTCGTTGATCTTGCTTTCATCTGGTGGTATTGCAAGAGGATGAACAAGAAGAAAGCGGTAGAACGGGCCGAGCCCGGATATGTCAAGCTGGAAAATCAGGAGTAAGTTGTCATCCCACACTTTGCGATTCTTTGGCAATTCGTGCCAGGACGGGTGGAAAGAGGCCGTTGAGACAAAGGGAGGGCGGCGAGAGCGGCGAGGGCGGTCGTTCTCGGCCGATTGGAATCAATCCTCTGTTTCTCGCGCTCCCTCCTTGTCTCTTGCTCCCTTCACTGCCAACCCGGTCTTTGCCAACGGCATTCGAAGGGTCCAATGGCTGACACTCATATCTGTGCAGGTGGCTTGATCTTACCGACAAGGAGAATCCCGAATTCATCTACAGCCTCTAAATCAGCAGACGGGTGCGTTGAACGAATGTTTCTTAAACCACTACGATGGATTAGAATTGCGGTTGCTTGTCTTCCGGGACATGTAGGTGCTGGAAAAATAAAATTCGGGGTTAGGGTTAGGGTTCATGGGGTGATTATGATGATCCAGTAGAGGTGGACATTGTCGTTGTAAGGCTCTGGGATTGTATCTAGGACCCAGGCCTCAGTGATGCATTGACTCCAGCATACAGACAGTCAGCGACAGGCAGAGAGAAATGAAGCAGGACTTACGATCATCCTTGGTACATGGTCCAAGTACCATCCATACATCAATGATTCTAGCGTCGTCCCCTGGTAATTGCCCAGGAAGATATGACCTCTCTCTTCTGACTTTCCCTCCTCCCTTATCCCTTCCTTTACCCTTAGCCTCATTCTAAAAGAGGTAGTAGGGAAGAAGGGCCTCGAATTGCCCTTTTACGGCTCTCTCAATCTCTCTCTCTCCTCTATTCTTTATCGACGTCCCTCTATCCTTCATCTCTCTTCCCCCAGCCTCACATATATATCTCCTTCCATCCCTTCCCCCAAAGGTCCTTGCGATGGGATCTGACTCTTGAATTTCCACGGCCCGCCGAAACCGGAGGTCTCAGCTCCATCAGATTAGATCCTCTGCCCACATTGATCTCAATCTGATAAAACTTCCCTCGTCTAGAGTTTCCGAAGCCCCCTCCCTTTTCTCTCTCAACTTTGAGGGATTGCGTCGTTTGCGTCATCGATGACGGCGACATGCATACCCCGTGCCATGTGTACCAGCTCCCCTGGCCAACGAACGGAAATCCATTTCTAATGTATGTTTGGTGGTTTGTGGAGCTTCGTTTTGCTCGGATCATTGTAGGCGTGCACAGCGAGGAGGGGAAGGTGGGTGAAAGGGGGCTGTCCAATAGACGATGAGGTATTGTCATCGCGGAAATGCGGTGAGGTTGAGTTGCGTTTCATCATTCGCCAGGGAAGTTGGGTCTGGCATACTGGTATCCCTGTTAGGTATGCAAGACGGCGTAACGTGTCACTGCCTTTTTTGCGCTGTTTGCTCTTTCCTTGTGCGCTGTGTGAGGTGGGTTGTGCAAGGCAAGAAGGTAAGCAATCAAAGGTGTTAGGTGAGGTGCTCAATGGTTTGTACGAGGTACTCTATTGTGGTACAATCTATCTTCCCACTAAGTCCGGTAGTGCACGCCCCAGTGAATAACTTTGTCTATCCCACGACTTGATCTTTCTCTTCGAATCCATACCTTGTTCTTTCGCACGTTGCTCGGCCTTCCAGACACGTTCGTGACACGTTCGTGGCACGTTTGTGGGTTGCTGCTCCTCCGGCCCTCGCATCCTCCCTGAGATCTCACAAACACGTCAATCTCAACCGGACTCAATGCGGTGCGGAACCCCGTGCGCAGTCAATGGCTGAAAGGATCGAGGCAGCCTCGTACGGCCATCGTCTCCTATCCTTGAATTACACCGCGAGTTCAACGACTCTCTTTCCCCTCCATCCATCAATCTGCCGCCGCGTACAAGCGACCCACCTCGGTCGTGCCATCACAGATCCTTCTTCTTCCACATGCCAATGCGCTCCTGGACATCCTCATCCTCCCAGTCCTCGACGGACATGTACTTTTTGAGGAGTGGCTTCTTGCCCATCCACAGGGCTATGTAGGCGCAAATGCACTGGAACAGCCACGGGATCCACCACCGGAGAGGTCCGAGGAACGACCAGCTCGGCAACATTATCAGTGCTGTGGCGGAGACATGTCTGTTTTTGATCCCCTACCGTTAGAGAAAAGGGGGCGAGCGGAGGGTGTGAGGGAGATAGAAACTTACTGGGTCAACATGATCTGCAACAGACTTATTTGCTCCTTGCCTTCGCTGATATCACTCACGTACATCAGCAAATTCTGAAAGAAGAGCCGATCCATCTTGTCGTCCATGTCGTCCGGGTTTGGATGCGCCCAGACCAGGAACGTGGTGTCTTCCTTCGCGTTCGGAGATGGCCAGAACCTGTGAGGCATCCAGGGCTCGATGTGGTGGGGTCTCTCCCTGGGTGTGTTTTGGGGTGTGTGGACGTTGTCGATCTGCGAGTAGGTCGTGGTGGTGCAGACTTCGCCTGAGAGCATGTAGAAGGATTCGAACTGTTGGAAGTGCAGGTGCAGCGGTGGTGACTAGAATGAGGGACGCGCATAGGGGGCGCAAAATCAGCATCCCATCGCGGCCGGAGTGATCGAGAGAGGAAGGGGGAGATGTTCCATGTCAGGCAGACTCTGGGCTCTCAAGAGTACCGCCATTTCAAGGCACGAACAGGGACCGCGAAAATGACAAACCTGAGGATGGCCTTTCCCTTTCTTACACAGCGGGTGATCATGTTTGTAGGTCGCTCGCATCAACACTCTGTGAAAAGAAGGAACGCGGTCAGTAAGTGGTGCAAGAAAGTCCCCGTCTGTGGATGGAGCGTCAAAATCCACATTCCAACAAGGGAGACCGCCCGATGCCCCAGCCTTGCCATCACCCTGTCAATCTCCCTTGACTGGCTAGACACCTAGGTCACTACCTCCACAGACAGTAGGTAGTCGACAGCTGGCGACCTGGGCCCGGGGACGAAACGGGGGGAATCGAACATGAGAGAGAGAGGACAGGGTTATGAAATCACTGACGAGGCATTCCTGGCCGGCTTCGGCTGGAGAAACTCCAAGATGAAGGACCCATTGTACAGCGCGAACGGGCCCGCGATGACCGGTTCTTCCTCCTCTGCCGCCGCCGCCGCCGCCGCAGTTGGTCGGAGTGACATTGTCGCCGTCGTCGACGTCTCCGGCACGCCTCGCTTCAGCTTCTGGTCCCCGGTTCTGTCCCTTTCTTCTTGCCTTCTGGAAATTGACTGCAGATGCTCTGCAAACTGTGACGCCGCGGAGATAGAGGTGTGGATGTGATCCCCCCCGTCGCGCCGAGAATGATGGGATTGAAGACTTAGGTTGAAAGGGATATGAGAGAAGCAACGCGCCACGGCTTGTGCGTACCGCGTTCGTGGGCAGATGATATTTTTTATAGAAGTTTTTATATAGGGCAGGTAGGGAGCGAGAGTGTGGTTACCATGTACCCATGTACCTACGACGGGATAGGCAAGTGGATTAGGTAGGATTGGATAGGGGTTATGTGCAAGTATGTAATAGCTCCTTCAAGGCCAGCCCAATAGGTGCCAGCTTGCTTCAGCTCCGAATAGCTAGCTGCATGATGCTTGTTTGGCCCTCGAGTAAGATCTTCTCCTGGATCCATGAGGTCGCTACCTCGTTACAACCGCCCGTAGTTGCTCGCGGAGATAATTCAGGTTCCCACGCACACAGCCCTTTCCTTGCTCTGAAACTCCCCAATCAGACAAACACTCTCTCGCGCGCTCCTTGGGTTCACCTATGTACTCGCTGAGTGCAACCCTGGGATTATTGCCGACTAAGCCTGGATCGATATTCCCCATAGCGGCATTGGGGGATGGTGAGAGGGGCCAAAAACCCCCGGTCGCTACGGTACTTTGCTCATACTGTGCGCCGGTCTGTGCGGGACAGAAGGGACGCAAAAGCTAGGCAAGCAGATATCAAGCATTTGGAGCATGTGGGAAGGAAAGAAAGGACAGTGGGCAGAAACTCCTCATTGGGAACCAGGTAATATTATTAAGTTACCACGAGTACCTAGCAATTGAGTCCTCCAGGCACCCACGTGGAACGACTTACCTGGAACATGGGCTCCGGAAAGCCTGAGCCGACCGACGAATAGGGAATTATCCACTTCAGCAGTGGGTGGTGCTCGTACTTGCGAGACACAGTGTCAGGTTGGGGGCGAAAGGTTAGGGGTTGCATCAAATGTTGTGAACTACCTATCTTTTCTACCTAGTAAGTAAGATCCTGAAAGTGGAGACAGTAAGACAAAGAAATAGTTCTCTAGTTATATAAACCTCTAAACTCTGGACCGTCTATTTGTCAAGCATACTGTCTACGAGAAATTCAGCATCAAGCTTCTCACGCCATCCATAATCCCACTAGCCTCGTCTTCAGAAAGCATGTCTATTGGGGCGAAGACGCCCATACCCAGGTGGCCATCTTCAATCTTGGCTTCGATGTCAATCGCAGGCTGCAGCAAGGAAACATGTTAGTCAATTGAAATGCAGAAGGCAAGGAGTCGGGAGATTGGATGGACTGACCAAGCACCACTTTGTGGTATCTGCATTAACCTTCATACCGTTGATGAAAGGCGACGCGGCATCAAACTCCTGAAGTCTACTCTTCTGCTCGGGCGACATTTCTGCATGCGTGACTTTCACTTTGCTGGACTGATCTCCAGATGACAGTGAATCTCGACGGTCGTCACTGGGGAGAGACAAGAAATTGACAAAAGTGTCGAGTCTGACGCCAGTCCAGGTATGAATGTCCCTCATAGCAACTCCACAATTCTCTGTGTTAGTGATTTCGCTTAGATCCTGCTGTATTTGTAGAGCTGATTGAAGAAGGTTCTCCTGCCCCTGTCGAATTCTTAGCGGGACAATGCTGAACGTCGGAGCCGCCAACTCCATTATTCCGTCGATATCAAGGGACCGATTTGCGAGATAGATTCCGACCACAACATCACCCGATTCAGCCTTGGTCCCGAGTTGCCCTGCATCCAGCTCACGACGAATCCTCTCATAAACCCTGGCGTACGCGGCAAAGAAGAGTGCTTGAATGCCAAGTCCATGATGCTTCAGTCGATTGCTCAAACTGTCAACTGGCAAAAGCGTCGGATGGAACCTCTCAACACGCCGTGCTGCGAATGAACCTCGAGTCATGGGTTGCAATGCACCCTGACCTTTACCAAGATAGTGCGTCCAGAACGCTTGAGCCATTGGACGAGCTGCTTGGTTGGTAAGCACAAGAGTACTCATGTCCGTGTTCGGTCGGGTTTGCGAGCCGGTACCTGCACATATCCTCTCGAGCCGTGTAATGAGCAACTGGAAACTCACTGCATCGTATAAGGCGTGGTGAATGCGGAGAGCGACAAGCAACTCTTTCCCTGCGGTATCGAAGTGCATCGTCCAGGGGAAGTCATACTTCTCTGCTGCCTCACTTTTCACGATAACTTGGAATGTTTCTGGACTTTCCCCGTCTGTGTTGTGAATGAAGAGAGTCCTCAATATCGAAGTTTCTCGGACAAGCTTCTTCATTGCCCGCTCCAAACCTTCCACTGGAACGCCGGATACTTTCAGCCAGAAATTGGGATAGAACAGGCGGCCATTGCTTGCACTCCACATATCTAGCATGTATGTCTGACCGGCAGTACATGGTATGACCATTTCGATGTCGCCCTCCGGTATGATGAGGCTCTTCTTCACGACTTCGGGTACCGACGTGTCGGCTGTGCGCCTATTTGACGTACGGGAAGTCTCCTTGACAGCACCTTTGATCTTTTCAGCGGCCACTGCCATCTTCTCAGCCGTCTGTGCTCTGATGATCTCGCTCACTGGAAGCTTAACGCCCTCTTTTCTCAACAGGCTAGCCACTTTGATAGCGCTGACGCTATCTAGCCCAAGATGGAACAGCCCGATATTCTTTTTGACCTGCTCTTTTTCCAAGTTGGAGACTTTCGCGAGGACATCCCTGATGATACTTTCTGTCGCAGTCCAAGTTTCCTGGCCTTGGGACTGCTGTAGGTCCTCGTCAGGCTGAGAGTCCGTCCTTATGCTGTCGCGCTTGCTGCGGACTACGTCCACACCTGGTAAGCCGCAAATCGACATCTTTTCGCCTTCTTTTCGCAGTAGGCCTTGGTCAGGATTATTCATCAGAGCGGCCAGAATAGTATCCAGCTTGCTCAGGAGGGTCTGTCCAAATGCTTCATTGGCTACTCCGTTTTGAAATGCAATAGTCCAGATAAGACCACTCCCGCCGCCCTCTAATTCCACATTGACAGGGTATGGCGGCGTGAGGGATGCTCCATCAGGCGGCACTTCCTCGTACAATACCGGAAGCCCACCGTCGGCAGTTGGAAGCTTTTGGAAAGTAAACAGAGTATTGAACAATTCTTCATACACCTCCTGTCCTCGTGCAATCTGAAGAGCCTCACGTAGTGGAAAGTGCTGGTATTCTAAAACTTGCACAACTGCATCGTGTACCCTGTGCAGGGCTCGTGACTTTGTCATGTTCTCTTCGATCAGTGGTCTGAAGGCGACAGTGTTGAATGTTGGAAAGATCAACCCATCCGAGTCCTCGGTTGTGCGACCAGAGAGAACGAGGCCGAAGCATACATCCAACTGACAGGTGTAGTGAATAAGTGCGATTGTCCAGCATGTTAGACCCAAGGTCTGAAGCGTCACTCCTTGCTGCCTACAGAACTTGAGAGCACTGATTAGGCTGGTGTTTGATTGCTTGCGGAGTAAGACCGCATGGCCGGAGGAGCCGTGATCATCGACGTGCGCTTGAAAAATGGTGGGTTGAATATTCATCAGTTGAGACTCCCAGAAATCACGAGCTTCTGAGCTTTCCGCTTGATTGATTATCTCCTCGAGGTGTTCTTGATACTGATCCAGCGCCGGCCTTTGGGTTTTGCCATTCGTAGACTGGTAATTCCTGGTGACTTCCTGGTGCAGCAGGTGCAATGACCAAGCATCGTACAACGCATGCGGCATCGCAAGCACAAGGACAGACGCCTTCTTTTCCTGGACAATGGCGATGCTGGTCTTCTGGTCTGCCAAATTTTGCTCGCTCAGGGTTTTTTGGAGACTCCTGACCACATCATTCAGTTTCTTGTCATCAGAAACCGTCACCTTAATTCCTTCTTTCATCACAAACTGCAGGAAAGCCGTGTTCCTGTCTGAAGTCTCGACGACCGCAAAGTGGGTCCTCAGGATTGGCTCTGTCTGGGAGACCTTTTCCCAGGCTCCGATCAGTCTCTCCATATCAATGTCGGGGCCTAATCTGAAAGTCATGACGTTCAGATACTTGTCTGATTCCAGGAGCAGGCCTTCCTGCATCGGTGTGACTGGAAAGATGGCCTGCACGTCTTCAAGGTTAATTCCATGACCTTGCAGCATATTTCTATAGCTAATCTGACGCTCCTCAATGGAAGGCACTGGCTCGCCAGTTTCCGTTCGTGCTCGGGTTTCTGCGCTTGAAGCGGCCGCTGCAGCAATCCCTGCAACGGTGGGCGATCTCATGATTGCGCTCACAGCGACTCTCAACCCATTTTTCTTAACCCTAGCTGCGAGTTTCATAGCTTCTATGCTGTCTAGACCCAATTCAAAGATCGTGGGTCTGTGACGATGTATCCTCTTTCCGTCCACAGAAGCGAGCTTGGCGATTTCAGATCGAATCATTGTCTCTGTGGTGCTCAAAGGGTTATCATCGTTTTCTTCGTGAACGCCGTTGGAGGCTAGAAAGTTCGTTTCAGGTTCTCCATTTAGAGTCACAGAATCTTGTACTGGGCAAAAGTCGGTGGGCAGGATTACATCCATCTCTTCCGGTCTGCAGACGACATCAAGGTACTTGTGTAGCAACTGGCTGGCTCTTTCTTTATTCAGATATTGTGACTTCGCGACCAGGGTGATATCGAAATCAGTTCCCGCCTGCTCCACCTCAATATTCAGTGGATAGTCTGGCGAGCTGTCTGTTGGAATTGCTCGCCAGAGCGCGCTGTCACCAAGATCCATTGATACCTTCTGGAACACAAATAATGTCTCAAACAGAGCCTGGGTCGCATTCATTCCAAGGTATTTACCAACCTTCCGCAGGGGCGTATGTTGGTAAGGAATGATATCAATATTGAATTGATGACATGCATGGACGAGATCGCAGACTGTTGCTCCGTCGTTGAGAGAATCAATGCAACATGGAAGAGTGTTAAACATCGGGCCGATAACATGCTCGATTTCTTCTCTGGCTGTGGCTCTGCCTGACACCACCACACCTATTGTGGGGCTGGAGTTGAATTCCCTCTGCATCACGTAGAGTAGCATGGCCTGGAAAAAAGCCGAGACCGTAACGTTCAGCTCATTGCATAAGGTTTGCAGATGGTCAATCTTGAGATGCTCCCTCAAGACGACATAATGAGTAGCTGTCTCACTCTCAGCATAGGCCAACGGTAGTTTCTGTGGCCGGATGCGAGCAAGATGTAACCGCCAGAATTCCTTCTCATCCGGCAGCTGACATAGTGGACCGTAAGGCAAGGCCTCGTAAAACTGCATTTTGAGCTTATGGATCTCCTCGGGTTGGTCATACTGTTGCTTGACTTGCTTCAACAGAATGGGAAGGCTGTTTCCATCATAGAGCCCGTGAAAGATTTGGAGAGCCATGAAGCCACCATTTCCAGACTTTGACAACTCGACTTTCCAAGGCAATGATGTAGATAAGGATCTGACAGTTCCAACCCAATTCCTGAAAGAGGAATCCTGGATTTTGCGGATGCCTCCATTCCTAGCTTCGTAGCTAATCATATTGACCGCGCTGTCGTACTTGCGGAGTACAACTTGAGCAAAACCATCTGGTGTGGGTACGAAGAATGTCCTCAGGATGGAAGTTGACCGCTGAGCAGCGTCCCACGCCCATTTCAGTCGCTGTATGTCGGTATCCGGATCGAGTTCAAAAAGAAAGCAGGAGAAATAAACCATGTCGTCGGGTCCACTTTGCATGATTCTGGAAATCATGCCTTCTTGTAATGGAGTACAAGGTGCGACGTGCTCGATGTTTTCCGGTCGAACATCCATACTTCGAGCTATTTCTCCAGAATGAGCATCACGGAATGATTGAATCTTCGTGCGAGCGGTTTCCACGGCTCGGACTTGGTGTGAAGTGGCTTTTCGAGTAATGACTCGAACTAGATCTTGAATGACAGAGTGCTTGAGGACCGTTCCTACTTCGGCATTCTGGAAACCCTGCCGCTTGAGAACCCTGGAGAGCCCAATGGCCGAGATTGAATCCAGCCCAAGTTCGAACAAGCTCGAAGTCGGCTTGATGTCTGATATCTGGATTCGCAAGAAAGGCGCCAGCACACTTGCCACCTCATGAAAAGACTGAAGGTCTTCTGCGGGCGACACATGACTTCCGCCAGAGTCGTCTCGCCCTGAGCCTGGTAGATTTTCCTCATACAAGGCTTTCAACGATCTATGATCAACTTTGTTGTTGACTGACAAGGGCAGAGACGAGACTGCAAGAATGTATGAGGGCACCATGTACGCCGGTAGCTTATCAGAGCAGTTCATCCGAATCTTTGCAGCCAGGTCCTGCGAATCCCTGGTTGCTACAATCAAAGGTGTCTCGTTCTTCGGCCGCCTTTGGGCGGTAGAGAAGAAAGTCACCAGCTGATCTTTCTGTTGTGTCGGGCGTTTCAAGACCATGGTAGCAACATCCTTGATGCTCCCATCTGCACTCATAGCGACATGATTAATCTCCCCAATCTCCAGACGCTGCCCACGTAGTTTAATCTGGTCATCGATTCTGCCTAGAAATTCGAAGCTGTCATCATGGAGGAGGCGGACAAGATCACCGGTCCGGTAGACCCTCGTACCATATTCGGCCAGCACTACGAACTTCTCTCTTGTAAGGTCGGGTCGGTTGAGATACCCCTTTCCGACAAGAGGTCCAGACAAACAAAGCTCGCCAATCGCACCGCGGAGTACTGGATTCTGTGACGAAGGTTCCAAGACGAAAGAGCCCACATTGTCCCACTGTTGACCAATATTGGTGGGTTTCGCATTCTTAGGTACTTGCCGATGTACTGTGCAGCCGATCGTCACTTCGCTGGGTCCGTAGAAATTGTAAAGACAACCTGTATCGCCCCAGGTTTCCAAAATATCCTGGCTGACTTGCTCGCCGCCAACGATAAAGACACCTTCACATAGGCTGGGCACTTCTTCGGGCGTGAGCAACCTTGCCAGACTGGGTGTCAGGTCAAGATGTGTTACCTTGAGAGTGTTGATAGTAGCCGGAAGGTCCTCAAACAAGACATCTCTCGGGGCGGAGGTCACGATAATGCCTATGCTCCAGCTCCAGTATTGTTCCAGCACGCTGACGTCGAAATGGAAGGATGCGAACTGCAGCCAGCGAGATGATTCCTTCCATCTACCACGGAAAATCCGCTTGAACGACAACATTGCTTGGACTGCGCTGTCATGGCTGATCAAGCAGCCTTTTGGTATCCCTGTAGTTCCTGAGGTGTACAGACAATAGCAGATGTCTTGAGTGTGCAGCTCTCTCGAGAGGAGAGGCCTTTCGCCAGACAGCTCCCGCCAATTGATATTGTCAATGGCGAAAGTAGATACACCAGGAATAGTATTGAACTCTGGTGTCTTGTCATCTGTTGTGAGCACAATTCCGCAGCCAGAATCACGGAGAATGAATTCTTTCCTTGAAGTTGGTGCACCAGGATCAATGGCAATGAAGCCGCACCCTGATTTGAGTACCGCCAATATTGCAAAGGAAGCTTCAGGGCATTTATCGAAACAGACGGCCACGAGGTCTCCGACTTGCACCCCTTTACTCTGGATCAGTCGAGCTATTTTATTTCCGTTTGAATCCAACTGGGCGTAAGTCCAGCTTTCCTTTGTGGGAGCGGTCCCGTTCAAGCTTTGCACAAATTCTAGGGCAATGTTGTTTGGTTTCTGCCTTGCTGTAAGCTCCACAAATTCGTGCAGATAGCGGACGGCAGTTGGAAGTCGTTCTTCTTTGGCAGGCACCACCGACAGAAGTGATTCTGGAAGCTTCGGAGTATATGTCGCTTGTGTGAGCAGGCTCTTCATCAGTTCTTCGAACTCTCGAAGGATATACTCAGCTTGATCTGGTGGGATAACCTTCTCACGGAAAGTTACCCGGAGATCCAGTACACTGTTTTCTTGAGGTATGAGCTCCAGGGAGATTGTGTACTCAGCAGTTGCATCATCTTTGATGAACGTCCAGGGCCTTTTTGGGCCTTTTTCAATGTCATATTTTTGCAGAACGATCACAGTGTCGAATAGATCACCTTCAGCATGCACCCAACGCTTGATCGAGCTTAGTGGACTATGCTGATATTTCAAAACACCAGCGCTTCGCCTCACGGCTAATTGCAAAAGCTCGGTCCGGTCTTGAGGAAGTCTCGTCGCAAACGGCACAGTGTTGATGCAAGGAAATACAACCCTGTTTTCCTCTTCGTCAAAGTCCCGACCAGAGAGTATGACACCAAATGTAACGTGGTCCTGGGCAGTATACGCCGAAAGTAACAGAGACCAAGCTGCAGCAACCAGGGCTTGTACTGTTGCTCCTGCATTTGCGCATGCATTCTCGATTGTTTTTAGAGACGTGCTGCACTGCCGTGTCGCGACGCAATAGTTGTCGGCCTCTTGACTGTACACTCCCAAGTCAGGGAAGCGAGTTGAGCACATATCAGCCGATACATCCAACCAGAACCTCTTGGAACTTTCGTCTCCGCTCATGCCTATGATTTTCGAAACGACTGGTGCAAGGGGAACAGCCATCGGCAGTTGTAAGCCTGCATACGCACGAGCAACATCTCCCAATATGATATCAAGAGAATGTGCATCATAAAGGGCGTGCAGCATGGATAATTCAAGGCTCGGAAAGGAGCCTGTTTTGATCACTCGAATGAGCCATGGTGGTTGTATGAGACCGTGCATGTCTGTAGACCTCTCTTCGCCTATCTCTTGCCTTTTTTGCGTTGAATGGTCGACCCAGGGCAGTTGTACCGCATCTGGACGATAGATTATCATGACGAATGGTGTGCTAGCGTCATCTGTCTCAGCAAAACCAGTCCTTAGCATTGGGTGTGTCTGCAAAGCAACAGACCAAGCACGTCTCAACCTTGATAGATCCACATCTTTGTCCAATCTGAAATGCATGTGGTTTAAATAGAGCCTGTAATTCGATCGGAGGAAATGCGAAAGGATACCTGATTGAGTGGGTGTGCAGGGCCATACGGACTGGACGCTGGTTTCGTCGAGACCGTTATTTTGACAGATAAAGTGGCGAGAGAATTGTTCATAGGAATCCAAGTCGAAGGGCGAATGCTTTTTGCCTTGTTGGGCCACGGAGTCGCAAATGTTAGCGATATTTCTGACACTTGCAGCTTCCAAAATTGCCCCAGTCGATACATGGAATCCGCTTTTTCGCAGCCTTGCTGCAATCTGCACAGCATTGATGCTGTCGAACCCCAGGTTGAAAACTGTCGTGTCTCTAAAGATCTTTGGAAGAGCACCGGATTTCAATTGTACGAGTATATCCCTGACCAAAATCTCCGTTTGAGACAGGTGTTCGTCCATGGAAACCCGTCCGTCGTTTTGGTCAGTGGCAACTGACCTTGTAAAGATCATCGACGGAATGGAAGGCTGCAATCTTGGCAACATCCCGGCGATGAAGGAATAGTCCAAGGCTCTTGCTTGCGGATATTTGGCGGTGTGCATAAGGAGAGCGTCGTAGACGTCCAGCAATTTGCTCAATGTCTTCCTTTCAGCAACCTCAGAGTGCAATTTGAGGGTGATTATACCATCCCTTGAATCCATCATGATTTCAAGTATGAAAGGAAAAGGCATATCTCCTGATTCCTCAACCAGAGTCCAGACCTGATGATCAAGCCGCAGCTCGTCTTGTTGGAGCAAGATCAAGGTATCAAATAATGGTGTGCCTTGGGTGCCGACAGCTTGCTGAATTTTACGAAGCGAGCTCGACTGATGTCGTAGGGTCTCGACATTCATCTGTTGAATGCATTGACATATTTCCTGATTCGATTTGTCAGGCTGCATTTGCACTCTCGCTGGAACCGTGTTGAAGCATGGAGCGACCATCCTCTCCATGCCATCGATAGGAAGGTTGCGACCGCTAAGGACGTTGCCAAAGCAGATATCCTGGCTCTCGAAGATACAAGAAAGAAGTCGACACCATGGAGCTTGAAACAGGGCTGAAGGGGTCGAGAGCATCTTTCGCGCACACTGTTGAAGTTGGGAAACACCGATTGTGGCCCTACGTTCCACCAGAGAATGGGTATCAGGACCGGCTTTATCATCAGGCAGTATGACTTCATTTAGCTTGCGCAAAGAAGCACCTTGTAGCTTTGTGCGCCAGAAATCATATGTACTGTTAGCATTCGAGGCTTCCATAAAGGACAAATAAGTATCGAACAGGATTGTTGGAGGTAGTTGGCACCCGTGATAAAGGGATTGAACCTCTCTTAACAGGACGGCCATCGCTTCTGCATCGTAAAGACCGTGATGTATTTTCAGGATCAGCTCTGTGCTCCCTCTGACTTCAAGACTCCACGGCGGGACCATGAGGCCATCCAAAGCATAACCGATGTCTTGCGTGCTTTCTTCCAGCCAAGGAAGATGAAAATTTTTCAACACTACCTGCACAAAAGGAGATTCAGCAGACTCGATCGCCGCAAAGCCAGTGCGAAGGATTTGATGCCTTTCTACTGCGTGTTCCCATGCCTGGCGTAGCCGCGAGGTGCTGCCAGAGACGTTGAAGCGTAAAGTGTTTCGATAAACTCGGGAAGAGACATTCATTGAGCTGGTCACCATAGATTCTTGCAAAGGCGTACATGGAAGGATCCTCTCTACTTCCAGCCCTGCACGGGAATAGAGACCACGGATCTGATCTTGCCACTTTTCAAAGAGACGACCCAGATCTCCCTTATCGTGGAATGTATTATGCTCCGGAGCGTGTCTCTCGATGTACCTCGATAGTTGTCTGACGGATGGATTTCGCATCAATGAGGATATTTCCACAACGGGGTAATGGTCTCGGAGGGCTCGCGAGACGTGTATTGCGCTGATCGAGTCTAAACCAAGGGCGTAGAAAGAGGTAGCATGGTTGATCTTCTCGAGTTTGACGCCAAGCGCATCACCAACGACACGAGCGATAACGTATTCAGAATCAGTAAGGGGATTAACATCTTCCGATGGCTTGGTGCCTCTGGACATGGCCTGGAGCTGTTCTGTGTCAAGATTTCGATAGTAGGTGATCAAATCTGCGCGATTGATCTTGCCCTGGCGCGTCAATGGTATCTTGTCAATGCGTATAAGGCTGTCCGGTATCATGTAATCTGGCAAGCTATTTGCCATCGTTTCGAAAATGGCGGTGTTCACGCCGCCGGGATCCGTTGGCCTGGGGGATTGACGTGTAGTCCAGAAAGCAACAAGGCTCGCAGTATCGTCTCCTTTGTCGATGACCAGAGATACGGCATCTTCAACTTCATTGCACTTGATCAGCGCGGAATTCACCTCTCCTAGTTCAATCCTTTGACCCCGGAGCTTGACTTGATCGTCTTCTCGGCCTAATATAACTAAAGAATCATCACAAAGAAGTCTTCCGATGTCACCCGAGCGGTAGAGCCGACCGTATTCGGGATGATCAAAGAAGCTCTTCGAGGTCAGCTCCTGATCAAGATATCCGCGTCCCACCTGTTCTCCGCCGACCCATATCTCGCCTGCTCCACCTTTTAATACTGGCTGAAATTGCAGAAAGGACTGATCATTGGATGAGTCATTGGCAGGGTTCAGAACTTGCCTTCGACAAATAAAGATGGATGTGTTCGGTAGCGGAGGACCAACATTGTTTGGCATATCAGATTTCGAGACTTTGGGTCGAACGTTGCATATGTTTGTCGTCTCACTGGGGCCATAGCCTTGGTATAGTCCGTGGTCGGCCCAATCTTTGAAGACCTTCGAGTTCATGGGCTCTCCAGCGGTTACCAACATTTTCACGTGTGGGACGTTGTCGGGTCGAACAAGAGCGGCCACCGACGGGGTCATACTTAAATGAGTTATATTCATCTGCTTAATGAATAGTTCAAGGTCTCTGAACAGGACATCATTCGATGCTGTGCACAAAGATATCCCCTTGTGCCAAGCCCAGAAGATCTCGAAGACCGAGACGTCGAATGCTGGGGAGCAGGCTTGCAGTAGTCGATCTCTCCCAGGATCGCATGGGTAGATACGTGACAGCTCCTCCAGGTTACTGAGTAGGTTGCGGCGGCTAAGGAGAACCCCTTTGGGAACACCAGTGCTGCCAGAGGTGAACACCGCGTATGCTAATTGATCGCCCTTCGGGGATGGGTTGTTGCTGGTACTTGTCATGGAATGATGCTCCAACAAGCTAGCTATGGAGATAGATGTTGGTGCATCAATCTTCTTTGACTCATGTACATCCTCTGCACACAGGCTAAGCTTGCATCTAGCTTCGCTCAAAATTTGGCGCACTCGAGCTGCCGGCGTTCGGGGGTCGACGCACATGTATGCGGCCCCAGCCATGATGGTCCCAAGGATGCCAATGTAGAGGTGAATCGAGCGAGGGCCTGTCAGGCAGACAAGATCGTCAATCTGCACGTTGTACTCCGTCCGCAATACCCGGCCAATGATTTGTGCGCGTCTGTAAAGGTCGCCATAAGTGAGGATTTCCTTTTTCATCTGACCCGTTTGCCCATCGATGCTATGCACGAACTCAACGGCTGCTCTCCCTGGACAGGACTCTGCAAGTTTTGAGATGGTTGTTGTCAGATCGAAATCTCCACTGAATTTCTGGAAGTAGGTGTTGGCCATGGATAAGGTATTCTTGTCAAAACTTTCCCAAAAGCAGCTCAAACTGAGGTCAAGGTTGCTCAAAATTCGAGAGATAGCATTATCAAGCTGGCGAGTTAAAAGCTTCGCATGACCTTCTGGAATAAGTGTTGTGTCAAAAGTCAACTTCAAATAGACCTGATCCTGACGGGGCTCAAATTCTAACACTATGGCGTATTCCAAGGCATCATGTGTTCTCAAGGTTGCAACACTGGAGCGATCCCTGTTATTCTCTTCGCTGTCCTGTTGCCAAACGCACAGCGTATCGAACAGCCTGTCCCCCGGGCGGAGACCTGCCGCGTTATTGATGTCCCGTAGGGCAATGCTTCCGTATCGAAGAAACTGTCTGCGTTGTCGTTGGATGTGATTGAGGACATCGTGTATTGTTCTTAAAGCACTGATATCGACGCGAAGTGGAAATAATGATAAACAAGGTCCAATGATCGACTCAATACCTGCAAGTGAGAAATGGCGGCCAGCCACAACCACTCCAACAGCGACGTCCGCGTTGTCGAGATATGATGAGAGCAAAAGTGACCAGGCTGCCTCTAGAACCGTCTCTCGGCTACAGCGGGAGGCTGACGCAAAGTGAGAGAGCTCTTCATACGTTATGGAAAGTAGCAACTCAGTTGTGTTTTTGGACGGTGTTTCCGATGGGACAGGTGTTATCATTGGAAACGCAGAGGGTTTGAAGTCTTGGAGTTGGTCACGCCAATACTCGAGATTTCCTGCCTTCTCCGTCCTCAAACGACTGTACTCGTGGGCTCGAAACTCGGAGAATTGTGTCCGTAGAGGCGCACCCTCTCCGGACAAGATGGCGTGCAAGTCGTCTAGGATCAAATCCCAGGACCATCCATCATATAAAGCATGGTGGACCCACACAAGGACGTCTCTCTCGTCCTCCGTTTCCGAGTTTACCAGCTGCAGGGGATGCAGAAGACTTAACTCGGGATCGCATGGAAGTTCCCGCCACACAATCTGCGCGAAGGGCATCTCCTGTATCCCAGTCGCGACGAATCCGGATCGCAGTATCTCATTCTTCCTGGAAAGCTGATCAAAGGCTCGATGTAGGTCTTTCAGTGTCAACTCCGGTCCGAGCCTGAGCCAGATTTGATTAAAATTCTGGTCCGCCTTCGAGGCTGTCTCGGTCAACATGGCAACCTGCATGCTACTGCAAGGTAAGATCTTTGCGTAAGGCGTTTTGAGGTTTGAGATGCTAAGATCTTGCGGCACTTTTGCCTTGATTCCTTGCCATTCGTCGGTCGCCTCGTAATTAGGCGCATGTCTCCCACTTTCTGTGTTCTTTGACTTAGCAACCAGACTTGATAGTGTGGCCACATTATCGGCTTCTGAAATCATCGTGGCGTTGACACAACTGTACTGTTGGCGCAAGCAAGACGCAATCTTAATCGCTCGAAGGGAATCGACGCCCAGTGACCAGAAGGAGGTGAGTCTGTCGACTTGGCACCTCAGCTCAGCGTTCAAGACTCGAGCTACATCTTCCTCTATCGGGCTCTCAAAAGGGGTCTCGTGGTTGATTGGTACCTGATGTTCTCGATACTTGCGTTCAAGCGCTTTGCGGTCGATCTTCCCGGAAGGCAGTCGAGGAACGTCATTGTACAAGAGCACGATCTCGCCTGGACGCATGTATGGCGGTAACCATGATTTGCATTGGGCGGAGATGTCAGAAGCCATAACATCATGTTTTGCAGCACAGAAGAGGACCAGAACATCGTCGATGATGGTTGCAATGGTGAGATGAACACCATCAGTTTTTGAAGCGACTTCTTCGATTTCTCCCAGCTCGACTCGTTGGCCCCTAAGCTTGACTTGGCCGGATGTCATACGTCCCAGGATTTCTAGCTGCCCACCTGGACGACAGATTGCTCGATCGCCGGTTTTATAGATTGATCCATGACCGGCGAGCTCCACGAAGGCAGCTTGATTCTGTTCTGGCCGATTCAAGTATCCATCAGCAAGCTGGCCCGCAATTGCCAGTTCACCAGACTCGCCAATTGGTGCTATCTCAAGTGGTTCGCCTTCTTTCAGGACAAACGCAGTCACTGTCACCAATGGTCTCCCTATACTGCGTACGGAAGCATGAGCAGCTAGCTGGGGTGCCACAGTACAATGGATCGCCGCCTCCGTAGGACCGTACATAGCATACAGCATGCTCGGCTCATCCGTGTTCCCTCCGAATTCGGAAACGACTGAAGCTGTGAGCATTTCTCCGATTGTCAGCAGCGTCTGTAAGCAAGGGGCCGCCTTCCTGGTTCTCAATAACGTCCCCGCAACCGTCGGGGTGAGTTCGGCAGCGTCTGCGTCTAGCATTTGAATAGTGGCAGGGAGATCGGTAAGCATTCGCTCACGGTCACAGCCAACTAATGTCGCCCCCCGGAAAAATGGAAAGAATATCTCAAATATGGAGACGTCAAATGTTGGTGAAGCAAATTGTAAAAATCTTTTAAACGTGGGAATGTGCTCGTCGTGCGCAAGTAATGATTGTGATACCGACAAGTGCGATACTACCACGCCCTTTGGAAGTCCTGTCGAGCCTGAAGTGTACATGACGTACGCTGGACTGGAGGGTTTGGTGGGCTGACGGTGTTGAGGATAGGAGTCATCCACCTGTGCCCGACGTGACATTTTTTGAAGATCTCCCAAAGATACAGTCTTGTATTGGATATTTGACAGAGCATCCTGGAAAACAGCCGCCGTGGTGGTGGTTGCCAGCACGAAGGTTGACTGAGTGTCTTCGAGAATGAATTTCAGCCTTTCTGGAGGCACATCTTGACTGACGGGACAGAATGCAGAACCAGATTTCAATACTGCCACCAATGCCACATACAATTCCGGAGACTGAGGTATGATGACGGGGATGATGCATTTTCTATCCAGTCTCTGCGAGGTATACTCCTGGATGTCCTGGGACAGCAGGTCCGTTAGGCGATGGAATTCGCTGTAGGTGAGGGTAACCCGTCGGTTGTCCACCAGCAGGAAGTCCAGAATGATGTTCTCCGAGGATGATGCTATCAATTCGTGCAGCAGTTGAGGCCCGGGCAGTACTTGACGCTTCGCGTTGATAATTGAGAGATTTTGGGGGCTATGGGAACCGTTGACGTTCAACTCCATGTTGCCTCGTCAAAGGGTGAGGAGGATCGTTGGGTTTATGAGAGCATCCAAGGGAGAACAGCATCAATAAGATAGAGGAAGAGAAAAAGAGCGAGGTAGTGTCGTGCAACACTTGTCACAGCCGGCAATGACACACCCAAGGCAGGGACATCAGAGGGTCAGTTCTGCTGGTGTTTGTAGTTGCCAGTTGGTGTCTGAAGGCCGACGCCATAGAAATGAGACGACGTTTGTGAAGCAGCTGGTCCGCAGGCTGCTGTACTTCCTGTTTCCCTGCCTGTTCTCTGGCAATTGATCACTTGTGGTGTAGCAGTGCTCGACATGACTGCACCGGGTTGAAGGTTAGCCTCTGAAATTGATGCCGACAACAGGCTTTCGTTGCAAAGTGGCTTGCATCTTCACAATTCTCCAATCACCCCGATGCGTATTAGCCACGCTGCCCTGCAGGAATCACGGTCAATCGAATACCCTGTCACCCCTGAGTGCGCTGTTCAGTGGGCAAGCTGGTCCGCCTGGAGTCACGAAGGAAGAAAAAAAATTGAGTTTAGCGCTCGAAGCCTCGTCTGATGTATGGCGCGGTCGCTTTTGAGAAAAACAGCGGGGCCTCGTCCACATGGTCCATTCCCTCCAACACGCCACGCTGGGTGCCACGGCTACAACGATCCCAAACTTGATGGGCTCGCCGATCAGGTGACGGGCAGGAAACCGACATGCATGTCGTGACGGAATCTTATCTGATAATCGGAGAGATTATCTGATAAAATTTTCACTCCGCAATCGGCTCTGATGGAGAAGTCGCAGTCTTTTCACCCCAGCACCACCAATTGGCCGCCAGATCTTCCATCTAATCTCTTGCCCGTGTCATGACAAGACAGACGTTGTGGACGGACAAGACCTGCCAGCACCACCAGGGCAATCGTTACCGGACGATTCCGCGTTGATGGGTGCCGCCAATACAAGGGCCCGCCTTTGTTGCTCGAACAGTGGAAACAAAACTGGTCTATTCCGCCTTCAAATGTGACCGCTTCTTCTCTCGAGAACGCTGTTGCGGACACTGGTTGCCTTCCTCCTGTCATCGTCCGGCACTTGAGTCTCTCGGGTACATCACACTGCTTTGCAGTGCGAGAATTCCCTTCTCATGGCTCCGGGGGTTTTGTCTACGACAAATGGACACGAGCATCAACCCGATTCGGCGAGCCCCGCTAACGGCATCAATGGCTGGCCTTCTGAATCTTTAAGCAGCAGTCAGCGCACGGACCGTGTTGGACCTGTTTTCTATTCTGCAGCTCCAGGGGACGTCCACGACCTTGTTTGCGTGGGCTTTGGGCCGGCCTCTCTCGCAATTGCAGTTGCCCTCCATGACTCGCTGCGCGCCCAAAGGGAAACTGACCCTGGTGTTCCTACGCCCACAGTACGCTTCTTGGAAAGACAGGCGGCCTTCAAATGGCATGCGGGAATGCTGCTCCCGGGCGCAAAGATGCAGATTTCATTCATCAAAGACCTTGCCACCCTCCGAGATCCCACAAGCCACTTCACCTTTTTAAATTATCTGAAGGAGCACGATCGGCTGGTGCAGTTTTCGAATCTGGGTACCTTCTTGCCTTCTCGGCTGGAGTTCGACGACTATCTGCAGTGGGCAGCACGCCACTTTGAACATGTTGTCGAATATAGTCAAGTGGTAGATTCGATACATCCGCGAAGACTGGCTGGGACCGAGAAGTATGACTGCTTCGAAGTTGTGTCACGGAGCCTCGCCACCGGCAGGACCACGAGTTTTCTGAGCCGAAATGTCGTGATAGCGGTGGGCGGTCGACCCGAGAGGCCGACAGTGTTTCCGACCTACCATGATCGTATCCTGCACTCATCCGAATACAACACAAGAATTAGCCGCGTGCTGCCCAACAGGGACCAAAATTACAACATCGCTGTTGTGGGTGGCGGCCAAAGTGCTGCCGAGGTCTTCAATGATCTCCATCACCGCTATCCCAACGCCACTACCAGGCTCATTATTCGAGACTCTGCACTTCGGCCAAGTGATGATTCACCATTTGTCAACGAAGTGTTCAATCCAGAAGCAGTCGATACTTTCTTCGACCAACCAGAAGATATCCGGGCCGAAAATGTGAAGAAGAACAAGGCCACCAACTACAGTGTTGTGCGGCTCGAACTGCTTGAGAAACTTTACGACGACCTTTATATCCAAGGAATCAAGCAACCAGACAAGCGCCTTTGGCAGCATCAGATTCTGCCGCTGAGGGTAATCTCGGCAGTTGACGACAATGGATCCGACGAACGTGTCGGTTTGATTTTGACCGACCTAAGCCCGTCGAGCACAGCGAGAGAGGAAAAATTGTCAGTCGATGTGGTCGTATTGGCCACTGGTTATCGGCGAGATGCGCATGTCGATATGCTCCGAGACTGTCAGGGCATCAATTCAAGGCCGGACGGGCACTGGCAACCTGGGCGTGATTACGGATTGAAACTGAATCGTGCGTCTGTGCAAGATGGCATTGGAATCTGGCTGCAGGGATGCAATGAGGTCACTCACGGCTTGTCTGATTCTCTGCTGTCCATTCTGTCCACTCGTAGCGGAGAGTTGGTTGATTCCATCTTCGAGATCAACTCGAAACCCAAGGGTTACTGAGGACGGACTCGTCTTGGGCCCTTCACCTTCCTGGAGACTTATCGACAACGGTGCAATACCTCTCCCCTGGTGAGCAAGAAAGGTCGGCAGCCTCTGAAGAAGTATTGATTATAGCTGACGGGTGGTCATGTTTGTGGGTATTTGGTTAGTTGTAGATTGATGAACTTCTTGAACGGAGCTTGTGCCTTCCAAACCAATTCGTCTCCTATTGGTGGTTTCCTTGCTATTTCACAGCAAGACGCTTCTCAGCCGACTGCAGTCCCGGAGAAGCCGATGCACACGTCTACCGTTGTGGAGAGTCCAATGAAAGCCGGCAACAACTTGGGCGGAGGCCGAAACGCACGAAAGTCATAGGATGGATGTGCGCCACCTCCGCAAAGCGGTTACAGGTCTGGAGACGCAGATGCCTTGTGTAAGCGGCTTGGAGACGAGCGTATGTCCCTCCTCGTTGGCCAGGCTGGTTTAAGTCCAGAGTCAGCCAACTGCCGTTCGGAGAAGAGGTGCAGCGGACTGGCTGGGCTGCGGAGCGGCCTAGAGACAGCATCGTGTCCTCAAAATTCGACTGCTACTCTGGCCAAGAGGGACTGTTAGGGGTAAGAGAATCAATCGGCCGTAGGGCAAGTATTAGGACATGAGCTGTGATGGACATTTCTGATCTCGGAATCTCATGTTGAACCTCGGCATGCGATCCACCGCCAGTGGCTGATGACCATTGCCGGCGCCCCAGTCACGGCTCAGTCAGTCAATTTGATCCTCACACTCTTCCTATTCTCGCAGTTTTCACATTCGACATTAATTTGTTGGATTCGACCCTTCTTCAAACCCTCCGTTGCGCATGGACATGCAATTGCCCACTGTGATCGACTGAGTGGATATGGACAGTCTCGACCACGAACTCGAGCACCCGAAGAAACGTCGGCGGCGTGAAATTGAACGGAAGCCACTCGTTGCTCGTCTGGCATTTGACGACACAATCAAGACCGATGCTGCCCTAGTATCTCCTGGCTTCTGGACCAAATTGACGGGTGCTTCTGATGGTACGCCGGTTTTGTTTCCAGACCAATCTCTCCTGATGCGAGGAACATGCTGACCAGGATCTACAGGCGCACGTTGTCCGACCCCCAGCCTGTTCATAGCCCTCACGCCCTCGTCCCCTCTCCATACTGAGCTGCAAGATTCCACATGGACTATTCTGGCTGCTCAACTCCGCGAGCCGCAGTCTTCTGCAGAGGGTCTGGGGCAGTCCGATATCATACAGCTTTCGCCCAATTCTTATGCTTGTCAATCGATCCTGAAAACCTATGCCGCAATCGATCGCGATCGCCATCCAGGCCATGTTCCCAAATCAATTGAGATTCGGGCAATCGCCACAAAACCTCTTACACTCGAAACCATCTATGTTTCCGTGGAGAAGGGTATGCTGGAAAAGATAGATGACATACAGGCTAAGTTCGGCGGTGGCTTTCAATATGGGAGGCATTTGAAGGTTGACAGAAAGCCCTCTACACCCAACGGCGTGTTGCAGAATGTGCCTCCTATTACCGGCCGACTGGCCTCGCTTGTTCGAGAAGCGCTTTCTCAGTTACCTGTGGTTCATTCAGGGGATGTCTTTCCGCTACCACTCCCCGCCCACCCCATCACTCACGTTCGACCGCCTCCTGCCATTGTGGTGGAATGCGAGCCAGTGTCTCAGGGGAAGGTCTCTCCAAAGACTAAGATTGTTCTGATACAGACAGGCTCGTCACAAGAGAAAGCTCTTTCGAAATTGGCTCCTGTCCAACCAATAATCGAAGAGTCCCTTGAAGATACTGCGGAGGACACCTCGAACGACCAATTCTATTCAGCAGCCGAGGATAGACAGACCGAGACAGGCTCGGATGATGATGACATGTCGGACGAGGAGTCAGGCACTGATTCGCCTCATGGAGAAAGTGATGAGGATTCGGATTCGATGGATGACATGATTTCCCTTAGTGCACCTGGGCTGCCGCCCCAGCAGGCCGGGACGCTGTCAGCCATGACTGCGGCGACCCCAAGACCTGGTGGGAAAAGGGCCACAGGCACGCACACCCCAGGCTCGCTCTATTCGAGCTTCACATCTGCGACAGCAAGGGGTGGCAGTCGCCCAGGGAAAGTGTTCAGAACCGAAGCCCTCCTTCGCAAGGTCCCGATTGAGCTGATGCACCCTCAGCCCAATCTCGAGGATGATGAGGAGTCGTTCGTTTTCATTGACACCAGCACGCTTGCCAAGATTGGGTGCTTCTCTGGTGACTGGGTTCGAATAGAGATCGCCAGAAATGTGAGCTCTCAGGGGTTCCCGCATGCAGCTCTGAGAAATCTCGGTGGATTCACAGAAGAAGAATCTGACTGGCGGACGGTCAAGGTGTTTGGCCTTTCGGGACTGGCAAATCTGCAGCCACGCTACGCGGTTGACAAGACTGGTGATCGGAGGTCGAGTTTCTCGCAGAGGGACCTCCTGTTACCGTTTTCACCGGTTGTCTATCTCTCTCCCATCCTTTTGGCCAATCTGTCAAATTGCGAATACGTCAAACTCGGAGCTTTACCCACCACTCCTCGGCACGACCTCAAATCGAACCATCCGCCACGGTCCAGTACGTTCAAGTCTCCGCCAACTGCAAAGGAAGTCGTCCTGTCGAAGATTGCTGATCCAACGACAACCAACCCCGCTTTCCAGCCGACATTATTCTCATCCCTCCAGTATCACCTCCAGAGCAAAAAGCGCATTTTGAAGAAAGGCGATCTCATTGCCGTTCCAGTAGACCAGGAATTGGGAAAGGCCCTCACCTCTCAAGGTGGCTCAGATGAAGCACCGAGCGAAGACGAAACCATAAAACGACTCAACTCGCCTGAAACTGTGGGCAATTCGCGATTTGCCATCGCATGGTTTTCGGTGCAACAGGTTCACATTGAACAGCAGGGCAATCAAAGTGAGGAGGATCAAAGCACGTGGGGCGGTGTTGTAACCCTCGATAGTCAACAGACTAGAGCCTCTCAAAGTGGCACAACCATCCAATCAGTCTCTCACTCGACAGAAATCTGGAGTCGATATTGGTTTGGCATCAGCAAACCGCCGCAGCAGAACATCCACCGGATCGATCATGTCCCTACGGCAACAGATATCCCACCCCTAGACAAGCTTCCGTTGGAGAGGCGTCTGTCTGGTTTGATTTCCGCTGCAGTCAGCAACCGTGCTGTCAACCTAGGACTTCCGCCCCTTGTCATATTGTTATACTCCTCCCAACGACAGGTAGGCAAAACGTACATTGCCAAATCTGCCTGCCTGGCTATAGGTGTGCACGTATTCCCCATCTCCGCTCACGATCTACTCTCGGAAAATGCCTCGACCACGGGAGGTGGTGACACAAAGACAGAAGCATTATTACGCACCAGAGCCGAACGGGCGCTTTCGGGAGGTGCTCAACAAACAGCCTTGCTCATCCAGCACATTGATGCATTGACTGCTGATAGAATGGTGCCTGTGTTACAGGAGATCATTTCAGAGTCCCGTGTTCTGATTGCTACAACTTCCAAGATCGACGATATACCTGCAGGGATCCGCAGCCTATTCTCACACGAATTGGAGGTGACAGCGCCTGATGAAAAAGCCAGAGAGCTCATCCTTCGCAACGCGTGCGTTTCCATTTCGCCACCTCTGTCAACCACTGTCAATCTCAAATCAATAGCTCTTCAGACCGCGGCGCTGGTGGCTGGTGATTTGCTAGACGTGGTGAATCGAGCTTCACTTGCACGGTCAACTCGTCTGCTGTCGCTCGCAGAGTCTCAGGGTTGTAATGTTTCCGATATCTTCATCTCTGGAGGCCAAACAGCCACGCACCTGCTCCCCAGCGACTTTACTCGCGCAATCGCCGCTGCACGATCGAGTTTCTCGGATGCTATCGGTGCTCCCAAGATCCCGACCGTCACGTGGCAGGATGTTGGCGGGCTCTCATCGCAAAAGGATGCAATCATGGAGACTATTTCCTTGCCTCTCACGCATCCCGAACTTTTCGCCAATGGCATCCGGAAGCGGTCGGGCATCTTGTTTTACGGGCCTCCAGGAACCGGGAAGACTTTGTTGGCGAAGGCAATTGCTACGGAGTTTAGTCTTAACTTCTTCAGCGTTAAAGGCCCTGAGTTGCTGAATATGTATATTGGTGAATCTGAAGCCAATGTGCGTCGGGTTTTCCAACGGGCTAGAGACGCCCGCCCGTGCGTTGTCTTCTTCGATGAACTGGACTCGGTTGCACCAAAACGTGGAAATCAGGGCGACAGCGGCGGTGTTATGGACCGAATTGTGTCTCAACTTCTCGCAGAGCTCGATGGGATGTCAAGCGGAGGAGGAGATGGTGACGACGGGGACTCCAAATCGACGTCGAACGCGGGGGGAGTCTTTGTCATCGGCGCGACGAACCGGCCGGACCTCCTCGACCCTGCGCTGCTCCGACCCGGTCGGTTCGACAAGATGCTCTATCTAGGTGTTGCCGACTCTCACGACCAGCAAGTTACGATATTGAAAGCGCTAACACGAAACTTCACATTGGCCCCAGATGTCGACCTAATGAGCGTTGCACGCCGGCTCCCTTTCACTTACACTGGTGCCGATCTGTACGCGTTGTGCAGTGACGCCATGCTCAAGGCGATTACGCGGAAAACGCGAGCAGTGGATGAGAAGGTGCAACAGATCAGCAAGACGCACGGTGAAGATATCAGCACCGGTTATTTCTTCGACCACTTGGCCACCGAGGAGGACGTGCAGGTCGTGGTGGGTGAAGAAGATTTCATGGCAGCTCAGAACGAGTTGGTCGGTAGCGTAAGCAAGAAAGAACTGGAACACTTTGAGAGGATTCGCAAGCTGTTCGAAGAGCAAGATATCACTGTGACGCCGTCCACAAACGGCGAAAGCGGGCGTGCCCCTGCGACTTTACCTTTGCGTCCCACGCCGGGGCCAGTGCCAGCTTCCCAGGCAGGTTCGGTTCCTCACACGAAGGACCAGAATCAAGCTCCTCCGCCGCAAATCAAGGACAAGGGCAAGGGCAAACAGAAGGACAACAACACGCCGAACTCGGGTCAAACCCCATCATCAGTTTCCCCGACCAATATCTCGAACAACTACAGAATAGCGGTACCACGGATCGGCAATCCCGACTCTGGCAACTCTTCAGACGCAGATAACTCGGACTTTGGCTTCAGCATGAGACCGACACATATGAATGGAAATGCGATCAATGGAACAGGAACGTCCGTGGAAAACAAGGGCAAGGGTAAATTGAGGGAGTTGGCTCCAGAAGCGTTGGCCGATGGGTTTGTGGATGACGTCGAGGGGGACGATGAAGGCCTCTACGACGATTGAAGCATAACGTCCATGTTCAATAGGCCTGCATCTAGGAGAAACCGCATGCAGCGGCGCACCGAAGCTCAGTGACAATGACAGGCTATGTAGAGGAATCGTGCCGGATATCGACGAAATGAACAGCAAGCATCGGATCATTTGTTCGCCGTCTTTGGGGCAAGAAAAGTTCTAATCATTGAATCTTCACTTGGATATACTTCTACCGAGTATTCTGTGTTCGTCCTACCCCTAACAGAACCCTCAGCCCGTGTAGATAACCTAGTCAGAGCTTACTCGTATGTACTCGGGTACAGAGGTCCGACTCCTGGTCTGGAAGCATACCATGACACATCATTATCCATACCCTAGCCCGTCTTTCCGCCTTGCAATAATCTAATTACGAAGTCCGTAGGTAGATCCGTAATCCATCCATCACCGGTATCCTGCCTCGCTGATCCCTACCCTACCCTTGCCACAATCTCATCTCGCAACGTGCATGAGACTACCTACTCGTACGCTCGTATCATAGCATGTCATACTTTCTCCACACATGGATGCCTACCTAGGTACATACATTGCAGAGACCGGGGTCCTCAAGTCTCATTTTTTTTCTTCTTCTCTTTTGTCCTTCTCTCCCCCCTTTCTCCCCTTTTTTTCCTTAATCATACATGTTGTTGGTTGATATGTTCCCCCCTGTCCGTCGTTCCTTTTCCTCCCTTCTTTTTCCGTGATCAAGCATTCGCCGCTGCGTCCCTTGTGGATAAGCTTCGATGTCGAAGAGAAAACAGACCTACAGGCCCCAAACAAGAGATATAGGGAGGGTAAAAAGAGAAAGGGGGGCAAAAAAGAGCAAGAAAGCCAGTTGTCTATTTGATACAATTGAAGCTGGGATATAGGTCTAGAGTCCAAGGCCGAATCCAGGATAAAGTATGTCGTACTAGCCTTTATATATACCTACACATACGAGGATATCCTTACAGGTATACATCCATAGTGTAACCAGAGAACACGCTCGTCTTCGCAAAGATTGAGGGACTTTCCCTTTGATATCATTCAAAACTGGCACTTCTTCTCTCTCTCTCTCTTTTTCTCCGTCTTATCTACCTATTCATCCCTCTATCCAATCCTCTACGGGATGAAAACCTGAGGTTCAAAACGGTCGCCCCGGTACAGCGTTCGATTCTATGCGACATTCAGCCATACTGGCCTTTTCTTTTTTCTTTTCTTCTTCCCAATCTCAATCGGGGCTTCAACGTCTTATCTATCTATTGTGGAACTTCCTGGCTCGGTATAGTATTATTTTAGCAGTGGAGATGATCACAGCCAGACCACCGCGTGGACAAAAACACCTCGGCCAGGAATAAGTCATGACCTGACTTTGCTTTCTCACTTGCTGGCTCGCATTTCTCTCAGACGGACATGTGTCAAAGTCTCCTGTTTCATCGCCTTCTCCGTCTGATTTTTTCTTTTCTCCTTGCAAGAATGGGGAAAGGGGGAAAACGCAAGGCGTCGGTAACGTTTTACCGCCTGAGCCTCGTCTACACAGCTTCGTCCCCGCCTCATTTCCGCTTCGTCTTGTCTTTGAACTCTTTCTTTTTCGATTCCCTACGCAGCCATTCATGTTCGAGACATGGAGTCCACACGCGCGTACGCACGAGGAGGGGCGGGCGCGTTTAACTCCATATTCTTTTCACCCCGTCGGTGGCCCGTTAGTGGGACGCCGAGATACGACCTTCCCCTGGTCCAAATGATCACATCGTCTCGCGTGCGCCGAGACAAGCAAGAAGGAAAACAAGCGTTTATCAAACGTGCATGAGGTCTAATCAAACGATTCGCCTTAACACCGTTCAAGCGCGGTTCTAGAAAAGTCACGCCGCAGGTCGAATATGCAGCCTTCAGGAGAAGTGGGCCACAGGGCCGCGGGATCTAAGAGTGCGCAATGCTCGGTTGCTGAAACAGGCGTCGACGGAGGATTAAATTAACCAAAGCTCAATAGCCTCCTCGACCAGGGGGAAACCGAGGAAGGAAATGGAGAATGGGAGACAACAGGTGGGATGAGCTTGACGGAGGGTGGGTAGAGATTCCCTCCTCCGGGACCACGTTCGACTTCCCTCTCGATCTCACGGTGAAGGCAATTTTCAATCGTCCATCCAGACACCGCTGCCTACAGAAAATACTTCATGTGTTGGATTCGAGGTTGATTGATTCCGATGTCACTCGAAAATCTCGATGACAATAAACTCAGAAGCGCCCGATATATAAAATGACAGGGTCGACAAAAGGATTTTCCCGACCTGGAAGAGTCGACAGAACGCGCTCCCACGGTACCTCTATAGTATTCCCGAGGATGAGAAATCGACGAACTCCGACAATCGTGATCGTTTCGTGGTCGTCCTCGACATTCCGTGCCTCGTGCGCCAGATGTATCAAAGCGTGTTATTATGGATTATGTTTCCTTTGTGCCTGCAGGGGACATCCATGTGAATCAATATTAGTCCTGCTCTTACCCCCTCGTCTTTTCTCGCGTCCAAGTATGCTCAGTCTGGCCAGCAGACCTTTGTCGCGGTCCGTAATTATATATATACATAGGAATGAACAGAGATTTTTGGGCGACCAGGCGTCTGTTCGATATGCCGTCGTTCGCGAGCGCTATCGAGCGACTGGTGGCTGTATGGAACATAAGGCCGAAATCAAAATTGCACACGCATAGAATCAAGCCACTCCTGTCGGTTCGTGCTGCGCATGGGTATCATGTACACATGTATCTCCCGCCTTCTATAGTCGTAGCTCATACGGTGAAAGTATTCGGGTGTTCGTCTCCAAGGTGGGTCGGCGTAAATGCATGAAAATGGGCGTGCGCGTCAACTGCCGTACTTCGATATAGCTCCCTCATATGCGACAATTAGGCGGATGGAGGACCTGGCGGTGGATTGCTCTGCTTCGCGCCTGATTGTGGCTCAAGGTGTGGGCTCGGTATCTGCTGTACATCTCGAGCAACGGATGTAGCTGGTTGAGCTCGTTCTGGTCTCGCAAGAAGTCGGTCGGAAGGACTCTGGGCAGCGTCTGTACTTCGTCCATCACCCGATTCATCTCCAGGAGACCTGGAAACAGCCTGGCGAGATGATTCTCCCTCCTCGCGCTGGCGTCTTGTCCGTCTCTTCCCGCTGGACGTCTCCTCCTTCGGTGTAACCTGCTGCAAGCGTGGAGTTTGCATGATTGGGGATGTTGTGGCAAGAGCTTCAGAAAGCGAGCTAGGCGTCTCAGACGGTCTCGATTTCTTCGTTGGCCTCCTCTTCGGCTCATAAGTCTGCCCGACCTCTGCAAGCTTCCGGTCGCGTTCTTCTGCTTCTTCTTTTGTCGGACGGCCTCGCTTCCTGCGTTTTTCTCCTGGCGGGTCGGGTTGAGTGAAAGGGCGCAAGATCCGGAAACCCTCCCCGTTCGTCGTCGGAGGAATGGGCGAGTCCGTCGAACGAGGAGGACGAGGCTGAATCGGACGTTGTGTTGGCTGGGGCATATCCGACTCCGACACTGACAATGCCCTCACTTCCGCAGGATAAGGCGCAAGCTGTTGCTGAGGGAAGCCTGGGATCCCCGTCCCTGGGAACAAGCGGGATTGACTACGCAACAAGTTGTACATTTGTCGACAGGCACTAGGAGTGCGGCCTACACCAGGGTCAGCGCATGACTTTGGAGTTTTGCGACCGGGAATGAGACAGTGGGCGCGAAGGTGGAAGAGGAGTCTCCGGCGACTATCTCCTAGGGGTTCGCGGCGCCATGCCGTCCTTTCTGAGGGCTACATACCTGCTGGCAGTGCGACTTCGTCCCATCTGGGTTGTATATTGCCATGGTCCATGGCGCGCACCAGAAATGCTGGCACATCCTGCCCAGTACTCTGAATAATGTTGGTCAACAAGACGATTTGCTCCGAAACTGTCCATGGTTGATTGAACAAATTTGACATTGGGAAGGGAGGGAGCGGAGCGCAAGGTGAATTTGGGGAGGGACGGGATGCATGTGACTGTCGTCAAGCGCGCAATAGTGACCGGCATATACGAAGGGTGTGTTCCGCAGCGCTGTTCACCCTGATCCGAGCGTACGGCGAAATTTGTCTTAACTCGACTTGACGGTGTACAGAGGACGGAAAGGACAGTGGGTGACTTGGCCAGGAGGTTGTAGGAGACCTTTTTAAGAGTCGTAGATCGGCCACCCATTCAAGCGACAAGGCAGAACAAAAATTCCAGGACGCTGGGACAGAAGGCCTTGGTGGTCTGGTGGTCCTTCTGCCTCGAGGCCAGTGAGCCAGGCGCAGAAGGGGAATCATTCCAAGTTAGCCATTTGGGAAGAGCAACTGGGCATAGAGCAGTCTAGTGATTGTCAGTGGGCAGATGATCAGGACTCAATCAGGAGCCGCGGGTCGACCAATGTCGGCCGCAGCTGCAAGACATTGCAACGGCGTGCTGTGAGTGGCCGGGCGGTGGCCATCTGCGCGTGAGAGCAAGGGAATTAGAGTCCGGAGTAGCATGTCTGAGGGAAGGTTCCCGTACGGCGTAAACGGTAAGGGAGCGAGGGGAGGTTCGACTCTACCGAGTAGATGCTGGTCAGAGTGTCAGTTCGGGTTGGTCAAGTGAGTCAAGTGGTGCTGCTGGCTGGCGCTGCTGGCTTTGCTGCGCCTGATGAGGTCTGGGTCCCCGCCGAGCGCCTGCTAAAGCTGCAAACTCTCGACAAGCTATGCAGCAGGCTAGACTCTGTCGAGCGGCCTGGGTGGATGCAGGCGTAAAGGTAGCCTTAGGTAGGACAAGATGCAGGATGGATGGGTAGTAGGGGGTGGGAACAAGTGGAAGAATCCTGTCTCTCGTGCAGCACTCCAGTGCAGTTCAGGTTAGCCGTGGTTAGCCCAGCCATGTCTTGGGTGTGTTTGGGTTCCTGCTGCAGTGGTGCCAGTGGTGCCAGTGGTGCCAGTGCTGGACAAGATTAAATCCCCCATCAACTTCTGCTTGTCGGTGTTCGCAGCGTCGGCAGCCCGCAGCTGCAGCCTCCGCGCCCCTGCAGCATGCCGAATTCCATCAATTTTCGCCCGTCAATCTCAGGGTTGCATGCGCAGTGGCAGAAGGAAAATGGCTTGCTTCCCTCGATGCTGCTCCTGCGTCTTGGGCGCATGGATTTTGATAGAGGAGAGTGGAGGCCTCTTCCGGGCAGTCCGCAAATCAGCGAACTTGCCGGCGTGGGCGCCCAGGGTCGAATAGGGAGCCCGAATGCCGTGTTGGGGGCTCAACGAGCCGCCGAATCAGGAGCCATTGACCGCCTAAGCTTCGAACGTCCCGGGTGTGACGCCTGGCTATCCTCGCCCCTCCGTCCAACCATCCTCAGCAATCCCATATCTCAATCACAACTGCCTCGTGGCTGGGCGTCCAACAATTGCTCTGCGAATAATGGACCCTTCTCCATGTCGCAGCCTTGTCTATCGCGACTGGCTCCGAATTAACTCAACTCACCCGTGTGAGCGGAACGTAGTTGAGGTCGAAGGGGGACAATCCTGCCCTGAAATTGCGAAGCGAATTTTCGAATCAAGAGGCCTTCTCCGAAGATCACAGAGTCGGCAACTCCACGGGTGCGGGAGGCATGAGGTGAGAGCTTGCCACCCGTGCTACATTTCGCTCCTCCGTCCACTTCTACCTTCACCCCAAACCTTGCGCGCAACAGGCTCTTCTTATATAGACCGCGCCGTTGTCTCTCTGACCGCTCTTTGTTGCGAGTATCGGATCTGCCAAAACACGCCAACGCAACAATGACGGAAGTTGGGCAGAGGTGCAGAGCCACGTTGCGCCGTACGAGAGCTCTCCTTCTCTGACCTCGGGAAGCTAAACACAGATTCGCCTCACTTTTAGTGAGCAGTTACATGCACTCATCATTGCGCTAATCTCGTCATCTCAGCTCTCGCTGCATCAAATCGTCGTCAGGTGCTGTGCTTTGTCCCGCTCACGGCATACACCCGGCTCCTGAGCTTGACGAACAAGAAGATGCCTCTTACCGAACAGCAGATCGCGGGAAATTAGGTTCGCTTTGCTTCCAATCTTGCCTTTACACGTGGCAGCGTTGCTACCGATGGATCTGACCTGATCTAAGAGAAAGAGGGATTTCATTTACCCGTTTCGATGACACTTACAGCTGAAGGCAAGCTACGTGCCATCTCGACTCTTCCTACCTCCCCCTCCCATGCCATGCCCATCCGTCCATGGCCAGAACGGACCTACCGCAACACCTTGCAAGGAGACGATGATGGTGTCCGGAATCGAAGACATGCAAGAGACCTCAGTGACTTTCTCGTTGAGGAGGGGGGACATCGCTTTTCGGTTGGGAAATTTCCATGCCCTGCCGCCCAGAGGGAACTCCCCAGAGCATTTGCTCTTGGGTTTGAAACACTCGGATCCTTCAAGTGTCTCATTGTCACCATGCCGAGCGTCGGAGGATGTGCTCGGCAGACATAATAAGGGGGCCATTGCGCATACTTGAAGGCATGAGCTGAGTGGCTGATTCCTTCGCTGTCCTCTTTGTCATGTTATTGGTCGGCCGTCGACGACACGGCAACCTGTTTATCCAGGGTTTCCATTATGCATAGTCTTGATTCCCTCGATCACCTCCCAGGGGCAAGTGCTACTTACTATTTGATCCATGGTAACATCCATTGAAGACGGGTACTTCTTTTCCTTTTGGAACGAGAATCCATCCCACATGTATGCGATTAACTGCATTTGGTACAGCGATAGTTTTGTCCTTATCGAGGTTCTCTTAGCAACATTGAACATTCCCTGCAATATCCAACAGAATCTGCTTATGTTTTGAGTTCAGCTCACAGCCAGACTTCTAAGACTGAACGTTGTCGAACTTTGTATCATTAATACCTTTGCCAACAATTGGTGGATATCGTAACGCAGTTCTACGATGCGTGAAATCTTGATTGAGATTCGTGGTGACCTAGGCCCTGGTGAATGATAATCGCTCGGCAATGGAGACGATTGTCTCTGAAGCAGCAAGCAAACTTCGATCAATGGCTCAGAACGTATTATTGCTAGACTCTTACCCTGGACATATACACAGGTGCCAGCACGTGACCAGTTTCTCCGTTGGCATAGTGTGCACCAATCGCAGCGGCTATTGCCCCCTTAGCCACGATTGGCTGAAGGGCGGATGCTGAGGTATGGCATTTGGAGTATTCAATTTGGCTCAAGGATTTATGGAGAGAATCTGTCACTAACCACCTTCTGTCTGAGCAAGGAAGACTGGTCGGGATGTCGCACGCTCCGCCTACTCCTCCCTCGGTGGTGGTGAACACTGCCAGCGACAGACAACAAGTACCGCTGAGAGATTATCTAAACGCTCGAGTTGCGCCGTTCCTGAAGAAGGCCATTACGGAGAGTTTAAACGCCGAGTACGTGCTTCAACAGTCGTGGACTAGCTGGCAAGAATCAAATAATCTGCCTGCACAGGCGACACCTTCTGCGCTCTCCATCCATGCTAGGTATCCATGCTAATTCCCTTTTGCGCCAAAAGAGCAGAATTCCCTCTCCAATGGCTGGGAGAGTGCCTCATCCACCAGTCCATCCTATACGAAGGCAACCCAGACCGTACGAATATTCGCGAAAGATTTCTATACAAGTTTGAAGACCCCAAACCGCAAGAGCCGGCAGACGCATCAGTCGCTGCTTCAGCGCCAGCGACAGCGCCAGCACCTCCGCATCGTTCACCGTCGGCGCAACCAGAGCCAGCGCCTATCCCACCACAAGAGCCTACAGTCCTACAGCCTGAGATTACCATGAACGAAGCCAGCGAAGGTGTTTCAGGACAGCCACAACCCTCGCAGCCAGCTGCAGAGGACGACGCTGCGCCGCAGACCGCACCTGTAACAGAAGAACCTGCTGTCAACGGAGTCAAGGAGGAAGGAGAGGCAAGAGTGGGAGACGCAACAAGAGATATTGATACTGAAATGGGAGGAACATCATGACGAAAAGGAGGGTTTACACTCAGGTTGCATAGTGCGGACTAGCATTTGTACTGGGGTTGGCGTTGTGCCGGGACGGTCATTTGGGTCTTGGAATCTTAATCTGATACCCTACAGCTATTTTTCTAAGTCATAAGATGGAATTCGGAATCACAAATGTGGAAAAAGTAAGAAAGTGTCAGGTTGACATGGAAAGGAGATGTGTAAGTGTGAGCCGCGTAGGGCTGCTCATACACTCTGGGCAGCTACAGACTGCGACACAATCATAGTCGCACACTCGTATACTCCTATTATTCACATCGCAGTCTGCATCCCCAGAGAAACAATAGGCCAAACCTGCTTGCATATCATTAGTCCCCGTTTTCGACATAAGAGCGAAAATGCAATCGTCGGGATGAGGGCGTTGAGAAATCAGAAGTCCATTTAGATCATCGAAGAGAACCCTGCTGGGCTTCCCTTCTGACATAAGAGGTACCAGAAATTATAAAAATTCAAAGTGTTTGTCATCATGCAATTTTGTAGAAACGATGTGAGATCGACTTTAGGACATACCTTGAAGTTGCTCAGGGTCACTATTGAGTAAAGGCGCCTTTGGTGTCTCTGCCTCGACACGGATCACGGGTGACTCAAAGTAACAGCCAATATACAGGATTCGAATGTACAATATCAATAATTCGAAAAGTCGATCCTGAGAGACGCGAGATTCACAGATGCAAACTCGGAAGCTCCCCAAATTTCATATAGCCGCCAAGATTTCACGGGTCTTGGCGGACCCACCACACAACTCCGAGCCAGTGCATCTGGGAAACCTGCACCCTACAACTTTCTTCAGGTCAGCCCGTTCTCTCTTTTCCACCGCGACAACTCTCGAAGCACCACCGCCAACATGGGTCGTCTTCACAGCAAAGGCAAAGGTATCAGCGCCTCGGCGATCCCTTACTCGCGCTCTGTGCCCACCTGGTTCAAATCCACCCCCGAGACGGTGGTTGACAACATCTGTAAACTCGCAAGGAAGGGTGCGACTCCGTCGCAAATTGGCGTTGTGTTGAGGGACAGCCATGGTGTTGCACAAGTCAAAGTCGTTACTGGTTAGTCCCCCGACCGCATTTGTCCTCGCTCAACGGCGTAGCAGTGACTGACTGACTCTCTGGTTGCAGGTAACAAGATTCTGAGAATCCTCAAGTCGAACGGTATGCACGCGCATCAATCAACCCCAGTGTGAGAAATGGAAAAAGCGTGCAAAGGAGGAAATCACTGCCTTCAATCTTTCATACACCCAATCTGGGAACAAAATTCTCAGCATGGCCTCTGGTATTGGTCCCATGAGACTGACAGAGTGACATTATACAGGTCTGGCGCCGGAAATTCCCGAAGACCTCTACTTCTTGATCAAGAAGGTGCGCATACCCTCAACTCAACCGGAAAATGTTCCAGATGACAATTTTTTTCTGCTCTTCATTTGGCTGACCCGGGGAATCTGCAGGCTGTCGCCGTCCGAAAACACCTCGAGCGCAACCGAAAGGACAAGGACTCCAAATTCCGACTCATCTTGATCGAGTCCAGGATTCACCGCCTGAGCAGATATTACAAGACGGTTGGTGTTCTGCAGCCAAACTGGAAATATGAGAGCGCCACGGCAAGCACTATGGTCGCATAAACGTTCTGAGGCGAGGACGGGGATCCCACATGCAGAGTGCAATCTATCCAAGAAGGGAACGAAGAAGCCGGGTTTTGCGAACACATCTCTCAGACCGCTCACGCTGTATCAGCGACGACGCTCAGGAGCCTGGATCGGAGTCATTATGAGACCTTAAGCAAGAGGCCGTGGGAGGCTATGACAAGACGTGCATAAAAGAGCTTCGAGGCGAAAAAGTTCAGTATCAGGGCTTTTCGTCAATAGACAGACCAGCCGATATCTGCCATAGCGTATTTGACTCGGCATCATTGCATGCTTGCACACCTGTGTCTTTGAAATCTTAACTCTTATCGCTTGCCAAACCCCCTGAGGGTAGTCCTTCGATAGCCGTAGAACTGCCAAAGGGGCATGAGAGAAGTGGGCTTTGATATCCGTTGTTCAGATATTCGAGGAACGGGGACATCAAGGCAATGGACACGTAGGAAGATGCAACTTTGCCAACCAAATGCCGTTTGATTTTGAACGGTACCCAACCATCCAAGATGCTTACAATGCAGAAACGCTCATGGTGGCCCGGAGCCACGATACATACAGTTGAGTACAATAACCGGGACATTGCTTTACCGCAAATGTACAAGTGGATTTCAGGTTGATGCCGATAGAATGCACCGAGCTCCCCTGGGTATCTTGAATGCTCCAGAAAAACGCCATCCGTGATGCCGCTGAACAGTAAGTGACAGGAACCACCGCAACGGAATTCGTGCCTTAGCCGCCCTGACTGATGCCCCCTGTTTGCTGCAAGGCCCCAACCTGTCTGCGCAAGTCGAGCCAGAAATCTTTTCCACTGGCCATAGCTCCAGCTTCAACCGAGTTAATAGTTATTGTGCGACAAGCGGGATTCTACTCACGCTTGGCGCCCCATGGGCTCGCAGGGGTTGCGGCTTGCGATTTGGTGTCCAGCTTGTAGAGAGGTGCTTTAACCTCGTATCCTCGCTTCAACGTCGCTTCGACAACATCGGCATTGAACCCCGCGATGGGTACATGATCGTCTGGCGGCGGGAGAGTAGTGGGAGTGGTTGTGGGACCATTCTGAATGTTGTCGGAGGACCTGCTCATGTTTGACCCTGCTTTTCCACCTCTTCTATTCTGATACGTATTGGAGCTGCCATCGCGGGATGCTGCAGAAGCGGAAGTGGACTGTCGCTGCTGGTTGGAGTTGGTACCTCGGGGATCGTTTCCTCGGCGTCCGGGGCGGTTCCTGACATTGTTGGTCATTTTGTAAGCGTATAACCGCAGATGAGCTGATAACAAAAACAGTGGAGAATTCGGGGATTGTGAAAAGGTATATGTACTCACTCTTCATTGGTATTCATTGAGGGTAGCGGCAGAAAACGAAACGAGCAAACCGTGCGTGCCCAGCGGTCACAAAAGAATGCGAATTGTCCATGCACAGGGCAATCACGTCCCGCAGACACGGTGCCAAGCCCCAGAGGATCCACACCGTCGGGGCTGCAAGTCGCGCTTAACCGAATTGACACGAGATCGCCATCTTGAAGCGACGACACTCAAAAAGCACCTCAACGCACTGTGACTACAGGACGTCCCCCAGAACATCATCCATCGCCTTAGTCTATCCGTATTACTGCCCTTCCTGCCTGCGCTCCAATCTGCGCCACCCTCACGAGACTGAATGGCCCCCCACGTACAAGAAAACGATCCGAAATCCTCCTGCGCCTCCTAGTCGAGGGTTAATCACAACCGTCGCGTCGGCTGCCGGCCACCGTGCTGGCAGGATGGGCCCTCTGAGATCTGTGCAGGCAAGAACACGCCCGCGCAGAGAATTCAAGCAGTTGTCGAAAGACTTCAACAATTCAGACGAGGAAGATCTCGCAGATTTCCAAGATGCAGAGCCTCCCTCGAAACGCATCCGCACGTCGCGCAGGGCTCAACCCCCCGTCAAGTGGACACCGGGAGGCAGAGGAGGCGGTGGCAGACATGTTGATCATGAGAGCACCCCTTCGACCACGAGAACACCTAATGCAGAGGAAGAATACGCGCTTCCCCGTACACGCACCAGACAAAGCCGCAACCCCAAGCAGACAATGATATCCACCCCGCGATACTCGGCCAGAAGCAGAAACAGAGGTGGCGCACGGCCACGATACAGCACAGCAGCTGCGGCCTCTGCCGCAGTGACGCATGGAGACGGGTACAAGCCTCGAGAAGAGCGTGGCTGGGAAGAGTTCCATCCTGATCTCGACCTTGATGCGGATTTTGCGGTTCTGCCTTCAGAAGAGGTAGACGGACTGGTCAAAAAGCCTACAACCGATGCCTCTAGCCAAGGCGCTCTGACGCCGACCGAGGGCGAAAGTCCTGTTCTTGGGGTTTCCACGCCTTTGAAGAGGCGACCTGGAAGGCCCCACCGAACCCAGAATTCGATGGTCAACGCTCTTCTGACACCTGAAGCGCCCAAATTCGTGCCCATGCCAGGGCCGAATCCGCGAGAACGCCTCACCTTACCGAAACCCTCATACCGAGAACTCGATCCTTTCTTATCGTATGAAATGAACAAGGAAATTGCCCAGGTTGACTTCGTGGACAAGTCTATGGCAAATGTCGGGTACCAAGAGAGTGAAATATTCTTACGGCCGGAGCGGACGCTGATCAGACAGATGGAAGGCTCCGCGGAGGAAGACCTCGATCTCAGTCCCGACCTCATGACACACGGAGAGAATTCTGCTATTGGTAGTACGGGCGTTGGACGAGTCGAGTATGACATGGACGAACAGGATGTTAAGTGGCTCGAGGCTTTCAATAAAGGGAGGTCCAAGGATGGTGTCCAAATCATCAAGCCAGCAATATTTGAGATTACGATGACCAAAATCGAAAAGGAATGGCATGCACTAGAAAAGAGAATACCGAAACCCAACCCAAAGGCGCCTCAGACGCAGCGGCCACGATCGAGTTCCGCCGCTGCCGTCAATGGTGAGCCTGCCGGAGAAGAGCCAGACAGCAAATGCGCGATTTGCGACGATGGCGACTGTGAGAATGCCAATGCCATAGTGTTCTGCGATGGCTGTGATCTCGCTGTACATCAAGAATGTTATGGTGTGCCTTACATTCCCGAAGGACAATGGTTGTGCAGAAAATGCCAACTTGTGGGAAATTCCCGACCGAGCTGCATTTTCTGCCCCAATGAGGGCGGCGCCTTTAAGCAAACCAACAATTCGAAGTGGGCGCACCTTTTCTGTGCCATCTGGATTCCAGAAGTCACTATCGGCAATCCATCCTTGATGGAACCTATCACCGACGTTGAAAAAGTGCCCACAAGTCGTTGGAGACTCGTCTGCTACATTTGCAAACAGGAGATGGGGGCTAGCATTCAATGCAGCGACGGCCGCTGTTACGAGCCTTTTCATCTGACCTGTGCACGCCAAGCTGGCCTCTTTTTGCAAATGAAAACAGGCGGCGGCCAGAATACCCTAATGGAGCCGTCACAGCTCAAGGCGTATTGCCATAAACACACTCCTGGTGATTGGAAGCGTCAGCATCACACTGACAAAGCCTACGAAGAGGCGGTCAAGTACTTCAAAGAACATTTCCGGGGGCAGATCTGGGCAGATAGTCGTGCCTCTGCCTTGGCGATTCATGACATCCAAGATACGCCTACAACGGACAAGGGTCAGTTGAAGGTGACTCTGACTAACAAGAAGGGACAAAAGCAGAAAACGGTCTGGCGACTGCCTTCAGGTGCTCCCGTGATCCCCGAAGTCATTCTCAAGTCTATCGAGGAGTCTCTGGTAAGATTCACCGTGCACAAGAAGAAGGAATATGTCTCTGAAATCTGCAAATACTGGACCCTGAAACGTGAAGCTCGTAGGGGCGCTGCCCTTCTGAAGCGGCTGCAATTACAGATGGATACATTCAGCTCCTTCGAGGTCACACGTCGCGATTACAAGGCCCAAGGCGCAGCCGGCCGTGCCAGGCTTGAACGTCGCATTGATTTCGCTGAGAGGCTGGCAAAGGACATGGACAAGATCGTGCAGCTGTGCAACTTGATCAAAGAACGCGAAGCGGCGAAACTGCAAGAGGCTCGCATGTTGAAGGAAGTCGTCGACATCGTCTACTTCCCTGTTCCACATCTTCTAGAGCCGATTATCGAGAAAGCGCTCAAGTAAGTCTCGCTGCCCCATGTTTCAGCTTCGATGCTAACAAATTTCAGACTTGACAGAGGCCTGTTCCGTACAGGATTGCTCGAATTACAGGCCAAAGTCTTCAGGAAAGAGCACACTTCAATCGCGAGCTTTTCCAATGATGTGGTGCAGGTGATCAACTCGCAATTCGGCAACAGTGCAGGAAGCTTCTCAGAATTAATTTCGTTGGTGAGCGGCCGAGCCGAAGACATGAAACCCGAAGACCGGGATCGACGTACACTTGCCCGACGAGTTGCCAAAGGCATTGAACCTCTCCTAGAAGAAGCCACAAGGAAAGAAGCTGAATTGCACGGTCGGCCGTACGCTGAGCAGATTAGAGAGATGGACGAAGCACTCCTCTCTCGACGTGGCTCGTTGGCACAGTCCATGGAGATTCCGGTTATTGATTCTGTCGAATTGAAACACGAGGTTGGGATCGCTAGTCCAGCCGAGGCCGAAGTTGAAATGGTTGAGGCTGCAACTTCCGTGCAAGAACCGACTCGTATTGAGGAAACCGTCAAGGATCCCGAAATGCCTGCTGCAAAGGATGATTTGCTTAAACACAACAGCCAGGAGATGGCATCTCATCTGGTTTCCGCTAGTACACCGCCCGCTTCCACGAATGGATTCAGGCATGAATCACATGCAAATGGGATTGGGACGGCGGAATCAGGACAGCAAGTGGAGCCACCGACGCCTCCAATGAGTTTGGAGGGCCATTCTCAAAGTCTCCAGTCCGATGGTGGCATTCCTTGGTACGTTACTCAATTTGATCCAGAAGGCACAACCATCTTCGAAGAACGCTGGACAGGACCAGAAGTGTTGCGCGAAATGAGTGAAGAGCTTAGTGAGATGGATGAAGACGAACTCCAAGGACTGGGAACAGTCGATGACATCGTCGGACACACTAATGGTGTTGCCGTGGATGACGAGGCCACAGACTCAAAGACGGAGGGAGCTACAGCCAAGAAAAGAATATTGAGGAGCAAACCAGGCAATGTCCCCAATTGGGCTACCAGGTCTCTCCGGAATCGGCGGTGAGAAATACCGAGTATACGAAGGATCGATGTTGGATTGTCTGCCTCGGCTTCGATTACACCATCCTCCTTTCTTGCGCTACACTCTCAGTGTAACTGACTAGCTGTAGCATTCAATAGCAAACTAAATCTATTGAAGGTGTGAACACATTCCACCATAGGGTGCGGTAAAAGGTAGAACGACTCTCCTATGACTGTGTCACGGCATGTTGAACCTCACAAATCTAAAGACAATAGGTGGGCTCGGTGGTAAGGCTGGCTTGACGAGGCTGAGTGGTCTCACGCCTCAACGGAGGAATGATTGACCGCTCCCGAGATCGTTCCTAATTGGGCAACTTTACCTTGGCGCTGAGTGCGCGTGTCCTGTAGCGATTTTTTGCCTTCGCCTCACTCTTCATCGTAGCCTTACAAACAATCCACCATCGCCAGCAGATATCAGCTCTTTTCATCATCAAAGAGATTTTCTGTCATTTCTTTATCAGCTCCGGGTGTCCACAATCCCTAGAGCTTGTTGAAACTGTAACCAAGGCCTTGAAAACGAGGTCGCAGTCAATTGACTTCAGCCCCCTTGGCTCAACACATTTGCATCAGCCTGATACCATGGCCGACTTCGAGGACTCTGCTGCTCGCTACGAAGGTACGTTTTCTAGTCATAAGACAACTGTCCAGATTTTTCTTTCTCACATTTTCTAGATGACCGCGCATATGAACGTCGCGATCGATCTGCCTCGCCTCGGGGAGATCGTGATGACCGAAACCGCAGCCGATCCCCAAATGGCCGCGACAGAGCGTAAGCCTCATTCCCTCCAGCGCTTTGCAAAGCTTTCTGACCAATTTCACTCCAGACCACCGCCTCCGTCTGACACTCGCATGAAAGACGCTCATGGGGATGATGAGGATGCCATGAACACTGGCTCCAATCTCTTCGTGACTGGAATTCACCCTCGTCTCACCGAAGCCGATGTCTCCCGCCTCTTCGAGAAGTATGGTGATGTTGAAAGCTGCTCAATCATGTTGGACCCCCATACCAAAGAGTCTCGTGGGTTTGGATTCGTCAAAATGGTCTCGAACGACCAAGCGGAGGCAGCCAAGGAAGGCTTGCAAGGCGAGGTTATCGAAGGCCGCGTCTTGAGCATCGAGAAAGCTCGTCGTGCCCGTCCTCGTACTCCCACTCCAGGGAAATACTTCGGCCCTCCCAAGCGCGGTGAGTAGGATGCCGACACCAGACGTAACATACTGACCTTGCACAGGTGACTTCCGTGGCCCACCTCGTGGCGGGTACCGCGACCGTTATGACGATCGTCGGGGAGGATACTCAGGTCGCCGTGACGATTACCGGGGCGGCGACTATCGCGGTGAATATCGCGGTGACTACCGTGGTGGTTCTCGATATGACGACTATGAAAGACGCGGCTACGGAGGTGGCAGACGCGACCGAGATGAAGGCTACGGCGGCCGCGGCATCGACCGATACGAGGGCGGTAGGCGCGAAGAGGGCTATGGCAGCGGCACGCGTGGAGATCGACGTGGCTACTATGAACGCAACGACGACCGTAGCTACCCTCCTGCTACCCGCGACGAAGCCCCTCGTGAGTACGCAGGTGGTCGAGACTATGCCCGTGAAGATCGTTATGCCAGCAGGTAAGCGGACGGACAAAAGAGGACTTGGATGTTGTCCCATTCTCCTTCACAAATTGTGGATTCCAGCCTTCGAGACATGGAATTCGAACCCTTCCATGTATCTGAAATGTGCGCTCTGCTAGCTGCGGCAACGAAAACGTCACCCTGTTGTTTCGAGACAGAATGGTTAATGGTCGACTCCATTCGGCGCAGCGGGATTACGGTTATGGACTGGGGCAACGGCGACAAAAGCAAAGCCACAGTTGCTCTTTATTGACGACTTTGGTGTCGACATGTATCACAACGAATTCGGCTGGGGCTTTTTTTCTCGTACTCGACTGATTCATCATAATCTTGTTGCGACAGTCATTCCAGCACACTTTTGATTCCGCGCACCTTGCTTCAGCCTCGATAGTTCGCCTTTTCCGCCAAAGAATCGGCGTCAAGACCCGACTGACTTGCTTGCCTTACGCAAATCTCAATCCAAAATAAACCAAGAAGATGACTCGCCCTGCGCCGTACATACACAGCATGATTCACACGCCAGTAGTTTCACCGAGCAGATCTAACCCGCCTTTGTCAACTCTGCGCCGTCATTTCGCCATGCCAAAGCCGCACTGAAGTTGTGGTTGTCCAGGCGATCAACGGCGCCACCCACCGAAGTACCAGAACGGCACTTGCTCAACATGTAAAAATCACCCATCTTCACTGCACGCGCCCAAACCTTACATCGCTGCGAACAGGTAAGTCGAATACGGCAGCACTCGGATCGTGGTGAGAAGACTATGCTATACGGCGGGCAGTCGATTATGTTCACCTACCAGAGCGGACAAAACTCTGGACGCAAACCGAATTTCCAGATTGGGGACGAACCTTTGCGTGCCTGTCGGTTTCCACTGCTGTCTCCAACTTGACATGCTTTGCGCGAAGCGCATTATGATGCCTTGGTCTCTATTTCCTCATGCTTCAGGTTGCACCTGGAACGACAGACCAAATTGTTAAACTGAAGATGCTGGCAGCCGTACTCCTCACGGAGAGTGCAGCGGCTCTCGGCGCAGCCAGATAATGCGTAGCCTTCAAGGACCACATGATCATCAAATAGTGGCTCAAGCAGGAGATGTCAGTCTATATGGTAAGTTCAGAAGGTCCAGCTGATTATCAAACAGGTGGGTTTGGACCTGGACCAGCACAGCCAGAATCTGTATTATGTTACTTTTTTCTTGATCTTCCTGCGTGGTTTGCAAGCCACGGCGGACTTGATGTGGATTACCATGGGCGCACCTCGAGATCAAGTAACGCGCTACATACTTGATGGTCCTAGCTTCATCACAGGGTAAAGGTCTTCATCACCTCAAGGTCTTTCAAGGTGATTGATGAAGATTTCACATTCTGCCTCCTTATGGTGTCATGTGCTTTGTCCGATTCCAGCAGTTCCAGGTAACCAGCTGCTTCTGCGGGCGACTCTAGATGTGGACGCGGCTTCAAACGTTCATTCATGTAATAGCGTCAATTAATTTATGCAATGCCAGCCACATTGGTGAATATTCTGTGGTCTCCCGCGTCAACACTCTTTGATCACCGTTATCACCCTGCTGAAAGACCAAAGGAGGAGTCCAAAATCGATAGTTCCAATGACAACTGCTTGGCAGACATGCAAAGCTGGTAAGATGCCTGAATGAGCCAGTCGGACTACGGATTCATGCAAGGCGAGGAACTCTGTGAGAGCCATGGTAACAGTCCCGGCCGGCCTGATTTGATCTATCACACATTGACACACTTACTAACCTGACTTTGCATGGGGAAACTGCATCACCTATTGGAGGAGAAGGTGAGGAAGCAGCAGTATCACAATGTGAGCGCGTCAAGCAGTGCAATGATTGGGCGAGATGCAAGGCAGAAGCTCGGACCATGGGGGTGATGCTGGGCGAATGGGGACGACAACTCGCCATGACCAGCCGTGCCAGCGCAGGTCTCGACTCCTCTCTACGTTTCAACAACTATATCTAACCGCCCATCCGACCGCTTTGTCGACCCGGCTTCTTCTTCTCTTCATCCACACATTGATTGTCTGGCGTCTCCTATTCCTCGATTTCCTTACGATCTAGATTTGGCTGGTCCAATTCTATTATTGTCTCTATCATACTCAACTGCTATTCTTGCATCTGCTCCACTGCCCCGCTATTCACATCTGCATCTTTTTGTTATATCTTCAACAACGCCACTCCAGCAAGCTTGATAACAGGCCTTCGCAATCTGTTGAACAGACTCAAGATACAACAAGTCAAACATCATATCAATCACCACATTCATACAATCAATCAAGATATAATCATGCTTGCCTCACGAGCCGCAAAGCCAAAGTTGTCGTTGAGCATCTCGACCTCTACTGCTCAAGCAACCAGACCAACACTCTCACTCAAGTCTCCCATGACACCATTGAGATCACCTCTGAAATCCCCTGTCTCGCCGTCACCCGCCAGCCCAACTGCACGAAACACCAGACTCAACCAGCGGGGCTACTCGACGCTGCAACAGCCAACATATTCATATGTCAACACCAGCTCATCAAGAAGCATCTTGAAGAAGTCTTCTTCCAAGACCAGCACGCAACGGCGACAACTGTCCTTCTCCGACACTCCTGTCGTATACAGTGTAACGCCTATCGAGGAAGAGGACTACTATGGCTCTCACGTCAAGATATCGAAGGACGAGCGACGATGGGGACGGAGATGACGGGCCAGTCCGGCATGTTTCTTGTTTGGGTTTTTTGAGCGATTTGATATGTTGTAAAACCTTTCCGCAATGAGGGATCGGCTGCTGATCTACGACCTGTTGATGATGTACCATTTTGATGTAACGCGTCGGCTCCTCTCCCAGGGGGCTTCAAAGGGGGCCAACAAAAAGAATATAATCCAAGAACTACAGAAAGAGTTGAAGCGGGAAAAACCACAGTCTTTTACCTGACACTCTCAAGAATAGTCAATATATGACCTTCTCTTGTCTTTTGTTCGCCCTTGGTGATTTTCTCTTACCGACACTGCGGGCACGAGTGTCTCGGTTGTATATTGGGCACACGGCCTCATAGATGGGTGAGTGGCCGCACCATTTCTAGTGGCGAGACGCAACCCCGGTATAGAGAATTTAGCCAATGTTCGGCTAGATGAGAAAAGCTAGGTCTACCCTATATCGTTACTGGGATCCTTTTCCAGAACACAGGAACGAATCCACCTCAGCATATCCAATGCGACAGAGGACGCACAGAGTATTCAGTGGAGGGGTAAGTGGGTATGCAAATCATGGCTGCCAATCTGCCATGGCTAAATATAGGGTCTTTAAGAGATTAAGCGCCTGGCAAGCGACCTCGAGTTTCATATCCTCCAACCTCAGTCGAACATCTCAGAAGCACGCCGTGTGTCTTCTTGCGGTTTTTCAAGATGACATGAATGGCGATTATCTGCTCGCATGTAGAGCCGAACGGTCTGTTGTCCTGGAGACTGCTTTCTATGGGGCGACGCGAGCACTCCAAGTCCCGTTTGTGTGAATCCATGCCTCCCTGAGATTGATGCTCAGCGGCTATCATGACTTCGGAATCCACCGCATGCCCTGGCCTCGGACCCAGCCAATGTGCATGGTTGCAACCAACAAGATGCTAGAGTTCTGGGGCATCGAAAGTTTCTGCTACTGGGCAGCGTGCTTGTGTGTATCCAAAAATTCTCGAAACCGCTTGAGTTCTGCCCGGCTTGATCGCCCCGGTCCATGTCTGCCAGCGGCTACTGAGATTCGCTTGATCGACAGCCGCTTTGTGCTGTGTTGCGAATGGCTCGCTTGGGCCTGAGAGGTAGGGCTGGCTGGCTGCCAAATATACTTTCTGCGACTACATTGGTATGATCCACACCACCTCATGGCCCCCCTCTCGAGGCTCGAGTTTCACTTGATCGTAGGAGATGGATCCTTCAGTGGTCAGCGCGTCTGGATTTCGCCTTGGGCGTCCATCTCTTGCAGTTCCCCGAGGCGCCGTTGCATATTTTGCGCCGGGGAGGCTGATTGTCGAGCACTTTGTACTTATGAAACTGGGTGGCTCGAGACCTGAGCTGCTTGGGTTTCGCGTCTCTTTCAAATCTGAGATTGACGCCCGTGTGTTTGAAGTTCTTTGGCAGGGCTGTTTGCGCTGGACGCAATTGTTCATAAGAGGGGTGGTCAGGCTCGAGTCATCCAGGCATACAACATTTCATGCCATCCAGTCCTCAGACGTGCTGCACCGGGTTCAGCTCAGTCGTTTCCTTTTTCATTTTTCTTGTACACTCGCTCCTCCTCTCCACCTTCATAATCATAATTCGGACCAATTTCCTTTTTGTTCGCGCAACCATTCCACCGACCAAGGCCTCGACTCATCGGCCTGCGCATGACAAGGAATGCCAAAGCAGCCAACTATAGCCCGACGAGTTCAGCGACCAGCTCCATACAGCCTCCGAGCGCCAGCGACCATGGTCACCAGCATGCCCCCGACCATGACTCCGTGGAATCCTCCTCAAATGCACAGCCTGCACTACGCAGATCACAGCCTCCAATATGGCCAACAACAAATGATGTCCAACTACCTACAGTCTGTCCCTAACTCCATGCCCCCTGTTCCTCATCTGCAGAGGGAAACGATCCCACGTCCGGGCCAGAGTGGTCCTTGGAACGCCGAGGAGGACAATATCCTGTTGGATGCGAAGGGTCGGGGATTGTCGTGGGAGGAGATCCACCGACGATATTTCCCCAACAAGTCGGCCAACGCATGTCGAAAGAGACATGAGAGGGTGTTGGCCAAGATGCGCGACACCGACTGGGACGAGGCCAGAATCCAGAGGGTGACAGACGCGTACAACCGGCACCGGCATTCGATATGGCAACCTCTATGCAAGGAGCTTGGAGAGTCTATGTCAGACGTGGAGAAAGTGGTATGTGGAGATTGATTGCCGCCGGCCATCTGACCTCCAGCTAACTGATGTTCTGTTCAGATGTTTCAACAGGGGCTTCGAAACCTGAGGAACCCTTCTCGCTCCAGCCATGCTCGAAACAGATCACGAGCTAGTTCCGGTCAGGGAGTGAGCGACTATGAACGCGGCTCATCACTGGACGAAGAATATGGTCATACCGATGACAGTGGCATCAGCCTCGGGAATACTGCACATAGTCGACGTGCCAGTGAGATAACATCTGGTTTATCTACGGAGAGTCTTCCTTCTGTCAACCGTCTGCTCTCTGAGACAGTTGGGTATGGATACACAGCATGAACGTGAGTAAGACTGGATGGTCTGAAACTGGCAAAAAGGAGGAAATCTGCTCAGCTGGGGGGCATATCTAACGACGCAATGACCTGAGTTTGGGCTTTATTTGGCGTATGCAAAGAAACGGCGTACATGCACTGTATTACTGTATCATATACATGTACTTCGAGAGGTTCCAGGGCAAACAGGGAGGACTCTGAAGAGCGCTGCTAGGAAAGACATACGGTCACAGCACAGGGTTATATCGCAATGCATGATATTTTTTCTCTCTCTCACACACTCATATTTGCCTTTGTCCGGAAAATCCCACTGCTGCGTGGGCGCGTGAGGCTCTGGACCCCTACGCATACAAAGCATAGGAAAACTTCCGCCGGAGCTTCATTCGGCTCGCGGACTTTTATGCCGAGGTCTAGCCCCGATATGGTAAGACGCCCAGCTTGTGCCTGAACCGGGATTGCCTGTACGGGCTAGAACAACGGCTAAATCGATAGCGAGACCAGCGAGACCAGCGAGACCAAAGCTCCAAATTTTTGTTTAATTTTGTGCCCCCGAAACTGCGGTTTTGTAGGGCGAGAAAGGGTCAGAAAGGGACACCCTTCACCACCGCCTTTTGCATAAGCAATTTCTTGCCTCGAGCTTGCTTCTTGTCTCGTATGTCCTTCAGTCTCGTCACTCTACCTGCGGTCTGCAGTTCCCTTTGACGGCTGATCCACTTCGATTTTTTATCTCTCACTTTCAATCGTCGTGTCCGCGCTCATCCCCGCGACCGAACGAACCTCCTGGAGCGGTTTGAAGAGCAACAACTTGTCGACCAATCGATCCTAGATTCCTCATTTGACCGACTTGTAGTCTATTATAGACCATGGCGACCGTCACAGAAGCTGTAAAAGAGTCCCTACTGGGCTCATCGGCTCCCTCAAGCCTGTCGACAGAGTCGCGCATGACCTTCCTGCGACATGCAAACAAGGATGAAGATGGAGAGCTTTACATGAACGAGGAGGATTTTATCAATGCCATCGCGCCACCAGAGGAAGATTATGTGAGTCCTCCCGTCCCCTGCGCGTCACATGTCGCTCGTCGTCCGATCCCTTGCGCACATGTCGGTTAACGCGCTCTCCCTGTTCGCAGCACAAAATTAAACGGGAACAATATGGCATCCTCTTCGGGGTCGCGGACCGTCACAAGCGCGGTAAAATCACCATGTCGGAATGGGCCGCCTTTGACAATCTCCTCGCCAAATCGGACGCAGAGTATGAGATCGCTTTCAGGTTGTTCGACGAAGATGGTACTGGTTCGATCAAGTCAGACACCTTCCAAAAGATCTACGAACAGAACAGAGGCCAAGAGAGTATCCCCTTTGATTTCAACTCGGAATGGGCTTCGCTATATATTGGTGGGAAAAATAAGAGACATGAGATGACCTACCCACAATTTGCGCAGATGATGCGTGGTTTGCAGGGCGAGCGCATCCGGCAGGCATTCCATTTGTACGACAAAGATAAAGATGGCTATATCGACCCAGAGGATTTTGAACGCATCATCCGAGCCACTGCGGGACATAAGTTGTCCGACCACCTCTTGGAGAACCTGCCAACTCTGTGCAATATCTCGTCGGGCACCAAGATCTCGTATGCAAATGTCCGCGCCTTCCAGAACGTCATCCGCGAGATGGACCTACTCGATCTGATCATCCGTAACGCCACCGCAAAATCTCCAGACGGCAGGATTGATCGTACGGATTTCCTCAACGAGGCTGCTCGGTTGACCCGCTTTTCTCTCTACACCCCCATGGAAGCCGACATCTTGTTTCACTTTGCCGGTCTCGACACCCCTTCCGGCCGGTTGGCTCTAGATGACTTCGCCAAGGTTTTGGATGCCAGCTACCAAACAGCCGGTGCGAAATTGAATGCTGTGGCCGAAGCTGCCGACCGCGCGGTGTCCAAATCTCAACAGTTGCTTCGCGGCTTGCTCGAATCTGCACACCATTTCGGTCTTGGCTCCATCGCCGGCGCGTTTGGTGCATTCATGGTCTATCCGATCGATCTGGTCAAGACACGCATGCAAAACCAGCGGAGCACCCGACCTGGTGAACGACTTTATGAGAACTCCATCGACTGTGCCCGCAAGGTTATACGAAATGAAGGTATTCGTGGCTTGTACTCGGGCGTACTGCCTCAATTGGTCGGGGTTGCTCCTGAAAAAGCCATCAAGCTCACAGTGAATGATCTCGTGCGAGGAAGATTTACGGACAAGCAGACTGGCAAGATCCCCCTCTGGGCGGAGATCCTTGCTGGAGGTTCCGCAGGGGCGTGTCAAGTGGTAAGTGCCAGGCTATGAGGGCTTTTGACCTCACGAATTGAAATGCGAGACGCTGACGGTGTGCTCCGCATAACAGGTCTTTACCAACCCGCTCGAAATCGTCAAAATCCGCCTGCAGGTCCAAGGTGAACTGGCCAAGAAATCCGACGCGGTTCCCAAACGTAGTGCGATGTGGATCGTTCGCAATCTCGGTATCCTGGGCTTGTACAAGGGTGTCACAGCATGCTTGTTGCGCGACGTTCCTTTTTCGGCCATCTACTTCCCCACGTACAGTCACCTCAAGAGAGATTTCTTCGGCGAATCACCCACCAAGTCGTTGGGTGTATTGCAGCTGTTGACTGCCGGTGCCATTGCAGGCATGCCAGCAGCATATCTCACGACCCCTTGCGATGTGATCAAGACCCGACTGCAGGTAGAAGCCCGTAAGGGAGAAGCAACATACAACGGTCTCGGAGACTGCGCGCGCAAGATTCTCAAAGAGGAAGGGTTCAAGGCCTTTTTCAAGGGCGGCCCGGCACGTATCCTGCGTTCATCACCGCAATTTGGCTTTACGCTGGCAGCGTACGAAGTGCTGTCGAAGCTGCTCCCGTTCCCTGGTTCAGACGAGGCCGAGAAGAAGTCGGCAGGCGGAGTCACAGGCAGAGTGGAACCGGGCGTTGGCCTTAGGGAGGCAAAAGCCCCGTTACCGTACCTGCGCAGCCGGAATGCTTTGAAGATCTTGCTTGACCTGGACGTTAATTTCGGCCGGGTCAAGCCGGGTCAGCTGCAGCAACATGCCATGGCAGCGGCAGCGGGCAAGGAGGCTGTCGAAAAAGGCGTTGGCTGGTTCGGAGGGAAACTGTGATTCAAGTGAGGGGAGACATGCTCCTTTTCTTCCTCTCTTCCCCTTTCTCTCCTTGGGACGCGAAGTGAGCAAAACGGGGATTGGGCTGGCGATACCCTTTTCCCTCCCTGGAAAGGCTTCTCATTTCCTCCACCTCCTCTTGCACGCAACGCATCGATTGGGATATGTACACGAGGGGACGCCGTCATTTTACATAGCATGCATGTGATGGGGAACTTTTTTCTTGTTTATTGTTTGCCAGCGCACCGGAGGGGGTTTTTTTCCTTTTCTCCATTTCCTGGCGCAGTTCAGCTGGTCAAACGAGCATAGCGCAGCGCAGCGCATGGGCTGTCAACTCCGGTCCTACCTAAGAGGCGGGTCGGAATAGAGTGTACTGCTATGTACAACAACAACAAGGAGTCACTAGTACCTAGAGATTTTAGACCTCGAGAACGAAATCAGATAAAAAAAGAGAGAAACAAGAATAGAGGAATAGTAACGATAGACTCTAGAAATGAGATAAGCATTCAAAAGATATAGTAGAGCGTGATATGAACGATACTGAGTCTAGGGTACCTAGGTAGAGAGGTAGAGAGGTATTGTAATTACTCAATTTCTTCTCTATATATATATATAAATATATACACACACACAGATTTATATAGAGATATAATACATTTCATGTATTTGTTCCCAGGTTGATAGAACTGGACATTATAGACATCTAGACATATAGACACATAGAGGACACGCATGGGACACAAAGGTATAGAGCGTCCTCTTGTCTACACCTCTTCCATTTTACGGCTAGAGGAGAGTCCTGTGGGTGGCACCACCTCGTTCAGTTCAGTTCAGTTCAGTTCATCTCATTTCATTCTATTAGACCTGACCTGACCTGACCTGACCTGACCTGACCTGACCTGAACTGCACTAGATCTCGTCCCCGCGGCAAGCAACAGCGTGGCACAGCTCGACTTTCACGCCCGCGGAGAGCAGGACGCTGATCCACAGGCGCTGCGTGTCGCTGAGTCGGTCGTTTGCGGACTTGACTTCGGCGAAGAGGATTTCTCCTTTGGCTTGTCTGTTATCCTGGGGGTGTGCTTGAGCTTGAGCGTGGTCATGGCCGTCATTGCCACTGCGGCCCTGATCACCCTCCAGGTGGTTGTGGACCTTCCAAAGCACGAGATCCGGCACGCCGCCGCCCCGGCTTTGATATTCCTGCGCCATGACGAGCATGACCGTCCCCAAAGCCTGACCGTCCCAACAACCCAGCAACTCGAGGAGGTCGGCCTTTTCAAACTCATCCCACCTCACGCCGACGATGCACGTCCGTCTCTCATACTCTTGGTCCCACACCCTCTCGGCAATCTCGACGGCCTCGCCGTTGGAGATCTGGTTGATCCTCCCCAGGATCTCCGGCATGCGGGCGGAGAAGAAACTGTCCGTGTGGAGATCGAGCGGACAGGTCTGGTACGCCGTCTGAAAGACGTTGGGGATGTACGGGTTGAAGAAGAGGATGTCGTAGAACAGCAACCCGAAGATGGTTCGGAGGATGCCGCCTTCCGAGTGGTAGCCCTTGTAGCCTAATACGTGGCGATAGTGGGAGAGACACATGGATTCGACGGAGACAGACAGGTTTGTGTCCAAGTGGTCAAGCCAGACTGTCTTGCTACCAAGCATTGGATTGCTTGGTTGGTTGGGAAGCGAGATACGCCTGGTGGTGGTGGTGGTGGTGGTGGTGGTGGTGGTGTTGTTCGTCGATAGGTCGCTGTCCGTGGCTGCCGCGTTGACGCTGTTCTTCCGGCTGAAGGTGAGATTCCGTGATGGTGTTTCCTCGCGGCCGTGCTCGATTTTGATGCCCACGACATCCCTCTCCACAGCTTTTCCAAGCTTCACATGCCCAAAATCATGCTGTTCCCGAAGTGGCACGCGTAACTGCTTTTCCAGTTTCTTAACCCGCTTTTGCAGGTCATAGTGGTAGATGATGTGGCACTCTTTATCTTGAAGTCCCAGCTCACAAGTTTTCAAAGCGATGCGCTTCCAGTGCTTCTTGTTTGCCTCGACAGATCGACCTTCGTCAGGCGTGAGAGCGTGCATGTAGTGTTCTTCCAACAGCGCTCTGCGTTGGTACCATGCACCCCTTCTCGACGCGTGAAAAAGTCGTTGATCCAATAGCTCGTTCAAGAGTCCGTGCTCACGAAGATGCTCTTTGAATCGGGCAAGAGGGTGAAGTGCCTTATGCACGATACGCGTGTATACCCATGCTGGGCTGAAACGACGCAGATATGCACCCTCTCCACTCTCATAGACGCGGTCTTCCTTCCTCTGTTCTTCTGCCAGCAAGGCTTTCCACTGCGGATACACCGCCTGAAAGATCTCTTTCACTTCCTCCAGAGCTTTCCGGCCCGGGGTGCCGTTGAACTCTAGGATGTTGTCTACCCGGAACTGTGTGCGCAGACTAGCCTCGAATTCGAGGAGGAGAGCACGGGACTCAAAAATGGTGGTCGACCGGCTAACGATGTACTCTGGGAAGTTGCGACGAGATATCTTGGCCAGGATCAAGGTCGTCAGGCTCTTCTCCGTCCATTCTGTGCTACGGTAGAAGACAAGGTGGACCCGTTCGAAAAGCTTCAACGGAGTCAGGGAGAGTCGGATGCAACGTCCCGTCCGATCGAGTATCTTCTTCGTAAAGTGAGCGTCTCGATTGGTGCTCGAAGCGTTCGGTGTGCTGGGTCCACTGCTTTCCTCTCCATCTTCTTCGTCATAGATAGAGTGATTGTCCTCAGACATGGCACTACCCGATTCCTGCGTTTCCGAACGTCTAAGTTCTCTGAAACCCAGGCCAGCCTGCCTGCCGCTGGTACGCCGGAAATTCTGCAAAAGTTCTCGTTTGTTCTTGCCGTGAACCTTTGCTTCTTTTGCGAGGGTCTTCAATTCGTCCAAAAGCAAGAGGCTGCTGGCCTCATCCAGTGTTTTAATGTGTTCTGACGAACATTCTGCAAAAGTAAACGTCTTACCCAATATCGTGCCTTCCGGGGGTTCCAGTTCACCCGCATGGACACCAGGCGCCTCGTTCACGGCAGGGAGGGATCTCTCGTTCTGCAACTCCGCGACGGCAGCCTCCATGTCCGCAACGTCGCTGTAGTACTGCAGATCTCTGACTCGGAACCATTTACTTGTCTTACGAAGGAACAGGCGTACGTAGAGGTATTGCGCCTCGTAGCTGAGTTCCCTCCATATACCAAAGAGAGCCAACTCGGCTTCGTTGAAAAGATGCTCTTCCTCGTCCAGCACCGTGTCCAGAGCGAGGTTGAAGGCATCCACGTAGATGGAGCTGCGTCCTCTGATCCAAGAGCGCGATTCCAGCCTTGACAACGTCCTTTCTGCATCTCGGCGACCATCTTGGTCATTATGCTGCGTGTATTCACTTGCCTTGTAAGCCTCATAAGCCTCTATGGCTTCTTCATCCGTCGTCACGGGAGGTAGAGTGGCCTCCAACTGTGTCGCCCGGGGAGGATCAGAGATCCGATCTGCACGTCCATGGAGATCGTCTTCTTCCCCCTCTTCTTCCGAGTCTGGAATCTCTTCCTTGACCCTCCTCCTCGGGGCGGACTTTCGAGGGGAATCGCGCGTCGGGCTGGCGGTCCCGTCGTATACGACAGCTTTTCGTCGCTTCGCAGGCGGGGCGGGGAACTCTTCGCCATCATGAAAATGGGTGGATGGAGGGTGGGGGATCCGAGTCCCCATCAAGCGGTTGTGCATGGACGGCGACTTGGGCTCGAGAGCCATGGATGCTCTCGAAGCCTTTTTCCGAGGAGAAGGTGCAGGGAGAAGGCATGACAAGGGGAATTGTGAATTCAGGGCCGCAGTTTAGTGGGGAGCACCGGGGAACGTGGTATTGAGGATCCAGCGCGTCGAGATGACGCGCAGTCACGCGCTCGCTCTGGAGGCCCCAATTACTGAATGCTTTTGTCTGACATACTGAATTTAGAGTCTCCGTCCAATCAATTACCAGGCTGACGACTAGGCCCTTGTTATATTCGGGGTCATGACAAGGGGATTTTCGACCTTGAACTGACATATTCATTCACCAGAGCATTTCACAATCGTAAACTTTTTATATACTCTGTCGTGCCGCGTGCATTACGACGTAGGACCGCAAGTCATGTCTCAGCTCCGTCACAACGGGCGTAGCGCATCTTCAGCCCATCTCTCATCCGACTACAATGGAGTTGTGCCCGTGTAGTTACCATGTTGCGTCGTGAAGTCTCCAATCTGGGTCAGGCTCTTGATTCTACCCAGCAAGAACTCGAGCTGTCTGTAGGCGGCGCCCGGGACATATTGGGGAATCTCATGGCCTGCCATGTCGACAACCACGAAGGTCAACCCTCTCTCGGTGTGTGTCGTGCCCAAGTATCCACCACCTGCGACCAAGCCCACGGGGGTGGCAGGGATTGGCTGGTTGTAAGTCTCCTGAATAACGAACCCGATAGAGGGGTTGTACGGCACGAAGAACTTGTCAGAGGGTTTCTTGGAAAAGCCCTGAGCGCCATTCCAGGTCATATTGTTAAGGGTCATCAGCGTGCCATTCATCAAGAGCAAGTAGTCCAGGAGACCGCTGCCGACGATGACGTTGTTGGTATGCTCGATAACATGCGGCAGCGCGGTGAATGATGAAGGAGGCGATTGGTCACCTTTCGGGAATAGGCTATCATCACCGCAGATCACGTAGTCGGTGGGAGGGGCGTGGATAGCGGCCTGGACGTCGCTGCGATTGAAGTAGTTGTTTGGTCCGTCGCCGAGAGATGGGAAGCCAAGTTCGTCGTTCAAGAACGGGCAGAAGTCTAGCAGTTATCAGAAATTGTGTCAGTTGTGTGTTCGGTCCGTCGGCACAACGTGGAGGGGGTGCCAAATAAACTTGTCCTACCTGTCAAATGGTAAAAGTTGAAACAAGGGTTGACGTAGAGTTCGGCGAAAATGATATCATCCCAGATGTCACAATCTGTGGCAGTCCAGGTTAGCTGCGAAGCACGCTCTCCGGCGACTCACTGACCTGGATTCGATGCATTCACTGGCTCCTTGAACTTGCCCTTGGGTGGGAAGGTCAATGCAGTTTCCATGAACTCGATGTAGCCGCACTGCTCGGCCCTTTTGTTGATGGCGGACACGAACGAGTCATTGAGGCCGAAGACGTTGGCATAGTTGTTCATGTGCGTGGCAGCAGGCACTGTGACTCGGCGTCAGCTACAATGGCCCAAACTGGTGTCAGGATAAACATGGGTCGTTACCTTCTGTAAGGACGGAGTCCAGCCCAATACTGGGATCGTTGATCTGGATGCCAGCGACGTTGTAATAATCTGTGTTGTTCTGATCGATCATATAGCTGGCAATGTATGGGATGTATTGTCCCGCATACGACTCGCCAGTGATGTAGACTTTCCGTCCCGTCATGTTGAACGTGGTCATGAAGTTTTTCCAAAAGCCGGCAAATTGTTGGCCAACATCAACCTCGTTGGTGATCTTTGCTGGGGCTCCCGGCGCTGCAGGGGAGAAGCCCGTGCCAATTGGCTGGTCGACGTAGACCATGTTGGTAAGATTGGTAAAGGAAAACGGGTTTGGTTGTGGACCGTAAGTCCCGCTCTGCCAAAGGAATGGGCCATGTTCTTGCAGAAGGCCGTCAAGCGAGCTACATCCAGGCCCGCCGTTCAACCAGATGGTGATCTCATCCGACGCCGCAGGGTTATCTGAGGGGAAGAACCAAAAGAACAGCTGGTTTTGGTTCGAGCTGTTTCCATCGATGGAAAGCGTGCCCGCATAGGACTCGCCAATGTCAAAGGGGACCAGTGGAACTCCGGTGCCATTAACGGCGAACTCTGCTCTAGTTAGTTCCCACTCCACCCTCGCATCTGGGATACTGAAGTTCGGGGGACTTACTCTCGGTCTGAGGCGTCAAGTAGCTCGAATGTTGTCGTTTCGCGAGTGAGGGAAGTGACCGGCGCTCTTGTGCTGGAGCTGAAACCGGAGCTCTCTTCGCCAACTTCTGCTTAGCCATCTTGTGTGGGTTCGACACCGACTGCGCCAACGCGCCAGCCGCCAGCGACGCGGTCAGAAGAGCAGTGAAATGCATGATGTCCAGATCCTTGCAATGCCAGGCAGAAAATACCAACAGCAGAGGCGTGGAGATAGCGACCGAGCAGAGTATTTATGGGACACATGCCGTCCAGGGAAAACCTACCTTGAGCTTCCTTGCACCAGCAGATCGTCCGACTCCCACTGGCAAGCTGTCGCATGACGCATCCACACCAGGGAGGCAGCAGCGAGATAGGAAGGTTGCATTGTTAAGTCGAGATAGCGCTTGGATTCGAAGGTTCTTGGTCGAAATGCTTGATAAAGCTTCTTCCTGCTTGTTTGTGGGGGATGGTGGATGCTCGAGGGGCAATCATTGCCACTTGCAGCAGGTCGAAGGATTCCACGCCTCATGCCTTGGACGGGTGTGCCGAGGGATGTAACTTGAGTATAGACAGTGTGTGGACTATCGCCCCGGAGCGAGTGAGGGTCTAAGTTAACATCATGGGTCCCTGGTCGTGACCCATCCGTTGCCTTGTCGTATTCGAGTATTGTATATGGATCGATGATAGCCGCTGATCCGTGCATATCGAGATTCATCATGCGGAAAGTCCCCGGATGGATAACGTTCTCGTAAAACAATCCGAGTCTCGTGCGTCCCAGTGATTGATTGCTTCGAGAAGGCCAGAAGGATGTGGCTCCTCGGATTCGTCGAGAACAAAGAGCAGAAGCCAGCTTCATCCTACAATTTGATTGACCCAACTGTGTGCCTGTGTGCTGGAGTCCAATGATGATGGAGTCTGGCAGCGATAATCTTAGAGGGCAGATTTGGGCATCACCCAGGCACTACATAGGTACGTACATAGGTACATACCTGGCGAGCTAGGTATCCAATCCTCCGCTAATCCTGTTTTCCTTCCACTACTCGTATCGCCCCGTTAGACGCTACAACATTGGCCACCACCAACCGGAAGAGGGACAGCCACAGTTCCTGATCCTCCTCGCCTCCTTCCCTGCAACCTTCCCTCCCTTCCCTCCGGGCCCATCCGCTTCGCCCGCAGGCACGTGCACATTTGTCGCATTGAGATTGCAATCCCGTGTGCGAGCAATCAAGCAAATCGACAAGAACTGCGAAATTCTTCATTCAAATTACACTAGATAGTCGTCGAGCTGGACTTCCAATCATGGGGTATACGTGCACTCTCCACGCAAAAGGAGAAAAGGTTATATCATCTGAAAATCAACCAGCGTACTTTTGACCCGGAATCTCCTCACACTTTGTTAAGGACGGCCTTGTCCACATCCGAGGCCGCGGCTGGCGAAATGCCGCTGCCCGAGTCAGAGCCCTCCTTGCCATCGATAACGTTTTCCTCTCTTCCCAGCATCATATGTTGAATGTTCACCTTGGGTCCGGTGAACCACTTGTGGGCATCCACCACCCACCAGATTATGACGAGCAGCATCGGCCCTCCCCACACCAAACAGGTCCAGTTCATGAGCGACGCATTCAGATCCGAACCTGTCACGCTGGGCAGGCAGAGAATGGGGATCATCAACGAAGTGAAGCATGTCGATGCCACACCGATAGGGAACGAGAATTTCCCAAGGTGCCATGGTCCGCGACGGAAACGGTTGCCGACGAAGAAAGTTCGAATGGTGATGGGAATGGTGAAGGCCACAAACGCTGCAATGGCGCCGACGCTGAAAATGGCCCCGATGGATGCCTCGCCCCCGAAGAGGAGCAGGGTCAGAAGAATTCCCACAACGCAATTCAACCAGACGGCATTGACCGGGGTCTTTGTTATTGGGTTGACCTGCTTCCACAGACCGGAGAAAGGGAAGCAATTATCACGGGCGTAAGCGAAAGTGACACGGGACGCCGCAATCATACAACCCTGGCCCATGGAGAAACCGCAGATAATGGTCATCGCAAGCAGAGCCAGAGCGGTGTTCTCAGGTAGGATTTGCATAAGGTAGGATGCCCAAGGCTGGCCAATATCAGAATCGAGGACGTCGTCGATATTGACCACGGTATAAGCCACGACCAACTGCAAGAACCAACCCATGATTCCACCAATGCCAGAGGTCAGGACGATGGCCCGAGGACTGGCAATGTTTGCGTTGCTGCATTCCTCTGAAAGATGGAAAGGAGCATCATATCCGGACATGGTCCAGATGACGGCGATGAACGACATGAGCAGAGCCACGCCATTTGGGAAGTCTGTTCCCTCGTAGAAGTTGCCCCAAACTGTGCTGCTCTTGGTGAAACGAGGCAGTCCCTGTGACTCACGGTTGGTGGCGGCCGGGATCGTGATGATGGTGATGACCAATGCGATGATGTTGAAGGTGCTGCCGTACGAATTGAACGTCGCGATCCAACGCGTCGGCATGGATGAGATACATGCATGGACAATCATGATCAGGGTGGTCAGAAGGAACACTTGATAGTTCTGAGGGACGAAGCCTGGATTGGTAATGGATCCAGCTGCAAGAATCATGGAAGCCAATGCGTAGTCGACGGAAGGGGCTCCTGTGACTTGAACCAGCCAATTCGACCAACCAGTGATCCAGGCAGCTAGGGGGCCATATCCTGGAGGTGCGAGCACGGCCGCGGCGTAGTACAAACCACCCGACGTAGGCATGGACGAGCACAATTCAGCTATGTATTTGTTAGTCGCAACACAGAAGCATTTCCTTTTCCAGGAACCAAACATGAGACGTACCCATGCCCATGGCGACGCATTGGATGAAAGCCATGGCAATCAACCAACCCCAGACCATGCCAGGCGTTCCAGCATAACCCATGCCGTAATAGAGAGTGGAAGCGAAGGACGGAAGCAAGCCGAGGACGGCAAAGGAAACACAAAACGACGTCCATAATGAGAATTCACGCTTGAACTCTGGACTGTTTGCATGTTAGCATTGAAGTTTGCAGAGAGAAGGGAATTGATAGCTCCTGGGGGCAACATACACGTAACCAAGTGCCGCGAGAACCTCTTCGTCGGCAGTCAACTCTCGATCAAATATTGGGACCTCGCCACCAGGGAGCACAGAGGTCACGGGCTCTTCAGCCACCGACTTGCGGTGCCCACCCTGTGAGACGACGCTGAATTTCCTGTCTTCGCTCATGACGGCGCAAGGATCGTGGGTGTATTATACGGATGAGGTGGAATTGGTATACATGCACTATGACGTCCCGGACCAGACTCAGGCCGAGGTGCTTCGAATGGTCTTCGTGGGTAGGTTGCGAGAGGGATCAATGCTCTCAGCAAGCGGCCTTGGTGTGGATGGGAATATGGATGAAGAGCACTCAAGGAAGATAGCCCTTGGAATGAGAGGCAAGCGGGCTTTATTCATAGCATATTGCCAACGGAGGGTTTTATCAAGCGATGCTTCCCGTCGCTAGCTGGCCGAACAGAAAAAAGCAGCGCAGCGCACCTCTCACAGCGTGTGAAATTGCGCAGGGCCTTGGAGGCGAAGGGCATGAATTGGCCTCCGAAACCTCGCCCACTAGGCCTTCATCGGGTAACTTGATGCTGGTTATCGGGAGGGTGGAGTCCTTCTCCAGAGCCCAGTATGGGCCATGACGGAGTGTGATAGGCATGGCCATCGCATGGACCATGGAGAGATTTTATTGAGAGCTGTGAATGGCTGGTGATGGGCGAGGGAGAGATAAGACCAGGTGCGAAGAGAGGACAAGGGGGAGAGGGGAGGGGCAACTTGTGGAGGGCCGGAGGGGCACTCACTCGTACCTTCGCCTACGCTGGCGTGGCTGGGTACATAACTGACAGGCAGTGACAGGCAGCACAGGGTCCGGCGGTGGGAGTCTCCGATGACTGCTAGGGGCTAGAGCCCCTCGAGCCCTAGGGGGACCCGTAATAGGCGAGCCTAAACCTGCATTCGACCACTAGAAACAATTATCGCCATGCGTGGGCCGCCTGGGCAGATTTATCAGGGCAACAGCCGTCGACACCAGCAGCACCAGCAGTAAACACCTCGAATCATGAATCGAATGCCCCTTGAACGAATGCCACGCGACCATCTCGTTTGGCTAACACACACACACCCTCGCCTCCTCTGCCTTGATCCAGTATCCTCTTCACATCACTTACTCGTATCTTGGCCTGACGACAGTGTCTATCACGGATTTCTTATCATCATCATCATCATCAGGCCTACTCGTGGTGAACTCGGCGCTCTCCAATGCGCTGATTATGTGTTGTGCTTAGTCGATATCACCAACATGCTTGTAACGCCTGGCTTTCCTTCCTCCTTCTGCACGAGGAATTCTTCTGGAACACTCAGCACCATAATCATCCTTCGCCCACTTACGCTGTCTACGCGGATATCGGATACAGTTCCTGACAGATACGAGGCACTTGCAAGCAACGACAAAGGGCCACAAGGTGTCCGATCAACTGCCCGGTGAGATCTTTGTCGTGAAGCCTTTTTGCCTCAATGATAAGCAAACTTCCTCCGCGAGATCCATTCTCCATGTTTACTCCATTTCCCATGTTTCTCAAACGAACCCCTTCCTTTGCATTGCTCCTTTGCTTGAACCATGTCTCCGGGCCATGTCGGTCGGCTCCCCAGTCAACTTCTCGCAGTAACAGTAGCTACCGAGTATATTTCAGGGGTGTGCCGCATCGCCCTGCCCGTTTGGGAAAACCGGTGTCTACATCGCTGTTTAGCTGTACAGTCATTGGCTTCTCCATTGTGATATGCTTCTGTATACTCCATATCATCATGGAACGTGTTGGGGGGTTATCTCCCTATGATGTATCTCGTTATAAATTGCTTCTTGTGATCGGACATGGACGCGCTACTCCTCGCTGCCAGTTACTCTGGTCGGTCACTAGTCTGGCTATCCCCTCGATCATCATCCACGACTCCGGATATCTTTCTGCATATCCTTCTTGCTTCCTCTGGCATTGTCTTCCAAAGCACCTGCCGAACTTCGTTGCCCACCTGCTCCACGGCATCCATTGCCCAAAGCACATCGAGATGCTCATATTCGTCAATGACTTTGCTGTGGACCACTTTCACGAAAGGTTCGCGTCCACGTTCAAACCGTCTCAAAAGTCTCCTACCGTCGACAAGTTCGTCGCTTCCAGCCACCCACAAGGCCAGGGGAGGGACGTGTTCGTCATACCATGCGGTCCTCCCTCGATCGTCATCGTCGGACGTGGCACGTTCGGGACTTTCCTCTCCATCATCATCCTCTTCCGTTTGCCCATCTTCCCGTGTGGCTAGAATGCACTTTTGTTTCGCAAAGCATTCTCGACCCAGCCACCACCTCATACTCTCCGCACTTACGTAAACGGGTGAGAATTGAAAGAGTCGATCCCGGAGACCTCGATCCCATCGCGTGTCGGTCCAATCAAACAAGAACGAGAAGACCCGGTAGCCCAGGGTGCCATACAGCTTGCCAGGTAGCATGCTGTGCATGGTCATCATGAGTGGGATGAAGCTGTGAATGCCGAAGAAAACCCTGAACATCGACGGTGAGATAACCCGCATGAACTTGAAGTACATCTTGCCGATCAAGGGGCCCGCATATACTGCGGGGGCAAGAGCGCAGAAGACACTGATCTTGTCACCCAAATCTGGTCGCTGCTCTTTCGCCAACGCCACGAATGTCTCTGTGGTACCTTGACTGTGACACACCAACCCGAGCTTCTCGAAACCTGTCTCTTCTAGAACTCGAGACATGAACGCAGGAAGGTCCATCACTCCCATCTGCCGGATATTCCAAGCCCACATCCGTGGATCGTGATACTTTAGCAGACTATGCTCAGGGCTGAAACCGCACCGGTTGTTTCCCAACCAGACATCGTACCCAGACTTACAGAGAAGAAAGGCCAAACTGTCGTCATCATTTGCACAATAAGCACCAGCGCTCTGCAGGAGCCCATGCACCAGTAACACTGGGTATCTTCTGTTGCCGTCGGAGTACTGCTTCTGAACGTGCGATTGGAGGCCCTCTTGAGAGCCTATGAAAACGGCAGGCTCGTCGGGTTGTCGCTCTGTGCTTGAGCAGGGCGTGTATTCTGCAGGGTTGTAGATATGCCATAAAGCCAGAATGAAGCCATCTTCTGTCTGCACTTTGAACTCTTCGGCGTCTAGACCCACTCGACGTGCGTAGTACCTGATGTCGCAGACTAGCTTGTCAGGTCCTCCCTCAAGCGGCACCGGTGGCTCTTCTGACGAAGCAGCCGGGTCTATTATACCATTTTGGGCAGCTGCTTTCTGTTTCGTCGTGCGCCTCTCCCATTCCTTCTCTTGCTCCTGGCGTATAGCCGAACGTCTTCTCTCTTCCTCGTAGAAAGGTCTCTGCTTATCAGGATCTCGGAAGGTGAGCCACAACCAGACGTATTTCACAAAGTGAGGTATCGATGTGAATAACGCCCCCAGTACGATGACGGCAAGAAAGCCCGTCGAGAGTATAGCTGATGTCGTTCGAAGTACTGCACACTGAAGGTGTCGTAGAAATGACGGAGGTCCGTAGAGAGGCAAAGGAGGAAATAGCGGGTGGGTATGCAAGACTGGGATTGCTTGATCTAATCGGCTGGATTCGCTCTCGTGGTCATCTTTCATCAACTCGTTCCGGTCAACTGCCCCAGGCCCAGCCCTCTGCCTGTCGAACCGACTCAATCCTCGCGGTCGTCCTGGCCGATATTGTCGCCCCTCAGATCGATTCTTCAACAAGTTGATCTTATGTGCTTCCTGGACGGGAACGGCTGGCAGTCTGTTACCATCTACGGTCTCAATGACTGGATCCAGTGGAGTGATGAACTTGGCTTCAACGGCATGACCAGCCCTGTCACCATCGTCGTTTGTCTGTGAGGGTTCAAGGGAGAGCTTTTGAGCCTGTAGATCGTACTCGACGGCTGCATGAGCGCGAGTGCGTAGCTGGGTCTGCGACATCTGGGGTCTCTAAACTCGCGAAGTGGTCTCTTGATGTGGGCGTGTTTTGGGTTGATGTCATCGAGACCCAGCAATGGACCCAACCAACGATGTGCTAGGGCTTGCTAGTAACGGAGTATTCTCGAAATTGTAGACGTGCATTGATAGACTGGGAGAAACGAGAGAACACAGACAAGGTGAAAGAGTGGCTTGTATATCGTTACAAGGTAAGTTTGTCTCAACAAACAATACAAGGCACATGTCGCCGCGAACACGACAGACCTGAGTTTTTCCAAGGCAATTTTGCGCTGCACTCATCATTGGCTCAATCTTTGAAGCACCTGCCGATCGTGGAGAAGAGCGAGTCGAGATCGCAGGTGGGTGGCAGGGCAATGGCTCGCTGAATCAGATCATCGATGTCATTGCTTTGCGACGCGGATATCGACATCATAGCTGGATTCTGGGTTGAGCCAACAGGGAAAAGCTTTGGCCAGTGATTGCGCCACAACTGGCCGGCGTGCGGACCGTTGCCGAGCCACTTGCAAAGCCGCTCCCTCTATCGCAGATGAGACATCGATGAAAGAGGTAAGTATCGACGGGTATCTCAGTAGAGGAAACTTGGACAAGGTTGGTAGGTCTGTAGCAGAACCAGGGTGTTCCTCCATGAGCAAATGATAGATGAGTGTAGTAGGTAGGAGGGAAATAGCAGCTCAACGCGAGAAGGATATTGCACTTTCACAGCCAATGTTTCGCCCCATTGATTTCGGCGGATCAAGAAGACCACGTACGCACTGCTTCGGAATTTCTTGGCATCGCTTCCGCTGCGGAAGTCAATGACTGCGGAAGCCAAAAGTTGTGGGCAGTTCCTCTGACGAAGGAGCGGGGAGCAGTGAGCAGTGTTCGTATTCCCGCAATTGAGGGGAGCGCAAATTGAAAGGCTGAGGCCGGCATCGAACGACACTCTACACCACGACCTTTGCTAGTGCGTCAACACGAGCCGCACACCATGCTGTTCTTCAGGTATGCGATGCCACAGACCGCAATGCGCTCATCAAGTGCTTGCGCTGACGAAAGGAAACAGTTTCTTCAAAACCCTGACCCAACAGACCGTCACGGTCGAACTGAAAAACGACATTTCCATCCGCGGCACCTTGAAGTCCGTCGATCAATACCTCAACATCAAACTGGACGATATCACAGTGCTAGATGAACTGAAATACCCTCATCTGTCTTCCGTGAAGAACATCTTCATAAGAGGGTCGGTGGTAAGATATGTACACCTGCCGCCTGATAAGGTCGACCGGGGGCTTTTGGAGGATGCTTGTCGAAGAGAGGCCATGAGCCAAAAGGGAAAAGGGACTTGAATGGGGCAAAAGCAAAACAAGCTGCAAACACTGATAGCACGGGCACTAAATCGAAGCAAAAGGGGTTATCAAGACGAATCCCATCGACAGAGTCGTTGCGATGTGCTCGAGGCATGGCTAGATAGCCTGCAACCGCGGTGTTTTTGCAGGAATCCGTGCCTTCTATGCTTGAGTGGGCGCGTGATGGCGGAGATTTCAATGTCAAGAATATCCTCAGGGATGTCGCGGGTGATCTTTCTGAGAGGACGACAGAGGAGTGCCCGGGGCCTCGCTCCTGGTTCTAGTGCACCATTCGCTTACAGGAAGGGAGGCTATGTGCTTGCAAATGATTCCTTTGGATCGAGTCAAGGGTCGGATGATCAATACGGGTGTTTGATCTGATCGCAACCCACATCCCCTCCAGAAACAGCAGAGTGGACATGCTAGCTCTTTTGCCTTGCCGGGCTGCTCACACGAGGAACAATACAACAACATGTCCTTTTGCGGCCCTTCTCAGATTAGCAACGTGACCGTGACTATAGCACAACAACCGATGACACTCATCTGTGCGTCGATTCGGTACAATGAAGCGTACAGTTACACTCCGTAGCTCAACTTCCCATCCCCGCTCCCCCAACCCTCAGCCCCCGCCTGGACTGCAAACAACCCATTTTTTCTCTTTTCAGCCTCCCACTTGTCAATCCACGCCTTCATTTTCTCTCTAGTCCTTGCACTTCCCACATTAACCGTTGGTACGATCCGATTGATCCTCAGCGCGCAGCAAAACATGGTCAGCTCCCGAAAAGAACTGTGTTCTGAGTAGGGTACTCCAAAACAGTTCGACTCACGTGTGCTTCCGCGCTGAGGAACTAGGTCATGCATGGTGTAGCGTGTCTTCCAGCCGTCGGAATGCAGAACGGTACTGACGGCCGGGTTCTCAGTGAAGCGTGATGTTGGAGGGCGGTAGGACCAGCCTGTCGGTCGAAAACCGACCACGCGAGCGAAATGGCCGTTGTAGGTCATCAGATAGTCGTGAAGTGTCTCGGCTCGGATCTCCATTAATGTTTGCATGTGAACCTGTGCTTCGAGCGGGTTGCTCGTTAGTCTGGCATCGAGTTCGGGATCTTCGAGACATAAACAGATGCGCATCTTCGAAGGAGGAGCATAGATCTTGGAGTTCAGGGCTTTGGCGATTCCTAAGCAGATCCGCTCCTTGCCAATCGAATAGGTGCCAATGACGACGAGGAGACGTCCTCGCAGTCTCGGTTTTGTGTCTGATCTCTCTGCGCCTGGCTTGTCGATAGTGGCTTCGCCCTGTACGAGGAATTTCTTCATCGCACTACCAGCACGGCTGGCCTTGACTTTCTCCCAGTCGTCATTTTGGTCCACAATCTCCTTTGAAAGACTGACACACATCTGTGCACAAGCATCAATGACGTCATGTTGACCCGGAAACGCGTATTTTGGAGTTAGATAGGTCGTGTCCAGATAGCAGGTGTCAATGACCTGTTGCTTGGTCAGGCCTGTAACGCTGTCGACAACATCGGGACGTAGAAGAGGATGAGCGACATGGGCAGGACATGCACGAAAGTCCCCACAATGGAGGATACGGGTTTGCTTTGGAGATCCGTCTTTGTTCTTACCGGTGACCTTTTCAAACAGGAAGAGTGACGACCCAGGGCAGTGGTTGGCAGGAATCATCGTAACGAAGACCCCCCTTGTATTCGGGACCTCGGTTTTTGTCTCGAATCGGAGTGGAATCAGCCATTTGGGATCGACTTTCAGCTGCTGCATTATTAGATTGCAGGTGACTTTGCTGGCGTAGATCGGACCGTGGCACCATGAGGCTGTGAGACCAATGTAGTGATCACTGTGGAAATGACTGAGAAAGTAGGCGTTCTGATTTTCAACTTTACCATACCGGAAGGCGTCGACACAGATGTAAAAGCCAGGCATGATCTTGTAAAAGGGGCAGGTTCGTTGATATGCGGGTTTGCCGCGAGATTGAACCTCATGGGCTGCAGCCTCGGCCCAGGCAGCGTCTTCAGCATGACCAGACATGAGCCTAGCAAAGGCTGAATTTCCTTTCCCTTCTTTCGACACGGAAAAGGGATTGGATTGAGCAGGACGAGCAATTGCTGCACGCTGAAAGCGCTTCGACAGAGAAGCCGCTTCACTGACATCGTCGGACGGGGGAGTTTCGGTCGCTTTTTCAATTTCGAACACTTTTGGTAGTGGTTCAGCATTGCCGTCGAGACAGGCATTGACATGCGCTGACGCCTGGTTCTCGGATAGCCCTTTCAAGCTCCCGGCGCATATCGGACAGACAAGGATGCCACTGGTCCTTTCCGCGTTGAGTTGATCATCATCTTCGGCCATGCTTCGTGGCATTCTGATGCCTTCAGTCTCCGACTTCAAGTCCTCGTCGTCAAATTCCATCCCCATTTCTCGTTGCTCTTCCATCCATCTGCGCTCCATGTATTCTTCTCCTCCTTCATAGAATTCGTCATTCTCAAAATCGGCATCACCGAAATCCTCAGGTTCGAAAACGCTTGTTGCTTCCCGTGTCAAAGGCGGAATATCCCTTCCAGGGATGGAAGGGATTTCTCGATCTGGATTTCGACTTTGGTCGACGGCATTGATTGTCGAAGAGGCGGAGCTTGAGTCAGACTGCTTGGCGGGATTTCTAGTCGTATTTGATCTTGTATCGCCCTCAATGGCGCCGCTCAGAGTCTCCGGATTCTCGGTGTCATGTGATCTCTCCGTGGTGTCGGCGACATTGACAGTGCTATTGATGGCCGCAGTCCAGTCGTTATCCTCCTCATCGGTTGAGTCGTCCAGGAATCCACCTCTGTACTTTTTGGGTGGCTTGTCTAGCTCTGCATTCTCATCTTGTGAACTTGGCTCCTTCCCGGCCTTGCCAGCACCTCCCCCAAGTCCAGGCGAGGGCGTACGGACAAAGCTCTCGACATCCTCATCATCGTCGATCCGCCTCCTTTTGACAAACCCCCGGTCCTCGTGGAATCGGGACTCTTCTTCATGCAGCTCAGGCGTCTCAATACTGGGCTGCACGTCCTTAAAGAACAGCGGGGGCAGAGTCGTCGTATCTTTGTTGTTGAGAGTTTTCTTGTCTGACTTTGCAAAAAAGTTGAGTATGCTCTGAACTTGAGCAGCCTCGTGCTTCTTTGCCACAGGGGTCTTCGATGTGGGGTGGCGATCAAGCATAGAAGCTCTGGACGTTCGAGATCGCTTGTTTGAGGCGCCGTCTGCGACTTCTTTTGCGTATCCGGCGGGCGATAGGAAATACGAGTTCGGCTTAGAGGGGTACGAAGAGGGAGGAGTAGGAGGCCTCCCAATGTGAGGAAGTACCCGTTCGTCTATTGGGACAGATCTATTCTCTCGAGGATTGCGAAACATGTTGGCGAAGTCAAATGCGCCACCAGAGTAACAGGAACCATCGCTGGTACAAACGAGCGGAAGCTGTGGAAAGCAGATGGCGTCGCCTTTGTCACCAAGTTGTGAATCTACAGCAATGTGTCAAGCCGAGCGTTCTCACTTTGGTTCTTGGCGGCAAAAGAGGAGGCGAGGGGGTCACTGCAATCCGCACCCGGAGCCTCACGCGACCTACGCCGCTTTTACAACCCGCGCAACTCCTACTCCTACTCATACTCATACTCATACTCACGGCCCACTTCCCTCCTCGATTATGATTGCTACTCCTGCGCCCACCTAGGGTGTCGCTCATGGTGGCCGAAACGGTTCCCTATTTTAGGCCCTAAGGTCGGGTGCGCCGTCGCTGTACTTTCGACTTCCTTTCCCACCAGTTGGCCTGCCCCGTCTCGTCCCTTCCTCGCATGCTGGTTATTAGCTTTGGCGAGAAGACCCGGTAAAGGTAAATAGAGAGCTTCGGTCCTGGATCTCACAGCTGAAAGACGCTGATCTTTAAATCTAGTAAGTAGAGTGGAGGGCAGGCTACTGTAGAGAGGGGTCGGCAGAAATGGCTGGAGGATGTCTTAATGTTGAGGAGGAAAGGGTTGCCAAAACACGTAAACGCGCCGACGCGATTTTTCGCGCGATGGGTATAAATTGTTCAAAAGACCTCGTGGAAAGACCAGTTAGCTTTGATGTCCACAACAACTCAATACTAATCATCAGGGCTACACTTTCACTTTTATGAGAGCGTCTTCTTGCGCTGCCCTGGGTAAGTATTTGAAATTTCTCGCAGATTTCTCGTAAACGCCTGGTAATGGGGAGACCTTGTTTGAGGGAAAGAGATTTCTCAGCGCTATGAACGACAGCCTTCGCCAGGATCTTGTCAACGCTCGGCTACATTGTACTAGGTAAGTATCAAGGCCTGGATTATACTTCATTTACCCCCAGTTAGTCCCAGACGTTTCCGAATCAGACCCAGCAGCGGTTCGTGGCAGCCCAAATTCCTGCGGTGATGGTAGTACTAGGTCTGGGCTCCGGGGCCACAATAAACCGCAGCGCCGGGGCCTCTCCGCAAGATCCATAATTCCCCGCAATCCGGGCCATGAATTCGCCGGGCACATTGCAGGTACCATACAGTTTTAACGCACACGTGGACATCATCTTAGAGCGGATGTTGAGCGGTAATCCTCCACAACTCGAGGGAGGCGGGATTGGGAGGAAGACGCTTGTGCCCTTAGGTATATATTCCTGGGGTGTCGTTGTCCGCATCACCCTTGCTCCACCTTTACACCTTCTGGCTACCTTTTCGAACGGATTCGACGACGAGATAGGGTAGATATGGGTGTCGACAAGTATACTTTTGGTGTGGCCCTTTTCGCCAGCCTGGGCACATTTCTCTACGTGAGCGAAATACCAAAGCATGAGACATCTGCTGGACTCTAAGCTAACAGGATGCGTTCTGGACAGGGATATGACACGGGCATTGTGACCACCAGTCGGTGCCAACGAGATCTCTGGTGATAAGAAAGATCGCTGATCGCGGAAACAGCCATTGCGCACCCAAGTTGGGTGGCATATATGCACCATCCAAACCCCGCTCTTGTGGGAGCCGTATGTACATCTTACAACGCCAGGAGAAGCAACTTGTTAACAAGGATGCCAGGTCGGCGCGATCTACATTGGTGGAGAAGCCGTGGGCTCGCTCATTCAGATTGCCATTGCGGACAGGCTGGGTCGTCTACGTTTCATGCAATTGCTCTGTGTGATTGTGACAGCTGGATGCATCATTCAAACAGCTGCGGTTAATATGGGTATGCTGCTTGCGGGCCGCATTCTCACGGGCATCGCTGTTGGGTGAGCATAAGATCCATCCCCGACTTGTGATGCCTGACTCAGTGACTGACCATGACTTTCCAAACCATCAGCTCGCTTGCGGCGACAGTGCCAGTCTATCTATCTGAGATTAGTGACCCTAGGCATCGTGGCTTGATAGGTGGTCTCTCTGGAGTCAACCTGTCATGCGGGATTATGGTGTCAAATTGGGTTGGCTTCGCCTGCAATTATGCTCCTTATGGTCAGCTCCAGTGGCGGCTCCCCCTCGGCCTCCAGATCCCTTGGGGAGTTATCATGTTCATTGGTCTGGCTACCTTCATGCCAAACTCGCCACGCCATCTCCTCCAGAAAGGCAAGGTCGAAGAAGCCCGGACGGCTTTCGTCAAGATCCGTCGAGATCTCCAATCACACGAGGTGCAGCAAGAGTTTGCCTTGATGACATCCCAAATTGCATTCGAACACGAGCAACGAAGCCCGTCTTTGCTGAGTGCATTCAAGCGCTACCGCCACCGGGTACTCGTGTATGCAGCGGTCTCCCACAAAATGTTTGTTTCGATTGGCTAACTGGATTGACCAGGTCCATCTCGGTCCAAGTCCTAACGGCAATCACGGGTGTAAATGTGATTCAGGTCAGTAAGCTTTGTTTCCCGTAACCTCGAAAATGCGTGCTAATTTAATCCAACACAGTACTACCAAAGTAAATTGTGACAATCTGGAGTTTCAAGCAAGTTGACTAACGATCTTCACAGCGACACTCTACAAATCCTTGGGTATCGAGAGCAAAACAATCCTTGCATTGACAGCTGTTTGGGGCACGTGCGCCTTCCTATCCAGTGCGCTTTCCATTCCATTCCTTCCCGATCGCATTGGAAGGCGGAAGATGCTACTCGCCGGTATCGTCTGGGTCGTCTTGACTGAGATCTATGCTGCTGTCATGCAACGTGAATTTCAAAATACAGATAACCGAGTTGGCAAAGGATTTGCAATTCTCGGCATTTACATCTTCACCGTTGGTTATTGTAAGCTATTTCAGATGATCAATCAACTACCTGGGCTCTGCTAACACTCTAGCAGACAGCTTGATTAATCCTGTGACCTGGCTTTACGGAGCGGAGGTGCTTCCCGTGGCACTCCGAAACAAGTTCATGGGTCTTGCAGCATTCGCACACTACGCCGTCAATGTCGGAAGTAGGTAGTCTCGTCTGTCGTTCCATGCTTGTGCGCTGATAAGTCGTTCGTTAGTCACCGAAGCAGGCCCCAGTGCCTTTCAGAATATCCATGAGAACTACTACTATGTGTTCGTCGGCTGTTGTGCTGTATACTTTTTTATCATCTACTTTTATTATCCGTAGGCGTCCCTTGCGCAAGATCGTTGTCAAGGGACCCAACCTTACTGACACTGATACAGAGAGACTAAACAGAAGACTCTGGAAGAAATCGCTGCTGCTTTTGGCGACGAAGTCGTCGAGGTGGATGTTCCACAGCACACGCTAGATGGCAAAGTAGCCATCGAAGCCAAAGTCACCAACGTCGCGCACATTGAGGACGGATCTTAGGATAAGCAAGTTACCTGGTTACATGTCTCCTAATTGCAACAAAAGGGGATGGCGCTGTGGCACCACTCCTTCGAGTCCGAGTCGTAGACAATCTAGTTGAGATCGGACTGATCAGATAGCACCGTGCATAATCGAGGTATTCCAAATCAGCAATGCTACCGCATTCACCATCCCGATCATCGAGGTTACTCGGTCCTAGACTACCTAGGTAGAGAGTGAGCATCAAATTTGGCACACGGCAGTGCGAGTTGTGGGGACCCCATGAATCTTAGGCGGTCCACCTTCGGGGGTTTCCTCTTCCGCCCCCTTGAGTTGCTGTGGAATGATATGCCGAATCCACGCAAATGATCGAAATCCTTGGACGACAAGTCCGGAAAATGAACGCTCGGGTCGCATGTACTGATGGAGACACGAAAATCGCGGACATACCTAGGGAGTCACTACGCCAATAAACTAGGACTGAGTCGCTTTTTAAACAAAGCCGCCTGACCACTCAACCCATTACCTTCAACTTCAAGTCGACAAACGACTACAACTTGGGTAAGCGGATCAACTTAATCCCATTTCACGGGATGAACCAAACCCCAGATATTCATTAAGATATGACAACCAACGGTATCAACGGCGATTACGCCAAGTTACACAACAACAGAGCCAAATCGATTGTCGACGCGGCATATGCAGGCAAATATGCGATCGCTGCTGTGTGCTGCTATAATCTTGAGGCAGTACTGGCGACAGTACGAGCAGCTGAGGCCAAGCGATCACCAGCATTGATTCAACTGTTCCCCTGGTCGATAGAGTTCGCAGACGGTCTGCTGCTACACGCGGCGGCCGAGGCGGCAGACAAGGCGTCGGTGCCTATTGGAGTTCATATGGATCACGCACAGTCGCCGGACGTGATCCGACGCTCAGCCGACTTAGGTGGATACGATGGCATCATGGTCGACATGAGCCACTATGACAAAGAAGAGAACATGCGACTGAGCAGGGAATTAGTCGCGTACTGCAATGCTCGCGGCATCATCACTGAGTGTGAGCCCGGTCGCATCAACGGCGCCGAGGACGGCATTCAGGACACCGAGGGGATGGAGGAGATCTTGACCACGCCTGAACAGGCCGAGGAGTTCGTCGCCCTAGGTATCGACTGGCTGGCTCCAGCATTTGGCAACGTCCATGGTCCCTATGGCCCCCAGGGTCCTCAGCTCGATTTTCCTCGTCTGAAGCGCATTCATGACCAGGTCGGCGACCGTGTCAGGCTAGTCCTACACGGCGCTCATGAAGACTACTTCAAAGAGGAGCTGCTTAAGAAGTGCATCTCTTACGGCATTTGCAAGGTCAACGTCAACGGTCCTGTCGCAGCTGCGTGGACGAAGGTTCAAGGTGAATTGACTGGCAAAGTTCCCCTGACCACGGTCATTGAGAAACAAGTCGACGCGATGCAGGCGGTGGTAGAGTATCATATGGATTGGTTGATGTCGACGGGCAAGGCGTAGGCGGCATATAAGCGACCTAAATTCAGTTACAAGACAGTGGCTTCTAGATCTGCGATTTGATCCAAGCTATCATTATTTTGGTTTTGATGGTGAATCAGCA